ATATTAGATCTTAACCTAACCTTTAAGCTAGATAGTCTACTCTATACTACTTATTATTACCTCTTACTCTTAAGATAGATAGATTATATCTATACTCTTTAGTATAAGACCCCTTTAGTTTCCCTAATAGTATTTATCTCTAAGAACTAATTAAATAGTACTTATAAGCTTTACTTAAAGTATAACCTTAATAATACCTACTCTAACTAGGTAGGAGAATATTAATATAAACTAGCAAATCTAAATTATTTAAGATATAATTACTATAAGTAGAGTAGTTAGAAATAAGTATAATTAGCTAGTAAATAATATAGGTATAGAATAGCTTAGGTTACTACTTATATAAGAGAGCTTTCTAATCTATATATATAACTTTTTTATTATCTAAGTTTAGGTAGATAGGCCTTAGAGTTATAGGTGTTTAGTAGACCTATAGTATAAACTTAGTTAGTAGATAACTATAATATATAAATATAAATATATTTAAAGCTACTAAATAGCTACTTAAATAGCTACTTAAATAGCTATATAACTAGCTTAATAGCTACCTAAGTAGTACTTAATTATTATAGTATTAGTATTATCTCTATTACTTAGCAATACTAGCTACTACTAGTATACTTAGCAAAATTTGTCTTAAAATCTAAGGGGGGGGGAAAGAGGTTTATAATATTAGAATATAAAGTATAACCTAGGGTAGATTAGGCCCTAGGGTAGAAAACTACTTTATAAGTATTAAATTAGCTATTAAAGTAGTAATTAATTAGTATAGTATTAGTACTATAACTATTACTTAGTAATATTAGCTACTTTAAATATACTTAGTAAAGAATATTTAGAAGTTAATATACCCTATAGGCGAGTTAGATAATAGGCAAGCTAGATACTTTTGCTAAGCCCCTACTAAACACCTTCTCCTATACTAATATCTTCTTAATAATACTATTTAGATATGTTAAAAAAAGTATAGATATAGCTTATACTTTAGGCTCTTAAATAAGACATAACTCTATCTCTATAATATGCTACTACTATCTATAAGGTCTCTTAAAGTATACTAAGTAACTAGTATACTAGATAACCTTTATATACTAATTCTATAGCTAACTTATAAAAGCTAGATAATAATAAGGAAGAGGTAATTATTAAATATATTCTTAAGCTAGATATATAAGAGTTTTCCTCTTAGCTCTTAGATATAGCTACTATAGCTAATTCTTTATATACTAAGTATAATCTAGGTCCTATTAGTATAAACTAGCCTAGTATATTTATTAAGTAATACTTAGAACTTAAAGTTAAGTTTAATTATAAGTATAACTATAAGAGAGCTCTTTATAAGGATTCTAAGGTTTTATAGGGCTAGTTTAGCCTAGTAGCTAATACTAAAGCTAAGTATAGTATCTAGAATAAAGATATATATAACTTTAATAAGATAGGCTTTATAATAGGCTAGATCTTTCTAAGAGTAGTTATTATAGCTTTAGAATAATAAGGTTAGCTAAAAGCTATCTAGCTAGGTAACTAAAAGTAAGCTATAGCTATAGTAGGTATTAATACTAAAGGATAGGCTATTCCTACCTTCCTTATCTTTAAGGCCTACTACTACCTCTTTACCTAGTATAAGAAGGAAGAACTACCTTAAGACTAGGTTATTAGAGTCTCTAATAATAGCTAGACTACTAATAAGCTTAGTATAGACTAGATAAACTACTTTAATAGGTATATAAAGAAGTATACTATTAGTACCTACTATTTACTTATTATTAATAGTTATAAGAGCTATAACTCTCTTAAATTCTAGTAATACTATAAAGATAATAAGATTATTACTTTTTACTTACCTCTTTACTTATTATACCTTATATAGCCTCTTAATATAGCTTATTTTACTACTTTAAAGAAGGTATATAAGTGCTAAGCTAAAATACTTATATATAACTAAATTAACTATATTATAAAGATAGAGTTTCTACTATACTTTATATATACCTATAATACTATAATTACTTCTAGCAATATTTAGGGAGGGTTCTAAGGTACTAGACTAGTTCTATTTAATCTATAATAGGTTATAAGTAGCCTTAATATAAAGCTGTATATACTATTACTACTACTACCTATTAATAATAAGCTTTAGTAGTTATAAACCTTAAGTAATACCCTTAAACTTAGGTTATAATTAATACTTATAAAGATAAGGATTTAGAGGTATATAGATAGCTTACCTATCTCTATAGTTAAGGTATTTAAGAAGGTAGTAAAGGGGGTAGTAATAATTATATATAAGCTAGTATTAGTATAATAGGAGATTACTTAGCTTTAAGCTACTAATAAGGTAGCTATATGATAAAAATTATATAAAAGAAAGTAGGTTAAGAAAGAAGGTACTCTAGTAGTTAAAGAGGGCTAGTAATTAATAGCTCTAAAAGAGTTTAGGGTATATAGTAATAGTAAGAAGGTAAAGAAGTAGGTATATACTAAAGTAGGTAAGCCCTTCTAAAGGTACTATAGATAGTATAATTAGATAGGACATAATATATAAATATATAAGAAAGAGATAGAAGTAGTTTCTAAATAGTATTATAGACTATACTATATATTATAGTACTAAACTAGGTTATTTTATATTATAATAGAGTAGAGTTTAGTAGGGGCTTAGCAAAAGTGTCTAACTTGCCTATTATCTAACTTGCCTATAGGGTATATTATAAAGAGAGATGTCTATAAATTAAGACTATAAAATATAACTTAAAGAAGATTAAGCCTTAAGCTTATATTTTATTAAAATAAATACTAGCTTATAGTTACTTAGGTATTCTAGCTTCTATTTATATACTTAATTTATTTTATTTTAAACTCTAGAAAAAGAGTTAATAAAATTTAAAAATTAAATATAACGTGCTTACTGGGTTCGTGGGCCACCTGGTCTAGTGGGCCACTTTTGCCAAGACCACACCAAAATACTACTACTACCTTAATGCCTCCCCAACAACACCAGTTAGACGCGTTGAAAGAAGCTCAGGTACAGCTTGCACTCCAGGCTCTTAAACAAGACGCGAATCTCTCAGAGCGACGCGCTGCAGCTATCTACAACGTGCCCCGAACTACTCTAAGCAGACGACGCGCGGGACAGCCCTCAAGAGCTGATTCTATGCCTAGCCGACGGTATTTGGACGAGCACGCGGAGGAGGCGATTGTTGATCATGTTCTTTACCTCATACAGCGAGGAGAACCCCCTCGCTTGTCAGATGTGGCTGATATGGCCAATTTGCTGCGAGCAGAGCGCGGAATGGCCCCTGTTGGCCGAGACTGGCCCAGTACGTTTGTTAAGCGTCAACCAAAGCTTAAAGTAAAGTTTAGCCGCAAGTACGACTACAAGAGAGCCCTCTGCGAGGATCCTGAGATAATACAAGGCTGGTTCAGCCTGGTAGCCAATGTTAAAGCTAAGTACGGCATCGTGGACGAAGACACGTACAACTTCGACGAGACTGGCTTTGCTATGGGCCAGATTACCCCTGGAGCAGTTGTTGCAGACGCAGAGAACCCAGGACGAGCAAAGCAAGTCCAGCCAGGCAGTAAAGAGTGGGCTACGTTAATCTTGGGCGTGAATGCTGCAGGATGGGCTATTCCACCCTTTATTATCTTCAAAGGCAAGAAACACCTCTCCAACTGGTACAAGGACGAAGATCTGCCCCTAGACTGGGTAATTGGGGTCTCTAGAAACGGCTGGACCAACAATGAGCTTGGTGTTGACTGGTTGAAGCACTTTGACAGGCATACTAAGGCGCGTACTGTTGGGACCCACCGTCTGCTACTTATAGATGGCCACGAGAGCCACCAGTCAGCAGCATTCCTCCAGTACAGCAAGAACAGCAAGATTATCACCCTTACTATGCCTGCTCACTCATCGCACCTTCTCCAGCCGCTTGACGTGGGTTGTTTTGCCCCTTTGAAGCTGGAGTATGGGCATCAGGTCAACAAGCTCTTGCGCAACCGGATCAACCACATAGACAAGCAGACGTTCCTGGTATGCTTCAGAGCAGCCTATAATGCGACTATTACTCCCAGCAACATCCAGGGAGGGTTCCGAGGGGCCGGACTGGTCCCCTTTGACCCAGAAAGGGTCATATCAACCCTTAATGTGAAGCTGCGGACCCCTTCACCCCAGTTGCCCACCAACGACGAGCCCTGGCAGTCTCAAACCCCAAAGAACCTTGTGGAATTTGAGTCGCAATCGACTCTGATTCGAGAGAAGTTTAAGAATCACCAGGGCAGCTCACCAATCTCTATCTATGGCGCGCTTGAGAGCTACGCAAAGGGGGGGACACAGGTAGCGTACGAACTGGCTTTGCTAAGAAAAGAGCGTGCCCAGCTTCAAGAGGCTCTAGCAGCTGCTACAGAGCGCAAATCACATAAAAGAAAGCGAATACAGACAGAGGGAAGTGTTACAGTTGAAGAGGCACAGCGATTGACTGCCCTAAAGGAGTTCAGGTCGCGTGGTGATGGAAAGAAGGGCAAGAAGCAGGTGCAGGGTAAAGGAGGTGAACCATCCCAACGACGCTGTGGAACGTGCGGAGAGACAGGGCACAACGCGCGAACATGCAAGAATGATGTAGAAGTAGTCTCTGAGTAATATTACAGCTTGTTTTATCTTGTATAGAGCTAGATTGGGCCAATGCAGGCCAAAGTAGGGTGTGATGGGGGAGGGTCTTGGCAAAAGTGGCCCACTAGACCAGGTGGCCCACGAACCCAGTAAGCACGTTAAGCTAGAGAGAAATAGACTATAGTTGTTATTATATTTATAGAGAATATTATAATTATACTAATGCTATTATATAAATATCTTGTATAGTTGCAGTTAGTAACCTAAAGCAACTAGGGCTTTGGTGTTCCTGATCGCTTGAAAAATAGCTTCTTGGTACGTGGCCAATCAAACCGAGCTTTCAATCCAATCTACCCGTCAGCTTGGATCCATGGTGGCTCTCCTCGTCAGCCCTCTCACTCAACAGTAAGATTGCGCCAGCAGACATTTGCACTTCACAACTCTTAGCTGAACATATAATCACAAATAATGACTAAAGAGGTACGCGAGAAGCGACTCTTTAACGAACGTTGGAGCAACCATTTATTAATGTGCATCAGACACACCTCAACCGTACCACGCCCGTGTACGAGGCTTCGGGCGATCTGAGAACCTTCCAAACGAAGATTGTCGCTGTAATTCCCGTCGGGAGTCTACTGCAACAAGAACAGAGCCTCTTCAAGCACGCACTTCCAAGCGACGTGGTGATTGCTACAGAAGGGACAATATTTCACGCCCAGGGAGGTGGTCAGCCTAGCGATACTGGTACTATGATCTCGCGTGGTGATGATGGGAGCGTGGCCGCAGCCTTCCAAGTGCAAGCTGTCCGTCGCAATGGGCATGCCGTCATCTTCCACCAAGGCCTTTTCGATACCTCGGATACTCAAACTGCATCGTCACTGGTTGGTTCAACTGTAGACCAGACTATCGATTCGGATAAAAGAGATTACCATTCTCGGATTCACACTGGCGGCCATCTTCTTGGTCTCGCTGTGCGTCAATTGCGCAGCGAAATTCCAGAGATCAGCGAAATCAAGGCACAGCATTTTCCTGGCGCTGCTTTTGTTGAGTTCCGTGGCAAAATCGACGGGAAGTTCAAAGATAAAATTCAGGAGGTGCTGAACAAGCTTATTTCGCAAGATCTCCCCGTGAGCATTTCCTGGATGGACCAACAGCAGCTTCGGCAGAAGGGCATTCATGTCCCTGACGGATTCAGCAAAGATTCAACAGAGGAGGGCACCAGAGTGGTTGAGATTGGAAATCTAGGTGGTTACCCATGTGGTGGCACGCACGTACACAGTACGTCTGCACTTGTGAAAGTCGTGGTTCGGAAGATTGCAGCCTCAAAAGGAAACACCAAGATCTCTTATGAAGTTGATTAAAATGCTAGTTCATTCAGAGATAGATTGACGATCGGGTCGATTCAAACAAGATAGAGTGATGGAATATCAAGGGCCCACAGCGGTACCGTCAACCAAGTCCCACCAAGACGTGCCAGTTTCGAAGTACATGAACCAAACTCATCAGAGACATCATCCAAGTATTGTTTTGTCGCAACATCCATGCGTTCAAAGTTGTTCCATGCTTCAAGTGCAATGCCTTGGAGGCCTTGTTCAACGTTGATTCGAACACATCGCCAGCTGAAATTTGATGCGCAAGTCTAAGCAGTTGAAAGCTATCCTCCGTCTCTGTCGCGATTTGTGGTGCAAGACTGCATCACTTCTGGGAGTCCGGTCCCGAGAGGCTTTGTCTCAGGCTTCCCAGTTCCGATACCGACAAGATAGACCAGCTCTGTCTCATGCCAATCACTGTAAACCTCGTTGTACAGTACCTACACTGTGTTACTATTTTTGTTTAACCTCCACCGGCATATTTTGACCCTACGGGAATCGATCGAGATCGGAGCGAAGTACAAAGGCACAGTGGAGGTGGCCCGACCTGCTTGCCAGATCTTGCATGGGTTATAAAGTTCGAACTGCGACGGCTCGTCTCTAATGATTGCAGCGCCGACATTGACTGATTGGTTGCAGCAGAGAAAAATAATCAATTTCAGCAGGTTTGTCCTCTCGAGGGGCAGGTAGAAGACTTAGACTCTGCATCTTATATCTTCTGTCAGAAATTTTTCTTCGGGTTCTTCTGTCCCCAGCTTCTGGCAGATTGCCTTTTTTGAGACAGCCCTGGAGGTTTTGAGTGTTCAATGATGTGTTTCCGTGGTACGCAGAGAGTAGTCTTTTGCACTTCGACAAGCAGCTCCTTTGTCGTACTGATTTGGCAGAAAACATCTCCTTGGCCGGGTCAAGATAGGTCTTAATGGCCCCGTCAGCCGTTGTCTCCAACCAATTGAGCATGATTGCGATAAGCCTGGATTATAAGCATGTACTCCACAGGACCTTTTCGACGTGCGCCCCTGTCCCCCCCGCCCCCCCCCCCCCCCCCCCCCCCCCCCCCTCGCTACCTGTGTCACGCATCACATCCAAGTGGTCACATGGCGTTGCTGATATCTTGTTTATTGACGAATCAGATGCATCAGACGCTTTGAAATGAGAAGCTCCGTGAGCCCTCGAACGCGCAGCCACCTTCTGAGAATAATCAGTTGATTGAGGATCCGATAGTGGATTCATTGACCAGACGAGAGAAGCCGCACTAGCTTAGAGTATGCTAGTGGTTGCTTATACATATCTATAATATCATATGAAAAGTTTTTGTGACGATATAGAGGCACAGAACTTTGAAGCGGTTTGAATCGAAAGCAAACAAGAGGTTGCACCAAGGTACATTTCAGGTGTTTTTACGCTAAACAGGACTGTATTTAGTGTTTTGAGCACTACTCTGTGTTTCTCTTATTTTAAAGGAACACTGCAAACTAGGTCAAATGCCTATTCTGCTAGTTATACCTAAAGCTACCTTTCTTCTGTGGAAAAGATACTGCATTGCGGCGAGTTCTGCATGATTTTGTACCCTAGTGTTGGGCGAGGTCTACAAGATCTCGATGTTTCACCCAGATCTCATATATGCATTGACCAGGCCTAGAGAGCAACAATAAAGGAAGCAGCGGCACGGCCCATTATCCTGTCTTTAAACTGCAGTAGTCAATCGAAATTCTATATTGCCGAAGCATTATTTGTGAGTCGAATCGTTACAGCCCATTCCCTGAAGCCAATTGAGAGGGGCAATTACTTCCAGTCTCAGCGACAGCTATCAGCTGTGATCGTGTACCGCGTACGCCTCAATTATGAGGAACTGGCTGAAAAATCGGATTAAAAAGTTGGCAAATCTTGTCCCAAACATGCCGGTGATAAGACGCAGCTGACTTCTCGAGTATACCAGAGGACTGTGACTCAAACATTTCAACTTCTTGTTACAGAAAACTGACGCATACGCAGGCAACCCGGTCTGACACCAGACCGCCAGGCCATGCATACGCAGAATATTCCCATTGCTTGTGAAGCCCATACTTGGGATCAGGAGACGCATGCTGTTTGATATGATAACTTCCTTTTAAAATCACAAGACGAAACTTGTATTCCATGAATGGTAAAATGTATATCTGCTGAAAAACGTCACTATTGATGAGACGTCCGAAAACCATATCTGCGTTAGGTAAGAACTAGCTGAAACGAATTTTGTAGAATGTGTAAGTCATCACAATGTTTATATTAAAGTCATACTCTTAACAGGTAGCATGAAACGGGGCATTGCCTATGCCCGTCACTACAAATGCTCACACCCCACTTAGCGGCAGTAAGTCATTAGTGAAGGAGCGCGCTAAAGATAGATGATTAATTGTGATCCACACGATAAGTTCCCACAAACCCGAATGTTCTTGTTGAGCAATGCGATCGCGCATTCAAGAGTTTGAACCAGTCTAGCGTCTTCGCAGCTGTCAATGCCGTTCTCCAGCAACATGTCCTATGCCTCGCATTCAGGTCCCTACACATCAACCGCACCCTTCTCGTCACCAACGACCATCTCATCCCTATGATGATCCGGTGAGCTTCCACCACCCAAGATTCTCGTAAGTCCAATTTCCTGATTAATCTCAGCCATCCTCTCCTGATCTTTTTGTGCCGCGCCCTCGCTTCCAAAGATGATGTCCATCTCCTCGAGTGTCAAACGTTTCGTTTCTGGCACGAAAAACCAGATGAACGCTGCTCCAACAAAGGTAAGCATACCAAAGAGAATGTACGTCCCGTATGTGATGTGTTCTAGAAGATCTGGCGTGATTTGTCCGATAATGAAATTATTCATCCAGTTGCTCGAGCCGCCCAGCGCAGTGCCGTATGGGCGTGTGCTGATAGGCCAGATCTCAGCGATGAGAATCCACGCACATGGGCCCCAAGAATAGCCGAAATGTACGACGAAGAGCCAAACCATAACGACGGCAGCCCAGCCAGCACCCTGGGCGTTTTCGAAGTTGTCGATATTCTTTGCCAGGATAATGGCAATAATTATGTGGGACACGCCCATGCCAATGGCGCCGATGGCAAGAACAGGCTTGCGGCCCACGCGATCGATATATAGCACAGCGGGGACTGAGAATGATTAGTTCAACCTCTAGCAGGTGGCACATACAGACTTACTGGTAGCGATAAACATGACAATTCCGACAACACCAGTCGCAAGCAAGGAGGTGGTATTGCCCGTCAGACCTAGCTGCTCAAAAATGGCTGGAGCGTAGTAGAGAACTGCGTTGATTCCGGACCACTGTTGGAAGAACATTGTTACGGTAGCAACGATAACGCGCTTGAACATGGCTTTAGTCTTGAAAAGCGCGCCAATGGCTACGAATTGTAGCTTGAAGGTATTCCAAGCAGTCAACTTGGAAAGATGGGGAAACTTTTCAGCGATACTGCGTTTTTCAAACATGGACTGAGCCTTGATCTCGAGAAACTCAAGTTCAATCAGCTCGTGGTCCTCAGGGAGATCACGAAGGCTTGCGAGCGTGCGACGAGCTTCCCCCTCGCGGCCATGATGAACAAGCCATCTGGGCGAGAACGGCATCCATATCATGCCGAAGAAGAGTACTGCAGCAGGTACAAGCTGGATGCAGATGGGAACAAGCCATGCAGCATTAGATTGGGTCTCCAGTGTGGTTCCCCCAATGTAGTTGGTCCCATAATTGATCCAGAAAGAGACCATGATGCCGAAGGTGATAGCGAGTTGCTGGCCGGCTACGAGAGCACCACGGATCTCACTGTAAACTTGTGAGTCTGATTATATCTGATCGAACCAGTCGCACTCACGGAGGAGCACACTCGGAATTGTACATGGGTACAATACACGACAAAGTACCAACACCAATACCCCTGCAGATATTTCGTCAGACTGATTTGGCCATATTTTGCAAAGTCGTGGCTTACGTGATGAACCGGCCTGCAAGAATCTCGTTGTGTCCACCAGCGATCGCTGTGACCTGGACAACAACACCTATGATGAAAATACCAGTAGCGGCCAGGATACCGTACTTTCGAGACAGAGTCTCAGCAAGGAACCCAGACATAACAGCTCCGAACCAGGCACCGAGCTCAAGAATAGCAGTGAGCCAGCCCTTCTGTGTGGGATTATCCGTATATCCGTCGGTTTCTGCAGTGCATTTGTAAGTCCATAGGTAGCATCAGCTCACAGGGAGCATTTTCTTACGCTTGCCAAACGAGGGCATAGCCAGAATACCACTGAACATGCCTTGATTGTATCCATAGAGCTGTGTTGGTGTCAACAAGCAATCATCCGGCGGATGTCATATAGCCAACATACGACTCCTCCTAAGCAAGCGAATAAGGCAATGCGGAAAACCTTGAAGTTTTTGATCAGAGCTCCAGGACCACTCTTTCCCATTAGAGCCCGACGTCTCTCGAGCGCAGCATCAAAGCCACCGGGAGCGGCGCCTCCACCACCCATGATGCAAAGTGGAAAAGAGTAGGGTTGGTAGATGAAAGTATGATATATGTCCAACTCAAGTGGTGTACTCTAAACATGCGGAGATTTGGAGCTTACCCCAGCTCTTTGTATGTTCAAGCTGCGCTCCTACGATGCTGCGGCCCTACAGGATATTAGCCAGCATCCCGGCAACGAGAGTCACCACGTCGCCGCGTAAACATAAGCGCCGCTCTGTCGGATGACTGTTACCCGATCGTTCACAGGTCTTGGAGTTCGTGTAGTTTGCTAATAGCAGTAGCCGCCACAGCTGGTAATGCAGCGCTTGAGCAACTTCGGGCCAAACAGAACTCGGTATGAAGCTGCCCAGTGGACACTGTTACGAGCTCGAGAACGTCACCCCGCGGCCATGAATTACCTTGATTGGAGGTGATCCTGACTTCAGGCTCGGCTGTCACATGGTGCTGACAGTGAGGTTACTCTTCCACTGCCTTGATCTCAGTCGCGGGGTGCATTCAGGCTAAAATGCCGCTCACACGCAGCAACGCGACAACGATCACCGCAGAGTCCGGGTTGGGCCAAATAACGCTGATCGGATGTAAATGTAACATCGCATCCTCGCCGCTAATGAAGCTCCTACTGAGGGGGTTCATACCGGCTACCATGTAAGACAGGTTCAGTAGAAATGGACTTGTGTACAACATGTGCGATGATCTCGAAGATAATCGTTATAGCATCTTTCTCGTGCAGTAAGCGTGGTATGACCTACAAGTCTCTTTTGTCGCCTACAAGTCTCCGGTAGCATGGGAAACTGTAGCAGTATTGACTCGAAGCAGAATGAGAATGGTGCTCGGGCTTGCATCACACTGGTACATTGACAGAGGCCCTAAGGCCGAATGACTGTGATGACGATGTTTTGGAAGGATGAGAGTAACGCGCACGCGCATTGGCGAAGGCGCCATTGCGCATCTAGCAAGCGCGCCTGCCCACTCTCCTTTCGAACGATAGTACCATCAAACACTATCATTCGCAGCGACTTTGGGGCTACCACCACGCATGAAGATGGCTAAATCGATTCTGACGAGAAAGAGGGATCTCATCTACTTGATTTTCTTCATCACCCACCTTCCGGTGATGCTGGGTACGTGATTCCATCATTGGCGCCGGCAATATCTGCATGTCTGTCCCACTATGTTTTTGGGGTCGTACACTTGCACAAACAATATCTTCGTGTCTAGGAGTTCTAAATCCAACACCCTTATGGAGGTTTCCTTCGACTCTTCTAACGCGTTGAGCGGCGATGATCACTGTTCGCTTTTTGCTCACGTCTCAATGGCTTACCTCAACATAGCATTCGACCTCACCGCCTACTATCCCATCAACATCAAGCCGCTTTGGATGGGAGAGGTTCGCACCTGGTATGTCGCCACGTACGGCGACCGTTTCTTCTACAACCCGCCAGCCTGGTTTGGCGTTCTCACCTTCCTGGAGCTGGTCTACCACCTGCCCCTCACACTCTGGGCCATACCCGCACTTCTGCGCAACGATCCCCGCATTCCCTTGGCTCTTCTTGTTTTCGGCATGGAAACGAGCATCACAACTCTAGTTTGTCTGGCTGAGATGTGGAGCTGGGAGGAATTGAGGCCGGAACAGAGTGGTTTAGGTGGGCTTGGGGGTATGTACGGGGGTTATCTGGCGCTGGGCATTTTCATGACATTGGATTGTTATGCGAGGCTGGACCAGTGGATTGCGAGGCAGAAGGGGCTGACACCTGTTACAAAGAAGGAGCTTTGAGGTCGGGTGCTGTGTATGACACGAATGTTGATCCCTGTATATTGAAGGCGATGGATCTATTTCTGCTAGGGTATATCGCTGCCAAGGTGGAATAGCTTGTCCATCAGCGTTGCGCGTGCCTCCTAGGCTGCGGCACCCGTGGCATTTGCCCGCTCCTTCTCTTCCAGCTTCTTCCTTGCAGCCAAGATCATTTCTTCTCTCTTCCTTTGCAAATTCGACTGACGTTCGCCCCGATCTGCACTCCAAGCTTTCGCCTTGGGTCTCTCGTCCACTGACTCGGCTGGCTGGCCCAACTTCGACGAGAGATTATACCGTGTGATCAAGTCGGGATGCGAAGGCTTTACGGCGGCTGCAACTGGTCGTAAAGGTGCAGCTGCGACAGGGCCCGCAGGCAGCTGGAACGACGCTGGTGCCTTCAACTTGTCAATGGTAGCCGTGTCTAGACGCAACAAGACTTACGCTGTCCAGAGATCTCCCGCTCAGCACTCTCTCTGTTGTGGCAGCGGCGTTTCCTCCGTTCCTTTGTAGGTCCCATGCAATATCTCTCCTTTGTAATTGTGGGAACATCTGCGCTATTGTGTCGATTTGAGCGGGGTTTATCCGCGCAGAGAGGTTCGCAGCTGGTCGTGCGCCATTTCCGGAGGGCTTGCTAGAGTACCACCGATACACCAGGAAGGCGACGACGGCAAACACGATGACTTGCGGTATGTTGATGCTTTGTTCGGCCATGGTGAGGGGACAGGGTGTGCGCCAGCGACTTCGGCGGCTTCCGACAGGTGGTGGGCTCCTCGCTACCAGTGAGCGCGAACCAGAACTCGGGATATTTGAAAGGGAGAGAAATCCTAGGGATCCAGTGCTACGTGCGACACGCAGACAAGGTGACGAAGAGTTGGTCCTGAGGTCAGAGGGCGGCAAGGCTCCATGTCTGCTGCCGCGGCACCAGTACTTTCTTCGTATTGGGGGCACTCTCACTAGCGCTGGGCATTGGCCCCTAATTCTCCACAACAACACTCCTTCTCCACCTTACAACTCGACTCGCGATACGGAGGATACGACAGTGTCGAGGTCTGATATCGAAGACGTCCACTCCTTACTTTCAATTGATATATCATGACATTTTAGTCTTTTGATCTCGCGATATTCCATACATGTACTCACGACATAGTTAATACATGCCCATAGCACAATGAGCGCACCAGCGATACCCAGGAAGGAGATTGCGAGGAAAGAATTGCCCAACAGAGAAATCGAGGGGCTAGCGCCGGCGCACTTCAAAGAGAGAGGAGCAAGCGACACTTCAGCAACTTGGAATGTACCTGGGGAAGGGCCGAGCAAGAAAAGGCGCATCCATTTAGGCGCCGGCGCAGGGTGGGCAGTAACAGATCGCTTTGATCGCGTACTGCCACCCCACAAGCGATACTTTGGTCGCAGTCGTCGCACGTTCCTGATAGCACTTCTCGTCACTTTTGTTTGTCTACTGGCGCTGATCATTGGTCTGGCAGTGGGACTATCAAAGAAGCCAGAGTGAGCCCCACAACATGCCACTGCTCAGATTCGTGCACTTACAACATCTACAGAAATCGATTTCTGCCGCTCCCGAGTAATGCTGATCACTTCACCGGTGAATTGACCTACTACGGTCCCGGCCTCGGCGCATGCGGCGTTGAATCGACCGAAGAAGAAGCCATCGTCTCTGTGTCGCACTTCCTATATGATGCTGTTCAAACTGGTAGTGACCCAAATCAGAACCCACTGTGCGGAAAGAAGATCAGGGCAACTAGGGTAGATGAGCGCACTGGGAAGCAGGTCAGCATCGACTTGACTGTTGTAGATAGATGTAAGTGGTGGTATCGCATTTGCATGAATCAGTCGCTAAATATAGAATAGGCACTGGCTGCGAGCCTACCGACCTCGATGTCAGCCCTGCTATGTTCGACAGGATGGCAGATCACGACTTGGGTAGAGTTGTCATGACTTGGGCCTGGCTATCATGAGGATCTGGCATAACTTCGTCAATATTACCATCCTATCCTTAAGACCAATGTAAATTTTAGTGCTACATAGCTTGCCTTGGCCCCATGTATCTATAGATCAAAGCCCTTCTCGGAGACGTTGCTGACTTGCATCAACAATGGCTCAGTCATACTCATGATCATTGGCGGCAAGGCGTGGATCTGGCATGACAATGTTTGCATCCTACTGTGTTGTGCATCGGCCTTGCGAGTAAGAGTCACAACGAAGGTCTAAATGCATTACAAGACCTAAACACCACATAGAGCAGCCATACCCGTTGAAGATGGTATCGGTATTGGAGAGGAATCGCCATCAAATTAGGAAGCTGTGATGCCTATTTAAATCGCGCGTGCTCGCCTCAGTTCCAGTACTCCGCCCATTTGCCCTTTCCGTTAATGACGTTCACAAATTCCCTTGCAACAATCCTGCTTGTTTGCTCGCCTGGATGCAGCGCATCAAACCACATGAAGCTATCGGGACTAGTGTTGATCGTGCAATTTTGGCCGCTGGCAGTCGCACATGTCTTGGAAGTCCCCGTAACGTTTAGTGGTGCAGTGCCATTCAGATACTGAGAAGGGTTGGAATGGATATCGGTCATCAAGCCATTCACATTGTAGTTTGCGAATTTGGCGCCCGGGTAGTGCTTCGAGATCTGGGCGATGAAGGGCGTACGGTACTTGTACACATCATTCAACGCTGCGACGGTATTCTCCATACGGTAATGGACATCAGTTTGGTTACGGCCGTTCGCAGGCCAAAATTGCGTTTCGCTAAGACCGCCTTGCGAAGGGTCCTGGTACTGGGGAAGCAGATCAAGAGGCGCCAAATTTAGGATGACGAAGTAGCGGCCGCCGTTCTTGTAAAGACTGTCAACTGTGTTATATACGCAGTCAATGTAGTCTGAGACTGTTTTATTAGGTAGCTGAGAATTAGTAAGCAGGGCATTATTTCCGTTGTCGTTGGTTCCAATCCAGATTGCGTACGCTGTTGAATCTTGCGTCCCGGTGAAGAATGGCTTGCCAGTGGTAGGTAGAATGTATTTGGAGTCTGCGATGAAAGCAGGGAGTTCGTAACTTTCGATGTCTGGAAAATCAAAACCAGGAGAAAGCGCGCGTGGAGTGATGTTGTTGGAACATACAGCGCCCGAGACAGCGTAGTTGAACAATTTTGCTGAAGAATAGATACTCGCGTATCGAGCCCAAGACAGGCCACCTGACGCAGTGGCAAGACCCTTTCAGCCGTTAGTGAAGTTTTAAGGCCCTGTGAGAGGTGATACAAACCACGGGTTGATCCCATCCAACAGGTGGTGCTGTGAAGTTGTTTTGAATGAAGTAACCGAGGCGATTCTCATCGGTGTAGCTGTCACCGAACGTTACCAACGTTTTAAATTTCCCTTCTCTCCATGATTGAGCCGATTGTCCTGCTTGCACAGGGGCGAATGCCGCAGCGGAAGCGAGCAAGTGCAGCAATGTTGTTAGAACCATTTGGAGAGGCGCTGTTGTGTTCTTGGCCATAAGAACAGACATGGACATATTTATACTACAGGCCTTGCGGCAATCAACCAGTCTGACACGGACCTTGAAGACTTCCTTCCCGCCGATACATACCCAGATATGGCTAGCAGGAGCCTACGGTAAATTGAGGCTCGGACCAGGAAGTCTTGCGGGGATGATTGAGGGGTTGTCGACGCGGAGCCGAAAATGATTCGTTCGCGGCAGCTGTACCTTCCTAGCTACTGCCGTATAGAGAATAGCCTAAACACGATATATCGTGACGTGAGAACCTCGTCCGTCATGTTGCTACGGGTTTGCGCATTTCATGAGAGGGCAAATTCCGTTGTGACACTTGTACATACTGAGGTGCCTGAGGTCAGCTGCGTGGACATTGGCCACTTCTGAGCGACGACACCTAGTGCTGTTCGCAATGCACAACATTTGGGCTGCGATTCCCAATCTTAAGAGATTTGAATACTTCCCGGGCATCTGCAAGCCAACCTTGCTCGGGGAACACCACCGCGTTCTTTTCGTCTCTGGGCCGGAGACGCAAGATCCTTCATAGAAGATTTGGTACAAGCGCGAACGAGGATCAGGTATCGCCGAGGCTTTCGTCATATCAGTGTTAGCATTTGCGTCTGCCGCTCCCCCGATGCACGCGCGCTTCCCAGCCATCGGATCCTGCAATAGTGGGTACTTTAGGTTTTGTTCGACTCAGGTAATTTGCAGCCACTCAGTATGCATGCTGGCGACTGCAATGTGGCAACTGACATTCGGAAATGTTGAAGAAGAGGCTCTGCTATATGTTAGACATGTTAGTGAGGCCATTGATCAGGATACTTCAAGGACGGCTTGAGCATTGCGTGAAGGCGAGAGAACGTCAGCGGTCAACCGCGCCCATGCCTCAGGGAAGATTATTCGGTACCAGCCTGTCGGTATCGAGGGCTTAGAAGCGACCAGTGATACGGACGGACTTGTCGAAGCGCTGGCTGTGCCTAATTGTGCCGAAATGGAGAAGGGAGGGAACGGTGAGCTCTTTTGCAACGCTGGTGAGAGCTGTTGCTTCCTTGTACTGACAGTTTCGCGCTTGTGTCTTTTCAACACAACCTCTACATGAATCTTTCCACCAACCCCATCTTCTCGCATGTATATCTTGTCTGTCATGAAGTTACGAAAGGCCGGTTGAAAGAGAGTTGCGCCTGAGGACAGCTGTAACGCCACTCAACTATTCGCCACCAGTCCTAGGTACTTTCAGCACAGCGTCAGCTCCTCACGAACCTCGATAGAACGCACTCGGGAGACTCGCACCGACAGCCTGCAGTTATCGCAGCCTCTATGGAGACTTGATTGAGGGAACAATCTCAGCCTGTCGCTTTCCCTTCAAGCTATGGTGTATCTAGGTAGGTGTCAATTGTTGTGCTTCACACACAGACAAACCTCGGCAAAGCCACCGCATGAACAGCATACCACGCAACAAGCTCTGATACCAACTTGATGAGTGGCCATGAAAAGGGAGCCGATTCAATTGAGCGTACACCATCTGAAAGGCAACGATCGTTGATGCGTAGGCTCTAGTATCTGGATCCCGCTGAAGTCCGGCAGCTGCAAAATCAACTCTGCTTGTACGAAGTACAACCTTGGTCCTCGGTTTGCCGCTCGTCTGAGATGCGCAACTACTGCTGTATGGGCACACCGCAGCACCACCGTTTCTCGAGTGGCCCTCACCCACTGCGGCGACCACAAGCCACATATCTATGTAGGTGTTACAAATGGCAGCGACTGAGAAGGTGGAGCGCACTTACACAGGGACATATAGTTTTAGCTCGTTGTTCTGCAGCTCGGTGCGAACCTCATTGATCAGCCGAGTGAACTCGGCCGCTGTCCAATTGAGATGCCGCGTCAAAGGCCAAAGGCCAAGCGACTCAAGAAGGTCGCCCATCATCCCGACCGTATCTTTACCGATACTAGCTCTGACTGGATCTGCCACGCGTGTCAACACCTCCGTGTTGTATTCGATGACGCGAAAGTTCGAGGTTGGCAGTATTGGCCAAGGAAAAGGTGGGTGAATAATACAACAGAAAAGTATTCACCTGGTTCCCAGTCGCCGATCGGCAGCTGCATGGTTTCCACTCGAACGTCTGCAAACCTGGCTTCCGAGAAAAGATGCTGCAACCGAGTGCCGATCCGAGGGTCGCGGTTCATTCTGCTCATCGCCTCCGCGTATGCCATCCACCATCTTCTCACAGCCGAGTGATCCGTCAGCCTGCCACTGCTTGACTGGATGTTGAGGTAGTACTCGACAACTTGAACCCACCCGCTTGGTCTAAGGAGCAACTTCATGTCTCGAATATACGATGGCCATCTGTTGCTTTTAATCCCTGCGCTAATGCAGCGGGAATGAATCAGATCGTAGGCTCGGGCCTGAAAGACTTCCGGGTCGTTCAGTCGGTCGTTTAGGTTGTAGCTGCAGAGGCCAAGGTTTTCCGGTTGATCCGCAACGAGCATAGGATAAATGTCAACAGCGGTGATCTCACAAGGTCAGCAGTGGTCGATGAGGATGCTTGGTATACGTACCTCACAATCCTCGAATTCTTCAGCAACTTGAACTGACCAGTCGCCACCGCCGTACCCACATTCCAGTATCTTCTGGGGATATCGTGTCCCTATGTAAGGAGAAAAGAGGTGATTACCAAAGAGCTTGAACAGCACATCATGCTGAGCCGTCAATCTGTCTTCCTCAAGCTCGTCGTTGGCTACTGGGACACAGTATATGCCATTGTCAATGGAGATCTTCTGAAACACACGTCCATGTACGGAGACACACTGGAGGTCTTCATCCATTCTGCTTCGATCAGGTGCTCTCCAGGCCGAGGAGTAGATCTTACCTTGGAGAAAGGTCCGGTCGCTTCCGATCACTCGGTTCTCAGCGCTGATGAGGACTCTGATGGCGGGTGAAATAGTCGCTACTCCAATGGATGACTCCAGGGACTGTTTGCTTTATTCGGAGATTGGAACAGCTGGCCGGCTTCCGGGTGCTGTTGCAGTTGTTGTCGCTATCGCTGTCGCAGTCGCTGCTGGTGAAGACAGATTTGCTGCAACGCGAACCCAAGTGGTGTTTAGCGTAGGCCTTCTACCTTTCGTGCTAGAGAGGCTGAAAAATAGGTTCTCAACCCAGATGCAGAGTGCGGGACTGTGCGACTTAGTTCTTGGTGGATGCCCAATCTGCGTCAGGACGAAATCAACCGGCAGGCTATTCGGCCTCATTGCACGCTGCGGCCCGCTGCAAGGCCAATGTGGATCGAAAACGTCTAGTAGCCAGTGCTATGACGGAATGATCGGTAGCTACGACACGTCTCGCGACAGCAGCCCGCTTCTTGTGAAAACAACTGCCAACCTTGAGAACTATCGACCAAAGTACCTAGACATGTATGGTCTATGCCTGTAAGACCCTTCACGTCTAGCCAATTACAGGTCTTGAGAAAACCATTTCCGGCTCATTCAGAGGACTCATCGATCAAATCCACGAGGGGGATCTGCGACGCGGTGTAGGCGTATCTGATTCGTTCTATGGAGCGACTGCCAGACAAGGGACACAAATATTTCAGAGCCCTAAACAGGTAAATCAAGCTGGAAAATTCAGAAAGGAAGTATTACTGCGATTGGCGAAGTGTATTTCCTACATCACTGGGCGACAGCTTCACATCAACGCCTAACAAGTCACGCAATTTCAAATACGAAGCTGTCTAGAAACGGCTTGAAGAACGGGAGCGTAGCGACGGCGTTGGTCTACAGCGGTTGATCCCGTCAAGATTTTGCTGGACAAGATACCGCTGACATGGGCCTGGGATGCGACAACATTCAAGTGGCTTGACATCGCCACCTCCAGACCACCCATCCTCTACACGCACATTCTTCTGGTTGCTTTTTCCGAGTACTACGTCGCTGCAAGGCATCTCAGAGCACTATCCGGGCGTCAACCAAAGCAGGGAGTCGAGCGAGCGGTGGCGTGCATTGCATGGTCCCGTGAGCATCTTTGCCCACCAAGCGCCTCATGGATTGATCTCCGTCTCGCCATAGCGGTGAAGCAGACGGGTCCGAGCTGAGACTAGAGTATTTTACATGTACGACATCCTGGTGACATAGTGTCACGGAAACAAGCGTTACTCGTAACAAATTTGGCCGGCGGTCTAGATTGGGGATGCCGAGGGGACTCAAGAATACGAAAGTATGTAAAAGGGCAACCCCCGAATTACAAATCGTTTTCGAGCGATAACTGTCAGCCCTTGAGGTTTACGCCAAATCAAATTGCGAACGGATTCATCTGATCACAAGCTCTCTGCTATTGTGGCCCCACTCCGACAGGAAACTTTGACAGTGCAGAGAATGCATGGTCCTGGATCTAGCAGACAACGTCCTCAGGTGTGGCACCGATGACTGGAGAGAGCCACCAAAATCAACCCCACGCGTAGCGCTTGCGAACTCGCTTCACCTGACTATGTCGCACATCATCGTCGTTCGCGACACAAAGAGCACACGACGGATATTCGGCTATGAAACCTTCTCAGATTAACAGCACTCTGCAAGGCTCACATTTGTCATATGACATGACCGAAGTATGCATTTTACAAGTCCGAGCGAAGGCACTTGAAGTAGCATACCTACCACCCAAGCCACATGCAATGACACCTGATACCACCTCTTGGCATTGGTCGTCAGCACATGAATGGCACTATGCTCCAATCGCGATTGCTTGTTGGGTTCTAATTCAGAGCATGTAGGATCGCGCCAACCTCAACGATCGAAGTATACGCCCACAACCTAGAGATAGCTCCCTCTGCCCCACAACGATGTTCCTGCGATTGTGCGGCTGGCATTATTGTCGAGCACACAGTCATTGCCCTGCCTCATCGTTGTCTTATCGGCGTCCTCGCAGAAAATCCACCCTCGCTTGGTTGTGGGTTAGCGATGGATTGATTGCATCATGGTTGTTTCTCGGTTCTTGAACCTGCGTTTGCCTTCGCTTTCGCGCCTCGGTGTGCTCTGAGTGCGAGTCAAGGTGGAGTCGAGTCTGTCCTGTCATGTCAACATGTTCCAGGGCAGTGCAGATGTGCAGCATGACTTGTAATCTCACGAAGAATTACCTAATTTCATGGCTGCCCCAACCTTGCAGAGATGCAACGGATCCTTAAACCATATCGGGTTCGGGGTGAGACTATAAGTAATTTCGACGCTGCCAAGATCCGCTCCGCTATTGGAATGATGCACAGATCGATTTGCTGCACTTCGACAACAAAAGATGCGCTCATAATATCGGAATGGACCGGAAAGCTCTCCCATGGATAGTTCCGGTGGAAACATGGGTTGGCATCGTTTCGAAAGGTGCCGAGGCGTCAACCCGGTGTTTGACCCATCGCTCGTCTTAGCGTTTTCCTCGACTGAATGATGTTCACCGCTGGCATGTGGCTCAGATGCGGGTATTGAGATTTGAGCGAGGAGGACGGGAATATGTGAGGTCGAGTGATGTTCACAAGTCGCTCAGCTCGAAAAGTTCTGTGGATCACCTCATTCACCACACACCACAGAGCGGTCCGACTCGCATGCGACCAGAGACCCGGGTTGATGTGGACCAGATCCCTATTCAGCCGTTCCTTCAGGACACTATAACAGTGACTTGAAGGGCGTCTAGAGATAGACCTCCATTGCTGCATCGTACGGCCTCCAAAGACCATACGACGTGCTACGATAGGTAACTGGCTGCATTAGTTGAATTGTATGCTGGAGAGTATAGCGCGACCGTGACGAGTTGCTGCTCGTTGCTTCAGAAGCAAGCTGTACAGCTTCCTTCGCTGTCTTACGTGAGTGCTTATAGACATTCAATGGCTACTGTGTTAGCAGCAGCTGGTCCAATAAGCGTCAAGGAGCGCATTCTGTCCGGGCAGCGAGTAGGGGATCGTGTGCGAAGTAACGCTCACACGCATCACAGCACGACCGGTGTCGAAGGCTCTCCATCATATGTCAATGAGACGACCCTTGGCGGCACATGACAGTGCCACTCTGTGCTACTTTCACATGTCGGCAGCGAGTGACGGCATGGAGCGAACGGGTTGCGGCTACAACCCCAGACAATAGTCGACACGTGATTCCCCACGATTCGAAGTGCCGAGGCAGCTTGCACCTCGGGACGGCCGCGTGAGCAAGACGAGCTCAAAACCGCGACTCTGGCTTCAGCTGCCGCATCCGTGAAATTCTCTCTCCCCGCACAATCACTTCTCTCCCCCATACTTGCACTTCTTAGCTCTTGGAATCTTTGTTGATATCCGTCACACTGCTGGCAACCGACGTAATCCGGTGCTAGTGTTCCGCAATCGTAGCAGATCTCTCTGAAGAGCTTACTTCCTTTCAATCGAAAATCTCACATCATGAGCGGTGCACAAGAACTGCGATACGACGGGCAGACTGTCGTCGTCACCGGTGCTGGTGGTGGTCTGGGTCGCGAGTATGCGATCTTCTTTGCCAGCCGCGGCGCGAACGTCGTCGTGAACGACCTCGGCGGTAGCTTCAAAGGCGAGGGAGGCAGTTCATCGGTAAGTTCACAGCTCCTGTCATCAACAAAGCCATCAAGGCCTGCATTGCACGTTTTGGTCGGTAATCTTGACCGTGGCCTTTGCGCCAGGTCGACGCTGCTCCGTTGTCACATGCGTCATGGGCTTGTCTTGCCGAGCGACCGCTAACTATATCCACAGGCTGCCGACAAGGTCGTTGAGGAGATCAAGTCCGCAGGCGGAAAAGCGGTTGCCAACTATGATTCAGTCGAGAATGGAGAAAGGATAGTGCAGACTGCGATCGATGCCTTTGGGCGTATTGATGTTCTCATCAACAACGCTGGTATCTTGCGTGATATCAGCTTCAAGAACATGAAGGATGCAGACTGGGAACTCATTTACAAGGTCCATGTTCTCGGAGCATACAAGTGCGCAAGAGCTGCGTGGCCGCACTTCAGGAAACAGAAGTACGGCAGGCTCATTAGCACTGCTTCAGCTGCTGGTCTCTTCGGGTCTTTTGGCCAGACAAATTACTCTGGTATGTTAATTTAGGGCACACGAGGCATGAACATGTGCTAACACACAGTGTAGCTGCTAAGCTTGCTCTCGTCGGTTTCACCGAGACTCTTGCGAAGGAGGGCTTCAAGTACAACATCCTCTGCAACGTCATTGCCCCAATCGCCGCCAGCCGAATGACGGAGACCGTCATGCCCCCCGATGTCCTCGCGAAGCTGAAGCCTGAGTGGATCGTCCCTCTCGTTGCCGTCCTCACACACAAATCCAACACCAAGACTGGTGCGATATTCGAGGCTGGCGGAGGTCACATTGCCGAACTGCGATGGGAACGAGCCAACGGTGTTCACCTCAAGGCCGACGAGACTCTTACACCTGGAGCTGTTGCTGCAAAGTGGAAGGACGTTGTCGACTTTACGAAGCCTGACCACCCACAAGGCCCTGCCAATGCGCTTGAGCTTCTTGAGGATGCTGGCAAACTTCCTGCCAACCCCAAGGGCGAGGAGCTCGACTTTTCCGGCAAGGTTGCCATTGTTACTGGCGGTGGAGCTGGTCTTGGCCGCATCTACGCTCTTCAGCTGGCCAAGCGTGGCGCCAAGGTCGTAATCAACGATCTCGTGAACCCCGATGATGTTGTTCAGGAGATTCAAAAGCTCGGCGGTCAGGCTGTTGGCAACAAGGCCGACGTCCAGAACGGTGAGGCTGTTGTCAAGACAGCCATCGATACCTGGGGCCGTGTTGATATCGTGATCAACAACGCTGGCATCCTCCGTGACAAGGCTTTTGCCAACATGACCGACGACCAGTGGGACATCATCCACAAGGTTCACTTGTTCGGTACCTATTCCGTTACCAAGGCTGCCTGGCCCTACATGCTGAAGCAGAAGTACGGCCGCATCCTCAACACCACTTCCACCAGCGGTATCTACGGCAACTTCGGCCAAGCCAACTACGCATCGGCCAAGTGCGGTATTCTTGGTTTCTCCAAGTCTCTTGCTCTTGAGGGCAAGAAGAACAACATCTTTGTGAACACTGTCGCCCCCAATGCTGGCACACAGATGACTCGTTCCATCATGCCCGAAGAAGTCGTTCAGGCTCTCAAGCCCGACTACAACGCACCCCTCGTCATCCTCCTCGTCTCTGACAAGGCACCTGTGCCGACTGGCGGTCTCTACGAGATGGGCTCGGGCTGGTTCGCCGCTACTAGGTGGCAGCGAACTGGCGGCCACGGCTTCCCAATTGATGTCAAGCTCACTCCAGAGGCTGTCCTCCAGCAGTGGGAGCGCATTACCAACTTTGAGGATGGACGTGCCGACAACCCAGATGACAATGCCAGCGGCCTCAAGTCGATCATGGCAAACATGGAGAACACTAGCAAGAAGAGCACGAAGGACAAGAAGCCATCCAAGAGTAACGAGGAGGTCCTCAAAGCTCAGCAGACGGCGTTGGCTGCCAAGTCGGAAGGCACTCCTTTCGAGTACACCGAGAGGGATGTCATCCTGTACAGTAAGTTTACCACCGCACCCAGCATGTTAGACCCCACTAACAATCCCAGACTTGGGCATCGGCGCCAAGCGCACTGACCTTCCCTTCGTGTACGAGGGTGACGAGAACTTCCAAGTCATCCCTACCTTTGGTGTAGTCCCTCCCTTCAACGCCGAACCCCCATTCTCCTTTGACGAGATTGTCCCCAACTTCGACCCGCGCATGCTTCTGCATGGCGAGCAGTTCCTTGAGATCCGCAAGTTCCCCATCCCTACTGAAGCCAAGCTCATCGCAGTACCGAAGCTCGTCGAAGTCGTTGACAAGGGCGCTGCCGGGCTGGTTGTCTATGGCTCCACTACCAAGGACGCCAACACTGGCGAGGAGATCTTTTACAATGAGTCCACAGTGTTCATCCGCGGAAGCGGTAACTTCGGTGGCCAAAAGAAGGGTGGCGATCGTGGCGCGGCGACAAAGGCGCACAAGCCGCCGCAGCGTGCCCCCGATGCCGTCGTCGAGGAGAAGACTACGGAGGAGCAGGCTGCTATCTACCGCCTATCTGGCGATCTCAACCCGCTTCATATCGACCCGCAGTTCAGCAAGGTCGGTGGCTTCGACACACCCATCTTGCACGGCCTGTGCTCGTTCGGTATCTCGGGTAAGCACGTACTGCAGACATTCGGCCCATTCAAGAACATCAAGGTCCGCTTTGCTGGTGTTGTGCTGCCGGGCCAGACGCTCATCACGGAGATGTGGAAGACAGGGAACACAATTGCATTCCAGACCAAGGTCAAGGAGACTGGCAAGCTTGCCATCTCTGGCGCGGGTGCAGAGCTGCTTGGAGGAGGAAGCAAGTTGTAGATGATGAACGATAGTACTGTCATGCGGTCAAGAGACCGCTGTTTATTTAGGCTGGCGTTAGCTCGTGTATATGTATTGAACGAAATCACCAAATAATACAATTTACTAGCACTTTATAAGCGTCTCCGCCCAAGCGTCGAATCCACAATCGCAAATGAGAATCATAACGATTTGTGAAAGAAGTCACAACTAACTCCACGTGCCACCGCGAGACAGCAAACGCGTGCCCCACCACCCCTCCCCTCAACCCCCACCACCAATTCCTCACCACAACTGCCTTTTCAACATCCCAACGTCACTTCACCAACCAACACCCGTTCGCCATCGCACCGCTCCCAAAGATGGCCTCTCCGACCCTCGCAACCCTCCAATACATAACCCGCGACACCCTCGCCTCCACCATCTCCACCAACGCCTCGCTTCCCCCAGACACCGCCATAATCGACGTTCGCGACAGCGACCATATTGGCGGCCACATCCGCGGCAGTACATGGGTGCCTAGCTCGACGCTGGAGTACAAGATGCCGGAGCTGCTGCGCACACTGCGCGATAAGGAGGTTGTGGTGTTCCATTGCGCGTTAAGTCAGCAGCGGGGGCCAGGGGCAGCGTTGAAGTACTTGAGGGAGAAAGAAAGGGTGGAGGCAAAAGAGGAGGCAAAGGAGGAGGTGAAAGAGGGGGTGAAGGAGGGGGTGACGGAGGAGGGGGAAGGGAAGAAGGGGGGACAGAGGGTCTACGTGCTCAAGGGGGGGTTCACAGAGTGGCAGGAGAAGTACGGCGAGGACAAGGTGTTGACGGAGGGATACCAGAAGGACATTTGGGAGTTTGGGTACTGAGGTGTCTCGCGGAGCGACTTCATGGGCGCCGGGCTATTCGAGCGCGATACGGGCTGGAGATATTATAAAGGTTGCACTGCCCGCGTCCAACCACATCAGCGATGTACTGATCCAGTACTAGAATAGGTGCTATGCTCAGTCTCACACCTTCAACGCCCCCTCCCACTCCAACGCCTGGCTCCTGGTCCTCTCCTGCTCGCTGACCCCAATTCGGTCCGACCTCACCGTGTACTGCGTTTCCTTGACGATATTCTTCTGGCTATCCGCATCGTCGAACTCGTCGCCATCTGCCCCTGTCTGGAACGTGTCTAGTGCAACCGCGGCTGAAGGCCTCCGCATATGCTCACGCGACTTGACAAAGGGCTCGGACCGGTGGGACGACGCCCCCTTGGGTGTCTGCATGCTGGAGCTGAACGTCACTCTTACGGACAGCAGAGGGCGCAGCGCAGGCAGACTGCCCGCTACGATACCGATGCCTTCTTCCACAAGCGACCACAATCCGATCTTACCTGTGCCGTACAAGAACTCACCGGGGTCACTGTACAGCGCAAGGTAGCGGAGGCGGACGATTGTGGCGGAGCTTGCTCTGGGGGTCCCGTTAGCGAGACTTGTACAGTGGAGAAATGGGGCTTACACTGAGGCGAGAGCGAGGATGACGACTACAGACGCCTTGACGGAGGACTTCATCTGCACATTCCACAGCATGATGGCGGGCAGGATGGCCATGGTCCAGTCTGTCAGGATTTCAATTGCGGAGAAGAAGAACGAGACGTTGCTGTTCAGCTTGAGATTGCAAGTACCCTTGGCCTCGCCCCATAGCGTTTCGATGGGCTGGCCTGGTTGTGCGTCAGTGGCTGCGTTGTGGTCAAAGTAGGCTCGCTTACAGATACTAGCGATGCCGGCACAGAAGACGATGGTCGCGAGCCATGTCAGGCCGATGACCATGTATATGGTGTAGTTGTAGCGACGCTGCGTAGCGGCAATGCGGAGAATGGTGACAGAGATACTGCACTTGATAATCGCCGCACTGACCGCGTAGAAGTACTCCGCGATGTAGAAAATCTCTCCAAATCAGCCTCGAGATGTGCGTGAGCCAAGGGGTAACTACATACCTTTATCCCTCTCGCGATGGATAGGGGGGACAGGTCCTTAGCCTTCTGGCCCGAGCCGTAGAAACAACATACGATACACAAGCAAGCCGTCACAGTGAACAGGATCTGTGGTCGTCAGTTCGCTGCTGCGTGGTATGATCAGTCACTTACCTGTCCAGCGACCATCAGATAGTCGTCTGCGCCGAACACCTTCCGCCCTACTCGGACGCAAATCCGCAGGAACACGGTGATCCAAGTGATGATGAGTAGTACGATGGCGGCGTACAGGAGTGCCACGCCGTCGCCGGCTACCTCAACCGTAGCCATTGCTCAGACACAGCAGGATGCTGCCACAATCTGCCCTCCTGCTGGCGTTCAAAAGGTCTTACCCGAGCCGTCGACCTCAGCCTCAAGCTGGATATACAAAGGTGATGTTGAAGTGGAGATGAGCAGCGAACAGTATTGTGAATCCAGAAGCACACAGCAGATATCGTACGCAAGAACAAGACGAAGCACTCAGCACATCCACCTCCGCGGCAGAGGCAGAGGTAGAAACAGATAAATCCTCTCCCTGTCCCACGATGCGCCCCGGCACCTTCCAACCATTCCCTCGCAACCGTAGGCTCCGCACCGCGACCAGGAGCCCTCTCACGCCAAACGCGATCGACACTCCTGGCCCGATTGCCCCCTCCGCCTGTCAGCCCAGTCCAGCTTCTCACCTCACCTTACCTCATGTCTATCCCGTGGTGCCTTTGTTACCAGCGCGGAGTCTCGGGTCCCCACACTCTCTCGTCAGTCGCGTGAGGCTGACGTGCATGCTCACTTCCACATACCTACTGCGTACTCGCCCGCGCAAGCCTCCCAGCATGCTGCAGCGTCGCTGCATACCGACTTGTGCTGCGCAGCCGTGCTATGCAATCGATTTCGCTCCCCCTGCCCCCACGCAGTCGGGCCATTTTGTAGCAGCAGCACTGTCGTTAGTAGCCATCATTTCCTTATCCAGACAAGCAGTGGGCTGCTCGAGCACAAACACGGCGCCCAGGAAATTTGCACGCGGGCCCGCTGCTCTTCGCACGGAACCTGCGCTGCGCTGGGCAGCGATCGCGTAGGTTTACGGGTGCTCTGGCATCCTATTCAGGCTGTCTTACTCCCAGCTCTGACTGCCTGGCTGCTTGAGCGCTCCAGGATTCGTCTGCTTCCAGGGTGAATGCAGGATGAATGGGATGATTCCAGGATGATTCCAGGGCAGACTGGACCCGCTGTGCTGGTTCAGCAGGCGCGTAGTGCGTGTAAGCATATCCACGGCCATGTGTGTGCGTACGCGCACCGCAGTCGGGACGTTGTGAGTGGCCCGGTGAAAGCTCGCCGTAGCGCGAAGTTATGGGCGTTTCGGGACGCGATTCAGAGGGCCGCGCTACGAGAAAATACTGCGGCGCGACCCGTCCGCTCAACGGCGTTCAGCTCTCATCGCACTGCAGCGACAGCTTCGGATGTATATGGGTTGGACGGGCGTGCGGGTTCTCAGCTCGAGCTGGAGTCTGCAGACGCCACACGCGATGCGGTTCTGACCTCCGAGCTGCGTGCGCGGACCCATGCAACCCTGGCGTGGTGTGTAGATCTTTTCTCCCACCTAGCCGGACACGGGCGACGCCGCACGGCAGGCCGTTTCGCACGCGCGTGGGCCTTCCTTTCCTCAACGCTCACGCTGGCCGATCGCACGAGGAGCATGGGGCACGTCTGGACAGCCTCTCGGCGCTTTTGAAGGACCCGACCCGTCACTTGTACTGTGTAGTGGACCATTGCTTGGAGCCAACCAGCCAGAAACACTGCATGACTTGGTTGAAAGCGTAGGCAGTCCAATAGGAAGACTGATGAGACTAACTACCCGTCCTTCGTGCCTGGCGCTACGTGCTGCTAAGTGGCTAGTTGGACGTGCGAGGGTGCCGTACACGGCATGGGTGAGCGCCGCAGCTGGGCCGGCGTGCGTGGACAGGATCTCGTTGTGGTAAGAAGGGTGCGCGTCGGTAACGTGTCGCAGGCTGGAATAGCTCCGGCGCGGGGCGGTGGGCGAGCCGTGTGTGTATAGTATGTAGAGGGGGCCGCTCGAGCTCGCACGAGAATCAATTGCTTCTGAATCGACGATTGGGTTTTGTTTACACAGAACTATCACGGACACGAATACGCAATATGACGGACTTCCAGATCACAGACGCCGACCTGGCGAAGGGCAAGTTTGAGGGCAAGGTCGCTGTCGTCACGGGTATGTGCTTCAACTTCAAACCCCCCCCCCCCCCCCCCCCCCCCCGCACCACCATCTAACATCCCCCAAGGCGGCTCTTCAGGCATCGGCCTCGCCACCCTCACGCTCCTGGCCTCCCTGGGCGCAACCGTAGTGACCGCCGACATCAACCCCCCGCCCACAGCGCTCCCGCCGCGCTGCACCTACACGCCCACCGACGTAACGCAGTGGAGCTCACTCACGGCGCTGTTCAAGTCGGCAGTCGCGGAGCATGGCCGCATCGACTACGTGTTCGCGAACGCGGGCATCGGGCCGCGGGCGAACTACGTCGCGCTCGAGACAGACGCGCAGGGCGAGCTGGTGCGGCCGGCGAGCGCGACGCTGGATGTCAATCTGGGGAGTGTGATGGAGACGGCGAGTTTGGCGGTGCACTACATGAAGACGCAGGAGAGCGGAGGGAGTCTGGTATTGATGGGATCGAGTACGAGCCTGCACGGGGTGCGGGCTATTGACTACGGTGCGTCTCATTTTTTCTCCATGGTCGATGACTGATTTGGTGTCTTCGATTGCTGAACTGACGTCTGCAGCGACGGCCAAGTCAGGCGTCCTCGGTTTTGGCCGTGGCCTCGCGGTCGTCCTCGAAGCAGCCAAGTTGCCGGTGCGGCTCAATATGCTCGCGCCCAGCTGGACGGTGACACAGGTGCTCCCCGATCTGGGCAACCTCCTCAAGGCGGTCGACTACGAGGCGCAGAGCGCCGAGGCGGTGGCGCGCGCGGCGGTGTATCTGCTCGGGGACGGGGAGAGGCACGGGGACGTGGTGTTTGTGGGGCATGGCAAGTACCGCGAGATTGAGAAGGCGATTATGAGACCGGCGTACCTGGCGGTCAAGGGCGATGGGCCAAGTGACGACGAGGTTCTGGCGAAGATTCTGGCGTTGGAGGGGTAGGGAGTCTGAAGCTAGTTATATGGCAGCAGTGTCTGGTTAGCGTGTGAGTGTCGATGGTTGAAGTGCGTGTGTCAAGTCGAATAGCGGTCGTTTCTGTGGTGGGGAATCAAGTCTTCATTGGTCGAGTGTGGGTACTATATACAATCCGCTCGTACTCGCAGGGTCTATGTGGTGCCGGTGTGGGTGTTGCGCTCGGCGTACACCCACTGGCCCTCGGGAATGGCCTCCTCGAGGGGCTCCCAGCTGCGGAGGTTAGCGACGGTAGGGAGGAGAGGGGCGCGTACGTACACCTTGCTCTTGATCATGGTGTCGACGAGCTTGTGCTCGGCTTCGGCAACGGCGATGACCTCCTCGATCAGGCCGGCGCCGAGCTTGCTCTCCAGGTCGGAGATGCTGGGCGGGTCAGCAGTTGGACATGTGGCACACGGGCGAGCACCTACGCCTCAATGGTGTACTGCGGCTCCGGGGCGAAGACGGTGGGCGAGTTGGCGCGGCGGGCCTTGTAGGCGGGGTCGCCCTTGAGGGCCTTGACGTCCTTGCGGCGCTCCTTCTGGGACCTGATGCCCTCGGGGAAGGACGGGGCGATCTCGCCGTCCCACTCGGCCTTGCGGTTCTGGCCGTAGTCGACGTTCTGCACCTTGGGCAGGACCACGGCAATGCCGGCGTCGGTCTCGAGGGTCTGGAAGTGGTCGGGGTCGTCGGCGATCTGCGAGCGGATCGTGTCCTGCCAGGCGTCCCAGCCCTTGGGCTTGGACTCCTCGATGATGCGCAGGCGGTGGCGGGTCAGGGCCTCGACGGACTGGCGGTAGACGGACGACTCGGGCGCGTGCTTCAGCTTGGTGAGGGTGCTGTTGTAGTGGTAGAGCAGGGCCGAGCGCGGCGACGGGTGGGTGAGCAGGCCCGTGAGGCCCGTCGGGGCGCCGGCCTCGAGGAACTGGCCGGGCTTGACGGCGGCGAACAGGCGGGAAGCGGCCCTCATGGTTGCGGGGGGCGTGGACGGCGGAGCGTGGCGCAATGGGTGCGGAGGCGGTGGTGCGGTGCGTCGTCGAAGTTGCGCGCCGGGCTTGGCGGCGGCGCGGGAGCTTTGGCGGCGGTTGCAGGGATGCGCATGTGCCGGCCGTCTCAGGGACAGCGAGACCTGGCATCTGGCATCTGGCACCTGAGATCTGGCACCTCAGATCTGGCACCCACCGCCGCCCGCCATGCGCTCCCTCTTCTACTCGCTCCTGTCGCTGGCGACACTGGCCTCGGCCCTCGCCGTCCCCGACGCTGCCGCTGCCGCCGCCCGCGCCGCCCCCGACACTGCTGCCGCAAAGCGCGCCGACGCGGCCGCCGACGACGACTGGGAGGACAAGGTGCCCGACACCGTCTTCAATGGCCAGACCGTCCCGCCCATGCCGGTGCTCGACATCAAGACCCTCGACAGCGAGATCAGCAAGGGCAACTGGTACCGCCCCCCACCCCCTCCTGCTCTTCGCGCGCGCCCGCCCGCTCCCCCAGCCCACCACTGACGCGCCCCAGGATCGTCGAGTTCTTCTCGCCCTCGTGCCCGCACTGCCGGCACTTTGCCCCCACCTACCAGACCGCCTACGAGTTCTACTACACCTCCAAGCCCATCGACGCCAAGGGCGAGCCCGAGGGCGACTCGCTCAACTCGTTCAAGCGCTTCTACGACTTCAACTTCGCCAAGGTCGACTGCATCGCCTCGGCCGACCTGTGCAATGCCCACGCCGTCATGAGCTACCCCTCCATGATCTACTTCCGCGACGGCGTCGAGACCCAGCGCCAGAAGGGCTCCAAGAACATGAAGGAGATGAGCGACTGGGTCGAGCAGCTGCTCGAGACCATCCGCCCCGGCTCGCGCAAGGAGGGCGGGCCCAAGCTCCCCAAGCCCGGCGACAAGGCCGTCGAGGCCGGCCCAGACACCGAGGACGTGGTCAAAGAGAAGGCCGAGGAGGACGTCAAGGACAAGCAAGCCGCCGCCTCCAAGCTCGCGAGCCTCAAGAACGAGCCCACCAAAGCCGCTGCGCCCACCCCGACCCCCGAAAAGGCCGCGCCTGCAAAGCCCGTGTCCACCTTCAACCCGGACGGCATCTCCGAGGTGCTCACCGCCGAGAAGTTCCAGTCGGTCGTCACAAACACCCTCGATCCCTGGTTCGTCAAGTTCTATGCGCCCTGGTGCCACCACTGCCAGGCTCTCAAGCCAAACTGGGACAACATGGCCCGCCAGGTCAAGGGCAGGCTGAACGTCGGCGAGGTCAACTGCGACGTCGAGAAGAGGCTCTGCAAGGACGCAAAGGTCAAGGGCTACCCTACCATGCTCTTCTTCCGCGGCGGCGAACGCATCGAGTACGAAGGCCTCCGCGGCCTGGGCGACCTCCTCGACTACGCCAACAAGGCATCCGCCGTCGGTGCTGGCGTCGAGGACGTAGATGCGGCAGCCTTCAAGGCGCTGGAGCAGAAAGAGGAGGTCGTCTTTGTCTACTTCTACGACCAAGCCACCACCTCCGAGGACTTTGCCGCCCTCGAGCGCCTGACCCTCAGCCTGGTCGGCAAGGCCAAGATCGTCAAGACCAACGACAAGGCCATGTCCGACCGCTTCAAGATCTCCACCTGGCCGCGCCTCATGGTCTCCCGCGACGGCAAGCCCACCTACTACCCCCCCATCACCCCCAAGGAGATGCGCGACACCCGCCAGGTCCTGACCTGGATGAAATCCGTCTGGCTCCCCCTCGTCCCCGAACTCACCTCTTCCAACGCCAAAGACATCATGGACGGCAAGATTGTCGTCCTGGGCATCCTCAGCCGCACCCGCTACGACGAATTCATCCTCTCCAAGCGCGAGATGAAGAGCGCCGCCATCGAGTGGATCGATAAGCAGGAAGCCCTCTTCCAGCTCGAGCGCCAGGAGCTGCGCGACGCAAAGCACCTGCGTATCGAAGAAGCAGAGGACAAGAACGACGACCGCGCCCTGCGCGACGCAAAGGGCATCCGCATCAACATGGACGAGATCGAGCGCCCGCGTGTGGGTTTCGCCTGGGTTGACGGCGCCTTCTGGGAGCGCTGGGTCAAGACGACATACGGCATTGACGTGAAAGACGGTGAGCGCGTCATCATCAACGACGAAGACGTACGTTCCCCCAAAACCTCCCACTGTGCATCATCACTGACTAAACAACAGAACCGCCGCTTCTGGGACACCACCATCTCCGGCGAACCCATCCGCCCCTCGCGCACCTCGATCCTCGAGACCATCTCCAAGGTCACCCACAACCCGCCGCGCATCGCGCCCAAGTCCACCTCCGGCCGTGTCGCCCGCGTCTTCCTCGGCCTCAACCGCTTTGCCTGGCACCATCCCGTGCTGGCCGTGCTCGGCAGCATTGGCACCCTACTTGCGGCGCTGTTGGTCGGGAAGAGGATGCGCAGGAGGGGCGGTCAGGGCTACTTTCAGCTGGGGGAAAGGGATGGGCTGTTGGGCGGGATCGGGGGGGCTGGGGCTAAGCACGATTAGATGCGTCTGTATGTGTACGTGTGTGTACGTTGCTGTACGAGCGGAGGTGTATCATACACGTTCTTTCTTGGTTCGTGCGCATGGGGAGCTTCGGGCTCCGGGGCGTTTGCATTATTTGCGCGGCGTTGGGGGGTCTGCGCTTTCGATACCTTGGGTCGTAGAGGGGGAATACGATGACACGACGAGATCAATATTTTCTCTAAATGCACGACTTATTGTGATCTTATATGAACACGTCCGTGAATTGGATGCTTGTGTCACTTCCTCTCACACATCCTTTCACATAATAAAAAGGTGACATAACCATCAATTCATCAAAGGGCAATGGATGGGTATCGCTACTACATTGTTGTCCATCTCCAGCACCGCACACACCTCTCTCTCTCTCACACACACACAACCGTCCTCACATACACACGTCTCCCCCGATTCCACTATCCTCTCTACTATCCCCTCCTTCCCTCATTCCGTCACTCACCTACCTACTGCCCCTTTGGCGCGACCGGCGGAGTAGCATCCAACTCTGTTGAAAACGGCCTTGCCTCAAATGCCTGCTGCTGCTGTTGCTGCGGTGCATAACCCCCCTGCTGCTGCAGCGGCGGCGGACTCATACTAGGACTGGGTGCGCCATACACAGGCTGCACAAACTCCTGCCCAGGCCCCGCATGCCCGCCCTGCTGCGGATACTGCCCGCCATACGGCCCCGGACTCGGCACCGAACTGACCGGCGATTGCGGCGACTGCGGCGCCCACTGCTTGCCGTCGGCGACACCGAAGGGCGCCGCGCTGGCATTCTGCTGCATGGGCGGGGGGTAGTACTGCGGGGGCGCAGCGGCGGCCGTGGTTTGGGCTGGGGGAGGGGCGGCGGCGGCGGCCGTCTTCTTGCGGCGCAGGAAGAACCAGATCAGGCCGCCGATGAGGGCGAGGCCGAGGAGGGGCCCGACGACGGCGCCGGCGATCCAGGCTTTGCTGGAGGATTTTTTGGGCGCGGGGGTGGTAGGAACGAGGGTTGGATCTGCGTCGGTGGGGTCGTTGATGTCGGTGAGGGTGGGGTTTGTGCTGGAGCGGGTGATGGAGGGGGCTGGGGAGTGTCAGTGAGTGTGAGAGGTTTGGGTGCTGGGGAGACTGACCCGCTGTGGTCTTCGCAGCTTCGGGTTGGACCCGCCAGTATGACCAGTTGACGCTGCTGACTCCGCAGTTCACATTTGTCTGAGGACTTGAGTCCTGTTCGTTCTCATACAAGAAAGCGGTGTTGCAGACGGTGAATGAGCGATCTGTTGGATCATCGTAGACGGAGGTACTGTTGTCCGTCAGTGCTGAGGCTTGAGTTCATGCTAGCAGATACATACCAAGGAAAGGTCAAGGATGTACTGCTTCCTAGCAGAGCACCATCGAAGATCAAGTTGCCATTGACGCAAGCCTGCGGGATGTCGCAGCCAGCAGCTGTAGTCGCGCAGCATCGCCAGTGACCTCCGCTCTGATACAGACTAGCGCCTAATTCGCATTGCTGAGATGTCCAAACACCAGAGATGGATACCCATCCCATGAAACGGGCATCGTTCTGCTTCCTCAGAAGCTCAATGTTCGGGCCCGGAGTAATGGTAGGGTCTGCGGCAGAGACCGATGGCGTGACGATTGAAGCAAGGCTGCTCGAGAAGAGCGCCGATGCGACCAAGGCTTTTGAGTGCATGACTGGCCTCTTCTATGTGAGCTTCCACTGTCAAATGGTGGTTCGCACTGAGAGAGATGTGGAATAAATCAACGGCGCACAAGATTTCAAGTTTAGCTCTGGAGACCTTCATAACGTTTCGTCCGTGAGCCTCAGGCCGCAAATCACTGCCGACTACATCCGTCCAGGAAATACCGGTCAGGGACTGCGGTTGTCACAAACGGGTGAACGTGGTACTTTGGATCCAGTAAGATGAGATTGTAGGCGAAATTGGACGCAGATCGATCCATACTTCGTATTGTTCGCGCATATAGACAAGTTAGGCTGTCGTGGCACCAAGCGGTAACCACAACAGGCAATGCGTGATGTGCCAAGCATGTGCTTAGCACTGTTTGGTATGGTGTGGAGGTAGAGGCGCAGGGGCTTAGCGTTCACTCGCAGGGCTAAGCGAGCGCAGCTGAAGGTATGACTAGGAAGTATGCATTGATTTCGAGCATCTGGGTGTTCGAAGCTGGCGCAAGTGTCGTGTCGATAGAACAAGCATTTCTGGCGTATGCAGATGCGTTTGAGTGGTCGATTTTGTGCCGGTATCCGGAGGCGTGGTGGTCACTTGAGCGTGGAACAAGAGCCAGACGAGGCTGAACATTCGTGACGCCCAGGTTGCTTCTCTCGACCGCTTGAACCCGTAATTCGGGCCGCAGGACAACGTGGTCCAACTCGCTTGTTTATGCCTAATTGGTCACCGGCGAGGCTGTCCTGGAGCCGATCCTCACCCTTAAAGGTACATGTCGGACCTGAAGGGCGTGATCTGCGTTCCCGCTCTGCCATGTCAAAGTACATGGATATCGCGCCCACTTCCGCGCCTACACGCTGTTTCAATGCTTGAACGGGACTAAGCGTCTGAGCGTTTTGCGCAGCTGACTCTTTCCCACCGCTATCTTTCAAGTGACGCATTGAAATGGCCTGACATCTTATCGTTGGGACTTCTTCTGACTTGTCTGTGAGAGTAACTGGTTCTGCTTCATGCCGGGCACAAGTGCGACGGCGCTTGCATAATCGCCGTCGTGGCTGATGCTGATCTCGCACAATTGGCCTTCGAGGGTCTGTACGTTGAGGGATTCTTGCGCAGCTGTTGATCTCTCGGGATCTTTCAGGGCTTCCCAAAGAACAAGGGCTTCTGGTCTCCTACTCTGATGCTCTGTACGATCAAGTTCAGTGACTGGGAGAATTACAATATGCTTGAAGCCCCTCGTGTTCTTGTCTAAATGATCACAGGCTTTTCGGCATGCTTCTTTCGCCGCAAATCTAGCACATTGTCAGGACGCTTCCTACAAGAGGCATAGATCATCGTGGCACAAACCTGCCAGCCAGAAACTGTGCAGCAAGATCCAAGTCATAGTCATGTCTCCCAAAGCGGTTGTGAAAGTAGGTACGCTCGGGATACGTCAAGATCTTGGATAACAGAGCCTCAAGCGGTTTGCTTTTACTGCCATCCTTCCCTGTGATCAGCTTCCTTATTCGTGGAATGTTGCAAAGGTCATTGCCGATACGCATTGGGAACGGAAACGGACGAGGCGGCATGTTGGGTGATTAGAGTGCGACTGCTGCAGCTTGATCTTGAGGGTTACAGCGCGACGACGCGACGGCCTCGGCAGCTCGGTCCTTGGCAGGTCCCGTCAAAAACATTGCGGGTCTCCTGAGAGACTCAAGACTCGCTCAGACACTCTGAAACCGCAAAAAGACGACGTTGGCAGGATTCGAACCTACGCTCCCGAAGGAACAAGATTTCTAGTCTTGCGCGATAACCACTCCGCCACAACGCCGTTGGTTGATACTGTTATACAGCTGATGTGAAAGGAGGCGGTTTGCGGCGTATATATAGCCCGACGCATGTCTTGTGCTACCACGCTAGCGGTCAATACATCTTCGCTTGGACTTTACACCACCCCACACGTTGGTAAGCATCTTCGTATTCGAGTCGTATTGGTGTCCGGCTCATCTAATCATTCTAAACACATGTCCCTCGGTGCTGAAGACCCAGTTATCGAGACTGGCGGTTTCGACGTCCGTGAATGTTAACCAGAGGTATTTGAGCGTCTCGGCTGCCCAGAAGCTCTCCTGCATATCGATCCATCTTGTCTCGCCTGCGCCGGGCCACTCTGCAGGCAGTACTCTGTAAACGTCCGCAAGCTGCGCATATCCGTACGGTGCTTTGCAATGTGTCTCCATAGCCGAGAAGGCCTCCCACGCCCAGTCGCGGAACCGCGGCTCACCGGTGATGCGCCAGGCGTAGAACAACGACTCGACATACTCCGGTCGGCCCTTGTACTGCGGGCTGGTACTCCAGAAGCCGCTTTCTGACCACTCTTTCTTAGCACGACTTGTGTCAGGTGAGTAGAACGGTTCGTCGTAGCTGAACTTCGGTGTCCACGACCAGTTTTCAGGGCCAATCTTAGACGGTGTGGAAGTATATGTATGACGACAGCCCTCTAACAGGGCAAGCGCGAATGTTCTGAGGTATGGCTGATCATAGTATTTAGAACCAAGCAGGATGGTGCCGGGCGCAAAGCATGCAAGATGACCTTGCTCATTGTGGTACTGTTTGCCGTCTTGCTTTCCTATGAATAGATGTTGCATAGCATGATCAGGTGCGGATGCAGATCGTGTGCTGAGGCGCCTCCGTAATGAGTAGGCAGACTCTAGGAAGCGTGCCTTGTATGTGCCAACATGAGGCTCAGACGGTGGTGCAAGAAGCGTGATCTTGAGAAGATATTCATAGTATGAGTCGTGACCGCCGTCCCAATGCCTGTCGCGACCGACTGGTGCACCGGTCGTGATGTCGATTGGTGCGTCAATCATTCCCTTCCACGGAGTCGACCACTTTGACCATACCAGAGGGGCCCATGCAAGTGTTGAGTTCTTTGCGTAGATTGGGTCACCGGTCAGCCTCGTCAGGACGCGGTTCTCGAGGATCGAGGATCCTGTTCGCGCAGGCCCAATTGCAGGATGCGCGTACTGTGGCTTGTCGGGGTGCTCGACGTGTACGAACGGCGGGTCTGCCACACCTCGTGATTTCTTGAAGTCCACACGCGGCCACGGCATGCCTGTGGGTGTGTCGTATGCGGGGCCAAGCTTCTCGGCCAAAGTTACAGCATGTTCGAGTATCAGATCGCGCGCTTCGCCGTGCAGGACATCCTCCGGAATCTTGCCAACATCGTACAGTTCCACAATCGATAGCAGGCCACCGAGGTACCGAATTGCAGTCTCGAATGGATCAACCAAATCCTCTGTATGCGTAAAGTCGATGCCGAGGATGTGCTCCACCGAATGCGCAAGCTCATCCCAGAGCTCCATGAGCGCCAATGTACTTGCAGAGTCCACGATGAATGCGCCCCAACCATTTCTAGTGCTTGAGTTGCCTCCTGAAACAGGCAATATGTCGTCTGCGCCCCACGCGCTCTCTCTGTATTTCCAGTACGTGTACTTCATCGCACTGCGCACTTTGCCCGCTCTCGTCTCCTGCGCCTTGCCCGTACCGTTCCATGCCGTATGTTGTATCTGCGCGCCATATGCAGGCACGTCGCGTGTCCGAATGGTTGGGTTCGAGAACTCTTTGATCAGGAGGTAGAAGGTAATGACCAAGACGGCAGCAAGAAGCTTGAACGACGACTCGGGGTTCTTCTCGAATTTCGACTTGCCCCAGCGGCGAAAGCCGGGCATAGTGAGAATCTGGAGGTCGCCAATGTGTGGTTGTTGGCCTCAGGTTGCAGGCAGGTCTTGCGACCGCATCTGTCCACCGCTGGAGCTTCGGGGGTGATGCGGAGTTATGGGCGGAGAGGCTGCCGGCTCCCGTGACATTCCCCGCGTAGTGATTGCTGAATCTGGGCTGTCTCGACTTGTTGGCACTTCGGCGACGGCGTACACTCTGCACGACCTGTGGTTGAGCATTGTTGCAGCGACCGAGGCGGAAGCTGTCACCTTGGCAGGGCTTTCCGTTTCCCTCACGTCATCCCTTCTGAACTTCTTCACTTTTGACAACCCCAACGTACGCCACTGTAGGATACTGTCTGACAGTATTCGTCATAGCTGTCGGGAGATTTGAGGTTAGCATTGTGAGCCATCACAGGAAGCCTGTTACACATCAGTCGGTTCTCGAGTACTCAACATCAGCTATGGGCGTCTGGCAGTATGTCATTTTCATTTATTCGTCGTCCACCTATGACTAATGCCTGTGAAGGTGGTACAGAAATCTCGCGCCGAGGACTAGGATATACATGGGCGTCGGCATCATGGCATACGCAGGCTTTGGCCTCCTCATATCCGACGAGATCGAGCAACGCTTCGGCTTGACCCCCAATGAGCAGGATTATGAGGAAGTCCGGCAATTGATACCCAGGATTAGCACTGTAGAGAAGAATCAGCGGTGAAGTGGCGCCAACCTGCGCTACCAACAGCCGCACGCCTTCCCAAGGAGCTACATTTGGAAGATTCGAGCACCTGATCCTACCCATCTTTCAACTATGGAATAATACCACAAACAGCAAATGGCATAAGCTTTCGTGATGGAAGAGTTGGATCAGGCCCACCAATAATCCATCCTCGCGCACGTGGATGACCTCACATCAGCCGGATCAATCTGCGAACGATTGGGTTTGCACGATGTCAGCCAATCCACCGCATCAGAAAACCTTACTAAGATAGCTTCCTTCCTTGTAGCTTATGCCAAGAACGAAATGGAAGCTTGCATTTCTGCTTTAGGCAAAACATATGTAGTCAGTGTGCGCTCTGGTCAGGGAGATTCCTCGAAGACCGCCTCGTGAGGCTTCTGGTCGCTGAGATTCAGGGTGGTCATCCATTAGGGCTGCTCCACATCACCGAGAGTAAATGACGAAGTCTGATCAAAACTTGACAATCTGGTGATCAATTCGAGAGACATCACCGATACTGTTTCCATAGACAGTTTGAAAAATTGTGCGGTCTGCTGTGTGTGCCCCGGATAGAACCCCGTCCATCGCAGTATAAGACTGGCATCATACCCCCAATAAGAAAACTCCAGTAACACAAACACCTCTGGCCAGCACTTCATCGCCACACACCATGCCTAGTCTACTCAACGGCCAGTCTGACAACAACGTCTCGGCACCCACGATGCGCGCCGTGGTTTGGAAGGGCAAGACGGGCCATGTCTCGGTCGACAACGTGCCCAGACCGAAACTACTCTCATCTGAAGACGCGATCGTTCGTCTTACTTCAGCAGGAATATGCGGCACCGATCTTCACATCTATCGAGGTATAGTAGGCAGCACGAACCCGCCATGGGTCCTGGGACACGAAGGCGTTGGCATCGTTGAGTCGGTGGGTGAAGCCGTCCAGAATGTCAAGCCCGGCGACAGAGTCATTGTACCTGCGTCTCCGGATGATGGAGTCCTGAACATCGATCAACTCATACCGGCCCTTGAGAGCGTCGGTCTCGGAGCCGACTTCGGCAGCAGTGACGGACTGCAGGGTATGTACCATCTGGAGCAGAGTATGTGCTGGTTTCATACTGACCACTTCCAGCGGAATATTTCAGAGTGACGCAAGCAGATACAAATCTGATCAAGATCCCACACTACCCGTCACGAGAGCTTGACTACCTCATGATCAGTGATATCTGGGGTACTGCTTGGACCTGCCTGGACCTATCCGGCTTCCGCGCCGGCGAGACAGTAGCAGTGTTTGGTGCCGGCCCCGTCGGACTTCTCTGCGCCTACACCGCGCTGTTCCGAGGCGCAGCCCGCGTGTACGTCGTCGACCACGTGCAGGCGCGCCTGAACAAGGCCAAAGATATCGGCGCCATTCCCATCAATCTCACCAAGGGCAGTCCCGCGCAGCAGATCCTGAAGCTGGAACCCAACGGCGTCGACCGCAGCTGCGACTGCTGCGGCTACGAGTGCGTCAACGAGAACCTCGAGCCGCAGCAGAATCACATCATCAACAACGCCGTAGCCGCGACGGCGCGTGGCGGAGGCATTGGGCTTGTGGGCATATACATTGCACAGGACAAAGCTCCTGGGCGCCCTGAGGCGGGTCAGATCCCGCCGACGCTCGACTTCCCGATGAGCGACTTCTGGTCCAAGGGCCTGACGATCAAGGCGGGTGTGGTGAATCCCCAGGCATTGGCACCGCAGCTTGTGGAGCTTGTCAAGAGTGGCAGGGCGAAGCCTGGGTGTATCACGAGCAGTGTCATTGGCATTGAGGAGGTGCCGGAAGGGTATAGGAGATTTAACAGGCAGCTTGAGACGAAGGTGGTTATTCGTTTTCCGTGGGAAGACGACGAGTGGAGTGTTGATGGCACAGCGACGGTGTTGGGGAGTCAGCGACGGGAGCAGGATAGTGAGAGTGAGTAGGTGATGTGTGCAGCAGACGGTCGCTCAAATTTATCGATGTGTCTCGCCAATACCATAGTCAGAGCCTGAATTTACTTGATGGTGCCGAGAACGAGAAGACGCTCAACTGTATTCTTTACATGATATATTCACCGAGATGCGAAAGTGAGTCCCTAAACGCCGTCGCTATGCATGTGCCATCCTGTACACTATCATACACATTATACCTTCTCTGACATATACAACAAGTCCGCCCAGTCCAAGTCATCCATTCATCGGTAGATCTCATCAAACGGCCGTGTGTCATGGAAGCAGCTGTCCCACACCTCGTTCACCACCTTCTTCGCATGCGCCTCGTCCTTTATCTGCGGCCGTTGCAACAACGACAGCTCCGCGCGGCGGCGCACACACGCCTGCAGCTGCTCCGTGATACTCCACTGGTTGCGCGTGAAGAACTCTCGCGTAAAGCGGCACTCGCCCGACAGCGTCGACGCGCGAATCTACCAATGTCAGCGGCCGTAGGTCCGTAATATCCAGCGGTGCTCACCTCCAGACACGCCTGGTGCCGCATGTTGGTCGACTCCACCTTCCACTTCAAGTGGTCCCACGCGTGGACCATCTCGTGCGCCATGGTGTCCTCCTGGTGCCCGCGATTGCGGAACTTGTTGGCGCACAGCAGAATGCCGTGGTCGAGGCTGAAGCCGCCCGACTGCTCGTTCGTGCACATGCGGCACAGGATGTTGTCCTTGGTCAGGTCGCCGCCCAGCTTGTAGACTTCGTCGGACAGGAAGCGCACGATGGGCGAGTACTGCAGCAGGTATTCCTTGTTGGAGTCGCAGCGCTTGCAGATGGACTCGGCCTTGGTGGCGTCGAGCTCGGTGAAGTAATTGCGCTCGAGACTGACGTCGCGGTTGCCGGTCATGCGCCCCAGCATGATGGAGAAGGTGTTGCTCCAGGTGTAGAAGACGGGGTCGACCTTGGGGGGCGCGGGGCCCGGGGGGGCGATAGCGGCGGGGTGGGCGCCATCGGCAGATTCGGGCTTCGACATGGGGCGCGGGCGGAGGCGATTGTCGCGAGATGCGGAGGGGATTGACAGCTAGGGCGCGCTGCGTTGCCGTCGCAAAAGTCGCGATGATGGTCGCCCTAGCGCGGTGCGGGAGCCAATGGGAGCGCGAGGAGGCGGGACTGACGCAGGTGCCGGAGCTCGGAGTGGTGGGTGGTGCAGTCATGCTCGACACCGCCTTGCGTTGTCCATGAGGGCTTATATCCGCGGCCTCCCTGCCTCTGCTCCCACAGCGCAACACTGAGCATGGCGGTCCACATGAAGAAGATGCCCGGGCAATTGACCGTGGTGATAAAACTCGGTAATTCCTCAGTACAGTCCCCGCGGTGCATGCAAGATCGACTGACCAACACGCGCAGGCACAAGTTCGATAGTCGACGAGAAGACCCACCAGCCGCTGCTGTCGATCCTCTCCCTCATCGTCGAAACAGCATGCAAGCTCCACGCCGACGGACACCGCGTCGTCATCGTCTCGTCTGGCGCCATCGGCGTTGGCCTGCGCCAGATGAACCTCCCGCGCCGCCCCAAGCACCTCCCCAAAGTCCAGGCGCTGGCTGCTATAGGTCAGTGCAAGCTGCTGGCGCTGTGGGATCAGTTGTTTGGCAATCTGGGCCAGCAGATCGCGCAGGTGTTGTTGACGCGAAACGACATTGCGGACCGCACGCAATACCAGAACGCGCAGAACACCTTCATTGAGCTGCTGAGCATGGGCGTCATTCCAATCGTGAACGAGAACGACACTCTCGCCGTCACGGAAATCAAGTTCGGCGACAACGACACCCTGAGCGCCATCACAGCAGGCATGGTGCAGGCCGACTACCTCTTCCTCATGACCGACGTCGACTGCCTCTACGACAAGAACCCGCGCACAAACCCCGACGCCAAAGCCATCGAAGTCGTCGAAGACATCGCCGACCTCACCGCCGACGTCAACTCTGCCGGCTCCGCCCTGGGCACCGGCGGTATGAGCACAAAGATCGTCGCCGCGCGCCTGGCCACCAGCGCAGGCGTCACCACCGTCATCACCAAGAGCTCGAAGCCGGGCAACATCTCCGCCATCATCCGCCACGCCGAGCAGGCGCGCAAGGCCCGCGCGTCAAGCCGCAACTCGGCGTCCTTCCCCGACGACGCGCCCGACCTGTCCGCGTCCACTGCCTCCTTGCCGGCGCCCCAGACAGACGACGCCCCCGTCCCCCTCCACACCCGCTTCCTCCCCATCGCGCACCCGATCCGCGACCGCTACTTCTGGATCCTGCACGGCCTGGCGCCGCACGGGACACTCTACATCGACGGCGGGGCGTTCAAGGCGCTGCACGACAAAGCGGGTCTCCTGCCCGTCGGCATCGTAGACGTGGACGGGCACTTTGCGCAGCAGGAAGCCGTACGCCTTGTCGTCGTCAAGCGCGCTGCTCCCCCGTCGGCCGCGCCGCTCGCGTCCCCGACTACACATACGCACACGCACACCCACGCCCCCATCCCCCTGCGCCACCCTGTCCACGCGCTCGCGCATCCGCACACTCCATCTCACTCCCCCGCGCCTGCGCACCAGAACCCGCTCTTCGACCCTTCGCAAGCGCCGGTCGAGATTGGGCGGGCGGTCGTCAACTACTCGGCCTCGGAGATCCGGCGCATTAGAGGTCTGCACTCGACGCAGATTGTTAGGGCGCTGGGGTACGCGGATAGCGAGTATGTGGCGGTGAGGGAGAATGTGGCTTTTTTGGGAGGCGAGAGGAGTAGGCCGGGGACGCCGGGGACGCCGGGGGAGGGGGCGGGGGAGAGACATATGGGGTGAGACCTTGAGGGGGTAGAATTCAGATGAGGCCTGGCGTAGAGAGTGTTTGGATCGTTCAGAGACGGCTTGCTTTAGAAGGAACGGCAGTGGAAAGGAAGATATGTGCAATTCAATCGAACCTAGACCCGCATCTCAATATCAAAGGAGAAGACGTAAGAATATGACACCGTGACAACACTAAGCCCATCAACGATCAACACCAAATGTCCAGTCCTCGTACCGCACCCACACGCTCTACTCGGCGCGCTGCCAATCGACTACGCAAACCATGCGAACGCTGTATAAGAAAGCCAAAATCAATCCAGAACGCCAGCCAATGCGCTAAATCCCCAAACGCCGTTCGTAAATGGTGCTATTAACAGTCGCCTATTCAGTGCTCTTCCTGAACTTGTCTGACGTGCGCTCGTACGCGCGCGCCGAGCCCTTGCAGTGCTTGATGATCCACGGGTGTCGCTCGACGTCTTCGAGGGAGATGCGCTTCTCGGGGTCGAGCACGAGGAGCTGTTATATTATTAGCATCTAAAACAGCATGTTGTGTGTAAGAGCAGGAGAACTCACCCGCTTGATCAAGTCCTTGGCCTCGGCGCTCACAAATCCGGGCACCGTGTACTCGCACCGCACAATCTTGCGCTGGGTCATGACCTGGGTGTCCTCGAACGGGGCCTCGCCGACGAGGAACTCGTAGGTCAAGACACCCAGACTCCAGAGGTCGACTTTCTCGGTGTAGTAGTTGTCCTTGGAGGCGCCCTTGAGCATCTCCGGGGGCAGGTAGTCGAGCGTGCCGCACATGGTGTTGCGGCGGTTATTGGGCGCGTGCACGCTCCACCCGAAATCCGAGATCTTGATTTCGCCGTGCACGCCGACGAGGATGTTCTCGGGCTTGATGTCGCGGTGCATGACGTGCTTCTTGTGCAGGTACTTGAGTGCGGATGCCATTTGGGCGACGTACTGGGCGGCTTTGGGCTCCGGGAAGCGCTGCTCACGGCGCAGGTGTTTGTACAGCTCGCCCTTGCCGGCGAACTCGAGGATCAGGAAGATGCGCTTGGCGTCGTGGAAGTGGCCGAAGAGGCGCAGGACATTGGGGTGGGCGAGGTGCGACTGGATTTCGATTTCGCGGCGCACTTGCTTTTCGACTTTGCCCTGCTGGATCTCGGACTTGTGCAGGACCTTGAGTGCGCACACGAAGCCCGAGGTGCGCTCTTTCGCCAGGTAGACACGGCCAAACTTGCCCTTGCCCAGCGGCTTGCCAATCTCGAACATGCCGAGGTGCCACTGCTTGGGGACGGCGGCGGCGGCGGGCGGCGGCGGGGTGTACAGGGCGGTGTCGGTGAGGGTGCGGCGGTGGCCGTCGGGGCGGGCGGGCGGGGCGACGACGGGCTTGATGGTGGCATTGAGCTTGCTGGAGTTGGCGGCGGCGAGCTTCTGCAGCGGCACCTTCATGCGGTTGGCGCCCGAGGCGGACGTGGCCAGGGCCAGCGACGCGACGGGGGCCTTTGGCTTGGCGTAGGGCTGCTCGTCGCTGTTCTCGTCGTTGACGGTGATGCGCTCAAAGGCGGCCTCGAGGTGCGAGACTTCGGCCATGATGGGTGCTGCGGGTTGCTGCCGGGTTGCTGCAGGCGGGCGGCGCGGGTTGGTGTCGAGGGCGCGTCGGTGTCGCGGGTCAGTGTCGCAGCGGCGTCGCGGCGGAACGAGCGTCGAGCGGCAGCGCCTGGTGGTGGTCTGCGAGCGATGCGACGGGCGAGTCGGGACCGGGTGTTGGTATGGCGGTGATGATGATGGGACGGGAGGCTGGGGAGGAGCGTGCGGCGGCTAGCCCAGCGGCGAGCAATAAACAGGCGCGTTGCTGGGGCGATGTGTGCGCCGATCCCGATCCCCCACCGACCCCACACGCCGCCGCCAGGCACAGCCTGCACTGCACAGCCTGCACAGCTGCCGCACGGCTGCACTGCTGCACGACTGCACGACTGCCCCCGCACACCATGGCCTCCAACGGCGCGCCCGTCGACACGGTGGCGCCCGGCGTCGCCGCCACGTCCATCACCAAGGCCGGCTTCCGCATCACCACGCGCAAGCTGCCCATCCTCAAGGCCGGCCCCATCGACGCCATGACGCGCGCCCTGGGCATCACCCCGCCCGAGATGATCTTCGGCGACAACCTGGCGCGCATCGAGCACCCGGCCTCGGGCTGGGCCATCGAGTTCAATGCCTTTGACGCCCTGGACCGCGTCGACAAGACGGGCGCCCACATGTTCCAGGTCGCCTACTCGCAGGCCTGGCAGCAGAACCGCCAGAAGCAGTTCGAGGACATCAAGGAGGTTGTCAAGCCCTTTGACTGGTCCTACAGCACCGACTACCGCGGCTCCGTGCCCGACGCCCCCGCCATGCAGCCCACCACCACGCCCATCCCGCTCGCCCTGCTGCGCCGCCCCGACCCCATCGAGTTCTTCGACGAGGTCGTGCTGTACGAGGACGAGCTGGCCGACAACGGCATCGCCATGCTGTCGTGCAAGATCCGCGTCATGCCCGCGCGCCTGCTGCTGCTGGTGCGCTTCTTCATGCGCCTGGACGACGTCGTCTTCCGCATCCGCGACACGCGCGTCTTTGTCGAGTTCGCCACCGGCCAGGTCATCCGTGAGTACACTGCGCGCGAGGACAAGTACGAGGAGGTGCGCCGCAAGCTGGCAGGGCGCAAGGAGGACGTGCTGGCTATCATGCGCGACCCGAACCGTCTGGCCGAGCACATTCCCGTCGTCGAGACCATCCTGGACGGCGTGACGCTGGGGTGAGATAGGACGCATAGACGTCGCGCCGGGCCGCAGAGTCGAGACTGCATGGTGGGTAGGAGCGGGTAGGTCTGTCGACGCGCAACTAACACGGGTAGACGTGTCGAGCGAGCAGCACGGCGCCACGTAGCAGCCAGGAATATACCTGTGAATCCGCTGCAAGAGTAGCACACCCATCTCGAATAGTCGCCCATGCTTTGTTCCTCGATCATCACTGAACCACCCACCCCCAGTCCAGTATGCATCATGCCTTGCCTGGCAACATAGCCCAGCGCAACCCTTTCCTGCATATCTATCCAGATGTGAACGTTCAATACTGGGTGGAAATCAACGTTGGGTCGTGGAGAGTCGCAAGGGGCATCGAGATACCATAGTCAAGCGTCGTGGGAAACTCAGTAGTGCCATGCACACAGCCAAATGAAAAGCTCAAAAATACAACTTCCACACTCAAGTCACGTTTCTTTTGTTCTGTGCGTGTACAATCTCTGCTTATCCAACGCCTTTTGCGTCCTCATATGCCACGTCGTGCTATCTATCCCCCTCCACCACATCTCCCTTCCGCCGACGCATCCACATGCAACCAAAAAATAATGCGAATGAGTGTAGAGTAAGTAGCTCCGAAGACCTTCGGGTGCAATTGAGACGCAAAAAGATGATTCGACCCAGACTTGAACTGGAGACCTTCAGTGGACCTAACAAGTGAATGTTAGACTGACGTGATAACCAACTACACCATCGAACCTTAGTTTGATGAAACAGCAAGATTTTATATAATAGATATCACGATTTGTCATTGGAATCGTGCAAGGAGGATTCAAATTTGGGTTTTAATGAGTTCCTCATTCTCCAAGACCCAGGAGTCACGTCAAGAGGGGCAATCTGAGTTTTCACGGGAGGGGGAGGGGCTGCATGGCTCCACAGCACTCCACTCCTCTCCACACCTCACCACGACCACACCATACTATGACCACCACATACCACATTCAGCACGAACAGTATCACACTTACATCTCAGATACGCGTCTTCTGTCGTGCACCACAACGTCTCGACATATCTGTTCTGTTTTGGATGCAGACAAGCCGGCGTATGCACACACTCGGACGCTTCACTTCAGAGGTCGTTGCGGTGGGGGTGTCTAGTGGTTCAACCTCAATTCCTCAGGGCTTACTGCCAATTCGAATTTTTGGGGCGGTGTATAGAGGTGGCTTGTGTCTGGTTTAAGCATTGAGCTGCTGCATGTGGTGTTGTTGAAGAGTGTGTTCGGTACCTGCAGAAGATAAGGTTCGTGCTGGATTGTGGTGACTTGGAATCAGTCTAAACTACGTTACCTGTGAGCTGGGTTGGCAATAGAAGGGGATGTGTGAAGAAAATACGGGTGCCTGCTAGTAGATGAACTTTGTTTCTGCCCTTCGGGCTCGTGGTGACACTACTTGGAACTGGATCAGATGGCACTGATGCGAGAGGTGCACATTACTTCTTCCTACACATAGTACGATGTATGCTCTGGGATATTCTCTTTGGATAAGTCTCTCTTGAAGGACAGTTAATCACCGCGAGACCCAAGAAGAATTTTCTTTGACTTCAAGTCCTACTTCGTCCATGGAAATATTCGTCACACATTGCTCAGGATAAACAAACTAGCCAACTGTGAAACTGAAACTGTTCCAGACAACAGCTTCATTGCTCTCGACGTATGATTAGAATATTCAGCTCGTTGAATACCTCGGCAAACATTTTCACAAGCATCAGGGCACGCGAGGAGAATATGAACAGTAACGTCCTTGGAAAATCGCATCGACATTTCTAGAGCTCTATGCCCAGCGATCAATCTTCATCAATCTTCCAGTCAACCAGGATGCCATTAGGAAGCATATCGATGATAACCACATCGACTTTGATATATGAAGTACCGAAGACCGTACCACAAACTACCGCATAGGGCAGCAAGCGCACCCAGAGCCCTCCTGGGTTCCATGTGTCCTACTCGATAGCACTATCAGAAAACGACAAGCTAAACCACAGTCCCGATATCCAGCTCGAGCAGTCTCAAGGTCCTTGATGTTTAGTTTGCTCGTATCGAACCAGCAACATCCCAGGTCAAGTGTATCGTAGCGTTAACAACACTGCCGGATACTGACCATCACAACACAGATATGACCCTGTAACTGAAACCAACCTATCGAATAATTACAGTGAATGCTACCTTATACCACCACCTAAATAGAAGCCCACCGATCCTTCCTACACTAGTACCTACAAGGACACCCGATCCCCTCTCACCACGAAACAGATTAACCCAGGCCTCTGGCTGGCTCTACAAGCACATGAAGCGACCAGTCACAGACCGGCTTATCAATCACTGCCATAGCACAAATATACCGCCATCAGGCAATTTGCCCGACAGCTGCAGCGGCCTGCACATATAACTACCGACGGCTTCGGCCGTTATACTTGAAACCCCCGAAGTTTACATTCCGCGGCCTTGTTTGTCTGGCCGACTACACAGCGCCTTTCCGCGGCCCTCTTGCTCGCCCGGAATAGGTTAGCCGGTGGCTTACTCGACGTGATGACGGCGATACCAACGCGCCTCTGTGTACACAGCCGCGCCGGTCGGTGACCGTCCGGTGATGCGCCGGATCGTGGGGGGACGGGGGAGGAGGCGCCTCTCGAGGCGGTGCCGAGATCGGGTGGGAGGAAGGACGATGTTGTTTGTGGTGTTGTCGTTGTGGGCTGGGTGACAGGGGACGACTGCGCGGTGGTGGCAAAGACGAAATGATGGAAGCGATGGTTGTCGTCTTCCGGTTGAGCGATGTACACAAAATCGATGATTACTCTTGTGCTTTGCTTTTAGAGGGAGGAATACGATTGAGTCTGCAGAATCCATCGTTTCACCACGTCTGGTTACAGCAAACCGTCACCAACTTCCCCGTCGATATCAAGTGCTAGAGCATTCATACCACATCTAAACGAACATCCATAGGTGATCGAGCCACGACCCAGCCCCTGGTGATATGCAAAGGATCAGCGCTGCGGGGGTGAGAATGGTGTTGGCAAAACCTCCAGCGGTGCAGACAGTCCGATTTCGCATCACGGTCAAGTAGACCCCGGAAAGTATTGGAAACGCTATCGCTTCCTCTCTTCGCATGCAGAGGTAGCCTCGAAATCCTCCTCACTGCGCCGCTGTTCCCCCACCAACCACACCCACCTCAGACAGCAGATCTCGTTTACAACACGCCTCATGGACCCAACATCTCCACCACGCCCCGCAGCGCCGCTGGCATCCCGCCCCCAGAACTCCACTATGACTCCTTGCCATCCCCCCTCAGCCCCCCCAGCCGCAGCTGATTCCGCTTCCCCAAGATCCGCAGTGTGTTCTGCCTCTCGATCTCGGCCATACTATCCCAGTTCGCGATGCGCGACAGCGAACCGTCCTTGTTGACAACAAGCGGGCCAAGGTGGTCCAGCTTGACGCCCTCGCCGTTGACGCTGATCTGGGTTGCGGCGGAGGAAGGCTCGGGCAGGGGAAGTGGTGCTTGGGTGGCTGGGGAGGACTGCTGCTGGGTGTCTGGGGACTGCTCTTGGGGGTTTGGCGGCTCGGACTGGGCTTGGCTTTTTGGTGCGTTGGATGTGCTGGATGCCATTGCGCGGGTGGAGCGCGAGTGTGTCAGTTGGCGTGCAGTGAAGGAGCGGACACGTAGGTGCAGAGCGAGTCGCGTGGATCGGTTCATTGATTTCAGATAGTAGTCTGGCTGGGGTGTGTGATGTGCAGGTGTTGCGGGCACGCAAAAGCTTCTCTTTCTGTTCTAGAAGCTCCGCCGCGTCCGAGCTTGAAATCAGGATGCATCTTGCATCTTGACGTGCAGCGAGTACTTTCGACAGGGTAGTAGTTTCAGTGTTGACTGGACAGGGCTCTCACATGAGCCTGGGAGTCCGACACGCAGCGCCACATGCTGACACACACCAAAGCAGCCCTGCGTACTCTTGGTGAAGCTTGCAGTTTCGCGTGTATTCGCCAAAACGGGTGTGACGCTACAAGCCTCCTGAGGCACGCCATGGCAATCCTCAGTGGCCGAGACAGCCTCGCAACGAGGTCGCAACAAGGCGGCCATTGCGAAACCAACTGGATCATACGTTCGCAGACCGCTTATGTTCGGCCAAGTACATACAGCGACCCAGCCATAAGGAATGTGCTGGAACTGCACTTCCGGTGGCGCACAGCGCCAGACGAGCGGCAACGACCGGGCCTTTTCCTCCTCACCGACATTGTCGCTTTGCCACCGTGCTCGTGACCGGAGGTCCGAGCAGACAACGGGCCATTGCGGCAGGGTCGCTGCTGGGGCAGGGTGTCGCGATGTTTGACCAAGCCAGTCAGCTGCACGACATCTTTGCTCCACGGGTCGCCGCTCCTTCCGTGTCAGGTTGCGAGGTGACTGGAGGCGACAGCCCACTCTTTGCCCACAGCCGAAATCATCCACTCCCACATGCGGGTATGTAACCGTGGAGTGGGACTGAGCTTATTTGAACTTCGTCGAAGATGCAGTGTGTCCTCTGCAAACTCGCCTTCGGTCGCCTTCCTTGATCCGCGCAGTGAAATGCCAGCACATTGCGGCGCGCGTGCAGGCTTGGACCATCGGGAGGACCTGGCAGGGCAAAGCGCCGGCCAAAATTGCGAGGGCAGTGAGGCTTCCAAGAGGCGCTGCACCGGTTTGGCAACTGGTAGACATTGCCTGCAGCAAGCATCCCACAAACGCGCGAAACACGTGGGGGCACGAATTGACCACGTACCGCTGTCCATTCCAGAATCGTGGAAGTCGAGCATACGTACCCAGGCTCTGGCAAGCAGTCGCCGCAGTTGATTGGCAAGCAAAGCAGCGAGAAAATTTCTGCGAGCCTAGGGCAAGCACCATTTTCCTATCGGGTTAAGGAGCCGGGCTGTTGCCCGTCTGCCGCGCTGTTGAGTCGCGAATACCTGCCAAGACAAGCAAGAATGCAACGCAGATTGAGCAGCAAAGCCACGAACAAGGCGTGCTGTGAGGTAGCATTCAGATGGTGCGAGTATCGGATGTGTCACATTATGTGCTCAAAAGCCGGTACCCGCGGTCGGGATTCCGCTTTGAGACGCGACAAGGCCAGCCTGCGCGCTGGTTGGTGACTTGGTATCGTGACAGAGCGCGCTAACCGTGTTGCACACGAGCATGCATAAGCTGACCTTAGCAGACTGACGTCTGTTCAACGGCATCTGGTTGACGCGAGCGCAGCAGCGGCATCAGCAGTTGGCCACCACCCAGTGCACGCTGTGCTTGCAGATCAGGCCACACTGGCGAGCGGCGCGACTAGTCTCGAGAGATTCCATGCAGCTTTCTCGAAGGCCGTTACTTGGTGCGCGAAAGAAGGCCGAGGGTCCGAAAGGACGCCGTTGCAGGCATTGCATGGCACCCTTGCCGATTCGTCGGCAGGAGCTAGGATCCACGTCATTCCCAACCTTTCGCTTTGCGTGCACCTGGGCGACGGCGCGCGGAGCAGTGTCAATGGCGGGCATGGCCAGTCGGTGCAGAGCAGCGATCGCCGCGCTGGTCGACCGGATTGTTCTTGCAATCCTGCAATCCGGGAAACAAACATTGTCTGTCGTGGGTGGGACGCGTTCAGTTTCACCGGCAGCGGAAATAGGAAGACCCTTGAAGCCGAGGCCAGCCACAGCCGCCGCACGTCGTTCGGCACAGTTGCTCCAAAGTTATCCGGCCTTTGTGCGCTGCCCTCGCGGGCATAAATCAGACAAAGAGCGTCTGAGCACGGCGAATCGCTGCCACGCACTGCGCAGAGAGCGAGTGTTGTCGAGCAGATATCGCAGGCAGCCTGCAACAGCCTGCAAGCGTGTTAGAGTTTGGTTCACGCGCTGCCGGATGACGGAGTGCCTAACGCTTTTTGAGGCTCTTATCGATTTGCTGCCGTGTGTCCGTAGCGGGATGAAACCGCACAGCGACATCGATTCAGAGCACCACCCCAGATGATCCTGAGCGAACATGGCACGACTCGAGAGCGCAAAGGGCGCGTAGAATAGAATAATGCAGATTACATACAGAAACACAATTGGGCCTGCTGCATGGCTAGCAGCTGCCAACGCGCCTATCGCAGCTGGTGACGAGCTTTTGCAGCCATCGACTCGCTCAGCAGAGACGGCATCGCGAATCTCTCTTAGCAGCGCCGTACGTAGTGAAAAGTCATCATCGCGGCCATCACGTGTTCTTCGTAATGCAATGCTGGTAGGCTCGCCCAAGCGTCCAGCATCTCCTGCCCGTCACCTCCTCGCAGCAGTTCGTCAGCCTACACACCCGACGCGTTTGCCGCTGTCTCAAAAACCTCTAGTGGGACCCGTCGCCTGCCCTTCCCACTCTCTCTCCTAGCATACCCTCCAGGCACAACATCCTCCGGCAAGACCCGGCCACAGACGTGAGCACAGAAGCAGGAATCGCGCGGGACATCGGCGTCGCTGCTCTACACTCGCGCAAAAAACTTCGCCGAGTAGTTTCACTGCGTATCACCCCCTCCTCCAGTCCCTACCCCATCGCCAGCAGCTTTCGTGGGTCTCACCTGCCTGACTGCTCGTGCCTCTGCTCTCCACCTGCATCTGCCCGTTGTCGAATTTGGAGGCTGAAAGTGGGCCCTCCCTCGATCGCCCGCACACACACGCGCCGCAGTCCCTGGCCCGCTAGAGAGCGCCGTCCGAGCAAAGACCTCATCATCATAGCTCACAGATTATTCTTCCCATCACCACCTGACCGCCAGCCCGGCCGTCGCCACTACTCCTCCCCAATTTGCTCCCAGACAACTGTGGGCACAGCCATCGATCCCCTCACGGAGTAGCTGCCGTCGCGTATCTGCAGTCTCCATTCATCGCACTCCCCCACACGGGCTCCACAAAGCTTCTTCTTTCGTGGACCTCCGTTCCCCATCCTCCCTACTCGTGCTGCCCAGTCGGCACATTAGCAGCCGTCGCACGCGTCGCTCGAACCTGGGGTTCGTCGAATGAGATCGTCACCGACAACACCTATTGGTCGCGTCTCACCCCCATCAACACACTTTGCGACTCCCTCATAGCGCCCTGCACTCCTCCACTATGGACGCCCCCGACCGCTTCCGCCAGCCTGGTCTCCCGCAGTATCAGGGTCTGAGCCAGCAGTCCTACACGGGCGCGCAGCAGTCTCTGCCTACGCTGCCTCCCCTTCACAGCGCCGCCTCGTTCCCGTCATTGTATGGCGGCCATCACAGCAACCCGCAGACGCCTCAGCCGCCTCACACGCCTGTAACGTCTGCGCCCAACGGCAACAGCACCATGCCCCCACTACAACACCCGCCGCTGAGGCCCATCCAGCCGTCGCCCTCATCGTACATGCCCATGTCGTCGGCCTACTCGCAAGCTCCTCTGCTGCCCACCGCGGCCGCCCACAACAACCAGCTCGGTGGCCCAGGTGGCATGGGCATGAACCACCCCTCGCTGTACCCTCACCCTCCTGTTCTCGCGAACCAGGAGCCTGAGCCTGTGCACGTCGTCGGCCAGCAAGGACGTCGTGGTGTCCTGCCTACACACCCTGGCCGGCCAGCTCCCGCTGCTGGAAAGGCGCCCACCCAAGCTACCAAGAACGCCGATGGCAAGTATGAGTGCCCGCACTGCAACAAGACGTACCTGCACCTTAAGCATCTCAAGCGCCATCTTCTGCGACGTAAGTACTCTTTCTTCTGCCTGCCGCGCACAACCTAACGCAGTACAGACACGGGTGAGCGCCCTTACCAGTGCCATCTGTGCAAGGACACCTTCAGCCGAAGTGACATCCTGAAGCGCCATTTCCAGAAGTGCTCTATCCGCCGTGGCAACCCTACTGGTGCCAACCACCTGCAGCATGCACAGCAGCATCTGCAGAAGAATCGCCCGCCAAATGGCGCCGAGGCAACATCATACCTCAATCACATCTCCGGCACTTCAATGCCGTACTCTGATGCTGGATACGCCATGGGAATGCCTCAGATGCCTGCTGTCGCTGCCAACGGATACGGGGGCGATCTCCCTTCCATCGCTGACCAGCACTCCATGTCAGCCAGGACGTCACGATCGAACAGCCTGATCAACCGTCCTGGCAGCGGTGTCGAGGAGAACAGGAGGAGCATGTCTGCATTGGACACATACGGACAGGCGCGTCTTAACTTCAATGACTACCGTCCCAACGCCATGTCCAACGCTGTGTCGCACGATCCCAACTCGTTCGCCGCACAACAGCAACAGCAACAGCAGCAGCAGCAGCAGCAGCAACAACAGCAGCAGCAGCAGCAACAACAACAACAACAACAGCAGCAGCAACAGCAGCAGCAGCAGCAGCAGAACAACGCAGCCGCTGCGGACCAAGCCAACCACTTCAGCTACAACCACCCCGCTGTCAACAACGACATGGCGCAGAACAACATGCCCGTCAAATCCGAGGGCGGCGACCCTACTCCTTATGGCGTCACCTCCATGCCCAACGTCGATGGCATCTCCAACGGACAGGACAGCTCCATGTGGCGTAACGGGGGCGCCTTCAACGGAGAATCACACTTTACGAATGGATCCAGTATGGCAGGTGGTCCAAACCAACATAAAGCGACTGGCGTTCTGACCGGTACCTTTTAGAACAACACAGATGATACACCAAAATATGATACCATGTTCACAGGCTTATACTCGAATCCCGGTTTCGCCGACTCCACTCCGTTTTTTGACAATTGGCCCCCTGCTTCCTCTGATCCCCTCCAAGAAAAGGCCGAGGCCCTGCTCAATTTCTGCTTCCCCAATGCGTCACTCCTGGCTCCCACATCCAACGAGGCTTATTCCTACGAAGCACTCAAAGGCATCCTTACCCCCGACAACATCAACCATCTCCTTCGGCAATACAAGCACTTCCATGTCCATTGGCCACTCATACACACTCCCACTTTCGACCCAATTGCTGCGTATGATGGCCTTGTTCTTACCATGTGCTGTGTTGGTGCCATCTATTCTGATAGGATGACCCCCAAGTCGGCGCGCTGGTTAACGGAACTTGCCCGGACTGTTGTGTTGCGTTCTAGCCAGATATACAAGATGGCCCAGAATCCACATCATGTCCTGGATCCTAACAGGCATTGCCCGACCGATATCGAAGAATTTCAAGCGTTGAGTTTGCTCCATAGTCTGTTCCTTTGGCATGGCAGCCAGAAACAACGACAACAAGGGCGTGAAGAGTTCTTCATTCTGGCCAACATTGTCCGTCGGGCAAGCTTTCTACAGCCTGTTCCGCGCAGCAATCCTGCATTCAGTTCTTTGCACGAGCCAGGTCCTATTACTGGGGATGAAGTCGCTTCATGGAACTGGGCCGCATGGGTGGATAACGAGAAGCGGGTCAGAGCGATGGCCTACATCTTCTTGATTGATGCAGCCAGCACGATATTCTTCAATGCACAGCCGCAGTTTGATGTCAACGAGATCAAGGTTTCACTGCCAGCAGACGATGCTGCTTGGGAGGCAAAGACGGAGGAGGAGTGTGCAAGTGCACTGGGTTTGCGCGGCGAAGCAGCACAGGTCACAAACACGTCTGGGAGTAGGCGCGCAAAGCAACTAAGCATGGCAGAGGCTTTGCAGGTTCTTTACAGAGGGCCGCATGGCCCGATTCCAGAACGCAGCACCAACGCGTTTGGCAAGTTCCGTAAGCACCCTCATTCCCGAATTTCGTTGATTGGCTTTTCTAACATCTCTCAGTCCTCATACATGCAATCCACGTCCAGATCTTCAACATTCAGCGCCAACTCCTCAGGCGTGTGTCTACAGGCGACAATGGCACTCCCGATGCGCCAGCAACTCCGCCCAATGGTGTCAGCGAACAAGTCCAACAGCTTCTCCGATCGACCGTGCAGGCCCTCGAACTGTGGAAGACTTGCTGGGACGTTGATCTGGCAATACAGTACCCTCCGACGGAGCCTCGTCTAGGCTACTGCAGAGACGGCGTGCATTACTATTTCCTGGCTCGTCTATTCCTGCGGAGTTCACGGAGAGAAGAGTGGGCAGCACCTGCAGACATGCGTTGCAGGCACGTTTTCAACCTTCTCAAACAAATCAGGGGACACGTCGCAGCCGACTCCTCCCAGAAAGGCATCGAAATTGGCTCAGCCACTACAGTCACCGATGACTATGGAATCAACGATCTCACGCTCAACATGAGGCATCTCTTCACACCTATCGAAACTTCACGGCCTACCCAAAGTCCCTCCCAGAATTTCCCGCGGTAGCCTTTGGGGCTTCTCCTCTTCTGCGAAGATTTTCCTTTCGACGAGACCGAGGACCAAAAAAAAATATATCTTCCAGCCTATGAACACGGTTTCATTGGTGTATCATCGCACAGTTCTACATTTACCATCAGCGTTTTTCTATTCTATCAGCGCGCAGGCAGGCGCAAAGTCGTGCATTACCAACGGAGTTACAGGAGTCTTTCAACATCTGCACTCAAGCCAGGGCGGTCATACGCACTCGACTTTTGACACTTGGTTGTCATCTCTCAAAAGCATTAGAAGCCACCTCACGGCGTAGAGCATTTAAAGGGCGCAACAACTGTTTGGCTTTCGAGGCAGTCTGGGCAATAGCGTCATAGCACAGCGGCGTCAGCGCTGGTGTGAGTGCATTACTCGACATCGGCTGTCGTTTCCTCTGAAACGCAGCGCAGATTAGACGGTTCGTCTTCGTCTTCGTGTGAATGTCTTGGGGTCTGTTCTTATCATTTCGATCATTTTTCCCTTTTGTTTCAACAGCATGGATGGGCGCACACGTTCTTACGGGTTTCATTAGAATAGAGAAAAGGTGCATCGGGATGCGTGCGAACGGACAGTCCCATAGCCGCCCTATGAAAAAGCAATCAATGATATACGTTTGATCACAAAGAGTGCACGCTGGAAGTAGTCGGAAATGTGAGGCTCAAAATCGGACAAAAGCTTGTATAGTGATGAGCCAATCTCTGCCCGTCATTCATCGCAACGCACCGCACACCTCGACCCCGTGCATTCATCCCATCCAAGGACACGGACTTCGATTGTTGATCAAGCAAACGTTCCGTACATCGCCGCATGTCGATTTAGATACACGATGCGGCTGCTCTCACAAATTTCTCGCCTGCCGGCGGTAAGGTGTGGAGCTGCTACGCGGATTGGATCGGCACAAAACACGCAGCTCCTCCGACCTTTGACCTGTTTGGAAGGCGGTAGACACTTCACCTCGAAGGCACAACCAGCACAATCGCACAGCCCCGCCAACAAATCTTCTCTGACCCAAGCGAGACATACAAGCACGCCGAGAGCGCAGCCAAGAACAAGAGTAGGACTCCGAACAGCACGCGCCCACTTCACCACTATGCATCGCGCGCCTGCTGCCATGGTTACTAAGCCGTTGACGGACCCCAATGTGGAGATCAGGACGCCCAGGGATCCCAACACGCTGTCGAATTATCACAACTTCGTTACGAAACATACTAGTGTAGATTTCGAGATCGACTTCGAGCATAAGATCCTGAGCGGTGCAGTCGGGCTTGATCTGGAGAGCTTGACAGACGAGGAAGTGAAGGAGGTTGTATTGGACAGCAGGTCAGTGATGATTGAAACCTATTATCGGACTGATTGTAACACTACTCAGCTTCCTCGACATTTCTGATGTAAAGGTTGATGGAAAGAGCGCCAAGTTTGAAGTGGGAGACCGCATTGAACCCTATGGCGCCCCTCTGCGGATCACTTTGCCTTCGTCCGTTCCCAAGGGCAAAATCGTCAGCGTTGTTATCGCTGTCTCAACGACCGAGAAGTGCACCGCGCTCCAGTGGATGACGCCTGCTCAGACCTCCAACAAGAAACACCCCTACATGTTCAGCCAGTGTCAAGCCATCCACGCTCGTTCGGTTTTCCCCTGTCAAGACACCCCGGATGTGAAGTCGACGTTCAGCTTTGCCCTACGCTCGCATCTCCCCGTGCTTGCGTCCGGCCTGCCAACTGGTGCGAGCGATTACCAGCCGCCCAAGAAGGAGGGTGAGCAAGGCACGCTCAAGTACACATTCGAGCAGAAGGTGCCGATCAACAGCTATTTGTTTGCCGTCGCCAGTGGCGACATCGCGTGTGCCAGTATCGGTCCACGAAGCACGGTCTGGACTGGTCCCGAGGAGCTGCTTGACTGCCAGCGCGAGCTTGATGGAGAGATCGAGCCTTTCATGAAGGCTATCGAGTCCACCGTCGCGCCTAAATACCAGTGGACGCAGTACAACATCCTCATCCTGCCGCCCTCTTTCCCCTACGGCGGCATGGAGAACCCCGTCTGGACCTATGCCACACCTTCCATCATCTCTGGCGACAAGCAGAACATTGACGTCATTGCCCACGAGCTCTCCCACTCTTGGTCCGGCAACCTTGTTTCCTGCGCCAGCTGGGAGCATTTCTGGCTGAACGAGGGCTGGACAACGTACCTCGAGCGCCGCATTCAGGCCTACATCCACGGCGAACCGCACCGCCACTTCTCTGCCATCATTGGCTGGAAAGCTCTGGAGGAAAGCATCGAGCGCTACGGCACTGACCACGAGTATACCAAACTCATCACCGACCTGAAGGGCCAGGACCCCGATGACGCTTTCAGCTCTGTCCCGTACGAAAAGGGCTTCCACGCGCTGTACCAGTTCGAACTCCTCCTGACAAAGGAGAAGTGGGACACCTTCATCCCGCACTACTTCTCCACCTTCGCCAACAAGTCCCTCGACAGCTACGACTTCAAGGCCTGCCTCCTCGCCTTCTTCGCCTCCGACGCTGAGGCGTCCAAGAAACTCGCCGCTTTCGACTGGGACAAGCTCTTCTACGCCCCCGGTTACCCGCCCAAGCCCGAATTCGACGACTCCCTCGTCAAGTCTTGCTACGCCCTCGCCGACAAGTGGGAGGCCCGCGTCTCCGGCGCCGAGACCGCCTCTTTCACCCCCAAGGCCCAGGACATCGATGGCTGGGTCTCTAACCAGTCCGTCGTCTTCATCGAGCGCCTGCAGGCGTTCGGCGCGCGCTTTTCCGCCGCCGATGTCAAGCTGCTCGGCGACACGTACGGGTACACCACCACTGCCAATATCGAGGTCTCCAGCCGCTTTTTGTGCTTGGGTCTCAAGGCGAAGGCGCCCGAGACGTACAAGCCGGCGGCGGAGCTGCTGGGCCGCATTGGCAGGATGAAGTTTGTGAGGCCATTGTTTAGGCTGCTGAACGAGGCGGATCGCGAGTTGGCGGTTGCGACGTTTGAGAAGAACAAGGACTTTTACCACCCGATTTGTAGGCAGATGGTGGAGAAGGATCTGTTTGGGGATGAGAGTAAATAGGTAGACAGCTGTGTAGTTTGAATACAACGAGATGAGACAGATGACTCCCCAGTAAAATCTCGATAGTGATGTGCATGATGACAGGAGGTCGAGATGTAATGCTTCTTTTGGAGATCTAGAAAAAGTGACAAAGGCCTGCTGGCATGCACGCTACCCAACGCCAACCGAAAACCACCTCAATCCGTCTTGCTACTATCGCCCTTACGGCTCCGCTCTCTCAACACGAGGTTGAAGTCCTGCCTTGAGCTCTGAAACTGCTGCGCCCTTGCCGCAGACTCTTTCGCAGCCGAGTGCCGACTCACAGACCTCTCTGCGTTGATACTTGGCACCACGAGCCCATCCCTGGGCCGGCCCCTATCCTCCTCTCCATCACCAATCTCAAACGCATCGTCCTGCATTTCAATTAGGTCGCCTAGCCCGCCGCCCGTAGCGCCAACACCGGGCACGACTTTCTGCCGTCCGCCAGGCGTGCCGGGCTCAGCAAGCAGCTTCTGGGCCTGGGAGCCGACTTTGCGCATCCAGCCCTCGATCGCACCGCCGATTTCCTGCAGATTGAGGTCGCCGCCTGACGGAGTGACGACGCCTGAGCCGGGGCCACGCGTGCCGTCGGTGTCGAGCAGGGAGGGTGCCCACGGTGTGAAATACTCTTGTCCGGGGGGCGGCGCCACGTTGGGCAAATGTGCAGCGAACATCTTGTTCAGACCGTCTTGTGCGGGCCCAGGGCTGCGCACATTGCGACCAAGCGTGCCAACACCGCCAGGGCCAGATAGCCACGGTTTAGGCGGTTGCTGTTGACCGGAGGTGCTGCGTTGACGACTGTGCGCGGAGAGAGAAGATATATTACTTGATGCACGGGGGCGAGTAGGCTGGGAAGGCGAGCCTGTGTGGATATTTGGATTTGTAGAGGTCGAGGAGCGCGGTAGGTCAACAGAGGCGCGTGGTGTCGATGCGTCATCCGAAAAGGCAACCGATTTCCGGCGGGCGGGGGGAAAGAAACCCAGAGCGCGACGGGGCATGCGTGCGATCTGTGTGGGCTGTTTATCGTTGGGAAGAAGGACCCAGGAGTCGTGTGTCCAGGGATTGTCAGAAGCGGCATTGGAGGATACGACAGAGCTGGTGTCGGTGGCTTTCTGTTTGAGTGTTGTCCAGCCATTGGGCAGGCCTTCTGTGTCTGGTTTCTTACTCGAGGTGTCGGCGTATTCGCCAAGTAGCAGATCCTCCTCTGGCAGGGCGTCCGGCCCCTGCGCTGGCCGCCCCTTGACGCCACAAGCGTGTACAGGGAGCACTATCGTCTTCTTAGAAAGGATGGTGTCGTTTGGCCACATGCGATTAGCTTTCCGCAGTACGGATTGCTCGCAGCTGTACTTGATGCAGACTCCAGCAAGTGTGTCTTGCTTCTTGACGTGATGTACGTATACCAGCGCATCACCGTGATCGTTGTCGCCGGGTGGTGCGGAAGCACTTGTACGGTCGTCGGAATTTCTGCGCTTCATGCGGCCAATCGAGTCTGGCTGCAGATGCTCGGTAGCATTGAGCAGGTCCCTCCGCTTCATAGCTCGCACCATTGCCTCCCGCTCTTCCTGTGTGCCGGCACCCACATGCGAGCCAGCGCCTGCGGGGCCCCATTGTTTCGGCGGCGGAGCGCTGGTAGACGTGCGTCGTGTATGTGTCGGATTGCGTCTTCTAGGGGTAGCCGAGGCGTTGGACGCGGTCTCGCTACCAAGGACATTGGCTGCCAGCCCCTGGACTGCGGACCACGAGTTACCAAACAGCCCTGAAAGAGTCGATGATGTGTCCCGGGTAGCCTTTGAGGCCTGAATGCCAGCAGATTTGAGGAATGCCGACGGTGCCAAGGTGACGTTGGCTGGAGACGATGTCCTCGAGGTCAGCCTCGAACCGATCCTTGAGCTGAAGCCCTCGCTGTCGTCGGTTGCGTAGATGTCATCCTCGACGGAGATTAGTCGCCGGGTCCGCGGGCGCAGGGTCGAGCTGCTCTTAGAGGTGGACAACGAGGAACCATTGGTGGTGTTCATGGCATGCGGGGTGGATCTGGTGGAGCTGCATAGGCCAGGCAAAGGAGCGAATCGGTAAGAAGCATTACTGTGGCATTCTTGGTGCGCAGAGCGAGTAAACGAGTTCTGGCGGGTCCAAACAGCACATGCAACGTCCGGCGAGGTGTGAGGTTGGCTGCGACGTGCGTACGTAGCTTCCCCGGTCGAAGGCCGTGCGCAAGGGTCCAAGACGGGCGCGCAATGCCGACCGAGCCTCACAAACCGAAGAGCCTCAAACAGGACACGCAAACTCCTTTTGACTACTCCGAAACAGACAGATGGGTGGTTGGCTCCTTGCTTCTGGCTCGAGCATGTCGTCGTGCAACTCTGAACACGAGATAAGGCCAGATAACAGCATGACGTAGTGCGCCATTCGGTCACCGTCGGTCTTGTTTGGGTAACGGTCACGATCTCGACTACCACAAAACCAGAAGCATGATCGTGCAGCCACCAATGCTGCCAGGCATAATTGTTGACTATACACTGGGTCTTTGAGATATATACTAGAGGCGAAATGTCCATGAGAAGACACGCGTTGTACGCCATGCTTGCATTCTATCCACAACTACGAGCCATGCGTCGTTATATCGCCTGTGTCTGAATCCATTCATCGAAAAGGACTGGAACTTGTTACTGTATCAACAGTCGCAAACTCGAGCTCGAAGTCATCGATTGCCTCGAACTTCTTACGAATTGCGGCCAGCTTATCAGAAACCTCAAGAGCAGAGTACTCTGGCGTCTCGTCTGCTTCTTCTGCAGCCGCGCCGTTCTCTTTGTCAGACGATATCCGGCGGCTGTATGTTCTGCTTGCTTTGCCCGCGGCTTTGTTAGGCGCTGCGCCTTTTCCGCCACGTGCTGTCTTCTTGGTGGTCTTCGGTGAGGCTGTCTTACCCGCTGGTTGTTGACGGGCTCGTCGAGTTGGCATCTGTAACTCATCTTGGTCGGAGTCGAACTGCGTCACGTCTTCTGAGGACGTGAAGTCGTATTCGTCCTGGGCGCGAATTCGATTTCGTCGGCGAGGTAGAAGACCCTTTAGTTGTGCTGTCGATATGACATGCTGCGCTTTTACTTTGGCATTGCGCGCCTGCTTCACAGGAGTCTCAGTCCCCTCTGCGTCTGAGTCTTCGTTGTAAGTCATTTGCTTGCGAGCTCTTCCTCTTCGACGGGCTCGAGTTTGCTGAGGTGATGCTGCTGGATGAGAGACCTCGCGCACAGGGCTGCTTGATTTTGGCGAAGCAAGAGTCTGGCTTAGAATCTCTTGATCATCCTGTGTCTGTTCAACTACCCCCTCGCGCGACGGCAGAACATCTGGCAGACTGGGAGAAGGAGACCTTGCTGAATCTACGTCTGCGCCAGATGGTGGGTCGTACGGCGGCGACGAACGCGGCACTTGCACGACTGGCGTTAACTTGCGCTTTCTACCACGTGATCCTGAACTCGAAAGGTGTGCCCCACTATCATGTGCCCCTTCCGTCTCGTTCGTAGTTCTTTGCTTATTGATCGGTGTGGATTCGTCCTGAGGAACGAAGTCGTCGAAGTCAAAATTGTCTGTATTGCTTATGCCGGACTCGTCGTTATCTTCGACATCTGTCGTCTGTTGGACCATCCGGAGCAGACTAGGCTGTCTGGCTCGCCTTTTAAAGTTGGTCAACAGAAGAGAGGTTTCGTGCGCTGGTGTTGCGCCTACTTTCACAGCAGAAGGAGGGCGCGTTCCATGTGCTGGCGATTCTGAGTTGAGCGAAGAGAATGTGAGGTCTCCGAAGCCGCTCGTATCTCCTTCTTCGGGGGTATCATGACTTGCGGCTTCGTCTGAAGGGCCGCTCGGCGCTTGTGCCACTGCTGAAGATGGCTTCGCTGCAGAAGATCGTGCGCTGCCTCTTGTGGCGCGTGTGCCAGTTGATCTTTTCGATGCCGGTGTACGAGGCTTAGACGTAGTTTTGGGTGATTGATCTTCGGCAGGCAGCGCGCCAGTCATCTCTAGGTCCGTCTCATGGACTGATCCTTGCCCCGGCGCACCCCGTTTGGCGCGTGTGGACCTTGTGTTTGTGACCAAACCATCGCTATCATCGCTGGAGCTTTGTAAAGCTGCCGCGGCCTTCCTGGTCTGCTTTGTAGTTGGTTTCGCGGCTGCTGGCGCAGCTTGCTTGCGCGCGATGGGCTTTGCGACGCGTGTAGTCGTTGTGGTTTTTGATTGAATCTTTGCGCGCGCTGGTCGCGGCATTGTCGGTAATGAATGTTGACGCGTGGGGCTTTAGGGGTGTGCTGTGCTGCGCGCGATCGAAAGAGGACTTCCTCGTAGCTGTTACGGTTGGCGGCAAGTGTTCGTGTCGTCGATGCTGTCATCCTCAATGAAGCGCGTTGTTAGCGTGATGCTGTGTGTTGTGCACCACGTGCGGGGCCATTCACAGCAACACAATTATGCGTATCAATCACTGTGGGATAGAAGGGCATAGTGGCCTTGTTGCGCTTGCACTTCAGGTGGATGTTGGAAAAGTCACAAGACATAACCGGATTGAGCACCGGTGAAGACGACAAGGCAGCTACATCGCGCTCCAGCCTACTTAACTCTGTGACGGAGCCCGGCTGGCATCTATAGCAAGCCTCGAGTAGTCTCCCCTTACTTCAACTCCAACATGAGTGTCTCAATGCTACCTTTCGACTCCACCTCCCTACAACAGTACGCGATACCCGAAAGCGAGTATCTTAGCCAGCACCATGACGTCCATGTAATATGCACAGGCGCAGTCGTTTTCAACAACGAAGGGAAGCTGCTTCTCGTCCAGCGTGCCAAAGATGAGAAGGCATACCCGGACGCCTGGGTAAGCTTTTGAAAACTGGCCTTTGACTTGATGTATTCCATACTTATCGATGTACAGGAGATTCCTGGAGGCAAGATGGACGATACAGACGAGACTATCTTGCACGCTGCAGCACGCGAACTAAAGGAGGAGACTGGCCTTGTTGCGACTCGTGTAGTCAGAAAAGTGACACAGTTCACGTTCGCTGACGGTGGGAAGAAGCGAGCAGGAAAGACGTGGCTGAAGGTACCTTGGAATCGAATCACTGATGATGCAACGGAGAATGCTGACAGCCTCGCAGTTGGTATTTCAGTTCGAGGTCGACAATGCCGACGCTGTCGTCTTGGATCCTATTGAGCACCAACGCTTTCTTTGGGCCTGTGAGGAAGAGATTACAAATGATCTTGTCAAGGAAGGAAGCACGCCTCTAAACTACATCTCACCAACAAACAAAGACGTCAAGCTGGAGGCATTCAAGCTGCAGCGAGAGGCAGTGCTAGCCTAGAGATCCCTTAAAATCGAAAGTAGTGGAGAGGGCGTCGCCAATACGAGCTACTCCTGCATGCAAAGTGATTGTAATTACATGGCTTACATTGGGCGCACCGTGCACTCGCACATGCTGCAACTTCATCCTGTACAATGCCTCTCATGTGACGAAGCATCTGGCTTGCGGGGAATGGGGGCTGCCGTGCCTGGAGCTGCGGCGGGAAGGGGGTGATGTGCAAAAGTACCCTGGAACCGTCCAATGGCAGGCGAGCAGTTTGGGAAAATACCGGGGAATGCAATGCACATGAACGCGCCTCGTCGTCAAAGCCCGGGGAAGGCGCGGGCCAAGTCGCGTGAGAACGGCAACAACGTACTCATAGGCCCTACTACGCAGTGACATAACAGTCGCTCGACGGCCATTTGTAAAAGGCTAGCAAGCAAAAGCAACCACTGTTCCGAGAGGTGCATGGTGATCGCCGTTCAAGGCCGGAACCCACTACTGCTTAGCGCAAATACCGCTCCAGGGCTTGAGGCACACTCCAGGACTCGATCGCGTGTCGGCGGAGTCGCAACCACTACCTACCCTCGACGCAGCGACGACAGTATGGCGTCTGGCGAGCACAGTTTCATGGCGCAGCCAGCGCAGCCTCCAGTTCCGTCACCGCTGGCCCCGCAGCCCAGCAACGGCGCATCGTACGTCCCCGCGGGTGCCCGCAGACACCCTGGCATGAGGCTCACAACACCACCAGGAACAGCCCAACGTCGCAGGCGGTCCCGCCTGGCCATCCCTCATTCAGACGGCAGCGCGCCAGTCGAGCATGCGAGAGTGAGTCTGCCCCGTCCTTGCGCAGGCTTTTGTTCCTGAAGAAAGGCCGGGAGAGCTGCGGCCCATAGCTTCGCTTGGATGCCTCGGCACCTCGGTCTGACGACGAGTGAATGCGACAAATGCTAACAGCGCATACAGCATGCCATTCGCGCAAAGTGAGTAATCACGAAATGCCCAGCCGTGACTGGCGATAGTAACAGCTGCGCAGGTCCGATGCGACGCCGCCTCGTTGGGTGTCCCCTGCACCAACTGCACCGCCTTCTCCATCGAATGCCGCATCCCTACCCCGAAGCGCAAGAAGACGCAGACGTCGCGAGCCAAGGACGGAGATGGCGCCAGCGAAGCAGGCGACAATGATGTTCGCTCGCCGGGGAGCACCTCTGTCGAGCCGCGCGACAAGACAACAGTGTCCAACTCGGAGGACGGCACGCCAGCAAACACCTTCTCTCAGGCCTATGCCGCCCAGCAGGCCGCCCACCATGGAACATACGTGCAGTTTATGAAGCCCAAGTTCGCCAGAGCGCCCATCAAGGAGGCTGGCCGCGTCGCATATCTGGGCGAGTCGTCCAACTTGTCTCTACTGGTCCACGACCGCTACGGAACAACGGATGTGGTGCACTATCCATTGCCGGAAAATGTGCGTGGTGCTAAAGCGCGTGTGAATGAGATGGACAATATGGAGATCGAGATTCTGCACCAGAGAGGCGCTTTTCTGCTCCCCCCGCGGGCACTGTGCGATGAGCTTGTCGAGGCCTTCTTCAAGTGGGTTGCGCCAGTGGTGCCTGTGATCAACCGCAGTCGGTTTATGCGCCAGTACCGAGATCCAAAGAACCCTCCATCTCTGCTTTTACTGCAGGCCGTCCTCTTGGCTGGCTCAAGAGTCTGCACCAATCCCCAACTAATGGATTCAAGTGGTTCTACTACGCCGGCTGCCATGACGTTCTACAAGCGCGCAAAGGCCCTGTTTGACGCAAACTTTGAGGACGACCGAGTCACCATCGTCCAAGCGTTGATTTTAATGGGCTGGTACTGGGAAGGGCCTGAGGGTACGAGGACTGAAGATGTATTTACTTTGACTGGCTAACTCACCATAGACGTGACAAAGAACGTTTTCTATTGGACTCGTGTCGCCATTGTCGTGGCACAAGGATCGGGCATGCACCGAAGGTAGGTGATATCGAAGACTCCAACTTGAGTAGAGACTGACAATAGCAGCGTGGAGGGGTCACAACTAACGCGGTCAGACAAGCGGTTATGGAAGCGCATCTGGTGGACACTCTACAGCCGTGACCGTTCGGTAGCGGTTGCCCTTGGCAGACCGGTTGCAATTGATCCCGAAGACTCTGATGTGGAGATGATCTCAGAGGATGACTTTATCGATGATGAGACTGACCGCCCGGCTGAGCACCCCCCAGATCCAGTTCACGTTCAGTTCTTCATCAACTACGTTAAGCTGAGTGAGATTATGGGTCTGGTCTTGTCGCAGCAGTACTCTGTGGCCTCCAAGTATCGCAGAGCCAACGCCATCGACCTGACCCATAGCGATATGGCCCTCGCAGATTGGCTACAACATTGTCCTCCTGAAGTACAGTGGGATCGGACGCGACACCATTTCTGGGCTGCGTTATTGCATGCGAACTACTACACCACCCTCTGTCTGCTGCATCGTGCACACATGCCGCCGGCTGGATCACCGAAGGCCACCAACCTGGACGGCTTTGGTGAAGAGCACGCTTACCCATCAAGGAACATCGCATATCAGGCCGCGGCCATGATCACATCAATCATTGAGAACCTCCGAGCGCATGACGAGATACGGTACACGCCTGCATTCATTGTCTACAGCTTGTTCTCTGCTCTTATCATGCACGTTTATCAGATGAAGTCGTCGAACAAGTCAGTTGTGTCGGCGACAGAACAGCGCCTGCAGATCTGTTTGGATGCTTTGAGGGAGGTATCCAAGGTCTGGCTTGTCGCAAAAATGGTACACACGCTGTTTGAGTCCATTCTGGGAAACAAGAACCTTGAAGAACGTCTACAGAAAGCTGCTGGTAGAAATCACAAGAAAAATAAGCCAGCTAGTGTGCCACCACCCCCGCCAAAGCCAGTACAGGAGGCTCCTAAACGCAAATTCGAAGAGATGGATTTTGGAGGGTTTCCAACAATTAATGGACCGCCGGCTGCTCAGGTCTCATACGAACGTTCAAGGCCCCAGACTCCCGCAGTCACGCCGTCTCGAGAGCTCCCACCTCAACAACAACAACCGATGCCGCAAATGTCAGCCGGGTCTCCACAACTGAATCGCCATAACCATGACACTTTCATGGGTCCATCACGCTCAGGCACCCGTCCGACAACTCCCTTCAACCCTTCCTACTCATATCCTGGCACACCTCCTGACTTGTTCCTGATAACTCGTGATACACCAAACATCAGCCAAGAAGTCTGGCAGAACTTCCAACCAGACCAGTTGTTTCCAGCAGATACTCAAGTCAACTTCCCTCAGCCAGCCCAATCGCTAGTTGATCCAGCATTGTCACAACCTCAGAACATGCCCATGCAACAACAAAGCAACGGCAATATGCAGTCGCAACCACAGCAGCCCCAACAACAGATGCAGAACTCTATGAGCGGCCAGTTCGACCAAAACAACCCGCAAGCATGGGCGCAACAGATGGAGATGATGCACCAGAACCAACAACAGAATGGCGCGCAAGAGGATACTTGGAGCAACAGCTCCGGCGGGAGACACAACCCAGTTGTGCCGATGAGTCTCAACGTAGACGACTGGTTCAATTTCTTTGGTATCAACGGTGAGGCTGACATGTCGCACCTCTTCCAACACGGTCCATCTTGAGAAACGCTGTCTGCCCTGGGTCAGAGACGATCTCTGCTCATAAAATATAGTGTATGGAGAGTTGCATAGCATTGGCGTTTTATCGGACAGCATCAGCACGGAGCGGATTTACTCCTATATACATGGAAAACACGTTGGTCTGAACTGACTTCTTGCGCAAGTCGTATCACTTGACTAGTGCGACCAGGTTGCAGGACCGTGTAAGAACAAATGCGCAGTGGGCTGCCATGGATTTGGAGGATTGAGAATAGAACACACACAGCCGAAATCATCACTGAATTTGATCCAACAGCCCCAATACACTGTACCCTATACAAATGAACGATGGGCAGCTGACAATGTACGTAAATTGCTATCATCCAGCCCTGTTCCTCTTTACGGACAGCCTGAGGCCCACCCTTCCGCAGCTCCCCGCCTTGAAACGATCAGCACGCCTTGCCTAAACTGCGTTGGCGTCTTGGCACCGCATCGCAATGCAGGTGGATCAACCTCGCCATACCACGCGACGAGCAATAGCACTGAAAGCGCGAGTTCGCCCGGTCTAGGGAACGACACCTAAGAAAAACACCTCTTGTAGGTCTGTAAGCAACACCGCAGCATGAACCGTCCAGGTCAGTATTCTCCAGCCATTCATTGAGCCACATCCATCTTTGCGACTGCGAGCCCCGAAATTGCGTACAACAATACGCGAATGGCATTGCACCTACCCTAGCAGTTTCCACTGCACCCAGACATGTAGAACAATGCCACAAGCTTGGACGATGGTGGCGCCCTGCGCTTTATCGTTCTCTCTCGATCTCCCCAATCGCCCTGGAAAGAGTACGGCACTGACAGCTTCCTTTGTAGCAGGACCAGGGCAGCAACTACACAACACACCTTCCAACATGTTTCAAGTCCGTCAAAACGAGAATCGCCAGCCGCTCGGAACAAACAGGCTCCAGAACGGCAAGCTGGGTGAGGAGACACCGACCGCGATAGTGAAGCTGTGGTACTGACTGAAGTGTTATCAGGCGGTGGACAAGCTCAGTGGGGTTCAAGTGCGTTCACCGGGCCAACTGGCGGCGCGCCAGGGCTACCGACCGCGCAACCACGAACCAACGGCGGACCCGCATCGAGCTTTGCGCAAGCAATGGGCAACTCACAGCCGCACACGCCGCTCAACCTTGAGTAAGTCACGGCTATGACATCGAGATACGAGGACAAAAGGAGACTGTTGGGGCAGCGCAAGGGCCAGCATCGGCAGCAATGCGCGCCTCGAGAGGCGCCTCTGTCGAAGAACGCATGCTAATTGTCTATGATTGCAGGGAGTTCCCGTCATTGTCCGGCGCACCTCAGGCACAGCAAAACACCACCGCTCAGCAAATGTGGGCGAATCCCACCCTACGAACCACCCCGCACACGACCATCCAACGACCGCAAGGGCAGACGTCACAGCAGGGACAGCAAGGTCAAGCGCCAAATCAACAACTACAGAGTCAAAATGAGGAAGACTCGCCACAAGGCCCATTTGGTGGTGCTGGTGACGACTACCGATTCGGTGGGCAGGGAGGGGTTGGACAGCTGTCTGGCGGTGTGCAACCACAGACAGGCAATATCGAAGAGTTCCCACCCCTAGGAAACAACGCTGCGGGAGAGATTGGCCCTGATCGACGAGCAGGTCTGATTCAGAACGCAGCTGCATTTGGGGCGGCTCCAGGCACGAGCGCTTTCCCAGGGCTGGGGCAAACACGGAACGGCTTGTCTAGTCCAACAGAGAGCCTAGGTAGCCGACCGTCGAACGTGACGGGTGGCGGCCTCGCAGGTGCAATGCGAGCAGGAACCAACCAACAAGAGGTGTGTACCAAAGGCCGTTTCAAGGCTTGAGCTAACTGGCCCAGGGTGGTCAACGAACAGGACAAGCGCCGGGGAATCTATCTTTCCTTGGTTCCAGCATGCGAAGTGGCGGCGATACCACGCCAGTAGGGCAACGGCCTCAGCAGAGTCAATTCGAATCGGGCTTTGGCGGAGATGGTGTGGGCTCGCCAAACGCTCAGCTACCGTTGCATAAGAAACTTGCTGAGATGACTGATCAGGAGCGTTATGGATTGCCGGGGCTTTTGTCAATGATACCGCTCGAGAGCCCCGACTACTCATCGCTGGCCATGGGGCAAGATCTGACAGTGCTAGGACTGGATCTTAGCCGACCTGAGTAAGTGCAACAAACTGTTTGTATGCATAGAATCTAACACGAATAGTAACTCACCCTTACACCCAACATTCGGCTCACCCTTCACAGAATCAAACGTCAAGCCCGTAATACCGCCGGACTTCACCCTCCCAGCGGCATACACGGTCACGAACGTCCCGCCCCTACACTCGAAGATGGCTAGCTTCTCTGCTGAGACTTTGCTAGCTATATTCTATCAGCATCCGCGCGATATATTGCAGGAGATCGCTGCAGCCGAGCTCTACAACAGGGATTGGAGGTGGCATATCAAGCTACAACAGTGGATGATGAAAGATCCTGATCTACCAGCGCCCATCCGTCTGTCACCAAAGGAGGAACGCGGGTGGTATCTATTCTTCGATGTCACAAACTGGAGACGCGAGAGGGTATGTACCTGCAGTGAAATTCTGACCGACTTGAATTAATAAATCTGCAGAGGGAGTTCGAGCTCAACTATGATCATTTAGATCAGCGCCATGGCAGTCCTGGCATGACAGGGGCGATGTAGTAGGCGCTCGTGATATTACGCTGGTCAAATGTTGCACTTACAGGGAACTGCTGGCTGTGAGTGTTTGCAAGGTAGTCTTGAAGAATGCTAATACCGGCGCTTCAATTAATCGACTACACACCGGGCTCTACTTTGCACGCAATATTCCTTCCTACGTGAATGCTGGTTCCTGCTGATTTTTGAGCAGAAGTTCTCTTCAACTTTGAGCACGTGCAGCTGATCTTCGCACTTTGTCGCGTCAAGGCTGCTTCTGTATCCCAACGCGATATCCTTCTCTATTTCGTCGACTCAACTCAGTCAGGCTTCCGTGATCTCCTGAAAATCACCGCCATTGGGCTGAGCCTCTGTCGAGCTAATCCGTGTCATCTAAAGCTGGTACAGGGAAGGGACATCCAAGGTCATGACGTCTTCTTGATCGTTAAATGTTAGCTACCATGGGATCACTACTAGACCAATGAGACGCCCAAAACTGTTGATCTGGATGTTTCGCTGGTTGTTCAATCGACGATGTTCGTTGATTCTAGGGTTCGACCAATGCACACCACCAATTGAAAGCTTCACTAGGATTGAGGGGGATGAACCACTGCCTATACCCCACGGAGGCACAATCGGTCCCTTGATTTCCACTGGGACAAAGTGAGCGACCTCTGAAAAGCACATACCCCGCATATTCTGTTCGGCTCAAGCGTCATTAAGGCGTTGTCTTGCGCATTCTTACTGCAAACATAGGGCCTCCCCTATGATTTTCATGGTGTGAGCTGGTTTGTGCTTCTCTTGACTATGACCCAGGGATTCAGAGATCGGCTCTGCGGTAGGTTTTCCTAGCTCCAGGTATATACCACGAGGCTGCACAATGCTGCACATCCGGTTCTGTCCACCACAGAGCCGGGCTCACCATGGCAGGTGAGGCGCCCCTCAGCCCGTCGCAAGTAAGAAGAGATGGACGATGGCGACCCGTCAGACACAAGACTGCTCCAAGTATCAGACCACTCCCTCGCACCTCCGACCCCCAACGAAGGTCATCGCTCAGAGCAGTGTTGAAGCGCAAGCCGTTATCGACCATCAGCGAGGACAAATCGCCCTCGCTGAAAAGTAACAGCACAGTCAGCCTTAGGCTCAACATCGCTCTACCATACCAGTCGTCCGTATTTTCTCACTCCTCCGACCACCTGCTCTACTTTCAGCCAAGTCAACAGTTGCAGAATTTACAGTCGGTCAGTTTTCATTGTACTGATGAAGCATACGAATCCATGCCGAGACTATACCGGACACAAAGCCAATGGAAAACATCGCCAATAAGATACTATCAATTGAGCGATACCCCAGTCATCCAAAGATTGATGGTCCATGACATGGATGCGTATGAGACGCACTCGGAGTCTGGAGGAAGCCCCACAACTGCTAGGGAGGATTTACCACGAGAGGCGATTGCCGATCTTTTCCACAGAGTCGAAGCATACGAACGAGAACACCCAGAAGTTGTCAGAGATTCCGGGAAAGTCTGGGTCCGTGTCAACTCAGTCGGTCACGGCCTGACCAAGACCTTCAAAACGATGAGTTCGCTACGCAAGAAGCAGACCTTCGAAGCACGCATAGGACATAGCGTAGCTGTGCAGTCTCAGCTGAGGGTCTATGAGAAGCCATCGGGTACGAAACGTCTGAAGATAGCTGCGCACGATTGCTGGAGAAAATTTAGGAACTGGTCAACTGGCAAGAACACAGAGCCATGGGCCAAAGAGAATCTCATCCAGAATCCGTACCGCATCCTGAACTCCTCAATCGTTTCTCTCCCCAAGAAACGCCAACCTCGTTTCAGGAAGCTCTCGAGAGCGCTCAAGTTAGAAGAAAGGACAATTGGCACAGAGTGCACAAGGAAAGCGAGACGGGACAGCAAGATGTCCATCGGCGAGCAGCCTAAACGGCGCAAGTCGAGCTTGTTCCTTGATGTTTATTCATCAGACTTTCCAGACAGTCCCCTTCGCGATTATGTGGTAGCGTAGGCGACAGCGTCGCTCGGTCGGAATTGGCACCTATGGGTAGACATAGCGGTGATTTCGGAGCTTATAATGCCACGAAGCCAATGCAGTTTTTTTTTATCAAGATGACATACGTCGTGATGCGATCATATCAGGTCACGAAATGCGGTCCATAAGCCTGCCTCAAGCCAATGACGTACCCCTCAGCTCCACATCAACAACCAACTTAAACATCAGCCGAAGCTCAAGTGCACATTCCTGACCCCGACTTCGTGAGCAACAAGCAAACGAATCTACGAATTGAGGCTTCCACCATCGGCGCAAATCCCGACCTCGGACTTTACACCTCGTGTCGAGGATTTGGGCCCCTCCGGCATACCCAAAGTAGCAATCTCCGCACCGTGGCGTTCCCCTCATTCCCCAGTCAGCTGCATTCACCCGCTTCGACCCCGGATAATAAAACCAATTGCCTCCCCGGTCGCAAAAATGGCTCCCAAACGTGCTTTGTTCTCCCTAAACGTAGACTCCGAAACCGATCACGTCTATCAACGCATCAACGACCACTCCAAACCCGGAGAGAAGACCAAGGTCATTGAACACTCAGGATCGACTGTTGGCCACACGGATCTGCAATTCATCAAGCCATTTGAGAATCTCGTTAATCGAACCGTCGAAGGTGTCGAAGAAGGAACAGGCAAAAAGATCCACAGCGCAGAAGGCGAACTCACATACTCCAGCCAGCGCAGCTCCTCAGGGGCCGGTAGCAGCAAGACAGTAAAGGACTCGACTCTTTCAAAGCGCCGCATTGAGAAGCTATACGACACCTCGGACCTTTAATCACCTCGACCAAATACCCTTACAGTCGAACGAAAGATGTCTTCACAACCCCTCCGCATTGCCATCGGCTGCGACAGTGCTGGCGTCAGCTACAAGAACGCCATCATCGCCGACCTGAAGAAAGACTCCCGCGTGTCAGACATAACCGACGTCGGCGTCCCCGAAACAAGCGACGACACCGCGTATCCGCACGTCGCCGTCGACGGCGCCAAACTTGTTGCTGAGGGCAAGGCCGACCGCGCGATACTGATCTGCGGCACTGGGCTGGGTGTTGCCATCAGTGCGAACAAGGTCCCTGGCATCAGGGCGGTTACGGCACACGACTCGTTCAGTGTCGAGCGCGCGATTTTGAGCAACGATGCTCAGGTGCTGTGTATGGGTGAGCGTGTCATTGGGCTGGAACTTGCCCGGAGATTAGTCAAAGAGTGGTTGGGTTACCGATTTGACAAGAGTAGTGCGAGTGCGGCGAAGGTAGATGCCATTACAGAACATGAGAAGAGGAACTTTGCGGGGCTGGACAAGGTTGACAGTGTGACAAGCTGCTCGTAGGACGGAGTACAGGTTGCGTCACCACAACCAATCCGAACTTTTACTTTGAAACAACTTAGGAAATACTCGAATCGATTATGATCCACAAGCATGACATGGCTATATCAATCTACCAAGAGAAAGCGTCCACATGCAACTCGAGTACGGTCTTACTTCCTCTCCCCAGCCCGGCCACCACGGCTCGAACCTCATCGCACATTCCTGCAGGCCCGCAAACGACGATGCCAACCTTCTTATAGCCAGCGTCGACCTCCCTTTGCAGCAAGTCTTTGATAGCGAATCGTTGTCCAACCAACACCTGCTTGTCGGCGACATTACTGAGAGCCGGGCTTACCTCATCCACCAGCGCCTGGTCAGGGGCTTTGACGCTCCATGCCAGTTTGACATTGGGATGAGCAGAGAGCCACCCGAGCAACCCAGTGATACCGATACCGCCACCGAGCAACAGCAAGTGATCAGCCTCCAGAGCATCAGCGCTGGCAGAGTGAGGATACGGCCCATCTAGAAAGGTGAGCAGCCGAGCGCTGCTCTTCAGTACCGCCGTCATGCCAGTTCTCTTCTTGACGATGAAGGACACGCTTGCAGTAGACAGCAATTCCGTGACATCGCGCGAAACGAGATTCGCCGGTGCTTTATCGTCTACAGATACTTCCTTGGTGTGACTGTTGTCCGACGTGGAGTTGGTCGAAGATGCTGGTGCATGTGCTTGCCTGTGGTTCTGGAACAGCAACGACGAGTTGATTGAGAAAGGATGGTTCTCCCACGGCGAGATCGGGTGCAGAGTCGGAAACCCAACGTAGCCAATGTACCCCGGTTTGCTCGCCCACCGCACACCGGGAATATCGATGCGGACGTAGCTGTCGCTGATTTCGGTGACGTTGGCGTACAGCATCCCGTTCTTCAAGACACGCAGCACGCGCACAGCCCGATCGAAGAACCACACCGCGATGGCGGCGTATAGCCAGTTGTCGTAGAAGTTGTAGCCCCATCGCAGAATGACGTGGTACCAGCAGCCCACGATGACAAATACGGCAAGGATGATGTGAAGGACGAGGAAGACTTCGTATGATAGGCGGCGGAACCAAAGAACGCTCAACACCAGCATGGCACATGCCAGTACAGTGGCGACAATACCCCACAGCCAGTATGGCTTGTTTTTTTCGGCAGCATAGCCGCCGCTTCCCTGATAGGCCATCAAAAGCGTAACGCTATGGATGATGGCTTGTAAGGTGAAGATTCGAGCGATCCAGCGGTGCAGCAAGAGATATGTACCGTACGACCAATTTGTGATCCAGAGCAAGAAGTTGTTGCGGCTCGAGAAGAGAACAACAAGCGGTAGAAGAGCATACCCAATATGCCCAGTGCGATAGCCAACGTAGGCGAGCATCTCATCCCTCTTCAAATAGTACCATGCATGCGGCTGTGAACTGCCATAGCTTATTGAGCTCAGAATGATATTGAGGGCGAAGAAAACGAATATGAACGCGGCTTGCCCGACCGTGGGTGCATTGCCAATAAGCCAGGGCAGCGGGCGAACATGATACGAGCCGATTGTGGACGGGTACACGACGTATGGTTTGAGCCTGTCGAGCAGGCTGGTCGTAAACGGTAGCTTGCGGGATACGGTGCAGAGGATTGGAATACCAATACCCAGAGCCACAAGAACAAAGCTACAGAAGGATCAGAAAACGAACCTGTTGAATGCCAGCGGCTCAACTTACATATATCGAACTTGGAGCATTTCGATGTGATCAAAGAGCTTGTTGAACTTGAACTGCCTGTTATAGTCGAAGTCGCTGAGCACCATAGGCATGGTCATAACTTCACCCGAGCTTCCATTGTACACCATGGTGACGGTCGAATTGCCAAGTTGCTCCAGTGTCTCCGAGTAAGTCCACTTGGGCACAATGCCAGTGATGAGCTTCGTCGCCCAGAACTCCTCTCTTTTCCAGACTGGCACGTCTGCGGTACATCTTGTGCTCATGCAGTAAGCTATGGTCTCCAAGAAAGGGAGGTTCTGCGCTTTACAATCAGGCGTTGGCGCTTCCGCACCCATCCCCATGTCCATGTCCATATCCATGCCCCCATGGCCGTCAGTAGAAGAGTCGCTCGCGTCACACTCTAGAGGAGTCGACGAGACTGCATTATAGCAGGAGAAACCGCAGTTAGGGTCGTACCAGGCAAATCCATAGCCGGGGAACTTGTTCGACACCAGATGCGAGTGAGCTACGGGGAACGCCTGAAGGAGGATGAACAGCCAAAGCAACTCCATGGTAGCCTTGTCAGTGTGAGTACGAGATGCTCAGTGAGCCAAAGATATCGGAGGTATAGTCAGGTCAGCGTCTGCATGCATTCAAAATACGTTCTACATCTGATCTGTATCTGCTGCGGCGCGGTCGCAATACAGCCCTGGAACCCACGTTCCTAGAACGGTCCAATCAATTAATTCATAAATGAGCAGATTGTGAGAGACTTTGCAGCCATGTTCGAAAGCGGCCCGTTTGCGGCCAACGATCTTCTGATTGGCAATGTCAAGTGCTCCTGCCTGCAGATGAGCATGTTTGCGCGCATTCGGTTGCGGACACGCGATTGTACACTCCGCCAAACGCTAATGGGAGCGGGTAAAGATGGGGACCAGTAGCATGTACACGCTAGACTCTAAGCAGGAAGCTCTAGGCGTGATCAAGGTTAGCTCAGACTCGCCTAATGACTACCCACCCCTTGGAGGCTGGCATGTCGGTTTGGTACGCACAATATGTCCTCGCAGCTCTTGTATCTATCGAATCAGAGTGTGGCCGAACAGAAGCAACCTTGGACTTCAGAGCAGTATGCTCCAGACGCTAGACGCTATGGTTGACATAAAAACAACACTGTGAGTTGTATCTAGATGCCTCTTTCGCCGGCCGAACGATGTCTTACGAAGGCTTCAAGGGTCTCGGCTGTACCTCTAGGTTCGGTCGTTTCGGTTTGCGAAACACTGGGGACGTCTCACGAGGAATTGCCGAGTCTAATCAGCGCACGATCATGCTAGCCCTTACTGGGTCAGACTTCAAAGAAAGACGAGACAGTAGAAGACATGTTCGACAACTATACTGCGAATCATCTCCAAAATGGTTAAGAAATTCAGCAACCGAAGTTGCTGATCGCGGATCTAGTAGAGTCCGTTAGTCGTGCAACGTCCTACATACATACGACTCGTCCCCTACTCTAACACCAAATATGCAGCCAGGTCACCCTGCAGATAGAACCCACAGAGCGGGTTCTAGTATAGTGGGTCACTCAGGCCCGCCGATATCGAGGCTCCCGCCGCTTGCTCAAAAGCCACTGAAGATCTGGAGAACGGGAGCTGGGGCGTTGAAGACTATGTTTATTTGGGAAGCGGCCCTTCGTTGGCACATGTAGGAGCCGCGTCAGCAGGAGGACGTCTCATCATGCAGGGCATCACATGGCGTGTCATACTCTGTTCAGATAACTGAAACCGGGATAGTTGAATTGTAGAGACTACCTAAAGGCACCTGCTGAAGCCTGCTATCTATTCCAGGACCCTCTATGCTATCAGCCAGAAGGAATGTATGGGGTGAGTGTCCATTCAACTCGCAGAAGGTGTCATCTTAGTTAGCTGAGAATGGTTAGTAGGGATCCATACAGATCATCCCGGCGGTGTGCTTACACTTTGGCTCGTTGTCGATGGCAAAGACCTTGCCCTTGGTGTTTGAGGCGTGGGTTCCGTAGGAACGTTGAAGGTCCATCTCCTCGGGTGTGAGATCTGCTTGAGCAGCATTGGTCTCCGCAGGGGGCCAGGACGCCTTCCATGGTTGGGTCTTAGAGTCGATGGCAAAGATCTTGCCTTTGGTGTTCGAGGCATGGGTTCCGTAAGAGCGCTGGAGATCCATCTCCTCGGGCGTGAGTTCTACTTGGGCAGCGTTGGTCTCCGCAGGAGGCCAAAACGCCTTCCATGGCTGGTTCTTGGAAGCAGTAGAGGACGACATTATGATTTCGAGAAGAGACGTGTGAATTGAGATTGATATGGGTCAAGATTGTACAGGATGAGGAGCTCTTTTCTACCCCTCTCTGTTCGAGATGATATCTCGTTTGTTCTAGCCGAGAGATGCTATTTGGACCACCCTGCACATACATGTATGCCGATCATGCATTGTTGCAGACAGATATGCCGGTCGTGAGCTTATTACAGACCTTCATCCGAGACGTTGAGTGTACTATCCTCAATCCTAGTAACACTGACCAGTGACGTCCAATAGCTAAATGCCACACGCGTAAGCTTGTATATAGCAAAAATCTCTCAAATGCTCTCAAAATGCATACCCCGCAACACTGGTGTGTCACCTATGCAATAAAAGCATGATCACCATTGTAAGCAAACTGATATCATCAAGAAAGCTCGCTGAAGGTTGCTGATACGAACATTTCCGGAGGGTTTATATTAAAGCAGAAGGTCATAGTTCGGCAGTGATGCTCATACGGTTAGTGTAGTATCTACCCAGACAACAGAAATGTGTAGGGTGTAGATAGTTGAGCAAGATATGCATGCTGATGACGAATACTGTTAGCATTAAGCGGGCCTTTAACATCTGGTTCAGCACTTGCCCGAGAGCAACATTGACTTAGAGCCACACCGTACAATCTCAAATTCTTCTTACCAATATCATATAAACATGGTTCTCATATTTGAAGACTCTCACGACACCGTACAAACAATCCGATACGCGGTCGGCGACAATCCAGCATTGCAGCACGAGAAAGCGTACATCCTGAACTATGATACACCACCAGGCGTTCCAAAGAGCAATTTCGTCATCGACTACTACCCAGGAATCAAGATTCGCAACCTGCGAACGGCGGGACTGAGTTTCCAGACAAATGGCATAATGATGACTGAGCTCGATGGCTGTATGCCGAGGGCCGATTTTGACGACGAACACAAGGTAGAGGACTTCTACCTCCCCCAAGTACATGCGGCTCTTCGGAAAGCATTAGGTGCCGATGAGGTGTACATATTTGATTACATGATCCGGAAGCGCGCCGCGGCTTTCCCGTTCCAACCAAAAGGAAAAGATAGAGCTCCTCAGCCTGCGCTATCTGCCCACATCGGTATGTCTCATCCTACGCTTTTTGTGTAAGCACTGACACAGAGCCAAGATTATACCACAAACGAGATCAAGGGAAGAGTAGAGAAATACTTCAAAAGCCGATCGGAAGAATTCAAAAGCCGTCATTTCCAGATCGTCAAGTGAGTCCTCCTGTTTCCACTTCTTTTAGTAGCCCTCACTGACCTGTTATACAGCGCCTGGAAGCCCTTGCACGGTCCACTGCGAGACTACCCAATGGCGTACTGCGACGCGAATACGATGGATCCCGCAACAGATCTCCTGTGCGTGGATGAAGTGTTCCCAACCGTCGCCAACGAGGTGTATCAAGTGTTGCATAACCCGAGGCATAGTTGGTATTACATACCGGAACAGTCGGAGACGGAGATAGCGATCTTTGCTGGATACGACTCGAAGACAGGTCAGGATATAGCTGTGCCGCATTGCGCGTTTGATCTTGGTGATGCAAGCTCGGGTCAGCCGCGACAGAGTATCGAAGTGCGCGCTTTTGCATTCTACGCGAGCTGAATAGAGATATACGGGATGTAGCTTTGGCAGGATGACGCGCCATGACTCCTCAGGCCTTCATTATGGCTCGTACGACAGCCATATTTGGTCTGTCCAGGAACAACTCCCAAAAGCGACGATCTTGTCGTATCACTTCTGCTTCTTCATAAGGAACGAGGGAAATCTCCGTCAAGCCGAATTTCTCGTAGATTTCTGTAGAGCCAGAATAGATGACTTCAAGCGATGAACCGATGAATTTTATCGGAGGCGAACTGTTCAAGACACAGAGATACTGTACCCCACCAGGTATATCTTTCAGCCATTCGCAATAGCCTCCATACTTCTTGCTCTCCAAAGCAGGACTCCACGGGTCTGCATCACGGACGCCGATGAAGCGACCACCAGGCTTGAGATAGCCGACAATGTTACGGAACATGCCCTCCAAAACCTCCATGGTATCCGCGAAGCTGAAGATCCAATTGGCCATGACAAGATCGTAACCTTCCTTGCATAAAGGCAGATGCGAAAGTGGTTTCGATACATCTGCCTGGAAAAACCGCAACTTCTGAGCCAAGACCGAGTCTTTATCTTGAACGCATTTGCAGCCTTCGGCGAGCATCTCGCTAGACACGTCGACGACATCGATGGATTTTGCGCCTAGTGATATGGCTTCACGTGCATGCAGTGCTGTGCCGCCACCGAGATCCAGAATCGTGAGGCCAGTACAGTCTCCCAAGGCGATCTTGATCAAATCAGATTCGAGACGGCCGGAAGGCAGTAGACTGTAGTCGTCATATATTGCGGCGTATCTGTCATAGTCTTCTTGAGCTTGTTTTGATGCTGGCATGATGCTTTGAGATTGTATGCAATGAGAGGACTCTGAGCTCGAATTGGTGTTATTGGTGTAATTGTTTGATAGTGATCGGAGAACCACATCGCAGCTTGCTGTTACATGGGAAGATTGTTGCAGTCGAGAGGTTACAGGGTCCCCACCGCGAGCGTGTGATCTCGCTTCGGTGTTGCAGGGGATGCAAGGTGTCATACAAACGTGCTCAAAAAGACTCATTCTTGGAATCAACGCAGCTACACATACCGGAATCAACGCGAGGTCTGGTGGTGTACACATAATATGTTGAAATGAGTGTCAAGGCTCATAGTCGCCTGGGACATGTTACTGTTAGCAATAGATGCGGATAAATCGAGGGTCGGGGCATACCCAGGGAGACTTTAGCATTTATCGGCCTCCCTGTACGTCAAGAGTGCTAGAATACGCCTACAGATAGTACGAGGTTGATAGATGTCGCTTTCGTGGCTCCTTGTTCGCATTGTCGACGCAGCGCAAGATGCACAATCATCACCTTCCCTACCATCACCCTACCCAGGCGCGACAGGGATCGACCAGCGTACGGCGTGCCGTAGTAGCACGTTTCTGGCCATGTCCTCTGTCACCAGACAGAAACAGGAAGCGGAGCAAAGAGCGGCTCCATCGTGCCGTATAGTATTGCTTGTACGATTATCATGCCCATGAGCCGTATGATTTGCCCGGTTGACCCAGGACTGGCTGCTGTTTATGGACGCCGATGTACGTCCTCTCACCCCCAAACATATGCACACTCCGCGCAAAATGATCTTCGTCGTCCTCCTCCTTTATTAGTACACCATCCACCATCTTCCCTCTCGCCATTTTGACCGTTTCTGCCTCCACGACGGTCTCGATCCCTGCTTGCACTGTATCCTCTTCGCCCCAGGGCAGCGCGTCAATATCGATGTCCTTTTCTCGGCCTAGCAAGCACATTATGATGACCATAGCCCCGGCCTTGCTCATGACCTGATTAGCGTGTTTGCACCGGTCGTCGTTGCAACACTCAAGACAACCTTCTAAGCAATGACATGTTTGAAGGCGTTTACATGCCTGCGCAAGTAGCGCATCGACGTGCTCGAAGGCTTTCGTGGAGATGCCGCTCCCACTTGCGCCACCCTTTGCGTCATAGAATGTCATTCGCGCAGGGCGCTTACGTTGTGTTTCTTTCTTTGCGAACTCCTTTATGGCGAACTTGCATTCCGTGCGTACGTCGCCAGGCATACTAATGACGTAGTTGGGCATTAAAGAAAGAACAGAGTGTTCGGCTGCATGGATGCCTGCGGCGATATTAAGTCTGCGAGATTTGAGGATATCCATAGCTGATTTCGGAACGTCCAACCACATCCCTTTCGAGAAGAGGATGATTGGCGGGTTGTCCACCTGGACAGCATCAAGGATACGACGCTTTTTGTCAATCTTGAAGAAACCGTAAACCACCTGTTGGATTTTAATAGGACCGAAGAAAGCCTTTGATCGGGAACCGGGAATGCGCCGTATGGCCTCAGTCTCAACAGGGTCGATGTCTGTGTAGTCCCGCTGCTGTGTGGTCCAATCGACCTTGACATATTCAACCTTTGCAATCATGCGCTCCTGACTAAACTCCTTGACCAAGTATGTATTGCCTTGGTGCAGAAAAATTCCGCCATCGTAAATTGTAAAGAAGGCTCGTGAAGCTTCAAGCTCTTCCAAGACCGTGTTTTTTCCATGTGTGACATCGATGATGGCGAAGTGTGTATCCTCAGTGTCTCGAATGGCAACCGAGCGGGATGGCTGCGGCAAGAAGCGTTCATTACAATGATAGAACCCGTTAGCATCTTTACGCATGCGTTCCTTTGCAATCTGGTTTAGCAAGGGGCCGAAATACGCCGTGTCCGCTGCGACATTGACAGGCATCTCGTGAGCGGCACACTGGACGTGCCCTTCGAGCACCAACATATTCTCTAGATCGACCTGGAGTTCGCAGTTCGGTTTCGTGAATATTTCATCTGGGTTCTGCATGTAATATTGATCTGTCGGGAAGCAGTCACCGACCAGCACTGACAGAGAATCTTTGTTTCGTCTTCCCGCACGTCCGCTTTGCTGACGCAGGTTCGCAATGGTGTAAGGAAATCCGACCGTGAGCACACAGTCCAACGATCCGATGTCTACACCCAGCTCGAGCGCAGTGGTTGCAACTATACCAAGTAGCTTTCCGTCAAACATTTCTCGCTCAATTTGCCGCCGATCTTGTGGGGTATAGCCACCTCTGTAAGACATTACGCGTCCAATGACTTCTGTCCGGTCTAGATTTGCCAACTCTGTCTTTATTGCAGCCTGTAGCGCCTCGCACTGCTTTCGAACTCGACAAAAGGCGATGACTCTCACTCCTCTCAGGACCAGTTGGCAAAACAGCTTCGCAGTCTCTGCATTACAATCGCCTCTCCCTGATGTGGGATCTCCTGGGTCTTTGAATGGTGTGTTCCAGCACAAGAACTCCTTCCTGCCAGATGGTGAGCCATCAAAGTCTGTTAGTTTGACTGCGTCGACGCCGAAGATAGTCTTCATGTGGGTTTCCGGATTTGCAACTGTTGCTGAACAAGAGATGAACTTAACGTGTCGGTTACCCAATGCGGCGCATATCCTGCGTAGTCGTCGCATGATCATAGCAACATGAGCTCCGAAGAGACCGTTGTAAACGTGCAGTTCATCAACAACAACAAACCGAAGGTTCTGTAGAAATGTACGCCATGCTTCTTCTTGGGGCAAGATTGTAAGATGTAGCATATCTGGGTTAGTGAAAATGATCCTGCCTTCGTCGCGGATATAATCACGATCTGACATGGCTGTGTCTCCGTCGAAGGTCTCCACAATGATGTCTTGCATACCATCCATGAATCGTAGGAGCTCCTTCATGCTCTTTCTCTGGTCTTGTGCTAACGCTTTCGTGGGGAAAATGTACATTGCTCGTGTCTCTGGTTCTTGTTCCAACTGATGCAAAACAGGTATTTGGTATATCAGCGACTTCCCTGAGCTCGTCGACGTAGACACGATCACGTTGTTCCCCTCATAGAGATTGTTGATAGCTTCCGCTTGGTGTGCGTACAGCTGTGTGATGTTGCTTCTGTTATATAGTGCATTGACAAGGTTCTGAGACATGGCAAAGTCAAGGTCGCCATAGATGGGAGGCTGTGGGTCGAATACTCGATGGCCGTCGGGAACGATCTGTCCAGAATACCAGTCGAGACTCTTGATTTCGTCCACTATCTCCGGTATGGTTTTGCGCTCTGTCGGTATGAACGCTGGCAGTTTCGACGTTTGGGGCCCTGGGGTTGAGTCCTGATGTTCCGAGGGCTTTGGTAAGAATGCCATGGCAGACTCTTCGATCTTCTCCACTGCATCGCAGCTCTCCTCCACACACTTGTTCAGGAAAGCATTGACAGCCGAGGTGAACTTGACGTTTCTCTTTTCGATTAGGTTCATCATCTGCTTTTGGCTAAAGACAGGCATCTTCAGTTCTTCATGGCGCAACTTTTGAGTCGCTCTAATAGGTTCACCAGTCTTTGCATGCTGCACCTGTCGCTTCAGATCTCCGTCGACGAATTCGAACAGCAAGACCTCCTTGTGCTCGCCCTTGTCTGGCTCGGGCTGCATGATGAGGAAATCCTGCGCTCTTCGGCTCTTCATATTGTCCTCTTGTCCCATAAGATTGATCTGAAGCATAGCTTCGTCAACGTATGCAAAGTTGATAGCTTTTGGGATCAACGCCGTAATCTGCGCCACATCTGCGATACGCAATTCGCGCTTAATGTGCCCCTCGACGGTCGCTTTGAGGTTATCGAGAGTGGTCGCTAGCTGTTTGCGCGTGCAACAGAAGGTGTATACGAGATTGAGTGCGCGATGCACCTGCTGTAACTTCGAGAAGTGTTCGGGCCATGGTACCGTCGTCTCAACCAATGTCGACGAAGCATGGCGGATCAGAGCAGGCTTCTTTGCTTTTGTCGACCTTCTTGGCTTCTGGCCTCCATCGTGAGTCTTTGTGGGGACGTGTGTGGTGGTGGTACTTTCGGTGGCTGCTACGTTCACATCATCCGGGCCATCGCTCTCTAGCACGGCATCTACGTCCTGCGCCTTTCTTTTGCGGCTGCGAACAACCTTGTTCGAGACCGACGCTGCCTTCAATGGCATCTCTCGTGCATGCTGGTTGGGAATTTGGGGAGTGTCGAAGGTTTGGTGGCGGCTGCAAGAAAGATTGCCCAAAGCTGAGCATGAATGTTCCCGTCACCAGTGTTGGAAATCGATGACGTAGTTCATCGAAGCATCGATCGGGTGCAGCTTACAGCACGTATTTGAATAGCTGGATACGATGCGTATACTCCTACTTTTGTCCTCTTGATAGCCAACGACCTCCACACGAAGTCAAATCGGCACGCGCTGTCACGTGGCCCAGAAAAGTCCGAGAAGCGGGGCCGGCCTGCACATAAGCGTGCAATTAACCCTGCTTCAGCTCACCCGACCATGCGCGCAACTGCAGCCTGACATGCGCAGCACACAACGCATTGCCTTCTGTGTAACCCTCTCACACATGCCCGCCACTGGTGCTCTGTTGGATGTCGTCTGATGCGCTTCTACAACAATGGCATCACAAACGACGCCCAACGCTCCCGTACTGCTAAGAATCACAGCGCGGTCGGTCTTGTATGGGGGGCCGGCATGAGCACTTATCCACTTGCAACAGGCCAGATATTATTAAGTCTCACCTGTAGAGCCTCGTATTCTTCTCGCCTCTCAACGCCTTAATAGGTAAGCTTTCGAGAGGCTTACGGTCTAAGCAGAGCTTCGATCGTCAGATGGGGCGGATCCCCTCCCTTCATCCCTTGAATCGTCGGGCCCAATAGCCAGGGCCGAAGCTTGTTCTGCATGATTTCAGAGTACTTCATAAGTACCTCCGATCTCATATGCACCGCAGCAGATGTACAATTTTCTCTTGTGATATTCACCTAGTTCGAACTTCTTGCCCTTTGGGATCAGTGAGCAGAAAACGAGCTCTGCGTATCTTTGGCCATTCGTACTCGGATTCCTGGAACTGGCTCCCATCGACCTTCTTGTCTGTCTCTCCTGCACTCGAAATGGATTTGAAAACCGAGCAACGCATTGCCATTTACCGCGGAGCCGACCTTCCGAGCCAGTATACATGGAGTCCATTTGTCTCCAAATTGGAGCTTCGCTGCCGCCTATCTGGTCTCAAGTACATATGCGAGATTGGATTTCCCCCATCTGGACCGAAGGGTAAGGTCCCATATGTGGAGATCACTCTGCCTGGGCAGTCTTCGGTGTGGCTTTCAGACTCGACCCTGATCGCGAAGGATTTTGTCGACAAAGGCTTGCTGCGTAACTTGAACGCCAACTTGAACGCGGTTGAGAAGGGATATGATCTCGCAGTCCGCGCACTGTTAGAAGACAAGCTCTCTTTCTACGACACACATGAGCGATGGGTCAAAAACTACTACGTCATGCGAGACCATGCTATGAGCAAGCTGCCATACCCTGCAAAGGTCCTCGCTGGCAATTTGGCTTATCGAGGAATCATTCAACGACTCTACGAGCAAGGAACAGGTCGCTTTAGTGATGCAGACATAACTGCATTTACCGAAGAGGTCTGGCAAGCTATCAACGGGCTGCTGGAAGCAAGCTCCGAGAAGTCACAAGAGAAGGCTGAATGTTTCTGGGTGTTGGGTGGAGAACAGCCATCTGAAGCCGATACTTCAGTTTTTGGCTTCGTTGTGGCCAACCTTGTCAGCGATTCTGCGCCATGGAGCAGGAATCTGCTCAAAGAGGAGTTCCCTATCATAGTGGAGTACGCCAGGAGGATCCACACGAGCTACTTTCCTGATTACCAGATATGGAACTAGAGCTCGGTAGCAAAGACGATTGACAGCACCTTTCTGTACTCAAGGCGCATGTTCGATTTTCATATTGTTTCCTAACGTCAAACCCCTCGTGCAAAGATTTCTCAACTATGCAAGGCACCGTTCAGTACAGGTTTGGTTCCCAGACTCCATGGCAGCCCCACTTGCTGTCCGTTCTCCAGCCTCCATATGCCTCGCATTGGTCTCCACATGGCAAAAACAGCCGCTGGTGTCATTTCGTGTGCGCATTTGCGCCATTCATCGCTGGAACCTTGCACGTCGGTGTCGAAGGCTACCTTGAGCAGGGACTGGAACCCGAATTTTTCGTACAACGGCTTCCCCATACTAGATCCTTCCAACCAACACTCGAGATCGAGATCGTCTGCTTTGGTTAAACCCGCATTCATGAGGAGCGAGCCGATACCGCAAAGCCGATGTGCGGGATGGACCGCCATCCAATTTAGTGCTGGCACTACGTCAGCCAGGGTCCGAATTTAGGTGCGGTGTCGGAGTTTCAGTAGTCAGATAGAGGGTGATCTCTACAAGTCATGTATGGTCAAATTTCATGTTTGATGATCTCCACTTACCACAATGAGGCCGCGTCATCCAGTTTGCCCGCGGCTTGTAGACTTGATTCAAGATCGACTCGCAGAATTTTCGACATTCACCCTCAGGCCACCAAGGTGCTTCGAGCGTGGGTACACCTTTTGCAAAGGGATTTGTTGTTGATATTACCCATTGCGCGCAGCCTACAGCCTTTCCCGTCACAGTGTCGAGAGCATAGAGCCAGTGACTTGATGATTCTGATGTGTGTTGTTTCCAGAACCGCTCTTTCGACTCGATATGTGCAGCCTTGCGATGGGCAGACGTGAAACCAAGGACCGGAAAGAATAGTTGTAGGAAGGGTTCGTACGGTGTGTGGTTTGCCGCCCAGATCACGTCAAGTACCTCGTCCAACTCTTGCTTGGTTTCAACCTCGCGGACGAGGTAACGATCGCTCATGTCTGTTCCTTCAATGCCAACCATGGCGAAATCGGCGTCCTAAAGTAGGTTGTCGAGTTATTGACCTGCCGTCTTGCGAGAGCTACAGCGGAGTCGGAGATACACAAATGCATCAGGATTGGATGTCAGTAAATTACCCTGTTTGGTCGACCCCCCAAAAGAGGAAGGAGCTATTATGGTTAAGGCTGCTACCCTAGCGTGCCTCGGCGCGACGAGCCAGCATTTGGCAAGTCACACTTATCCACCAGCAAACATCAGATAAACCCCTCGGTTTCCAGGATCACGGTCGCACACGTATCACCAATGCCGTATCAGAGTTGTAACCTTCCTTGCTTTTCCCGGAGCTAAGATACCCGCGCGCTCGGCAACAATGCGGAGAGGCGGGACTGGAACGCGTCCCTAATGATCACTCGACCAGACCTCGGAGTGCGACCATGGCTGAGCGTAGTGCGCATACTGAGCCACATTGGCAGCAGAAGAACGTGATATGGTCACACCGGAGATGCAACCTTCTTCTGCCGCCAGTGCTGCTGCCTTCCTAACTCCGCTAGACCATCATTACCAACATTATGGAACGACCTCCCAAGTATCAACCTGTGAGCGCTGACGAAGAAGAAGAGATCTTGAGACAGCTTGAGGAAGAGAAGGATGGCATCGCTTGGGACAACAATTCTACGGAGATCATCCCGACCAATACGCGCAGTTTCGTTGCGTTCATGTCATTGCTGCTGCTGTCGCTCTCAGCAAACGTGCTGCTGGTGATGGACAATGCGAAACTTCGAAACTTGACGCACAGCGCTGGCAAGACTCCCTACAGCGGCCTGTCCTTTGACACTCCTATTACTTATGAACCCATTTCGCCTTATTGGAATCCTAATTCCAGCACTGAAGAAATGGATGCAGCCTGGGACGCAATCGACACCAGCCCAATGGCAGTTGCGCTCCACGATGACTTCACACGTAAAGTCGGACTGCCTCCATCTGGCCGATTTCCATGGGACACAGAGCGCAGCATCTACTATCTAAAAGGCATCCATGATCTCCACTGTGTGAAGTATATTCGCAAAGCTATCACAGTAAAGCATGACGGCGGCAATCAGACCTTTGACTATCACCATATTAACCACTGTCTGAACGGCTTGCGACAAGACAGTAAGTCTGCCTTGCACTACATGCATGAACTGACTGACCACTCAACAACAGTAATGTGTGCAGCTGACGACACACCCATGCCAGCTTTGGCTGAGCACATCGGAGCTGGTCAGGTCCGTAAATGTCGTGACTGGAACAAAATGACCGAGTGGGCAACACAACTGGACCGAAATGCTTGCTACAAGCTTGACGATTATCGTGAGGCTACCAATACCTTAGAGCAGTTTGCTTTCTGTCCTTCTGGATCGCCTTATCAGTCCGTCCAGCAAGCTTACTTCGATTACCATGGACACAAGGACCCGTACGAAGCTAAGGTCGATGAAGAGGTTGTGATCTTTCGATAGTGTAGACTTGCAGACCAGGAACATGTCCGCGAAAGCTTTGCACAGCACGATTCGTATGCAGGTCCAATACATTAGACTCTGCCGAATTGAATTCAGAACTCGGACTTTACGCTTACCTATTCCGATGACTGGCAGACGGAGCGTTGATCACACAGCCAAACATAGTAACAAGGGGGGCACAAGGTATGCGCCTTCGCCGAGTAAGGATCATTTCTGCATGTTCGGAAGAGAATAGAATGGGACCTTTCCAATCGGAACCGATTTTGTTCCTCTAATTTCTGCCAGGTGACGGAAATTAGACTTATGTCATGGTAAGGCTTCCGCTGCGCGTCGAGGTCACTTCTCCCTTACATGATGGCTGACCTGCCGCCTCATGTAGCGTTATGCACCGCCCATTCCGCCCCAATTCTCGAGGCGCATTTTCGCGCCCCAGCACAATCTCGGAACCTTGGGTTCCATGGTGGGATACGACATGTCAGAGCGACGACGGATCTGCAGTTCAGCCTCATCTCAGAAGTATATGAGGGCCTCGTGGAGGAGCTTGACGGTGCGATATTCATTCCAGCTGTCACTCCTGTATCTTTTTACATAAATATAAAGGTATTTGCAGGAGCGTTCTCCTAGTGGATTGTGTTACTAAGGCCTTAGTAGCTGATATTCTCGCCCGCCATGCGATCCGCTCTGATGGTCTTGCCCGTGCTGGCTCTGGCAAGCAGCATTTTGGCTGCGCCCACACCAAAATGTGGATCGAAGCATCATACGCTGGACATTACAAAGGCGATCTCTGATCTCATAAAGATCAACAACAGAGCTACCCCTACGATTGATACGACTACCATTACAAACCCGATCAAAATAGTCGACAGGGCCGTCCCTCCACCCTGGGAACCAGTAGACAATGTTAGCAGGATTGATTGTTGAGTTGTAAGCACGTTTCTTCTTGCTCGATCATGCACTTAGCTAACCACAGCTAGGTCATTCAAAGAGGCCTTTGTGTATCCCGTTGGTATTCTTGAGCTCTACTTGCTAGGTAGTCGGGTATTGACACAGACTGAAGTGCGGCGTGTTACACAGTGTGGATGAAGGTGGTCCTCGGTTGCAGCAGTCACTCGGAGTCTTTGATAGAACCTCATCAACGACAATTGTAACACTCAATATCTCTCGTCTAAACCGATCAGCATCATCTGACAACTCTGTACTTCCACCACTGAACTTCTCTCGCTTCCTCATGAGGTAGTACTCCAAAGGGTGCGCTGGCAAATGTTTCACGGCGGCTGGCAATCAATGCCTTCCAATCTTACTCGACAGATGTTGTGCCACCGCGCTAGAGATGATGTGTTGCAAGGTAACACCAGCCCTTGTCAGCCCTCAGCTAAACCAAATCCCTGCTACCAATGGCGCAACACTGTCCCAACCAAGATGAGACGGATTAATGGGTCGCTGTGGAAGCGATACTGTCATTCGGCTGCGCTCCTGCTGGCGCTTTTCGTCATACTTGCTTTATGAGCCAATGAAATGCGAGCCACGATCGAGACCACATCGGTAACACAGCCATCACTACAATTGGAAGCTTCGCCGTTGATCGACTTTGCTCGGGAGACCTTGCGTCGTTTACTGCACAACCATGTACAACAATGACCCCCTGCTGCGAGTTCGTCTACCCCTCTAGCTAGCCTGTGATGTTACGAAGAGCGTACTTGAATTGTCTGTCAGACCAAGGCGGATAAGGATATTGTTGTTTGTTTCTTAGGCGGTCTGGCGGAACCTTACATTCTCAAGCAATGCGCCAGATTGTTAACGCAAACGCCTCACCATAACGGTATCAGCACCGGTCGTTTAGACTCGTACGCCTTGACGCCTCGTCCACTCCCTCCGCGGCGTTCGCGTGCCATAGAGGCGAACATTCGACAAACGATGCGATGACTGCCATATTTGTTTCTTCCCATCATCCCATTCCGCGGCACCCGGGCTCCAGGGATGATTTGGGTCCGTTTTTGAATGTTGTGACTTGGATTCTCCTCATCACTTCTGCTTTGGCGGTGGTAACCAGACTTGTCACAAAGCGCGCACTGAGGCGACGAGTTGATGTTGACGATGTGTTTGTTGTCCTCGCTCTGGTAAGGAAGAGCCGTTACATAACATATATAGCAGACTGACGATTCTAGATTGCTAGCATTGGGTCAGGAGCATCTGTCAGCGTACAAGTCGCAAATGGCCTAGGTCGTGAATTCAGTGCACTGAATAGTATAGAGACCGATGCCTACTTCAAGGTGCGTCAATTTTAGCATCAGCTTCAACATTCGATGATTAACATGGTTACTAACTATCATATGCGTAGGCAGAGTACGCAAACAAGATCTTGTACATTGCAACCTTGGCACTAGCGAAGCTGTCCATCATATCACTGCTTATGATCCTCACCGCATCCGATAGACATCGTCACTTGGGGCTGGCCTTGACAGGCTTTATAGCCCTGTGGGGACTCGTTTCGGTTATTGCAACATCCTTCCAGTGTGGCAGCACGAGCCCATGGCGCCAGAATAGCGGCTGTATCAATTTTGTAAGTCGGTCATGCGCTGGCTATTTGCCTGAGCGTCGCTGATTTCTGAGCAGGTTGCTTTCTGGCAAGGCATGGGTGTTATCAATATGCTGACTGATCTGGCACTGATTTTGTTCCCTGTTCACGTTATCGTTACTCTGCAAATGAGTACAGCAAAGAAGGTTACCATACTCACCTTCTTTGGAGCGAGATCATTGTATGCTCACCATCTGCCTCACAATACCAATCTAACAGCACCCAGGGACATCGTTGCAACTGCTGTTCAAATGGCTTACATTGGCGGGTTTGCCTCTGACAATCCCACTCGAGACCTGTGGAAGTGGACGCTTGTCACACAGATCGTTGAGTGTATTACAATCCTGACTTCTTGCATTCCTTACCTTCGTCCGCTTCTCGAGTCAATTCCTTCAGGCCTCTACGGTTCCGACGAGATACGCCGCCGCGGTACGCCATCTGAGCTGGGTTATTCGCGCAGGAAAGACGGATCCTACCAGTTGAGCAGTACGGATTCAAAGCCGGATGGTACGAGCGCACAAAGTAGACCACAAAGCAAGAAAGGTCGAAATGAGGGTGGAATGAGACGGTTCCTGCCAATGCTTTCGCAGGACAGAACGACGCACTCTAATTCTGCTTCTGGTGTACCAGGTGGTCCGCGCAGACTCGATGGCCGAATAGATGTTGAAATCACAGCCACAAAGACCAAGTCTGAGAAGGAGAAGAAGTGGGAAACGGACAGTATAGGGAGCAACTCTAAGATCTTGAAGACCACCGTCGTTAGCGCTGAGTGGGAGGAGACGCTGCGACAGAGTCGAGAAGCTTCAGTCGACGAGATCAAAGTCATGCGATGAGTTATATATTTCAACACGAACCGAATCATCGGCTGCTCTTGACCTGACTTGATTGCTTTCCCATATGTGCTCGCCTTAATGAAATGCAAACGGATTGTCTTGAGCCGAAGACGACTAGAGATCGGATATGGCCGGGCATCTGATTCCTAAGCAAACAGCTCTGTGCGTTCGACCAGTTTGATCTAGAATATCGTCTCGAATTTGTCGGGCCACGGCTCGATCTGCAGACTGCGTTCCGGCATATGCTGGCCCATCCCGGTTAGTCGTGGTGATGACAGGTACACGGTAGATATCTAGCACAGCCCCGCTGCACGTATGCAGACAGTGCTTCCTGTTGTCCAAGACCTTGTGCATTGCTTGGGCGTTGTACCTCGTGCGATGTGTAATTAGGGGTCTCGGAAGTGACACGGAACCAGGAGCGCCAAAGGCCATTGGGTTTGTGCTTGGATGCAAGCGAGCAATCGGACATGCGTCCAAAGGTTGCTGTACATGCGGTGAGCATCTTTGCGTGTATCTAGCCGAACGCTGCTGTGCCGCAGATGACGCTGCAACGTGCAGGTGGCAATCAATGCACACGGAGAGCAGGGAGAGGAAAATTCGGGCGAGGAACCGGTGCATGCCCACTTATACTCAGATCCTTCGCGGAAACTCCAATTGTTGAGAACGTCTTAATACGTGAGCACCCCAGAGCTTTCGATCCAAGATTACCATTGTGAGTAGTTGGGTATGTGGGCAAAGCCGAAAACGATTGATCGATGCATGAAGCCCACGTGGTCCGGATTAAGTAAGCGCAACGAATGCGTTTCATGGGGTCGTACAATCCCTCCATTCTGTGCCCCAACCATCTCGCATCCAGGATCTTGCCCTGGTTCGTCCTACAACCTGTCTGCGGGGAGCCCATCAGTCTGATCGAAACGGATTGGCAGCCGTTTTTGCTGCCATTTGATCCATGTCTTCCCCGTCAGCATGCCGCCTGTCCAACAGCGCTATTCTATCGCCATCTTCCGTACGACACAGATCCCACTATTGACAACCTGAAGGTTTCTCCACAGGACTAAGTGCTCCCTCTGCCTTACATTGGACATGAGAGTAAAAGCCCTCTGTTCGAATTGAGCGACACTACAGCTCGGATGTGCAGGCGAGTAGCCACTTATGCATAGCCTGCAATGTTGTTATGATGCTGAGAACGTAACTCGGCAGGAGCTCCATCCGTGGCTGCCACCTGGGAAGACATGGGAGCAAGGGGTAATGCTCCGATGCATGCCACTGATTTTTGCAGCTCCTCCAAGCCCAGCTGTGCGACACAAGACACGAATCAGTGTTCAGCCTCGAGCTGTCTCCTCAAACTACGAATGCAGTGCAATATTTCGAGCTGCCGCCGTCACTGCAGCAAGCCTACGAACGCTTCAGGTGCGCGAAGAGACGTGTTAGCGGCTTGCCTTCCCAACGCTTGAGTGCAGTGCCGAGCCATACTGCCTAGTCCTCCGTTCTTGCCGGCGCACATGGCTCACGTTACCTTCTAAGGGGATAAATATCAAGATTGACTCGCATTGCATGTGTCCCGTATCACGATTTCCCTTCTAGTGCCGTGTTTCCTTTTCCAACCTGCTGGCTCTTTCCCTTTTGGCACGAGACGTCATCGCAACGGCAGTACCGTTTATCTAAGCCCGGGCCTCTTGAATACTACACCTTGTCACTCCGCCGGCCTTCACAATGGAGAAACACATCGAACTCCAGACCTTCGGTGGCGATGCGCTGCGAAATCGCCATGACAAGGATTCCCTCTCGGACGTCAAAGGTCAAGAGTTTGACCGTGATCGATATGAGCTGGCAAGAGTGGGTAAAGAGCAGGTGTTGAAGGTTTGTGCTCTTACATTAGGTGCGCACACAATGCTGATACTCACAGCGTCGCTTCGGCTTGGTTTCCATGACTGGTCTGTCCTGTGGTTTGATGTGTACATGGGAGAGTCTACTTGTGTAAGCTGCAATGTTCGCCTCAACTTGACCATGCTAACTTCAGAGCAGCATCTTCTTGACTGGCTTCCAAAAGTGAGCTGAGCCTACCAATTCTGATATATTTGTTTCTAATTCAACAGTGGCGGACCTGCTGGGCTCATCTACGGCTTCATACTTATCTGGCTCGGCAACTTCTCGGTCTTTATCTGTATCGGGGAGTTGGCAAGTGCTGTACCAACCGCAGGAGGTCAATACCATTGGGTATCCTTGCTTGCGCCAAGATCGAACAAGCGCTTCTTCAGCTACATCACCGGTACTTAAATCCCTTGGATTCTCCGTCATCATGTCGCGGCCCACTAACTAGCATAGGTTGGCTCACCGTTATAGGCTGGATTGCAGCTCTCACATCAGTGTGCTTCTTCGTCTCCGATCTGATCCTACAACTGGCGAGTCTGAACCACCCCGGCACATACGTACGAGAGAACTGGCATGCGACATTGCTCCTCTGGGCAGTACTAATACTTTGTGTCTTCATCAACGTTTTCGTCAGTGGAGCGCTGCCAACCATCGAAGTCGTTGTCCTCATTGTCCACGTCTTAGGATTCTTCGGAATCTTGGTGCCATTGGTGTACCTCACTCCTGCACACAACTCTGCAAAAGACGTTTTCACCACATTCCACAACAAAGGTCAATGGCCAACCCAGGCACTGGCTTTCTTCGTCGGCTTACAAGGCAATGCTTTGGCGTTCGTCGGAACCGACTCTGTCGTGCACGTAAGTATTGAAATTTATGCTTGAGCCACCTCTGACCCTTATAGATGTCCGAAGAAGTCAGAAACGCTAGTACCGACGTACCGCGCTCGATGCTCATGAGTCTCGGTATCAATGGAACTCTTGCCGTTGGACTACTCCTCGCTGTACTCTTCAGTGCGACAGGCCTCGAACAGCTGCTCATGGATGATTCGGCTTTGTCACCCTTCATCCGGATCTTTCAACAGGCTGTGGGCTCAGATTTGGGCGCTACTATCATGGTCTGTATCATCATTGCCTTGGAGTTCTGTAGCGCAATGGGCTGCCTGGCTGCAGCATCTCGCATGACCTGGTCCTTCGCGCGTGACAGAGGTCTCCCCTTCTCCCGCGCTCTCAGCATGGTAAGCTATCCATATTACAATGATCACAGAACTGATAGCTGACACTGTGCAGATTGACAAGCGCACTACGATCCCCGTGGTCGCCATCTTGGTCGTAACAGTGTTCGCTGCACTCCTCGCCCTTATTAACATAGGCAACAGCGCTGCTTTTAATGGAACCATTTCGCTCGTCCTTGAAGGGTTCTATCTTTCCTACCTGCTCGCAATCGGTCTTCTCCTCTGGCGTCGTGTGCGCGGTGATCTCGACAGCCAGAACGCTGAGCTAGCGATTTTCAGCTCTTCCCTACGTCACGACGAAGCCTACGACCGTAGTCTAACCTGGGGACCCTGGCGGCTCAAGGGTGCTCTAGGTGTTGCCAACAATGCAGTTGCGATATGCTATCTGCTGCTTATCATATTTTTCAGCTTCTGGCCCACACAAATGAACCCTACAGCTGAGATGATGAACTGGGCTGTTGTGGTTACTGGTGGCGTTGCAACATTCTCGGTCGTGTACTATGTCGTCTTCGCGAGGAAGAGTTACACTGGTCCAATTGTTGAGGTCGACCCTCATGTCCTGTGAGGCAGGTAGCCCAGGTTGAGAAGTATGGAGGCACCAGGGTGCTTAAAAACGGCAGCGGCCAGGGTGGAATGACTCTGGAGCTATACTGGTGGCTCCATCTGCGTCGCTAGTCTGATGGGATGATGGACGATGCACAGCTCGTGTTCAGCTGACCGTAGATTGTTACGTCTTTATATAATTAGGTAGTACGTAGATAATGAAGTCATGACTTAATGTCAGCCCCTATTGATACATTCTTGCAATACTGTTCATGATTCTGAAGACCACCGCATTGTTGAGATGGTTTGTGGTAGAGCAGGACCAAAGTGTTTCTTTTCATCACGTGCTCCTGCGAAGACGCGTCATTTGCGCTGATGATCATTGAATGTGCCTGACCGCGCACTCGTCGGTTGCCGACCCACCTCCGCCTGTCACCCTTTCCCGTGAAACTATTTTTAAACATTGTAATGTCTGTTTCCCTTTCACGGCGCTGAACCTGGTCGATTTCTTCGCATCGACACTCAAATGCACTGTCAAACAGTCCCGCTTGTGGAGCGTTGAGACGCTCACAGCACTATGACCACCGTCTTCTCTTCCCTCGTGCGACCGACGTTACTCAAACGACCTTCGACCGACGCGCACGAAGCCACTGGTACACGAACTACGTACCACAAGGATGCTGCAGAAGAGGCCGATCTCCGCAGCCTGAACGCCTCGTTGCAAGCCCTCACCGATATCTTCCCTGATGTGCAGCCCGAGGTGTTCCGCGAGATGCTGGCTTCCTTCAGTGAAGAAAGCAGGCTGCAGGTGATAACTGAAGCTCTGCTTAAGCATGGAGACAAGTGGGTACGAGGGCGCTATCGGATGCCGGCTGAGCGGGAGGAGCAAAGGGAGACTGCACACAAGTACAGGTTTCGTGAACAAGACACAGGGAAAGACACCCGAGGCAAGCCCTTGGTGCTTGAGGATACCTTTCGCTCGAAGCAATACAAGGAAGCGGCAAAGCAGGCGTTGTATCAGGAGTTCAAGGGTTTGAGTCACTCGACAATCAGGGCCGTTTTGGCAGAATATAATTGGAGTTATACACAGGCACGGCCCACGTTATTGGATCTGTCGAGCAAGAGTTGGAGGTCGAGCATCACGAATTTCCTCATGCGGCGAAAAGCGCCATCTGCGAAAGACCATCCGTTGGTACTGTGGACAACTACAGACTCGCGCACAGGTCACCGACGGATGCCGTTACTTGCTAAGACTAAAGATGATGAGCTGAACCGAGAACTGTATGAGAATCTCATTGTGCCCGAACTGGCTAAGAGACTAGATGCGCAACTACGAGAGGACTCCGAGCTAGCATGGAAGCTGCACGAAGAGGAGGCTGAGCGGGAGGGTGAGATGTACGACTGCGAGTGCTGTTTCATGCCCAACATGCTGGAACACATGTCCACCTGCAATAACGACGGTCACTACATCTGCTTCCGCTGCATTCAACATGCTATCAACGCTGCGCTTTACGATCAAGGCTGGGCACGTAACATCAACACCGAGCTCTGTACGCTCAAATGCATAGCACCCATGCCAGACGGAGACTGTCAGGGCTGTATTCCACTTGGCTTTGTCCACCGCGCGTTACTCGAAGGGAAAGACGGTGAAGATAACGTCAAGAAGCTTGACGAGCGATTCAACAACGAAGCACTGATCAAGTCGCAGCTGCCGCTGGCTCGGTGCCCATTTTGCTCCTACGCGGAGCTGGATGATTTTGCTCTACCGAATGCGAACTTACTCATGAACCTTCGCCTCAAACCTCGTCCGATTGTGTTGGCATCACTGGCATCCGTTCCGTTGCTCGAGCTTCTCTGCTATAAGGCTACACAGGTCATCGTTCTACTCTTAGTTCTACTCTATGCTACGCTCGCGATACTCTTCCGCATCCCGATCATCGCACCATTCCAATCCGCCCTCCGACGTATCCATCTCAAGCGCCGAGGTCTCCGTTTCCAATGTCTTTCACCGTCCTGCAGCCGCGCTTCCTGTCTCTCCTGTTCTGCGCCCTGGCATGACCCGCATACTTGCTACTCCTCCCAGCTCACATCTCTTCGTCTAACCCTCGAGCGCGCAACAACGGACGCGGTAAAACGCACCTGTCCGCAATGCAACCTTGGCTTTGTCAAGTCAGAGGGCTGCAACAAGCTTGTGTGTCTGTGCGGATATTCCATGTGCTATATCTGCCGGCAGGGGCTAGCGGACGAGGGTTATCATCACTTCTGTCAGCACTTTCGCGAGCGACCGGGAGAGACGTGTCGTGAGTGCAGCAAGTGCGACCTCTATCGTGTTGAGGATGAGGAGAGGGTAATGAAAAGGGCCAGGGATAGCGCTGAGGCTGAGTGGTGGGAGAGTCAGGGTGATGGCGCGCAGAAGGGCCTTAAGAATGAAGTCGGCAAGGGCAAGAGGAAGGGGGTGTTTGGGGCTGGGAAGAAAGACTGGGAAGGTTGGGTTGAAGGCGTACTCGAGACTTTTCTTGTGTGATTACGTGCATTTGTTATGGCGTCCGGATGGGCATGGCGAGGATATGATACCCAACACTAGCATTGTTTCTTCATCGCATACACAATGTTGTAATCACTATCTCTTATTACTTAATCGCAGCTCGTAATAGTATCTGAACACGACCTGTTATCGTATAGGTATATATGTGCATCCCTCGAGTAACGAGAGGTCTTGATCTACTTGTTTGTAGTTCTTTGTTGGTAAGCTGTAGCAGAATGATACGAGTGGCGAGAAGCTTGACACTGCTGCGAGGGGCTCTTTGAAAGATACGGGGCCATATGAAGGTCGCATGATAGAAGTGGGTTGGTTAGCGATTGTATTTGCGTTGAGTACCGTACTGTAGCAAAGCAGCGCTGCAGGCACGAACTAGAAAAAGTCGGATTGTCACACGCGAAGAAGCATGAATTCATATTGGTGTACATGATCTGGACGCTTCATCGGGCTCGGTACGCCACTTCTCAATAAACTTCGAAGTGGGCGTCAGTGGGCCTTTTCCCATTGATGTCGAGCACATCCTGTGGACAAGCACTCATGACAACCACGACATCCCTGAGCGCCTCAAATACTACATAGTCACCAGCTTTTGTCAGCGGCCCCTCGAAACTGACGCTTCTGATTGCGCCTTCTCCTTCGTGCGTAACAGGTATGTTCATGAACAAGTTGAAGGGGTCAGGGACCCTCCCTCCCATCCTGGTCTGTAGCCCTTGTAGGATTTCGCCTTCTTCCGAATCTCCAAGACTCGAAGCTAAGGTAGCCAGAGCGTCCCAGCAGTTGTCTGTGCAGCTCTGGTGGTATGTATCGACACCGAGCTCAGCGTACCGCCAGCGATCACAGGCTGCAATTAGAGTATCATGCACGCCTGGACTTGTATCCTCGACCATCTTCGCCAAGGGCGCGCGTTTCTGGCTAACAAGTGTATCACCGACGCGCGGTGTGAGCTTCAATAGCGTAGCACGACAGTGCGACATGGACATGTACTCCGGTGCGGCAGCGGCTCGGTTCGCAGCTGTGGAATAACGAGACGAGGAGACAGCAGAAGCAGCGGGATAGAGAGGCGCTTCGAGGCGAGATGAGGCAGTGCCTATAGAGACAGACGGTAGGGCAAAAATCCACGTGTCGACAACCTGATTGCCATGGGTATTGATGATCTTGATCTTTTCGCTGGCGCGCACAATCGTCGCTGTACCTTGGCGAGCAGGTACTGTCTGTGTGGGGGGCATGGCAGATGGATGGATTTCGAATGAAGGCCGGTTGATGGTACCTATGACTATTAGGAGATGAGGATACTACCGTGGTCGTACAAAGTCGAGCGTCAGGTTCATTCGTAGGTTCAGTTAAGCTAAGAGGTTTGGACCACAATCTTATAAGACTTTCCTCTCATCACGCGGCCGAAGGATGAAGTGGGATTTGTGAGCAGTGAGGGGAAGATAACCGTCAACTGATAAACAGGTTTGGCGAGGATGTACCTCCAACTCAGCTAGTAGAGAAATGACATGTATAGCAACGAGAGACTAAGCCTCTTTATCGTATTATGATTGTGTTTGGAAGGCTATATCCCGACAAGAAGCATGGACAGAGGAGCAGTGACGCGCCCTCGGGAATCGTTGGTGCGCTAGCACGTGCCATTCCCTTGCAGCTGGAACGGCCAGACAGGCATTCGCGCTCCGTCGCCCAAAATATCCCCACTGCGACTTGGCCTCCTATTCTCCACTCCCGTAGCATTCCTACCCGACCAACGAGATGGCGCTCGCTACAAAGACGCAGTCGCAAAACATCTTTGCGAAATTGAAGGCAAAGCCTGCGAACAAGGTACGGTTCCTTGTAGAGGAGGGGCGGTCAGTAATGGCTAACAACTGTAGATATGCTTCGACTGCGGCGCAAAGAACCCAACATGGAGCTCTGTACCTTTCGGTATCTACCTCTGTCTTGACTGCTCTTCGAACCATCGTAACATGGGAGTCCACATCTCCTTCGTCCGATCCACGAACCTCGATAGTACGTCAACCCCCTGCTAGATGCGCGAGACAGAGCTGACGGCAACAGTTTGGCAATGGGACCAGCTGCGTATCATGAAGGTCGGAGGTAACGAAAGCGCGACGAAGTATTTCCAATCGCACGGTGGCTCAGCAGCGCTCGCCAGCAAGGACTCAAAGGCCAAATACACTAGCAACGCGGCGACCAAGTACAAGGAAGAGCTGCAAAGGCGGTGCGCCGCAGACTCTAAGCTGTAGGTTTGCTCCAGTACACAACGGAAACGATCGCTTACGTTCCAATCCAGATACCCCGAAGAAGTCGTGATCACAGATGTCCCAGATGTTGCTGGCGGCAGCGAAAGCAACACTCCAGCCGGCGAGGACGATGACTTCTTCTCTTCTTGGGACAAGCCCGCAATCAAGCGCCCGTCGAATCCTCCCTCTCGAACCGGTACACCGCGTGCTCAGTCGCCTTTCCTCAAGCCTGGCGTCGCCGCTGGTAATGGCGCCGACCGCCCGAAGTCGCCTCTCGTTGCAGCCGAGAACACCACACCTGCGGTCGTAAAGCCCACAGTACGGAAGACCACAACGGGCGCCGTACCAAAGAAGAATATCTTGGGCGCGAAGAAGAAGGGCTTGGGAGCCAAGAAGGTGGTTCCTGCCGATGGTGGGTTAGACTTCGAGGCAGCTGAGCGCAAGGCAAGAGAAGAAGCAGAGCGTGTTGAGAAGCTTGGTTACGACCCAGATGCCGAGGCCGCCGAGACGGCAGCGACTGCGAAGCCCAAGGTTGCTGAAGCCTCGAACATCGCAGCTCCTACGCCAGTCTCGCCACCTCATGGCGGCTTCGGCTCTACAGCCAAGCCGGACCGTTGGGATGCAGACACCGAAAGACTGGGCATGGGCGTCGCACGTCTCGGGTTTGGGCAAGTCGGTGCCGGTAAGAAGGCAGCGCCAGCGAAGAAGGTCGGTGGCTTCGGCAGTGTCGGCAAGCCTGTCCAAGACGAGAGCCAGAAGTATGCACGCGAGAAGTTTGGCACACAAAAGTCCATCTCCAGCGACGAGTTCTTTGGGCGAAACAACTACGATCCTGCGGCTGGTGCACAGGCGAAGGAGCGATTGTCAGGTATGCCACAATTCTTGTTGACTAAACGTCCGACCACCCTACTGACAGATTACAGGATTTGAGGGTGCATCGGCCATCTCATCGAACGCATACTTCGGCCGTCCTGAAGATGACATCCCGGAGGACGACTACGGTGATCTCGAAGGTGCCGCTAAAGACTTCGTCCGTAAGTTCGGCATCACTGCTGGCGATGACCTCGAAAACCTGTCGAACCTACTAGGCGAAGGCGCCGGTAAACTTCAAGGCGCTATCCGCAACTACTTGAACTCGTAGACGGATTCTCTTGAATGGACAACAGCGAGGCGTTTGTTCAGTCTACAACATCGATGCCAAGGACATTCACCAATTCCGAGTACAACATGGAGCCATGGAGAGTACTGCCTTCATGATGTTTGAACTGGGAGAGTGCGGCAGCCCAGCAGGGTATCAAAGCAGTCCCAATGGTGGGCGCTGTAGGATGCGAGAGTGTGGTGTGGCGTAAGCATGGAGTCGCATGGTGGATCATCTGAACCCCTTTCTGATAGAGGGGATAAGAGGATAGACAAAGCAATATGCAATACCTTTAATGACTACCCAACCCATGTACTTCACTATTACTCTGTGAGGCCCGCAGATTCCCGAGAAGCACGTATCTCATGCTTGAGCCAGTCTTGAAAGTGTTGGGCGCCGACCTGTCAGCTATGCTTGTTAACGACTACTGTGTATAGTCGTGTTCATTTTGTTAGATGACCTCGGGATGGTTCTTTCGAGGGTCGAGGGAAAGTGGGTCCAGGGTCTTGGCGACTAAGCGGTGGGGCGCGAGGCGCCACTAAGAAAGATTTCGCTATCGATATGGTTCTCGCATTTCTCTGCAGAGCGTGCTACAACAGACTACCACGCCACCGACAACATGAAGACCCAGTGGAAGGATATCCCCGTTGTGCCTACGAGCCAGGAATTCTTGGACATTGTTTTGTCCAGGACTCAGAGGCGTCTCCCGACTCAGGTACGGACCCATCGCAACTTTTTGCAGGCGCATAGTACTTACACAGGCGCAGATTCGTGCAGGCTTCAAGATCAGCCGTATCCGAGCCTTCTACACCCGTAAGGTCAAGTACACCTCCGAGACCTTCACCGAGCGCCTCTCGCAAACGATCGAAGCCTTTCCTCGCCTTCAGGACATCCACCCGTTCCACCGCGACCTGCTCAACACCCTCTACGATGCCGACCACTTCCGCATTGCGCTCGGTCAACTGTCGACCGCAAAGTCGCTGATTGAGACTGTCTCGCGTGATTATGTTCGTCTTTTGAAGTACGGACAGTCGCTGTTCCAGTGCAAGCAGCTGAAGAAGGCGGCGTTGGGTCGCATGGCAACTATCTGCAAGAGGCTCAAGGACCCGCTTGTCTACCTTGAGCAGGTCAGGCAACATTTGGGCCGTCTACCCTCGATCGACCCCAACACTCGCACGCTTGTCATTTCTGGTTTCCCCAACGTTGGCAAGTCTTCGTTCTTGAAGAACATTTCGCGCGCGGATGTCGAGGTTCAGCCCTACGCTTTCACGACAAAGAGTCTTTACGTTGGTCACTTGTAAGTTCAAACATTCAACCTTGTCCAGAAAATCACTAACAAAATAAGCGATTACAAGATGCTGCGATTCCAGGCAGTCGACACACCCGGTATCCTTGACCACGCCCTCGAGGAGATGAACACCATCGAGCACCAGTCGATTTGTGCCATCGCCCATCTTCGCGCTCATATCCTCTACTTCATGGATCTCAGCGAGCAGTGCGGTTACTCTGTCGCTTCGCAGATCGCTCTGTTCAACAACATCAAGCCCCTCTTCGCCAACAAGCTGATCACAATTGTCATCAACAAGATCGATCTTATGCGCCCAAGCCAACTGGACGCAGAGACACAGGAACAGCTTCAAAGCATGCTAAAGTCGGGTGAAGTGGAGATGCTCGAGCTTTCCTGCAACACCCAAGAGGGTGTCATGCAAGTACGCAACCACGTTTGCGACCGTCTGATCGCTGCTCGCAATGCAGAGAAGCTGAAGGCCGGCACAAACAGCGCCGGCGAGCCTTCTGGTCGTCTTGGAGAATTGCTCCGCCGTATTCACGTTGCCCAGCCCCTTGGAGGTGTTACACGCGAGACCTCTATCCCAGAGGCAGTTCTCAACAAGAAGAAGTACGACAAGGATGACCCAGACAGGATCCTTCTCGAGCGCGATTTGGAGGAGCAGGAGGGTGGTGCTGGTGTCTACAACATTGATCTCCGCAAGAAGTACTTGCTCGAGAACGACGATTGGAAGAATGACCGCATTCCTGAGGTCTTCATGGGCCAGAATGTCTACGATTTCATCGATCCCGACATCGAGGCTAAGCTTGAGGCTCTGGAGGCCGAGGAAGAGAAGCTTGAGGCCGAGGGCTACTACGAATCTGAGGAGGACCTCGAAGATGCTGAAGAGGCCGACATTAGGTACAAGGCCGAGCTTATTCGCGAGAAGAGGCAACTCATCCGCAATGAGGCAAAGATGCGCAAGAGTCTGAAGAACAGGGCTGTCATCCCCAGAACAGCGAAGGCCGTCAAGCTGTCCAAGATGGAGTCCCATCTCGAGAGCCTTGGTCACGACACATCCAGGATTGCAGCTCGCGCCGAAGAGGCTCGTGGGCGCAGCCGATCCCGTGCTGCTGCTGATGGTGATGCCATGGAGATTGACAAGCCCATGAACGCCATTGAGAGGGCTAAGATGAGGGGCCGCAGCCAGAGCACCAACAGGAGAATGGATGGTGTTACGAACGAGGAGGCTGCGACGAAGGCAGAGAAGCTGGCCAAGCTGTCACAGAAGAAGATGAACAGGCACGCCAGGCAGGGTGAGGCCGATAGGCATACGACCGGATCTTTGATCAAGCACTTGGTAAGTCTGATGTTCCGACTCCGCGATCACTGCTGACATCTCTACAGACTGCTGGAAAGCGTGGTATCGGAAAGACAAACAGCCGATAAACGTCGTTGTTTGTACTGTCATTGTTTTGCGAACTGTCGTGGCGCGCGACAGGTAGAAAAATCATGGTTGGCGTTCAGGATGCATCAGATACCTACGCGCCGGTTTTTCACACCGGTGTAGTAATGCAATTTATATGTCCCAATGAAGGCACGTGGGCCAGTGAAACTGACAAACACATCGCAACTGAGTAGTGGGCTAGTAGCGATACCAATTTTGGATCCATGCCGCGATCGGAGGGTAAGAATAGGATCTGTGTGGCTGGAGGTTGAACTCGCTCAGCCTTGTTCGACCCCTGCCCAGCAGGACGTTGATTGGCTCGGAAAGAACCGCATTATCGAGGACCCTTGTTCGGGAGGCTGCATCTGACAGTCTGCGAAATTACAACCTGCAAACTTGTTGACTGTGACGAGCAAACGGACATGGCTGAATGTCTTTACTGATCGCAAAGCAATACAGTCAGTGCAGAGCTGTATCATCAAAAGAGCCATAAATTTCGCTGGACGTGAAGGAAGCGTCGATTTGTTCGGTCTTATGTCTCAGGCCAGCAATCAGTGTCCCCCCATGTCAATCCGCATTTTTCCAGGCCTGACCTAACCCCATACGCACGATGCTTATGGATGTGCCGTTACCTGAGTGGTGGGATCGTTTAATCGAATAAGCATGCAAACAGGAAATGACTTGCACGATCCACCTACCTTTGGGGGCTGGAGTTCCTTGGGCAGGCAGTGGTTGTACAGCCATATATTCTCACTCGCGTATAGCGGGTAGCGGGACGTATGAGCTCGTCCCGTCTGGAGGTTGCCTGGACCTTTTCTCAAACCACAGCGCTGGTTTCGAGCTTCGCCGCACGTATAGTTGCTGATTGCGCAACTCACGCCTCCTCCGCATTCTGCGACCTGCATAGAGAGGATCGCTATGGTGAATCTATCGACTAAGAGTCTCCTGGCTCTTGTTTGGGCCTGCGCTGCGCTTGCGACGCCGTGTAAGTCAGACAGGTCAGCGTAACGTGAGAGGGAGGACAATGTCTGATGTACTGTAGTAATCACCGAACCGGTATGGAGTCATGACCTTACAGCTCGTGATGATACGCCTTGTCCGGATACTGGGTACACATCAAGAAATGGGATGAAGTACGAGATACAGATGGAACGTCTATTACTTTCCTAACACTTCAACAGTTTTACGACATACTGCAATTCGAACAACGGTGGTAATGGTGCGTAGAGGTAAACCCGGCTCTGTTTCAACACTGGTTGACTAATACTTTGCAGATGCTATGGAAAGAAAGTGGTTCACATCTCCCTCCATGGCAGATTGCATGGAGCATTGTTCGCGATACTGGGGCAACAGCGAAGGTTGCTACGGCGTTGTATGGCGCGAAGACAACAAATGCTGGATACGCAACAGCAATACCACCGTGAGCGGCGTCAAACCTTCTACCGATAAAACACACTCCGCGCTCATAGCCGCCAACACGTACGCGAGAATCGACCCGACCTGCCCGGATACCGACTTGTCGACGCACACAATCGACGGCGTTCCGGGACTGGGATACACACTGCATTGTAACAAGGTCATTGGTGGTTACGACACATGTTGGTCTGGCTACCCAAAGCCATGTTGGGACTTGCAGCATGTCGACGGGGTCTTTATTGGGTTCTACCACACCAAGACTCTCGAGGAATGCGTACGGATATGCACAGATCAAAGCCCTCTGTGCAAGGGCGTATCCTGGAACCCCGATTACTCGATCGGTTTTGCAAATTGCTGGCCGAAGACGGGGTATGAAAATGCGATCAATACGCCTGCCGAAAAAGATGGAATCCTGCACTCCGTGACCATCACGTCCTTCGACAGCGTGGATGACAGCTGTCCATCAACTGAGACGTACTCCACAACCAATAACAACAACTTCGACATACACTGTGGCCAGGCGAATGACGGGACAAATCTCACCCAGGTCCACACGCAGAACGTTACGTCGTGCATGAACTCGTGCGCAACAACGGACAAATGTGTCGGTGTGGTATTCGACACGACGCTGCAAGACGGATTCAAGAACTGCTACCTGAAGAACACAACCAGCACAACCAGAACAACCAGCACAACCAGCAACAAGGCATCTGTAATGTATGCATCGCTATCTGGATCCAGCATTCCTTCCTCCTCCTCGACTTCCACAGCCGGCAACTCTACTTCCGGCTCCAACTCCAACTCCAATTCTTCGTCGTCCTCCAGCAGTGGAAGCAAGGCATGGATCGCCGGACCCGTAGTCGGAGGCGTCGTTGGTCTTGCCATCGTCGCCGGCGCAGCAATCTGGTGGCGCAGACGAAAGAGCAATGCCGAAGTGGGCGAGAAGCATGACGGCGTGCAGTACGATACCGTGCCTGGATATAGCCCTGGGCAAAATCCATATGGTGCAGAGCAGCAGACGGCATATGCTCACCCAATGAACGAGGCGGATCCAGGAGCAGTGAGGAACGAGTTACCTGAGACGACGAAGTACGCGCATCGTTCAGGGCATGAGGGGCTTCATGAGGCGCCGTGATTGGAATTCGACTTCGGCGTCGATTGACTGGAAAGCAGAGGCGCGGAATTGTTGAAGACGAGCCCATAGGCAATCACTTCAAACAATTGAGGCCATTTATTTAGTACAGCATAAGAGGCGTTATTAGCATGATACCAAAGCAGCTTGTAGTGTGTTGCAAAGACCAACCGCCTCTATCATCATCCTCTGATGTGGACCGATCTGCAATGCGAGACCTGACACTCGAAGGCTGAAAGCACTCTTGATGCTTCTCACTTTCCTTGATTTCTCTCGTCAGTCACCACTTCAATATACGTCTTAGAGGCGAGAGAAATGAGAGATAGCAACACTTCAATGTTCTCCACGAACCAGACTTCGTTTCTGTTCAGCTTGGTTTTGCTACATAGCTGCCAACCCTTCAATGATTACTTCTCATTTTCAAACTCAAGGCCGCTCTCCTCCCGCACAGTACCATACACACTCGGGATGTCACCTTTGTCCCCCAGGTGCTCCTTCACACCATCCAATCGTGCTCGCGCGACGTCAAGCCCCTTCACGCTGCTGCCGCTCGCGTCTGCAAGTGCCTTTGCATGTCTAGCGTCCTTGCGCGCAAGATCAATGTGGAAAAGTGGCTCATCCCGCTTATAGTAGTCACCCTCGAGCATGCGCTGTGAGTACGCTGTCCACGGTCCTGTAGCTCATCAGCACGCACTACGGTACTATATAGATAAATACGACGCACCTGGAAACATAGTCGAGATGAACTTATGCAAGTTGTCGACGCCCAGCCCGCTCTTCTCGGCCAACACATGGCCCTCGGACAGCTGGTTCACCATGTTTAGGATAAAAGTGTTGCCAATGACCTTCAGCAGAGTCGCGTTGCCAGCGGGCTGGTTCGAGAAATCGATGGTCACTCTCCCCATAACGCCATCAGTATACGGGAGGATTTTCTTCACGGCCTCCGCTTTCCCAGCAGTGACGCACACCAAGCTCCCCGCATCTGCCATCGCGGGCGCACCGAAGACCGGCATGCCGACGAACTCGGCGCCCGCGGCCGTGATGCGTGCCTCCAGAGCATTGGTCGTGTCTGGGTGCACGGTGCTGCAGTCTACAATGGTCTTTCCCTTGACGTCGGACTCCAGGATCGTGTCGACTGTAGCGTTGACGGCGGCGTCGTCGCCCACGCACATCAGGATGATGTCGCTGTCCTTCACGGCATCGCCAATTGTGGATGCGACTTTGGTTTTGTCGGTACCCAGCTTGGTGGAGAGAGCATCTGAACGCTGTTGGGTGCGGTTGTACAGGATCAATGGCTTGTCGAGGTTCCCTTTGGAAACGAGGTTGGCGCACATGCCCTACAGACATGTGGGTTAGCGAGTCATGGCCATGGTGTCGTTGTTTTTATGTTGCGGCCATTCAGGGTTGTTTTTAACGGCCATTTGCAGTATAGCTCCTAGCTTTTCGAAGGACAATATGAGCATGGCGTCTGAACAAGCGCGTGAAAATACGAGATTGAAAGTCACACGATGGTGAAATCTTCATCTGATTAGATTATCGACCGGGGGTACTTACTCTGCCCATGTTGCCGAGGCCGATCCATGAAAGTTGCGGAGCCATGTCGATGCTGTGATGAGTTGTAACTTTGCTGGCTGCGGAAGTCGGTGTGTATAGCTTTGAGATGCCAAGTACGTGTATTTATACTATGGCATACACCTTTATCTCCGTCCACTCATGGAGTCATATCCGGCTTTGTCATGATGGTGAAGCAGATGGGCCCAACAGGCCGGCATCGGTTATGACGCATCGTGCCTATCGATAAGAAAGTCGCCAAAGCTCCCGCCCTGCAGAAAACATGTGCGCGCGGCATTTCTGCACACCGCAATATCGCGCATTTTCCCATATACCCCTCGATGTGTTCAGAAGCTGAGCGATAGCATGAAGCATGGTCATTTGCAAAGCCCCTGTTTGGGGCTTGGGGCGGGTTTCGACGAAGGTGAGTGATGCTGAAGAGACGAATACTCACTCCCCACACTCGATTGTTGCACAGGCACTGACGTCCAAATAGCTCCCCAGGCTCGATAGCACGAGCAACGTCGCCGAAAAAACCTTCACCTCTCGCCTGCACACCACGGCGTGCCTCAATGCCTTGAATATCCGCCGGGCGTCGAGTCTTGCTAAGGAAAAGCAGCGCGCTGAACGCGATCAATTGACTCGCCTACTCAAAGAGTCTGACGCCAAACGCGACGCAAGGAACTATATTAAGCATTTTGATGTCGCCAAGAAGGCGCCTGTGGACGCTCCACCAAAGACCAGGCAGGCTGTGAGTGCTACATTCCATGAGGATCCAGCCACAGCGCTCACGGGTGTCAATCTCGGCAACCTATACGAGCACACCATCTTCACACGCGAACAACCGCCCGGGGATGGATTTGGAGAGAGTATAGAAGAGCCCATTCATCTTGCACTGGTGAAGATACGGCAGCCACAGGCCCTCGACGACGCTACCCTGGGCGGCATCGCGTTGACGCTGAGTCAACTAGCCCAGCTGGGATTGAGTACAGCAGTGGTACTGGACTGCGATGACGACGCTTCCTGCGACACAGCGCACGCGCGACCGCCCTTAGAGCAGACAATTAGAAGGCAGGCAACACGCATGGTCGCTGCGCTGCAGCGATACCACGAGCCTGGTGCTTTGCTGGTCGAGCATGCACTCAGTTACGCAAGCCTGGGTCAAGATGGGCTAAGCACAGCACATGTGCGGGGAGATGTAGAAGTCAAAGACAACTATCTCCTCTTCCCGCCGATCGACGACGGTATCATACCTGTCATCCCGCCGTTGGCGTATGACACAGACCTAAAGAGGGTAACCGTCCTGGCAGACGACGTGGTTCTGGCCTTGGTTCGAGAGTTTGCTGGTCTCGCAGGCGGTTCCAGTAGCATCAAAAGCAACACACATAGTCGTCAAGACGTGTATGAGCGGCCAATCCTCGACCGCGTCATCATCTTAGACCCTCTGGGCGGTATCCCATCCCAGAACAGGGCAGATGGCGCACATGTCTTCGTCAATCTTGAAGCAGAATACCGGCACATCAAAGAGGAACTAGCAACAGTCGCGTCGGATGCAAAATCTGTTGACGTCGAACGGAAATCAACGTCACTCAGTAGCGAGAATCCACTCTCAAAATTTGTCGAAGGTGAAGTTGCGCCGCTGCCTGGGCCTCCAGCAACCCGCATGAGCGACATATCGCCACCCGACCGACATATAAAGAATCTTGATGTGGTCGAACGAGCATTGAAGCTGCTCCCACCGTCGTCCTCAGGCCTGATCCTCACTCCGATTGAAGCAGCTACCGAGTCCCTTCCTGCACCCGACGAGTCTGGACGTGGTTCAAAGCCGTCGCCGAATCCACTAATTCACAACGTCTTGACCGACAAGCCCATGGTGTCGTCTTCTCTCCCAACGTCTCCAGCAAGCCGTCTTCATGGTCTGCACGCTTCAAGACCATCGACTTTTCTCAAGAAGGGTATCCCTCTGACCATGATTCCCGATCCACGGGTCTGCGGGCCCTGGCAACCACCATCCACCGGCTACCCCAGTATTGACCTTGGCAATGACCCGCGTATCAACCTACCCAAGCTCGTGGACCTCATTAACGACTCTTTCCGCCGCAAACTAGACCCGAAGGACTATTTGGCGCGCATTCACGGCCGAGTAGCTGGCATAATCATCGCCGGTGATTATGAGGGTGGCGCGATATGTACTTGGGAAACGCCTTCGACACTTCGCCGGCACGAATTTGGCTCTACTGCCGAGTCAAACGACGTGGAATCCCCTCACTGGGTTCCTTACCTCGACAAATTCGCCGTTCTGACATCCTCACAAGGCTCAGGCGGTGTGAGCGACATCGTCTGGGCCGCGCTAGTACGCACGTGTTTCCCGCGCGGCGTGGTGTGGAGGAGTCGAACGAGCAACCCTGTGAACAAGTGGTATCAAGAGCGGAGCACGGGAATGTGGAATTTGCCCGGTGGAAACTGGACTATGTTTTGGACAGTGGAAGGGGTCACCGCTGGGTGGGGAGGCATCGAGGGTAGACCACAGGAGATGAAGAGGTGGGATGCGTACATTGATGTGTGCTCCGGTATTGAGCCGAGTTGGATGGATGGAAAGAAGCAGCTCGATTAACATCATAGCATGATATGAATCACGATCAAGCCTAGCGATCATCAAACATGAGCCAATATCTTATGACAAGGCAGCAACATTTGCGTCACTCCTTGACGCGACCAGCAAAGATATCAATAACCCCTTGCTAAGCCCGTGTGTGCTGGGAGGACCGTGCACAGGGTGGAACGGGATTGACGAACTCCGTCCCGGCCTGCTTACTCTCGAGCGAACTGCGACTCTGACAGCCCCACGGTCTTCCCTACCGAACGCAGCATGGAAGCCGCCGACGCCAGACAGGGCTCGGCGCCTTATGGAAGAGCTTGCACAAATTGTGTGAAAGCGAAGTGCCGGTGTATTGTGCGAGACGCAGGCACCTGTTCAAGGTAGGTAAAGCTGGATACTAGTTCATTGACTGTAGTATTATGTTTCAGGCGATCATATTCGTACCTTTGAAACGAAAACTTGGGTCCATTATATGAGCATATAGACTCTTTACTCCCTCAGTTGTCTGGTGGTTCCATAAGCGACCAGGTCTAACAAAACGGCAGATGTCAGCGGCTCAAAAAGGACTGTCAACCGTCTACGACAGTGCGTGGACAAGGCGCAAAGCGCAATGCAGCTTCAAAAAATTCGGCACTCGAGGAGAAACTCGACGATATCGTGACCCTGCTTCGAAGTCAGACAGGCGCACACCATGGGCGGTCAGCAGACACCATTCCAACTCCCAGCTCGACTGGGCTTTCACCTGGGAGTGACTTGCTTGAAGATTCTAGAGACCAAGATTTGACCGAAGAAGAGTACATCAACTTTCGTGAACATCTTTTGCCGGATTTCCCGTTAGTAAACGCCCCACCAAACTACACAGCAGCCGAGCTGCAGAAGAAAAAGCCCGTCTTTGCGTTGGCAGTGAAAGTGATGACCACGCGAGTAGCCTCCAAGCAGTTAGCCCTAGGCAAGAAGCTTAGAGAAATACTTGCGCAGAAGATCTTAGTTGAAGGCGAGCGAAGTCTTCCTCTATTGCTGAGTTTGCTCACTTCTATAGCATGGTAAGAAGTCAGCCCGGTTATAGATACTGTAGTATTCATGACTTACACCAGGTCCCTATCTTTCACACACGGGAAGCCCTTCCTGGGAGCCATGATGGGCCTGGCTCGGCCTCTCATAAGCGATTTGAAATTAGATCGGGGTTCTACTTCAGCTCGATGTCCCGGCGTACAACCTCCTCATATTGGGGACGCCAATAACGAAGAAAGTGTCACACAAACGAATGCAGGACGACGGGCCTACGTTGCTTGTTTCGCACTAAGTGCAATGTAAGTCACCTCGATATCCCCTTCGATCTAAGCTAAGTTTGAAAGTGTATCCACTACCATGAAGTATGATGCCATGCGCTGGTCCTCACAGTTGGACTCTGCTTGCTCCATTCTGTCTGCACACAGCGAAGTTGAAGGCGACCAGATCCTTGTTGCTCTTGCTCGCCTCGCAAAAGTGGCACTCGACGCAGGGGACATCTATCGGCAAGTGTCAGAGGACTCGGAAACCACTGTACATCCCGCATTCTCGATAGCCCCTTTGAAGAGCTCTCTCAGTCAAACCAAGGACACGCTGAACTCTGAACAGCTACAGCACAGTAAGCTCCACAAACTCCTATGTTGATTGATTGCTCAACCATGGTTAGGCTCAGTAGTAACATACATATATGCTGCAGAAGCTGCAATCTACGAACTAGCTCTTCTCCAGCCACCGACTCCGCTCATGCGCTACTGCGATCACAACCTAAAGCGGATCGAATACCTCACCGGCTTGCTGCAGACCTGCAAAGGATGCACAGAACACTTTCTTGCTTTCGATCTAAGACACATCACTGCGCCTATGATGATCGTGTTTGGCTACAGTATGAAGCTCTGCTATTCTCTGCTCACTTTGCAGATCAGCGGCTGGGACACGGCAATGGCGCGCATGACATTAGATCCCGCTACGTGTTTCGAGCGTGCAATTGACCACTGCGAACAGACAAACAATGCTTTGAAATTTGAAACGGGCGAAGATAGCATCTTCAAGCAGGCAGCAGAAACGATGCGTAGCTCTGCCTCACAATGGAGACTGCCTACGGAGCGACGCGACCCATCACTCGGACTAGATGCATTTGCTTCTGGTGCGGATTTTGGTCTAGTCGATTTGCCCTCGTTGGAGTTCTCTGAGGATTTTTGGCTGAACACTAACTGCAACTTTTGAAAGCCGGGACCGGGTTTCGGGATTGGATTTGTCTCCTACACCTTTCTGCACTCTTCAGTACAGGCATTATACTCAACGGAATTCACACTCCACGGAATTCGAGTAGAGTTGTTGCCTGTCTCAGCATGCCTATAAACTTAGACTAATTCCATTGTTGTTTGCTACCACAATACCCAACTGTGCCATTCCGTTCATTGCCCGACTCAGCACATCCCAACAGCACAGATGCAGCCCGCTTCAGATGTCAAAGTAGAGCGTGACGAGATCAAATCTGACCATCAGGATGAGCGGATATACCTTGAAGGCTTCCGTCTCGCCATCGTCCTAGCTAGCGTGACTCTTGTAACCTTCTTGGTTCTACTGGATACATCGATCCTCGGTACAGTAAGTCCACGACAGACAACAGGTCCAATATGGAGTACTTATGCGTACAGGCCATCCCTCGTATTACTACTGAATTCCACTCGCTTTCTGACGTTGGTTGGTACATCGGCGCATACAACCTAACTGCGTATGTCCGCCCAAGTACTGGTGTCTCAACGACACCGCTGACCAAACACAAGTGCAACCCTGCAGCCATTGTCGGGCAAACTGTACTCTAAGTTCAGCAACAAAGTAACTCTTTGAACTGTCCGCAAATTTTACGCCGTCTCACTATCTGCAGTACACTTACCTCACCTTCACAATGGTCTTCGAAATCGGCTCATTGGTATGCGGTCTTGCCAAATCCTCCTCGATCTTCATCTGCGGCCGCGTCATCGCCGGTCTGGGCGCTGCCGGCCTCTTCAACGGCGCTCTCACAATCATTTCCAGCTCTGTCCCGCTCGACAAAAGCCCGATATATACAGGCATACTTGCTGGTATCACACAGCTCGGGATCGTTGCTGGGCCGCTCATCGGCGGTGCACTGACTGAGCACGTAAGCTGGCGGTGGTGTTTCTACATCAATTTGCCGGTAGGCGGGGCGGCGGCAGCGGTGTTATTTATGTTTATCACAGTCCCCGAGATCGTACAGAAAGAGCCACTATCGGCGGCGTTGATCTTAAAGGTCTTACCGGAACTTGATCTGATAGGTTTCGCGCTCTTTGCACCTACTGCGACTATGTTTCTCATGGCTTTGCAATTCGGCAGCGGCAACACGTACGCCTGGAATAGCGCGACAGTTATCGGGTTGTTTTGTGGCTCTGGCGTCGCAGCCTTGATCTTCATCGGTTGGGAGTTCAGGGTGGGCGATCGGGCTATGATACCTGGCAGTATGCTCCGGAAGCGCATCGTGTGGACTAGTTGCATCTTCGGTGCGGCCCTCATGTGCTGCAACATTATCTCCAGCAATTGGCTACCGACATATTTTCAGGCTGTAAAGGGTGAAGGGCCAACGTTGAGTGGCATTCATATACTACCGAGCGTTCTCGGTGCTTTACTGACCATTATCGTTACGGGGGCTGCAAGTAAGCATGCTTTGGAATTATCAGAAGACGGGTGTCACTAACTATAATAGTCTCAAGATTAGGATACTACCTTCCTTGGGGTTTCTTCTGCGGTCTCGTCACTGCAATTGGAGCAGGTCTCATTTCCATGTGGACGCCTACAACGAGCACGGCTCGGTGGGTTGGATACCAGATCCTGTTCGGAGCCGGTCGAGGAGCTGGCATGCAAGTCGTAAGTGTCTGACATCTTGTTGAGATTGAGTCTCGTGGAGGGTTATGATGGTTGTTATTGACGTGCCACAGCCTATCATTGCCGCCCAAAATGCCGTGCCAGCAGCTCAAATACCCATTGCAATGGCCACACTCATCTTCTTCCAGAACTTCAGCGTTTCAATCGCCGCTGTTGTCAGCAACACAATATTTTCTCAGACGTTGGCTGCTACGATACCAAAGTATGCACCTTCAGTATCGCCAGCTGCAGCGTTAGAAGCCGGTTCTGGTGCTAGCGCCGTTCGAGACATCATACCCATTGGCCATGCAGACGAACTCGATGGTCTACTGAGAGCGTACTCCGAAAGCTTGCGAAATATTTTCTATCTTTTGGCCGGACTTGCCGTATTGGCGACTGTGGCCAGCTCTGGGATGGGTTTGAAAGATGTCCGCAAAAAGCCTCAGAGCCAGGGTTCGAAGACGTCAATGTCAAAAGACGGCAGCCAAGTGTAGACTTGCGCTACGTGGCCTTAATTTGAGAATTGTCTGGCTGGGGGTTGTAAGCTTGAAGGTGGGCTCAGAGATGTTTGAGGTTGTTCAGGATCGAGCGTGGTGACGCTATAAGCGGCCGCGGACAAGATTCACTGAATCTTAGCATCGAGCACGTCGAGGACAGGCATTGACGATGACAATGTCGGATTGCAAGTTCAGCCGCATAAGCCCCAGTTTGCGGACGCGGGAAGATGCGGGGTCATCTAGCGCCTGTCAAGGCAGGGCAACAGGTGTTCACAGGGGAGATGCGTAGAAGATTTGTAGTATGTTTGGAGCAATATCAAGAGATTGAATTGATCGAACAGCTTTCCTAGCCTGTCGGGCAGGGCGCCTTGAAATGGACGCTGAATTGTCCAATGAGCAGGGTTTCAAGTGCTTGAGAGTCAGTCGTGTCTGCACAGACTGGTAAGAGGACACTCGATGCCCCAACTCGAGCCAAGACCGCGGAGACTTTGACGCGCTCCCCGTGGAGATCGAATGTTAATGACTGCGTGAATTACACGTTTCGGAGTAAATCGGGATGTTAACGACATATCTGTTATATCCAGCCAGCTTTAAGCTTTTCTGCGGCCTCACTTTCAGACACCACATCTGCCATTTTCGCCTGGATATCGAAGACATTCGCATCGTGTACCGCTTTGGACCGATCTCCGCAAGCCTCACTGACGACCTGTGCGGTGGTGAGCCTGATTCAAAATTTCGAATGCCAAGGCCTACAATGGGACGATAACCTAGACACATTGCATCCAGAGTAGTCGCTCGCACACAACCACTTGTACTGACGCCGCAGATCACCAGTGTATCGACACCTTTCAACTGCAGGCGCGTACTGAGATCTGTGGCGAAGAATGCACTGGGATACCGTTTGGAGACAATGAGTTCGCCGTCTCTAGGCTCTAAACCAGGCACCCAGCTCTCCAAGCCGGTCTCGTTTCCTTTCAGAAAAACTTTCAGCAGCGGCGCTTTGCAGTAGAATATGCCTGCATCCGACATATCAGGCTCTGTGTACTCGACCCGGGTCCAAATCAGAGGTACCTGGCCCTTGCGGGCGGCGTCAACGAGTTTCGCAATCGAGGCAGGTGCAGCCGCCGAAGCCGGATTCTCGCTGGTGTCCAGAGGGCTGCCTTTACTCCAGTACGCATTGCAGACATCGACGAGTAAGAGCGCAGGTTTGTTTCCCCAGCCGACTGTTCCAGCGAAGCCCGACCTCACGTAGCTGTCGTGGTCGCTATTTTCGTGCGGAGCCATGGATTTCGGTGTTACTTTCTGAGCGTCAGCCACGACGCTCGGCCAGAGGACGCCGCTCCAGCCGGTCTAAGTGGCGACGCCATCAACCTCGTTTTGCCGTTCGCGCACTGGCAATGCTCGGAGAGCGAACACGCGGCGATCGGAGAAGTTACTTGGCTCGCGAAGCGGTTCTGGCGGATACTTGTATCCTAAGTTTGGACTGGACTGCAGTCGCGGAGCATCAATCACCCGTACCTCGGGTAAGTACTTTGTTCCGCTCATACCGGTCTTCGAAAGAGGCATGTGGTGATTCGGCGCTGCGCCTTCGCGCAAGGTAAACTGTAAATCAACGTGCTGCGGCTTGATCCGTCAATTCTTTATCGTGTGCGCTTCGCATCTGGCCATTAGCATCTGGTGCCTCCATTCCAGATTCACGGCAGCATACGCCAGCCTCTCCTCCACACTGGAGGTCCCGAAATCTTGGCGTATGATCGGACGGACTTCCCCACACATGCAGGAGCCCTTGATGCCCTCGGCGAAGAGCGAATCCTCGGTATCTCCCAAACCTCACAGCTCCACTATCGCCATGGAAGCAAAAGAAGGGAGATCAGGCAACGCGTTCGCGTGCGAGCGCTGTAAGAAAGACCATAACTGCATGCGCCTCTTCTAACTTCAACAGGTCGTAAGCACAAAGTTCGGTGCGTTCCCTCGGACACAGCTTCTGTATGCCAAAGGTATGTTTTTCCGGCACTTTTCCGCGCCTTCGGCATAACACGTGCTGCAGGTGCCAGAAAGCACGCGTCGAATGCATCGAGCATGTTGCACGCAGGAGGCCAGCAAAGCCCAGATCAGATGGGCAGGCACCTAACAAAATGCGCGACTTCGACAAGAAGCTGGACAAAATATCTGCTATTGTGGCAACAATGGCGCCGGTCTCAGTCCTACAGCCCGCGTTACCGCCGGCAACCGTGCCTTCCCAATTTCCCGAGACAGCCCAGCAAACATCATCGCCGGCGCCCGCACCGGTGAAGGCATCGCCGTCTACTTCCACCGCACCAGTCCTTCCGGCCCCTATTTCTAATGGAGAAGATTCCGCCTCTTTTTGGGGTTCGATCAACGACACGTTGTCATGCCTCGGCAGGCTTGATCCCGTTATCCGGTCAATTAGTTACGTCCACATGCAGATGTTGGTGGACACCTATCGGGCCATGTCCGATTACTTTCCATTCGTGACTCTGCCAAAAGAGTGCTCTTGTCGCGAAATGCTCCAACAACGACCGATGTTGATGTTCGCTGTATTGACAGTGGCTTCCTATGACTCGGTACTGTTGCAGTTGACCTTGAGTCGCGAATTTCGCAAGGTCGTGACAGTCAAGGTGATGAATGGAGAGAAAAGTCTAGATTTGCTGCAAGCACTGCTTGTTTTCATAGCTTGGCATCACCATTATATGGATGCTCAGGCTGTTTCTATTCCCATGCTTCTGCAGATTTGCGCTGGCATCGGAAATGATCTGGGTCTAGACAGTCTCTCAACCACTATGAGGGGCCCTCTACACCAAGACGATCACAGGAACAAGGAAGCGAAAAGAGCATACCTCGGGTGCTACTATCTAGCTTCCAATATCGGACTGGCTGAGCCAGGTAAAACTCGCAGTATATCGTATTCGAGCACACTTCGAACGTACGCGTCGGAGCTGGCGGCATCGTGGGAGCACAAGTCTGATGCGATACTGCCCATCCTCATTGATATTTGCCAATTCACAGAAGATGTCCAGGAGACATTCACCGACCAGAGCGAGCAGGCTCTTATCGCCCGCACGCAGGTGAAGCGCTTGAGTGCGAAGTGGGACAGTATCTGTCTGGCCTCAAAGCTGCAGGCGAACGACTTCAGTATGTGGCGGTATTTAATGTACGATACCATTATACTGACCAAACTAGAAACACTACAGTGGATACAACTCGCTGCACATAGCTATCTCTACAAGACCGCAGCATCGATCGAACTGACCGACCGCGATAGCACCCCGTGGGCTTCAGGCTTCCAACTCTCGTTGCGCGTAACCTGTCTACGATCAATCGAGCAATTTCTCGACAACAGCACAAAACTTCAGTCAGGCCAGTACGAGTTCTTGTCTCTGGTTGATTGGCTCAATCTGGTCTCTACAATGACAAGCTTGGGCAAGCTCGCGTTGCATTCTTCACCAATGCCTGGATGGGATACTACCGAGCTACAGGTAGCGAAGTCATTCGAATACTTTCGCGATCAGCTTTCCTCGCAGATGCCTCGTCCACGCGATCCACAAGAAACCAACGAGGATATCTTTGAGCGTTTCCGCCGTATCACGGCTGTGATGAAAATGGCTTTAACAACCTCGTCTGGAAGGACTAGTCCTGGTGGAAGTACATTCCAACTTGCAACTGGATCTGGCCGAACGGTTTCTTTGTTGCAAGATCTTCCCTTGCCAAAGATGAACGGCATCAATGGCGACGACAGACATCATCCTTGGAAGCCTAAGCCTACATTCGATCTCAATAGCCATCAGTTTCCGTGGCGGTTCTTATCGGGCACAGTTTGAAGAAGATTTGTGTGGCGCAAAATGCATCTAGGGCAATGCTCGCGGATAAAACTGCGAATCGGTTCGGCATTCCGCCACCAGACCACGGCAATGGTACAGCTCTTGCCTCTCACCAAGGGTATCACCGCAAGCCACGAAATCCGAGCTTAGCATAGCTATGCACGTGCAGGTAAGCACGCGGACATGTCGCAGGAGGTGCAATTGGCTGACCGATATTGAAGCCGCGGCAAGTCTCGGGGACTTGATTGGTGGATCGGCCGGACATGCTGAGCTATACGAGGCACCCCGAAAGGCCCACTTGGAATGGCAAGACATTCCGGTGACCATTTCCATCGTTTCTTCGAGAACGCCGTTCTGAAGTGAGCGACACTTACTTGACTTCATGTTTTCTTCTCTTTGTCTCTCCTCATCTCGATGCGAGGACTGATGCCTCTCTGGAAGTATGATACCCCGCACAGACACTGTCGTGCTAATGACTGAACGTTTTTTCCATCTCTACTCTTGATCCCACAACCATGTGTTCACCTCTATCGTCTATTGCTCCAAATGTTTCACACTCATCTGTTCAGGCGCTCAAGGCTCAGACGTAGGCAGACTCGCTCTGCAACAGCCGAGCGACGCTGTTGTAAGAACTTAGCACAGCCTCCACCAAGCACCGTCACGAGATTCAAACAGTGTTTGGAGTGACAGTATCGGACCAAACATGTCAGGACTTCTACACAGCCAGAAGCGATCCTTGTTGTTGCAATTTTATTTAAGCTGAACGAAGATTCTACCACTGGGTCGACCTACAAGTCATCACTTTGCCTGTCTTCCTGGCCTAGCTACTATCATTTGACAGTCGAACGTGCACCACGTTCTACCTTACCTCATCACACTACAACTTACTTCACCATAACCACATCACCACAATGGGCTGCACGTCGAGCACTCCCACGTCGGGTCTAGGAGAAGACGAACCCTCTAAACTCAGTGGCCAGCATGGAGCAGGCCACACCAGCCATGGTGGCTCTGGTGCCCATACCGGTACCTATTACGGCGGCTACGGCGGCTATGGAGGAGATGGAGGAGGTGGTGGCGGTGACGGAGGCGGCGGTGGTGGAGGATGCTGAAGGCGTTTTGAATCTCGGGGAAAGGTTGGGACGACTGATGATGTTGCGGTGACTGGGACTGTGTCGCTGGAGGATCTTGGCTGTTGGTGATGTGGCAAAGTTACAGTCCATGGTGTGCGTCAAGGACCTATCCGGCAGTAGTATGTGCTTTTAAACCACTCTCTACATCACAAACATCACTAGGTCTTTTTAAACTTTGTTCCTAGGTTGCTCATTGATTTTTGCCGGTCGAGACAATCAAATATCCAATCTGCATACTCTAGCATATATATACATTCCAATCTTTGACTTGATTACGAGTGTGGACTCAATAGTACCTTCCATTACAACACTTTCCAAACAAAACTTCATATCGCCCGAAGACTTCTCCTACCAGTATCAATAATGCCATCGGAAGGACCCACTTGATGGTGAGGTGGTTGTCCAAACTGGAATATATCATGATTGTCGCCTGGCTCGCAGTCTGGGCTTCATAGGCCACAAGCAGTGTAAGATGTAGGTCAGGATCAGTGAGCAAAAAGAGATATCTGATTTCATGTCGTTAAGTCGAGATCAACAAAAAAAAAGACGACGTTGGCAGGATTCGAACCTACGCTCCCGAAGGAACAAGATTTCTAGTCTTGCGCGATAACCACTCCGCCACAACGCCGAAGATCGCTAGCTGGTTAATGCTAGTGATAGATGAAAATCTTGCAAGATATGGATTATATATTGATGACAAGACGAGATTCAATAGAAAGAAACATCCACCGGCGACTAAATACAATGATGTCAGACTCCATGCATTACTGTAACATGCAGTCATGATTCCTCGCTCATATGCAGAAGGAGCGACAAGGATGGTAGGATAGTCCCGGTCTTGAGGCTTCACCTTGGCGGTCAAGCCTCGAGCCAAAATTAGCCCCCACAGCCGGAGTGAACCACATCCTCGGCACCCCGATGTTCATGATGAGCCTCGTGCATCCACACCATTCCCATAATCTGGTTCCAATAGTCCCATTCTAAACTTGTCGTAACAATGCAGTTACGTCAGTCCGTGTCGTCCTTTATCAACGTAGAGCCATGTGAAGCACGAGTGACCCCGCTAAACACATCACGAGCAAGGTGTTGATAGACGGACTCGACCACCTTGCGACTCGACTTTCCGGTCACGCACGAGAGTAATCAGCAGCAGAAAGAAACAAGTGCCACCTGTCGAACTCCTAGCTGGTGTACTACCTTTGATCCCCGACACCAAACTCAGTTCGATTTGCTAAGCCTCGCAGTCCACGTTGTGATTGGTCCATCGCTCATCCTCCTCTGCTGACTCCACACACACAAGTCCCTTTTAAGTCTGCATCCGCCTGGAACGGCAGGCATGGTCAGCACAAAGAAGTAAACCCCCGCTACGGGATTCTTTTCCTTCAGGGGCCCCTGCTGGATAAATCCCAGGCTTGTTGCTTGTGAGACGCGGAAGTCCTGGCAGGGCTGCTGAAGCCCGATGCTGCGGTTGGTCCACCTACGGGCGCGCAGTTCGGTCCTCGAAGCGTACAGCATATAGTCGCAATGGCGTCCAGCATGCGTGGGCATTGCCATTCTTGCGATCGACAAACTTATGTCGCGCTGTCTTCCTGAGGATCACCCGGCCTCCCGTTTGAGCGCAGCGGCTGCCTTTCTCTTCAACAGGATGTCGACAATTAATTCACCCCGCCTGCCGGGTCTGCCGATCCTACACAATCACGTCACGGGGGCCGAGTACTCAAGATGGCGCCGAGGGATGAAATTCGCTTGCGAAACCAAGGGGACCTGGGGTTTTTGTGATGGAACACATTCGATGCCCATGCCCAAGTCTCCGAGGGCGTCCAACACAGTTCAACCGACTTTGCTTGACGAACGAAAAGCGTGGGTCCGACAGGATCGCGAAGTCAAACTAGACATTTTCCTATCAGTATCGGAGGAAGTCATGGAAGAGGTGCTCCACGCTGGCCCACCGCTCCCACCGTCCAACATGAGTGCCCAGCAAATGATGGCAGCGCTTGACCAACGCTTCGCGACTTTTAGGTTCAACGACTACCACCATGCTTTCTGCCACTTTCTCAACCTACACATGGACTCATATGACAGTCTTGCGGACTTCAACTTCGAGTTTAAGACGACGTTAGAAGACTTACGCGACTATGGTCACCCGCTTTCCAATGTCCAAGCCTGCAGCGCGTACTTCTCGAAGCTCCGATGCACGCAGAATCCATGGGTGGCGCAAAAGCTCGAGACATGGGAGACATCGACAACGGTTCCAAAGCTCGAGGATCTCATGAAGGAGCCCATACCTTGGACATTCAAGCCGTCCAGCGCAGATAATTCAACGTTTTTGGAAACCGAGTCTGTCCCGGAGGAGCTCATTGACGACACCTCGTCACAGTCAGATATGGACAATTCAAGTGTATCCACTGCCTCTTCGCCATCCAAGACTCACTCAAGGCACACATCAAACACCACAGCAATCACCACACATTCACTAGAGATCACGGTCCACGCATCATCTGAAGACATTGCCCAAATTACATCTCTCCCTCGGCTTCCCGCAACAAAGTACGTCCCGGCTTCGGCACCATGCCATATCTCTCCAAAGAAGAGCGTGCCTCTCATGGGCCCTCTGCCACCAATGCACCGCCCGCTTCCGCCTCTCCCAAAACATGTGACCCACGCCTCTCCACGCGCACGCTCAGCCTCGCCACGCATCATGGTACCCTCACCCAACGCAATCATTAGCTCACCCAAGACTTCTGCAAAATCCACACACACCCCACAAACGCCCTCTCTGAGACTAGAGACGACACATCCCACACTCCGCCCCAGATCACCCACCCTGCTCGACCAGAAGGAATTCGGCCCCAAGCCCGCACCGAGCCCCATCACACCCTGCGAGACGAAATTGCACCCTGCGCTGCGCCAGGCCACCGCATCTGCACCAAGCAACCTCTCGACAAGCGTGACAGCAACTCTCCGCGTCACACCCCCACTCCCATCCGCGCCCTTCGAGGTCGACACAATCCCATGGCCGAACACCCCCGACCGCCCAACAAGCTCGCGCGCCGCGCACGAACTGGACGCACTCACACGCCTCCGCGCCATGTCCGGCGCAAGCACGATCTCGCTGCCCTTGAGCGGCGCACGCGCCGTGTCGCCACCACGCCTGCAAGACCGCCCGCTGCTGAAGGGTGCATCATCACCGCCACTGGGCTCCGCGCCATCGCCCAAGATTCTGCAGGGCCGCGTACCGACGGGTGAGTCTGTGGGCGCGCGCAGTCGCACGCCGACGTTCGAGAGCTTGGGGGTTCCGCGGTGCGATTCGCCGGGTGATATTGATGGTGGGAAGATTGAGAGGAGTCGTAGTCCGGTGCGCGAGTTTGTTGCTAGGTTGAGCGGGGATAGTCTGGAGATCAAGGAGGAGAAGGGGAGGAGGGAGAGGAAGAAGAGTTGGAGTTTGGGCGTTGGTCTGGGGCGATTTGGACCGGGCAAGGGCGTCAAGGAGATTGTGTGATTAATGATTGCTAATAGATACCCTTCTTTCTTACTGTATATAGTTTGGCGATTCAAAGTAGATATGGATAATTCGACATTGCAACTTCAGCTCGATACGTCCTGTGCCTGGTAGTCTAGTATCCGCGAGTTCGCTGTAGTGATGATGCTCATGATTGTCAGTCTGCACGGTGCAAGAATTTCAGAAACGATGGGAAAGATTTCAGTCATGATTCATATAATCCTCGCTGAGGTTGAGAGTGGTCTAAAATACATGAGAAGATACTGGGATGCTTCTCTTGTTGTGCTTGTTTCGGCGACACGTCCAAGCTAGACACTAGTTCCAGTCTTTCATCAGACTGGTTTCTCCTCGATTCTGCTCCGGTGATTTACTGCGTCGCCCGTACTGCCTTGTCGACAGCCTTGGCAAAGTACTCGACGTTGTTGGTGTTGAGACCTGCCATGGAGATGCGACCGTTCTTAGTCATGTAAACGTGGGAATCCTCACGCAGCTTCAAGACCTGCTCCTCAGTCAAACCTGTGAAGCTGAACATGCCGATCTGATCTGTGATGTGGTTCCATGTGCCTGGTGTGCCAAGCTCTTCAAGCTTGTTGCGTAGGGCGCTACGCATCTCCTTAATGCGGCCAGACATCTCGCGGAGGTTAGCCTCCCACTCGGAGAACAGCTGCGGGTCGTTCAGGACGGTCGAAGCAATGCGAGCTCCGTATGCGGGTGGATTCGAGATCTCGGAACGCTGGAGAATGGCAAGTTGTGACGCCACGCGGGTGACTGTTGATTGCGCATCAGATGCAGGCGATGTGACGAAGTGGAAGCAACCGGCACGCTCGCCGTAGAGACCGAAGTTCTTTGCGTAAGACTGTGCGATGCATAGCTCGAAGCCCTGCTCGACAAAGTAACGGATGGCCCATCCATCCTGGGCAAGGTCACCCGAAGCAAAGCCCTGGTAGGCTGTATCGAAGAAAGGGAAGTGCTTCTTTGCCCGAATGACCTCAGCGATCTTCTTCCACTGATCCTGTGTGGCATCAACACCGGTGGGGTTGTGCGCGCAAGCGTGCAGGACAACGATGCTGCCCTCAGGTGCACTCTCTAGCGCGCCGTACATGCCATCGAAGTCGAGACCCTTCGTCTTTTTGGAGAAGTAGGGGTATGTCTTGTGCTGCAGACCAACATTGGAGAAGATCTGGAAGTGGTTCGGCCATGTGGGGTCGGAGAAGTAGGCGGTGCGCTCGGTGTTGGTCTTGTAGAACTTTTGCAGAAAAAGGGCGCCCAGGTGCACGGCGCCGGTGCCGGAGATGGTCTGCAAGCTGGTGACCTGCACAATGTGTCAGTCATGTGTCACGTCATGGTGGGGAGAGCTACGCACGCGCTTTTCCTTGATGGCGGGGCTGTCACCACCAAGCACAAGCTTCTGCGAAGCTGTGGTGAATTCGGGTAGGCCGGCAATGGGCAGGTACTCATGGTTGAGGTTAGGGTCCTTGCGGAGGATCTCATCGGCCTGTCATAGATAGTAAGCACACAGCTGTGTACATGGAGGCAGTGCTACGAGGTCGCACCTTCTTCACCACAGGCAGCACCCATGGCTTGGCATTGTTATCTCTGTAGGCCCCAATGCCCAAGTCGACCTTGTTGCTGTCGGTGTCGCGGCGATACGCGGCCATCAGCCCGAAGAGCGCATCTTCGGGCGCCTGGGGAACGCTACTCGCGTCGAAAGCGGAAGCAGCCATTGGAGCAAGTTGTGTGGAAATCTGGGTAAGGCGGAGGTTGGAACTGGAGGACTGCGAGGACGGAGCTGCAGGTGAAGCAGAGGCAAGGGATTGCTTAGGTGATTCTGGCATGACTGCAACTGTTGGAGCACACCACTGTTACGTTTCACGCGCCTAACTGGGAAGCCGCAGCCCACTAGCCCCCGCAAACGTTTCTAGACGATAATCCCGGTCGAGGGGATGCGGAGCTGAGGAGCTGCTCGAGACGAGAGAGCAAGAGAGTGCAGCGTGGGATTATTGATTCTGCAGCCCCAGCACGCGCCCCGGCTGCTTTACTTAAGAGCTGGTTGACAGCCGCAGGGACTGGTGCCGAGGCACGAGGTCATCCGTTCTCAGCATGGTCCGCGGTGATGTCAACCCCCAGCGCGCTGTCGACCTCTCACATGCAGCGGGATTCCAAGACAGTTTTAGCTGAGCCCCAGGGCGAGCACCCGAGCATCTGGCGGCTTTGTGGGTCTGCAACGGCCAAACCGCCGAAAGCACCAGGACACACCTGCTACTTCTGGACACTATTCACAGGGTGCGCGACAGACTTGGAACAGGCTGTGCTCGCCATACTTTCACATGTTCGGAATCTAAACCCTACGAGCAGCTGACCATTTGATTTTCAAATCCCGTGTCATATGAAAAAGTCCCACAGGACAAGCACTGTGCAAAAGGCAGACGTGCCGTAGAAGACCATCTGCGCGGTGCTCCTTCTCTCCGTTGCCCGCTTGAGCTCCTTGTTCCCGCTCCCGACGTTATCCGTGGTATTGAATGAATCTTCCACGAGCTGTTCGATGTGCGCAGACTGCATCTCGAGATTACTTGCAAGCGTTGACTGCAGCTCTGAGACCTCCACGAGCGATTTCTCCGCAGCCCTGGTACCTTGTTAGTTGTCGTTCTGCATGAAGGTGGGGCCAGCACATACCGGACTTTATCCAGCTGATCTTCGTACTGCTTGAGCATATCTTGGTTCTCTTGCGCAAATAGCTGGAGTTGCTCGGGGTCGAGTTGCTGCTCGATGGCAGCACTCGATTCGTCCTGTCCATGCGACGTCGTCCCACGATAATCCTTCGAGGCTCCGTCCGCACTGCTTCCACCCTTTGTGCCGCCATATTCGCTGGATGGCATGGTGGCTCTCGTCTTATAGAGCACACTCTTGCTCTTTTCCACCTCCCTCATAAGTCGTATTTCCATCATGGAGCTCTGAAACTGCCCGCACTGCTCCAACGCATTTTGTAGGGACCAAACAATGCTCTCCCTGTGTGCTTTGATCGTATTCGCCTTGGCCTCCTCGAGTTCCTCTTCTGTGCTCTTTGCCGTTATCGCACCTCCTGCTGCCCATCGTCCTAGTGCACCCAGGCCCTGCTTCGCGCGCTTTCGTATAGCCACTTGCGACACCGTACTCTGTCGTATCCCTTCGGCCTCTCGAAGGACATTGATCGCATGATTTAGCTCCCGCAGCGACTGCTTTGCCTGTGCATCGATCTCGTTGCGTTGCGCATCCGTGAGGTACTTCGAATCTTTATCCGCAGCATTGTTTGCGCGCGCAAATTGCTTGCGCCGAGGCGGTGGTGCAGTCGAAAGATAGCTTTGCCGTATCGACTTGAGGTCAGTGTGTAGCTTTGTGATATGTCTGCGCTGTTGTAGGTGTTAGCAGCGACTCTCGAGCTTCAGAGGCGTAACGTGGCCTACAATACGGTATGCTTCCTTCAGGAACTCGTCCAAGTTCTCCACCCGGAAGACATAAGGCTCCACAGGCTGCGCATTGTGGCTTGCCAGCACCTGGTTGAAGACCGGCGTGATGTTCATGGTGTTGTCCTGCGTTTACGTCTTTGCTGGCGAGATGACGATGGCCCCGCAAGTCTCGCTTAATCCCTACCCATCGATACACCCGAATCCCTGCATACACTTTCACCAGCACTGCTACATCTACACCTCCGTATTGAAGAGTCCCACAGTAAACGATGCGATGGGAAGCCAGCACATATGTCATATCCCACGGTGTCGCTGGCTGTAGTTGAAGTTCGAGACTGTTTATCTCTCCACCCACTCCACCAAAGCCCATGAAATTCGGTGCACGTATCAAGGTAGAGCCCTAACAATGTCATTTCTTCGTCCAGACTTGCCACATAGACTCTGAAGATAATTTTTTTACCTGGTATATATTCACGTCTTGTACCTGTGTTCGTGTCGATGGAGGAGTAAGTAGAATGCTCCCTGACCACAAGAATTTCTGTACGGTAACAAGAACATCAGCGCAAACATGTAGTCCACAAGCAGGTAGCTCTCAATCAGCCAAACATCAATTCCTGATAGTACACTGTAGCTATGCATCAAGAGACTAGCTTCTGTCTCGAGTTCCCATGTTTCGTGCTGTTCGCGTCCTTGGTGACTGCCCTGCTGGAACTGCATGTTCTGCTCCTGCGTATCTCATCCGCGCCTGCTTCGAACTAGTGTTTACCTGTTGTCTCTTCACGAAGACTGCAAGAACTGTGACCGCACAGGCCACGAATGTTGTGTATATAGGATCGCTCGACGCTTGCTTCGTACTCTCACATCATCACTCAACTCAAGAGCTTTTTGGCATCGATATCAGCACTCAACCCATTCTTCAATACCGGTGCCCACTCAATTCTTCCCTTTTACTTCAATTGTCCATTCAACTCTTCAACTTCACTACTTTCCATCATGCTCTGCACCACAGTTGCTGCTCTCCTCTTTCCCGTTGCCGTCATGGCCTTCCCCGCCGCGAAGCCAGCCAACGGGGTCGAAGTTTGTCTACCAGTTTCCTACATCCTGACGGAGTACACCATCGCCAAGTCTCCGTCATACTACTTCGTCAGCTTCAACCTTCAGTCCTCATACACCATTGATGCTCGTGTCGACGACAAAGTCGAAGATGGTGCGAACTGTGAGGCCGACGGTATCGAAATTCACTCTGGCGGCAACAAGTGCAACATTGCTGGCGAGAAGATTGACAACCTGGTCTTCGACCTGAGGGAGGGCTCTGGCGATCCCAACTACCGCATCCAACACAGCTGGCAGTGCAATAAGTACGTTCGCCCGAATTTCTGCAATCTCTCTCTCTCTCTCTCTCCATATGATCTAACTGACCTTTGCGCAGCGCGACCTGGACTTCCCTCAACGATATCGAGCTGCCCTCTTTGGACTGCGAAACAACAGGGAATGGCAAGGAGGGCGAGACCACCAGGTGCACATCAAAGCCTATCATCTTCATACCTCAGAACGGTCGTAAACTCTCGAGAGACGACAAGAAGAAGGCTGCCGGCAAGAACGAGGCCGCAAAGCCCAGCGCTTCACCTACAATCAAGGCTGCCGACTGCCCCAAGTGCAAGATCAGCCCTTCAATCTGAGCATTGATAGCGGCGCGTTGGTTCTCGAACATCTGATCAGGCGCTCGATTGATGAATGGGCGCGGTTGAGATGGAACGCTGGGATGGGAGGTAGGCACGCCGGCGTTTTGCAGATTGAAGTGGGAGGAATGGATGGCGGTCTTGTTGTTTCTTTCTGTTCGTGTTACTGATTTGTTCGTGTTACTGATTTGTTCGTGTTTCTGTCTTCCTGCAATGCACCGTAAGTTCAAGTTTCGCTCTTTCCAGTTGTAGAACAGACCTCGAACGGACCATACTTCTTATCGTGGCGCTGCTCGTTGTACCTTTGTGACTTCCCTTCGATGCTGTTGTCCACCTCAATTGCTGCTATATTCATTAAAACACACGTGAGGTTGTTGCCAAGGTGATACTCACGGCACAGGTGCGTCATTCTCGTCGGCAATCTGTTGCCTAATGTTCCAATTCAGATTGGATAAGGTCTGAACTCTGTAACATTTGGCTCATGATTTAAGATACGAGAGGTCACTCAAATCTCTGCACATGGTGCCTAAGCGATCATGACCTATAAATGCACCAGTTCTTGTCAAGCAGCAGGACCGAAGTAGGTATATCAACATGCTATAACAGCTTTCGGTCATCCACAAGACGCACACGTCATACATAACCGTTAATGTAGGTTTTGCTGAATTGCTGCAGCCACAGGAAGATATCGATAGCTGTGAGTGATTGACTCGCTCAATCCGGTTTCACCAAGCCTGTATGTATGTCTCGCGTTGGCTTTGGTTCAAATAGACGGTAGGTCACAGTAAAATGGGAAGACAGCGGCGGGATTAATCGGATAGAGACAATTGAGAGTATAGACTGGAACAGGGCAGCCCAAAGTAAAGCTTCGAGGATAATCACAGATGAAAGATCTTCAAGAGATGACTTGACGAAAGCCGAGAATGGCTCATATTCTTACTTGGCTACGTTGGAGCAGAGGAGCATTCGGTCTGTAGACCTCACGTACGCCATTTACGGACTTACCTATCTCTTCTATATCTCAGCTCTTTGTAACTTAGAGAAACAAAGTGGAGTACGCCATTGTGGTTTAGCGTGTATTCTCTACTGTTTGTACGACTTGAGTCTCGACAAGACCACCACTGGTTTGTGCTGGTGATTCGAGCGGCTGGACCGACATGTCGGGTCCAGTCGGAGAGGGAAACGTGGCGGCGATCTATAACGGTTGACATATGTTGTGTTACAAGACCTTGTGTGGCTTGTGTATCATGGCTTGTGCTCTGAAGGTTACAGTGAAGAAAGGTGGTTGGGATGATATTGTTGAGAGTCGGGCAAACTCGACTCGCAGTATCGTTCGGTCCGTATCTTGCTTTGTGGTACGGCTCGTCTACGCAATTGGTGCTGTGGAAATGCGCATCACTCATCCTTCCAGTCCGGTCAGGGAGTGGGCACACTTCACAGGGAACTGTGTGACGAGTTCCACCACAAACTTTCTCAACTTTATCCGAGGATTGGTGAGGCCGTTCAGGCCCGAATCCCAGCCGTGAACCCTGTTGGAACTGCAGGTGGATGCACGGAACAGCTTCCCCAGGGCTGTCTAGCTCGTAGACAGTTCTCGTTTCCGAACAGCCACCTCTTATGTGTAAGCCGGTATCTTGCCATAGACAGGATTACAAACACCGCTACTCATCCATGGCCAAGCCTTTGACATCATCTGCAGTTCGCGTGAACTGCCTGTGCCGCGGCGACGGTGGAGGACTGGAGAGATGAGCGAGCAAGTTTCGACGGACTCAAAATGCCTGTAGTCTAGAACCACGACATTCCCCACTGACAACGCGTGGACAACCAACGTCACCTATCGTCTGAGACAACCATTTCTCTCATTCGCCGGCACTGCGAAAGCGCCCCGCGGAAAGCACAAGGGTTAGGAATCGGGGCATAATCCGGTGACGAAAGCATTGCGCCAATGCGCGATTTGCTTATCGATACCGGCCTATCGATATCGGCACGACGCCGACACCACACGTGTGGTGCAACAGTGGGCGTCTTGACGCATGTGTGGGTGGAAAACTGGAGAAAGCGTTGGTCGTTCATGCAAGGACGCACCGAGAGCACGCAGACGTGAAGGAAGTGGAGATTCTAGAACACACGACTACTGCAGCAAGGCGAAAAGTCTGTCGCAAGGGCTTGCGCCAGGTGTCGGAGCGGCGCATGGCTGTCAACGGGCTGCAAGGCACCGGCATTTTGCAGAAGAGCAGGATTGCCGGAATACGAACGAGAGGTGCGAAGTCAATGGTTGTTCTTGGCTCCCAGAGTTTGCGAGACAGCCACGTGCGAAGCCGGACCTTGGTGGCGGGCACTTTGCTCTGGACGTGTTAATGCAACTGTGCGAGTTTCGCCTGCCTCGGCGCAACACGTCTTCTTGGGCAGTGAGATTCCAAGAGGTAACCGACTGGCCATGTGCAACGCGACAAGCTTCGCCAACTCAATTCGAAATGACCAGGATCCCTGAAGGTCGCAGCCACGGTTAATCGGCCAACTGGAAAATACCTGTCGGTTGATGGCCATGTCGATCATTGGCCTGATCAACCATTCTGATGGGTTGTGCACGTTGAGTGCACGTTGGATGCACGTTGAAAGCGAGGTATGCATGTTGAAGATCATTGATGATCGATGCAGTGGTCGTCCTGGGGCGGGGGAGAGGGTGTGGCGCTGCTGACAGGAGGCGGCGCAGCTCAAGCTTACAGGCTGTGCGGATGTTTCGAACTCTATTCCAGGCGACGAAACGAAACATGGAGAAGGGTCTTCGTAACACACTGAACCGTTCACACGAATTGAGCACGGAATTGTGTCCGGTTGCAAGTTGGAAAGCCGCAGGACGCATCGTGCGGCGTGAACGAACAATAAATAAGCGAAATTGCGATGGCTCACATCAGAACGGAACGAGTCAATCAAGCACGGAAGCAGGACCAATTGAGCGAGTAATTTGAGTGATAGTGACAGTCTATATTGTTTTGACTATAGGGACACGCTCCAAGCCTGGGACATCTCCCTTGTCCATTGCAAAAAGGAAGGAGCTAATGCTCCTAAAGAATAGAAGAAAGGAGAAACAGATCCCGCTAGACCCTGTGAGAAGGGCCAGACCCCCAAGATGGTATATGTCATGACATCGTGAGATAAGAATGTAACCAGAACAAAGATAGCCGAATCCATTTCGATATTGCGTGGAAGTTGTCGAGCGAAGGAAGAGCGGAGGTGGAAAGCATACACAAGCAATGACGGAGTGCGCGTCGATGATGGTGGTACAAAAGAATATATTGCCTGCGACGCGCTCTGCCTCGTCATTACGTGGAATGATATCAATTCCCCCTCCTCTCCTCTCTCTCCCTGGGTATATCGCGAAATAGGTATTTGGATTATCGGCAAAGAATATGCGACACGGTCTCCCCAACACCTAGCATGCCAATCATGTACAAAGTTTTAAAATGGCAAGATTTATGCGTTGAAGGGCTGGTGGCGGCGAGCGTGGCCGTGAGCGTGCCTCTTAGCGTTGATGGTCTCGTAAGCAGTAACGTAGACGACCTCGGTCTTGGTCTTCTGCGACTGCTGGACGACCTCGGGCTCGGGGGCAGGAGTGACGGCGGCGGCGGCGACCTTGAAGTCTTCCTCGTAGGTGGCCTTGGACGAGGCAACGGCGCTGGAAGTAGCCTGCGCAGAGGAGGAGGGCTTCTCGGAGGTAGAGGGAGCCGCAGAAGGAGCAGCGCTGCTCTCGCTCTCCTCATCAGGACCGGATCCACCGCACATGTAGAAGTCCATGTTCTGGTCAGGCTCGCATGTCTTGGTCTGGACGTCATCGGGAAGGACGTAGGAGATCTTGTTGCAAGAGGCGGGGTCGCTGCAGGTCATGACCGGGCACCAGGTGTTGGCGGCAGACGCCTTGACAGCGCCCTGCTGAGAACCAACGCTCAGGTAGTAGCCTTCCTGCCTGGTGGGGCAGTCGGCGTCGTTGGAGGGGCAGTCAACGTAAGAGACATCAAGGTAGTTGTAGTTGAAGCCGGGAGAGTTCTTCTGGATGAAGTACTCGAGCTGGGTGATGTAGTTGCCCTTGCACTCCTGGGACTTGGAGATCTTGATAGAGACACCGACGTCTCCACCCTTGGGGTCCTGGTAGTTCTCCTGGTAGGTCTCGCCGCTCTTCAGTGTGACCATCTCGTCGGTCGGGCAGCCGTCACCCTTGTAGACAGACCACAGGTGAACGTCGTATTTGCAGCGGTTGTGCACGCGAGCCATGGGCTTGCTGGTATCGCACTCCTTGTTGAGGGCGACTGCGCTCCTGGCGGAGGCAGTTGCGACCATGGTGGTCGCGACAGAAAGGACAGTGATGAGCTGCATTTTGACCGGAATCTTCGTAAGGAAAGTAGACGACTCGAAAGAAGATCGATTGAGAGAGTGACTGCTGAACACCTAAAGGAGTGAAGTTATTCAGCAAAAAGAAAGCGTTCTGACGAAGTCCTGCTTGTTTGCGGTAGGGGGACACTCGGGACGCCTGGGGGGATGCGAAGTAAATAAGATGGCTGAATCCTGGCACACCAGCCGGGGGCCATTTGCGAACCCACCCGCCATGGAACGAGTCGTCGCCCATAGCGTGGGCTTGCTCACGACGGTGCCAAACGTTGTGGCTTGTCCGGAGAACAGGCGCGGGAAAGCATGCATGGCCCCGAACGGCAAGACTTTAGCCAGACTCAGCAAGGGGTACGCCAATCGAACGCGACTTGTGCCTGATCGTCAGCGCGCTAACCATCCACAACCTGTAATTTAAGTCAAGAGGCTGTCGGAGGCCATCCAAAAGCAGGGTAAGTTACGGCCAGGATGTGTCCGATCTGGAGTCAACTTGTTTTTGTGGTCCCCAAAAGTCGCAGAGATTTCCACTGAAACGAGGCAACACCTCGGGCGCTTTCGTCCAAGTCCACCTGCGATTGTTTGGTTGGCAGATGTTGGGACCAAGATCAGATTCTGCAATTCTAGATTCGAACAACAACATTTTTCGTGTGCTGCATGCTGTTTCGTGAGAACATTCACCAATAACGCACTTAGCGAGCCTAGCCGGCCTTGACGTCTGCAATCCCGCAAGTCAAGCCTCCGAGCCTTGAAAAGGGGGCCTGTCTCGTGACTAGGTTTGCATCGCACATCGGTTGGCGGCACACCGCTGCCCTTTAGTTGCGCTGTACATAGCGGTCAACTCAACGCAAGAGCACAGAATTCGACTCGTCTTCTGTCGAGAACATCGTCATCTTGCAGCCCCATACCTAGCGATGGACCTTGCGGGTGTGCCAACAGTGCGAGTTCGTGTCGATAAGCGCCATGCGCAGCGCTGTCGCTGGCCACCCGTGGCGAGCTCATATCCACAAGTAATTTCCTTTGCCCGCCAACCAAAACCAGGCCACCCCAATGTGAACTGAAGATGAGATTAATCACTGCTGCGAACGGGCTTCATTCTCTTTGTCGACGATGTATGCTTCCCCGCCAACCACTCCGACTGCCGTGGCAGGCTTGGACGGTGGAGCTGCGCGCTGCGACAGGAGGTGCCCAGATGCAATTGATGTCGTGGCACCTCAAATCTCCAGTGCCGAGCAAAGCGTCAATAAGTTGCGAGTCGTCGTGTGTTGTGGCCCTGCAGTCTCACCCGCAGACGTGATTTGGATTTGCCTTGTTGAGTGCTGCAGTGCTGCTTGTGTTGAGGAGTATCTGAGTCACGTGGTGTGCGCACCTTCCCAGTTCATCACGCCAATACTGCACTTGGACCTTCCACTTTCGGACCTCAGCTTAGTATAGGAGTTGGGCTCAAAGTACTCGTCAGACGGTGCATAGGTACGTCGTGCTGAGCCGTTCATAAGCTGCTGTGCCACGCGTCGCCATGGCGTCGTCACCACGTGAAGGCGAAGCAGATGCTGTCCGTCCCCGCGCGCATACGCATCACCACTGGCGTCATGATGCGTCTATTGCAAGATCAATGGCTGCCAAGAGTTGTCCACTCATTGGCAGAAAGGGTATATCAGATGTTTTGATGGTTTTCAATGGCAGATGCCGACGTCGAAGGAAGCATAAGTTCGAGGTAGGTAATATAGCTCAAACTATCCAGTACGACAGGGGTATGGGTGCCTGTGTGTCACCACCTTTGACTGGCTCATTTGCATGTGTAAAACTGACACTGCGTATAGCAGGGCTGCTGTCCATGACACGACACCGATATAAACCACGAACGGAAGCACACACCAAAAGCGATCTATCTCTGTCGAACCGCATCGACACCCTTGTCTACCGTACAAGTCAGGAGCACTTTCTGGCTAGGTCAACAGCCATACATGATCAATGTTTCAGCATCGCTCCCGGGATCTTTAGAATCTAGATGATAGCCTGACCGATTGACTTCCGCAGCCGGTCTGGAGAATCACCCGGATCGCAAACACATCCTGCACGTTCCGATCAACATGCAGCGAACAGCCCGGCACTGATATCGAAGAACCTAAAACTCGAATCACCGGTCAGTGAGGCATACTGAGTGAATGCAGCTAAGGTTACGATGCCAAGAATCTTTGGAGTCAAACTGCTGCTGTAGAGCATGAACAGAAGTGTCCCTGGTCTTCCCACGAGCACATCAACCAAGGCCTCTCTTGTTGCAGGGACCTGATGGCACTTTTACACCAAAACGGTATATGAGCCTGCTCGTCACGCCACTGTTGACTGCTTCGATCACGCCGGTCAACGATCTTGGTGAGCTGTGTAGGAGCCGTATGGGAACTGTCTCTCAATATTCCTTGCACACTGTAGTCATCTCTACATGCATGATGCCCGCTGAAGACAGCGTTGGCCATTTCGTAGACAGGCTGAGACGGCCAACGTTATCCGATAAACAGCATCCCCCCACTCAGCTGATCATTAGTCGTCCGGCCTAAGCATTGACTCACTATCCATAGGCGAGCATTCCTAATCTTTTCACACCTATGGTAAGGCACAAAAGTATCTCTGGACCCAGCGGGAAGACTCAAAAGCTCACTTGGCACTGCCTCGGAACATTCTCATGCATAAAGCCAGTGGCTGCGCATTGGCATCGGGCGTCTTCGCTAGGTAGTACTCGGCTTGTCCGATGCATACATTCTCCAAAGAATAAGCGCTAACTTACGTCTTACACTAAATACTGAGGCCTATCAGAAGACGACGTTTGTCGCGATTGCAGTTTGAGTACCTATCCTACTAGACATGCAGCTAGTCTTCCAAGACCGAGCATACTTACACATGCATCTGTATGCATGTAGGCCTTTGACATTGATCAACTCTGCATGGAGTACATCTTAGCATGGGGCGTGTAACAGGTTCGCAGCTCGCGTCGTCCTAGATGGCCTTGCAGGAGGACCTAGACTACGGCACAAGAATTCCGTCGACACAACGCTATTGCGATGACGTTCTGCCGTAAGACACGACTTGGTATGCTTCCTTCCGCGGCTGTCCCGTTGTCACATCACGCCATGCAAATATGATCCTTCGGCCCTCAACGTACCAATTCGCATTCTAGCTTACGTCCATCGACCACGACTCTTATATCACCACATCATCTCACGTGCACGAGTGTGTCTGGTATACCCCGTCGCGGGCGCTTCCAGCGGGACTGTCAGACGGCAACAGCCACGGCTCGACGAGCGGCCGCGGCCCGTCATCGGTGTAGACAGAAGCAGGCATTCGTCCCGCTCCTTTGGGCCGGCCGTTTCGTCGACATTACCTCGTGGCTGCATATCGGTCCCCGAATGTGGAGTCGCACGCATCACATGCGGGTTCCCAGTTCATGTATGGATCAACGCAGGGTTTATTGCGTACCTGGTCATCGACTTCGATGCACTTTACGAGCCTGCTTCTATCTCAACAGTATTAATTACGAGGAGAAATGTACGAAAAAGAGTCCGACCGGTGTAAAGGCGATACGAGTGGATCGTCGGTCTGTGCCGAATCATGAGTCTTCGGTATGAGGCCAGCAGCTCAGAATCTAAAGGCGAGTCCCGAGCTGCATGGCATGTTCCATTCCTTCTACATATCGAGGCATGTTGATGTTGGTCCTACTGGTCCACGTTCTTCCACCGAACGTGGTCCAAGCCAGTATAGCCGAATTATGCTTCAAGCGCCGCTGCCGCCCTCAAAAACACGTCTTCGAGCCGTGTTTTGTACAGATTGCTTTTCGGCATGCCGAACGGGACGTTCGGAACATTTACTAGGATTCTCGGGTGGCGTGAATGTCGGTGTGCTCGTGCTAATACACAAGCCTAGCGTCGCCAATGAACGTTCGAGTGACATGTGTCTCCAATTACGTGTCCGACTAAAGTGACAACACGGGCAGGTTCTGAGTCGAGTCCTTGAGATCAAGACACGGCCTAATCCAATTGAACAATGTGGGCGTTCAGTAGAATGCCCCGGATGAGCCGGGTGAAGCTTTCATCAAGACTGATTGTGGTTTAGATGGATATCTTAAATTCTGAAATATTATTGGTTGCTTTTAATAAAGTATTGCAATGAATGACTTTTGCAATGTTTGGGGTATCGAACTGAAAAAAACCTGGAGGTAGTAGCCCGCAGTATAATCTCGCAATGTGACTGTGTGCCTGAGGTCCTGCGTTTCAGTCTTGTGCTGACCTCAACGACGATAATGAAAACGGTGACGGCGACGCCTTGGCATGCCTGTTGAAGGCGGTCTTCCGACGGCGGTGTGGCAGCCATTTATGGTGCCCTTTGTGGGCCGATTCTATTGACCTTCAATTCACTGTTCCGTATTAGCTCGAAGCACACGGGACAAGGATGGAACAAGGTTTCCAACATCTGAAGAATGAAGGCACAAGCACCTTATATCTAAGGCTTTTAAGACACTAGGGAATAGAGACTTACTAGACCAATGTCGCCTTCTCGGGTACAAGCCCACGAATGCCCCTGTAGGAAAGTTGGTCAGCCATTCGCCCAGAAAACCAACGATTTGAGGGTACTCTTGGCAAAGGCCGAGCAGATATTGAGCAGCAGTGGACTTGGTTTCAGGTATAAGATGCTCAGACCGGAACAACCATACTGGAATAGTAACGGCCTGGTGGAGAGTCTCTGGGCGACGGATTCGACTTACTTGGAGCCATAGCCATACGTACTGCCGGAAGTGTTAGATGTGCCTCAGAAACGCGTCCGATGAGAAGCTTTCAGACTTACTGAGGAAGCGTGAACCTGGCCTTTTCGTACAATGCCATGGGGCGCACCGAATCACTTGGATCTTCAGGCGTGTAATCGCCTAGTACCCCCTTTGTCCCAGCCTGGTATCAATCAGTAACTGCCATCTGGAGGCTGCGGAAGTACCAACCCTTGAGGAGACGTCCCGCACCGATCACTGTGACGGCATCGCCTCTTTCTAATGAGGTATCGAACCTGATGTAGTATTTAGCATAATAGGCTCTTCATAGATGGGAGGCAAAGATGCTCTTACTGGCAACCCTTTCCATCTGGTTTACTTGGGTCGAAGATCCACCCTGTTCTTCTCTTAGAATACCATCAGTTCCATATGGAAGTCAATTCTTACCTGTGTACTCGATTGAAACCTCATCATACTTCTTCACAAGCTGTGTTGTGTCCCCTGCATCGAGAATGGTCTTCTGGATGTACATGGCAGCAGCGAATAATAATCGCTATGAAGAGAGAGCTTGAAGAGTGCCAAGAATGTTCCAGTGAATTGACGTTGGATAGAGTTGGTAGATGGTCGTTGTGTTGGTGAGTTTTTTGGGACCTGGGGAAGGCGGTGTATATAATGGTGATGTGAAAATGAGGGTCGAGGAAGTCGGACAGCGATGATGACGAAGCCCGGTTTTTATTAGTCGGAGTGTGCTCCCAGGAAGGTACAATCCGGAGGCTCTGTGTGCTCTGTGGGTGCGCTTGGACTATGTGGTCAGCCCGACCGTCATCGATTTAGGTTTAGTAGGAAGGTAGTAGGACAGAGTAGCTTGATGCAATGTAGCAAGCGACCCTTGGTCCCTCACCGATGCACCTGTTTCACATCCTTACTCTCAGACGTGGCCGCGGCCGAAAAGCCACAGCCGTCCCTATGGCCCGTTCGTTCTTCGGGGAGCTGGACCAGCACTTAGGCCCGTCAAAGGTCGGAAGTCAGAGCAGGTCTAGCCCCAAGGATCCGCTCATCATATGCAGGTATCCTGGTAGACACGCGACCCGGACTCCACCAGTTGACATGCTTGAACGACAGATGTCTTCCTTTCCCGCGTTTGCCGGGCAAGGATTTTACTTCCGCCCCGATTGGGCCTCAAGGCCTTTCTTGTCCTCAAGACGGTTAGCTTCAGGTTGCCAATTTCGATCTCTCAGGATTCGCAAAGCGCTGCGACGCGGGAATGCGATTATCTGTCGTTGCAAAGCAAGGTGGAGTGGATCGGTGGGGTACCAGCGAATGGTCGTACAACAACTAGCTCGACATATTGCGGTATGATGGTTTGACAAGTCAACAGCTCCAGAATGGGTCTGTGGCGCTTTCGTTAGAAAATACAGAAGAGAAGCGGAGTACCAGAACACGGGGACTCGTCGTCAGTAGTCGCACCATATTGGAGCAAGCTGGAGCGCCGTCGGGCGCCACGAAGAAGCTCGGAACATGTTAAATGAATATCAAAGCGTGCGATGTCTCCTAGCGTCTTTCTAAGCCTGACGTACGAAACACAATTCGAACTGAGGCTTCACCTGGCCTCCCTTCACTTGGCTCCAGAAGCAAGAAAGGCGTTGTACAGCTAATCTCCACGACAACACAATGACCAGCTGTCACACAAGCACCATAGATCGAAGAATCATGATGTCGTATTATCAATTCTAAACGGTGAAGCTGGCATGTGTTGTGTTGAAGGACCGAGATTGCAAGCGCCTATCTCCACCAATCTGAAAACATACTGTATCATCGGAGGTTGGAAGGTTGATCCAAAACCGCAGCGCTTTTACTCGAGAGTTTAACATTGCGCTGACATCAAGTGACGGTGTAAGAAGTGGACCCAAGAACCCGGCCCTAACCTTCGCTCCAATCGAGCCATTCTCGCCAATCATAGTCCGAGCGGGACTCCACCCGCGTTCCGCGCAGGCGTCAGGTCCGCAGGAATCGTGAATGGACGTTGCGTCCCTGCAGAAGCATTGGTTATCGTGCTTCTCGCGGCAAGCAAAAAATGTTAGCCTTTCCCATGTTTTAGGGCTACACCGAGTCTTGACGGATCATCAACCGCAGCGACTTTACTTGCTTGTGCCATGTGTCCTCGGCTTGCACACGGCTGAACCAAGCCCTCTTAGGCCCTTGGAGATCCCCAACAATGTGGTCTGATATTAAGGCGTTGACTGTTGTGAGCGCTCTGAGTGTCAGGCGGATGAAATTTTGCTGCGAACTAGATCCACAATATGGACACAAGTATCCGAAGACGTTCTGACAGTCGCTGGGCTTAGTGTCACGACAATGCATGTCACAGCCAGTCATGGGAAGGTCATTAAAGTGATAGCAATGATGTTGCACGGAGCACGGTTCCGGCATACGACAGTGGATATGTGGCGCCTATCGCGTTGTTCTCGAGACTTCCTCTGGTAACTTTGACCAAAATGGTAGTCCCGCCAGCTCGGCCACGGCGATACTGGGGTAGCCTGCATTGGGGAATCGGCTGTCTATCCGGTTTCCGGACCCTCTGGCGGCGAAATATACTTTATCAACCCCAGTCTTCTGAACATATTCTAGGAGACGCGAGTAGTTGGTGCCGATCTGCTCGATGCCATGACTATCGTCAGACAGAACGAACCCACCACCCATGTTCGAGAACATTTTCGTAACGGGCAAGCATGGGTATGGCTCGAGCAGGCCCTTCCGTAGCCCAGCAGAGTTAAACTCCAGCAATCCTCCGTAACCAGCGATATACTCCAGGTTCCGCTTCATTTTGTTCCAAACCCCGTCCATGCCTTCAAAAGCAGTATCTCTGTTATCGCTCAGGAGGCGTATGAGATCGAAGTGGCCCACAATAGGGGGTCGAAGTGCCTGTAGCATATCGTACTGCTCATCAAAATAGTCTTCGAAGAGCTGTTCGTCTGTGCCGCCTGCCTTATCTCTGGCTTGCTCATACATTGCGCGGTCGAAGTCGATCGGAACTGTATGCGTGTGATGGATGGAGCCCATGAAGAAGTCAAACGTATACTTGTCAAGGATACCCTGAACAATTTTGAGGGACGAAGGCCGTATCCATTCTGACTCGAACGCGATCAGGATCTGAATTTGATGGGCATATTTGTCCCGCAACCGGACAGCCTCAGCATAGTAATCGTCGAACAGCTGAACAAGACTCTCTTCAGTGTGTGAATCAGTCTAGTGACACAGTCAGTAACTTTAAGCGTAAATCACATACTGCGACAGGTATACCTCTTCTGGATAGAAGTCTATCAGCTCTCTGGGGATATGCTCGGTCAGCGCAAAGCTATGAAAGCCTTTAGCGATCGCAGCTTGGATCACATCCTCAAGCTTGTTCGTCGCATGGCCACAGAACTGCCCTGAGTGGCTATGATGTGAGTGCGGCATCAGTATATCCTACTCGAATATCTGCATACAATCTTTAGCACACTATCGATGACTCTTCAACCCACAGCTGGAGTACTCAAAAGATTAATCGAAAAGACGACTGATACAATATCGATCAAACATCTAGACACAAAAAGGAATATACTTACTCAACGCCCTCGGTACCAAGCAAAAGAGCCAAATATTGCGTTGCTGCTTCCATCTCGCGATCGCCAGAAGCTTTGGGAGGGATGATGTCAGCCGGACCCTGATCCTAACCTAATCTATACTCTAGCGCTGTGGATTCTCCACCACTTGGAACGCAATTTGGGCACACGAGGTACTGTACATTGTATGCCAATAGATATCCTCAAGCAGATCTGATCACCAAAGTCGCCCAGTAAACTGAAGTGAGTGTCATGAAGCATTGCTACACTACGGCTGTCCGCTTTACTGACCATATCTTTCTACGTAGAAACTTGAACCTGTGCAACTGAACAGATACATAAACTTGAACGAACACAAGCCTCAACAGAAGCCAGTGACGAATCATCCCTCGTAAGACTGAACTGCATCAAAGCTCAAAAAAGCAACTTCGGACCCAACCCTGGAACGGCCCACGACCCCCACCATGGCGCACCCCCAAACCCCCCTCGCCGCCCCCACAATCTACTTCGGCTACGGCTCAAACCTCTGGCTGCACCAAATGGCCACCCGGTGCCCAACAGCCGCGTACCTGGGCGTCGCGCGCCTGCCGCACTACACCTGGCTCATCAACGACCGCGGCTACGCCAACATCGCCAACGCCTCGGCGCGCAGCTACGCCGACGAAGTGTACGGGCTGGTGTATGCGCTGCAGCCCGAGGACGAGCGGCGGCTGGACCGCAACGAGGGCGTGCCGGTCGCGTATGGGAAGGAGCGCATTGCGTGTGAGTTCTGGCCCGGCGCGGTGGATGGGAGGGCGGATATGGGGGGGCGGCCTGTGGAGAGGGAGATGCTGGTTTATGTTGATCGGGAGAGGACGACGCCGGATAGGCCGCGGGAGGAGTATGTGTATAGGATGAATCAGGGGATTCGGGATGCGGTGGCGCGGGGCGTGCCGGAGGAGTATGTGGAGAGTGTGATGAGGAAGTTTATTCCGGAGGGAGATGATGAGGACGAGAAGAAGATTGGGGAGTTTGCGAAGACGCAGGCGGCACAGTTCAAGGACGAGAGTGGGGTGTTCGAATAGGCAGCACAAGTCACGATTGTTGGAGGGCACGTCACTGGATTCAGAGAGAGCGTACGTCAAAAACATGAGAGAGCCACCTCATACGTTCAAAATTCCGCACATACTCGTCATACGTAAACGGCCACATGTAAAGTGACTGGCCAGTACCAAGGTATCCCACATCCCAAGTTTCATACGCCCGCCAAAGAGACCAACTAGAACCTCGTCGGGAATCCATGGAAAGACACTGTAGTATCCAACGACATCAAACACCGCTCTCCTAAGCCTCGTCACGAGTCTTGCGGTAGCTGGCCTATACAACGAACCGATCAGTGGGGGTTGCGGTACTTTTGCTAAAACGAGCATCAGACAGAGCAACGCGATAAAGAGGGAATAGATGGCTTAGAAATCAGACTGATGTCTACGCACCTCCTGCTCGGTCTGAAGCTGCTCGACTACTGGCGCCAGCTCAGACAGAATCTCGTATGCCTTCTTGTGGTACTCGAGCTGGGCGGCGATGAGGTCGGCGAGGTTGCGGAGGGGCTCGGGGGTGTCAAGCACCTGAAAATGGTTAGCATCTACTCCCACAAAACACGTCCACTCTCTCCCGCGGGGCACGTACATTCTTCATAACGCCAACAGCCTCCTCTGTCTGGCCAACGAACTCGTCCTCGGCCTGCTCGATCTTAGCACGAGCCTCCTCGCTCAAGTCCTCCTCGGCGTGGCCGTCCTTGCGTGCCTGACCAGGCAGGGCGAAAGCACCACCCTTGGCGTTGGCCTTGGTGGCATCCAGGCTCAACCTGGAGTTCTCAACCTGCTTGCGGGCGCGTGTTGCGAACTGGATGTTGGTGTTGAGAGTTGTGCTCCAGCCAGCCAGGAACCTGCTCTGGATCTGTGCGTCCTGCGCCAGACGGGCCTCGCCGACCTTCTCGCTGGCGATGGCATACTTCTCAAGAGCGGTAGCCAGAGGATCCTCGCTCGAGCCCGACTGCTCAGCGGTGAGCATGTGCGAGCTGTTCAGGGCCGCGCGGGCAACAGCATGGTTGAAGGTCTTGGGCTGGGGCTTCGCGGCGGGAGGTGCGGTAAGGGCGGCCTGAGCCTCCGCAGGGGATGTCGCGCTCGACAAGAGGTTGACCTTCTCTGAGACGGTGCGGCCGAGATCGTTGAAAGATTCGCGGAGGTTCGCGGGGTAGTCGTAGGCTTCGTTGGAGTATTGCGACGTGACCTGGAGCATAGTCGTGTGAACCTTCTTCAGCGCATCGACACGCTTCTCGAGCTCGATGTAGTCGGGAGGCAGCTGGGTCTATCGCGGCAGGTTAGTACCACCTCAACCTTCCGTGGCTCCGAGGCCTGCAAGCTCGTAGCGAGTCGCTGCCGGCATGCCTCGAGGGCAGGCGCACCTTGTCCTCAGCCTGGCCAAGCTGCTCCTTGACATACTGCTGTGTCCTGGCCGCGAAGGGCGTGAAAGAAGCGCTAGGGGCACCGTGTCAGCCTATCTGTTATTGCGCAATGCTGTCGCAAAACAAACGGACGGTAGCAACATACCCAAAGCTCTTTCCAAACGCAGAGATCTTGCCGAGGTTGTCCATGGTGACGTAGGTGTGTGTAGACCGGCAAGTAGGGGTATCGTGTGGGTGTTGTTTGAGTGTTGTCGCTGTTGCTTGGAGCTTGCATGTGCCGTCGAGCCCTCCGCGACTGCGGCTTCCCCTTAGTGCCATGATCCCTGCACAGCCCTAACCGCTTTGGAGTCTCACCTTGATGTGACGCATTATAAAGCACGCAGTTTAAAAACAGTTCACAAGAACTGATGTCCTCCCAGTATAGTACTCTACATTTGTGTAGCCTCTATCACGAATGCCCCTTCAGTTCTAGTCCAGTGTATCATATAACGTCAGTGTCTATGTCAAAAGCATTGTCTGTCTGGAGCATGGTGACACTCATGCCCACCTGAATGTTCTAAAACGCTTGTCTAAATGCGCGTGACATGTTATCAAGTACAACCGGGTTTCATGCCCCCCTGGGTTGTCGTAATCGCTGAGAACGATAGATAGCTAGCAGCTGTCGCTCACAACGTGCACAGGTCGCAGCGCCTCTGCTTCCCGCAGGAATTTTCGTAATAGAAACCGGATCTCCAAGTCTGGAGGATTATCGACTGCTCTGAGGTTCCCTTACAGCGGCACTGAGATCCGTTCCCTAGCGGCTCGTGACTCGGTCTTTGCTACAGGGACGTCGAAACTAGCATCCCGCAGCAGCTGCAGTACAATTGGCGGTTAACCACATGGGGGACAGTCGCTAAACTTCGCCCATTGAAGTCCAAGAATGCCGCAAGGCAGTGTTACAGAGATGCGGTTGTGTAGCCTTGGACGCAGCACGTAGCAAGCTGTCCGAACTATGCCGCCAAACGTAGCACCAAACGCCTCTCGGGATCCGTCTGCAACATACGTAGACACCAGGGCTGAAAATCGTCGTGGAGATTGTTTCAGACGAGAGAGCCCTAGCGTCTGTGACATAGAGGCTTAAAGGTGCGCATACGTCAAAACGTTGACTGACATGGGCATTCGCCCGCTCGAGCCTTTTCGTCGATCCGGACGGAAGCACTGATGTCGACGAGCGATTTGCCGCAGACTGTTGTGTACTCCGAGCTATGATCACCAGTCAGGCGAGGCGCTGAACTGGCCCGGAACACTCATGACCCCTGTCGTGCTGTCATTGCTGGTTATGGTCATGTTGTCTGACCCTGGAGAGTCCGAGATATTCATGCTGCTAAAAATACCGCGCATCTCTTTCAGGTCCTCGGAGATTTGATCCTTAGGCGCTGTGGATCGTTCGCGAATGAAATCCTTGATGGATCGAATTATGGGTGGGCATCTTTCATCGTTTGGGAGCCACCAGTCAGAAGGCTCAAGACCCCAAGCATCCAGCATTCGGTTGCGCATTACGTCCGGGTAGATGTACCCGCAAGATTCAACATTTGCGAAAGTTCGTCGACACCACTGCATGGTCTTTGGGTCTTTTGGCAGGAACAGCGTGGCGATGGCGACACTGACTTGGGCTTCGATGATGGCACCACTCGGTGCCCCGGGATATGCGCACATCGCTTCAAAGGTTTGCGCGGCTTTGTACGCCAATGTTGTGAGCTCCGGCGCAAAAGGCTTCTTGAATGCCATTGACGTTGAAATGTTGTGCATAAAGTTGATGCTCCAAAAGTCTAGCATCAAGTAGTTTGTTGTCCACAGATCATCACCCCAGATGACATTAGGTTCGTAGGCGTCCACAATATCGTCAGGTCTGGGCTGTCCAGGAATGCTTTCAACTTTGTAAGCAGGATTGAGGAGCTCCGGGCCAATACTTTTGATTAGGCCCTCAACCTTGTTCTGAACCACCGGGAGATTCTCCATAAATTCCTGTGGACTCAGTAAACCCTTTCCCATCCGAGAGAAGAGATCGCTCGAGTTCTTGGCCACGAGGCGAGAATAGGCAAAGCGCTCCTCATACTTGTAACCCATATCTTCGGGATGATCGCGTACTTTTCCGACGAAGTATTCGTGTACTGCCTCGTACCAATCCAGACTCAGGACAGCTTCCCCGCCTGACTGAAGGCCCACGAACAAATCAAACCGAGTGTACCAAAGCAATACTTTCAGCAGAAAGTCTGACTGTGTGATGGTCTTGGGCGTGTACAACCGAGTCAGCATGTCGAAAGCAGCTTTCTGGTGGCCCATGAGGTTCACCCAATCGCCAAGCATCTCCTATGATTTGTCAGTGTAGCTAGCAAGATGACTAAAGTCGCTCTTACCTCGATGCTTGCAAGCTGCAGGATGGTAAGACAAGTCGCGAGACCTTGTTTCTTGTTCTTGGTGATGGACAACCTGAGGCGCGAGACCGATTCATTGTAGAATTGGAGAAATGTCGACATGCGTCCATCCGGTTGCGAGATTGTGTGGAAGTATGCTGCGTACCCCACCACTGCATACTTCAAGGGCTCATTTTTCAGGGCGAATGCCAAGAACTCGCCTTTCAGAAAATTTTGGGAATCGCGTTTCAGGGAATAATGATGATGGGTCATGTGTTCCTTGAAGTAGTTCAGGTAGAATGCCACATCTTTGGGTGTGTGGGGAAACCCCCGAGACGCTGCGGGGATTTTCGTAACCTGCGCACTACTTCTCCGCGACAAAGGCTGCCGTATAGCTGGGGCAATGATTGAGGAGGCTTCTGTGGATGGTGATGTGCTCTGGTCAAGTGTGGAAGCAGGTGTGTGAGACGAGTCGCGCAAATCCTGACTTTTATCCATATAGCCGGCTTCCATGTATTCGTCCTCATCCTCATCATCATCATGAATGGTGGGCAATTGGTCGTTCCCCTCTTCTGCAGGGTCTTCTGGCGAAGACGTTCCATCCGCGGAGGACTTGTCTGATTTGGATCCACTACGTAGTGATTTCTGGGTGGATTCTTTGTCTGGATAGACGCACTCGCGACCACCCTTCCGACATCCTGGGTTCAGCGCGTCAAACCTATGAATCTTCAAAACTCAGGGGGAACTTACTGTCACATGTAGGATGAGCTTCATCGCACTGTTGCTACCATCAGCCATGTTTCAGATCTGACTATAGTTGCGCAATCACCTTGACTCTCCTTTGCCTGCACGTGAAACAGCCGCTCCTTGTTCTGCGGTGCTTCACCTGCTCGCCGGGCAGTGCTCGCCGCCTTGCTCTCGCATTGCCACCCTGTGCTGACCCCAATGGCCCGGAGACATCATCATACATGTCGCCATACGTCGGCTGCATATGCGGCTCTGTATATTGTACAAAGGGCCCGGTCATCCCTGGTTGAAATGGGTTTTCTGGGATTCCTGGAGCTCCGTGGGATGAATCTGGGAGCATTCTTGGCAGCGGGGCAGCGTTCCGTAGGTTGGTGTTGGAGGCTCCGTTTGCATCCATATTGTAGTATTGAAACGGCACATTACCGCCCGGTGGATAGTGGCCAGACATGTCCGGCATGCGTTGATGGAGCGGTGCAATGTCAGAGCGGTAGTTGCTGGTGATGGAAGGCCCGATATGTGATCAACGTCATTCGGGTTCCAGATGCAGGGGTACGCGAGCGATCGCCTCTGTTTTGACAACGACGTTGCGGCAAGGTTCCGGAAATGATGGAGTCAAGTCGGTGCGGGTGTACTTGACAATACTTGTACCTGATTCAGAGGCGCAGTGAGCTTTTAGGTGGATGGATGCGCGCTGGTTCCTGCGCGATGTTGGGGCCCGAGCGGCTTTAGATTGCGCGGTTGACTCTTGACACTCCCACGGAGCAAGGTGGTGGACGGCGGGCCACAGCCGCGAACGATGAGAACAGACAAGGTGCCAGTCTGAAACGGGGCGATGTTGGGCAGAGGAGCACAGCAGCCGCAGATAGAGCTTTGCTGTTGTGTTTGGGCTAGCCCGTGGCAAGAGTTGTGAAGCAGCGATCCTGCTCGATGCCAGGAACGTACAGCTGGAGTGCGCATCAGACGTCTGCACGGCGAGCTGGGGTGCAGAAAAAGGAAAAGCTGGCTGCTTGGAGTGAGCTGTTCGTCGCCCTGGGCGGGCGTCGTGAACCGTGCCCTTTCCGTCTTCCGCGCACCCTGGAAGAAATCCAGCGCAACATGCACTTGCGGTCCTAGCCCGTGGGCGTTCACATATCCCTGCGTGTGCTTCACAGCGACAGCAGTCCCATCAACGACACCGCGGGGCACTACACAACATCTGGACCACACGGCCAGGTGGCTGCCCAGGAGATGGCAGCTTTGGGCTCTTCGATACACGGCTGGCCGCTCTGGCACATCTCCATCGGCATTGTGGATTTTGATCGACTTTGCAGCGGGCGGGTGGCCCCAGTGCTCCCAAGATGAGTGCAATACCGGAGATGATGCATGCCGGCTCCGACTTTTTACAAGTGTAAGCCAGGGAGTGGGGCGCTGTTTCAAGCCTGTTCCTTGATGCCGTACCGCTACCTCTGCCAGCCGCTGTGGAAACGAAGCTTTTGGCGGCTCGTCACCATTCACACCCGTACTCGGGCAGCCCTGTCCTTACGCCCTTACTGAACGTTGTGGAGTCGAGTCGGTATAGGGCCGGGCCTCCACTCTCACGACTCTTTGGCCCAATCGGGAGCTTGGCCCGATGCATAATGCGGTGCATTTGTCCGGTGGCCGTTCTTGAAGGCCGACCCTCGAGCCTCACACTTCCTGATAGCACGCGTCCAAACCGGGCTAGCAGAGACGGCCACAGCAATCTGCACCGTCCCCAGCGGCGTGTTCGCTCAGGCCAGGAGCGGGACGGACAAGCTTGCTCTGATAATATAGGTGCGATCTCAGACGTCTGGCCCCGGCCCCGTTTCCGCCAGATCGGTCTACGGTGTGGTGGGTGACTTGCGTCGTCCATGCTTGACAGGCGCCATGACCGACTGAGGTCACTGTTGGCTGAGGACCGAGAGATTGGTGCAAGAATTCTGGGTCGCATGACTTGACGCTATCCCCCCATCTCTCTGTTCCCACTAGCGCGAATCGGAGCGGCAGGTCCGCAATTGTGAGCGCGTCTGATCTTCAATAGTCGGCCTGCAAATGGCCAGCATGCAGCACGATTGTGCAGGCCTGGCAAAGATATGCAACGCCAGGAAGTTCTTGCGTTTGGTCGACATCAGGAACCTTTGGCAGTACGCGTCCAAAAGTGGATATCTTGTGTATTTGTGGAACAGGCAAGGCTTACCATCTTTCAGCTGCCTTACAGGTACCGTGCGCCTCTAGCCCAACATGAATACTGGTTTCTCGGCAGTCAAACCCGTGCACCTTCTAAAGATCAAGTTTTACAGTCAACTCAGATCAGCAGCACAGTTCTTCTAGCTCGCCCCCGGGACGTTGTTGGCGTTGCTGAAGAGAAGAAGCGCGGGCTATCAACTCCAGACACGCTGTCTATCAGTACCTATTTGGCTGACTAGATCAGGGACGGTTGTGCAACGTCTGACGAAACCTTCTTTGGGGTTCTCGTCGAGCGTCATTACGAAACCCAATGGCTTGTCACTGTATACGAGCGGCCAATCGCAGTATCCCAGAATACGGCCTGGAAGTATCGTTGAGACTGCCTGGGCCAGCAAGACCTCCAGACTTGCATGCCGCTTATGCCGGAACGTCGGCCTCCACGTGTCTGACTCGGGATCATGCCTGCTAATTGTACATGAAACACATGTCTCTCCGTACATGCTGCCACCCGTGTCCACCTGCGTTACGACAACTGCAGAAGGCTGACATCAGATGGAATTATTTGTCAAGTATCGTCGGTACTTGAGACGCTCGGTAGGAGCCGCAAGCCGCAGCCTGACATCTGCAAGCCGGCCGTCAGCCAGACAGAGGCGGGTTGGAGGCGTGAGAGCCAGCCCCGACCGTACCAGGACCAGCACTGTCCCAAACCGGATCGCAGCACGACGCAAAGTAGATCCCCAACCTTCGATCCAAGACCCCGCAATACAACAGTACACCGATGATCGCCCACGCAAGCTCGCAACCAGGTGCTCTGAAGCGCCGCTAAACCTTCACAGTGCACCCTGGGCCACGACTGTGACAATCCGCCAATACTCCACCGCAGCACTCCCCTGCTGCACAAACCCAGTCGCTCCATCACAACACCCCAGCACCGCCATTGGCTGGGTCGTCAGAAACGGTCACTCCACCCACGAACAACGGCCGCTCCATCCGTCGAGCCCCGATCTGCCTCCACGTCGAGCCCTGATCTGCCTCTGCTCCAGCCTCGCCGCCGACCGCTGCCAACCACTGTAATCCGCAGGCGCAAACCCTCGAGACCCCTCGCCCAGAGACCCCTCGCCCAAACGCCCCATCCCTCGCCTCAACACCCGCCCGCAATCCTCACGGCAAACGACCCCGGCACGTCCATCCCCTTCAGTCCATCCACTGCAATCGAATGCACCCACATCCAATCCACCAAACCCACTCCCTCCTCCGACCTCCAATCCGCCAAATCCAATCCGCAAAATCCAATCCACACAATCCTACCCCCATCGAGCGCTTCCTACCCCATCGAGCAATCCCTCCCCCACCCACCAGCCTCCCAAACAGCCTTCCCAATCCAGCCGCAGATCAACGCACCCAAGCCAGCGCCCGATACGGCTCCACCGCAACAGTGCGCGCACTGTGCTAGCCGTCTGACGCACGGCCTGAGCTTCCTCGCGATTAGGCAGTGCGATTGACGGCGTGGCAGCGCGTGCGGTGCAGATAAAAGGCTTGCGGCGTCTCAAGCGGTGCTGCGGTGTGCGGTCGGTGGGGGGAGTGGTAGCTGAGCGAGCGGTGCTGCGTGCGGGTGTGCAGCGCAGGTCGAAAAGGGCGTGGGATCTTGCGGCGTGCGATGCGTGAGCGGGTGCACTGCGTACTGGTGAGTCGGGAGCGCGACGGGATCTACGGCTGCGGCGTGGAGAGTCCTGCGTACTGCTGCTACCGCTGTCTTCCAGCGCTCCTCTGCGCGCTCCTCCGCGCGCTCCCCGCCCCAGCACCCGTCCATCTCACTCTACGCGCCCGTCGGCGCTGTACCGCAGCCCGCCGTCTCCTGCACAGGAATGCGCGGCGCGGTCCCGTTGACTTGCACACTGTACTGTGTCCCGTTCCTCGTCTGTGCTGCGTTTGTACAGTATTCCTGTTTTTGCTCGTGGACGGACGGCGTCGTAGTATGTACGGACTTCGTGACGCCTGCTCTGCTCTGCCCTGCTCTGCTCTGCTCTGCTGCACTCCCCTCCCTCCCCTCCCCTCCCCTCCCCTCCCCTCCCCTCCACTCCCCTCCCCTCCACTCCCCTCCGCCCGCTGACCACTCCGCCCCGCCCTGTCCTGTTGCTAACTGTATCCCGGTCACTGCATCTCACGCGCGAACCTCCTGCTCCCGTCGACGTGCAGGGTGGGTGTGTGACAACTAACAAGGGCGCCGTGATAGGGGGGGGGGATCTGGTAGTGCAAACCCGCCGTCCACGACCGAGAACACGAGACCGGTCCAGGGATGTGATGGCAAGACAGGCACTGCGGCCCGGGCACCTGGACAGCGGGGATGGGATATCTGCGCCGTCGAGTACGGGAGTAAAGTAGTAGCACGCTCACCCACAGCCGACATCACACGAGCACCACCCACTGCCTACATCACACGAGCACCACCCACAGACCACCCACAGCAAACACACAATTGAAGTATTTTCTCATTCCTGCATCTACGTAGTGCAGTGCATTTCCGTTACTCCTCACCGCGCACGCAGCCAACCAGCCCGCCGACCGTGCGCGTGCGAGCGTCGACACGCCTCCGGCGCGCCATGCTAACCAAAAACCAAACTACCAGGCCGCAATCGCAGCCATGCAAACGCCAAACACCGAGCGCTGTGAGATGATGAAAGTGAATGGAAGGGGAGGGACGGGATGCGCGATATGCAAGATGAAGTGATGAACCGTGCCGTGCCGTGCCGTGCTGTGCCGTGCCGTGCCGTGCAGTGATGAAGGGGTATCCGCTCGAAAAGGATGTATGAGAAAGGAGGCGGGCCGGGAGTTCTACGCGAGGGCCTCGGGGGCGAGTGCGGGCGGGGTGTCGGGCGTGGGCGTTTCGTCGACGCCCTGGCCTCTGCAGAGCGGGCAGGAGTTGCGGCCGGTGGTGAGCCACTGGGATGCGTGTTAGCGGGTGCTCTGTCTACTCTGCATCAATGAGACGTACCTGGTCGATGCAGATCTTGTGGAACATGTGCTCGCACTTGACGAGCTTGCGTGCCTCTTCGTCGGCCTCGAAGTCGCAGAGACAGACCAGGCAGCGGGCGTCGTGGGCGAGCTGGATGGTGTCGGCGCCGTCGACTTCCACGGCCATGAGCCCGGAGTCGTCGCGCACGATGCGGAACAGGCCGGGTGCGGCGGCCACGTCGCCCTCGCTCGCCACGGGGGCTTTGGCGGGGCCCAGGATGGACGACAGCAGCATCATGTCCTCGTATGTCGGCGAGTCGGTGAACAGGCTCGGCGTGGTCAGGATGGGGTGGTTCTCGGGGTAGCTGCCGCCGAGGACGTAGATGATCCAGCTGCGCGAGCCCTCGCCCGGGTTGTTGTCGGGCTCGACGACACCGCGGCGTCGCGGGGCGCCGGCGCCGTAGCGTGTGAAATCGGACTCGCTCAGGCGGCGCTGGCGGGGGCTGCGCGCCGTGGTCTGGGGCTCCTCCTCTTCGGTCGGCTCGAGGGCGGACCCGGGCGATCTGCGCACGAAGCTGGCGCGGCGCGACGGGGCGTTGGAGTGCGGTGCGGACGACGGCGGGGTGGTGGTCGCGGCCGGCGTGGTGGAGCCCGAGGGGTCGGCGGACAGCGCAGCGTTGGTGGCGGGCGTCGACGGCGGCGGCTGCGGGCCGGGCGGCGAGTCGGCGGGCTCAGGGTCGAAGGGGCGCGGCGGGTCGTGGGGGCGGGTGCGGTGGTGGCGCTGCGAGTCGTAGTGCGAGGGGAAGTTGAAGCCGCCCATGGAGGCGCGGCGGCGGTGGCTGAAGCGCGTGCCGTTCTGCGGGCGCAGGGCGGTGTCGGGGTCGCCGGCGGCGGTGGGCGGGGTGGGGAAGCTGGACAGGGCGTCGAGGAAGGGCGGGATGTTGGCGTCGTCGGGGCCGGCGGCGGCGGCGGGGTTGATGGAGCGGATGCCGACGATGATGATGGGCACCATGCGGCCCTCGGCGTCGTCGTCGTCGTGGTCGTCGCCGGGCTCGCTGGCGGGGCCGGCGGTGCCGAAGCGGAACATGCGGAAGAAGTTGAGCGGGGCGGGCGGGCTGCCAGGCGTGTCGCGGGCGTCGCCCTCGGTGCCGCGCAGGGCCGAGGCGATGCTGCCGTTCTGCAGCGACTGCAGGAAGGTGTCGAAGGTGCCGTCGCGCGTGGCGGCGTGGTGGTCGTCGCCGACCAGCGAGGCGGCGGTGGCGGCGGCGGCGAGCGACAGCAGGCGCGACAGCACGTCGGCCTGGTCCTCGCCGCGGCGCAGGCGCTCGATGCTGTCCATGTTGTCGTCGTCGTGCCACAGCGAGCGGCGACGGCGCGACCCCAGCGAGTTGCGCAGCCGCGGCAGCATCGACAGCGCGCGCCCGTCGCGGCGCAGCGAGCTCGGCGTGGGCGGCGGCCGCGAGCGGTCCGAGTCGGAGCGCGCGCGCGCGCCGTGCCCCAGCAGGCTCTCAAAGTCGAGGTCGAGGTCCGCCATCGACGGCACGTGGGGCAGCGACGGCCGCTCGCTCTGCGGCCGCTCGCTCTGCAGCCGCAGCGCCGAGAGCGGCCGGGCTGCGGTGGACGGGGTGGAGGAGGCGGACGGGGCAGGCAGCGCGGCGCTGGCAACGGGCGCGGTGCTGCGGTGTATGGGCGCCGGGCGGCCCAGCAGCTCGCTGAGCGAGCCCAGGGAGCTGCGGGCGCGTCGGAGGTGCGACTGCGGGCGGCGGGCGGGCGGCGTGGGCGCGGACGGGGGCGCGGTGCTGCGGTGGAACGGGTTTATGCGCTGCGACAGGCGGCGCGAGGGCGAGATCTGTGGCTGCGCAGGGCTCGGTGTCTGCGCGGGCGGTGCGAGGGCTGCAGTGGGAACAGACGTCGCCCACGAGGCCGGGCGGAAGCTGCGACTGCGGCGGCGGAGGGCGCGCGGCTCGTCCGGCGACGGCAGCGAGGACGAGCCCGCGCCGCGGGAGGTGGCCTGGCCCATGGTGAAGGCCTGCGGCGGTGGATCGCCGCTGAGAGCGAGGAGCGCGAGGGTGCCGGGGGTGGTGGAATCGTCGTCGGTCGCTGTCTCACCCAGAGACCGCCGCCGCGATGCCATGCGTCCCGAAGCCACGGCCGCTAGCCGCCTCGAGCTCGCCCACGGCCCCAACCCAGACCACGCCCAGCGCCGCTGCATCGCCGAAACGGTTCCACGGCTGCCAGCCAGCGACGCTTGCCCGCCCGTTGCGCGTGCGTGGCCCCATGCGCGCCGTTGCGCCTATTGCAGCGCCGCCTATATCGCCGCCCTGAAACCCGCCATGCAGCACTTTGCCGACCAGCTGCATCCCGAGCACCACTCGGCCTCGCTGCGCGCCCGTCCCTACCGCACCAAGCGCAAGGACAGGCACCATGGCGACGACAGCGACGACAACGACAGCAACGACAGCGACAGCTCCGATGCTGGCCACCCGCGCTCGTCCCCTCCAGCTGCGCATTCACGCCCTTCATTTGCCGCGCCCGAGCTAGCTCAGCTACGTGTCGCAGGTCTATTCCCTGCCGAGCTCCACCAAGTCCCTCCCTCACCGTTTCCTCACGCACCTGCAAGGGTGGCCAAGTCGCATCTGGCACCAGCTAAGATTCAGAAAGAACTGGCGCAGCCGCCTGCGCGCCTCTATGCTGTCAACGCACGTGACCCCAACCATGAGGCACGCAATCTGAGGAGAACACACCTCAACGTGCTGTCCACTGTTATGCACAAGTGTCTGTTGCAGGCCGACTACGACCGTGCTGGTCGAGCATGGGGCATGATCCTGCGCACTCAGGCCACGCATGGCAACACGGTGGATCTTCGCAACCACGGCCGCTGGGCCATTGGCGCTGAGCTGCTGCTTCGTCGGACGCCGCCCGACGACGATGCCTTTAGCGAGCACGGCTTCGAGCTGGCAAGGGAGTATTACGAGCGTCTCATCGTCCAGCACCCCACCCGCAAGCAAGCACCGCATGCTGTTGACCAGAGGAGCTTCTACCCCGCCATGTTCTCGCTCTGGATCCAGGAAGTATGCGAGAAGAGCAGGCGCGCGCGGAAGCAGAGCGTGGAAGAATCACGGTCGCGGTCCAGGAGCATGTCCATTGACAGCGGGGACGGTAAGAGAACCACCGACGCCCAGTCCCGCGAGGACGCCATCCAAGTCGAAGAGCTTGCGCGCGCCATGGAGATTGCTGAGCGCCTCGGCGACCTTGTCAAATCGCCACTGTTCGACAAGCAAGCCGGCCTGCTGCAGCTTCGCGGGAACGTCGCACTGTGGATCAGCGACCTGATCGTAGGCAACACGTCCGCCACCGCTGTGGACGAGTGGGATGCGTATCCGATCAATACGAGTGCTCCAGCTGAGGAGCAGATCACCAAGTTCAAAAACTGCCAGCGAGAGCTGGATATAGCGCACAGCTATCTGAGCCGGGTGGAAGAGAACGGGGGCCCGCGCCAGTACCACGCGCTGAAGAAGATCGAGAGCCGCCTCAAAGAGCTGCAGAAGCAGATTGCCAAGCTCGAGGCCGGGGGAGACGACACAAACGTCTCGATGGAAGACGATTGGTGATTCGATAAGAAATGGAGCGTGTCGCAATGAAGCGTGTTGATATGTAAGCGCGTATTCACCGGCATCCTCCAGCCGTCCAACCCGAGTCTCGAGTAGCTCCCGTCTGCACCACGCGCAAAGCTCAACACAGTGCAACCACGAACCCTTAGCCTCGCAGAAGGCACCCTGCATCTCGCACCGCAGACTCCAGGCACCACTCCTCCACCACAGCAACACGTCATCTGCCGCAGGCAGGCAGCGGCCCGTCGAACCGAGCACCCGCACCTGCTACCCTCATCGGCATAACAACCTCCCCAGAGAAGGGGAAAACGTAGAAGCAAAACTCACTCCGGCCTGGCCACGGCTCGCTAAACCTCGCGCCCTCCTCAGCCACAGAGTCCCTGGCTCACGTGGTGTGCAAAGAGCCACGTCTCCCGTAAGGTATGGCAGGGCGGTACGTAGGGCGGTGCGTAGGGCGGAGCGGCGGAATTTGGGGGGAGGACGGGGGTGCGGACGAGAGATGGCGGGGAGAGGGGGAGAGAAGAGTGCACGGTAGCGGCAATGTTCACCGCGTAGTGAGTTCCAGGTGCAACGAAGAAACGCCATGATATACGTGCGGTGGCATCAAGTGCACAGCAGCGATAAAGACACATGATGTATTAAAGCGGTACAGCCCAAGTCGTCTTCTCAGCAATAGAAGCGGTATTACATACATCCCAAGCGAGCTACATTTTGAGAAGAAAAAGAAGGAGCCAGGAGGCGGGAAACACACTCACTACCCCGGCAACACAGGCACCACGCCATCATCAAGCCCTGCATTGCACTCCCCCCCCCCCCTCCCCCCACCAACGCCGCGCTCAACCAACCAACCCCCACCCCCTGCCCCCTACTCCATATGATCCACCTTCTGCTTCTCACTCGCCCCCTTAATCATCCCCGAGAGATCCACAATCGGCAACGACAGCGGAAAATCCACACTCGCCAGCATAATCGCGAGGAAAATATACCACCCCAGCAGACACGTAACAAACGCAAACGCGCCCGCGGCTTCCTGGCACTTTGCGGCGACTGCGGCGTTGCCTTGGGCCAGGTTGAGGAAGGTGCCTGCGAGCAGCCCGAAGGCGGGGATTAAGGTGAAGAAGATGAGGAAGAAGACGAGGTTTGTGCGGAGCGAGCAGATCAGGTAGACGGTGCAGAGGAGGCCCATGGCGATCATGAAGTAGGCTGGGGCATGTGGTGTTAGCGGGGAAGACTTATATCAGTGGGGAGCAGTGTGGCATGGTTCGTGAAGGCGAAGGGGAAGGCGGAAAGAGGGAAACTACGCACCAATCCCAACATTAAACCCCACGCTCTCCAGCCCCGTGCTGCCCTGCGTCGCCGGATCCGCGTAGTTGCCGTACGCGCCGTACTCGGGGACCAGCGTGGCGCCGTAGCCGAGCCAGAAGGCGCCGAACGAGGTGAAGACGACGAAGGGGAAGGTGTTGCCCAGGATCCACTGCGGGGAGGGTTAGCCAATATTCACTTATACAGATATGATGAGGGGATTTGGGGGCACATACTTCACCAACACCACCAAGCACCATCAGCAGCCCGCCGGCGAAAAAGTACCACCCGATACTCGCGGACCCGCTACCTCCCGCGCCGCGCCAGCCCATCAGCGTCCAGCTGAGCGGCGTGAGAGAGAGGAGGAAGCCGACGAGCGCACTGCCGCAATCAGCAAACAATCCAACCAAGTGACACACACACATCTCGTGACTCACAGCGGCGTGGGGTTGCCAAACGTCTTGCGCAGCTCGCCCTTGACGTCGTTCTTGGGCGACAGGTACAGCTTCTCGAACAGCTCGGGCGTGATGGAGATGCTGCCCGCGGTGCGGATGTGGCGCAGCGCGAGGTCCTCGTCCATGCTGTTGTCGAGGTGCTGGTGGCCGGCTGGGCCGTTTGCGAAGCCGTAGCCTATCACACATCACATCAATGAAAACGAGCTCACAACCACGCGATGGCCAGCCTTACCGTTGCGGTTCGAAAAGTCCTTCTCGAGGTCGCCGTTGTGGTTGCTCATTCTGTAGGCGTTGGACTCGGCGCGCGCGGTGGAGCCCGCGGATAGTGTCTCCTCGTCACGGGCGGATGTGGCGCCCAGGTGGGTGTTGTTGTGGCTATCACCCCGGCCTGAGGTGGCTCCAAGGTGCTGGTTGTTGTTGGAGGTGACGGACTCGTGGGCGTTAGACGTCATGCCAGTGCCGTTGCCGAAAAGACCAGCGCCTTTAGTGTTGAATTGATTGCAGGTGCTACAGTTAGCCGTCGTGAGAGCCGAATCGTGTTGATGGGACATAGAGACAGCTCAGATGAGGACAGGGGGTTATAGGACTTATAAGGTGGGAGGGGTGGAGCTAGCTGACGGCGATATATGAACGACACTCAAAGGCAGAGTCACGGCTTCCATGCAAGGATAGTGTGAAAGCCGGACGAAAGCAAGCGATCAGCAGCAATAGCTGGGGAAGGCTGCCGCCCGAATGCCATCAAGCGTGCTGAAGACCACACAGCCAACCGCTGCGGCTCCGCACCAGCACCCTGTCTCACCGTATTGGCAGAGGGTGAGTTCTGTTTGACTAGTGCGGATGGAGTAATGGCTGCTTTCTTATGCACTGGCTTCCTATTTGAGGTGCTTTGGTCTTTAAAGAACTTCAGACGTCCATGATATCTTGATTCACTGCGGTTGGAGGTATTGCTCCCAGGTGATGCAGAATATCTTGCTCAACCGCGCTCGCATCCAGCTGAGCCCGTACAGAAGATGTCGATGACGCATGGTATGTGCCGTGCTGGGGCACCTGTTCTTCTTGCCAACATGGGATCTCGGCGTCCAGTACCGATTGAGTGGTGATGGGAAAGGCGCAGAGCTTGGATCGCGGGTCAGGTGTAGTCCGTTCTGACGTGGCCAGTAGCATTGTGAGCCACGAGAACACAGCCGGTTATGCGGAGAAAGTGGAGATAAAAGCACGCGAAACACTGGAGGATCTCGTGGAGGTGCCGGCTCTGGACCTAGATGATCGTCAGCCCGTCCCTACCGGGATTGAGTTTGCGGGGAAGCGCACTATACCCGCACTTGCGCTGCCAAACCTGGGGTTATGTCCAGCGTCACCTCGCAGATCGGAGTTGGATCCGCGGAGCAGGCATTTTGATAAAACCAACATCAATTGAGTGCTTCATTTCATAATGTAGAGCATTCAATTCCACTGCTCCTCGAAGCATGAGTCGATTATCGTCAATGCATCGGTGAGCTGCGAAACCACTAAGACATGGCTGCGCTCCGACTAGTCCGGCCAAATGGTACTTTCGACGACTCGCTGATGGCGCGAAGTAGCGTTTGTTGTCAAACAATGAATGGCCAGCATTCAGATCAGGCGCGAGGGAGCCAATCATGAATGGAGTTTTCTGTGCAAATCTAGGCGACTGCGCGATCCCCGCTTGCTGTCAGAGCACAACATCGCTCGATGGTGGTCTGATGCAGAAGAGCGGATTGCGTATTATTTGCGCTCATCCGACGGCGGTTCGGGAGTGGACAGGCAACGTGACCCGGAGGCGTTCCGCTTGTGGCTTGTCTAGCCGAATGCGGTGGACTATTTCGAGAGCTCAGTGAGGGATCTCACGGCTCGAGCCAGGGCTGTTAGGCGGACGGGCATAATGACGATTGAGTGAGCCGCCTTGTGCTGCGTGTTATTCGAATGCAGTCTCTCACACCTTGTGGTCGTGAAATTCGGCACGCGTCTTGCCCGTCATTCCGTTCCTGAACGATCGACATCGCTGAGTCGCAGCTTGCGATTCCTCGAAAAGGCTATCTGCACTTGGCCGATATCTTGATGGTCGATCTCAGTAGACTTCCCCAGTCAGGACCCGGAGCATCCGTGGACGGCGATATTGAGCGGACGTGATGAGTCTTGTACTAGCATTGTAGCTCAAGCTCCAAATTCGTCAGATGACTGAACTTTCGTACGTCGTCTTCATCTTAATTCGGACGTTTCAATACTTACATCGGGCTAAAGCGCTACCAGAGCACACGTGCAATCTACAGTAAACATCCGGTGCTTCCGTAGAGCTCGAAAGACGGAAACGTTGAAGTTGGCGAACAGTACCACAACATGTGTCTCGAGGTCAACCGATAATGGTATACGTTAGTACTTGATACCACACAACGACGACGTCCGTGCTGTCTACGACTCATCCCGTGGTGGGTGCTGCATCGCAATGCTCGGGGTGTGATGGTTGATCAGCTCCTTGTTGTCCTAGCACTGATAACTATCAATGCAGTCCGAGTTCAACGGCATAGAGACACAGGCTTGGAGTACCTGCCAAAGGAGAGTGTTAATATCCGTATGTCTGTGGAGAACAGGATAGAGAGGTTGGCAATGTTCAGACCACGTTCGAAAGATGTTGAGTTGCTCTTCTGAAAGTCGATGCGAGGTGGTGGGATCCATATCTTACAGACCAGTTGAAGGCTGCTAGACTGATTGTCGAAAACATCGTTGGGATGTGTATTTAGTGCAGCACCTCTGGCGAACTTAAGTACAGAGTTGTGGACAAGGCAGGTGCGTGGAATGTGCGCTCAAGACTCTGTATTCGACAGGACATAGGTAAGACGAAAGATGGTTGTGGAGAAATCCGATCTCACATGTTGTGACTGGTGTTGGCTCGTAAAATGTCGATGGTAGGGTTGGTGACAGGTAGTTTTAGGGCAGGAGCACAGCATTGATACCCGACGACAAGCCTCAATCGCACCCAGATGTGTACCTACGTGCAAGCTACGGCACGCAGTCAGTCATATGTAGGGGAACATACATCCAAGGTAAAGACTCAGTAATCACAGTTGATTACAATTTCGTCGTCTTAGCGCGGCTTGGTCATCGGGCGGACTGATGTGAAATCATTTCCACGTCCATGCCTCCAGGCTCCGACTTCATACGTGTAGGCCGATTGCTCTACGCTCCGCCGACTTCTTCAATCACCTTCTTGAGATTCTGGATGTCATGAGCAAACCGACCGAGAAACAGTCCATCCACACCCTCGGCAATCTTTGCAAACGTGCCTGGCCCTGCGCTGCCGCCGTAGACGATTCTTGTGACACCGGTTCTGCCGGCTGCGAGCTTCCTAAGCTCCGTGGTAACATTGACAACGTGGTCAGGGTCTGCAGGCTCCTTTGCACCGATTGCCCAGACCGGCTCGTACGCCAATATGACCTCTTGATCGTCAGGCACAGCGGCCAACACTGATGTCACCTGCCGTTTGCACTCTTGTATCGCCGCACCCACAGCTGCTGAAGCTATGCTGTGGTGGGTCTTCTCTCCGATGCAGACCAGCGGTATCAGCCCGTTCCTCGCAGCTGCGCCAGCCTTCTTTGCAACGGTCTCGTCTGTCTCGCCAAACAGCGCTCTTCGCTCTGCGTGCCCGATCTCCACGATCCTAGCGCCAGCTTGCCGCAGCACTGCTGGGCTGACTTCTCCTGTAAAAGCACCTCTGTCTTCCCAATGCGTGTCCTGTGCACCGAGCATGATGGACGAGGGCTCTAGTATGCGCCGAGCCTCTGTGAGCGAGACAAAGTCAGGGATAACAAAGAGGTCGACGTTTGCGTTCCAGGCATCGCCGTCCAGTTGGAGAACGCCACGGACGTAGGAGAGTGTGCTGGTCAGGTCGAAGTACATTTTCAGCGAGACGCCGACAATGCGGCGGGGGCGCGTGATGGGAGGCATGACGAACGGCAGGGTATTGTGTAGAGCAGGGCGAGGTGTAGGAGATCAAGGGGAGTAGGCACGCTGCGCATGGAGATGTTCAGTCGCAATGGATGCGACCTTGATTTCGGAGTTACTGCTTTGGGTAATTCTCTGTGAGGCCGCTTCGGTCAGCGAGGGGTAGTGTGGGGTGGGTGACTGCAGCAACTGGCCAGGTGTCCCCCACACCCGTCGAAGCTGGGGTGGGACGGTTTGCCCATGTTACGAGACACAAACACCGAGTCGGCACGGGTGCACGCGTCGCAACAAACAGCGTGTCATTGGGGCCAGATCAGCCATATGCGCGTCACAGTGCGGATCTTGGCAGGGCCGCAGGGCGCCGCTCCATGCATGCCGCAGTCGGACTCACTAAACTCCAATCGCTCTTGCATCCACAAGAAAATCTTCCCCATGATACATCATTGACTCGTACACACCTTTGCACACACCGCCCATAATCGCCCGAGTTGCTATATTGTGCTTCGGCCTATATGCATAGAGAGCTTGCAGACCGTTGGGCACGCGCTCGATACTTCGGATAGTTTGTCGACTTTGCACTTGCGGGGTTCACACATCCTTGTCAGTTTAGAGCCCGCATCTCGTGGGGTCCTGCATGAGGGACACGCTCTTCAAAAGTGCTAACATTCACAGACTTTGTTGAAGTCCTGCTGTTCTTGTTGTTTTATTGTTCTTCCATACCGCCACCATGCACATCTCCGAGAAGCTTGCCCGATCGCGGGCTGAAGGGAAGCCGACCTTCTCCTTTGAGTTCTTTCCCCCAAAGACCGCCCAGGTATGGTACACCATTGCTCTGTACGAGGGGCATGATGGCTGACACGCGCAGGGTGTGCAAAACCTCTACGACCGCATGGACCGCATGCACGGCTTCGGCCCTCAATTCATCGACATCACCTGGGGCGCAGGTGGCCGCCACTCCAAGTTGACCACCGAGATGGTCAAGGTCGCCCAGACCGTGTACGGGCTCGAGACACTTATGCACCTCACGTGTACCGACATGGAGCGATCGAAGCTCGACGAAGCCCTCAACGACGCTTACCAGGCTGGCTGCACCAACATCCTCGCTCTGAGGGGCGATCCTCCGCGTGAAAGAGAAAAGTGGGAGGCGACTCAGGGCGGTTTCCGCTACGCCAAAGATCTGGTCAAATACATCAAGGACAGATACGGCAACCATTTCGACATTGGTGTGGCGGCATACGCCGAAGGGTGCGACGACAACGACGACGTTGACCAGCTCATCGATCACTTGAAGGAGAAGATTGACGCAGGCGCTACTTTTGTCGTCACCCAGATGTTCTACGACACGGACGTCTTCCTTGACTGGGTTGAGAAAGTGCGGGCCAAGGGCATTGACGTGCCCATTGTTCCTGGTATCATGCCCATCCACACTCACGCTGCGTTCCTGCGCAGAGCGACTTGGACTCGCTGCAAGGTCCCGGCTAAGTGGACTGAGGCACTGGAACCTATTAAGAACGACGACGTACAAGTCCGTGAGGTCGGAAGTGAGCTCGTTGCGGAGATGTGCCGGAGGCTGGTGGACGCGGGCATCCTCCATTTGCACTTGTACGTAATGCTCTGCTCCTCACATTGCCTTTGCTAACCCATTCAGCTACACCATGAACCTGGCTCAAGCTACGCGCATGGTTCTCGAAGAGCTCGAGTTGCTGCCCGACGTCGAATCCCCTCTGGAGAAGCCACTCCCATGGCGACCATCCCTGGGCCTCAACCGCCGTGACGAGAACGTACGTCCGATCTTCTGGCGCAATCGCAACCGCTCTTACGTCGCTCGCACACAAGACTGGGACGAGTTTCCTAACGGTCGATGGGGAGATTCTCGTTCGCCTGCTTTTGGTGAACTAGATTCCTACGGAGTCGGTTTGAAGGGTACAAACGAGCAGAACATCAAGCTCTGGGGCACACCCACCTCAGTCCAGGATATCTCAGACCTTTTCGTACGCTACATGCAAGGCGACCTGGAGTCCTTGCCTTGGAGTGAACAGGCCATCACCGAGGAGGCCAACGCAATCCAGCAGAACCTCACTGACTTGAACCGACGTGGTTTCCTGACCATCAACTCGCAGCCTGCTGTCAACGGCGCTAAGTCGTCTGATAAAACATTCGGATGGGGTCCACGCAACGGTTACGTTTACCAAAAGTCCTACCTCGAGGTTCTCGTCTCTCCAGAATACATCGCCGAGATCATTACACGCATTGAGCGCGACCCTGAGTTCACTTACTACGCAGTCAACAAGCACGGCGATCTCAAGACAAACGCTCCTAACGAGGGACCCAATGCCGTTACCTGGGGTGTGTTCCCGGGTAAAGAGATTGTGCAGCCTACTATCGTCGAGACAGTCAGTTTCCTCGCTTGGAAGGATGAATTCTACCGTCTTGGTCAGGACTGGGCCAACTGCCATCCCAGCATCAGCCCTGCTAGATACGTAATCAGCGAGGTGATGGACACCTGGTACCTTCTCAACATCGTCCACAACGATTTCCACGTCACCAACGGCATCTTCCCTATCTTTGACGGCCTGAAGGTCGAGAACATGGAGAGAAAGCTTGACAGCGGAATCACCAACGGTCATGCAGAGGCCAATGGTACAAACGGCGCTGCAAACGGCGAGAAGCCCGAAGCCCAGAAAGACGAGAAGTCGCTCCTTGAGACGGCGAAGGCAGCTGCCCTTGAGGTCACCAACGGCGTCAAAAACCTCGCCGTCTCCAACTAAACCAACCTTTTAGGTAACTACGATCTTTCTACATTCAACACAGCAAGATCTGCACGTATATGGCGTTTGGACTTTCCTATGTCACGACATCATGATATCTTTAACTCTATCATCGATGTTTCTCTCGCATCTCAACAAGCGTATTCATAAGTATGGCGTTCTATCATTTCACGGATTCCGGCGGCGGTCCAGGGGACCAAAAACTAGCACATGGGATGTGCATCACACGCTCAAAAGCAGATGACAGTATCTGGAAGGCGTCTATTCAACCTGACGACCATAATGACCGTAATGGAAGGGGACGGGTGGAGAGGTGGATGTGTATGCAAGGCGTGCACAGAGCGGCTGCGAGCTGCGGAGCGATATGCGGAGGAATGGCTTTCTGAGATACCCGGCCAGTGCCCTCAACGGAGCTGGCCAACCCGAAGCTTTGTGTTATCGAAATACTATTTATTGTGCGAGCGTGGCTTGCGATAGACTTTGTCGCCCAATTGTGCCACCAGCTGATGCGACTATATCCAGCTATCCACGTCTTCGTCTTCATGCGGCTGCCTTCGAACTTCTCTCAACATGTAATGCCATGAAGAACCGCCTCAGAGCCTGCTCATAATCACCACACAATCACCGCACAACAAAAAGACGCCACGGTATGTTTCGTTTGACATGTTTCGATATGCATTATTCGGCGCCATCCCTGAGTCTTACATAAATACACAATACACGCCAGCACAAGCGCTGGCACCCAAGGAGCCGGCAACCGCCCGTTCCTGTCTAAGCGAACATGCACTCCTCCGTGGACACAAAGTATATGGTACAGGGGCGCAAGGGCCCGTGGGGAGAGGGGGGAGAAGGACGCCGAGCGAGCAAACGCGATGCAAAAAGGTCGGATATCGAAGCGAAACGGGCGAGAAAGGGTGCAGCTTGGGGGCGTCTGCTGAGGGTTTGCGGGGGGTCGTGGGTTTATGCGTCGGGGGCGGGCTCGAAGAAGACCTTTCGTGTGATCTGGCGCGGTTATTAGTATGTGTGCTCGGGTTGGTTGTGGAGAAGACTCACGGCCCATGTTCCTGCGACGGTTGCGCAGATGCCCGCGCTGATGGCCATTGGCCGTGTCCCTCTGGTGCTCTTGAAGATGGCGCCGGAGATGGCGCCCGCGACGACGCTGTTGGTGGGGTCGTGTTTGCCGCGGATGGCGCCGATGGTACTGTTGGTGCCGTTGTAGACCAGCGCGATGACGCCGGCGCTGTTGCCCAGGAAAGGCCCGCGCCTTGTGACTGCGTTCAGGACGCCGTTGATGCGCAATCGCGGCGGCATCGAGGCTGGGTTCTTCTGCAATCCCTCGGATAGTCCCCATGCGCCACCGATGGTGAGCGCGGTCAGGTAGCTGACGCCGGTGCCATAACAGAGGTCATCTGACCAGCCGCGACTGGGGAGCGCAGAGTGGTCTACAGACGCGGATTCCTCGAGCGAGAGGTAATCAAGGGTGTCTTGGTTCAGCCCGGCAAGGGGATGTAATTGCGACGGGTCGAGGATGAAGTCTGAAGGGCTTTGAATGGCGGTGGTAGGGTCGAAGGGTGTGGAGGGCGCCGGCGAGGCAGAGAAGTTGTCGTGTGGTTCTTGCGGCGATTGCGAGTCGGTCGCGGTTGCCTTCTTGCCGGTGAAGAGATCCCAACTGTAGATGCATGAGTTCACATGCAGGAGCACGTCAAATGTCGGTGGAACTTACACGCCCATGATGACGGTGCCGGACTGGGATGTGATGTGGATGTGGTTGTAGTTGCGCCGCGCGATCAATCAGCTCGTGGGTATCTCCTAACGCCGAAAAATGCCAGAGGAGAGGAGCGACCGATATTAAGAGATAGAGATACACGGAGCACAGATGCGCGGGCGATGGCGACTCGGTTACGGGCGTCGGCGGTGCTGGCGTATGGTGGTCATAAAAGTTCAATCATCGCGCTAGCGCAAGCATCCCTGCCACTTTCGAGAAGTGTCTGTCTCCATTCCGAAGGTCGGAAAGGAAGAACTGCACTGGAGAACCTCACCACCACAACAGATACGTAAGAGAGTTGTACAACATGGCCCTCCCAGATTACAAAAAGAACTTCCTCGAGACTTGCGTCTCTGCCGGCGCACTGAAGTTTGGCACTTTCACCCTCAAGTCCAAGCGCGTCTCGCCTTATTTTTTCAATGCGGGACTCTTCCACAGGGCTGATCTGCTGCGGTCCATGTCGTTGGCATATGCCCAGTCCATGAAGGCTCATGGCGATGCCGACTCTTCTTTCGACTTTGACGTCCTTTTCGGCCCAGCTTACAAGGGCATCCCGCTCGCTGCCACAACCATCGACAAGCTTGCGGATCTGGACGTTGCCAAGTACGGCAAGAAGAGCTACAGCTTCAACCGCAAGGAGGCCAAAACTCACGGCGAGGGTGGCAACATTGTCGGTGCCTCGCTCAAGGGCCAGAAGATTGTTATCATTGACGACGTCATCACTGCCGGAACTGCTATCAGGGAGGCCATCGACATCATCAAGAGCGAAGGCGGCGAGCTGGTCGGCATCATCGTTGCGTTCGACAGGCAGGAGAAGACCCCCACCGAGAACGATGATGATGGCAAGCCGGGACCCAGTGCTATCGGCGAAGTCAGGAAGCAGTACGGTATTCCCGTGCTCTCCATCTTGACATTGGACGATATCGTTGCGTTCCTGCGGGCCCAAGGCAGTGACGACGATATCAAGAGGCTGGATGAGTACAGGGCAAAGTACAAGGCCAGCGACTAAGCGAAGAGGACGCGATCGGAACATGGCCGAAGCCCACTCATTTAAACACGATTTACGACTGTTACGTTGGAGGCTCACATGACAACCCGTGCAAGTCAAGTGTAGCAATGGCGCATTGAGGTGGAGAAAGGTTAGACAAGATAAACCAAGCGTTGCAACTACATCGGTCACATAGAAGGCGCAGTGATGACTAGATCGAGTACGGTCGATCTCAAAGTCAAACGCTTTGGTAGACATGCATCGTGATGCCGAGCGAGGAACAGGTTCAAGCATTTCCTCAAGCGTAAGCGAGCCGGTTTCAAAGCACGCTAAGGCGCGTCGCCCAAACCGCGACATTTCCCCTCAGATGTATACCTACTTCGAGCGCGACTCACACTCGGAGACACATTTGTCCAGAGCGCTATAATGCCTGGGGTCAGTTATCCACTGTATTCGCGTTTAGACGTAGTTCCTTCCTTGATTCGGCAGTGCCTCCTCTTGGCGAGTGCCTCTCCTGAACAAATGATGCGCCAGGATGTCCTGTCTCTAACACCGACTTGGAGCGGTCACGGTAGCATCTTCTCTTCTAGCAGGTTTACCTTGTTGTTTTGCTCGTTGTTTACCAGTCCATATCTATCTTGATTCGTAACGGTGCCGGCACCGTCGCAGCTTCTCAATACCTTACTTCTCTTGCGCCGCACAACCGACATTGTCCTACCGGTCTGCCTGATGATGCGCAGTATCAAATTACCTCGCAATGTAGCAGGCAATCCCAAAATGTCGCGCCAGCACCAGCGAGTCCTTGCATACATCATTCTAGGAGCTGCTGCACTGGGCGCATACTACACCTGGTTCTGCGCACCGATCGATGCCCTTGCGATATCTTTCGAAGACCACAAAGCTTATATGAATGATCGTCCGAGCTTCTCGTCGTTCAAATCTCGACAATCGTATGATTGGAGAACCGCTCCTCTTCGAAATGCAATCGAGACCTACACACCCCTACCGCAGGGGCAACCTCGAGCACTGCCGCGAGTGCAGTTCAAATTTCCGCCCGAGACGAGGGCACAGAGAGACCGAAGGGAGATACAGAGAGTCGCAGTACGGGATGAGTTCAAGCGTAGCTGGGACAGCTATCGTGCGTATGCCTGGGCAGAAGATGAGCTCAAACCCATAACAGGGGCTGGCCTCAAGTCCTTCGGTGGGTGGGGTGCGACGTTAGTGGACTCTCTGGATACACTCTGGATCATGGGATTAAAGGAAGAGTTCTACGAAGGTGTGCAGGCTGTCTCAGCTATCGACTTTGGCAAGTCAGACATGAAGACCATCAGTGTTTTCGAGACGACGATTCGATACCTGGGCGGTATGCTCAGCGCCTATGATCTCAGTCAAGAGCCTGTTCTGCTGGAGAAGGCCATACAGCTCGGCGAGATGCTCTACCGTGCTTTTGACACTGAAAATCACACACCCACAGGGTGGCTGGACATAGAGAAAGCAAAGGATCCTGAGGGCCGACCTCCCACGGCTGAGACCAGCATCTGTTTCGCCTGTCTCGGATCATTGACTATGGAGTTTACACGTCTAGCGCAGATCACCCAGGAATCGAAGTACTACGATGCTGTAGCTCGCATCACTACACTCCTCGATCGTACTCAAGATACGACGCGCATACCAGGTCTCTGGCCCACTACGCTGAATGCCCGCAAAGAACAATTCAACCAAAGCCGTTTCTTTTCCCTTGGCGCTCTCGCCGACAGCACGTACGAGTACTTCCCCAAGATGCACGCCTTGCTTGGCGGCCTCGAACCTGTGTACCAGAAACTGTACACTGATTCTGCAGTAAAGATCGATGAACACATGCTTTTCCGACCCCAACTTCAGGATGAGGAACTCAGCAAAGATCTTTTGTTCTGTGGTGACGTACACTCGTCGCGGCCCACTGAAGTCACCCTCGACCCAGAAATGCAACACTTGACTTGTTTTACCGGCGGCATGTTCGGGTTGGCAGGCCGGCTCTTCTCCTCTCCATCGCATGTTGAGATTGGCGAGAAGTTGACCAGAGGATGCATATACGCCTACGCCGCAATGCCCACCGGCGTCTCACCCGAAATCTTCAAGATTTTGCCCTGCAAAAGCCGCACAGAGTGCAAATGGAATGAGACAGCGTGGCAAGACAAGATCATGTACAGCTACGGCAGCCGATACAGCCAGGATGCAGAGCAGATAGCGCTGGAAAGGGGTTTACCACGGGGCTGGACAAGTATCCGCGACAAACGATATCTGCTGAGACCAGAAGCCATCGAGTCCGTATTCATCTTGCACCGCATCACCGGCAAGCAAGACTACGTTGACAGCGCATGGGACATGTTCATCTCGATCGTCGCAAACAGTCGCACACCGTACGCCAACGGGCAGCTGCTCGACGTCACCGGCCAGACCGATTTCGGCACAGAACAATACACTGTTGGGCAGAGATTCCGCGGCCATGGTCCCGCGACGATAAGGCAGGGGAATCTGGAGGATAAGATGGAGAGCTTCTGGACGGCTGAGACGTTGAAATATTTCTACCTCATTTTCAGCCGCCCCGATATGATAAGTCTCGACGACTGGGTGTTCAATACAGAGGCGCATCCTTTCCGACGTCCAAAGGCGGCCGCGGGAAGCGGCGTGCTATAAGATCGTGGTCAGTCTGAGAGGCCTTAGACTTAGAGGCAGCCGATCTGATCTTCAGTGAGCTGCAACTCGGTTGAAAAATACATCATAGAACGTTCGATAGATGGAAATGCATTGGTACATGCGAAAGACACATACATTACAAGCACCTCATAAACGCATACAACTAGCAACGTGGCTACCAGATCAATAACTGAACCTGTGCCTCTCAGCCAATAGACCAGAAACCTCCTGGCGTGATTTCCAAACGCTCCGCATGGCACGACCACCTCCCAAGCCCATACTGCCAGCGCTGCTGACCAACATCTTGCATGCTGACCAAATATTCGAACTCGGACCCTTCTTCGTTCCTGTCGTCCCAAATGGATATACGCAACTGACAATCCTCGGTCTTTTCCACACTACCTGGGCTCGGTGCAATGTCGTAGATGGGGCAAGAGTTGTAGTTACACGGAATGGCGCCAATCAGAGGCCGTGGCTGTAGCACAGTGCAGTGTCTTGGACGGAGCAAGAGTTGTAGCTGGTGCTAAAAGGGGCTGTTTAGAGGCTTAGGCTACAGCACAGTGCACTGCAGTATCTTAGACAAGGCAAGAGTCGTGGCTAGTCTTAATGCTAATCAAGGGGCCTCCGCTGCAGCACGGTGCAGCATCTCAGATGAAGCAAGAGTTGTAGCTGGTTTTAACACTAAAAGAAGCTGTCCTGACTTGATCCTGGCTTCAGTCGCGTTGAAATAAGGTCGGCTGCGTTTCGGTCAAAATACATCTCCAGCTCGCGATATCGAATTCCCCCGTATCGATCAAACCATAGTGCAGTCGAGTTCTCGAAATCGCGATGTGCAGGCATGCTTAATGCAGGTTGCTCCTGGAATCGTTAAGGTTGGGGTTGCGATGGCCGTCTAGATCTCCATCCGCGCCAGAGTTTAAGACGAAGCCGATGCTGAATAAAAGCTGATTTGGTACCACGGTATGGCACAGCGCTCGCATCCGCATCAACAGACTCGTCCGACCAGTCGTCCCGTTCTCTCGAATCCCGTGGTAGTTCGCGGCTACTGAACGCCACCCTCAAGCACTTTGAATAATTCGGCCGCGTGGACGGGATTACTTGCTCGCTGTCAACAAGACGCTGTCAACAAGACGTAGCTAGAGCAGATGGGGCATTTTCGCGCGGCACAGCCCAGGTGCGTAGTATGACGCCCTCGAGGACTTGCATGTCGGTTATGGTGTTCAACCCTATGCGGATTTTGCAGCGCAGGACGAAGTCGTAGAGTTGTTGGAAGGCGGTTCGTGCTGGCATTTTGGTTGGGTTTGTTCTGGGTAGAAGCGTTGGGTTTGGCGTGTTCTGGGTTTTGGAGCTGTAAATCAAAGCGTGTGAGAGTGGTTTGTCGTGTTGATGTGGATTGGAGAGTGCTTCATTTGTCTTAAGGTGATGGTGAGCTCTGTGAACGAGTAGGTTGCTATGTATTCAGTCATGGGACTTTAGTGAGTAGGTATACATATATGGGCTTCGAAAAGCAGTACCGTGGCACCATGGCTACCAGGGTCAAGCAGTGCGGGCAGACTGCGCAGGGTTCAAGAGAGTGTGGACGCAGGCCGTCATCGACTCAGCATTCCATGGTTCTCGCATCCTGAGTTGCAGAACCACTACATATTGGTAGTTATGCATGTTGGGCTAGGGCCAAACGCTCGATACTTGACGGGACGTTGTAGGGTACATGTTGCCGGTCACGAGGCCGCTGCGGGTTGCGTCACACCACCAGCGTTCGGTCTCCACTTACCCCGACTTGCTTCAGGCGCTATACCCTCAGCAGCAACAAAGACGGTGATCCCCGCGACATCTACCCCAGAACCTACCCCAGTCTTGGCCTAGCCAGGGCTTGGGTTGCAACTGCCGCGGTAGCATTCAACCTGTAGCAGCAGCGGCAGCACGACGACAGGGATGGAAAACGGTTGGCATGCGCATGGTGCGAGTGAGATCGTCACCGAACGTCTTGGAACACGGCAGTACTTGAAGTGGAGGACCCGCACATTTATGCAGATTCCTATCGTCTACCAGAACGTGAATTGGCAATATGGGGTTCTTCAAGAAACCAACCCTGCGCACTCGCGATGACCAGCGCACAAGTGCTTCGGAGCTTACTCTGCGAGCCTCGATCTTGCCGCTTTGTTTAGTCACCATCCTTTTCTTCCTCTGGGTAAGTGTATATCCTGGTTTTGAACAACTGCCTCTAACAATTCTGTAGGGATTTTCATACGGTCTCATTGATACCCTGAACAAGCACTTCCAAGTTGAACTCGGCATCACGCGCGCCCGCTCTTCCGGACTGCAGGCAGCTTACTTTGGAGCTTACCCGCTTGCTTCACTCGGCCACGCCAATTGGCTGCTCAGGCACTGGGGCTACAAGGCAGTTTTCATCTGGGGCCTATTCCTGTTTGGCACGGGCGCGCTTCTGACCTGGCCATGCCTTGTGTACCGTTCGTTCGGCGGCTTCTGTGCAGCCACCTTTGTGATTGGAAACGGGCTGGGCTCCCTTGAGACGGCGGCAAACCCATACCGTGAGTGGTCGACATGCAGGGTTCTTGCGGAAACAGTGTTGCTAACGGCGTCTTAGTGGCTGTGTGCGGGCCTCCCAAGTACTCGGAGCTTCGTATCAACCTTGCGCAGGCTTTCAACGGTATCGGGAGTGTGGTTGCGCCTGTGCTCGGTTCCTACGTCTTCTTTAGGGATGTGGGTGAAGGCTCTGAGGCGCTGAGGAATGTGCAGTGGGTGTATCTTGCGATCGCGTGCTTCGTGTACATTCTCGCAGTGGTGTTCTACTTTGCTACCGTAAGTTGGGTTACTCCGGTAGTCGAGCTTGGATCTAACTTGGTGAAAGATCCCCGAAATTACAGACGCCGATATGGCGTTCCAAGCAGAGGTTGCGAACGCAGGCACCGACGTCAAGCCTTTCAAGAAGCAATACCGTCTCTTCCACGCCACTTTCGCTCAGTTCTGCTACACTGGAGCGCAAGTGGGCATTGCGGGAGCCTTCATCAACTATGTTACTGAATCGCGAGTTGGTAGCTACGTCAATGGGGTGCCGCAGGCTACGAGTAACGCGGACGCTGCACGCTTCTTAGCTGGCGCTCAAGGCACCTTCACACTCGGTCGCTTTGTTGGTTCAGCAATCATGAAGTTTGTAAAGCCTCGTTGGACATTTCTCGTCTTCATGACTTGTTGCATGTAAGCAGACTGACGTACTGATGTCGATGGGTTCGCTGACAGCTGATAGTATCTTCCTGATTCCTGCCATAACCGAGCGCGGCAACACTGGAATGAGCATGCTGTTCATCGTCTTGTTCTTCGAATCCATCATCTTCCCTACCATCGTGGCTCTGGGTATGCGAGGACTCGGCAAGTATTCGAAGCGCGGTTCCGGCTTTATCGTAGCTGGTGTGTCAGGCGGAGCAGTGGTGCCCCCACTCCTGTTTGTGGCAGCGGACTCCCGAGGTTCAGTGGACATTGCAACTGGCTATTCGCCAACTGCATTCGCGATGGTTGTACCGTTGGTGTTTTTCATCGCTGCCTGGTCGTACCCGATCTGTGTCAATTTTGTGCCGGCTTACCGGAACATCGCGGACAGCTTTCATGAGACCAAGGTCGGCATTGAAGATGTTGGGGCCAGCGATCCGGAGAAGCAGAATGGGTATGGCTCAAAGGATAGATCTCCGCTGCAGACCGAGGCCGTGCATGACGACGAGAAGAGGGTCTAAGGAGATGACGACGCCGCGTGGCCCAGGAATACGAGATGGAGGAGTATTGTACCTAGACACATCTGGTACCTACTCTTGCAGTTAGATCTAAACCTTTCTTGTCGTAACAAATATATTGCTAAGCTGCAGCTGAATTACTCATTCATCCGCGTGCGCTTTGAGAAGCAGGCGTCCTACGGAGATATTCATCCTTCTTGCATGATTCGCTTTGCCAAACAGGTGGTGCCTGGGAGCAGTGTGATCACAGACATGAATCCGCGCGATAATACCCCTAAATAGTCCACAGCATTTGCTGTACTTCATACCAAGCCTTAATAGATTCTAAAAATCGCCTCCCCCACAATTCTGGTGGTCGTTCCTTCCGTACCGTGCCGCGATTGCCGTGCTGGGTGGTGACCAAAAAGGCGCGTTCCTGGGATCGTCGCTGAATCAACAACGCGACAGAGCCTGACGGCTGCCACTCACGAGGCATTGTCGGGACACACACCAAACGTAGTGCCCCATAATTGCTTGAGAGAAAGGCTCCTTTGGCGTCTGCGTATCCACGCGTATTCAGACGGCTGCCGAACGAGCCGCTAGCCCCCATAAGGCCGTGTTCCCCGCCCAGTGCGTCTGTCCCTAGCGCATGGGTTGAGGCGCAGGACGCAAGCCCCAGGCAGCTCACACCTCAGCGTGCAGCAGTGTCTACTTCCTCCACCCCAAGACGATGTACAGTGTCTCTCGCTACTTCTGCTGCGCCGTACCGCAGCCATAGAGTGCGCCCCCAAGCAATGCGGCGGTCATGGACAAGAAGGCGCTCTTCTTTCCGTGGTAGGTGCCTAGTGCGACATGGCTGTGAAGTGCTCTGACAATTGCTGACGGTGCTCCTCAGCGGCCTTATACTAGCAAGCAGCTACCTGTCTACTGCGACGCCCATAGAGTACTCCTTCGCCCTCGACAAGCCCCTACACACCACCTGCGTTGTGCTGCTACTTACCGGCCTGCTCGTTGTCGCAGTTGAAGCCTGGCCCGGCCGACCGCACCAGCCACAGCTGCCCGCGCGATATGTTGCAATACCTCTCAACGACGCCCACAGCAGACACCACCCCGAGCAACAATGGAACGAGGCAGGGCTTGTCGGTCGCAGGAAGTCGTCGAGTGTCAGGGCAGTCGGCGCACTCCTCGCTGTGCTGCTGTTCGCAATCTGCGGCCGCATTGGTGTCTTCTACCGTGTGACAAAAGACGTCGAGTGCAGCGGCCCTTCGGCTGTGGTGTGTATTAGATGTCTCCGTGAACATGTGACTTACTTACTTTGCGACAGACATTCCTCCCTGTCGTCCTCGCGCTCTACCACAGCATCCGGCGCCCTTCTCAACCCCAGTACCCCGCCTGGAGCGCTGACTCACGACCAAAGACGCTGCTCGAGCGGGTATTAACCTTCACCTATGGCGACGCCACACGCTATATCGTCCCTTCTATTCTGCTTTCCATAAGCAGCTTCCTCGTCCTGATCAAGACTAGCGCGCTGCGATCAACCTACATTTGCCCTGTCTCGAACTCGTCCGCGGCCCTCATACCTACCCTTCAGTTTGTGGGGTTTGTGCTGGACACCGTCATTGTTCAGTTGCTGTACCGTCTGGTCGATGATGGAATTTCCCCAGTCGACGACTGGTCTATCCGGCTTGAGGATGGTACATCGAACAATTTCTTGATTGGCTTGACCTTCATTGTATGTCACACGACTCCCGTGGTGTTGTAGTTGCTAACGCGCCCTCAGGCTTCATCGTTAGTTCTTGTTGTTACTGGCATTGTTGTATACCCTGCCATGCCGGAGCATCGCGAGTGGATGCTCTCGTTGCCATCCGAGTATCTTTTTGGTTTGTTGCGTTTGTCGTTGATGATACCCTTTATGACATTTTGTTTTCTCAAATCGGTAAGTCACGATCATCTCATCTGCCCACTTAGAGCGAACGCTGACCCAACAGGCACGGTTATACGGCGTTATGAGCGCGGTGCTCACTGTTGCATTTTCTTCTGCATACATCGGCGTTCTTCGAGCACTTGGGACCGGCGCGTCCCACGCATTTCCACCAAAGTCTACCGTCAGCCTTGTGCTTTGCTTGACTTTGCTTACCATTGCGCTTATATTGCATCTGGTCACAGATACCAACATTGAATCCCGCATACGCCTCACCGTGCCGGTCCGGCTGGGCAGGAACCAGTCGGCAACTTTGGTTCTCCTGCTTATAAGTTTCTCAGTTGGCGTTGTTGTCTACCGTCGACAAGAACCCATCCTTGAACACCCCATCAAAACTCTGATCGAGCAAGCAAGTATCCAGCACGAACAATGGGCGTCGCAAGCGCATCGTAGCCAGTCACTTGCTCAGGCCATTGTGAACTATCAGCAGCGCTACAAACGAGATCCACCGCCGAACTTCGACCAGTGGTACCAATTTGCCGTCGCACGGAACTCCATCGTAATCGATGATTACGATAGCATTGAAGAGGACCTCGCTCTGTACTCTTCGTACACCCCGGACGATCTGCGATTGCGTACAGCTACTGTGTTGGCTACGCATCGAGAAGTGGGTGGTATACGCATCCGTGGTGGGTCCGCGGAGGTACTCGGTGCTATACCTGAGCAACACCAATGGGTCCTTGATGGCGCCACCAGCATGATCAAGCACTTCACAGAGTTCCTTCCCGACATGGATCTTGCCTTCAACTTAGGCAGCGAGCCCCGTGTTGCAGTACCCTTCGATCGCCTACAAAACGCCCTGCGCAATCCGCAACGATACCCCAGTCCCGATCCGTCTCGCGCCCGACTTGACTTTAGTGTTGACCGTGCAGATAGATGGCCCAACGTCGACAACATACGAAACGATCCAAACTTTTTCGAAAATGCTCAGTTCAAGCCCTCTTTCCAGACGCATGGTTCCGTGGCTTGTTCTTCCGAATCTCGCGCGCGCAAAGAGCGTCATTGGAACACGAAGATATTCTGCCACACTTGTAGTACACCACACTCTATGGGCGCTTTCGTGTCAAATTGGAGCATGGCTGCGGATTTGTGCCACCAACCGGACATCGCAAACCTTCACGGCGTCTATCTCAGTCCGGCAAATCTTACAGCCACCCACGGCATTGTTCCAATCTTCAGCCAGAGTCGCGCCGCCGGATTCGTTGATATTCGGTACCCTTCACCGTGGAACTATCTAGGAAAGTCGAAGTACGATTTCGACGAAAAGTATCCTGATCCTCCTTTCCAACAGAAGGAGGATATCCTCTTCTGGCGCGGTCCTGCAGAAGAAGGTATAAGCACAGCTGGAACCTGGAAGGGCATGCTTCGCCAACGTCTCGTGCACTACTTAAACTTCAACACGACTGCCAGGTTGCCTATGTTCCTTCCTAAGGGCGACCACACCGACAAGCTCGAGTATATCATGAAGCGTAGGTCCGACGTCAAGAATATGCTGGAAACGAAGATCGACGCTCAATTCACCGAGCTCAAGCACTGTACTGGCCAAGATTGCATCGATCAGTCTCGCGAGTTCAAGGCTGTCGACGATATCGACATCAGACAACATTGGCGCTACAGGTATCTCTTCGACGCTGATGGCGCTGGCTTCTCGCGTCACTTTCTCCCTTTTCTGCAAACGAACTCTGTCGTTCTCAAATCTGGCATATTCCGTGAATGGTATGACGATCGCCTGGTTGCTTGGAAGCACTTTGTGCCAGTCGATCTGAGACTTCACGATCTCTTCTCTATTGTCGCCTACTTCGGCGGCTATGGCGTTGAAGAAAGGAGTAAGAGAATGATGGAAGGGAGGCCGAAGGAAGCTGAAGCCATCGCGCGCCAGGGCAAGGTCTGGACAGAAAAGGTCTTGAGGAAGGAGGACATGGAAGTCTACATGTTCCGGCTGCTGCTTGAGTGGGGACGCTTGACCGACGACAAGAGGACGGAGATCGGTTTCAGGATGAGTAGGTAGTGGTGAGACATAGATGAGTTACATCGTGCCGTTAGCGTAGCATTGCGTGGTCTACTTGGAAATGGCAACATTATCGTCTCTTTCTGCACACGGTCGGGCTACGGAGTATCAGTAGTGTTGCGATTCTCTGTAACAATCTTCGTAACGCAGCAACATACATGCCAATAAGTATATAATCGTTCTTCCTGCAGATCATCACTACCAGATCTATAATTCTTTCCTCGTCACATATCACTACATGTCCCTGTGGACTAGAAACAGAATAGGACTCTCTCTGCTTAGGCCGACTAGTGTCCTTAGATTTTGCACACACTTACATCCCTCTACTCAATCTTGTAGCCGCCACAGATGTCTCACCAAACCTTAGGCCCAGTTGCTCCCGACTATATAAGCACGTATATAACAAGTCGACGGAAGGTTCTATACAATATCCGGCAACCGGGTTTCTCACTAACTCAGTAAAGAGATTTAGAATGTCATCTCAGTTTGTTGCGGCATACACATGTCCTTCAAACTAGCTTGTCACATGAAACACACACCAGCACAACAGGTACTTAGAAAGATGCAGGCTAATTGCAGGAGCACAAAACGGCAGTGAACAAGGCCAGGGTCACTGGCGTCGGGACCACCCCATCGAAAAGGGATGCTTAATTGGGCGACACCACAATCAAGGCGCCCATCGACGTCATCACCACAGACCCCTACGCGGCCACGCCATAGCGGGAGCGGGACCGCGGGCCGACGAAACACACATCAACGCTCAGCAAGTGGCACAGAGACAGCTACGCACGCGATGAGACAGTGCCTGGTATGTCGAGACCTGCCTTGCGGCTCTATTCTCTACGCAGAGTACATTACAATACATGTCTATCATTGTGCCGGAGCACGGGGGTATCAATGAGAACCACATACGAAACCACATGAAAAGGAAAGGGAGGACATAGGAGACGTCTAGATGCTCGCTGGATGCCGGTCGTGATCATTGCTGGATGTGCGTCGTGAACATGTGGAGCTGGTCCTGCATCTGGGCCGTGTTGCGGAAGTGCTGGGGTTGCGGGTGGGCGAGTGTTTGCTGCGGCGGGGGCTGCTGGTGGTGCGAATGCGGGTGTTGGTAGTGCTGCTCGGCGTGGAGTTGCTGCTGCGTCTGGATCGAGGCTTGCAGGTTGCGCATGCTGAGCGCCGCTACGGGGTTCTGGATGGCGAACTCGACGTTCATTCCCCCGGGGCTTTGTTCGGCGTGGGATGTTGGGCGTGAGCTGTTTCGCGATGTGCTCAGGCGGTTGCCGATCTTGTGCAGTGGTTTGGAGATCACCTGCCCGAGGGATGGTCGGTCGTAGTATTGAGACTCCTCGAATTGAGGCGCAGCATCGAAGTAGCTCGGGTAGTACCACCCAAGTGGATTTGGGGGGGTCTTGTTCTGATCCAAGTATTCGCTTGTTTGCTGTTGCATTTGCTGCTCATTGTCCTGGGCTGGAGTATGGATTTGAGGTGCACTCATATCAAGGTGCATATCTGGTATATGCGGCTGTGCGACATCCAGATAATTGCCCGGGTCTATATCCATATAGCTGATACGACGCTCGCTCGTGTCGACTGTGGGAGAATTTGATTCGCCGAAGGGTGACGACCCGCAATGGTAGTTGGGTGTATGGGTCGTGACGCCGAGTAGAGCAGCGTTCAGGCTCGCCAGCCTAGTCCGAGACAGCTGTACGTTCGAGTGGCCAATTAAAATCTGCATTCGCTGCTCGCGTGACAACTTGTCAACATTTGGGACCGAGTCTCTGCTGGGCGTGACGAAGCCTGTTGGGACCTGCTGATGACCAAGATCCACGACAATATCAGACCGAAGACTCAAAGCTGTAATGAGAACCTCTTCTCGACTCGGCCTGAGATCACAGCACTGTAGTTTCTGTCGCAGGACTCTGGTGTTGTCCGGACACCAGCTAATTTGCGCACGATTTTCCTTCAGCCGTTCATCAAGGCAAGCGATGATCTCCTTCCAAGTCTCATGTAGCGCTTCTTGTCGGATCAGGTTGCGTATCACGTTCGAGTACTTCCACTGCTCGGATGCTGCGCCGTTCTTCATGTGTTTGGCAACGTGATCGCACCGTTCGTCCCAACCAATGCTCACTTCTTTGCATTTGTCAAAGCCACATCCAAAAACTCTTCTAGGCAAAAGAGTGATACCAATATCTGTCAGTGATGGCAGTGGCCGACCGGAGTGGTAGCGTTGATGATGCTTGATGAAATCCTTCTGACGATCAAAGATGCGGCTGCATCCGTTCACAACGCAAGCCCAATCTTCGCCAGTCTCGTGCATCCTTGCTTCGTGTTTCTTCCAGTCGGACTTCGCCTTGAAAGTCTTGAGAGTTTTCTGTTCGGCACAGTAGGTGCAGAACATGTATGATTCGCCTGGTTGGCTCTGACTCTTCTCATCTGAGAACAAGTTTGGCGAGGAAATGCTGACGTCGTCTGTGGGCGTGACACTGTGCTCAACGTGACTATCAAGTGGGCTGCTAATGTCCGAGGCAGGCGTCAGCATGGCAGAAACAGGCGTGGCGTCGAGACCGGCTGGATAGGAACGAGGCTCTGCTCTCCTCATCCTAAAGCGGGAAGAACCTGAAGAGGCAACAGAAGCAGCACTACTCCCGGTGGAGATTGAAAATGACGACGCGATCGATAGTCGAGACCGCCATGATGAGCCGGACGATGACGTAGAGCTCGTTGCTGTAGTGTTCGTTGACGCGAGCGAGGATATCGAGTTGCGACCTACTAAATCTTAGCTCCACAGAGAACGATCGAGATGTGTAGCCTACGAGATTCCATCGTCTGTGCGAACATCCTCTGGATCATCTGCGGGGGATGTCTTGCTAGCAAAGCCTCGATATGCCGCATCGACTCCTCCGGGATCTCGACCTGGTCTTCCATATTGTGAAAACCCCAAGTGACTAGCAGGAACCAGATCTACAAACGGCTCCTCTGAACATGCCGAAAACACCGTTATGCGACCGAACACAATCCGAGTCTTGAATGGAACCGTCTGGTAGTAAAGCGTTATGCATTCGTAGAAGAAGGAGAGGAAAGAAGGGTACCCAAGTAGTATCCGGTAATGTGAGGGGTTAGAAATGGACGAACGTCTCCCCGGACAGGCATCAACTAGTGCTGGCGCAACGAGGTTGTTATATCACATCACCAGATTGCAGCGGGGAGCGCGGGTGGGAATTGTTCTGGAAAAGCCATGGAAGAAGCTAAAACGGAGACCTGGCCGCAGAGGTGCTCGAGCCCCTGCGGTAGTATGACCTAATCCCTGCTGCGAACCCAAAGTTGGGGCAAGGCTGAGGTTGCGACAGTGCGCCAAGATGTAAAGCATGTAACGTGTTTGATGTGCACAGGGTGCTCAGAGGCCAGAAAAGTAACGAACGATAGATCGTGGGCACGTTGGATTAAATGACGCTGGTTGCAGTCGTCTCCGTGCGTTGCAAGAGGTTATTTCAGGCGTTCATGGCCAGGTCTCAGATGAACATCCTCAGGCCTGCCCGGCAGCCCGGTGCGAAGCGAACGATGGCACGGGCCCTGGATTAGAAGAGAGTCGCCTATCACGGGCGCACAGCGTATACTGATGGAGGCTTATGGCGCGCCAGGCCCTTGTAAGGGGTCATGCAGCCGGTTCCTGAGTGACGCGTTGAAGATTCAGCACATCGTAGCGTCTTCGCCGTTGCGGGTGATTTGAATGTCACTGCACCGACTTCGGACCACAGCTGGCCCACCTCGAGATACGCGACCGATGAGGTCGCTCAGAACGCTCTCCGTTACCCGAAGCGTACTGGTGTTCAGCTAGCAATTGATAGATAAGGTAACGGCGACGAATTTGCCTTCAACACGAGGGACCAGTCATTGTGGCGCGCTGACCGGCGCAGTTTCTATTGGACAGCGAGGCCGCGAGCTCAGCGCGAAAATCGCAAGGTTGCACAGCTGCCACTGAGCAATGTCGTATTGACAATTGCCCGCTTTGTTGCGCCATGGATCAACATGAGACGATGTGTAAGGAGTATTGCCCCGAGACAGGAAGGAGGATAAGACTGTGGTTTTCGCACATTAATCGAAATTGCTAGATACCGAGTTACAGGCTAGCGTGTTTCGCGTCATTGAGTATCGCCTGTCGTGTCTACCTCATCGCCAACGGTTTGACCAGGGTCAGGATGTGAGCGGGTACGTTGTTCTGTCCTCATACCCAGCTCGTCTGGCTGAAAAGGTAAAACGGCTCTGGGCAATAAGGCAAGGGAAGGAGCAAAAGGGGCCAACGGTGGTGATCGTCGTTGCCTATCGAGAAGATCACTAAAAGTGGCAAGGACTAGGGCGGCAGAGGGCGCGTGTCGTGAGCGTTGGGATGGTGAAGCAGATGCCTGCTGACGTTCTGTGCTAGCGTGTTGAAGATCTCTACGAAGGTGCGTGATCACCCTCGACCCCTCCCGCCACAGCTCTCCACGACACGACTTTGAAGGACCGTTTGGCAGAGCTTCGGCATTTGTTTGGATGAATCGTGCGTTGAAGGTGCTAGTGTCTATTGGTCTGGGTATCATGATAACTACGAAAGGATGACAGCTAAACTACGAAGAAGAGAAAACGAGTCAGGAAAGAAACGGAGACCGAGGCTCTTTCTCGTCATTCTCTGACTGAGTATGCAGTAAGCAAGATCTTGTCCATGCTAAACTTGCGGATCACGAAGCTGGCTATCAAGGCGCTTGCTGATATGGCGGTCATGAAGATGAAGACGGAGTTGAATCCATGCATGTAAGACTCGAGAATCGCCGTCTTCTCGGCACCTTCTGCCATGACTCGGAGCCTAAAGACATATTGCTCGGAGTCGTGAGCGATCTGTGTGGGAAGACCAAGCGCGAGCAGCTTGCTTGACATAGCATTCTGGAAGACAGTACCGGACAGCTACTGGATGTCAGTCTCAGTATCGGGGGAATCGGGGTTAACTTACTGCGACACCAATAGGCATACCGAGGCTGCGGAAGAACCCATACATGCTTGCAGCCATAGCACAGTCTTCGACCTTAGAGATGGCTTGAATGCCAACATTAACACTGGTCAGAACCATACCCGAGCCAATACCGAACATAGCGAGGGCCACAGCAATGACGACTAGCCTGGTGTGAAGGCCGAAGATGATAAACAAACCACAAGCAATCGTTGTGATGGCCCAGCCAAGCCAGATTGCCCACCTGAATCGCCCGAGCCTTGCAGTCAACACGGCCACAACAATAGAACCGGGGATAAGAAAGCAGACAGCTGGAAACAGGTCGATGCCCGCACTGGTCGGCGATGAGCCACGAACAGTCATGAAGAAAAAGGGAATGTAGTACAGAGCTGTGAAGAGCTGGAGTTTGTCAGCGTGAACTTATTGTCGTGTTGGATAGCACTTACGACGAGGCCATTGACTACAGCACAGTAGAATGCGGAGATAGCTGACCAGTTGTAGAAGATCGACATAGGCAGGAGGCTGTATGGCTTCCTGTACATCTGCCAACCGAGAAAAGCGCCTATGCCTGCAGTACCCACAATGATAGGCGCAAGCGTAGCGGCGGAGGTCCAGGGATGTTGGACACCGCCGAAAGAGAGACCGATGAGGAAGCTGGTGAAACTGCCGATGAAGAGGAGGGCGCCAAGCCAGTCAGTCTGCTTTAACTTTTGAAGGATTGTAAGCTGAGCAGTGGCGTTCATGCGAACGAACCAGCCGGCGACGATGAAACCAATACCGCAGAATGGGTAGTTGATATGGAAGCACCTGGTCATGTTAGTGGAGCTTATCTCTGGTGTCAAGTACAACTCACCAGCGCCACGAGGCATTCTCTACTAGAGAACCGCCCACTACCGGCCCAACTATGCTTCCAATGGACCATGAACCGAGGACCATGGCGAAGTATTTTGGCCGCTGTCTTAACGGTACGATGTCGCAGAAGATCACTTGAGTGATGGTGATGATGCCACCACCGCCAATGCCCTGAATGGAGCGTCCTGTAAGCAAGACAGTAAAATCATGGGCAACCGAGCAGAGAATGGTGCCGACAGTGAACTGGGTTTGTTAGCCATGTACACGTATGACGCACAGCATACATACGAAGGTCAAGGAGAGCAAGAGCATCTGCTGACGGCCGAAGTTGGAGGAGATCGAGGCAATGACTGGCTGAAAAATGGCAGAGGTCAAGAGACTGGGAGGTTGTCAGCTCATATTCATGTTCCACGGTGAACTACTTACTACGATGTACCTGCCCAAAACGCTTCCGCCGAAGTCCCATCCAGGGCTTGTGCGATTTCCTGTCCGACGTTAACAACCGGCGCCCAGCGATCCCGCGGAGTACGTACCGGTAGCACAGTAACGAGAACAGTGGCATCCAATGCAACCATCAACGAGATGAAGCTCAGACTGATCATCACCAGCAACTCATTCTTTGTAGGCTTCCAATCCAAAGGTGCTGCTGCCTCACCCTTGGCCTCGACGTCGTAACTCATGCTTGAGCCAGAAGATAGGTATGATGATGCTGGTCGCTTATCAGGAAGGTCTGTCGAGGCCCTCACAGGTAGAGGTAGAGGTTGAACAGGATGAGCAGCTAGAGCCTCCCTTTGAGAGGGCGTCGCGGGCCTTTCTAGAGAGTCGAAAGCAGCAGCATCGACTGTGAACACTGGTCAGATAAAAATGGACGTATTGAAGTTGCACATGCATACCGTTAGCCGATGAACCCGCCTCGGACAAAGAAGTACACGTTGAGATTCTCGTTGCACCCGTCTCTGTATCGCTCCATGTAGAGCCATTGCTAGTGTTCCCTGACGCCATGACGCGAAATGTGTGGGAGTATAATCGATTGACTAGTCAACACCCTGATGAAAGTCGAAGGCTTCTAATTCTACTGCGCAGTGAATTGCTCGACGCAGCTTGATATATATCAAACCATATGCCAGCTTCTGCGGTACAGAAATAGGTCCGTCGATCTTTGACGGGACCACATCACCTTTGCGTGCTGTTTGCATAGCAACTAACACTATCCGACCGACTCCAGTCCCACTGGCGCGTATCTGTGGCTTACACAAGATGAGCTGCAGACGGATTGCCCGAAGCACACATGGTGATTCTGGAAGCTACATCCATTCGCTTGCAAACATGCATAAATGCGCAGCACAAAGGAATGCTTCGACAGCTGATGGTACATGACGGCTTGAAGCCGGTACCAAGCATCGGCTGTAAGCTCAGCCTTGCTTCGAAGCCCGCCAATCACAGTTGGCCGTCAGCTCGATAAGGCAAGGTCTGGACCCACTTCGCGGGAACTGGCTGGCGTTCGCTCACCGAAAGTGCACCCCTCAGCTCTCAAAATATCCCACCATCCTGCACGATTTTCTCCCTCAGCCGCAGCAGCCAACCCCACGTGCAGATGGCGGCTGTCGACGAACGTGCTGCGGAAACTCTATATGCACGCCTGGATCCTACATGCCGAACCAAGCACCAAGATCTGTGCGATAGCGCTATCGTGTGGCAGCTGTAGCCGCACGCCATGCTGCTTTGGTGGCTCGGAGTGCCCGTTCGAGAACGCTCGGTCGAAGCTGCGGCTCTCTCGCTGTAGACGAACGCTTCTTTCCTCCTCAATAGAACCTCGATAGGGACGATCTATCCCCAAAAGGGGTGTTCACAAGCGATTTGTGAAGAAGCAATTGACCTACCAAAGACCGGTATGTGCAGGCTAGCACAGCTCTGCTGCATACGAGCGCCTCCATATGAACAACAACGCCGTACGGGCATCAAGATGGTCGAGACTATACGTCGGTATTGCCGTGAAATTGCATGGCTACAGCAAGGCTCAGCTTATCAATTTCAGAGCCATGTTTGTGCATTAGCTGATTGGCAGCGCCTATTCATGGCCATGAGTGTGTGAGTAAACATAAGATCTACATAAGCACATGTCTCGGTAACCGTGAAGTACGAGCAACATCAGGTCTGATCATCACGTTTCTCTATCTTTTGGTCTTAATTCGAGTCCATTGACTTCGAGTCAACTCGTTCTGCACTTCACCTTCGTCTTTCAATCTTGTCACAATGGTAGAAACAACACCATACAATGTCATCCCAGGGTTTGAACTCATCGCGCCAACAATATGGGACCGCATACCCTCGACACCATCCACACCCACAGAAGACACATCAGCTCCGTCCCTCATTCTCCTCATGACATGGACCGGAGCCCACGGCCGCCATATCTCCAAGTACGCCGAAGAATACGCAACCATGTTCCCCTCCGCCCACATAATGGTCATCACCACCTCCGCCGCCGACCTGATCTTCCGCAGCCCCAGGCGGAAACAACACCGCCTCGCGCCCGCTGTAAAATACATCTCCAACCTGCAACACCTCCCCTGCCGCAACACCGGCATCCTGATGCACGTCTTCTCTGAAGGCGGCAGCAACAAAGCCTGCGAGCTGGCCACCGCCTACCACAACACCACCGGCGCCCGCCTCCCCCTCTGCGCCCTGTACCTCGACAGCACGCCCGGCCACCCACGCTACCTGCGCCTGTGCAGCGCCCTCGCAAAGTCCTTCCCGCCCATCCCCGTCCTCGCGCAACTCGCATCCCTGATCGCCTCCATCCTGCTCGGCGCCGTGTGGATCCTGTACAACCTCGTCGTCGGCTACGCCAACAACCCCGTGACGCGCGCGCGCACCCTGCTCCTGGATCCCGTGCTCTTCGACCCCGCGCTGCCGCGCTGCTACCTGTACTCGCGCGCCGACGCGCTCATTGCGTGGCAGGACGTGTACGAGCACGCGGGCGCGGCGATGGAGCACAGCGGCCGCATCACGGAGGTGGTGTTCGAGGACTCGCCGCACGTGGGGCATGTGCGGGCGGACCCGGCGCGGTACTGGGGCGCGGTGGGCGAGGTGTGGCGCGGGAGTCGGGAGCCGCTGGGTGGCGAGAAGGGCACGAGGGCTGCGGGCGGGCTGCGGGCGTCGCTGCCGTTGTTTGATTTCGAGGACGGCGGCGAGGGCGGCGACGATGTCACGATTTGTGTGCCGGAGAAGGCGTTTATCAAGAAGAAGAGCTGGAGCAGCGCGGACTCGCAGATCACGCTGTTGCCGAGTTTGCCGGCGTCGCCGTCGCTGGAGAAGATGAGGGCGGTGGAGGAGCGGTTGGTGAGGGATGGGTTTATGTAGACAGCTCTTTTCTTGCGTGTTCTAACATCCTTCTCTCTGCACATTTGTAACCAAGATACCCGGCGCAACGCCTCTCCTACGTAGATGAAAGACGTAGACTGCACGTAGCAGATCTACAATACCAGACCTACAACACCAAACCTGCAACGCCAGACTCAAACTGCCATACACAACTCCTAGACTTGAACTGCCCCCCCTCCCCCCCTGTTACAACCCACCCCAAACCCTTCACCAAAACACCACCCGCCCAATCCACCCGCCCAATCCACCCCCACCACATCACCCACACAACCGCAACACCGCCCCCAAACCCCCGCCAGTGCGTAAGCACACCACCCGCCCCACCTTCCCCACCCACACCCGTCAGCACACCCGCTAACGGGCTGCATGTCAGATATCAGATGTCAAGGGAGCGGGAGCGGGGAGTTATGGGCCAGTAGGGGGGGTACTAGTGATTATGGAGTATGGATTATGGATTACCACTGCGTTGTTTTCTCCTAGTGGGGGGTTAGCAGTGATGGTGGTGGTGGTGGTGGTATCTCAGCAGTCGGTGTGGAAACCCGGGATGGAGGTACAGCGACGCAGACAGGATGCGGGAGCGTGACCGCGGTGTGTTTTGGGGGCTGCGAGAGTGCTGCCGAAACGGGGTTTCCCGGACGCTGTGCGGTTCTGTGACGTCGGGCGCTGTGGCGTGGCGACAGAAGTATGATAGCGGCTGGTGACGGGCTGCCCATTGAAGACTTGAGGTTGGATCCGTTCACGACACGAGACAGGTGGTAGAGAACGGTCCGTTGGGAGCGGTCATGGTATCCAGGATCTGCGGCGGTGCAGGCAGGAAGGTGTCTTCCCTGGGATTATTATACACGGGGATACTGACGCAGCGTTTGCATCTTTCTATCCGTGTTGTAGCGTGTACCGTTGGTTGTCGGAGGATGCGGACTAACCTACGGATGCTATATGGGTGCAGTGTGTACGTGAGCGTGCCAGTGTACTAGGTACAATAGCCAGCGCTGCAAGTGCGTGGTTTCTACCTGTAGTAAGGCCCTGCATTCTGCCAAACCAGTAGGTATCGAACATCCGCTGCCGGGTATGTACGCAGGGACTCCGCGGATATTCTAAATCAGAGTCTCGGATATAGGTAATGTGGTCCGCACATGGCGTCGACTACACCGTTACAGCGCAAGAGGGAGTCAAAACCCACCCACCCACCACGCTTCCCGCCTACCAGAGATTCAACAGAGCAGCAGTCTGCCATCGTAGCACGCACCCTCCGCCCAGCAGATTCCACGACCCCCCACTCCCGCACAACACCTCGAGACTCGATAGCGCCGACGACTAACTCTCTTGCTACAGCATCCCATCACCGAGCACCCCAGAGTACTTAGCACCTTGCACAGACTCGCGGCTTCTGCGCTCCCTATCTACGCGGCTACGCCCTCCCGAGGCCGTTGGGGGTATTGCTTCGGGGTGGGATCGGTGCTGGGGAAGGGGGTGGGTGCGTGGACACCCTTGATTTGCAGGGAGTGGGTCCATGGGCTGGACCGATGGGCTCGACTTGGGGGCGTGGCGTCGAAGCTTGGTGTAGAAGCTTGCTTGATGTAGAAGCTCCATGTAGACGCTCCATGTAGACGCTCGACCGGACCCTGGCTCTAATACTTCACCACCTACAGCACCTACAACCCACACCAACCATCCCCACAATCCAGCCCCAGCCAACCGAGCCACGCACCAGCACCCAGTCCCCAAGCCCCCCAGCTGCGACCAGCGCGCGCATCGGGTCCGGGAACACGTGCTGCATGCACGGACGGGAAGGCGGGGGAAGGGGGTGTGGTGTGCAGCGGAAGCTGTCCTTGCAGCGGGCTTGGGATAGAGGACGGGGGCGGGGACGGGGCGGATGCTGTATAGTGTTGAGGAGGCGGGGGGGGGGGGGGGGGGGGGCGGTATGGTGCAGTGGTGCGGGCAATGGGACGGGACGGGATGGGATGAGGGGGCATAGGTGTTTTGCACTGTCCTGCACTGCACTACACTGCACGACCGCGTACACAGCGTCCGCAGACCAATCCACAGTCCACAGTCCACAGTCCACAGTCCACAGACCACGATCACAGACCACGATCACAGACCACGATCACAGCTCGCAACAAGTCAGAGCGAACAGCCACGCATCACTCATCACTTATCACAAAAACCAGCGTGTCGTCAGGATCAAAAGATCAGGAGATAGGGAGACAGCCATTCTATTCGCACACCAGGCACCAAAACGCCCGCGCACTCCGCCGTCTACAGCGATCCAACAATGAACACAAACATACCACGTTAACACCCACCGTCCGGGGGTGCGGTGTCAGAGGCGGCTTAGGAGGGGGGGGGCATCACGTTAACCCGACGAACCCGCAGATTCGCCGGGACAGCGGTGACTTTTAGTGGCGAGGGGCTTAGTCCTCGGTTGCGGGGGCGACGGCGGGCAGATCGTCGATCGCGGATGAGAGGGTGAGGGCGGTGAAGCCGTCGGGGGTGATTTTCATGGCGCCGGCCTGGACGAGCTGGGGAAGTCAGTATGCTGCCGAAGGATGGAATAAGGAGGGGAGACGTACAGCGCGGCTCAGATCATCAATCAGATCATCCGCGTCCTCGATGCCGACGCACAGCCGGATGATGTCCTCGGGCATGTTGCGCTCGCGGCGCGTCTTCTCGTCAATCGACGCGTGGCTCATGCGGCACGGCATGCTGATCAGCGAGTTGACGCAGCCAAACGACACGCTGATGGCCCACAGCTTGGCGCTCTCGACGATGCGCTCCGACACGGCGGTGTCGCCCGTCTCAAACGACAGCACCGCGCCCGCGCCCCGCGCCATGCTCCAGTGCAGGTCGTACTGCGGGTGCGACTTGAGCCCCGGGTAGCGCACGCGGAAGCCGTGGGCCTCGAGGAAGGTGGCGATGCGCATCGTGTTGGCCTGCTGCTTCTCCATGCGCACGCCCAGCGTCTTGATGCCGCGCAGCAGCAGCCACGAGTCGAAGGGCGAGAGCCCGCAGCCCGACGCGTTGATGGTGAAATACAGGCGGTCGCTGAGCGCCGAGTCGTTGATGGCGATGACGCCGGCCATCAGGTCGTGGTGCCCGGAGAGGTACTTGGTGCCGGACTCGTAGACGATGTCGGCGCCGAGGTCGAGCGGGTTCATCAGCATGGGCGACATCATGGTGTTGTCGACGCAGACGATGGCCGAGGGGTTGGCGGCGTGGGCGGCGCGGGCGAGCGAGGGGATGTCGCAGATCTTGATGAGCGGGTTGGTCGGGGTTTCGAGCAGAACCAGCGCCGTCTTGCTGTTGAGGACTTTCTCGACGGCCGCGGGCGTCGTGGTGTCGACGTGGTGCACGACAATGCCGCCGTGGGTCGACAGGTACTTGAGCAGGCGGTTGCTGCCGCCGTACAGGTCGTCGCCGGTCACGACCTCGTCGCCGGGGCGCAGCAGACGGGTGACGACGTCGAGGGCGCCCATGCCGGAGCCGACGACGAGGGCGCGGTTCGCGTTCATGATCTTGGCCAGATGGCGCTCGAGGTGGGTCCGCGTCGGGTTGCCGGAGCGCGTGTAGTCATACTCGCCGCCGCCGCCACTGGCGGACGTCTGCTTGAAGGTGGCAGACTGGGGGGTCAGCGCGGCCTACACTCAATTGCTCGGACAGCATACCTGGTAGATGGGCACGGAACTGGCATTGTACTGGTCGGTGCTCTCGGTGTAGACGAGCTCGGTCGCGAGCGCATACTTCCTGCCGGCGTTGCGAGGTGTGCTCGGTGCCGGTGAAGGGGGCAGATTGTGGCCGTCGATATCGAGCACAGGGCCCTTGCTCTTGGAGCTTTCGCCAGCCATTTTTTGTGTTGTGCGTCCGAAAGACGGACTTGCGGCGTCGGGTGGTGTTCAATCTTCTTCCGAGTCCGCTATCGGTGATGATGTAATGCAATGGATTCGCCGCTGAACGACAAAGAGGCCCAAATGTTGAATGTGGGAGAATTGATGACAGGAAGATTGGAGGTACTTCAACAAGTAGCAAACCTCACGTCGTCGCAAGGTACATTAGCGCAGGCGTGTTTGACGTGGAGTCACCGCTGATGGCGTGCTCGACACTGGTCGCGATTCGTCGGCAGTTCTGCGACATTCCGACGACGGCGTATTTTACCCCAGATCGAACGACGACCCCGAGCCTCCACCGCCCGAAGATAGAGCGAGCGACCTGGTCTTGATAATAGACTTTCTTGCTTGCACAAGCGTTCATCGTTGATTGCAAGGTTATGTATGGCTATCTCTCGGGGTATATTCCCCTTTTGCCACTGTACAGCGATAGAAAATACACATAAGAATAGGTTCCAAAAAGCGCTGTGCGCCGTTCCCGCTGAGCCAAATGCCATCCAACATACCCATATATTAGAAGAAGGAAAGTTTTTGCCGAAGACGACCATTACTCGAGTTTTTGCTGAAGACGACATTACTCGAGTTTTTGCTGAAGACGACATTACTCGAGTTTTTGCTGAAGACGACCATTACTGTAGCTTTTGCTTGCTCCTCACCGAGGACTGATTGCGGGAAAGCCCTTGCGCGCGTGCAGATTCATCTTGAATTCGAAGATGCCCTCTTCCGTTCCACAGTACAGCGTTCGCCCATCCTGGCTCATCGCGATACCCGCCGTGCGCACGCCCTGACTGGGGTCGTGCGTGCTGCGACTAACCCTCCGCAGACCTAGACTGAACTCGTACGCCTCGCTCGATAGCTGGCTGGCACGTTCGTTGCGGAGGCGTTCGCGCACTTGTGTAAGCTGGCGCAGACGGCGCAGTTCGCTGCGGAGCTCGGGCGCCGTCGGATTGCTGGCAGCCGGGGTGGATGAGCTTGTGCGCGTTGGGTTGGTGGCCAGCGCCGCTTGGATGGTGCGCCACGCGTTGTCGGTCGAGGTGATGATTTCATTCCGTGTTTGCGAATTCATCGCATTTGGTGATCTCGTGGTGACAGCATCGGTGATGTTAGCTTGTGCATGGGGTGGCACATTGACTGTGCCTTCGTTGATGGAGACGATGATCGAGGCTTGACGACGAGGCGCCGTTCGCTCTCCAAGCGAGCGATTCGTTGGCCGGAGACTTTCTGAGAGGAGGTCGTCAAGGAGATCAGAAGGCATGTCTCGGGCGGCGGTCCGTTCCCTGAGCAATATGTCAGCTCTCAAGCCAACGCTGTTCAGCTCGCGCGCAGCGTACCGTGCAGCTTCTACGTGTCCCGCGGTCGTGTAGTTGATGCTCCTGGGGCGAACCCCGTCAGACTGCTGTGCCTCCAACGCATGGCGGGATGTGCGCAGTGACTCCAGGATCCGCCGTTCGTCGGACGACAGCCCATGCGGATCGTTGTCAGACTCGACGACGCCGAGACGTCGCAGAGCCCGCCGTCGCTCCGAGTCTGCCTGGAAGTATTCGTTGGCAGTTTCGACGGCTGCCTGCGTCCCTTCGGAATCCAGGGTGCGCCGGTACCTGCGGATGAAGTCGGCTTCTCTGTTGAGGTCAGACACAGGCGGGGGCATGGTTAGATCGAAATCGGCAATCTCGAGCTTCTCGAGTCCCTCTTCTCGCGGGTCCAGGGTCAGTATCTGCTTCTCTTTGAGCCCGGACCGTAGGTCGGCGATACACACCCGGCCCTGGTCCTCGCTCCAGATCAAAAAGTCCCACGGCGCTGGAGAGAACTGCATTGTGCGCACTGCGCCAGCACCTGTGCACACATCCGGCCGGGTCGAGCTGATGACGTCAAGAATAGCGTCCTCGCCGTACTCGGCAACCTTCAGGTAATCGACATCGAAGACGGTGATGTAGCCGCACTCGGAGCCCACGGCGCAGAGACGGCCCGAGGGTGACCATGCGGTTGTGAAGTAGCCTTCGGCGCACTGGCTGGACGGTATGTACAGGGCCACTTCCTCGAACAGCTTCCACTCGGGCGGGACCGAGTTGATCCGATCGCTCGGTTCCTTCCAGCCGCTGGGCCGCGCGGGCCCCGGGAGCTGGCGCTCGAAGAAGAAGCCGGTCTGCTGGTCGCCGACGGCGATGAGGAAGCTGCCGTCAGGCGATATGGTGGCGTGGTTCATGGCAATGGGCAGGTCGATGCAGCACAGCTCGAGGCTGTCCAGCAGCGAGTAGATGCGCACCGACTTGTCGTTGTTGGTGAGCACGGCGACGACATCGTCGCGGGCGTCTGCGGTGGCGGCCGGCAGCTTGTGTATGGAGATGGAGTTGACAATGTCCTCGCCAATCTTCTCGAGCTGCACGCGGCGGGCGGTGGTCAGCAGCGGCGGGCGGGCGAGGCGGCGGGCTAGGTCGAGCGGCAGCGACGCATCGACGGCAGCGCTGACGGGGTCGTCGAGCGGGGGGAAGCCGGCGACGCTGATGGCGGCAAAGTTGCCGTGGTCGGCGCCGCCCACGCACACGAAGCCGTAGGCCGAGGCGGTGCAGCGGGCCTCGAAGGGCAGGGTGGTGACGTGGGCCTGGGTCTGGGTGGCGGCGTTGAGGCAGAAGACGTCGCAGCCGCTGGCGTAGTAGACGAGGTCCTGCTCGGGCGAGCTGATGAAGTGCCGCAGCTGATAGTGTCTGCGCCCATTAGCCCACGGGCGGTCGGGGGAGGCGGTCGGCTCACGCGATGGGGATCTTGGTGGGATAGTAGGCCTTGTCGGGCAGCACGAAGGCGTCCGTCTCTCGACTCAGGAAGTCACCGACGGCCATGGTGGTGTCAGGTCGACGGCGGCATGTCGCTGCGCCGGGTGTGAGGAGCGCTGGGGCGGTACGTCGGGGCGGTACGTCAGGGCGCGCGGTGTGCAGCTGTCTGGCGCGCGGTGTGCAGCTGTCTGGCGCGCGGTGTGCAGTTGACTGGGGCTACCGGCGCGCAGTGCGTGAGCGTTGTGCACTTTGAGCAGCGAGGTGGCGGGGCGTGGGTGCACTCGATGTCGTGCCTCACGTTGCGCCCGTCTGAAGCTGTTCCCCACAGCGAGTACTGAGCGGCGCACCGACCGCGGCGCTCTGCAGCGCACCGACCACCAACGACGCATACTTCGCGATCGATGCCGGCGCCAAGCCTGCTGCCAGAACCTTCGCTCTGAACTTTTTTGCCGGCCCAAGCTCCATCGCCATCATATAATCCACCATCCATCCCCATTGCGCCGCTTCCGTCTTCCTTCACAAGTTGCCTCATCACCAGCAGCGCCGCACATCCCTCACAATGCTGTCCTCGAGATTATCACGGACTGTAAGTCTTTGCGCTACTGCTCCATCGATCCCTACTGACCTCATCGCAGTTCGCGCCGCGCGTGGCCTCTGCTGCCCGCCGCACTCCCATCAATGCGCGCCCCTTCAGCTCCACATTCGCCCGCCGCGAGGAGGAGAAGGTCAAGGGCTCCGTCATCGGTATTGATCTGGGCACAACCAACTCGGCCGTCGCCGTCATGGAGGGCAAGGTCCCTCGCATCATCGAAAACTCTGAGGGTGCGTCATCTCATCTGCTCATCATCTCCCTTCATCACTAACCATCACAGGTGGCCGCACAACACCTTCCGTCGTCGGTTTCACAAAGGAGGGCGAGCGTCTCGTCGGTATCGCCGCCAAGCGCCAGGCCGTCGTCAACCCCGAGAACACGCTCTTCGCGACCAAGCGTCTGATCGGCCGCAAGTTCACCGATGCCGAGGTCCAGAAGGACATCCAGCAGGTTCCCTACAAGATCGTCCAGCACACCAACGGTGATGCCTGGCTCGAGGCCCAGGGCCAGAAGTACTCGCCCTCGCAGGTCGGTGGCTTCGTCCTCGGCAAGATGAAGGAGACCGCCGAGTCCTACATGGGCAAGAACGTCAAGAACGCCGTCGTCACCGTCCCCGCCTACTTCAACGACTCCCAGCGTCAGGCCACCAAGGACGCCGGTATGATTGCCGGTCTCAACGTCCTCCGTGTCGTCAACGAGCCCACCGCCGCCGCCCTTGCCTACGGTCTGGACAAGGCCACTGACAACGTTGTCGCTGTCTACGATCTCGGTGGTGGTACCTTCGATATCTCCATCCTCGAGATCCAGAACGGTGTCTTCGAGGTCAAGTCGACCAACGGTGACACCCATCTCGGTGGTGAGGACTTCGACATCACCCTCGTCCGCCACCTCGTCCAGCAGTTCAAGAAGGAGCAGAACATCGACCTCAACAACGACCGCATGGCCATCCAGCGTATCCGTGAGGCCGCTGAGAAGGCCAAGATTGAGCTGTCGTCGTCGTCGCAGACCGACATTAACCTGCCCTTCATCACCGCCGACGCTTCCGGCCCCAAGCACATCAACCAGAAGCTCACCCGCGCTCAGCTCGAGAAGATGATGGATCCTCTCATCTCCAAGACCATCGACCCTGTCCGCAAGGCCCTCAAGGACGCCAACCTGACTGCCAAGGAGATCTCCGAGGTCATTCTCGTTGGTGGCATGACCCGCATGCCCAAGGTCACCGAGTCAGTCAAGAGCATCTTCGGCCGCGACCCCCGCCAAGTCGGTCAACCCCGATGAGGCTGTCGCCATCGGTGCTGCGATCCAGGGTGCCGTCCTTGCCGGTGAGGTCACCGACCTCCTCCTGCTCGATGTCACTCCCCTGTCTCTCGGTATCGAGACCCTCGGTGGTGTCTTCACCCGTCTGATCAACCGCAACACCACCATCCCCACCAAGAAGTCCCAGGTCTTCTCCACCGCCGCTGACTTCCAGTCGGCTGTCGAGATCAAGGTCTACCAGGGTGAGCGTGAGCTTGTCCGCGACAACAAGCTGTTGGGCAACTTCCAGCTTGTCGGCATTCCTCCGGCCCACCGCGGTGTGCCCCAGGTCGAGGTCACCTTCGACATTGACGCCGACTCCATCGTCCACGTCCACGCCAAGGACAAGTCCACCAACAAGGACCAGTCCATCACCATTGCCTCCGGCTCTGGTCTCTCCGACTCTGAGATCGAGTCCATGGTCCAGGACTCTGAGCGTTACGCCGAGCAGGACAAGGAGCGCAAGAACGCCATTGAGGCCGCCAACCGCGCCGACTCGGTCGTCAACGACACCGAGAAGGCCCTCAAGGAGTTCGAGGACCGCCTCGACAAGACCGAGGCCGAGAAGATCAAGGAGAAGATCACCGCCATGCGTGAGTTCATCGCCCAGTCCCAGTCTGGCGAGGGCACTGCCACCGCCGCTGAGATCAAGGAGAAGACCGACGAGCTCCAGAACGCCTCCCTGAGCCTCTTCGACCAGATGCACAAGGCCCGCAACGAGAGCCAGAACCAGGAGCAGAAGCCCGAGGGTGAGGCCGAGGGTGAGAAGAAGCAGTAAACGCTTCACCACTCGCTCCGTTTCGTCTTTCCATTTAATGCAGCAAAAGCAGGCGTCTTGCATCCGGTCACGGTCGGTCTGGGTTGGGTCTTCTAGACTTGTACATTTCCCCTACTAACGTGTTTGAACATCTTGTACCTATACCTCTCTTCGGTTTCTCTTCTCAGCGTTTGTTTTACTACTTGTAACTGCCCTTTATTCGACACTTGGGTCCTGTCCTGATAACGAGATATGGGTGCGGAATACCACGGCGGATGTGGACGGGAATGGACGCTGTAATAGCTGACGACTGTACAACATAGATGGCTGCGACATGTCGACGACATGCTCTCCGCTCTCGCAATCTGTTTGAACTTGAACTTGAACTTGTTGTCGCTTGTGATTTGGTAATGCAATGTGATGGTGAAGTGTTGTGGATTGGGTCGAGTCACGGCTAAGTGTGGCATGCGCTTTCGGCTACAATATGGATCTTGCGACGACCAAGAATTGTAGCTGGTCCGACTGAGCAAGAGTTGTAGCTCGTCTTACACTCAGCAAGAGTTGTAGCTGGTCTTATACCAAGCAATAGTTGTAGCTCGTCTTACACTGAGCAAGAGTCACAGTCAACCCCACATAAACCAAGAGCCGCAGTCGATCTCACACAAATCAAGGGTTGTAGTCGCTCTGACAGGGCAGTCTTACACCAACCAAGACCTGTAGCTCGTTCTAAACGAATCAAGATAATCTGACCTTATACCAAGCAAGAGTTGTAGTCAATTCTGCACGAAGCAAGACTTGTAGTCAATCATACATAAACTAAGAGCTGCAGTCAATCCTGCAAACCGAGAGCTTCAGTTAATCTCACACTAGCCAAGAGTTGTAGTCAATTCTGCACGAACCAAGAGTTGTAGCTGACTTTATACTAACCAAGATTTGTAGCTCGTCTAACACTAAGCACAAGTTGTAGCTTGTCTTCCAACAAGCAAGAGTTTCCTGCACAAACCAAGACTTGGAATCACTCTCACATAGTGTTACACTAGTCAAGAATTGTAGCTCGTTTGATACCAAGCAAGAATTGTAGTCCATCTCACACAGCGCCACACGAGCCAAGAATTGTAGTCGGTCTTACACAAACCAAGACTTGTAGTTTATTCTAACACAGTCTCACACCAACCAGAAATCGTACCTCTACACCAACCAAGACCTACACCCCACCCCCCACCCCAACCCCCCTCACGGCGCCGTCCTCCCCTCCACATCCCCCCTCTCCCCCGTCTTCTCCTTTAGCTTCTCCTCCCTTAACTCCCGCTTAATCCTCGACACCGTCCCCGCACCCCCGTAGATCATCGCCGTGTACACCTGCACGACGCTCGCGCCGGCGTCGAGGACGGCGCGCGCCTGGGCGCCGGTGGTGATGCCGCCGGTGGCGAAGATGACTTTGCGCGGGCCGGGGGTGGATGGGGCGGGGGAGGCGGGGGAGAGAGATGTGGATGAGGGGGCGGAGGTGGAGAGGTCGTCGAAGGCGGTGGGGTCTGCGTCTGCAGGCGCGGGGGCTGCGTGTGGGGTTGGGGTTGCAGACGAGGGCGACTCAGACGAGGGCGACTCGGGCGACGGGCGTGCAGGCCCCGCGTCCAGCGCGCGCCGGTACCGCGCGACCAGCGCCCGCGTGCGCTCGAACAGCTGCGGGCCCGAGTATCCACCTTGCTCGAGCAGCAGCTTTGCCTCGGCGGGCGGCAGCGCGTAGCCCGCGGGCAGCGGGTCCGGGCGGCGGTTCGTCGTGTTGCCGACAATCACGCCGTCGACGCCGGACGCCCACACGGCGTCGACGATGCCCGAGACCTGGGCGGGCGAGTCCTCGTCGGGGGAGACTTTGACCATGACGGCGGGTTTGGTTTTGCGCGGGAGGGCGTGCACGGCGGCGACGACGCCGGTCAGGAGGCGGGTCAGCGGCTCGGTGTTCTGCAGAGTGCGCAGGCCGGGGGTGTTGGGCGAGGAGACGTTGACGACGAGGATGTCGGCGTAGGGGCCGACGTGGGCGACGGCGGAGGCGTAGTCGTGGACGACGGCGTCGATGTCGGTCTCGGGCGTGGTTTTGTTCTTGGCGACCTGCACGGCGAGCAGGCGGCCCTGCTTGAGCGAGCCGGGGGGCACGTTGGCGTCGCCGTTGAGCACCGCTTGTTCGGCGGCCGCGCCCAGCCCCAGACCCGCGTGGTATGCGAATTCGCGCACGCGCTGGCGCAGGCGCAGGGCCACGGCTTCGGCGCCCTCGGAGTTGAAGCCGTAGCGGTTGATGAGGGCGTTTTGGCTGGGGAGGCGGAAGACGCGGGGCTTGGGATTGCCGTCCTGCGGGCGCAGGGTGATGGCGCCGACCTCGACGATGGCGGGGCCGAGTTCGAAGAGAGGCGTGGGGATCTCGGCGCCCTTGTCGATGCCGGCGGAGGTGCCAACGGGATTGGCGAGTGTGTGGCCGAAGACCTCGACGGCCAGGTCGCCCTTTGTGTCGGCGTCGCCGCGCTCGCGGGGGTTCAGGCCGAAGCGGTGCAGCGCAGCCAGTATGCGCGTTCCCGCATGGTGTGCGTCCTCGCCATCAGGGTAGATCTGGCGCAGGGCGGGCACAACGAGCCATTCGTGGATGCTGGAGCGGGTGTCGGTGCCGTAGAGGTAGCCGAAGGAGAGCCCGACCGAAAGTAGCGAGCCGTATACGAGGTTCTTCGTGCGTGTGCCGGCCGATCGGACGTTTGTGGCAGCTTCGTTGGCGGCGATGGTCGCAGAGCGCGTGGGGTGCTGGAACGGGCGTGATGCGAGGCGAGCATGTGCGATCGAGGGGCGCACGCGGAGGGCGCGCATCGTCGCGGCCGTGTTCATGACAGCGGGGTTGAGCAGCAGCTCAAGCGATTGTTGGTGGCGGCGCAATTGCTGAGCGAATATGTTGGAGCTCTGATCGTCGCCGAACCACCGGCCTTGGCGAGCGAGCCTCGATGTTGCGAAGGATGGCGTCCACAGCGACTCACATATTTAGATCTTCACCCAACAGCAATCGTCGCACACTTGTATTTGTTGTTCACGTCTTTCCAGCCGCCTGCTCATGTTCTTTGAGGCGCATAGACGCTATGCAGACCGTGTAGACAATCTTCATGTGAAGCTCTGAACAGCAAGACAATGCGTGCTACTACCTCAACAGGACAAACTAAACTTCACACCACTAGTAGCAACGCGCTATAACGTGCTTTTCCGTCACAGATCCTTATCAAAGGCCACGGGCTCGCTGATGGTTCGGGTGCCGGGGATCTGATTGTGCCGAGGATGACGTCCGCGTGTCACCTGTCATGCTTCTCACCATCAACTCCGGTCTCGCAAAGTTGAACAGATACCCTGGCACTGAGCCAGCGCACTTGTAAAGACCGCGTTCCCATCCCCCGCACGAGAACTGCTGATCCCTTTCACATCTTCGGTTCCTTTTGCTGGTGTCGTGATCCTGAAACCCAACTCACGCGCCTCAGCAACATCTGAAACGAAGTCAGGCAACTGCTGCATCAAGAGGCTAGAACGGCGAAAAGACAAGTTCAGTCGCCCATCGCACACCAAACCTTGTCCCCGGACAGCGGCTGCCACATCGCTGTCACTATTCATTTACCAGGGATAGCTCCGTACGAGATACCGGACGTCTCGCAGGAATCAAGACTGAGGGATATCTGATACGGCAGAATCAGGATGCCCAGTTTCTTTGTCTTACCGCGCGAGTTGCGTGACATGATATATACGTCTGTCATCACCTGGTCGCTCCCACAGCCTCGTCGTGAAGACACGGAAGACTACAGATGGCGGCACATTCGGACGTCCGGAAGCATACTTTCCGGCGAGTACGGCTGCTCATACTCAACAGACACAGTGCCAGGCACATGCGCCAACTTGCTTGCATGTAACCGGCAAATCAATCACGAGCTAACCCAAGCAATCGAGAGAGCCAAGAGAAGAGGAACGCTGGTTGCCAAGCTTGATTGCATCTCTGTAGATGAGAGCAAGCACGCGTTCTCATGGCTTTCGTTGCCAATTGTAACGAATAAGCCAAATGAAGACGGAGGAAAAACCATGCTCGCAAGCTGGGCAGAGCGCCTCCTCGGCACTCCACACAGAATGCTCAATATCGGTGGCAGAGGCCCCAAATCTAGCTACGGTACCTCAACGACCATACTTGAGAATCTCTGGGTTGACATCCGTCTTTACGGCAACCGCACTGCGAAGTGGTCATCAAATCAATGTCCGCCTGAGCGCACATCTTGGGCGGTGGGCGCTGCTTTGAAAAGATTATTCGACGGCGATACGCTGATGCGTCCCATCAATGCCAGCTCTGCACCTGGACCCTCCTCAACTAATGTTGCCATTGACGAGCTCGTACTTAATGTCGTCTCCTCGAAAACGCCGAAGAATCTATGGCTACCTGAAGATTACCCTCTTGATGTTGCAACCTACGGGGTTGTTCATCCGCAGACTGTAGCCAAGGAACTCCTGGATATGTGGAATATCATTTGGACCGGCGATGACTTCAAGGGCGCGCATTACCGTGTCTTGCTGGAGCGGATCAAAAGAGTCAAGATCTGCATTGATGGAGAGACCTGGCGCGTCCGAGAGCTAGGAATGGAGTTGGAGAGAGGGCAAGCGGAGCGGAGAAGAATCGCCATGAGGGGCGTTTGGTAAATCTCCGCTTTGCGCGTAGCGGGCGTTCTTATTTCGGCGGCATAGACGTGGTGACTGTGGAGGCTCGATTGAAGTTGCGATAGCGTTCGGGTAGAGCGGTTCAAACGGCAGCTTTGTCCAGTACTACCGCTGCACCCCACAGTTCTAGAAGTAGTTGACCCAGAAAAGTATGGGAAACCCTTGTTGTCAATCGATCTGGGGTAACTCGAGGTTTCGGGTGCTCAAATGGTCTTGCTCATTCCTGTGTTTGTGCTCCCTTACCTGTCCATTGCAAGCACGAGCAAGCATGGCATTTCGTGGAAGGACTCGCCAGACCCGGCGAGGCTCTCGATCGATGCAGACGACTACACCAATGTCTGCATCATCTCTCGTCATCTGAAGACCCAGGCTCGCCATTCACACCACTGCTGTTCACATTTCGCTTCTGCCCCACTGTTAATCGGTGACAACTGGCAATCTATTTTTCGATCGATACGACGCACGCAACTGATCTGCGCCCCAACAGTCAAAGTTATGTCCGAACGGATCCGCTATAGTACAGTGGCCGAATATAGGGTTCCTCACGTTCTCAACCTGCGGCTCTCTTCGGGCCTCCATGTGGCAAAGTGCAGACATTCCTTCTGGCCTCCTACCCCGACGACCACCGACCCATATGGAAATGTCGTCGAAGTGGCTGCCGAAGATGGAATTGTTGAATTTCGCTGCCACGCTTCCGATTCGCTGCAGCCCTGCCAGGGGTAATCTTGAAAGCGCGGCACCGGCTCGGCCCTGCACGAGACTGCAGGCGTCCTGTTCGAATTAGAACCTCAGGGCGTGGTCGCCTCTTGGCTTCAACAATGCAGAGACCGCGCGTCGCCACTGCGCTTTTTTGTACGAGGTGGGTTTGCTACCAACGCCAGCGATCGCCGGGGCGTATACGAGACCCATGAGTATGCTGCATCTGAGATTTTGCGAATCGCGCCTCCATGCCCGTGGTGAGATGCGCGTCGCTTTTGTACGCTGATGAGCCAAGCCCGCAAAAATGTCAAAGAGCGTTTCATGAAACACAGCGTCCGCAGGTGCCCTTGCTGCACCAAGGACGCCAGCGCCGTGAATGGCTTGCGGCGGGCGGAGGGATCCACAGGCCATTGGCCAGACGCCTCTTACGCAACGTCTCGCTCAGGGGCACTCGGCAGGATGCAGGGGCCGCTTGCTAAGTCACCGTTTGGCTTTTGGTGGCGCGAGTCTGACACCGAAGCGGGAGCCCCCATGGAGTGGGTGTCGGGGCATTCTACAGAGAAGGAATTTTGTGCACGTTGCGTTATAAATAAGGAGTGACAGGGCCTGCGAGGATCTCCACTTTGAGTGCGTGTTCCTCAATTTCCTTCGGTCGTGTGTCTTTCATCTTCTTATTTCACTATCACTTTCACTCGCACCGCGCATCAGCACACAGTCCACTACGCGACACCACGGCACATAAGCCCGTTACTGCCGACCTTACGCTCGCTACTGCTGGACAGTGATCACTGCGCTTGACCACCGACACTCAGCATCAACATGGCGGCATCATCCGTGTCCACGGGTGCCGAGACCCTCAGACCACACATTGAGATCCCCAACTCGAGCGCCTCGAAAGCAGCAGACGAAGAAGGTCCTCTCTCGCCGCGTTCATGGCGCCACCGAACAGTCACATATCAGCCTCCGTCACGCGTCCAGACGACCGGCAGTCTTGATGCGGAAGACTACTTTGTATGTGTGATGCCTGTGCCGAAAGAAGATTGCTAACAGCTGCAGATCGGCCCCCGTGACATGGCCAAGCACTCCAAATGGCCTTTCTTCATGCGCATGCACGGTTCAGTGCTGCCGAAGATGATCATTCCTCTTCTGGTTGTCACTGTCTGGTCTACTGCCATCACATGCGTCTCGAAATTCACTGAGAAGCCACTGAACGTCAGCAGCTTGCTGCTGACTGTGTTGGGTTTCGTCGTCGGTCTTGCCATCTCGTTCCGCACCAGCTCGGCCTACGAGCGTTACATGGAGGGCCGGAAGTACTGGAGTCAGCTGCAGCTCGTGAGCCAGAACCTGGCACGTACCATCTGGATCCACGCCGACGAGCGCGATGGCGAGCTCGGCAAGCAGGATCTTCTGTCAAAGCTGTATGTTGATCGCGAAATCCGTGCGTCGCCGTACTGACCTTGTGCGCAGAACTGCACTGAACCTTCTCATCGCATACGCGTGTGCTATCAAGCACCGCCTCCGATTTGAGCCTGGAATCGACTACCCCGATCTCAAGGAGCGCGTTGAGTACCTGGACACTTTCGCCAAGGCGGCTGAAGTCGACATCCCCGCGGCCCGCGAGTACAGCAAGCTGAAGTCCACCGGCGAGTTCTTGGGCGTCACGTTCGCCGAGTCCAACCCCCGCAAGAGGATCAAGCGCTCCAAGAAGCCCCTCGGTAACCTGCCTCTCGAGATTCTGAACCACTTCTCCGCGTACGTCCACAGCATCATCAACAATGAGACTCTCAAGATCGGTCTCTACCAGAACCAAGCCAGTAAGTTCGCTCACCAGCGTGGAGCTCCACCCACTAACCCACCCCAGTCACTGGTGTCGTCGCCTTGAATGAATGCCTTGTCGGCCTCGACCGCGTCCTCAACACGCCCCTCCCCATCGCCTACTCCATCGCCATCTCGCAAATCACCTGGGTCTACGTCATGGTGCTGCCATTCCAACTTTACGCCTCGCTCGAATGGATCACCATCCCCGGCACCATCTTCGCGGCCTACATCATCCTCGGTCTCTCCGCCATCGGCCGCGAAATCGAAAACCCCTTTGGCCACGACGTGAACGACCTACCGCTGGAGGCCTTCTGCGAAGAGCTCGAAATGGACATGGACTGCATCACCGCGCAGCCGGCGCCCATCGCCGCAGAGTTCATGAGCCGCCCGGGCAACATGCCCATCTGGCCGCTCAGCTTCAAGAGCTACAGCGACTGGGCGGGGCGCTCCAAGCAGGACGTGCGCGACGCGTTGCTGACGAAGACCAAGGCCGATATGACGGTGAGGAAGAGCTTTGCGGTCGCCCGCACCGAGAGCAATGTCGATGAGAAGAATGCGCATCAGGTGCAGCACCAACCGCAGCAGGAAGCATGAGCACGACCTCGGAGTACGGTCTCGGAGTACGAACTCAAGTAGTAGTGTGTATTATATCTTCGGCGGCGGCGGCAGCTACGGCGGAGGTCGCGGCAACTCCCTCCAGCTTCTCTCTCTCTTTTCTGCGTGCATAGCGAAAGGGCAGGCGTTATTCGGACACGGTCATGTCTTTCTTATTCTCCGGCGCTGCGCCGTTGAGCACTGTTATAGTATCATAGTGGCAGCCAGGCCCAAGTAGCCGGCGCCCGCATTACCGCGTAAAAGTCTGTCTATCACGCGCTTCCCTTATCCCGAGCAGGACTGCCGGGTCTATAGTGTTTCAAAACATTCAGTTCACCCATCACTATCTCTCTGCCCCTTTCAACTTTTGCGTATTGTGGTGACTGCTTCCGTGTCTGAGATCCCGCCGAGCCCCCTACGCCCTCTGCCTCCTTGTCTCAATAAAATCCACAAAGTCGAAAAAACTCTTCTTATAGAACCGCTCCTGGCTCGTGCGATTAACCGCCTGAATCCCAAACCGGGCCCCGAAATCGCCAAACTCCCAGTTATCCGCAAAGCTCCACGCAAACGCGCCCACAAACTGCACGCCGTCCTCCCAGATCGCCTTCAGGCCCTCGTTGAGGTAGTACTGATAGTACTGGCTGCGCGGGCTGTCGAACAGCTGGTCCTGCAGCGCCTTGTCCGCCTCGCCGAACACGGGTGTGCCGAACTCGGTCACCGCGACTGGCGCCTTGAACGTGTTCCACAGGTAGTTGAGGTACGTGCGGAAGTACACGGGGGTTGTGTATACGTAGGTCTGGCTGCGGTAGCCGATGTTCCACTGGGTGTCGCGCACGGTGGTGCTCTGGGTGACGCAGTAGGGGCGCGCCGGGTGGGTGATGTTGGCGGCGCAGGCCGCGATGGAGCTGTTGGGCGGTGGGCTGACGACGGTGGCGGTGTACGGCTGGATGGAGAAGAAGTCGGCGGTGCCGTTGAGGTAGGCGAGGTCGGCGGCGCTGAGGGGGACGTAGTCGGCGACAGTGGATTTGTACGAGTCCGGGTAGTCGATGCCTAGGAAGATGGGGTTTGCGAAGGTGGCCAGCTGGAAGGAGTTGAAGTGGTTGGCGGCGTCGATGTCGGCGGGGTTTGAGGGGTCGAGCGGGACGCCGAAGTTGTTGTTGAAGGTTATTGAGATTTTGCCTGTGCCCTTGATTTCCTCGTGGTAGAAGTGGTAAAGGCGGGCGTGTGACTTGATGACTGAATCGATTGATTTGCCGTTCTTCGCGCCGAGGAGTGGCTCGTTGAAAGTCCAGAAGATGGGCACGCGGTCAGCGAAGTGTGTCATGACGATCTTGCCGTAGTTTACAAACGCATCCTCGAACGAGACGTTTTTGTATGAGTTCTGGAAGCCTGCATCAACATAGCCAATACCACCAGTACCAGGGGTGATCGTGGTCTCGTTAATGTTGGAGAAAAACTGAAGAGGACTATCGGTGTGAAGCAGCACAATTGCCGGAAGCATGCCCTTCTCCAGAACGAAGTTGATGAGATCGTCATAATGGTCCAAGCCTTGCTTGTTGACCGGTGTGCCTGGAAGTACGAATGGCAGGATACGTGACCACGGGATCGAGAACCGGTAATACTTGATACCCATTGAAGCGATTCGTTCGATGTCCTGCTTGTAGAGATAGTAGTTCTCGTTGGTGATGTAGTTTGGCGACGCCGCAGGATTCAGAAGAGCTAAAACATCCGTATAAGCTGGAGTTCGGCCCTCGTCTGCCACAGCGCCCTCAATCTGCGTCGCACTGCCTGCCTATATGATGGTCAGTTTCCTTAATCGTGATACCGATTTGATATACGTACAACTCCGAGCATAAAATCCTCTGGGAAGGTGTAGCATTCGCGGGGTGCCAGATATTCAGGTGGTGGAAGAATGAGTTCACTCGTGGGAATAGCTGTCGGTTCTACTGTGGTCGAGTAGATACCGCGCGTGAAATTCGTCCAAGATACGGTCGTCCACAATCCTGTCCAAGAAGCATTGCCGTATGGTACTCCAACATCTGTAGCAGTGGCGTTCGACGAAGGATCCCAGTTGCCCCATTGCGTCGTTGTCAGACTTGGTACAAGACTACTCAAAGACTCGTACGGCGGTGCAAATGTTGTAGTGGATGTTGGAGCTGGCCGAGAAGTCGCTGTTCGGACTGTCTCGGTCTGAGTGAAGCTGAAATCACGGTACGAGTATACCGGGGTAGCTGTCGCATAGCTTCCATTGGCTGCGCATTGAGGTCGCGCTGATGGCCCGTTCGCTGGGATATATACTTGCTGAGCAGCACCGAGGCCGCCCGCTACAAGAATGGAGATCAGCTTCATGATGGCGCACAAGATTTTAGCAAATGCTTGGGTGATCGTGCCTACCAAAGTTAAATTTATATGGATCCAGGGTTGAAGACAGGTAATGTCGTCATTCGGTCGATTTCACCGCGATGCGATTGAGTCAGCCGGAAAATGGCGAAGGTAACTTCCGTATCGTGCTATACGCGTTGTACGATGAGGTACGGCAAGATTGTGGAGTATCAGTGCGGGGAAGCATTTTCGACATGAACGAAACGCGGGGATCGGCAAGCACGAGCGGCTTCGGCGTGGAAAAGTTGGACAATCTTGATCCCACGGCGTTACTTCTGTCAAGCAACGTACGTAAAGATTTTTCTAGTGAGCAAGATCGTCATATTATTGGATTTCAGCAGGCCTAGTTCGATGCAACAACGCATGTACATTGTAGACTAACTTGCACATGGGCGGTTGTTCTTCGGATGGAACCTCAGGTACTTTCAGATCCTCGGCTCTTAGCGGAATCTATGCCGGAACAAACACACCAGTTGCAATTGCCTGCTTCTTTGGAGTGTATCGCCATCTACTGATATATGCTGGAGTGGTGCCTGTTCCATTGTTGCTCGTAGCAAAGGCGCCGATGATAGTACCTGCAGAATTATTGTTAGACAGTGCCGATATCGCAAATGGACTTCTCCTACCAGTGAATGGGCCACTTCCGCCTGACACAATTTCCGCACTCGCAGTTCCCATGCTAACGGCCTCCTTAGGCTTAGACACAGGAGCCGCAAAGAATTTGTAGTGTGAAGCTTCGGTCGCCTCAATGCTGAGACGCACGGGCTGATTGAGCCATGCCCTTGACAGCGGCACCACATTGGCCTCCGGTGCGGTGTAGTTGGGTTTACCGACGGCCTCCACACGCCATCGAAGATGAGGCGCCAAGGTACCGTTGGTGCTGAGATTGATAATGCTAAGATCAATGTGTTGCATCTGAGTCAGAAAAACGGTTACTCCTGCCTCTTCGTCCGCCTGTGTTGGTCGGAAAGACAGGTCTACGCTGTAATCAAACGTAGTGGCGGTTTGTTTACGCGCGATGAACCCAAGACCATCCACAGCTGGCTCATAAACGGTATCAGCAGTCAGATTGACTCTTGAGGGAGAGATTCGTAGGGAGTTCGGATGCCCTGGTGGCGAGATGGCGAACAATGATGTCTTTGGTGGCCTCCAAAACAGCAGCTGCTTGGGAAGCGAGGATCCCACTGCAAAGTCGAGCGCGTCACCTTCGTCAGCAAAAGGGCCCTTTCCCTTGACGCGCTTGTTACTCGGTGGCAAAGGTCCAGACTGCTTGCCGCGAACTTGATCAATGACTGGCCATTTACCCTTTTCCCACTTCATAGGGACAAGTACCGTCTCGCGTCCCATGGGATACACTTCCCAAGCTGGGCCAGATCGAGTAGCAAGTGCTACAGCCCACCACTCACCCGCAGCATCTTGGAAGAAGTCTGCATGTCCAACTGTCTGGAAGTACTCGTCTGTGTTTTTGTTCGTCAAGAACGGATTCCCGGAATACCCTTCGTATGGACCTCGAATGTCCTTTGAACGCGCGAGCGTTGCAGTATGATTCAGTTCTGTACCACCCTCTCCTATCAGAAGGTAGTAATAACCATCTTTCTTGTACAAGTGAGGACCTTCTGGATTGCGATCACCTGTTCCATTCCAAACACGGAAGGGCTCTGTAGATGTACCAGTCTCGATGTTGATTTCACTGATCCAGATGCCAGCGGCGACAGCCATGTAGATCTTTCCATCGTCATCCCAGAAGATGTCTGGATCGATGTCATTGGCAGGATTCTCAATAACTACCGGATCGCTCCATTCGTCCTCGAAGGGATTTTGTGTCTTGAAAAGCAGTACTTTGGGGGCCCAATCGTTCCATTGAACGTAGGAAGTGATCAGATAGAAAGTCTTGTTATGGTATCGGATTGTCGACGCCCAAATACCTTCCATCTGTTGACCTTGATTAGAGAGTTCAGGTAGTTGGCTTGGACGTGTGAGAGCATGACTAGCTAGCCTCCAGTTGACACTGCAACAAGGTCAGCACGGCCTCAAAATGGCCTTTGGTTTGCATCTTACAGGTCTTTGCTGGCGTAAACGGGTACTCCAGGAAACGCTAGGAAGGATGACGTCGTGCAGAAGAAGGTATTGTCCCACTCTTTGACAAAGGTGCAGCTTGGATCAGAATTCCATCCTGGAAGGATAGGGTTGGTGAACGTCTTGTTCCGGTCACTGCAAGACGCCAAAGGAATCAGCGTGATCAACGCCCATAGAGCGTTCTTGAAAGACAACATGATGCGAGCAGTTCGATCTGGGCTCTCCACTTACCAGCCATCGTCGGTCGCCATCTTCTTAGCTACATATACTCACGGCACTTGTACTTCGGTGCTTGATCGTACCTAGATGCTCCGTCACATATGAAGTACCCCGCGTACCTCCTGTACCCCGCGCTACGATCTTTGTAGCATCAATCTCCTATCCGTGTAGACGGGTTTTACAGGATCGACTTTAGCCTAATCTCGTCGCGACCGCATATTCGAGTTTCTAAGAAAGCACGTATAGTCTTCGTACTCGAGCGCGATGCTCCGTGTTGTGTGGTACATGGTTCTCTGGTCACGAGCATTGGCGGCGTCGAGGAGTTGATCTAGGCAGTCCCTAGGCAATCGGAACTTTTCGAAAAGCTCTGCACTGAATCAGCGAATAAGCCAACGTCAGGGATCTAAAATTCCAACTGCGGTGTTAATGAGACCACAATAGACAAGACGACAAGAGGATAGATGCGTACCCTAGTGCACCTGCATTAGCAGTTAGGTGGCTAGAGGTGGATCCATGCCGAGGCCGCGACTTCAGCGAATAAGATGACACTAGTGACCTACCGATTGTTATGGACCCTGAAGTAATTTGATCGTCACATTCGAGAAGTCCTGCAGAAACATTTTCGAAAGCTTTGGAAAACTTCGAAAGCCTTGGAAAACGTGCGGCTGCCCGAATCTAATTGATGAATCTATCGCGAAGCGTGATTCGACCAACGAGCGTAAGCCCGCTTTGTCGCTACCTTACAACCACGCCGAGGATGAACAACGGTGATCTAAACAACACAGCGGCAGAGCGCACTAGAAGGGCACTCGAGGTAGACCCGACGTACCAAAGGCGGTCTTTTGCTATCCATCAGTCTGAGGACGATTCCGAGATCCGGGCAAAATATAGGCCTTTTATCACCGATGATGAGACGTCCAGGACCGATTGGATTTCTCGCCTGGAACTGAGCACAGTATTGAAGATGGTCGAAAACCAGGCTCTTAGCAGCGATCAAGGCAGACTGAGGGTTCTCGTGCTGCATGGTAGCATGCGTAGCCGGTAAGACCAACACTGAACCAAAACTAAGTAGCATTCTTGCTGACAAGGAAGATCATACTCGCGGCTCTTATCGTATGAAGCCAGCCGAATACTGTTCCGTCTTGGCTGCGACGTTCGCATGTACGATCCAAAAGGGCTTCCAGTAAAGGATGACGAGCAGCATTCGCATCCGAAGGTTCAGGAGCTACGCGAGCTTAGCAAATGGAGCGATGGCCATATTTGGATCAGCCCAGAGCAGCATGGCAACGTGACTGCTGTATTCAAGAACCAAATTGACTGGATACCGCTGTCAACAGGCTCAGTCCGGCCCACACAGGGACGAACACTCGCCATCGCGCAGGTGTCTGGAGGCTCACAATCTTTCAACACAGTCAACACTCTGCGAATCCTCGGTCGCTGGATGCGTATGTTTGCTATCCCGAATCAAAGTTCCATTCCAATGGCGTACACGCAATTCACTGAACCGGAAGACGTTGACGGAGGAAGCCGGTTGATGCCAAGCGGCAATAGGGACAGACTTGTGGACTGTATGGAAGAGTTTGTGAAATACACGCTGGTAATGAGACCACATTTCGACCTCTTCGGCGATCGTTTCAGCGAAAGAGAAGAGAAGCAGAAAAAGGTAGAAAAGGAGACGATAGCAAAAGCTGAAGAAGCTGAAGCGTCACCGGATCTCAAAAAGATGTGAGCTTGCTTACATGGCTGAGCGAAATTGGCCATGAATTTGGTTCTGCAGCGAAATAGTCATGCATTAGACCTGGCGCTTGTGACAAAGCAATATCAAATCAAGTCGAGAACGATCGAGGTGAAGCACTTGTGATTTTAGCGTGCTGCGCACAGACCGAACTCGGAGGAGCGCTCCACGTCTTGTCTTCCAGAGGCTATGGTCTGCAAAGTCTCACCTTAAGCAAAGGACTCATTGTTTGCAAGATACGCAATCACGATGTCGAAGAACGTTCGTGATTACATTGACCAAATTGGTCAGCCAAGTAGCTAATTTGATTTTCAGATTGATGACGCAATGAGAATCCGAGACAACCAGCGCCGTTCACGTGCACGGCGGAAGGACCTGATTAAAGACTTGCAAACTCGGGTGCAAGAGTTCGAGTTGAAGGGAGTCGCTGCGACACAGGACATGCAGCGAGCAGCACGCAAGGTTGCACAAGAAAATGAGAGATTAAGAACTCTGCTTGCTCGTCACGGGATCTTGAAAGAAGAGATTGAATCTTTTCTCCTGTCCTGCGAGACGACAGGGAGGCCAATTGAATCGGAACCGCAGGTGATGGGTGCAAGAAGCTCGGGTGCTCAATACTTATATCCAAACAACCCTGGGCCACGTCTGATACACACAAACTCCCTGAGTCCAGCCTGTCCACAAGAATACAGTCCTCATGCATCACCGGTTCAACTATCAAGGCGAACTGCGCAGATTGCGAGGCAGGAGTCAGAACAGTCAATTCGACCGAGCGGCCCAATGACCAGATGTGGCACAGCGACACAATGCGGGTCCTACACAAATATCTCGACTCGTGCTGAAGTCGAGGCCACCATTATGTCACGGCCCGTGGAAGCTTGCAGACAAGCCGAGAGCTACTATGCCAGTCCAAGTGAGACCGACTCCTCTCCACCACCATCGAGACCACAAGAAAACCGGTCAGAACCCACGTATGCGGAACACGCGCCATCCATTACACAAAGCCAAGCCTGTTGCCCTCCCCCAGGGCCACCATTAGAGGTTGGCATGGACGACGCAGGCTGCCCAAGCACGGCTGACTGCTTCTGTCCTCCAATGATATCGGTGTCTCTACCAACGCACAAGGTAAATCAGGGCAACGATGAGATATCGTGCGAGACAGCCGCTACGATAATTGCACAGATGCGAGGGGATGGTGATGACGCAGCTGCGCGAGCCTCGATCGGGTGTGGCCCGGGACAAGTGTGCAGCATCAAGAACTCGTTTCTCATGCAGATCATGGACGAACGGTAGCAAGGCACTCTTTGTGTGCTTTTTTAGTATTGGCGTACTGTATATTTTGCCTCTAGGCACGTCCGACCAGCCACCTGGTAAAAGGCAGCATCAGGCAAAAAGAATCAATAATCTCATCTGGACACTTTGTACTAGGATAGAGTTGTTCGGTGATGGCCATTCGGTATTAGCTATAACAAACATGGGTTGGATCCTACAAAACGTCAAGTGGCTGGTCAGACATGACTGTGTGCAGCAAAAGCTCTAGTGGCAAGCAAGTTCTCCGACAATTAGCACGACTACGGCTATTCTACGTCAGACTTTACGTATCCCTAGACGCCAATACTCCGTGTACTCGAGAATGTAAATAAATGTTTTAACGTTAACCCGCATGAAATGAGGATAGACAAGGAAAGATGGCTAGATGCCAAGATCAAAAGAAAAGGGCGTGGTACTCGGTAATTGGATACTGAGCATGCACAATGGGCATGTGGGCATGGAAAGTGAGGCTGTAAGCGCGGTATGCCAGCATGGCAACAGTACTACTGCGGACACGCCGGCATATGCATGTACCACTTGACCAATACAGCACGCGATGCCTGAAGCCATACGTACGCGCTTCCAAAAGGCTGATGCAGTGGAAGGTTGACAACTCGGTGCGGGCCGCTGGTACAGGTCGCCGCGAGCTCGAGCTGAAACCACGTAGAAACTACCCCTCGAAAATAAGGCAACACGCCACCAAAGAAGACATCCACGCTTAGTAAAAGATCCTGATAGACTCGTCCGCGTCGTCTTGATCACCATCAAGCTTCCAAAGATCGTCGACTCTCTTGAACTTCCCACCACTTTCCGCGAGATCCTCGGAAGCCTTCATGATGCAGCTGAACACCAAGTTCCAGCCGTTCAGCCCAGTAGCATGGAAGACCTCGGCAACAGCCGCTCTCCTGCTGCCACATTTGACCATCTTGTAGATCTGGCGTCCACCAGTGACAGAACCTGCGGGTCCAAACAAGTCCATAGCTTGTGTGCTACTGAAGACAAGACAGTACGCCAGATCTGCAGCCTCTAAGGCCTTGAACCTGGCTTCGGTACAGGGCTGGCACCGCCTGGTGCATGACATGGCAGCCGCTTTAGAAACATGCACTGCGGTGCAATCGATAACCTCGTCGTCCAGTGGAGTAGTGAGAGCAGCTGATGCCCAGATCTTAGGTGTCTGGATATCTGCTGGCTTCGCAACGCTCGAAGGGAGCTCGTCGGCCTCAGAGTACGCCAATACCGCGCACTCCATGCGTTTAAGCAGAGCGTTGCTGGGCTTCTCGTACCAAGTCTCGGTTGTACCGTACTGGATCAGCCATTTGACTTCTTCGAAATCGGTAGCTTGTGCGCGGTGCGAGGTCATAAAAACGTTGCGCCGGAATGGAAGGATACGGACGATTGTGCTCGAGTTGTAAAAGCATTCGTCACGGTATTTTGATGGGATCAACACTTCAGGCAACGAGATTTCGATGTTGGGGCTGTATAGGCTGTTGAACACAGGAGGTGGGGGTGGGGGTGGGGGCGGACAATATACAACTGGAGGAGGAGGTGGTGGTGGAGGTGGCGGCGGTGGAGGCGGCGGTGGAGGCTCCCAGAACGTCAGCACAATTTCGAATTTTCAGCTGCTACAGTACTTACTGGTGGAGGAGGAGGAGGTGGTGGCGGGGCCATGATTCCAGGTAGTGGTGGCAATCGGATAGGTATTTGCTAAGATTTGTCAATAGGTATTGAAAACTCCATGTTACAATAGTGTGTCTTACGTATGGGTTGAGATGCATTGGTGGTGGTGGTGGTGGAGGAGGAGGAGGAGGAGGAGGAGGAGGAGGAGGAGGCTTGATACTCGATTAGTCCATTGAAGTTTAGAAGACGGGGGCAACTTACTGGTGCCTGTGGAGAAAAACTGCGGAATCGCCTGTCTTGGTAGGCTTGTAGAAGAAAGTCGTGGCAGAAAGGACAATTGTTGTTGGTGTCTCTAAGATAGTTATGATAGCGATATTTTCCATTCCGCATCATGGTGTTGGTATGAATGATGGGACGAGACTCGCCCTCCAGCTCCTCGTCTGAGTCGACATCGCTTTTCGCGACCTTGAGCTCCTGATGCGGGACATTGAAATTGGAAACATCTACGGATGGTTCTCTGTTGATAATCACCAGATCGTCCGAATCTGAGTCCATGGCAAATGCTTGGTTATCAGAGTTGGATCTGAATAGAAGTGGATATAGTGGAATACGCAGCTCTGAGTCGAACCATGTTTGCCCATATATACTCCCGTCAACCGAGTACGACTGATGGCGCGCTATCGACTCTGGAATGGCCAAACATGCAATGCAGGAAGGCAGCAGGCTACACACAGGCTACTGCATACCTCATGAGCGTGTGTTGTAGTAGCGAATGAGGCGGTTGCCTCGATTGCCTTCAGAAAGAGACTAAACACTGCAATGAGCCCGATGTTCGGCCTCCAGCGAGAAGGCCTGGTGCATCGGTACGAGGCACGATTGGCTTGAACTGCAGCGCCCATGTGCGTGTGTAACGAATGACCTGGCTGCGTCACCACCGGAATAAGTCCCAAGGCAGTGGTACGTTCTTGGAGTCTGTTCGTCAACCTGCACAATTGACTCAGCGATCAATTACCTTGGATCTGGCTTCCAGTCTTCATGCAAAACCAGCCGAACTTACCTGACTTACCAGCCTCACTTTGACAGCGAGGCGACAGGAACAAGATTCCAAGGCTATCCGGTGAGACTCCAATCCAAAGGATGTGCGTCTCTTCAATCATTGGGTGGCCTCCTGCGCGGGGTCTACGAGGAGGGCGCTCAGAAGCTTATCCGCTGACTCCGCTATCGACCCAAGCGTGAGGCCCTTCGGTCTGATCATCAGTCGTGCTACCTGGCATCGAATGATTCAGCCGAGATCCCTCCAATTGAGTATACCCGCCTCATCACCCTTTCGCAGGTGCGACCAACGCCCTCAACCAGAAGCCACGATAAGCCATAATCCCAGCCTCTGCAGAACTTGGTTCCAGTCCTAGTTCACAGGCTGTCATTCGCGTCCAGTCTCAATCCCTTCTCCGCCCTAGCTGTATAGCGGGCTCGGAAAGCGATCCAATTGGAAGCAATGGCCGCGAGAGAAGGTATGTATCTAGCTCGGTGTAACCATCAACGTCCCTGCATGAGCAGAGTGGCTGAAAGAGCGGTCAAGAATGCAGCTAAGAAGGACAGTTCGGGACATATACCTTGAAGGATGTCGATAAGGTAGGTACTCCAGTACATTGAGACTGAGTGAAGACCCAGTTTCAGCCTCGCGCCAAGATCAATATGTGAAGACAGGGCCAAAGTATTCGTTACGCTCTTTCCTCTTACGTCTTGCCGCGTGGGGAAATAGACGTGAGGCTTGACCGGACAACTTCATCGATAAGTCAGCGATTGTCTACAACGAGAAGATAAAGACGAGGCGGCGAAGCACCAGTCCGGTTCTCGATGGGTCCTCACCGGCGGTGGAGCCAGAGTCCCGGATGGGTATCGAGGGCTAAAGCCTTCTCCAGACTGCAGGAATGCAGACATGCAACAGGGCCTGTTTGGGATCCAGGGTCGATATCGCAGCGAAAGTGCCAGCAGATGGTCGGAAGAGAAACAAGAATTGGATGGTGATCACGCCGATCTTATAGTGCAGGTTGGGATCCACCTGGTCCAGGTAAGGATCCTGGCGTCCAGGGGGATCACAAGGAAGCACAAGGCAGACTCATTCGCAGTCTCTAGATCCGAGGTAGTGAGGCGGAAGAACGACCGGTCAGTGCAGTAGCATGAATAGCCACCAGATTCCCCGGAGGGAATCGCAAACCGCCTAGCTGCAGGGCTACTACGGGCTTTTATAGAGACTGAATCTTGGCAGCTGCCTGCCTGATGAGCCTCATACACGTGGTTTTGGAGAAAGCCTGGAGGGCCAAATAGTGTAGTCCAGATAAAGATTGAAGGACCAAACGCTCACATGCATCGGCGACTGCCGAGTGAATTGACTAGACCGCTTTCAGCTTTAGTGCGCCAAGTATCTCTCGCTGGGCCGCGCGACGGCGTCATTGCATCGAGCTTCAAGCAAGCTACCGCATCGCCGCATCGTCAAATCGCCGCCTCCACACGCCCGTCCTCGAATCCTGCATATCCAAAAAGACACGATGGCGAACGGGTATGAATGCACTGTGCTCAAATCATAACACAGAGGCTAACATCAGTAGCTGGGCACCATTCATCGGACTTTTAGTCACCGCGATCTTCTGTGGAGCGGCATGGTTCCTCGCCCCCAAGGGTGAGAACCAGACGTACGTTCCACCCCGTCTCCCCCTACAAACCAGGCCTCTTGAGCCTCGCTGCGACCGCGACAACAATGCGCGCCACCTCGATGGCCAATGTTACACATCGACATATCATGCCCGTGCTAACAATACCACAGCGTCTGGCGCTCAACCCTCGTCCTTTCCGCCGCTGCAATGTATATCATGTGGGCCATTACATTCCTCGCACAACTCCACCCGCTCATCTCGCCCATACGGGACCACCTGCGACCGGAGTACAACCAAGGGTAGACAGATCGAGTCGAGCGATACTCTGCGGAGGAGGAGGAGGGACAAACGAGCTGCAATATATTGAGAACTGGCGAAACGTACTGAGCTCCTGGCTGCTGAGCATGTCGCAGATGCTGGACAAGCAGAGCAGGGCATTTCGACACTTGAGCGCATTGTATAGTTGGCTGGGCGTTATGTGGAATCTGGGTTGTATAAATATATGAAGCATTTGAGCACAATCGTTTCTGACCTCTGGCATGAATTTCGTGTACTACAAGCGATGTGCTCGACATGAACTGCGCCCGTAAACCTTGGCATAGGGAAGAGCAAACAGGTATTATGTTGTATCCTATCCTATATCCCCCCGAACTGTTGTCTTACCCAACCCCCTTGATCCAGCTCTCTACCCCTCCAAGAATGCCTTCGATCTCACCCCCCTCATCTTCCCACCCCACCCCTAATCCAGCCTGCCTCACCACACTCCCCGCAACGACCCATCTCAACCCCGCGCCGACCCCAACCAACAAACCCGCCCTGACGTAGCCACAATCCATGAGTATCTCCAGCGCCGCAACATTATTCACAATGACCGCCCAACTGACCGCCGTCGCGCTGCTCGGCAAGTCATAGTCCCAGATAATCAGCAGTATAGGGAACAGCTTCGTGCAGCTGCTCACCAACAGCGCCGTAGTCAGCGGCGTCGGATGCGGGTAGTACGGCACGAAGCGCGACCACACGCAGCGCAGCGCGGGCGGGAGCGACGCCGGGTTGAGCCCCGTGAGGAGCCGGATCGGGAGGTGAAACGCGAGCGTGCTGAGCGTGACGAGAGCCAGGAAGAACAGGTACTGCAGTATGAGCGGCTGGGCCTGCAGGATGGCGGCGTTGGTGGGCGGGAGCGAGGCGGGTGTCGACGCGTGGTGTGGGGAATCGGGTGGGAGCGGGAGTTTCTCGATGCGCGCCCAGGTGAGGTAGACGTCGAAGAGGAGGAGCAGGATGCCGAGGCGGAGGATGGAGCGCTGGGGGTGTTAGTATTTGTGTGGTGGGAGGGAGAGGTGCGGGTACGTCGAATTTGTCGTCGTCGCGGCCAAGGCGGTTGAAGAGGAGATGGCGGTAGACCTGCACGCTTAGCTGCTTTGTTCTGTGAGTTTGGAATACGGGAACGTACTTGGGGTTTAATCAAGACCAGATCAATGAAGAGCACCACAAAGTCATGCTCGACATACTTGTCAGCGAACTTCTTGCAGCGCGGACATTGTGTCAAGCGCACGCCCTTTCCCAGAGCGCGATCGTCAGCTTTCGAATACTCGGTGTACAATGTCTTCACGGGATAACGGCACTCTATGCAGATGGGCATAGCTTTGCAGCCATTGGGTGAGGCTCTGCGGGTGTGGAGGTGGGGTTGTGGAGCTTCGAGGTGTGGGTGTGTTGTTTAGTGCGGAGTTTAGCTCATCACTTTAAATCCGTCACTCTCAGGATATGAAGTGGTACAGTTGGGTGTTATGCGTATCATTCGTTATTCATGATCGTACATCTTGTGTACACATTGTAATACCCCTAGCGGTTCAGATTATACCACCTCAAAGAAATCCCCTGAACGATAAATTGAAAGCATGTCTTCAAACATCCTGCCGTGATTGCGTAGAAGGAAACACCCCTTCTTGGTGCCTAGCCGGACCAGATAACGTCTACTAAACGTATGCAACTCGTGTCGCTCTCAAGTGAGAGTAGACATCATAGCTGCAACGAGCTTCGGGTTCGGCCGATCGCGTCGTCCTACCGGATATCAATTTGCCGTTCTCAATGGGCCGAGCGGACAAGGGCTAACCTACCCTTTTTGTCCCTGTCAACACGAACAACCTCGCGACGAGGCTCACGGCGTTCGTAGACCACGTCGTAATCTTCACCACGTTCATATTTAAGCAGCTGGCGTTCTTCCTCTAGCGAGCGAATCTCGTCTCGAATATCGCGTTCCGTTCGATCCCTCTGGCGAACCAGTTGACGGCCCTCCGGTAAGAATGCCGTTGCTGGCCCATGCATGGTCGCTGAACGTTCGATCTCGACATACTTCTCGTGCTCATGTCTGGGCGGCGATAAGCTTCGTACCGATGGCTCATAGACTGTTGGTGCGCGATGTGGTGGTGGCATTGCGTACACAGAACCTGGTGGTGGCGGCGGGGGCGCTGCATAAACAGACGCAGGGGGAGGTGGTGCAGCATAGACCGAGCCAGGAGGAGGAGGTGGTGGTGCTGCGTAGACAGAGGGTGGTGGTGGTGGTGCTGCTACAAACTCCGGAGGCGGTGGCGGAGGTGGTGCGGACAACTCCTCGACTCGCTCTTCGTAAACGTATGTCATTTTCTCTGTCAAAATATCAGATATCGGTCCAAAACACGGCTTGTTCGTCATACCCTCTTTGTAGTTCTCGCTAACCTTTATGCACTCATCAATGTGCTCCTTCTCGAGAGCACGAGTGATGATGATGAAGTCGTCCTAGCACAGTCAGTGAGGCCCCTACAGATCTTCGGAAGCTGCCTACCTCTTCCTCGAAAGGATAGCCGAGCTCAATAATTGCCTGTCTTTTCACCAGTCGCTTTGGCAGTCTGGTCTTGCCCCTCTTGCCCCAAGTCGCGCGAGGAAGTTGGATCTCTGAGACGCTCTCAGACGATGAACTTCGCCTGGAACCCGCGATACTTTTGCTTCTTCGTACTCTGCTCTTGTTCCTTGAAACCTCGATCTCGCGGTACTCTTCCCGCTCCCTGCCTCTGCCGCCAAGATCCCCGTAAGCAAGATCCTCGTCAGACTGCCTAAATCGTCGTCGTTCTGGTGACCTACGACGTTCACGAATTGGCAGCGGAATAGGCACGTTGGCAGGTGGGCGGTACTCGTGATACTCGTTTCTTTCGAATTTTTCGACCTCTCCATAGCGAGGTAGGGGACGGCGATCAAATGTGTCCAGAGATGACTGTCTCCGGATGTACTGTGGACGTGCTGGCTTTCGCGGCCTGGAGACCTGGGTTTTGATGTCGATATTGATGTCCTCGTCAATGACAGACTTCCGACGATAAGGGGCAAGTGCTTGGTTCGCTACTTCAGAAGGCGTGCGCTCGTCGAAGATGTCGTTTCGGCGGGGAGGAGCACGGCGCTCGAAACGATCATCCTCGAAGAAACGCTCCCTCTCTGCAACGCGAGTAGGTTGCCTGCTGGGTGGACCATGGCGGTCGTAGTCTTCATGAATGTCAACATCACGGCGGCCTCCAGGAAAGCGGTCGTGCTCTTGAAAGCGGATGTGCTCGTGTTCGTCGTCGCGGCTAGGAGGACCGCGGCCGCCCCTCATGCGCTCGAACCTATCGCGATCCCACCGTTGACCGCCACCGCGAGGAGGCTCGTCCTCGTAGCTTGCGAGGTTACCAGTTGAAGAGCGATACATGGCTGTGCTGATGGGAGTTGAACTGGTATGCCAGCCCTGCCTGTCTACTTAAGACCCTGTGCTGCGGGGTGTTGCGTTGCCGGATTTCCGTCCCAGAGAGATGCTTTTGTACTGAGGACACAACGCAAGAAATACTTGAGAGCAGCGCTAGTCGAGTCGGGTCTGAGTGAAGAAGCACGGCGCACGGCTGCGAATATATTGCCGTAGGCTGGAGTGCTGGTGGTATGCGGGTGCAACCTTGGTCAAGCAACAACGTCATCGCAGTAAGTAGGCGCAATTCGCGGCGCGATTGGGCGCTCGTGCCCCTGCGTCGTGATTTGCGGTCGGGCCATGATTGCCGCTGCGCCCTCTGTGGACAGTTTCAAAGTGGAAAATCAAGTGCCTGACGCATACAGTTCGGGCATATTCTGAGGTTGGGCATGTTTGGGCGTCACAATCGGCTTTGGGTCTTCCCTTACAAGAGAACAAAAAGACAGCAGACCCCGAGGCAGTTCAAGTTACAGGAACACGAGACTTGACTCTGCCCAATTTCCAGAGTTTTCGCAGCCACAGGGCCATCCCTACCCTCGAATTGTCACCAGACTCGACCGGAGAGGCGCATGGGAGGCGCATGCGCTCCCCAAAGAGTGACGTCACTGCTTTTGGAAGGAGCGGTCCCTGTTCGGTGGGGTACAACTTGAGCCAAATCCTCAGCCTCAACTGCACGCGTGAACTGCTGCATAAGTTACATCGCATCTGCGCTAAGACTGCCAACTCCTGCCACTTTCTTTATCTACGGGAGCGGCCCGGCGCCGCCTTTTCTCTGTGCATAATCCGCCTCAACACGATGATCGTGGTACACTAGTACAAGTATGCTATACATGTGCTGGAGTAATGACAGCCTCGTGTGAACTAATTATTGCTGGCTGCATTCTTGATATAGACAAGAGATTGCAATAGTGTTTCACGAGATCTCGACTTGGTGCAGGTAACACCCATCTATATGTAGTAGTTTACAAAGTACATGTTATTTTATACATAGTGTACAACCACCAGGCGTTCTTTTCTGAGCGACACGTCTGTCTATTTCTTCCCAACCAACTCCTCGATCCTCTTCTGCACATAGTCAACATCATGCGGTCTGCCCTTCATGGCGCCCATGACCTTGCCCATGATAGGACCATATGCCCTTTTGGCTTCCTCGAATCCAGCGATCGCCTGGTCGATGATGCTGTTCACTTCGGTCTCCGACACTTTGGGGATGTCTTCCGCGTACTTTTTCAACACGTCCAAGTGCGCCTGCTCTTTTTCTACCAGGTCCGGGCGCTTCGCGCTTGTGCACTCCTCTATTGTGGCATTTGCAGCCTTGATCTGCTTCTGGACCAACGCGTACAATGTGCCATCGTTCTCGATTGGCTTCGCGGTTTTGGAGGCGTTGATGATCTCGGCTTGGAGTGCGCGGATGACATTGAGGGCGGGTTTGTTCTTCGCACGCATTGCAGTCTTGAGGTCGGACTGTAGTCTTGGTAGAACGACAGACTCAGAAGTCGATGTAGACGAATAGCGAAGGGTAGCATGGCGAAGGCAGGCAGATTGCGAGGTAGAGAAAGCTGTGCGCAGCATCGTAGGCCTGAAGAATGCCATGGCCGTCGTCTGATGGGCTGATGTCGATTGAGAAGAAGCGATTCAAAATTACGCAACTACGACGATAATTGGAGTATGGACTTGAGCCTGAGGTCGGGCGAAACACTACTGCCTGGTTGGTGCGCAAGCAAGTGCATGGGTGAAAGACAAAGGATCCACCAAAAGCTCCCGAGCTCAGACGCGCAGAGCTGTCGCGCTAAGCCAGCTTCTGTTGTCTCCATCAACTTTCCACCACAGCACATTGACCACCCGCAATTGCAGTCCGACACCCTGCTCGACTCGAAGTCTGGCGCGCTTTCTTTTTATCAGCAACATCTCAGTACGTGCGCGCGATTAATGTCTGCGCTTGAAGGCCAGCGCGCGTCACCAACCACCACATAAAGCTCGCTCTCACCAGGCCGCCGCCCGTCCACTACATCCTTGGCCGCACATCATGAACTTCGGAGTACCCACGACGCCTCAGCGTCCTACGCCGGGCATGTTCATCAACACCCCTGCGCCGAACCGAGGCGGACTGGTACGGCAGCCGTCTATGTCCCAACAGCGACAGCCATCCATTGCGCAGCCTCAGCAGCAGCCGCAACAGCCAGCACAAGCACTTCCTGCGCCGCCAGCTGTAAGCGCCATTGAGCGTGCTGCGCGGACAATCAACAGCATGTTGGACCGCGACAACCGCTATCCTCCATTAGAAGCCTATGTCGGACGTAAGTAGCGCGACAGAGATGGGACACGAGCGCTGTTGGGTATTAACGAAAGTACAGAGGGCATGTCTGGAGAGTACGAATTACCGACGAACCCAGCGTGGGCGCCATTTCAAAAGCTACGAACGTACCGACTCCCAGAAGCCGTCTTTGAGCAAGTGGATCACACGCAAATGTCGACGCAAATGGGCTTGTTCGCGGAGATTAATCATGCTTGGGTGGTTGTGGACAACCAGGTCTACCTCTGGGACTACACGCACCCGAACCCTGAGCTTGTAGGATTCGAAGAGCAGCCAAGCAACATCACTTGCGTAAAGCTGGTCAAGCCGCGCGCAAAGGTCTTTGTCGACACAATCGAATACCTACTGGTGGTTGCGACAGTCACGGACATCTTCCTGATCGCTGTCGAGTGCCAGCGAGGGCCTGAGGGAGTTCACGGCATTACTTTGTATCGAACCGGGCTCTCTACTTCTGTGAGGAGGATCACGGTAACAGCGATCGCAGGATCGGATAAGACGGGCCGCATCTTCTTTGGAGACGGGAGCACAGAGGATGTGTATGAGCTGAACTACCAGCAAGAGGATCGGTGGTTTTCCAGCAAGTGCAGCAAGACAAACCATGTCTCTAAAGCTGTAGGACTTCCTGCGTTGCCCTTCTATGGCACTACACAGCAGGCGGGCATCGTACAGATGGTTGTCGATGACACACGGAACCTTTTGTACACGCTCTCGACGAACAGCACTGTGAAGGTCTACCACATGCGCGCACCTGCAACTCTCGAATGCGTCATCACACGGACTGTCTCGAATCTGCAAACTATGTGCAGCCATATCGTTCGTCAGTCAGAAGTTCTGAATAAGATGGAGATCGTCTCTCTGAGCCCTATCGCAAGCACAGAAGCGGATCATCTTTCCCTCATGGCAACAACGTCTACTGGATGCAGGCTGTATCTGAGCACGACATCAGGTGGTTGGAACAGCGACAGCACAAGTGCGCCGAACAGCATGCAGTTGCGCCATGTTCGCTTCCCCCCTGACGATGGCCAAACCCCCCACCAGACCAACTCCACTCAGCTGCAACCGTACCAGGGAGGTGCCCCGCTAGGCATCAATTCCAAATACCTGAAAGAGACCAAGTACGGTAACAGGTTTGCACCTGGGTCTTTTTTCTCGTTTGTGCTCAAGTCAGAGAATGAACGAAATCAGACACTCTTCATCTCTGCTCCCCATTCCGGTCTGCTCGGCCAGCGTGAGAGTTCCGAGCCCCCACGGTACACTGAGACTGGCCTGTCACTAGAGCTTGTAGGCAAAATCCAGGATATGGGGCAGGTATCTGAGCCTTTCTCTGCCAGGAACGAACCTTTGGGATTTGGTAACGAACTCGCAACACAGTTCGACAAGCCCCTTACCGAGTACGCCATCATCACATCTTTCGGAATCGAGACGGTACGACGGAAGCGACTTGTTGATATTTTCGCTGCCCTTGTGAAATATGGGGGCGGTCAGGAGGGTACTGAAGCCGACATCAAGAAGCTTGCAAGACAGTATGGCCTTGCCGAGACAGCGGCCACTGCTCTGGCCGTGGCTTGTAATCAAGGCTCTGATGTTGGGCCAGATTCTCGGATTGCTAAGATCACAGATCCCGAGGTGACCGAGTTTGCTCGCAAGGTTTTCATCGAGTTTGGCGGCAAGGCGCATCTGACGGAGAGCGCGACAGTTGAGGGGCCGAGTGTCGAGAATGTTCGAGCATCGCCACGACACGATGGTATTGCGATGTACGTGGCACGCCTTGTGCGATCTATTTGGTATTCTCCGGTGATCAAAGAAGAAGCCACACCGGCCGGTCCTCTCCTTGCATCAGCTGTGAAGGTCAGCAAGCTACAGGACATCCAGCGCGCGCTGATGGACCTGCAAAAGTTCCTTGATGATAACAAGTCGTTCATTGAAGGTCTTGCAGGGCCTGAAGCCTTGGGTCGTGTCTCATCTAGACAAGAGGAAGTCGAGCTCCAGGGCGAGCATAGGGCGTTGACCAGCCTGGTCACGCTCGTGAACGACATGGTGGAAGGGATATCTTTTGTTCTTCTTCTCTTCGAAGAGCGACTCGAGGACGTCATGGCCCTGCTCGACCCCAGCACGCACGTAATGGCTCGGCGTATGACTTTCCAGGCACTCTTCTCCGTCAAGGAGGGTCGAGATCTTGCCAAGGACTTGGTCAAGGCCATCGTTAATCGCAGCATTGCAAAGGGTTCCAATGTTGAATCAGTCGCAGAGTCTCTAAGGAGGAAATGTGGCAGCTTCTGTAGTGCCGACGACGTCATGATCTTCCGTGGTCAAGAAGCTGTAAAGAAGGCAGAAGACATGGGTGCGAACGCTGAGCGCGGACGCATCTTGCTTAACGATAGTCTTGGTCTGTTCGAACAGGTCGCAAAGAGCCTGACTTTTGACAACTTGGCTTCGACGATTGATCAGTACATACGGCTTGAGTTCTATGCCGGTAAGTCAGAGCACTCCACAACCCGCGCTTTCACTGAATTGTATCCTAGGCGCCATCCGACTGTCACTCAAGGTTGCGCAAGAGTGGGACCGTGGCAACAAGGCCTTGTCATGGATCCGAGACCGTGACGACCCCAATGTAGACCCCAATGATGTGCGAAAGGACTTTTACGAGAAACGTGCGGCATGCTATGACCTCGTTCTCCGGGTCGTCGAGGCAGTCGACCAAGCATACAACAGGCAAGGACCTGTAGCAGATGGCGTCGTATCACAAGTCACACGACGCAAGTTTGAAGCATACGAACAGATCAACAACTCAGATGACGAGGTGTTCCAAAACTACCTGTACGATTGGTACATGCAGAAAGGTTGGGCAGAACGGTTGCTGGAGATTAATTCGCCATTCGTCGTTGAATATCTGCGCCAGAGCTCAGAGAGGGATGTCGCTCACGCAGATCTTCTTTGGCGCTACTACGCCCATTATAACGACTACTTGAGCGCCGCAGAGACACAGTACCAACTTGCAAAGAGTCTACTCAATCTACCACTGGAAAAGCGCATCGAATATCTCTCATTCGCAAAGGCCAATGCATCAACGCGCATGACTGGCTTTTCGGAGACTGGAGTCCGAAATAGGCAGTCAAGACAGGAGCTTCTGCGAAACATTGCCGATCACCTCGACATTGCAAACATCCAAGATGACATTCTGGGAAAGCTTAAGAGTGACGATCGACTCGCCGCCGATCCAGCTCGTAAGGAGCAAGTGCTTGGACTCCTGAATGGTCAGATTCAGCCGCTAGATGAGGTATGTTTTCGACAAGATTCTATCACCTCAGTTACTGACACACGAAATAGCTATATCACAACTACGCCGATCAGGCTGGATACTACGACGTTTGTTTACTCATCTACCACGCTGCAGACTACCGCAACATTCCCGACGTCCGCAACACCTGGTCGAACCTAATTGAGCAAGTTCACAAGCAGGCTCTTGGTGATAGGGTGGCGCAGCCATGGGAATCGCTTGCCCTCAAGGTCGAGGAGATTGGTCGCCGCGTCAACATGAACGAGAACGTCTTCCCCGTAAACATTGTCCTTCAGCTCCTCCTCCAGTATGACATCGAGTACTACAGACACGACGCTGCTTCTATGACACCGGAGCATATCCTCAATGTGAACCTCACATGGCCCATCGACGTCCTCGTTCGCCTCAACGCGCCCTTCGAGCACCTCGTTGCGACCTTCGAGGCGCTATGGTACGCGCAAGAAGCTCCCTTTACCAACCGAAACAAGAAGCTGCTCGTCAAATGGTGCATCTACTCAGTCGAGCAGTGGGGCATCACTAGCAGGCGCTCAGGCGCACTGTTCGGCAGCGCCGAGAATGCCATCGGCCTTGCTGAGTTTCTGAGAGTCGTGCTTGGCAGCGACACGCTGGGCCGCACTGCAGACGACCAGCAGTGGCTGCAGCGGGCTCGCGACGTTCGGGATCTGGTCGAGGAGGCAGCGCGTTGACATGGAGAGGGGACATAAATCGTATTTGCAAAAGGAAATTTGTTCGGCATTACTCCAGCGTGCGGCGTTGTAAAGGAGCATTGGGGGTTGGCGCGAGGGGACTTGTACGTATGTAACGCTAGGGCGCTGGCTTGAGGCTTTGTTGGGTAATGCATCAAGAAAATACCCACGTATATCTGCCTACATTGAGAGCCGTCGCTCGTTGAAGCTTTCTGTGTTGCTGTGATGTGCTCTGCTGCCGGACATGCGCGCCTCGTCATCGTTCTCACGAACTCATATCTGATTTGAGCGGTCGTTTACGATATTGCAAGCGGTTGCGGAGCAGTCTGTAAGTTCAAAGGCACGAGCATTGCTAGCCTGCTCTCGATGAACAACACAAGGCAGAGTAACTTTGCTTTCAAAGCTGGACACTGTCCTGTACCGTGGTCACAACACGATTCACATGTACGAAGCTGCAAGTATTTAGTATCGATCAACGTTCTTGCAACGTGACGACTTCTACGATTGCATTATGTTGCAGGTGTTAAAATCTGCAACTTTCATCTGCTAACTTAATGAAGTCAGATGAATGGTATCTACCCAAAACTCCATGCTGATGTAGTAAAGCAAGTGCGCCTCTTCTTCCGTCTTATCTTCCCTTCTCTACTCTATGAATACCAACTCTAGTGGCCGTTGACGCTCTTCTGGGTGACCATCCAGGTGAGCAGATCAACCTTCGTGACGACGGCCACGGCCTTCGGCTCCCCGTCAGCCTTCTCAGTGACAATGGCCGCGCTGTTCCACTCGAAGAACTTGTTCAGATCGCTGAGCTTGGTTTCCCGTGTGATCTCGACAAACTCCCTCCGGCTGCCGGCCTTGGCGTCCTCGCCGTCCAGGTGCAGCCTGCCGAGATCCTTGACGACCTCGTTGAGCTTGCGGAAGTCGAACATGACGTCTTCGACCTTGGACCGCGGTGTTGCGCGCCCGGCTGCGATGTAGGAGAGCAGGTTGCCCAGGGTGACAAGGCCGACGAGGCGCTGCTTGCCGGCGGCGGAGTATGTGGAGACGGGGAGCTGGTCGAAGCCCTTCTCGCGCATGGTCTCGATAGCTTCGCTGCAGGGCGAGTTGGCGGGGACTGTGGTGACGGGCCTGAGGCGCAGCGAGGCAATGGTGGCGCCGTGGAAGGGGTCGTTCTTGTTGTTCTTGCTGAGCGAAAGGCGACGTGTGACGTTCGCGGCCTCGGGTGTGTCAGGGGGGGTCTCCGGCAGGAGATCGTTGGCAGCGAGCCAGTCGTCGTCAACAAACTAGCAAGGTTAGCATCAGGGTGATGGAAGAATCTGGGTATTACAAACCTTGCTAAGATAGCTCCTGATGCTGTCGGGCAAGATGACGACTACAACATCGTCCTTACCCAGGCCAAGCTCCTTGATGGCCTTCACAGCGGCATCCATGGCACTGCCGGAAGATCCACCGCAAAGAATACCCTCCTCGGAGATCAGTCTTCTCGCGTATTGGAAGGCTGTGCGGTCATCGGTCTTGTACCACTTGTCAACGATCTTCTGCTCCAAAACTTCAGGAATGAAGTCGTAACCGATGCCCTCAACTTTGTATCCCTCGTTGACGCGCTCGTCGTTGAGGGACTCTGGCAACGCCAGAATGCTGCCCTGGGGATCGGCAGCAATGATCTTAATGTCGTTGTTATGCTTCTTCAGGCCACGCGCAAGGCCAGTGATTGTACCGCCAGTACCAGCACCTGCAACGAGCGCGGTGACCTTGCCCTGTGTCTGCTCCCAGACCTCCTCGGCAGTGCCGAACTCATGGGCAAGCGGGTTGTTGGGGTTCGAGTACTGGTCGAGGATATGAGCGTTTGGCAGCTCCTTGACCAACTTTCTCGCAACACCGATGTGGCTCTCAGGGCTGTCCCAGGCAGCGCTGGTGGGTGTTCGGATGATCTCTGCGCCCAACGCCTTCAGGACGGCGACCTTCTCCGGGCTCATTTTCTCGGGAAGAGTGATGATGGTCTTGTAGCCCTTGACGGCGGCGACAAGTGCCAGGCCAATGCCAGTGTTGCCCGAGGTGGGCTCGATCAGAGTGTCGCCAGGCTTTATGCGTCCCTCCCTCTCGGCGGCTTCGATCATGCGCAGAGCAATGCGATCCTTGACAGAGCCGCCGGCGTTGAAGGCCTCAACCTTAACATAGACGGTAGCTTCAATACCGAGCGACTGGGGGATCTTGTTGAGGCGGACAAGCGGCGTGTTGCCAATCTGCTGCGTGATATCGTCCATGACGACCGGCGGGATCTTGGGGCGCGTTGTTACAGACATGACGTTGATGCTCTATGCGTGTTTCTTGAAAGGTAGTGTCGTGAGTCTAGAAATATTGTTGCGAGAAGGACAGAATGACAAGCGAGAAACAAAGGGAAATCTCGCCACACTCAAGGAATGGGATGTCGTGATCTTTTTACGATTGTCGCAAAGAAAATGCTCGTCTGTTAGGTAAACCGTAACTAAGCGCCACTTAGGCCCCGCTGTTGAGCCGCGGCTAGAATCATGCCTTCCTTCAGACTTCAGCCCTGTGAACCCTGTGAACCCTGCACTAGTCGAACCTCTTTGGTCATGGGTACGATCTGGGTTGCCATCCCTGCGCTTCAAGAAGATTCGGGGCTTTTGCGATGAGATCTTTTGGCACATTTGTGCACATTACGCATGTTACAATCAGCTGAACAAACAATCGCACCCGCGGATATGCGACTTTACCATTCACCTGGTCTGGTCAGATATGTACTCCACTCCGACTGTCTCAGATGCAAACATCTGCAAGGCTAATCTCCAGTACATAAAATCGGCATGTTGGCAACTTAATTCGACAGATGCAACTAATCGTATCTTCTCAGCACTGATCTACTTGTTTAGGTCGAAGGGCTTTTGCACTTGCAAATATGGATATATCCTGCATGAAATCTTTGATCAACTCCATCAACTCCATCAACTTGAACATCAGAGACCAGTTACATTGTACTTGACTGAACGAAGATGGCTGATACGGCGTCAAGTTCATCGCCCTCCAGAGTTCGAGTGCCAGTTGGTCGAATGCGGAGGTGTCTGAACTCTTCGTAACTCGTCGCAGTGCATCCATGTATACTTCGTGGGTGCTCTTGTTGTAGTCGATAGGCACTTGATCTTCTTTTCGTACGAGACTCAAAAGGCCATAGACCTTATCGCGAGGGTCGTAGCATTCTTGCCGGACAAAATACCGCAGACACACAGCAAGAGACATGCTGTAACCGCGAGCTGGAGCTTCATGCTCTGAGTGGGTTACTAAGAGCCTGAAGTGGGAGAATATGCTATGGTGCGCCTTTGACATAGAGACGCGAGATCCAAATCGCTTTGCTGCAATTACGAGCTTGTTGAACGGAAGCCAAGTGACGCCGGACCGTACACGAATGCTTTTCGGCAACAACAGTTCTTGTATGATCCACAGTCTGCGCCAGTAGTTGTTGCTGAACACAATCTTGGCAGCCTGGACTAAAGGATGGGTATCTTCGAGCTTTGGACTGAGACTTTTGTCTTTGTTGCTGTCGATGCTGCATAGGATACGCGCTGCATCTTCACAACCCATGCCGAGCCATACAATGACATGAAGACAGCCAGTGTATATGCGAGACATCAATTGCACCTGGTGACTGCGTTCGCCGTGGTGAGCCTGGCAGATACATATCTGATCGATCCACAGATACTGGAAATTGCAGTGATCGTTTCGGTGACATTTCAGGAAGTCGTATAGGTTTTGACGGACGAGCAGGAGCTTTCCATTAACCACTATGGCCCTGGAAGGTGATGGTGGACCCCAAGTATACGACAATGTAACGTAAGCTGGAGCAAGCTCGAGATCGAACTCTTCGATTTTGCATGCTACTTCGTCATCGAGATATTGTGTAGGAAGAAGCTTGATCAACCGTATTTGTCGTCGTGCGGCGTTCAACGGTGTATGGCGATAGAAGCTCGACTCATGCGATCGGTGTATTAATTCCATGGTGCTTGTCAGGTACCGAGAAGTGGTTTTGAGTGCTTCTATTGTAAGTCTTTACGAGAGTTGGCAGGTTAAGCACTCTCGTAGAGATTTACAGGGCTGTAAGAGCACCTTCTCTTACAACGTCTCTACAAGAGTACGTATCAGAGCTTCCTTCCGGTGGAAATCGTATCTATAATGATTTCAAAGGTTTACTGGCTTCTCAATCCGCACAAGTCTGAGAATTTAGGGTAGCAACAGGTAGCATTAAACCAGCGCGGGGAAGGCCATGATAATATGCAGCCAAGGGTGGCGCAGGTAAGGCAACAGTCATCCAATACCAGTGCAGTTATCTGCCTTGCTCAGCCTTCCGTACAATATAGAATCACGCATAATACTTGACCTCATGTGGAGCTCAGCCTTACCGAAGCTTACCAGCGTTATGTATATGAGCGAGAATGTGTTCTTGCCACCTGAGAAATACGATCATGTATCAAGCTTATGAATGTATGGTCAGGGCATGTTGGCTCCAGAAGCCTTTCTTTGAGTGAAATTTCGGGTATGATCCGATTAGTGCTAGACAGTGACAGCAGGCTCTGGCATATTGACGAGCCAATTTTCCCAAAACCTGAAGCCATCGAGACTCTGCTCACGACACAAAGCACCAGCTTCTTCAGCCATCTCTAGCTCTTCGATCGCGACTCCAACACTCCACCCGAACTTCTCAGCAGTTTCCTGCGCTGTAATACCCCTGCCATAGAGTTGCCAGTCCCATGATACATCTAAACTTGGCGATTCGCTGTGGAGATTCTTCAACCACGCAAGCAGACTGGCAATTGTCTTTTCGTCGGTTCGATCACGGCCTTGGACTACTAATAGACCACTTTTGAACTTTCGCAGCCGAATCGGTAGTTTAAGCGTGTCCCACATCCTTGCTGCTTTCTCGAAATCAGCGGGGCTGACCAGCTCAACACCACCCCGTGCACGATTGAACATAGCCCACAGATCAACAAGCGTCATGATGCCGCCTTCTCTTCGCAACACCCCCCTTGTGTCGTCAGTGAGCCATTCCGCAAGGTTGCGTGATAGCTCAGATACGTAAAGTGATTCTGAGCCCGAGCCTAGCATATCTTTCGTCGTGACAAGCCCCAGTGCAGACGCCGACTGCGACGCTAAAGCGTTGTCTTCCGAGTTGCCATTCGAATCCACGTTGGCATGTTGCGCAAACTGCTCGGCAAGTGCAATGATTTCTTTCGCCGAGGTCATAAGCGCTTCAAGATCTTCGAAGGCATTGCCAATCATAGCCTCGTTGTTCTGCCTTTGTTCAAGACCACGACGCTCCAACCCGGCGATGCCCACCACACGAGGTCGCTCAATTTCTGCCGATGCCTTGCCCGACTTCGTGGAGTAGCTGTCATCAAATGCGCCAGAGCTCGGTCGAGGCTTCGGTATAGGAGGTGCACTCTGAAGTAGCCACTTGCGTTGTACCAACGCATTCTTAAGGCGCTCGTAGAATATCTTCTCGCCGCCACTTCGGAACGACAGTTTGATGCATTCGATGGTGGTCGTCTGTATGGGGGTGGTCAAAGACGGCCCGGGTGACTCTGGCCTACGAAGTTCTGCAACGTGTTCCAGCCGCTTGTCTATCGCGGTAGTCAAAGATGCACCGCATATCTCACAGTTTAGAAGCGAAGGGTGGTTCTGATATGTACATCGCGGGCACGAAACCATCCCCCCAGATGATGTTGAAGGTGTGGAACCACTCTTGTTATCCTTTAGCGGTACGGTGGGAGCTGGTCTGTTCGAGATGGCTGCAATGGCTGCCTTCACCACATGCATAGTAGGCGGTTTGATGCCGCAGGCTAGGCATGGTGGTATCGGTGTACGCGACGCAAGCGCAGGATCGAAGTTCGACGGTACGGGGTTCGAGAAGGAGCATATGGGACAAACCCAGGATGCGCTTATGGATGGTGCTGGTGCAGGGCTGTTGCGACGCTCTGGAGAGCCGGACGAAGGGCTCTGCGCAATCGGCGCTGACAGGCCGCGTGATAGCTGATTGGCGGGTTTGGGGTACAGAGTGATTTTGGGAGAGGACTTGAGGAAGCCGGCCTGAGAGTGATGTTAGCACATACTGTCGCGTGCATCTTCTGCACGACCGAACTCACGTAGAAGTCTGGCTTCTCTACGTCCTTGAGAAAGATGGCGACCGAATTCTTGCGCGGCTCCGCATGATCAACGTAGCACACACGATGTGAAGTCAGATAGGCCTGGCCGTTCTGGTACTGTGGGATCTTGAATTTGCTACATCAGGCGTCAGTCGCGTTCAACATACTGGAGACGGCACGTACCCCTCATACAGTCCCACGGCATCTTGCACGAACAACAGCGTCTCCTCCGGCAAGAGCGACGGGCGCAAAGCGGTGGTCAGATCGAGTTGGTGCAAGAACATTCAGGCCATTCATGAGGGTGCAATAATGGCGGCCATGGCAACCTAAAGGTGCAACATGCGGCGCATTCACCAAGGCCCCGGCCCGTCTTCGTCATTCGAGGCCGCGCTAGAGGGCAAATGGGGACTAGCGGCTGCTGACCCGCTTTGTCGCTTCACTCACCTCCACACTGGACGACTTGCCAACTCGCCCTCTCGCTCCTCACACCGTCCTGACGACGCTTCACCACCGTAAACCACTTACAACAGCTACCGCATCCTCTTCGTGTCTTATTCATTTGCGCCCTTAGTCACATGATGATGCCCACCGCCACCTCTGCGTGGAACCAGCCCATGCAGCCACCCGCCTACAACGCGGTCCAACCGCGCACCTCCCTCCAGCCTGCACTGGCCCCAGTACGTAGATATGTTCGCGAACAGTACACATCGCATGCTAATACGGAGCCGCAGACAAGTAATAGCCCCGCCTCCAGCAAGCCGAAGAAAGTCGAGTGGCCCCCTGCGGTGCGCGATTACGTCCGCCGCGCCTTCGATCCTGAAAGCGTCATCGCGGGTGTTTCGAGCCAGGAGATGCAAACGAAACTGAAAGAGACCATCAGCTACTACGCTGAACGAAACATGCAAGATACCATAAATTGGACCACATATCCCTTGCCTCAGGAGCTCATCCAAGAAGAGCGAAGGAAAGCTGCACTAATGTCACCCACACATAATGGTTTCGCGAACGGTCTCTCATCTCTTCATCTCAATGGCGCAACCGCCCAAACTAACCTATCTCCATCCACACTGAAGAAGCGCAAATCCCAAGACGCTGATGAGCTTGCTCAGCAAACTCAGGCTACTCTCCCGCCTTGGCGTAGAACTAACCTAGAATCACGCATGACTTTCGCCGAGGCACCTAACGAAAAGCGCCAAAAGAAGAATGCCGCTTCTGACGCCTCAAGTAAGTTAGAACAAGCGGAACTGGAGAAGAGACGACAACGATTCAATCTTGGCAAGCCCGGCAACAACAAGGCAGCACCATGGGGAGCCTCAGCAAAGGACGAAGACGAAATGCCCACTGGTCCTGTCGTTGGCACCAACATGGCGCTCGAGAAGAGCTACTTCCGTCTGACCGCACCACCAAAGGCAGAGACTGTCCGACCCTTACATGTGCTTGAGAAAACCTTGGCGATGCTCATCAAAAAGTGGAGAGCCGAAAAGAACTACAATTATATTTGCAACCAGTTCAAGTCACTCCGTCAGGATCTGACTGTTCAGCATATCAAGAACGCCTTCACTGTGAAGGTTTACGAGACGCATGCTCGGATATCACTAGAGAAGGGGGACACGGGTGAGTATAATCAGTGCCAGACGCAGCTGAAGGCGTTGTACGCACTGAGTCTTGGTGGTAATCCGGCCGAGTTCAAAGCCTACCGCATTTTGTACTTTGTATATACGTGCAACAAGACCGACATGAACGACATGTTGGCAGAATTAACCCCTGCAGACAAAACCCACCCATGGATCAAGCACGCACTCGATGTTCGCTCAGCCCTAGCTCTTGGCAACTACCACAAGTTCTTCCGTCTCTATCTCGAGGCACAGAACTTGGGCGGCTACCTGATGGACCTATTCATCGAGCGTGAGCGACTCGCTGCTCTCGCTAACATGTCTAGAGCGTAAGAGCAATTACGGTGCTCGCTCCACATAGCTATGCTGACACTCAACAGCTACATTAGTATCACTCTGCGCTTCTTGACTGATGAGCTCGCTTTCGACAACGATGAATCGTGCCGTGACTTCCTCGGATCGCATGGCGCCCAGAACATCATCGAAGAAAAGCCCGACGAAAAGACTGGCAAACAGTATCGCGTGAAGATCCGCGAGGCTGCAGCGCAGCTGGAGCAGCTTCGTGCTGGTGCGTTCAGCAAAGTAGACATCAAGGGCCAGATTTGAGTTCCGGTACCGACGATGGCGACGCCAATAGTCCTGATTCCAGCGTGCATCCTTTCTCAAGCCGCGCGTTCGTCACTTTAGATTTCCTTGACATATTCTCGCGCCTCACTCCCACGTCATCATGGACCTGCCCGCCCACGACGCCCTCTCAAACAGCCGTGTCCCGGCAGGAAGTGTTTCCTCGCGTCAGTTGCCCGGAACGCGGGGTATCCGCTCATGCATTGGATGCGGCGAACTTTCTAGTCATATTCCATACGTAGGACGTTTCAGACGTGGTTCTCAGTCGCCCATCAACGTTTTTTTTTAGTGTTTGGTACCATACATTCTGCTCTGGGTGCAGAGGCAAAAGCAAGAACGGGTTTGAAAAGAGCGGCACATCACAGGATCACAGCGGAGGTTAGAAGGAGCAACGAGAGTTCGAAACCGGGCTGAGCAGCGCTGTTCCCGTGCCTGCTTCAAGCGGGCGTGTCCGAGACCATGTTGCTTTCGGAGACCGGCACGCTGGCTTGGACGGTCTGGTCCGGTTCGGTCGTATTTGGCGGAGCATTATCGAGGTCAATTATCGCAAGCCATCTCATGGTATTGCTCAAAATTACGCAGCCAGCATCATCGGGATTTCTGTGCCCAGTGCGTGGTGCGGTGGTGGAGCGTGCGCACAGCGCTAGGGCAGAACCAATGAAACGGGCAGAGTGGATCTTGGGAACGTGATTGGCATGCAAGGGTTCGAGAAGGGCGTAAGGTTTGGCGCTGGCATACCCACATGAGGCTCGTGGGCGTTAGGACAGTCTGCAATACATTGGGTTATGTTTCTTTTACTGGAGTTGCAGCGCGCTTAGCAACGGTGATGGCGGGCTCGTGTACACCGTACGCGCAATGGCTGGGTACCTATCAGCTGTGATGTGTCACAATCGGACCTTGCCAGCATGCCCCCGCTCGCGAGGGAATGAAACAGCAGCCAGTGGAGCTCTCGTGTATTTGCAATGTTCTGGAGGGGGACCCGCCTGCGACGGGCTGCGACCAGGGCCGACGTGATGACGGATGACAAGCACGTTGTTCCCGGGTTTGACGGGTCGCAGGCAGCACGGCTCAAGGCTCAAGGCTCAAGCTGCACGCCGCGAGTGTTGCCATGTTGCCATTGTCGCGCCCCACCGCAGGCTGATAGGCTCTAGCGCACTGGGGCTGCAGGCCGATGGAACCGGATGCAGGTCCGTCCTCCGGTCTGTCAGGAAAGCGTAGCCTTGCAGTAGTCGGTGGAGGAGAGAGTCCCCACGGTCTGGGCGAGCTGCTGCGTCGTCTCCAGCGAACACATTAGTGACATTCCGCATTCCGCGACGCACGGCCAGTGTGTCGTCACAAACGCGTCGCATCGCCGGCGTCCCGCGGTGATCTCCAGGGCCAACATTGGGCCTGCGACGACAAAGACTAGCCTGTGCCGGGTGTTTCCAGGCCGTGGTAGAGCAGCGGATTCGCCCAGTCGCCCCTTTGCACAGCCAGAGCACTGCCCAAGTCTCCGGGTTGCCAAGTGAGGCGACCAGGGTTGCTCTGCCTTGCTGTTGCAGTGGAGTCGCCCGCAGTGCCCGCTCATTTCTTGTTCCTGTGCTGGACTCTGTGATCTCCAAACGACGACCTCTCGCCTTGGCCGCCGTTGGGCTACAGTGCCGTTGCCCTACTCTGCCCACCACGCCGCCCGCCGCCCCAGCAGGCGCACGACCGCTCCCCGATCTCACACGCCGCGTTGCTCATTTCTCCCCGCACACGCCAGCCCGCCGGTGCCCACGATCGCCCGCCGTCGTCGCCGCAGCCACCCCACGGTCCCGGTCTCGCAGCTCGCGGTGCAGTGCGCGCAGCCCGTCAGCAGCCAGCAGCCAGCAGCCAGCAGCAGTAGCAGCAGCCCGCTGCCCGCCGCGCCCTCGCCGTCGCTGAGCGTCGCCGCCAGCCGCTGCCCGCCATGAAGGTACTTACGCCGCCCGTCTGCCTGGAGTGCCCGGCGCTGACCCTGTGCAGTTCCGCCGGTCGATGAAGGGGGAGAAGGACGCACACCGCCCGCACCACATCTCCATCCCGGCCAAGGATGCGATAGCCATCGTGCCGCCGAAGAAGGTGCGTAATCGTCTAAAAGTCCCTTCACCATGCGGCGATTTGCGCTGCACGCACACACCCCACCCCAGTTTCCCAATGCGGCCGCACGCGCGCGAAGCTAACGGCCGATCCAATTTCGCAGGTCATTAAAGCCCTCTATGATTACAGCGCGGCCGACCCGAACCAACTCAGCTTTTCGCAGGGCGACTTCCTGCACGTCGTCAACCGCGAGCACGACACCGACTGGTACGAAGCCTGCAACCCGCTGCACGGCTCGCGCGGCCTGGTCCCCGTCTCGTACTTCGAGGGCGTCGGCAAGACAGTGCGCGACAGCGCCGGCTCAGCACCTCGCCAATCTGCGCAGACCCAGCCGCACGACTCTGGCTACCAGGAGCCCCTGAGAGGGATAGGCAGCCCCAACCCGCTGGCCTCTGCAGGCATGGCGCACTCGATGGGCCACCAGATGCGCATGTCGCAGTCGGGCAAGACGGGCGCCATGGTCTACGGCATCGTCATGTACGACTTCAAGGCGGAGCGGCCCGACGAGCTGGACGCAAAGGAGGGCGAGGCCATCATCGTTATTGCACAGTCGAATCCCGAGTGGTTCGTCGCGAAGCCCATCACACGCCTCGGCGGCCCCGGCCTGATTCCCGTGTCGTTCATCGAGATTCGCGACATGACCACCGGCCAGGCAGTCCCCGATGCGCAGCATGCAGTCTCCGCAGCAGGCGTGCCCAAGGTCGAGGAGTGGAAGAAGATGGCTGCAGACTACAAGAACGGCAGCATACCGCTCGGCAAGCTGCAGGACAACACGCAGCAGTCGTTGCAAGCCGGCATGGAGCGCATGAGCTTGGGTGGACGAAGCCAGACCCAAGGCCGGAGTGGCTCGGTAAGTCAACGTATTCTACGAGGCCCTGCACATCTAATCTTCCCCAAGGTTTCGCACTCGCGCTCAGGCTCGGTTGCCATGCAAGGCGGTCAAGGCCGCGCCGACCAGTTGCTTGCGCCTGTCAAGGCATGCGTACCACGGTACTGCTTCGCCGATGACATCTTCTGGTTCATCATCGAGTGTCAGATGGAGGACGGCAACCACTGGGAGCTCCAGCGCTTATACCAAGACTTCTACGACCTCCAGATACAGCTCATTGCAACCTACCCGGTCGAAGCTGGCACTAGCGGCCAAGGAGAGCGCACATTGCCGTTCATGCCTGGACCTGTCACCTACGTTACCGATAACATCTCGAACGGTCGCCGCGCAAACCTCGACGAATACATAAAGAACCTGCTCAAGCTCGGCCCGCACATCACACATGGTCAGCTTGTAAAGGGATTCTTCGCGCCAAGGCAGGGCGATTATGAGATCGATCCCGACGTGCAAGCTCAGGACGACTACAGACTGTCCCAGCAGTCTGGACAATCTTCGAACCATTCGCACGGAGGATCCACGAGCAGACAGTCGTCTGCTGATCAATTGCAGGCTACCACCCCGGTAACCCCTTACTCTACTGGATCATACGGCGCTCACCAGCGTGGTCAGTCGTCAGCCTCGCAAGTGTACTCGTCAGCCCTCAATCCCCCACCGATGAATCACCAGCACTCCTCAGCATCGACCGCAGTAAACACTGGCACATCCTCAGCACTCAAAATTAAGGTCTGGTTCGAGGAGGACAACTGCGTTGTTATCCGCATGCCGATTTCTCTTCGTTACGCCGACCTGTACAACAAGCTGAGGGAAAGAAGAAGACTCGAGAGGCCCAATGAGCCCGATGAAGATTTGAATGTCGAATACAGAGACGAAATGGAAGGGGCGTTCTTCCCCATCGAAAACGACGAGGACCTGCAAATTGCGGTCGAAAGAAACCCAAAGCTGACTTTAAGTGTCACAACGAGGAGGTGATAGCTATGATGTCTCTTTGGACAACTAATTGTTTCACTTCTTTGGTCACCGCTACTTTGGCGGTTATCTTCTACTTCATTACATGTTTCACGATCGATACCTCTCTGCTTAGGGCGTTGATTATACAACACAGAAAGGCGTTTAGCGGAGTACTTGGGGGGTTTGCGGCTGCATGATTCCCACTTGTTGGTTTTGGGTTTTTGCATTATCCTTAGCTTGGGTTGTTGAGTGCATACGCTGGTTGGTCCACGTTATTATGAGGACACGGACTGGTAGGCTGGATGGTTGGCTGGGCGGTTGGCTGGATGGTGGGTTTAGGTAGAATGGTGCTCGGCGTAAGCACAAGCGCAAGTGAGGAGATGCAAAGCAATTCGACAGATGCGATGAACGTCTCGCGTCCTTCCAGCTGTCTGTGTGGTGTGCATGTGATGCTTTATTGTTCCTTATTTGGGAATGTCGATCTTCTAATGTCACCCTTTGTCTCCATGGAGACATCTTCAACACCGAGATCCCGACTCCTCAGCCTGATATCTTCCCACTTTGGAAAATGCACCTTTGCAACGTCTCCTGCCAATTCTACGCGGCTCGCGAAACAAGCCATAGCGGTGAACGATGCCGTCATTCGATGAGCAGGGCAGTCAGCAGCGACCGCTCCCTTAGCCACGCGGCTCGTAGATTGTATCTGGCCTAATGGCGCCTGCACCTCAGCTGGCATACCGCAACTTGACGATAGTTTGTGTGCTCGCCAAAGATGCCGTTAATGAACAGTTACTTAGCTGGAACGAATGGTGTTGCACCACGACCGTAGATCCGGACAGATCCCGCCATACTGGAATGAGCGCTGGCCTCGGCGATTGCGGAGCTTCGTGTGAGCTTCGAGGGACAGGTCACGCTCGCCATCACTCACATCCTACGCGCCTTCGCCTGACGTTATCCACAGCGCTTGCCTGCCGTTCACCGCCCGCTGCTGCCCCGCACATGCTCTAGTACACTAGGAAACAGCAACCAAAGCGCCACAGTGGCTACCTCACGCTTAACCAAGCTCTTCCTCGCGGCCATCGCACTCTTCACTCTAACCGCCGCCATTCTATCTTCACTCCGACTCGCTGGGCGCACCCCCTCTATCCTGAGCCACATAAAGCCAGGGCCCCTCCGCAATCCACTGCACGTACAACCGTCTCGCCCTCTTACCAATTCCACCATGGCCCCCGCACAATACCAGAAGCCGCCGCAGCTGCCACCTAAGTTCACTGCCACCAAGGAAAGCTTGCTGGCGGACACGAAGAGGCTCATTGAGAGGTCCCGAGGTGTGCAGGATGCTGTTGTCAAGAGCGGCGAGGCAACCTTCGCGAAGGCCCTCCTCCCAATTGCCCACGATGACAACAAGATGGCCATCGAGTCGCACATAATTGGTTTCTACAACGCGGTCTCCACTAGCAAGGAGCTCCGCGATGCGTCGACCGAGGCAGAGCAGCTGCTGGACGACTTCGGCATCGAGTCATCTATGCGCGAGGACGTCTTCCAGCTGGTCGACAAGGTGCTGAAGGCAAAGGAGAACCTGGACCCCGAGTCGCAGCGCCTGCTTGAGAAGGATCACAAGTCGTTCATTCGCAATGGTCTGAACATCCCTGCTGGCGAGAAGCGCGACAGGTTCAAGGCGATCAAGCAGCGTCTCAGCACCATCGGCATCCAGTTCTCAAAGAACCTGAACGAGGAGAACGGAGGGCTCTGGTTCACAGCTGAGGAGCTTCATGGTGTGCCAGAGGACGTATTGTCCGGTCTGAAGAAGGGCGAGGGGGAGAATGAGGGCAAGATCTGGCTTACTTTCAAGTACCCAGACCTGTTCCCGACCCTGAAGTACGCCACCAACCCTGAGACACGCAAGAAGGTCTTCGTCGAGAACGAGAACAAATGCAACCAAAACGTCGAACTCTTCCGTGAGGCTGTTCTCCTCCGTGATGAGGCCGCCCGCATGCTCGGCTACAAGAACCACGCCGAGTTCAGAATAGAAGACAAAATGGCAAAGACACCCAAGACGGTCGATGACTTCCTTGGCGATTTGCGCACACGCCTTGCACCTGGCGGCAAGAAGGAAATCGAAGCCTTGATGGAAATGAAGAAGAACGATGTCAAGGAGCAGGGTCTGACAGGCGAGCTTGCCGAGAAGTACTACCTCTGGGACCACAGGTACTACGACCGCCTGATGCTGGAGAAGGACTTCCAGCTTGACCACCAGGTCATTGCCGAGTACTTCCCCCTGCAAACCACTATTGATGGCATGCTCAAGATCTTCGAAGAGCTCTTTGGCTTGGTGTTCGTTGAAATCGTCGGCGAGGAGAGAGCCGCTCTGGCAGATGGTGGCAAGGCAGAGGACATCGTCTGGCATCCCGAAGTCAAGGTCTTCAGCGTTTGGGATGACGAGGCTGAGGGCGCTGGCTTTGTAGGCTACCTCTATCTCGATCTCTTCCCTCGCGACGGCAAGTATGGACATGCAGCCAACTTCAACTTGCAGCCTGGCTACATAGATGAGAACGGCAAGCGGAGATACCCCGCGACTGCTCTGGTCTGCAACTTCTCGAAGCCAACACCAAAGAAGCCTTCGCTTCTGAAGCACGATGAGGTCGTTACTCTGTTCCACGAGCTGGGCCACGGTATCCACGATCTTGTCTCTCGCACAACCTTCTCCCGCTTCCATGGCACCAACACAGTGCGTGACTTTGTCGAGGCTCCATCGCAGATGTTGGAGAACTGGTGCTGGACACCTTCCCAGCTCCGCGCTCTATCGCACCACTACTCTCACCTCTCACCTGAGTACGAGCAGGCGTACCTTGAATCATCTGGTGCCGATAAGAAGCCCTCAGATGAGCGCATCCCTAGCTCGCTCGTCAGCAAGCTCATCAACACTAAGCACGTCAACGATGCCTTGTTCAATCTGAGGCAGCTGCACTTCGGCACTTTCGACATGGCAATTCACGAGCCAAGCAGCCACGAGGAGGCCGAGAAGTTGGACATTACACAACTGTACAACAGTCTTCGTCAAGACATTTCTCAGCTCGACGGCCCCGAGGCTCTCAGCGGCGATAAGAAGGGCGATTGGCACTGGGCCAACGGCCAAGCCACCTTCGGTCACTTGATCGGCGGATACGACGCTGGGTAAGTTCCACCACACTCCAACAATCACCTCGAATATCGTGTTAACACATCACAGATACTACGGCTACCTATCCTCTCAGGTCTACTCCACCGACATGTTCTACTCGGTCTTCAAGAGCGACCCCATGAACGGCAAGGAGGGGAGAAGGTACAGGCACACTGTGCTCGAGCGCGGTGGGTCGAAGGAGGAGATGGAGATTCTTGAGGAGTTCTTGGGCAGGAAACCGAGCACCGAGGCGTTCTACAAGGAGCTGGGTATTTCTAAGTAGATGGCTTGAGTCCTTCGGAGGGTTCTAGAGCGCGCATATAAATGGAGAATGCATTGACTCGTTTTCAGCTCTCGGGTGTGCTTTTGTTGTGTAGCTTGATAGTGGTTGAAGTCACCATGTACTGGATTGGTCTGGAAGCGGATTGTGGACTCGAGGATACTGAGTGTTGATGTATCCGTGCATACACACCAGATATGGTTTCAGTGGTAGATACAGCACCCGTTGAGTCTCAAGAGACGGCCTGGTGACCCCCGATACACTCGTATCATTTCTCCACCTCCTTGGAAAAGAGCAGGGCCTGATCGGTTGAGCTTATTGGAACCAAGTCTATGAGCGGTTGTATGCAAACCGGAGGGCAGGTGTACGGTATGCAGTGTGTGGCGAGAAGCGCTTGACCTTGATGTATATGTCGTTTTCAGTGTACGCTGATATACTCCTAGCCCCAACCTGCGGATCCTTTCCCACGCCCCGCACGAGTCCTGATTCCAGAAACAGCAACGTCTTGGGAGATGATGGGGTGGGGTGGGGTGGCGGAGGGGCGAGTGGTTGGTGATGTAAGGATGGCGTGAAGATGGATGTGGAAACGGTGATGAAGATTCAGATCCAGATCCAGAAAGAGAAAGAGAAAGAGATGCTGATGCTGATACTCTGAGCCAGTGTCGACTCGGGCTGGGACGTTTGTTGACGTCACGCGGTAGGCGTCGTGTACGCTTTGCGTTGGCTTGGTTGGAATCGTGGATATGCTTTCTGACACAGCACATTGGGGTTGGGGGAAAGGGGTTATGATGCGGCAGTGTGGATGGGATGATCTGGATGTTGGCAGTGCGATCTAGTGATATAGAGCGTCAGTACGGGTACGGGGATAACCTCCCGGAGAGATGGTGGCTGAGATGGTCGTGGTCAGGGATATGTGGGTTGGATACTGAGAAACGACAGCGGGACGTGACAGTTGCGGACTTGGCTTCCTTGAAAGAGGGTGCCTTTCCCCTCTCTTTTTTGGTTCTGAGTGCTGGGTACAGGAGATACTGGAAATCTGACTTGAGACCTGCGTAGAGACGGGTTCATGCGCGTTCTACTCTGACTTGGGTCAGATTGTGGACGTGGGAGATGGGAAATTGATATATCAATCTAGTAATTTCTAAGTATCAGTGCGGATAGATCGAACCAGATTTGACAACTAACATGGTAAAGGTCGGAAATGTGTGGGAGCTTTACTTGCTTTGGACAGAAGAAGGTGCCCCTTTCGCTCTTTAGAGGGCATTTGGTGCTGAATATCGACAACGGGAATTTGGAAGGCCGTGAGTCGAGACGTGTATGGAGAGAGGAGAATGCGATTGTGGTTTTAGCTTCGTGAAGTGATACATGCCTTGTACACGGAGCGGTTGTGAAACGAACGAAGAAGCTCGAAATGCAGCACTTCAGCGAAGCTTTCAGTAGGCTTGAATTCTGTGTGTCAGGCTGCAGTACTGCGACTCTGGCTTCGTAAACATTGCTTTGGTTCTTGACAGAGGTTGTCTATGATTTTTGATCACGTCTCCAGAGCCATGTCGATGTATCTTCTCGAGGCGTTGGCCTACCACCTGCGTTGAATCTTACTGTCACGAGCGATATGCTGACCGGCACGACGCGTAGATGACATTCTACTGACTTTATCGTTTGATAAGCTAGGAACAAATATACAAGAGAGTAATGACTGCAATGCAATGTATTAAAGGATGTGAGGAACAATGCTGCGACGTCCAAGCTTGAAGGTGCTCAAGTTCGTTCCTACACATCTTCACAATTCAAGATCAGAGATTGTACATTTGTAGGTCTATCACTATGTTACTTCGTTCATTTATACACAAGTACGTTCATGTCTAATACTACTCGAGGTACGTTCACACGCACGATAAGCTGCCTTATTCGATAGAAAGGGTGATGGCTCTTTTTCTCATCTTACGGTGTGTCAAGAACACATTTATCTTGCAGGGATGTTGCCTTTTGATTTGGGCTGCAAGTCTGGTCATTTCTTGATCATGGGATCTTTCGTTGTCTTGCCATTCGGGCCGACTTCGACATTCATCATGCTGTAGACAACGAGGGTCTGCAATTCGAACTTGACCCACAATACTAGCATAAACTAACCAACATATTATGTGGGCCCTTGTGGTTGTATGCGTTATGTAGAGAACCTTGACTCATCTGTATATCACTTGATCTCGATCGCCACAAGAAATGTACCTGCTCATATGGAATGCAAATGTGTAGGGAAAACCGGGGCAGATGCGCCGAGAAGCGAACATGGAGCGATCCAGAAACAAAAAAGAATGGCAGCAAAACAAAATGAACAAATCCTATCCTCGTACCAAGGCATGCGAGGGAACTCAGAGTCACTGATACTCCATCAAAAGGCGGACCGTAGCGTGTGTTCAACATTGCACTGATCAGACGCAAAGCTTACAGAGATTGGCGACGCGCTGCAGGATAGCAGTGACCGGTCGCGAAGAGGCGCTGAAGTGCACGGTGAATACTGATGTTAACCCCAGCAACTTCCAACCACAAAATGCTCGTTGGCTGTGAAGACTCGACATAGAAGGAGGCGAGGAAGTCAAGATTCCAACATAGGACTGAATAGCAGAGGCAGGCTGAAGACCCTGAGAGCACGGTCCCTGGAGCCTGTCCCCTGTTTGCACACAAGAACGGGGGCGCCCGCTGACGATCGGTAGCCTGATTGCACTACGTCTGCCACCTGCCCGTCAGAATTCTCCGAGGATCAGGGGCTGTGTTCATGTCTGCAAGACCGGCCCTGTAATCTGATGTAGCGGATCAGCACCATATGGCCATGGTGGTAGCCGCTGGTCGCTGAGGAGATGTGGTAATATGATCGATCTGGGTGCGAGGAGTTCACAAGCATGACAATCAAGTTTATGCAGTCATCACGGTGTAGTGATCGGGGTACCGGACTGGCTCGAGTGGCTGTAGGTACAGATATGCAATATAGTGCTGTTAAAGTCTCTTGCAGTAGGGGGATGCTGGGTTGCTTGTGTGATGATATCCGTGTCGCCATAACAAGAATAGCGGCACTTCTTCGACTATGCCCAGAGAGGCGCATGTGAGCGATGATACGAGAAGTTAAAAGCGACTCATACGGAGATAGTCACATGGGGAGAGTCAGATTCGAGTATGATTGGCATCGATTCTGGGTGAACACCTAGAAGTCTTTGAGCTTAGCAATTCAGCCCCCAGAGATGTTGAGACAAACTAGTATGATTTGAGAGAGTCAGTTGATGTCTGTCACAATGGTTGTCGTCTCCTTCTGGAAGCCTGATGCGGGCGAAGAGCATACAAGTGGCTGCCCATTGTTAGCGCGCTTGCTGTAAAGACATTTCCGTCGTCTTGAGATGCAGACCGAATGTTGAGTGAACACACAGCAGGAGGGAATTACGACGACCAACTTACAGGCTTAGTCGCGCCGGATGTCGTGGCCAGCTGACACAGAACACAGGAAGCCTGCAGCTTCCAGGGGCAATGTCCGTTGAGGCATTGCTCATCAGAGGTTTGTAGAACGCCGCGAGCGATGTTGATTGGATGCCAATTTGTTTGATGTCGGCACCTTGTTGAACAGGTTGGTTCTCGTATGAGGGGTTCTGTTTGATGAGGTGAGAATCAAATGCTGATAGCCGCCTAGCCAGGTGCACCCAGGTACTTTGTTGATGCAGTGACATACGCTATCAGATCGTCGCGGCAACTACATGTCGCGAAACAGTGGCGCTATCTGCTTGTCTGTCCTGGGATCAGAATACTCGAACTTGCGACGCGTAACCAAATGATAGGCTAGGGTGTAGTGACGCTCGTGCTGTACACCCACCTCAGCCTGGGCATAGACGCACGAGCTGCAGAATAGGCCACAGCGAATGCTCAAACCTTTTGCCTCTAGAGCTGCAGCTCTGAACGTGGATCTTGGAGTGAACTTGAATGCTTTGTTTGTGAAGGAGCACAGGCCGACCGTTTGCGACCCGTCCACAGGTGTCACAACGGTTCTTGTGTATCACGCCCAGGGCCTCACTGAAGTGTGTGCAATTAAGCTCTCTGCAAAACGCCTCCCACAGGTCGAGTGTAGATGCGGAGATCCGCATTTTCGGTCTGACGGTCGGGATTCAAGACATCCATGACCCAAGACTCAGAGGTGATATGCATCAAATGTTCCCAAATACCTAGAATGAGCTCTTGCAAAAGCCGTTGAGGGCCTTACGGAGGTCTGCAATACAAACATTGGAGCTGTCAGCGCTTTTAGCGTCCCACACTTGGTGTTGTAAGGTTGACAGGCAGACATGTCGCGCTGTGAAATGGTTGACCCATATTTTGCTTGCATGACGAACCACCTCCACAAGCTATCAACATTCGGTAAGCCATCGGCCGCGCCGTACAACGCCAACGTCTCGCTACCAATATGCACTGCTATAGCACACACGAAAGTCCTAGTCGAAGGTACTTCTGTGGAAACTTCTTGGCTGTGGCCATCGCCACATGGTTGTAGTCCACTACTTTTGGCAGGTCGCACTCATGTTGTCCCTCCAGGTAGATGCAGGCGTATGCCGATCGCAGCAGTACATCACAATGCCAGCGGGCTCAGCCTATTGAAGACATGATCTCTAGTATGAGCCCTGCCCAAAGTATCACATCACGCCGTTGACTGGAGCTTTGACCCAGGAACCGAAAGACATTGCAGGTTTCTTGTGCGAGCCTGTCAGTCGCTAGTAACAAGAGATGCACGCGCCAGTTGCGCGCTCGTGCCAGCACGAAGCGGTTCGCTTCCCACTAAAGTCCTTTGTTGGACCTTTGCTTCATTAGAGTCGCGATCGGCTGGCAAATTGTCAATGGAGGACCAAAAGTGTCGCCTGCGAGGATCCACGTAGCTGAAAGTGTCCCAAGGAGCAACAAGCGCCCACACGAGTATCTGGTACACCAAATATGGGCATTCTTAGCGTCAGTGATGGGCATGGAGCAATATCTTCTTTTGTAATGCACCGAGCGGGATGTCAAAGGCGACAAAGACCGTCATCTACCGCGAACTGGCTCGTAACTCGATCTGTAAGGTAAGTTTGGCTGGCCATAAGCGAATGGAAGGCGAGGGGTGCTGTTCTCGGCCACTTTGAGGTTGGTCTGGTGCTATTCATGGAGTCATTGATTGTGCACTGTTCTCGAGCCCCGGGCAACGGCCTATCAGTGCTTGATTTCATCGCTGTAACGTGCTCCTGTCAGGGCTGCGACACCGGCCCCTCCTGAGAACCATTAATTTGGAAGGCTGGAGTAAGCGGTGTTGGTGTAACAGGTCGCAGTAACAGTCGAAAACGAAAGCGTTCTCGATCTGGCGTCTTCGAGTCGAATGAGACATCAAAGCAGAACTCAAACCGGCTCTTAGTCCTCCCGATACAACAGTCAACTCTGATGCAGGTCGCCATGATGTATCGGAAACTTGGAATTGCTTGGACGCCCGACCATCACCGTCACGGGGTTGAGCGGGAGGCTGCAGGCCGATGTGCCTCGACAGAAGACGCCCTGCAGGGAAGGTGCGCATCTTGTGACCTCGCAATGAGCTGCGATACCCTATTCGAGCTGTGATCTCCTGAGTACCCGCTCAGCCACCATCTGAATCTACTCTCAACGGGCTGTTGTGCCTGGCTGCGGTAAATTTTCTGGCAGGCGCCGAGTACGCTGGGGGCGGCGCTCTTAGTGCAGTGAGGCCCTCCGGGAAGTAAGCGGGAAGCCCTGCCTCTGCATTCTCCTTCCAGCCACGTCAGATGACCAGGCTGGCATGGAAGTGGCAGAGTGGCTCGGGTCAGTCTGCTGTTGGCATCTGCGGCAAGCCTTCTTTGCTTGCTGGCTCCCGCCGATCACGGACAGCTCATTGGTCCAACTGATCTGATGAGCTGTGCAGGCGTAGGTTGAGGAATGCAATGCGATGATGAGTGCTCTCACGCCGGTCAGCCCCGAAGCTTGGGGTGTGGACGGCCGCAACGTGCAAGACACATGAGCTTCATGATGTTTGGGACGGTAATGTCACCCTGGACGCGTGGACCGTCGCTGGAGTAGCGCAGTAAGGGAGGGTCCGCGCTTCGCGATGTTGTTCTCCACCACACGGACAGATGGTAGGAGCGGTGGTGGAGTTCAGCGGGCAACCGCTGCGGGAAGGGCCTGGCGCACTAGTAGCCAAAGCGGGCAGGCGCGGACTAACTAACCGCGGGCGCTGCACGTCACCAGATGGTCTTTTCCAATCCCCTGTCGGTCCATCCCTCCTTCCCAACGATCATGTATCGCTTTTCATCTCGACGACGCAAGGGAGCCGCCGAGCCGGTCCACGCCCCGTTGTTTCTCGCTTTCTTCACCGTTCAGACCCCTGCTGACGATATGCCGCTCGCCGCGCCCACCTTGTCCGAGGCGCGACGAGAGCTGAGTGACGACCTTGAACGGCAGCCTTGATGATGACTGGCCATGCCCTCTTTCGGAGTAATACGCAGTAATCCAGGCTGCCGGGTCGAGGTGTGCTAAGAGTGAAGCAGTCGGATCATGGCGCAGTGAGCGCTCTAACCCAACCTTCTAGGCGATGCAACCTCTGAGCATCACCCGCTGCACGCTTGCCTCAGCGAGGTGCACCTGGCGTCACTTGTGTGGGCGGTGGCTGATCTCTCATCGAATCCAGTCACCCAAACCATCATTGCCAGAGCCAAGTAATCGCGACGCTGTCGCTCCGTGACAGTTAACGGCCCTTGAGCCAAAAGTTTCCTTGTCCTCTGGTCCCCTCGGCTTCCTGTTCACCCACGGTTCGCCCTGTCGTCTACCTGCGGCTACCGGGCCGTGGCGCTTTATCCCAGCGTGCTCTTGGCCCGCCTGTGACCCACTGCTGACTGGGCGCCGTGGGCAGTGAGTATCCAACCAAAGCTAATGTGGCAAGAGCGAACCCTGATCATCTGTTCGCTTCATGGGTTATTCTTGGGCGGCTGATCGAGATGAAACATCGAAGTCCCAACTGCTCGGTTCATGTCCTGCTGTGTCGAGTCGGCCACCCATTTCAGTGTGGTGTCGTGGTCAATGTTCCTGCATCGCTGCACGGGGCCCGTGATGCACCTGTCCGGCGAGCCAATCCACTTATTGCAAGACGGTGAGCTATCACTCCCGCGGGCAACAGAGGCCCTACTCCGGTGCAAGGAATGCAAAGCTCAGTGTGGACCAGCTACCATTTGAGCAAGACGCGAGCCTGGGCGCTGGGGCAGGTCATCTCCCTGACATCTCGGAGATATAGAGTCGCTAAATCAGGAAAGGCTCGCTGCTGCAGCTTGCCAATACTACCGTGGTGCTAGAGGAAACGGTCATGGTCTGAGAGCAGGGCAATACGGATCATTCGCCTGTGGGCTGAAATCTTGATCCAGCATCCTGAATGATGTTATGGGGCTATACTTGCTTGGTAGGCTCTTCTCTTTTCAGCCAAACATCCCGAACCTAACCCCAAGCTCAGTCTATTCTGGATCGAGCTGTAGTGGTCTCTATCTGCGAATCGTACATCTATTGCCCAGATTCTATATGTCCACGTTCTCTTTGATTTATCGTCTCTTCAGCTCATTCTGACAACCGAGTTCATCAACAAAGCCCTGTCTGTACCAAGCATAATAGACGCCACAGACCGTTGTGTTGATATATCTGCGTTTGGTACTCTACCGGGCAGCCTCAGGGACTTGCATCACGGGAGCGTCGAATCCTAGCGGCTTGTACAACGGTTCCCAGCAAGAGCCAATTTGACCTGAAGGCACGGTGCATACATGCTTCGACCCTTTAGACGGCTAACACCCGCTCAAGTCACGTCAGGAAAGCAAGTCTCGGGCACTTCGTCACCGACATTTACACACATCAATCTGCGTCGCTGCCAGGAAACGGCAACGCACCTGTATCGCCTACACTCGAGCAGAGAACAGGATACGGCCAGGTTGTCCTGCGGACTGGGACTCTACGTAGATCGCTGAAGATCTGACGATAACACCCTCGCTGAAACAGCCACGATCGAGAATCAGGCAATGCCACATCATTCCTTTTAGGACCTTTGCATAAGAACCCTGTAAGCTCCACTGGGATTGCGACATGCTCCCTTGTTAGATACGAAGGACTGACAGGTCGCAGTGCAGCGGCGACAACGAGCACACACCGCCTACGTCGCAACAAGGATTTCCAAGCAGTAGACAGCTGGATCGTTGTCCGTACCTGTCTGTGCTCGCCATTCGAGATCTGTGGAGACCGCGGGAAGAAGCAAAGCGCACCAGTCGGCCTGGCATCTTGTCTTGACGAACCGTTTAATCTCTGGGTTTAAGGTGTCGCGCAGCCGCAACAGGTGACATTAACGCACACCCGATCTCAGTAACTTCGAAAACCTCACAGCTGTGCGTATGCCCGTTGCTTCTTTGCCTACCAGGCCCACTGACCGAGTCCCACGATAGACTTGAATGCCCTCAAGGTTGATGGGTGGATATTAACACGCTTGGCACATTCAAGTCTCTGAACCTTGCCTTCACTCCATACACCCACAAGTGTCTGAGTCACTTGTCTCCATCGCCAGCATCGTATTTACGCCTGTCGACTGCGCTCGCATTGGCAGATACTCGAACTGCACCCCTGCGCCGGCTAGACCGCCGTCAAGCGATCCAACAACAGCATCAGGCAAGGCTGCGGCAGCCAACAACACTCTTGCTTCCGCCGTACATTCGTCAGCACCGAGAACTTGCTGCGATATTGCCACTTGGATCCGCGCTACAATTCGAGCCACGCAACAAAGATTGGGCCGCTCTTGCTCACCTGTAAGTTACATGTAGATCCTTGCCTATCATCCGTGGTAATCTAACAAAATAAAATCCAGGACAGTCAACAGTTACTTGCAGATCAATGATGCACTCGAGTAAGTCAGCAATTTTCTCGTTTTGCGTTCGCGCGTTCTACAAGAGCAGTGTTCTCCACTTTTCGGCTTCCAAGCGCTGCATCCTACAGCCGTGGGCTGGCGCCTTTCTCCGCATTCTTATCCTGCATTCCGCCTGCGCCTCTTTCATATGCTGGTCGATACAGTATGCGCGTTCTGCTTTGCACTTGTTTATCGCTACACGCTGTGGGTCCTATGTTTCGAGTTCTGCATCGTCTGTGGTGCGCTCTCGCACACTCCTTTTATCCCAAATGCGGAGCCACCTGTACAACCAAATCCCACGCGCGTATGCTCCCCTGTGTTCATAGGCCTAACAACGCACACCATTCGCATTTGTCCGCACCGCTGCCCTAACCTACTGCCTGCACGGATGAGAATGATTGGCTGATTACAAGGGCGAACAGTACTTCATCCTCCTTTGCCAATGGCATCGGATAGCCATTTCTCGACAGAGGAGGCCTGTATCGAGCAGATTGGTTCTCATGCACATCATAACTCTTTCGCAGCTGGTGTCCCCGATCAGCTAAGGCGCGACGGGCCCCTAGCTCATACAGCGACCGGTATGCCTTTGAGCGCGATCACAAGCCGTTACGGTGCACACCGTCCCGACGCAACGTAAGTAGCCTTTCTCATTGGTCTCTTCGTCCCCGGCCAGGCATGCAGGCTCTGTTGTGCCGCCTGTCGACCCCAGCCTGCATCCTCGACGCCTCTTTGCCTGCTGCTGGCGACCCCTACCCCAAAACAAACACGTCGACGATGCCTTTCATCATACTTGTCGTCGCACACATGTCGGATGCATGGCACACCTAGTCGTCCCAACAGGCTGGTCTGTCACGTATGATCACACGACGAGCCTGGCGGGTCTGCCATACCATCCTGGGCCAAGTCAACAACTTATACCGTGTCACCCTACACTCGGTTACACATCGCTGTTGCTCGCATCAGTTGGGCCGATTAGCATTGTTTTGCTGAGCTGACTGACGACCAACAGTTACCAATCTGGTGTTGCCCTCTCCGATTCGGGATCTGGGTCCATCTCAACCTCGCCCAGCTCCAACGCCTCGTCGGCACTAGCTTACTCCTACTCATCTTTTTCTCCGACTGTGGCCACAACCTACTCCAACCAGTACCCTGTAGCAAACAACTACAGCGGCTTCTCTTGTGGTTACGGTAACATGTCGACTCGACGGATGTCCACCATGTACGTTGCCGTTGTGGCGCATTCGTGCACAACAAACCTAATGCGTATGCATGCCAGCTGACAACAATACCATAGAAATGATGCTTCATCGTCGGCCATGTTACCTCCGGCACGATCACCAGGGTTGAGCAACCCTGTGTCACCGCCCCTGGGTGTGTCGGCTCGAGACAACTATACAACAACAACGTCTAGCCTGCACAGACATCCCCACGCTCTGTCGCCTCGTCATTCTGATCTCTCCCGCTACAACTCGCTGCCGGATACACCAAGGAGTGTTCTGCCGACCACCATGCCTTTGGCCTACAGTACCTATCAGGGATCCTCCTACCCAAGCCATAGTCAATCGTCAGATACCCCACCGTTCAATGCACAAGAGACATACGGGACCATCACCTGCGAAGGTACTACAATAGTACCGACCATTGAGGCCAAGATCGAGAAAGGCTTCTTCTATTCTGGCGATAGCGTCTGGACGTGCTATCGCAGGAACTACTTTGCCGTCAACATCTCATACGGACTTACACCATGGATCTCTGGCTCCCGTTTGTACCTTGATCAGGGTAACGGCAAGCCACAAGAGCAAATTCAGTCAATGGCCGTTTCTCTTGCTGCCGCTGTCGATGCTTCGGCAGGTAAGACTATTGAACTCATTCAACACACACCCAAGCGCGATAAAGGCCCCCAACTTCCCTTGAAGAAGGAGCTCCTCGCACCTACACCACCTGGAAAGAACCATGAGCATGGCGGCTATGGTCTCAATAGCTTTCATCAGTCTTCAAGTGTACCTGGTCCACAGTTGCCCCTACAAGACTCGTCCGACTCATCCCAATACTCTCCAACCAGCCACGGCAGCAGCAACTATCAGCATAACTTTGAACGAATTCAGTTCAAGTCAGCCACTGCCAACAACGGTAAGCGTCGAGCCCAGCAACAGTATTATCACCTGATCGTCGAACTTTGGGCCAACATCCAAAACCCACGGGACAACGAACCCAAGTGGGTGAAGATCGCGGCTCGCTCCTCTCACCCAGTCGTCGTCCGTGGAAGATCCCCAAGCCACTATCAAAACGAGGGACCCCAGAATGCTGGTGCCAGCCGAGGGGCCGGTGGATCGGGCCTCGGCGGGCCTGGACCTCATGGTATGGGTTCGAACGGCGCTCGAGCATACGGGTCGTTCAGCAATGGCCTATCAAACGGTAGGACATCGATGAATGGCAGTATGTACCGAGGAACAACATACTCGCTCGACCCGAGCCCTATGGGCAGCCACTCTGTGAGCTCCGCCAGCTCCTTGAGCGGTGGACCACCAGAGGGACTTGTTGGAGATCAGCATATGATCGACGATGACACAAAGATGAACGACGCTCCTCAGGAGTACTCTTACTACCCAGCCCCCCTTTACGAGAGTATCCCCGCAAAGATTGAACACTCGCTTCCGCTGCCCCAACGCATCATCAAAGAAGAGCACTCAGGTCCTGCGGCACTAGCGGCTGGCTGGCATAATGGCGGATGTGGCCGTTTCCAAGGCATGGAGACTAGTCGCGGATACTATCCAGATGTGCATGCGCATGCTGGGTACTGATCTGCGTGCACACTGAAAGCCTTGCTACAAAGTGCGCCCTCCGTCTACACGGTTACGACTGAGAAAAATTTCCTCCTCGACAACGATAGCGATCAGATACAGTCATCACCTTCTCGACATTCTCGAAGTCGACTTCTGCTGTCATGATCAGATTCAACCTGCTGGTACTGCATCAACAACACCTGACATGTACTCGTTCGGTCTACAGCGGCACGAAGCTTCTGCTTTGTCAACACAACACACGATTTCATCTGATACACCTAGGCGCAGCGTTTGCTTGGGCGCTGGCTTCTTACGCCCTGTATCTTTCCTTTTCTTCTCATTCACCCTAATATGTTTAATCCTACACCAGCATTGCCGTCATGACACCGCAAGCGCGAACATTTCCTTCTGTTTTTCGGTAATTTCCCTCTGGCGCTTTGGGTCACGATTGTGTTTTTGGTGCGATTCAACACAGGTGTTTGGATCTGGGCGTAGTGAAAACATCATGAGTTACGGATGCATTGTGCAAGGAGCTTGCGGGTAAAAACGGTGCAGGTCGTTGGTCATACCCCCTCTCTTATGTGCTGTCACTGCTAGGCTTGCGCTGCCCAGTAGTGACAGAGACGACGATTGTATGAGTAATGGGTCATGGCCATGTTATCTCCTTCGATATGATCATCAGGACATGTCCTCTGGGCAGGCAGGGAGCACAAGCGTGGACGCGTCTATGGAACAAACACGGCTAACGATGGTGGCCCTTGTCAATTGTATGAATATATAGCCTCTAAAAAGCCTTTGATAGTTGTGTGAATGCAGGCGGCCCTTCTTGTTTACTTGCAACTTCCACATGCCGCCGTGTCTGCGTCCTTAGTGTGGCATGCCTTGCGAGTCATGCCCCGCCACACGTTGACCACGCATCCTTCCAGTCCGTTGCGTCCGGACGGGCGCGCACTACTGCATGGTCTGTCAGCATGGCTCCACACCGCTTCGTGCCCAGTAATGGCGCATGACGACCTGACGTTTCTTCTTTGCATCGAAGAGATGAGATGTCACTTCTTGAGATGAGGTGCAAGGAAAGATCACTAGCGGCGGGGAAGGATGGAAGCGGCGGCGGGCCAGGCTTCGGCTTTGAGCGCCTAGCGGCGAAGTGAGTTTCCACCTGGCCTCTGCCACGCCCCTCGCGAGTTCGGGCACGGCCACGGAACCACGAGGCCCGACACGCTCTCTTGTCACGTCATCACCCGAGCGCCAACCGACGCGATCCCCTGTCAGAATTTCCAGCCCTGGGCTTCCAAACACACGAAACTCACCGCCAGAATTGCGCGCATCTCCTTCGCACGCACAACACACGGACTGCGCTGCGCTACTGCGAACACCCGCCCGACCACCTGGATTGAGCAAAGAAGAGCAGGGCTTGACTGCGCGGCCCGGCACCATGGCCTGGTATGATGAGGATAGCTGGCTGACCCAGGCCTTGTCGCCGAAGTTGTCGACTATTCTGGTCACCTTGGCAATTACGCTTCTGCTACCTGTTCTCCTGCATTCGTTCCTGTACAGAAAGGTCGCCAGCGCCACCGGCCTGCCCACGTTCTTGCTCGTGGGCCCCAGCGGAGGCGGCAAGACTGCATTTACGACGCTGGTAAGCTGCTGATGGACATGGTGGCCATGCACCAATTGAAGCTACTGTGCTAATTTGATCCCAGAGCGAGCGCGGCACCGTCCCCACCACCCACACCTCCACCACCCCCCTTTCCATCGAAGCCCTCTTGCCCGACCCTCACGTTCCCGCCTCGGCGCACTACCGCTCCCCCGGCGACCCAGCCTTTGAGCGCTCGCGCCGCTTCATTCTCCTCGACACGCCCGGCCACGGCAAGCTGCGCAATTACGCTACCACCACACTTGCGAACCCCAAGGATGTCCGCGGCATCATCTTCGTCGTGGACGCTGCCGCCATCGACGAGGAGGCCGGGCTGAACGAGGCCGCCGAGTACCTGCACGACGTGCTGCTGAATCTACAGAAGCGGTACACTAACGCCAAGACGAGCAAGGGGCCCAAGGAGATCCCAGTTCTGATCGCGGCGAACAAGATGGATCTGTTCACTGCGTTGCCTGCGAGCTCGGTTAAGACTAAGCTCGAGAAGGCCATCAGCGCGGTCAGAAACAACAGGGCTAAGGCGCTGCGTGACGCAGGGGCTGCGCTGAGCGGTGATGATGATGTCGATGAGGAGAAGGAATGGCTCGGTGAGGGTGGAGAAGGCAGCTTCGAGTTTGACCAGATGAGGGAAGTTGGCACTACTGTCGACGTTGTTGGCGGTAATGTCAGCCAGGGCAAGAATGTTGGCGATGTTGCGGGATGGTGGTCGTGGGTCGGTGAGCACTTGTAGAAGGCGATTGGCAGTGCACTTGTTGATGGGAAGCTCATGTGTAGGAATAGTCGATACCCAATTTCGATGTTGATATACAACCGCAAGTGGACTTTACCACTTGTCACTTCCAGATTTGACGTTCGTAGGCGTCCATTTCAATGCACCTACCTTCTACGTCGCTTAGCTTCTTTATCCTAGTTACTACCTTGAAACATGGCCAATTACGAGCCCGGATACAGTCCAGTCGCTGGTGGAGTATTACTGATCAAGATAACAAGCTTTACTCCCTGCTGTTTCGACTTATCGCGTGGCAACGTCTCGGTCTCGGGCCGATGAATCTACTACAACTCTGGTAGCATCACAGTAACAACGTCGCGCTGAAATTCGATATCCTATCCTTCCGAGCGTAGTAAACAAAGAGAGTAAGCGTCTGATCAGCGTACAATCACCATCTACGACTCAAAAACCGCCAGCTCCTCTCACCCGCTGAACAGCACCCGCAACACCTTTAGCCCAGGAGAACCGTCCAGGATCCTTACCAATCGCACCTTCCACTTCCTTGCCCTCTTGGTCCCTCCAAATACCGTCCTCCTGCGACGCCAGTCCGTACAAATGGGTATCTGCATCTCCGGTCAGACTTTATCACACGACTTGGGTATTACATACTTTGATTCCTCCTCAACAGCTCCATCCAATCTCTGCACACTTCTTGCGAGTCAACCATGATATTGACCTCCATCGAGTGGAACCAGGATTGCGTATCCTGATTACCGTTGCCCTGGATACCAACCTGCTCGTCGACGATCATAAGCTTGACTATTGCCACATTAGCCGCGTCCTGTGTCACAGATGTTGAGCCACCTACTGTGGCAGCTCCTCGCCTTAGCCTTATTATGGATTGGCATAACCTGATCTTTAGCCACATAATAGTACACTCTTAGATTCGCCCTATGTGACGCGCTCAGACTTCCGTATAGTTCACTCGCCACCATCTCGTTCGTGCCGCCCTGGAACGGCAGCAGTTCGCCCGCATCATTGTAGCCCAGACAGACGTAGTACGTGACCTGGACGCCACGGACGGCTGCGTCGCGGAGCGCGGGGAGAAGGGGCCCGGCATTAAGGTTGGGGGTTTGGATGAAGATGGTGCGTTGCGCGTTGCGGATAGCGGCGAGCCAGGCTTCGTTCTGGGGGGCCGTAGCGCAGGAGTGGTTCGGGGCGCCCCAGGGTCGGCGGTTTACCAGGGCCATGGGGAAGGGAGCGTGGGGCTTGTGGGCGTGGACGAGGGTCATGATGTCTTCCGGGGCGCATTCTGGTGCTGTGCTTTTGCGGTTCAGTTTTGTTGCGAGGTCTGGTGGATGTGAGTAATCTTGAGGCGTAACGTGGACCTGAAGAGGGACTTACTGAGGTGGCGCGCCACTGCGTCCATTCGCTTCTCCCCGTTGATTGGGGAGAGCACTGCCTGCATTCGTTCCATCTCAGCACCAATATTCGCATCGAGTGATCCGGGACTCTGTGCTGGCAATGGAAAGTCGTGGTTGCCAGTGCCGGAATCCAGCTTAACGAGACTGTCTCGACGCGCTTGATAAGTACCAGTTTCGTCAAAAAAAGCCTGGAAGGAGGGATCGCGAAACGTCACTACATCTGCGTTGCTTGCCGGACTGTTTAGAGTCGGTAGCGGAGGATCGAAACATTTTGCCCAAGCGAGCAGCGCCGTATCGTAAACTCCATTCACAATCTCGCCCTCAATATGCGTCATCATCTCCAAATTATCGTTATCCTGGATGTTGTTGCTCTGCACCACAGCCATTCTCCGATCAACAACCATGAACTTGGAGTGGAAAGTTCCTAGCATTGGACGGTGATAGTTCTGGACCTCCATGTCGATGTGCGGAATCTCTTCAGGGGCCGGTAGTCGCACTGCTTCTGCGGTGTACTGCGCCGGCGACACCATCTGATGGTTGTCGACCACTTGCTTGATGTTTCCGCGATCATACATGATCTTGACAGTTACTCTCTCTCCGCGCTCGCCGGCTCGTCTGGAGAGCTCCTTGATGGCGTCTGTGATGATTGATGCCGCGCCAGAAGCAATCCAGTAGTTTGTTGCGAGGAAGACTTCCTTTTCTGCGCGTACGATCAGGTTTGCCATGTGCCGACAAATGTCAGGCACCGGTGCGACGATAGTGATCGGTAACACTCCATTGCTGCCCATCAAACTGGGACTTATCATCCCAGCGAGTGGGTCATTCTCGAGTGAGCACAGTGCTGCATGGTAGCATTGTAGAAAAAGCTTGCTCGGCTCAGAGCCGCCCCAATTGCCGCACTCTCGCGCGCGCTCAAGCTCTTCAAGACTCGTCGGCTGTCGGAAGGGAGTCTCTTCTTCGGTGATGGCTTCATGTTGTCCGCCATAAAGACCATCAGCAAGACGCGCAGGCTCTTGAGAGGGTTCCTGCGCAAGTTGAGATGAGACACTGGCAGGACTTGTGCAGTATCTGTAGATTTTGTCTGATATGGAGGTCGCCATTACTTTGCGGGGTATCCAGGGCTGGTGATGATATAGATAAGCAGAGGTAATGAGGAGGAGAGTACACGTTAGCAGAGACACTGCAGTGTCAAGTTCAGGTAAGAAGCGGGACATGCTGCTGTAAGTCAAGATTTGGGTCTCAGTATCCTGAAGGTATGTCACTTCTTCCAATCCGGGTGCTCGGAAGGGGCTTGCGCCAAAGAGTCCTTGGATGACAGCATAGCCACGCGTTCACTGCCACAATGCCGATCGTCTGGGGTCTGAGTTGAGACTAAAAAGGCTTGTCGTGCTTTCTAAATCTTCTGATTGACTGAAAGCGGCTGTCGAAAAGCTTGGTTGTGCACTAAAGAGCTTGGTTGACTAGCCTTGTGAAGGTTAAGCCACAGGCGCTAGGCATCTGCTATCCGGACAATGACGTTTAAACCTGCTCGACGAAACAAAACCTTGGAATACGCGACGGATTCTGGCTCGATTAATCTGTGGTTGTCCTTGGGACGGCTTGATGACGGGCAGGCACAGTATAGGAAGCATGGAAACCTTGTGGCTAGTATGAACCGGATTGTGTTACGCAGCAGTGTCAGAACGATCTTTGACAAATTCTGGGTGCTCTCTGTAAGCTATAACTTCCAGAATCATGAAGTATATCTTCTCTACGGTATCGCACCACTTTCGGAGAGAGAGAATAATCGAAACGATCATGTCATCAACTTAATAAGAATTCTTACCCACTTTCGTTGCGATCATACTAATGCAACCACATCTCGTGAAACTCTCACATCAGCTAGTAGAGAACATTAAAAAGGAGCATTCTGGTTTTCTCAATGGCTAGGGAAGAACGATGGCGAGTTTCTCATTGCTGCACTCTACTCAGGTCTGATGTCGAACTCAATTTATGCGTGGACCTTGCTGAAGAACATTGAGTTGCGCACTGACACGCTCTCTTCTTGCATTGACCTTTGAGAACTTTCTTGTACAATTGCTGAACTTCTGACAGCCCGTGCTGCCAGAAGCGCATCTTTTGCTGCACTATTGCGTGTTATTGACATCTGGAATTGCCCATCTCGGCACCACTTTATTGAACACCAGTGGCTGCGCAACAAAATCCTTCAGTATCGCAGTGGGGACGGGAACATGTACAGTCTTGTAAGCTCGAAGCACGCGCATCATGAGTATGGGCACCGAAAGAATTCGAACAGGTGTGAAAATTGTTCATTGTTGTAGAACCTTGTCTACCTTTGATCCCGGTCAGTCCCAATCGTCGCACTTCCGCCCCCTCTCGCCTCAGCCAACAACTGGGTGCCCACTACCTCGCCCGTAGCCTTGTTTTTGAACACGCCGATGATTGAGAACAGTCCTTTGAATGGCTCGTAAACGTACTCCTCCTCCCTAACCTCCTCGCCCTTGAATGTAACACTTTCATTAAAGCCATTGAAGCGCATGTTCTTCTCGTAGTTGCCTACTACACGCTCATTCGAGATGGACCCGTAGTTGTTCAGCTTTTGCTCGATGATGTCTCCGTTCTGTGCGAGAACACGACGAGTATGCGTGTTCCCAGAAAAGTCGTTATGTGAGTAAAGAATGTTGTTCCTGATGTCGAACTGCATGAGGTCCTCTGATCGCTTGCTTGCTGCAGAAGCTGGCGAGCCGGAAGTCGTCGAATTCGATCCTGATCCAGTGATGCCATCAGCAACGTCGCCAATCAGGCCGGCGGTGTCGTTGATGATGCTTCCCAAGCCATTGCCCAGTTCGGCAATGATAGGGTTGAGGTCGATGCTGTCGAGCACGTCGCTGACCATACTGACAAGGTTTGTAAGACGTGCTTCCAGATAGACTTTTGCGGTAACGTTCTGGATCAAGATTGATACCTTGTCGATCGAGAGATCGACACCGGCATTGAAAGATAGCAACGAGAGCACCTGTGCGTCCAAATTGATCTTCGCGGTCAAATTGTCGACGCCGACGTAGATCTCTCCGATGGAGACTGAAGCGTTCAGGAGGACATCCGGCTCAGGGACCAAGGCAGAAACGTTGGGAGTTGTATTCTCGGTCTCATACAAAACGGCGAGAGGGTCGCCATCCTCACGGATGTCGAGCTTATAGCCCGTATAACCATCGCTGTCGACCAGCTGTCCAAGCACCGCGCAAGGAAGGAGTGTTGCAAGGACCGCGGCGAAGGCACGCATGGTGAATTGTATGGAACGATGAATTGAGTTTAAAGAGAGGACGCAGCTGCAAGAACTGCTGAAAGGGAGGGAGGTGACAAACAGCTTCAGTAGCGACGAGCGATCAGGTAAATGCACGACTAGACATCATCCGCAGTTGTATGGGATGCGACGATGGATTAACGACAGGGATCTGTAATTGGCATGATGCGCATTCAAGCCTCAACTCACCACACGAAGAAATTGCAACGGCGAGAAGGGCGAATAACAACAGCACATATACCCCAAAAGCAGGATTTCTGATAACGATATAGGTTCCAGGCGCCTTATACCCCGCAGCGACTCGCCGTTAAGGCAGAAAACCTTGTTCTGATTGCGGGTCGCGGGTGTTTCAGGGGTTACCCGAGATGAGCCTTATGGAGAACGCGACATTTGCATGTCAAGTATCTCGCATTGCGGGTTGCTTTAACCGATGCTTCGATCTTGGTTTTCCTTCTTCTGCTGTAGGCCTGCTGTTCGAGATTTCCTCAATTTTCTGCTCTCTGTTTTCTCGTTCGTTCCAAGCTGCCAACATGTCGCTCTCTATTCGTCTCCTGTTGGTCACGTTATTTTTCGCTTTCACTGCGCAAGTCTTCGCGCAAACTGGTTCGTCCGCAACACTGGATACTCCGCCGATCACGGGTACTGCGTCCGCCAGTGCGACTGCCTCAGTAACCAGGACCCCAACAACATCGGCACCAACTGCTGCAAGAACCTCAACGCCACCAGACGTCCTTCTCCAGGTTCCCGAACTCCATGTTGGACGAATTGAGATCGTAGTAGAGAAATTGAAGGCTGATCTCAACCTGAATGCCAGGGTTGCAGGCCTTGTTCAGATTAATGCAGGAGTTGCAGTGTCAGTCGAGAAAGTCAACATTACTATCGCAGATGTCGATGTGAACCTAGAGCTTGTAGTCAGACTAGGCAACTTAGTCGAGATTGTCGAGCGTGTTTTCGATTCCCTGGATCTCAATCCCCTATTGCTGAGTCTGATCGGCAACGTGACGAACCTGGTTGGAGAAGTCATTGGTGCTGTAGATGGTCTGGTAAGCATTAACCTCGTGGCCCCCTATTTGAGATCATAAGACTGACAACTATAGCTCGGTTCCATCACTCAGGGCGGCAAGACGCTCAACTTTCTTGTCGACAATCTGGGAAACATCGTACAGGAGGTCGTTGGAGGCGGCACTGATGCTCTGTCAGAGATCGTTGGTAACTACAAGGTAAGATTCCGGTTATTAAGCAGGTGATAGCATACTGACAAGCTCTCACAGTTGAACATGACGGAGGTCGCAGGAACTGTGAAGCAAGTCGGCCAGGGTCTTACCCAGAAGACGTTCTCTTACGAGCCCTTGGGTGCGCTCATTGATATCATCACAAACACCGCCGGTAAGCTAAGAGTCATCCGATCTCTGCTATCAACCTCTGTTGACACATTGCGTAGGACAAGTTGTACAAGCCACCGTCCAGAAGCCTTCCTCTGGTGGCGGAGGTGGTGCGTCGTCCACGCCGTCTGGTACTGCCACACCGATGCCTGTCACATTGCCTGTCAGCTCGTCAACAGGTACAGCATAGAGCGAGATAACTATGTAGAATACCCAAGATTGTCATCAGTGTCTGACGTCATCGTTCCTATTGTGTGTAGTCCTGTGGAAGGCCGTGGCCTGAATCATAGCATCAACATGGCCTTTCCACTATCTTTTGACTGACAATATGATTGCGCAAGAACAAACCCGGAGAAAGCTGTATCGTAGAGCAAGGCGAGGGTGTACGAAAAATGGTGGAGATGTGTTTCTAGCGCGGATTGATCCCCGCTCTCCTTTGAGCCCTTTCCCTCTTTTCCTCCTACAACTCTTTTTCAACCGTTTGAAGTCGGACTCTACAACTTCACAATGAAGACATAAAACATGATGACGGTCATAATATTCGGCTTGACATGTCAGCCATATTTAGGGCTCTGCTGTGTAGACGAATTATTCCTCATGCTCAGATAGGGTCGGGAGGGATGTCGCATGCAGGGCAAGCACGAAACTCAGCGAGAAATTGCGTGCTCACAACTTCCACCTTCGCAACCTGTTTATGAGCACCAGGTAACTTCAGCAACAGAGCACCTGCTCAAATGTCCGAGTATGCATATATTTGAACGACACATCAAAACAATCACAAGTCATGCCTTCCGCAGTCGACCCAGAATCTCCAAGTGTCCCCAGATGGAAGAGGCCAGTACATACGACCAAGCAGCTTGACTGGGCGGACATCAAGATCATTGACCTCTCGAAGTTCGACCTGCCAGGCGGTAAGCAAGATTTGGCCGAGGAACTCAGAGATGCTGTACACACTACTAGCTTCTTCAGTGTCATCGGCACAGGTCTCACGCAGGAAAAGGTGGACCGGCAGTACGACATAGGTCAAGCCTACTTCAACTTGCCTCTGAAAGAGAAGGGCGATACAGCCTATCGTTGTGATTTTGCAAACGGGAACTACTTTGGCTATCGTGCGGCATTCGAGAAGAAGATCATGGGGACCGACGTTCTAGATAATGTGGAATCAGTCAACATTCCCAAGTTCATCCCGTCGAACAAACACGAGCCATTTCACCCCTACCTACGCCAGTTCCGCACAGAAGTTGAAGAGTTCTCGAGAAGCTCTCTAGAGATTGCTTCGAAAATCTTTATCCTATTCTCAATCATCCTTGAATTGCCCGAAGACTACTTCTCGAAACGACATTCCTATAACGACGCCTCAGAAGGTAACCTCGCAAATCGATGAATCACCCAACTTCTACTAATAAGGTATCAGATCATCTAAGGTACATGATCTATCGCCCACGCCCTGTTGAAGACGATGCTAGGGTGGAGAACACATGGTCGCGGGCGCACACAGATTTCGGTTCATTAACTCTCTTATGGTCTCAAGAGGTCGCCGGACTTCAGCTCAAGACTCAAGCAGGCCAATGGAAGTATGTGCCACCCGTCAGCAATGGCATTATTTGCAATGTTGGTGATACCCTGGCATTCTGGTCTGCCGGGTACCTGAAGTCAACGATCCATCGAGTTATCAGGCCACCAGAAGACCAGGCACACATCCACCGCCTAGGACTCTTCTACTTTGTCAGACCGGGCAACAATGTCGACATCAAGCCAGCTCCTTCGCCTTTGTTGAAGCGCTTGGGACTCGTGGCAGAGGATCAAGAAGATGCGGAGCCAGTGAATGGCTTAGAGTACGTGAGAGAGCGTGTCAAGAATTACCACAATCACAACGATTATGCCGACATGAGAGGAAAGAAATTCAAGATCGGTAATCTGGAGATCGAAGATGAAGCCGCATAAGTTGAAGTGAGTTGAAATTAGTGCTTGAAATAAGAATATCTACAACGACAAGTAAGGACTGAAGACACTCGGGCGCAAGCCAAATCGCAGAAAGTCTATCATCTCGACACCACAGAGCAAGCCACCTTCTAGATTTACCAGCCAAGATACAGTCCGCTGACAGCAGTGTCCCACTGAATCCTGTCCGCATCGCCCACAGGGACCAACTCGTACCCGATGAGTCCATTCTTGACGTTCCAGTCCCCGATTTTCGGGCATTTGAAGCCATTCAGCTGGTTTGACGCGAAGTTCAGGACGTTGGCCTCGCCATTGAACTTGGCCTCAAACCTGCCCAGAGGGTTGTTTCTCTGATTGCCAGGGCCACCCCAGCCCTTGCTACCCTCCTTAGGCGCTGGCTGCAGACTGGAGAAGACATCGATCTGGCCTGTGCCGGAGACAAAAGAGCTCTTGGTGGGATCGGAAGACTGGCTGTTGGGCTCAAGCCAGAAGCGCAAGAAGCATGTGTCGGGAAGAGTTCGACCGTTTAGGTCGAACGTTACGAGTGTAGTATTGTCGCGGCCATCCCAGTTGTTGCGAGAAACTTCGCCACGGTAGACGCCGTAGTCAATGGCGCCATTCTGGCCGTGGTAGATCGAGATGGCGGACGGGGGAAGAACATTGTTGTATCTTCCCGTAGGGAAACGGGTCTCAAGAGTTGCTGGAGCGGCCGAGGCCAGCGAGAGCAGGGTAGTAAGTGCAAAGGTGATGAAATACATCGTTACTGTTGATGGTCGGTGGGGAGTGGGGAATCTGGAAAGTTGAAAAGGCTACTTTGATTGTTGGTAGGATGAGCTGCTGAGGCTGTTGTGATGTCGGTTCAAAGTGAGTATATCGAGTCTCTTTATACTTGTCTTTCAACCTCTACTATGATACAAACCATCTTCAAGTGTGGTGCCATTGTGCCCAAATTTGGATTTCAACACCTCTATGCAACCTCGTAAAAGTCACGGCTGATCCTTGGTGCCATCGTGACGACCTTGAAGAATGGCGCAGCTTCACGCGACTATGGTGGTAGGGGCATTGCCGTCAGCTCATGCTCTACTATTCGCTTACAGCTACCAAGCCAAGCGTTTGGTAAACATAGCAAATGATGTCGAACCCAGCTCTCGTATGTCGCGTTGGAGAGTCAGAGCCAGATGATCTCAGGTGTGGCGCAAGGCTAGGAAGCTGGAAACTTGGGGTAGTGCGGCTGAGCCCTAGCCAGATTTGGGATGTGTAGACGGTACTGATCTATTTTCGACATCACAACGTCGGTAGCTTCCGGCTCTCGATGAACTATGAGCCTGTGCAGGCACCTACTTGAGTATAGCGTTGAGGCTCTCATACCCTCCAGATTGCATCAGCCATTTTAGCAACCTGTCCCATCTCAGCCACATCATGCACTCTCACGATATCAGAACCACCTTTGACCGCCGCTGCAATGGCAGCTGCGGTCCCCCATGTTCTCTCTTTCGCATCTTGCACACCGGTGATCTTGCCAATAAATGCCTTTCTACTCGTGCCCACCAGCCAGGGGAACCCCTCCAGGCCGGGATACATCGTCAGCTCATCCAAACGTCGAAGTAACTCTAGGTTCTGCTCTTGCGTCTTTGCGAAGCCGATTCCCGGATCGAGGATGATGCGCCAGCGACGGATGCCTGCTGCCTCAGCAGCATGCACCCGATCTAGGAGTTCGCGGCCTACGCCTTCAATAATACCTTCAGGATACGAAGTGAGCTGGTTCATGGTTTCTGGTGTGCCACGCATGTGCATGAGACACACCGTGCAGCCAAGTCTCCCCATCGTGGAGAGCATATCATCGTCGAGGAGACCAGCGCTTACATCATTAATGATATGCGCACCAGCCTTGTACGACTCCTCCGCGACCTCTGCGCGATATGTGTCGATGCTAATAGCAATGTCCTTTGCCTCGGGCAAGCGCTTTATCAAATTTACCGCGGGCAGTATGCGGCAAAGCTCTTCCTTCGCTGATACTTGAACAGCACCAGGTCGAGTTGATTGGCCGCCAATGTCGAGGATAGTGGCTCCAGCTGAGACATGTGATTTGATCGTGTTCGTAAGCGTGGCTTCATCATTATTGAAGTTCTTGCCTCCATCTGAAAACGAATCTGGTGTAACGTTCAGAATTGACATGATGCGCGTATTTCGGATTGACTGGTAAGCAGTGATGTTGGGCTGCCCAGGTGCAAGTGGAGTAAGAGGCGATAAGGGTTCGCCTGAGACAGGAAGAGATGACAGATGCCCACTGAGCGTGCCTCCTGGTAGGGTCTTGTGCTTGGGCAAAACCGCATCAGGTATGAGTCTACTGATGATCAGCCTAGAATTAAGTGACAGTCATGGCACGCACTCGCATAATGGGCGCAGCACAAACTCTCTTTCAAGCATCAGAGCGTGCGGTAGCTGTAGCCTTTCGCTCTTCATCGTGACATCTTCATACAACAGTATATCCAGGTCAATATTCCTTGGGCCTTTGTCGATGACTTTGACGCGCCCCATCCTATTTTCGACTGCTTGAAGCTCATCTAACAGTTCGATTGGGGACAAGTGCGTTTCTATCTGCAGATGTAAGGGTGCTGGCGGCGTAGATCTCGTTGGTAAAACGTACCTCGCATGCACCGTTTACAAACATGTCTTGATCGACGACATACATAGCCTTGGTCTCCCACAGGCTACTTGTACGTAGGATTTTTATCTTACCATGGGCTTCCATCTCTTTGCATGCGTGCTCGATCATGGCTACCCTGTCACCCATGTTGCTTCCCAGTGCCACATAAGCACGATGCTTCTTCTCTCCAGCAACCTGCGATATGAAGCGTACATTCTGCGACCATTCATGTCTCGAACGCTTGAGAGGATTATCTGTCAATTTTGAAGGACGCAAGCTTGGCGTCGAGTAATATGTTCGGCTTGGGCATGTTGGCGCTCCTCGTGATGTAGTAATATTGTACGATAACCTCAAGCTCGCCAGCAGTCCTTTGGGTGTACGTCTCAGTGAGCTCATTGCACGCAGCTCTGCAGTGCAAGCCATGATCACAAATCGGAGCGCTCGTGATACCGACTTACATGTGATGCAGCCGGAGCTTCGGTGAAAAGTTCACAAGTGGTAGCGCCCGGCTGGTGTCGCGCTAAGCCCCAGATCTGGCCCCACACCGCTCATGTGCCTCGGCTCCCGGCTTGACCGCGCTCGAGAGTCGACATACTCCTCACCCCATAAGTTCCCGCCCTTCTCCTCCTTCCCCAGTCCCCTTCCAGCTGTTTCCCTACAACAGACCCTGAACTTTTTGATACCCACAATCAACGCCAGTTCAGTCAACATGTCTTCTCCACGTATGCATTCCTCACACTATTCGCGTTTGGCTACTGACATTCAATAGAGCAACTCCGCACAAAGCTCACTGATCTGCTTAAGATCCAGCATCCCGTCATTCTGGCTGGCATGAACGTGGCTGCTGGTCCTAAGCTCGCGGCTGCTGTGACCAACGCTGGTGGTCTTGGTGTCATCGGCGGTGTCGGCTACACACCTGACATGCTGCGAGAGCAGATTGCCGAGCTCAAGGGCTACCTGACAGACAAGAACGCACCGTTCGGTATCGATCTTCTGCTTCCTCAGGTCGGTGGTAGCGCACGCAAGACCAAGTAAGTGCACGTGGCGTTGACGCGCGATGAAATGTGTTAACAGGCGCTAGCTACGATTACACAAAGGGCAAGCTGAACGAGCTTGTCGACATTGTCATCGACTCTGGTGCCAAGCTCTTCGTTTCCGCCGTCGGCGTTCCCCCTAAGGCCGTAGTCGAGAAGCTGCACAAGCACGGTATCCTGTACATGAACATGATCGGACACCCCAAGCACATCAAGAAGTGCCTCGATCTCGGCGTCGATATCATCTGCGCTCAGGGTGGCGAGGGAGGTGGACACACTGGTGACACACCTACATCTGTCTTCATCCCCGCCGCAGTCAAGATTGTTGAGGGCCACAAGTCACCTCTCACTGGCGAGCAGGTGCAGATCGTCGCTGCCGGCGGTATCTACAATGGTCAGTCCGTCGCTGCCATGCTTAACTTCGGTGCCACTGGTGTTTGGGTTGGTACCCGCTTCATCCTCTCTGATGAGGCTGGTGCCCCCAAGGCCCACCAGGAGGCCGTGCGCACAGCTGGCTTCGACGACAACATCCGCACAATCATCTTCACAGGGCGACCCCTTCGTGTTCGCAAGAACCCATACATCGAGAACTGGGAGGACAACAGGGCGGCTGAGATCAAGGAGTTGACCAGCAAGGGCATCTTGCCTGTCGAGTACGACCTCGAGAAGCTAGGTGATGACCTTGATGACGAGACAATGGACAATGCACGACCATTCCTGATGGGCAAGGTCGCTGCTGTCGTCGAGGAGAAGAAGAACGCACGGGAAATTGTCGATGAGCTCGTTGGGGATGCTGTCAAGTGGCTGCAGACCACCAACGGGTACATTGTTTCAAAGTCGAAGTTGTAAATTATATACTTGTGTGTGGGTTCAAGAATACATTAGCTTATTCAACCATGTTCCATCTCTTTTGATAAATTTGTTGCGAAATCGCGACACGTGGCAAGCACGTGCAAATGTTGCCTGTCTATGCCGATTCCAATGGCTTGTGAGCCTGTGGACATGAAACTCGGTAGACTAAACGTCAGCCAGGGCTTTCCATGCTGATTCAAAATACTTTAACAGAGCGGCTGAGGCCGAGCCGGGTTCTATACTCGATCGGACTGTAATAAGACCGAGATAACTATTGTTGGTGTATAAGCATCTCGAGATAAACCATTTTTGCTTTCCATTTGCTGCTAAGGACAATCTACCAGAAGTGGCCAGATGGCCCTACAGCTTCAAATGGCTCAGAGCCAGCGTTGCACTACACGCATTGCAACGAGTGAGTGATCTCTTCAAGGCCCTCTACAGTAGGATGACGTTCAGGTTTTGGATGCAACATCCTTGGAAGCTGGTTCAGGAACTTTGTGTCAATTCTACTTAAATGCTGGTGTAGTTAGCGGTTCTGCTCATGCCAGCACACATCAGCAACTTGAGCCGTTCCCACTCGTGATTACTTGAGGCAGAAAGCATCGTAGCCACCATCTTCACGAATACACAACCGAGTAAAAAGATGTCAGAACTCGACCCTTTTATCTCTTGCTCTACTACCTTTAGCGCTGCGTAGCGAAGGGTGTAAAGTGAAGTGCGAGAGTCGGTCTCCGAATCAGCAGCAGACTTGTAGGCTCGAGCAGTGCCAGAATCTGGAACGTCTATCTAATAAGTCGATGAGAATGTAGGTTGTCCTCGTTCGGTAGATCGGACCAGCAAGCTCCCAGATTTGGAGTCCATGTGCCTGATATTACGGGCATGTATGAACAGAACTGCGTTTGAGATACATCCAAGGAATGTTGTAAGAGCTTCTATACCTGACCAAGTCTGTACTTTTGGGCTGCTGAAGGGATCGTCGCTCGAATTAGCTCTTAAGGAATTGCTTCTCTTGTTCATCTCAGCCATAAACTCGGTCAGATTTCACTATGCGGCTGGGTACAACAAAATGGCCAACCGTCTCTCAATAGTGTAGGTACCGACAACCCGAAACGCGTGCGAATAACGCAGCTTGTTCAAATGTTCAACTTCGACAATTGCCTCGGTCTTCTTCAAGGTACGCGAACTGAAAATGGTCTTTCTTGCCAATCGTATCCGGCGACACCTGACACACTCGACAGTAGCCGACTGACCGTGTCCAAAAATTCTTCTGACCTGAGCGGAATCTTACTCTCGTCTCGCGAGCTGTACTCCACGGGCTCTCCGTGCCTAAGCTAATCGAGTTCGTTGGTGAAGATACCTCTGGCGTCCAGGTGCTTCATCCAGTCACTGCTGAAGACTGGGCCTGTTGCAAATACTCGTGATGGGATAGCTTCTCTGATACGTACCAAACACCGCGGCCATGGCCTTTGAAGGAAGATCGCTGGTGAGGTCATGTTCGTCTTTCGAAACGGTATGGAGGGCTTGCGCGCATTGGCACGTCTTCTAGAAAACGCGGTCTTGCCAACTTCTATCCAGCCGTTTCGGTGTTGATCAACACGACCATGCAGGTGCGCACCGCCAGTCGGTGCTGCTATTTCGGTCGCCTTGAACAATTCCTAACAAAAACGCTGTCACTCGTATGAAGAGCGACGAGGCCAAGGGAAACATCTTTGCAGGTCGCACCGACCGGGCACAGCCTTTGTGTGACTGCATATCGAAGACCCTCAACCGCTTCCGACTGACACGCGTTGGCCAACAGGGTTGCGGCAGGTTTTCTGAAGCGCAGGGAATCATGAGGGCAGTATCGAAGGTGACCATGGTCGTTTCTTCGGCCCACCGATGATCGGGCAAGCACACCCGTCCTCTTACATAGCGGGCCAACACTGGTCTGTAGCGCCTAACACTTCTCTATCTAGGCAGTCTCTTTGATGCGAATCAAAATCGTTCAACAGCTGAACCGCACACATATTCTTTGGCTTGCTTATCGGGTACGTAGATATGGGTATATAACATTTGCAGCCTTGCGGCAACATGAAGACATGCATCTCTAAGAGTAACGCCGCTCTTGCGCCTCATGACCCGCGACTGTTTGTCCATCCTTCGAATACCTTGAGCATTCGTATAAAATAAATGTTTTATCCGGGAAACACCAATTCACCCCCTTCGTGGCTGAGGGCTCTTGGATGCTCTTGGGCTCTTTGGCACTAGCCCTTCACCTTGAGCTTGCATCTTGGCCATGGCACTTTCGACAAGGCGCTGTTTCTTTGCAACGTGTTGATGATGCTTTTCGATTTCTTCCTCGAAGTCTTGAGCTTTGTTCCGCTTTTTCTGTCTCGCCTCCCTGGTCCTCTTGATGATAGCGCTGAATTGGTCGAGGAACCAGTCACCCGCATCCTCCCACTCTCTGGTCGAAAGCCCGCTGAAAAAATCAGATTGAGCGTTGGGATTGAGCTCCCGCTGCACAAACTGTAAACGCTCGGGTAGAGGCTTCTCGCGTATGTTACCGGGGAGATCAGAGTCTCCCTTACGTGGGTTTGTGTCAAAGGTCTCGTTTGCTAGCTGCTCGTAATTCATTCTGGAAAGAACTTCTGGATCATAGTCGGTATCTGGGAAATCTGGAGCGCCCACGAGGGCAGATTGAACCGGCTGCTGAACAACAGGTACTACCTGAGCATGTGTCGTCGAAAGGTGTCTCGAGGCATGGGCGGGCTCTACGATTCTTGGAACCTGGTTATGGCCATACTCTGGCTCTACAGGTAGTCTGGAGGATCGTTGCTGAAGGCCAGTCGGATTGACTTGTACCATAGAACCGGATTGAGCAAGTAGGGCCGAAGGCACAGCCGACTGTTGTTGGACGGTGGCCTGGCTGTATGTGGGTGGCTGACTTGTTGGTTCATGCGCTGGGTCTTGATGTTGGACGGGCTGTTCACGACCTTGTACAGCATTGTCAGCACGTCGCTGTTCACGAATTTGCGCGCCATGCGACCAAACGTTATTCGGTAGCAATACAGGATTTGCATGCGGTGCATGGAGTGCAGCAGACTGCAGAGGCTGCTGGTTGAGAATTGTAGCATCGAAGCCTTGTTGAAAACGAGGTTCCGAAGGGCGCGGTGACGAATCAAGGTCTGCGAAATGCTCATGTTGCTCATCCCACTCTGTGGGGTTACCATCAGTCGTTGTAGGATATGAATCACCGTCGATTGTGGGAAATAACTGCGGCTGGGTGGTCTGTAGGAAATGCATCTGCGCTGCTCGGGTGGCATCACCAAGATCATGTGCAGTCAGGTAATTTTCCACCTCTTCTGAGAAATCAACGTCGTCTTCATCAACATCCTTTAGCCCTGACGCTTCGTCTTCGCCATCCCCAGACTCTTCACTGGCAGGCGGCAACGATCGGTAGCCTTGCTGCTGACTGTCTTCGGCTTGAATAACCGACTGATTGACTGTTGTGTCGATGCTTCCAGTGTCAGTGTCCCAGGCATTACTTTTGCGACCTTCACCTGATGGTCCCTGTTGCAATTGCTGCTGTTGCGCAGAAACAGAAGGAGGCTGAGACAGGATGTCGTCGTGTACATCAGGCTCTCGTGACGTGGGCGGTCGAGCAATATGCGGTTTCATGGGAACTTTGGCATTTGCTGCTACTCGCTGACGGTTGACTGGTAGCTGTCCAGATTGAGGACCACCAGCTTGACCATTGCGGTTGCCCCTGACGAAGTTTTGCAACCCTGACATGGCTCCTGAGCATCGACGCGTGATCGAGCGTCGGAAAGCAGCTCTTGGTTGATGTCTTGCGTTCTGGTGTCAAGAGACAAGATGAGACACGAGAGGTGAGGTGGGCCCGGACGGGCAAGCGCGTTCGCGTTTGGCACTAACCGAATCTAGTATCGCTTTGGGCGTCAGTCGCGATGAGCGATGACGATATCTTATGTCCGTTGGCTGCCCTTCACCCATGCTCAGTTCACCGTTACTCCTTTTGGGAACTTACACTACGGAGGGCATCCAAGCTTAGATATGTCTCAGTGCCACCTTTATAGGCTACCGAACGAGGTGCATAGTACAGGCTTACGTACAACTGAATGTCTGCTAATGTTTGGGTTGCACAGCTGCTTTTGCACTTGTTCGTGCCATTACCGACACCCGAGCTCCTCCCCTTAACTGTAGTCTCCCATCGTATCTATAATATCGTCCTTCGAATATTACACAATCGTCTGGTCGCAGCCGCCGAACTTAACTCGCACTCTCTGCTGCTCGAGTGCTACCATCCCACCGCCAAACTCACAGAACCTCCATATTTCTGCGCATATCTGGGAACCGATGGCCTGTCGCTGTACGAGAACCCCTCTGAACCTGATCGAGCCATTACCGCACGGTTAGGTGAAATGCGCAATATGTACTCACGCTTTCGACCATTTCGACGCGAGCTCGAGGATGGCGGCCGCAGAGTCGTCCGCCGGCCTGGAGACATACCTGGTAGCCGCACATATCCTGGGACCGCCCAAGACAAGTTCAAAGGCGAGCTTGTCAAGCAGACCCTCAGTCTCGACGCAAACGAGCTGTTCACGCAGCTTGTCTCTCAGACGAACCTAGTCAAGATTGGTCCCTACAATGGTTTCTTCAGCGCCTTCGTTGACGTTGAAGAAGGGGTGATAAGGGTCTGGAGGAAATGGCTGAGCAGCGCTGTCGCCAGGGGTAACACGCCTGGTGCCCACATGCGAAAAGACGGGACTGAAGAGATGGGGAAAGAAGGAGGATTTGCGTGCGAGAGCCTCGAAGAGAAGACGGATATTGACGACCAGCGCTTACTGTGGGTCAGCGCAGCGAAGAACACAGGGATACGTTTCAAAGTGAAGGAACGCAAACTGCGGCGAGATGCTCCTATCCTTATCCGGAATGACGAAGACGTGCCAGTTAGCTACGACATCGAATATGACGGTAAGTCTCGTTTCCGTATTACATATGTTGTCAGCCAGACACTAACATTCATGATAGAGCTTCTGATCCGAACATCGCACCTCCTGCTCATGCTCGAGAAATCTATGGTGCAAGAAGACAACTCGAGTGGCAAAGCCGTCGTATTCGGATCTTTTGGATAGCTTGATATTCTTCAAGCAGCACATGACAACACAACCAATCAAGGAGTGATCTGCATTGGGACTGCAGAGGACGGCATTGAGTCCAGCAAAAACATCACCGTCATGTAGAGGCGCAACATGGAGGACGGAGAGCAAAAAGAGAATGACCCGAAGGCGATTTGAACGCCTAACCTTCAGGAGACACCTTAACTGGAATCTGACGCGCTACCATTGCGCCATCGGGCCGGGTAAACCGTGTCATTCGATTTGATGAAGATTTGTGGAAAAGGCCGTATAATATACCAGACGTAATTGCTACAACAGCACAAGACCATTAAAGACATGTTTTAGACAATTTAACAACTTAAGGACCTGAAAGCTCAGTTCGTCGTGTGGATCCTGATCTACATTGTCCAGTTATTGAACTCTTGATGCGGACGTGTAGCCGTGCCTGCAACCCCACCACCCCACATTGCCTAGCAGAAACAATCTGGACCACGGCACAGTACGGTCCTCCGCAAGTGCAACCGGACTTAGTCCGCATAAGGCCACAATGATTGCAAAAACTGTGATTGCACAGGCGAGGTTGTCCAGACTGAAAAGTATCTCTCGCATTTCAAATTTAGAGCTGCGTAGGGCGAATCCAAGGAAAGGGCAGGCTCAACTGAAATGGAAACGACTCGAGGACTAGCGCAGACCCTGAGGAACACCAAAATGACGAACACACCTGGATAGCGCCAGAAATGCTAAAGTGATTGTTAGACTGACGGTGACTGTTTTATTGTTATGATCATGATGGAAAGCAAAAAGATATCTCCGCTCCCAGAATCGAACTAGGGACCTTTCGATAACAATTTTTGCTATTACAGTCGAACGTGATAAACCAACTACACCAAGCGGAGTGAGCGTCAATGAAGAACGCGCTTGAGTCTGAGTTGACTTGATGCAAACTTTGCAAAGTACAGCGTTTATATACCAAATGATCTGTCGCCTCACCCACAGCAATCTTTTTCCATTTGTCTCGTTTGGAGCGGCTGGAATGCACTCATTTCCACGTTACTTCTCAATGACTTTGCGTATCTTCAGTTGCAATTTATGTTTTTACGGCACGCATTGTTCAATCAGAAGGTGCCTCTCACGGTGCAGAATAATTTTACCTACAACATAGGTAGCTCTTACGAACCGCGACCAGCACAATTCCACACGATCGCATCTCAGACTGGCAGCGCGGCATCAAGTTCCGCTCGCTCTCATGTTGTAAAACCTGACAAGCACCCTCTCAAGTTATAGAAAAAACAGCGGATAAGACCCTAAGCTTACCAACTTTACAGAATACTCAAATTGTAGCTATCATAATACCTAAATCTAGAATTTAGTCCCTAACCCTAACCCTAACTCGGTGTTGTTGCGCTCGTCAGGGGCTGCCGCTCCTCTCGCAAAAGCTGCCTCCATCGTGTCGCTAGCAGCACGACCACCTCTGGCAGTGCGACCACCTCTCCCTCTCCCCCTACTGGTAGGCAGTCCTTAGCCGCGGCTGCGCTTGCGAGCGGGTTTTGTCGGTGTTCGGCTTGTATCGCGAGGGTCGACGTAGTTCTTTCGCAGACCATTGCCCAGATTGGCCTGTATGCTCTGTTGCAAGGATCCTGTCAATGGAGTGTTATGGGTAGGACGAGAGAAACCTTGGATTAGTCGACGTGCTGCGGATGAAGAGTGAGGAGAATTGCCAGTTTCCATATCAGTGTCACCGTCGACGCCAACGTCAACAGGTCGTTGATCCAGAGTGCTAAGCAGGGCCAATCTCCCGTCAGCCTTCGCGCGTTCAGTGTGTTGTTTCGCGACCATGCGCTTCCTTGCAAGTTCGCGAGGTTTATCTGGCAGCTGATTTATTAGAGGTGCGTCGGCGTCACGATTAACATAAACCGAGCCGTCTGGATTGAGGCGCTTGGGCAACTGGGCCTCGGGGCCAGGTTCAAAAGCAGTGCTCTCTTTAGCCATCTCTAGAAGAGCTGCTCCCTTTGTACGCTGACACAACCCATAGATTCTTGAGATGCGTCCAGTATGGCGCTTGCGACATACATTCTACCCATCGGTCAATCCACATGTACTGTACACGCCCAACAGACTACAGACCACTCATGTTCATACAACTTGGAGTCTCTAACCCCGACGCAAAACCCTTATCTTACCACCCAGAACGCCCGCAGCCATTCCCAGCCCTCTACCCAGAAGAGTCATCATCGTCCAGACGAACGTTGCAATGATTTGTAATGGCACAGAAACCACGCAAAGCGCCTCTCGGATCGCATCGAGAATAAACCACAGCGCAACGACGACGTAGAGGGCGAGGCCAATCTTCAGTCCGAGCAAGACAAAGGACTGAATCTGCTGGAGACCTCTGTCGAACGATTCCGAGGTAACAACAGCTGGGGCTGCTGGAGATTCTCTTCGTAATACAGTCGGTGTTTTCTTGACTGAGACATACGGCGCCGCAGGACGTGTGGGTGAAGGCGTTTTCGGAGGCGTATCGAGAGACGCGAAAGGTGATACATATATCGATCGCGGTCGCTTTGAAGACGGTGCTCTCACGGGCGGATCTGGGGCCGGTGCGCTTGGGGGTTTGCCCACAGAAGCGCCCTTACGGATCCATGGCCAGCGGTCCGTTAGTGTTCGCTTTACCGGCGACGGCTTCGAAGGGCTCTGCGTCTTGCTTGCCGATGCTTTGGGCTTCTCATCGTCACTTGAATTCGAGGCCGACTTGTCTGCTCCGCCAATTGTGCCCAGGGGATCTTTGACTTTGTATCCGAAAATCGAGTCGCCTTCAATAGAATACTGGCGTGTAAAGTTGGGCATGGTTTTTGTAGGACTCGGTGAGCGAGACGGCTCAACGTACGGAGAACGATAGACCTCGCGGCGGGGCTCCGCGTCACACGTGCGAGCTGATATGAATTGGTCTTGACAAGCCTGAATCTTGATCTTTGGGACAGCTGGGGCTTCCGGTGGAGTTAATCTATTTGCCTTCATGCTGACTTTGACTATTGTTGATTTTGGTGGCGTCGTCGGTCTTGACGCACCACCCTTTGCGTCCGCGCGCACAAAGTGAACACATTCTTCGATAACAGCTGCAGCAGTCGTGACACCCGCTATATTGGGCTTTCTGTACACTGATGTGTTGCTAGAGACTTTGCTCGTCGTGACGACAGGCTCAGACCTTGGCTCTCGTGGTGTCCATTTTCCTTGTGCCACCGGGGGGCTGACAGGAAATGCACCTGCTGGAGCAGGAGGACTACTGGACGGCTTCAGTACGGCAGGAATCGCGGCACTAGTCTTCGAGGTGCCTGCATAGGCATAGTCGTATGAAGCTATATTGGGCGGTACACGCACACCTATGCTGTTGTTCCTTTCTCGTGCCTCCTTCGCCTTCTCAGTATAAGTCCTGACAGCTTCGGCCTGTGCTCTTGTCGGCGACGACAACTTGGATCGCGAGACTGGGGCGTCGATGATAGGAATACGCGTTGTGGGCATGTGGATAGCAAATGCATCGCTTTCGAAAGCGTCATGACCATCTATTGCATCTGTGTGAATTGTCGCATGTCCCGTCTTCCTGCTGCTGGGCACTCGTCTTGGTACGTTGCTTCTCAACGGGCTTGAAGCTGCGCGAATCGGAGTACTCTTGGCCAGTCGGGGGTCGATGGCAACAGTACCAACCGCATGTGGGGGAGGCTTTGGGGCCCGAGGGCTCACTGCAATCGCGAGAATCTCCTCAAGTGTTTTCGATGGAGAGACCTTATCTTTGGGCGGAGGTGTTGGTGGAGAGTCGAGGGCCGCATGCGTTTGAGAATGGAAACGCCGTTGAAAGATCATGGTAGTCGGCAACAGTGCGACGAATATCTGGATACAAAACCTCCGTGGCGTTGTCAGTTTCAACGAAGAAGCCTGTGAGCCAATAGTTAGAGCCTGCAATTCCGCAGTACCTAAGCTCGCTGGAGGTGACGGCAATGCGGTCTTCGAAGAGTCTCAAGTATCAGCTGATAATGCAGAGCTGCTCTGTAGTGACAGCGCCCAGTATGATTGGGGTCCGTCATATTTGCTGAGGCGCAAGATACCTTTTAGAAAATTGTGTGTGGTCAGAAGCGGTGGCAGGTCGGAACGGAATGTGTCGTGGCTGGCGTTGCGGTTGAAGCGAGGAATGTGTCGTGACGCGAGATGCGCGAGCGTTCACGGCATCACGCAACGACGACCGCTGTTTTCGAACGCGTGTGAGCAGATAAGCACACCATCTGGGTGAATTATGACTTCATGGTTCTATCGGCGGTATTGTGATAAGTGCCGTCACTGTGGGGTCCCACCATAAGGTATGCCATGCTGTTCAGCATCCAGACGACTCTAGTTTCAACTGGGAACTTGCTCTAATGAACGTTCACGAATCATCGTCGAGGTGTTCTGGGCGTTAAAACGTCGAAACACCATCCTCGTTGGTGAAATGAACATGCTTAGCAGACTCCGGCGAGGGAGATTCTTGCGCAGAAGCGTCCTAATTCTCACGCGCAGTCTCGATCTCAGCATATTCTGCCCATCGTCCATTGACGGCCTTCTTCCAAGTGCGAATCGAAGCGTCGTCACCTGTGGACACCAGTAGATCTCCTACAGAAGGGGTTAGAGTATGCTCAAAATGTGACAGAAGAAGGCTCACCCATCTGCGAGAACGCTACTCGCCAGACTGCTCCATGGTGATTCGTTAGCTCATCTGTAAACTTCGCTATTTGAGTGATCCGCCCTGGGTGCTGTTCATTTGCAGGCTGCATATCTGGGCCAGCTGAAGCACCAGCAAGTCCGGCTCCGATACCGGAAGGAGCGTTCCTGCGTGAGTCCGTACGTGGCGATTCATCAGGCTGAACCGCGGCAGCACCGACAGATGAGTTGACATTCGAGGCTTTGCTTGAGCTTGGCGTTGAGAGTTCGTAGATGCGGATAGCACCATCTTTGCTCGCAGTCGCAAGGATATCGTAGCCTCGCATGGACCCATTAGCCCAAGCCAAATCACGGATGATTTGTCGGGAGCCTTCCAACTTCGCTATCTGGAAGAAACGCTTGGCCTTGTCTGTCCGGAAGATCAAGACGTCCTTCATCGCAGCAACCGCTAGCGAGAGGGATTTTCGGTCCAACCCAGCCATGATTGCTGTCCAACACGGTAGCTTCTCCTTATGAAAGACGACCTTGAACCCTACTTCATCCTGGCGGTCTGGGGGGTTGTCTTCGGAGACAGAGCGCTCTGCAAGTATTGTCCATTCGTTCAGACTGCTTTGATCCGAAGGTTCATAGACAGTCAATCGGCCATCACGGGTAATCAGCGCAAGCCAGGTTTCTTGCATGATGTTCTTGAAGTCCAGAGACATGAACGGAGCGTGGCCAGTTGAGACCAGGTTCGCGATCAGCTTGAAGCGATTACCTGACAGGGGCACCTCGGTAGCATCTTCCTGCCACAGTTTACATCGTCCATCCTCGCCTATGCTCCCTATAACTTCGCCCATGAAGGGGCCGTTCCACTTCGCCTGAGCCAAGTCAGCGCTGAAACCAGCTTCGACAGTGCTGCTGATTCAGGAATTGCGCATGAGGATGATCGCCAATGAAGCACTGAACACGCATGCAAATACACTTACATCTGTTATCTCGGCATCATGCGCTTTCCAGCTCTCGACCATAGTCCAAGAATCATCCTTCTTGTCCCAGACTTTCAGTCGGTGGTCTGAGCTCGCAGTTACCATACGCGTACCAAAATAGTTGAAATCGACGGCAAGTACAAGATCCTGGTGGCCGTGAGAGAAAGTTGTGAAGTTACGTTCTGAGGCCATCTTTGCGTACGCGTGACGCGCTCCAACGAATTCTTGCTCCAGGCGCTGGCTAACACGTGTGTCAACGCTTGGCGAGGTCCCGTCAGCACAAGGCTCTTGTATCAGCGGGGCGACAAGATCGGCCTGCTCAAGCGCATCGTCAATGGTCACTGCGAAGTTGAGATGAGACTGCCGATGGTTGGACAGCGGGCCAGAGTGCAACCGTGCTTCGTCGCGTGTGGGGCTCAGAGACGCATCGCTCGCAGCTTGTGATGGCAGCCGTGACGGCGTGATACTGGAAAGGAAGGCTGGACGCGCAAGTCGACGTGTCACAGCGTCCAGGAGCTGTACAGTATCGGATCGAATATGCTGTGCTGGGGCGTTGAGGTCCATGGAGGCTGCGCGTCTCGAATGAGCCGTCTCTCGTTTGGGGCTAGAGCAGGAACCAGCCGGGGAAGTCACGACTCTTGAACGTGGCCTTTCAACAACACAGCGACTCCAAGTTTTCGGCTCATAGACAGCACGCGTTATTCGTCGCTCGCCGCTCTTTCCTTTGTTGTTCCTGCTTCTCCCCGCACTCGTTGGGCGTTCACCCGCCGTCGATCGTCAAAGTTTATGCACGTCGTTACCGCACCCTGCACAGAATTGAAAAACAAAGACGAGCTTCACATCGCGCCGACTGCAATTGCGCCGGTATTGATTCGAGCCTTACCGCATTTGTGAGATTCACGTTCACCTCAGCGGATGCTACGGACGGTGAGCGCCCTAACAACCGCCTGAATTGGGTGCCTAGCTTCCTCATCATCCTCCCAAAAAAAGAGTCTGGAACGATATGTCAACATCGACGGCGCTGACTACGACTGAGACCATCTCGCTTGCAGCAGTCTCATGGGCAAGCGTTGCGGTCTTGGCGAACACTTTTCGAGGCGATGGCGAACCACTCATTGCATCCATAGCGTTCAGTGCACTTGCGTTCGCAGCATGTTATGCACTGATACGATGGCTCGGAGGTGCTTTCATGCGACGTGGTTTCAAAGGGAAAGACTTGTGTAAGGTGAAGAAAACTGAAATGTGAGTACACCAGCATGTGGACATGCCGTCACCAAGCTAACGGGCACAGTCCTGAAACCATGGGCGCCGTGTGTGCCATGGTGTATTTATTCGTCGTGATATTCTTCATCCCTTGGCCATTCTATAAGGACATTGTCGTTGCAACTTCAGGCGGAGGTAACCGAGACGTCATCAAAGAGCTAGAGCAAGTTGAGACGGGGCGGTTCCTTCACAAGTTCCCTCACAACAAACTTGCGTCTTTCCTTGGGGCCATCCTCTCGTTGCAATGTATTGTTCTCCTCGGTATCGGCGACGATCTGTTCGACATCAGGTGGCGCCACAAGGTGCTCATCCCCGCTGTTGCGTCCATTCCCATGCTTGTCGTGTACTTTGTGGACTTTGGTGTGACACAGATGGTCGTTCCACTCCCACTCCGACCATACTTAGGCGATTTATTTGATCTTGGTGAGTTGAAATAAGCCCTTTCGTAGATGTTGCTGACCAATTCTCAGGATGGCTGTACTACGTTTACATGGCACTCTTGTCTATCTTCTCCTCGAACAGTATCAACATTCTCGCAGGCATTAACGGCATTGAAGTGGCCCAATCAATCGTCATCGCGGTGCTGATAGCCGGGAACGACATGCTTTACCTATCGCCGTTTACGTCCTACCCGCATCCGGCGACGGACTCGCACCTGTTCTCACTGTACTTCCTTCTACCATTTATTGGAGTATCGATGGCATTACTGAAGCACAACTGGTACCCTGCAAAGGTATTTGTGGGCGATACCTACTGCTACTTTGCCGGAATGGTCTTTGCAGTGGTTGCTATCTTAGGTCATTTCAGCAAGACGCTGATTTTGTTGCTTCTACCGCAAGCGTTCAACTTTGTGTACTCGGCTCCTCAGTTGTTCCACTTGATACCATGTCCCCGACATCGGCTTCCACATTTCAATGCACGGACGGGTCTACTAGAGCCCTCGCGCGTACAGTTTCAGAGGCCTCTGCGAAGACCGATAGCGGAGAGCCTCAAGGTGCTGCACCGGCTTCGGCTGCTCGATCTCGAAATCGACGAGAACGGGCAGGTGCTCTCATCCTCCAACTTTACGCTAATCAATCTGTGGTTGGTGTGGTTCGGCCCCATGCGGGAGGATCGGCTGGCGTTGGGGTTATTGGCGTTTCAGTTCGCAGTGGGGATATTGGGATTGTTCGTTCGGCATCGCATGGCACTGCTTATCTTCACAGCGGACAACTGGTAGAGCAGGCATCTGCGAGCATCTGCATGGCGCCACATTGTGCATTGATGGCGGGAGATTAGACGACGGCTCGACAGCTTTTGTATAATAGAACGAATCCACATGTCATGAACCACACATCAATCTCACACCATGGTCGGCGCTCAGAAGCGCATACGGGTGGCACAACACTTGCGCTTTACCATGTTACAGATACCTCTCCAATCGGAGGCCTGCAAGAACGGATGACCGATGGCGAGGCGGTGCAGCTCACAAGCGGGGCAAACGGAGCGGGGCACCTTCAGCTGTCACGAACTTCGTCATCGCATACCGGCACGGCGTCGAAGCTCTTCGGCGCGAGTGCCGTTTCCTGCGGGTGGCCAGATTGCGGCAACGTCTCTCAGCCTCGGCCTGCAATATTAAGCATCACTAAAATCCACGCGCCTATCAGGATCGTGTTGTGTGCTTCTTGCTGTGTGTGCGCGGATCTGCCGAGAACGGACCGTGAAAGCCATCAATCAGCGACGCTCTGATTCGACACTCGGCCGTGGCCGCCCTCACCTCCGGCATCGGCGGGACATTTCTGAGTCCTGCTTTGCCATCAGCTATTTGAGTGCCACGGTCTGCGCCTTTAGCATACCAGACACTGCCCTTGCTTGTACTTCCCACACGTCTGCTGAGACTTCACCCTGCATTTTGTACCATTATACCCTCAGATACCCGCAAACGCACTCGTCCACTATGCCGTCTGCTGTGAAACCCCCACAGACGCTGTACGACAAGGTCTTCGAGGACCACATTGTCGAAGAGAAGGAGGATGGCACAGTTCTTCTTTACATTGGTAAGTGGGCCGTAATGTTTGTTGTTGCGGAGTTTTGCTAACAGCCTGCAGACCGACATCTTGTTCACGAAGTGACATCACCAGTAAGGCTACCACCGGTACGGACACTCTTCGACGCCGCAGCTGACAATTGGTGTAGCAAGCCTTTGAGGGCCTCCGAAATGCCGACCGTAAAGTCCGGAGACCAGACTGTACGCTGGCCACAGTCGATCACGTATGTTGTTGCGCAAAGTGTTTTTGTGTGGCTGTAGGCTAACAGGCACAGAACATCCCTACCGCCTCGCGGAAAAATCTCACAACAACCGAAAAATTTATCGATGAGGCCGACTCGCGGACGCAGGTTATGACCCTCGAGGACAATGTCAAGGCCTTTGACCTTACATACTTTGGTATGGACGATAAGAGGCAAGGTATCGTGCACATCATTGGACCTGAACAGGGCTTCACTCTCCCGGGCACAACAGTAGTCTGCGGTGATAGCCATACTTCTACACATGGCGCATTCGGCGCTCTTGCGTTCGGTATCGGTACCAGCGAAGTCGAGCATGTCCTTGCCACACAGACTCTTCTCACAAAAAGAAGTAAGAACATGAAGGTTCAGGTTGATGGAGAGCTGGCTCCCGGTGTCAGTAGCAAAGACATCATCCTGCACGTCATCGGCATAATTGGAACAGCTGGAGGAACCGGAGCAGTCATCGAATTCTGCGGTTCGGCCATCCGCGCCCTCAGCATGGAAGCCCGTATGTCGATTTGTAACATGTCGATTGAGGGTGGCGCACGCGCAGGCATGGTCGCACCCGACCAGATCACAATCGACTACCTCAAGGGCCGTCCTTTGGCGCCCAAGGCCGACAGCCCCGAATGGAAGAAGGCCTGCAACTACTGGCTTAGCCTGAAGTCTGACGAGGACGCCAAATTCGACCAGGAGATCTACATCGACTCGAAGGACATTGCGCCGACCGTCTCTTGGGGTACATCACCCCAGGATGTCATCCCTATCACCGGCGTAGTTCCCGGTCCTGACGATTTTGACGACGACGTTAAGAAGGAGGCTTGCAAGCGCGCCCTGAAGTACATGGGTCTGACTGCCGGTACGTCTATGCAGGATATTCCGGTTGACAAGGTCTTCATTGGTTCCTGCACAAACGCTCGCATTGAGGATCTGAGGGCCGCTGCCAGCGTTGTCGAGGGCAAGAAGGTTGCCTCCAACATCAAGCACGCGATGATCGTCCCCGGCTCCGGTCTTGTCAAACGCAAGGCCGAGCAGGAGGGTCTCGACAAGATATTCATCGAGGCTGGCTTCGACTGGAGAGAGGCTGGTTGCTCCATGTGCTTGGGCATGAACCCCGATATCCTTTCTCCTGGCGAGCGTTGCGCGTCCACATCGAACCGAAACTTCGAGGGCCGTCAGGGAGCTGGTGGTCGTACTCACTTGATGTCTCCCGTCATGGCCGCCGCCGCCGCTATCGTTGGCAACCTCGCGGATGTTCGCAAGCTTGCGCCCTCATCGTCCGCCGCCAAGGGCTCCCCCAAGGTCGAAGTTGCTCACATCCAAGATGTTGAGAGCGATGAGGACCTTGACAAGATCATGGATCTGCCCGAGCAGAACCAGCAATCACATACCTCATCCACCTCAACCAAGGGCGCCAGCGTAGGCATGCCTAAGTTCGAGACCCTCCGCGGCTACGCAGCGCCCATGGACATCGCCAACATCGACACCGACGCCATCATCCCCAAGCAATTCCTCAAGACCATCAAGCGCTCCGGCCTTGGCACCGCCCTCTTCCACGCCTGGCGCTTCGAAGCTGGCAGCGACAAGGAAGACGCCTCGTTCGTGCTGAACCAGGAGCCGTACCGCAACGCCAAAATTCTCGTCTGCACAGGCCCCAACTTCGGGTGCGGCAGCTCGCGTGAGCACGCGCCCTGGGCTCTGCTCGACTTCGGCATCAAGTGCATCATCGCGCCCTCGTTCGGCGACATCTTCTTCAACAACACCTTCAAGAACGGCATGCTGCCGCTGCGCATCACCGACAGCGCGGCCCTCGCGGCCATTGCCGCAGAGGCAAAGGCTGGCAAGGAGATCGAAGTCGACCTCGTTAACCAGGTCATCCGCTCCGCCGATGGAAAGGAGCTGAGCTCCTTCGACGTTGAGGAGTTCCGCAAGCACTGCCTTGTTAACGGGCTGGATGACATCGGTCTGACAATGGCGTCTGAGGACGCGATCCTCAAGCATGAGCAGAAGCGCACGGCGGTCTGGCCGTGGCTGGATGGCAGTGGCTATCTTGCGAGGCATCGCAAGGGCCCTGTCAAGGTGCAGGCTGCGAAGGTGCCGAAGACGAATAGGGGCGAGGAGCTGAAGGAGCCGCTGGACTGGTAGATGCGGAGTAAAAAGTTCTGGTGTTGAAATAGTTAATGGGCGGTGTCCTGCGCTTTACTCACGTATAGTTATGATGAATATATGAACGCGTAACGCGAAATCAATTTCAATCAACGTCTCAAAGGCACTTCGCTGTTCCTCGTGTGAAACGGGGTTCGATTCTGAAGTTCATTCTGCCCAAACAACGCCGCCTTTTGGAGATATGCAATGCTATTGCTCCTCGATCCCAACGCCCAACGCCTCGCAACAAAGCACCATTTTCCTGGTACTATCTACTCGGCTGCTGCCCTGCGAGCCCCGGGCCCTCTCGCGTCCACCCACCCCTACGCATCCCCTCCTCAATCCTACTCCAGATGCGCTCGACAACCTCCCTATCCCTCCACCGCCCCTTCTCACTGCCAGTCCACTTATCCACCTTCGTGCTCAGCACACCGCGACCCAAGTCGACAATACTTTGAGGGGCGTCCTCGCCCTGCCACCCGACGTACACACCGGGGTAGTGACTGAACAGCTCAGCCGGGTTGGGGTATTTGTAGGACTTGAATTGCCACGTCTGGCCAGTAGTGAAGACGGCAACGACACGCGACCAGTAGGTGGGCTTGAAGGAGGTGGTGCTGTCGACCAGGATAAAGGTGATGGGCTGCGAGCTGATGGATGGCATGGGCCGGCGGATCTGTATCATGTTTGCGCTGGTTGTATCGGCGGCGTTGGGTGGTATGAAGATTCCGTCGTCGAGGAAAGACTTTATGTTCGACGTGCGTAGCAGAGAGGAGGCCGAGGGTGACAGCAGGATGATGGGCTGTACCTTCTGGTGGGGCTTCTTAGTGAGGTTCGAGACGAGAGCCGGCTGAGGCGCAGAGGGCTTGTGCGAGTCGGGGCGGTTGCGGAAGAAGGACGCAGCAGTCTTGCGGTAGGGAGAGAAATCCTGCGAGCGTTAGCTGGTGTGCAGGCTTGGTGTATCCAGGTTCTTACAATTGGCTTGTTTCCGCGCAGGATGGTGTTGTGGTCGCCCATGGATCTCTCTCCATCGTAGATCTGGAGCAGTCGCGCGTCTACCATGCCGGCTTGTGTACTCTTCATGTTGCGGTCCACCGGCACGCCCTTGCCACCTGCAATGGCCGCCGCATCGCCCGCTGCTGCAGTTGCGGCGCTGCTGTCAATCGGCGCAATGCTGTCACTACTCTCCGTCTCTCCGCTCAACCACGAAATCAATTCGATCTTCTGCGCGAACGTCAAGTTCTGTACGCTTCCACCCGCGCCACTCGGCAGCTCCTCGTTCAGCGTCGTCACAGCCGCGAAGTAGTCGGTGACGGACGCATCTTTGTTTGCCCAAGCGAAGTAACAGCTTCGCAGGTCGATCGGCTTGCTATCGGGCGCAAAGCGCGTGTCTAATGTGAGGGCGAATGTGCGATGGGCGTCTTCGACATTGAATGTGATGTGCGTCGCTCGTGCCAATTCGGAGACATAATCGGCAGGTGTGGGTTCGGCGCTGGTGCTGAGTACGGGTGTCGCTGAGGCTTTGATGGACAAGCGCAGATTGTAGAGCGGATCATCGATCTCTGTCTGCGCTGGTTGGGCCATTTTGGGCGTCGCTAGACTGTTGGAAAGGTTTGTGATGGGCGATCGATGTAGCGACAGGCTTTTGGGCGAGCCGGCAGCTTTTGGGAAGCGTGAAGCTGCGACTTTTGGGAAGTCGCGAAGTCGCGCCTGCCAAGCCGCGGACGTGCATCTCCGCCGACAGCTGCTTTGTCTTCTCACCTCGCCACCAATTTGATGGTCTACACGTATTTGATCTTTTGATTTAGCCCGATAGTGATGCCTCCCTACTAGTATAAATCTTGATCGCCAATGGCAAGGGCCTGACCGACGACTAATCGAGACAGCTCAAGCTCGAGTTCTCTATCAGGACAACGACTTCATGCAGTGCAATTACCAAATGCCAATTCAAATATAGAGCCTTAAGAACTGGATGTCCGTTCTCAATCACATCGGCTTTCTCTCCTCCATCTCAGGTTGGATCCACTTTGATTAGCTTTATCAACATAGTGAACAAGCTTGTTTATCTCTCACCTTTCGCATCACCATCTCTCGAAGTGCATTGAACGTTCTCATCATGTGCCGGGCTGGCGTCAGGAAAGACCCAGCAGCAATCGGACTTGTTCTTACTATCACTACTAGCAGTCATCATTAGTATCAGATCCACCCGCTCGAGGCTGAATGAAGATCGAGACCGGTCGAATGACACTGATTGATGCATGCTTATGAGCGTTGCTCTTTCAAACACTCATATTTCAACGTATGCGAGTTGACGTACGCGAGTTGAGCAGTGTTGAAGAGTGTTGTATGAGATTTATGGCCATCCCTGGTATGTGGTAGAGTCAGAGATCTCGAAGCCCAATTTGCAATCCTCATAACTGACACATTGGTGATTCAGAAACCACGCTCTCAGACTGAACAATTGTAGTGCACCAGTAACTAGCTTCCAAGATAGGAAGTGAGATGACGTGCTCGCTTATCTCAATTGGCCTACCTTCCCTATGTGCATACTTCGTACTCTATCCAATGCCGATAGACAGGACAACTAGACAATAATATGGCGCCTGACACTGCAGCTCAAACATACACCACCATCGAACTTCTGACTCCCAACGGTCCCGAGTTTCGCCGTGTGTCCACAGCACCAGCACGCCCACCAAGATCCGACGAGATCCCCCTCATCGATCTCACTAACATTGACGGCAACGAAGAGGCAAGAGAAAGAATAGCACAAGAAGTGAGACTTGCCGCCGAGAATACAGGTTTCTTCTACGTCCACAACCATGGCATCGACGAGACCCTAATCCAGGATGCCTTGGACCAGGCCAAAGCATTCTTCGCGCAGCCACAAAGCGTCAAAGAGAAGCTTCTTCCCGAACACACAGGACCAGGCGTAGGCTACCGAGGCGTGAGCTCAACCCAAATAAACCGCACTGAGTCACGAGGTGCGCCTCACTACCATCCCCAAGGCTCTGTCAAGACTAACCCCCCCCCACCACCAGACCGCAAAGAAACCCTCGCCATTCAATATGACACCCGCTACGACCCAGCCCACACCCCCTCATCCCCCCAACCCGCAGACCAAGCCACCACCGCTGCAAGCCACGACCTGATCTGGGCCACCACAGCCCATCTCCCCGCCCTGCGCCCCGCAACCCTCGCCTTCTGGACAGCGCGCCTCCAGCTCGCACGCAAACTCGTCCGTATCCTGGCCCTCGCCCTCGCGCTGCCGGAGAGCTACTTCGACGACGTGACCACGCTCCCCGGCGCCGACGCGCTCGCCATCCACTATCCACCTTGCCCTTCCCCGTTCCCTAACCCATCTGCTGCAGACCCCGTAGGCATCGGCTCGCACACAGACATCCAGCTCCTGACGCTCCTCTGGCAAGACGACTCCGGTGGCCTGCAGGTCCTGTCGCGTACTGACGAGTGGCTAGATGCCGCGCCGGTGGCGGGCACGCTGGTAGTGAATGTGGGGGATTTCTTGCAGCGGCTGTCGAATGACCGGTTTCGGTCTACGGTGCACCGGGTGTATAATCGGTCGGAGAGGAGTAGGTTTTCGATGCCGTTCTTTTTTGGATTTAATGCGGATGCGGTTTGTGAGGTTGTGCCGACATGTGTGAGTAAGGAGCGGCCGGCGAGGTATGAGCCGATTTCTTGTGGGGAGGTAAGTTGAGTTCTTGGTGATCGATGAGACTTTGCTAATGTGGAGGTGTAGTGGAGACGGCAACGATTCGCACTGGCTTCGAAGCCTAGCTGAGTAGGATCACGTAGAAAGCAGCAGTAGCTTGACGAGGTGATTTGTTTGCATGGATAATGAATTCGAGGGCTAAACAAAAGGTCATGGTATCATCAGGACTATGCAACCAGCAGACGCACTGGTCAATCCAAAACGCCATACGCCCTGCTGACAAACTAAGCATTAACAAGATCCCTCAAACTCCTCATCTTTCGTTCCACCTTTGGCGGCTCCCACTTGCCCACCTCCCAACCCCTGGTCTTCCCCTGACCAATCCTCATAGGATCACTGACGTAGTCCCTTCTAGGTTCTACTCCCCAGCCGTTGCTCTTCTCACCATGCCAGTAACAGAGGCCCTTACTCAGACCTACGTATTTAACATGGAGTGGGCACAACGGGCTATTGGGAAGATGTTCGGGGACTAGCCATTCAAACTTCCTCCTTTCATCTGCCTCTCGAAGTGCGGCAACTGTGAGTGAATCTTCTTCGGCGGCATAGTCACCATAGTGCTGGCGAAACCATGAATCACTGGCGGATGGGGTAGGTGGGGAATGTCCTGATGGACTTTGCGGGAAGCCTCTGATTCTGAGGTAGCCATCTGGGCCTGTAAAGAGCCCCGGCGTGTTCACGGGACCGGGGGTATCGTTGACTGGACCAAAGTGGAAGGCAGCTGGTGGCGGGCGGCCCTCGGGTCCTTCTTCGTCCTCGGTGTTATTGAGACCGTGGTCTTTGTGCAAGCTCATCAGGACTGCGTTAGAATCCCAATAGCCCGGACTAGCTTTCGGTTTTCGTTTGGCCGAAGGGATTCCATCTATCTCGAAGAAGAAGTCTGCAAGTTTGCCTCTGACTTCGCGATTCGAGTCAAATACTGGTGGCGTAGCCATCTTCTCGCTGCCCGGAGGCACGAATACCGGTGGAACAGACATCTTGGCTAGAGAGGCAGATGGCAAGGGTGGTCTGTCTGTAGATTTCTCTTTTCGCCAGGATGTACTCATCACGCCTTTCGAGATCACCTTTTCTTCATTATCCATATCTGAGGGTTTTGAGAAGCGATTCGCACGTTTGAAAATGTTGACAGAAAGGCTTTTGCTACTGTCATTGCGCTCGCTTCTCATCGGTGGCTGTTCCTCGGAGCCGGTCTTTGACTTGTTCCAGGGCCAACGGCGGGCGCGTACAGATTTTGACATCCGCGCTAGTTGGAAGAGATCCTTCTGTGTGCGCACTTCTTCCTCACCCATACCCTCCTCTGCGCCAGGCGTCCAGTGTCCGTCCGGTGTACTCCCAAAGTCCGAGTCGCTCGTACTGAGCCTCCCAGTATGGCTGCCCTTGGTAGATTTCCTACTGGTGTAACAGCGATCTCGAACTTTGCGAGGCGGGCGATCGACCGGCGTAGTAGCGAATGGAGGTGTCTCTGGAGGTAGTGCCGGCCCAACCCCAAGCTCGACAAACACATCTTTCAAAGTAATCGTGTCGAAGGCGTCAGTGGGTGCAGATTGTAATCTCACTGTTTGTGCGGTCTTTACAGGGGCAGAACTTGGAGCCCGACTCCAATCGAGCTCCTTCTCGCGGATCCATGGCGTTTTCGGACTTCGAGGCCTCGATGGAGTGATGCTGCTGAAGACTGCGGGGTGGGTAGCTTGTCGCTCCTTGGCCTTGGACAAATCGGGGAGTCCAACTGGAAGTGTGAGATCCATCTTGACCTGTCTGCGGGCCGCCAACCCACCACGACTTGACTGTGAGCCTGAAAAAGACCCTTTTTCGCGGGCCACACATGCTGATGGCTCTTCCACTACCGGAGATGGTTTTTGTGGAGCGGTGAGTGACTTCTTCATCTGCAAACCAGACGGCACTTGAAATGATAGCTTGCGGCCTTTTTTGCCAACGGGAGGTGACGGAATATCTTCTAATTCGTATGCACCATGCAGTGACGATCCCTGTGAGAGTTTCTCTGATGGCGTACGGTTCGGTTTGATGCTGGGGATCTTCTTTGTCATGCTCCTGGCAAGTCCGCCCAGGGAGATTCCAGTATCGTTTCGCGTCAGGACATCAACATCGGTGCCGGTAATGGACGAGCGTATAGTAGACGGACGACTGAAGACGGCATCGCTTTGCCCTAGGCTTGATCTGCTGGAAGTGTCGCTGGTCATCTTGCGCATGATCTCCTCCATAGTAGGTGGTGTGGTATTGTCGGTCCGCTGTGGCATCATAGGATTGCGAGTGTTTGTCGATGCCTCACCTTCGTAGGCCTGTTGCTGGCTCCAGACGGAACTCCCTCGTCTGCTGACATCAAGTGGTGTGTCGGCATCGTCATCGGCACGCGCTGTCCGCACGACGTACTTTGCATGTTCTTGGAGTGCTGTATCGTGCCGGGATAATTGCACTGGTAGTTGCTGCGGATGGAGTTGAGGTTGGTGGAAGTAATCTCTTTTATTAGGTGCATAGGAGTAGGGTGTAGTGACCCGCGATCCGCTGGGAGTGATGCCTGGGCGTCTATGCGCGATCTCGACAGTAGACGAGGAATCGAATGTGACGTTCGAGCCGGATTGCGACATCGAAGGTAGGCCACGGGAGCAGATAGCAGGCGCTTGCGTCGGTATGCACGCGCATGAACACAGCGATCGGCAAACTTGCCGTGGAACTGGCTCAAGTGCAGGAGTTCTAGGAATAGGATACTGTGAAGGCGGTAGAAGCGGACGACGATCGCCGTGAAGTGGGAAACAAGGCGTTGTTGTGGTAAGAAGCAACCCGAGAAGGCTTGCGCCCTCGGCTTCCCAATCGGGAAGGAGAGATAGACGAGAAGAGATTCGAGAAAGTAGCGACCACTCACGGCGCCGATAGACATACTCAACTTCCAAACCAGACTTTAGCCCCGAAACGGAGCCACAAACGCCAACAAACGCCAAGCTATGCAAACGAACTCCCACCCTTATGCACCGGGTATCCCGGACCACGCTTCGTGACACATTATACATCGTCAAAACAGTCCACTTCCTATCCCGAAGCACTCGTTGCCTGCACAACACTCGTGCCGTCCACAAACCGTGTTCTAAACAGCCGGTTCGCGTTTTGGAACATACCGTCCTTGAGACTGACTACAATAAATTGCGAGCCCTTGAACCGTGTCTTGATGAGGTGACCGATGTTCTGCGTGTGCGATATGTCGAGCGCAGCATCAACCTCGTCTAGAATGTACATAGGCGCAGGCTTGAATTGTAGTAGTGCCATGATGAGCGAAAGCGCAATCAGAGATCTGTTACGAATCAGTATACAATGCATAGCGGTTGGGCGGATGCAATCGAACGTACCGTTGACCTCCAGACAGCTCAGTAAGAGACTGTTTCCAGACCTTACCGAGCATGACCTTGACCTCGAGACCATCAGCGATTGTCTTGCCCTCAGGCGGGTCTAATTTTGCATAACTGCCAGGTAGGATCTCGTTGAAAATGTCGCCAAAGTCTTTGTTGACCTTCGTCCAAGTCTTGTGCAGTGCTTCTTTCTTATACTCATCAAGCTTGACAATTGTGTCCTCGATCTTTTTCTTGTCTTTGACAACCGTGGCCATGTTGTTCTTGAGACTGGCCTCTTTCTTCTCGACATTGTCAATCATGGCCATGACCTTGGGGTTGATCTTGTTCTTGCGCTGCTGGAAGCGCTCCTCCAAGGCTTTGCGCTTGGGCTTGCAGTCGGCCATGTTGACACCGGCGAAGTCGTAGACAGTTCCTGCGCGGCCAAACAACTCGGCATCGCTGGCGATGAAGTCATGCTCCTTTTGAAGCGCCGCGATATGCCCTGCAGCGCCCTCAGACTCTTTGTGGAATTTCTCGATCTCGTGACCGAGCTTCTGCTGTTCCAGACCGCCTTCTGTGATGGACGAGTTCTTCGCACGAATCGTGTCTTCGAGTGATCGAAGCTCCTCGTCGAAGCCAGTCAGTTTTGCCTGCTCATCCGCTAATTGGGCCTGGGCGATGTCGTGTGCGTCCTGAGCCTGCTTCTGCTCTGCCAAAAGCTCATCGATCTCTTCCTGCTGAGTCTTGATTGTCACTTGGACATCTTCGAGCTGCTCTTGCGCCGCAGCAAGATCGCTGCCGCACTGTTCCGACTCCACCATGGCCTCGCGCACCTCAGACTGCAGAGGCTTGATGGCAGCGTTGTTTTTGGTCAACGTCTTCTTTAACTTCTCGAGCGAGGACTGCAACTCCGCCAGTTTGCTGTCTTTGTTGTTGTTAAACTCGCTCATATCACGCTCAATGCGCTTAATGTCTGCCTTCGCCTCGTCTTGTCGTGCTTTGGAGGACTTGACGTCTTCTTTCAGCCGGGCGACACTCTGCTTCATCTCCTCAATAGCTTGAATGATCTGTGAGATCGTCAGTATTTGCAGTGAGTCCTTCCAAAACAATACTTACAGACGACGAAGAGTTGCCGCTGATTTGCTCCTCTGTAAGCTTGATCTCGTGCTTCTTGAGATCCAACTCCTGCTTGGTCTTGCGGGCAGCATCCAGCCTCTTTTTCTCTCGGGCCATAGTCTCCTGCAGTTGCCGTAGCTGGTGCTCTTGCGATCGAAGCTCGGTCGTGATCTCGTTGAGTTTCTGCATCGTGACCAGAACACCGCTCGATTGCGGCGCGCTACCTCCGGAGAGTGTACCTGCGGGATCATATGTATCGCCCTGGAAGGTGACGCTCCGCATGCGTACTGCTGGATCGAAGGTAACGCGCTTAGCGGTCTCTGCGTCCTCGCAGACAAGTGTTGAGCCAAACACATACTCCATAGCAGCATTGACTTCGTTGTCGTACCCAACAAGCGACAATGCGAGGTCGACCTTTCCTGGTGCTATCCTTTGTGCCGCACCAATCTTCTGTGCAGATGCTCGGAATGCCGCAATCTTGTTGAGTGGAATGATTGTAACCCGCTTCTTGAGCCTGCCATTCTCCAGAAGCTGCTTGCCAGTCGCGGCCGAATCGACCACAACATTGTACAAGCGGCCTCCAGCGGCGACTTCCAGAGCAGTTCCAGCCTGAGTGTGTTCCTTCTTGAGAGTAAAGAGCTGTGCGACGAGACCCTTGACCTTCGATCGGTCAAAATTTGGAGATGGATCACTGTAGCTGAAGTCGATGTTCGACACTCTGCGCCTCATCTCATCCGCCTGCTGCTTCAGCTCACGAATACGCGCTTGCAGGTGCGACTCTTGCTGATACATGTCCGACTCTGTGCCCTCGTCAAAGCCCATCTTTGTGAGATCCGCCTCCAGCTTCTGCGCCTGCGACTTGAGCGCTTCCAGATCGTTGAGGAGTCCTGAATTCTGCTGCTTCGCTTTCTTCGCTTTCGGCTCGTCTTCCTTGATCTGCTTCTCGAGATGAGAGATTTTGAGCTTCGCTTGCTCCTGCTCGGTCGCAACAGCGCTGGCGCGATTTCTGGCGTCTTGCAATTGCCCTTGGTAGCCGCTCTCCTGACCTTCTTTCGAGGCAACGCCTGTCTGCAGCGTCTGTAATAGCTCTTCTTTCTTCTCTACCTCCTCGGTCTGTTTGGCCAAATCATCGCGCGCAGTCTGGTATTTCGTCTGGAGCTTCTCGTGCACTTTTTTCTTCTCCTGGAGCTGCTTCTCAAGATCCTTGACGCTGCTCTCAATGCTTTTTTTCCGCTCAAGTTCCTCAGCCATGCTTGTCCGCTTCAGGTCAAGCGATGTATCCAGTCGCACGACCTCGTGTGAGTTCGTCTTGACCTCCTCCTCCAGCGCTTGGAACTTGCCACCCTTGCGCAACTCTTTCTCTCTTGTCGCCTTAACCTTCTTGATATCTTCCTGCAGAAACTCAATCTCCTTAGCCATGCGCACAGCCGACTCCTCGAGGTCCTTTGTCCGCTGCTTCTTCGCCTCGAGGTCATCCCCAGACTGTTGCAGGCGCTCCTGCAGCCGTGTGTAATCGTACGCGATGACGAGCTTCGTGAGCTTCTCGAGTTCGCTCTGCGTCTGCTGGAAATCGAGGAAGGCGCGCTTTTCCTGCCGCAGCTTTTCGAGCTTGGGATCGATCTCGTCGCGCAGAAGCTCTGCAATCTCCTGCACCTTGACGTCCTTCTTGGCCATGGTCTTGTATGCCTTGTCTCGCCTGTCTTCAAACATGCGCGTCCCTGCAGCCTCCTCCAGCATAGCCAAGATCTCGGCGGGCTTCATGTTCAGCACCTTTGTGACCCGTCCCTGCATAATGAGGAAGTTGGGGTTATTGATGTTCAGCTGAACAGACTGGAAGAGGTTTTGCACGGTGTGTTGTTGCGCGCGACTTCCGTTGATGAGGTATTTGCTAGCTCCGCCGAGCACAATCGTTCTCGTTACGGATATCGAGGGGAAGCTTTCATAGCTGACGGGGCTGTTCTTCGTATCGCGGTTGTCGAATGTAATGGTAACACTGGCCTTGGTGACGCCAGCTTGACCGCGCTTGTAGATGAGATCCTTGGGACAATGTCAGCGCCCACGATATATGCACCCTTCTATTCCACCTACCTGCAAGTTCTGCGCGCGCACGACGCCCAGATTCGTGATACCGAGGACGAAACATATTGCGTCAAGGATATTGGACTTGCCAGATCCGTTCAGACCGGTGATCGAGTTGAAGCTGTCGTCCCTATCTGTTGTGAGCGCATACCCAATTTGCGCCGCTTGGGTAAACAAACCAGCCGGAGATGACTGTTCGGACAGCGTACGACTTGTAGCCCTGAGGTGGTGTTAGACATTGTCGCACGGCTCTGAAGATATACTAACGTCAATGATCAACTCTGTGATTTTCATGGTGGCCGCATGTGGTGTTGTTGATAGTCGCTGGCTGTTTTGTTTAGGGCTCCGCAGTCACTTCGCTGATTACTCGCCTCGAATCTGCGCTAGACAGGGATCCACGATCGTCGCGAAGACGCGTCGAGCACGATCACCCCTCAGCACGTGTAACACAAGTAAGGCACGCCAATCTTCAATTCATGGATAACCTGTCATCTCTGATAGATATTACCATTCTGAATTACCATTTTGAGTACACAGACAAAACCCGTCAAAATCCATCGTGAACAGCCCACTATCCGTACAGTTGATTGACCTTTTCCCAGATCTGCTGCATCAAATGACAAAAGCTTTGGACAGCACTATTCTTAGATTTGTCGTGAGAGTTGACAATCATGAGACATGCACATGAACAGCGCTGGTGACCAGGACTGTAAGTGCAGCTCCGCCACGCCGTAAACACACCCGAAAGCTTATAAAGTAGGTATTAACACCTCACGAATAGTCCACGTAAAACCGGACCTGCCACGAAATGGTCTCGAGGTCAAAACCGAGTTGTCCCATGAACCGCTTCAAAACGTCATCCGCTTGATACTTCAAGGTGGGCTTCATCCATGGTTCAGCAAATCTCTCTTTCATGACAATATCGGTTAGTATTATCTCAGGCCCTATATGTGGCACACCAAGTCGGATCTGGCTGATGCTACCTCTTAATAATGCCTGCCTCCATGTTGAGTTGTCGTGGTTGATCAGCCGTTCCATCTTCCGCAGTGTTGAATCGCTGTAGTATGGCAGCGATTGGAGTGTGATGGCGCACTTGGGAAATCGTGCTTTGTGCTTGAGGAGTCTGGTTGCATCGTACATAGCGTGAGGGTCCAGGTCGTCTCGTCTCACAATCGCTCGAAGGCTGTACGTGTCCAGGACAGGCTTTTCAAGTCGCATGGCTTTTGGCAAGCGTCCTGGGAAGAAGGCCTTGAGATAGGTGACCATCAAGCATAGAGGGATCTTGGGTGTCGACAGCCACATTGGTCGGAACTCGTCTCTGATCTGCCGGCACGTTTGTGTCAATGCGAGATACGGGATGATGACTCTTCGCTCAGGCTCCGCTTCATTGGTGGACAACAAAGTGGACTCAGAGACAGCCCGTTTGATCGGCTTCTTCGATTTCGGACGCAGTGTTGGGCTATTGCTTGATGCATTTTCTGTAGCGTAATCGTAGATGCGATTACGCAGCTCTGGAAATTGTCAGATCGTTATCTTCGATCATTCCAGATTACACTGACCTGCTGGCAAGTCGAGGAACCTGAAGTGATCATAGTTGTCGGCTGGCCGCAGCTTTGGGCGCTTGCGCGACCTGCTCTGTTCATGACCATGATCATTATCATTATTCGTCGGAGCAACCCGGTCCATCTGTGATGTTGACTTATCACAAAAGTGTTAGCAAACAGATACCATACGCTTATAAACGCATACGCATGAAGCGCAGCATGACTTACAATATCGATTATGTCGGTGTTGGTGTTACGGTTTCCAAGAGCCGAGTGGTGTGGAGGTGAGGTTCGCAGCCCTGAAAAAGATCGGCAGCCCTGAGCCACTTGCAAAGTGTTTGACCCTTGTTCTCAGCACTTGGCTGTTGCCTGACTGCCTGTCGTTTGCTACTTCCGTTTTGGACTGCCATATAGCAACGACACCCGAAGTGCAAACGGTGATTGAAGCGACCCCTGAAGAATCACACTTACGTCACCCAGGTACCATTGACGCGAAGCGTCCCGGCCTTCGAGTAGTCCAGCGTGCGCCCATTCTGGATGAACGCGAAGCGGAAGTAATCGTCCATCCCATCGGCTGGTAACCGCTGCCACTTGAACATGTCGCCGTCGGGTTTCTCGTCGAGGAACCCACGGTAGCGCTCTACATCGTTTACCAACACACTGATGCCATCCACGCCAGCAGGTAGAAACTTCCAAGAGAACGATGCCACGAAGCCTTCCGAATTGCTGTATGCAATGGCAGGCTCGAGAATCATCGGGAGTACCGAGTTGAATTTGCCATCTTCTCGCAGCGCCGCGGCGGTTTGCAGAACAGAGTCAAAGTCCCAGCGCGCTATTCCGTTGACGAACAGACCAAGCAATATACCCTGATAGACAAGCGACGGCCGTGTCTGCATACTCGTCCCCGGAAGCAGTAAAAGCCCAATGATATAGTGGTGAATCCTGAGATTGACGCCAGGAATTGCCAAACAAAACACGATGCCGAAAACGAACAGTCCATAGAGCCCAAGATACGTCAGCAGCCGTCCCTCGAGCCAGAAGTAGCAAATCTGACCCACGGCAATGACTAGAATGACTCCGATGATAACGGCCAGAGCCAGCTTGGCCCCTGGTTGCTGCTCCAGGTCGTGCGCGGTGAGTCGTGAAATGGGGATCCAGTCAAACGTATAATTGGACAGGGCGCCGATCCAGAATCCTCCTAGCCAGAGTACTGTCTTCTCAACAGGTGCGTCCAGCCCGGACAATGTGCGCTGCACCACAGTCTTCCAGATGACTACGGCGACGAAGAACGCCGGCAACAATCGCTTCGCGAACATCGAGAGGTGGTCGGGAAGAACCGTGATGTTACGATAAGAGGCCTGCGGTGGATCGGACACGAAACTGACATGCGCGAAAATGACAACAAAGATCGGAAAGAAAACCTTCGACTTCGACGAGAAAAGCGACAACACAGTGGTCGCCAGCAGCGACATAGCCAGCAGCGCAGAACGCGGCTCGCCGCTACACCGAAACCCATCCTCATCCGCCGATGTGAAGTTAAACGAGAGCGGAAACTCGGAATCAAAGCCAATGGACTCAATCCCAAACTTCTCCTCACTTTTAAACCCGCTCTGCTCACCCACAAGCCTCACGCGCCCACACCCTCCCTTCCCCCCATCAACAATCCCCGCGTGAATCGCCGCGCCACACACAAAACTGTCGCCGCGATACACCCCACTCCCCACAACCAGCGGCCGGTAATTCACATCCAGCGGTCCCACGGCATGCGGGTTGAGCAGCCGCACATCCGCGCACTTGGGGGGACAGCGGAACGCAAACGACGTGTTGGCGAAGGGGTGGCAGTTGACGCCGTCGAGACCGCATTCGTTCTTGCGCTTCCAGAGGGCGTCAGTGCAGTCGAGGTTCACCACGTGCTTCCCGTCGCCGTCGACCGTGGGCAGTTCGGAGGTGAGAAGGCCGACGAAGAAGAGGAACCAGAGCACCAGGACAGCGTTGAGGAAGAGGCTCTGGTGCGCTGTGCGCGGCAGGATCTTATTCAGTAGTCTCGCGGGCGCGTCTTGCATGGCTGGAAACCAGGGCGTGATTTTCTGGGGCCGCGGGGGCTGGGGGCCCGCGAGTAGGCTCAGGAAGCCCACCGGCTTGGGTGTTGGGTGGTGGGTTGCGAGGTCATTGTCTTCGAAATCGAACTCTTCTCTCAGCAGCAACTGCGCTTCCTCAAGGTCAATGTCCGTATCAGCAGAATCCCGGTTTGGGGCGTCATTGGATTCGTCTTTGTAGTTTTTTGGCACAGGGTCACGCGCAGGACTCGACATGCTCTTGGTCAGACCGGATGGGAGAGGAACAATGGCAGTGATTGGTGAGAGACATTATGGGTGAGCTGGAGGTTGAGATGAGACACGGGTACGTGCCAGGTGGATCTTCATTGCGGGCGCCATCCCTATCTTGGCGTAGTGTGTGTTGACTGAATTGCATTCTACGGCTCTCACATACTTACGTCCTGGCTAAATGATAGAAGGCTGTGCTAAGGCCATGTACACGACTCACCTTCACTACATTGGAGAAGATCATTCATGTTGTGTCATCAGAAATCCAATCACTCTGGACTAGGAACTCACGCAAATACGACCAATGCATAGTCTATTGCCAGCACACTCAAGTGCCATATGCGCGTCTATATGCACAGGATGCACGCGGCGAAGCAACAAGCCGAAAGAAGGGAGAGGCAAAGCACCAGCTAGGAAACAGCAAGTGCGCAGTTCACTCACACCATACCCCACAGCGGCGTAGGCATGGGACTGCACACTGCCCTTCTGCCACTACGCATGGGGTCCTTGATGCCAATGTACGCCTCCCGCCTCGCCGGCGTGCCCACAGTGACCGACCACGTAGTCAGTCCATAGTACACGCCAATATGATGGACCAGCCAGCGCCCAAAGGTACCGCCGTTATCGCCCTCCGGTGTCTCAAACAGCATGAGCTCGCGCTTGAGCTGCGCGCTTGCACCATCATGATCATGCGTCTGCCCATTGCGGCCCACAAACACAATCTCCTCGTCCTCGGAGTCTGGGTCAGTGGGCAACCCGTCTTCCTCGGCGGCGCGCGCGTTGGCCTCCCACTCGGACACGAAGCGGCGCACCTCGCCCTCGAGATCCATCAGCAGGCCCTTGGCGCCGCGGCTGCGCTTGAGCTTCTCGCGCAGCTCCTTCGGGACCACGCCGGGGACTGTGGGCTTGTTGGCGACGGTCTTGGTGGCGTTTTTCTCGGCGACAGCGGCGTCGTGGCGCTTGGTGGACTGGCGCTTCAGGCCTGCGTCCCAGAGAGGGGCGAGGTAGTAGGGGACGTTGCGCACGCGGTGGGTCGGGTGGACTTCCCAGTCATGGGGGGCGGGGGGCTCGGCATGGGGGTTGTTCAGGAGGCGGTCTGTTCTGTATAAGCTTACTGCATGCAACGACTGATACGCAGACGGGTGATATGAAGGCTATGCGGCGACAGGGTGATGAGTCAGGGTGGCGTACCGTTCTCCCACCTCTGCCTGCGCCGGCTGCCCTCCTTGCCCTTGAGCACCGCCTCACGCCTCTTCAGGCTGTCACGACGAACGAGCTCCTTGCGCTTATACACAGTATGCACCTGGCCTGTTGTAGCGAGCGCAGGGCGAGCCGGCGCATCGAGTTCATCGAGCGGGATGTCGAACACAACCGAGGTTCCCTGAACGATTGGAGCAGGCGTAGAGATGGCGACCGAGCCCATAGCGGCCGTCGCCTGCTCAGTCCATGCCGCAATGTCAATAGGCTGCGGTACCGCTGCTTGGGGAGCGGTGATGTCGTCGATAGCCATGGTGGCGGTGCGGGTGCGATAGCGCGATTGTAGTGGGATAAGACTGTTCAAGGACAAAATGTACTGTACAGTATGGAGAATAAAAACCTGCGGAAGGGCTTTGCAACACAAATGAGACCCGAACAGCGAGTGACCGAGGCAGCGACAACCGAGGAGAGGTGTCCGAATCAACGACGCGATGCTCGCCGCGATAGGAGGGTGTAGCGTGCAGTCATGCACGTCATGGCAGCCAATCAGCGCGCAACGTGGGGCCACCCTTCCGCGGATCTCCAGGATCCACTCGGAGTCACTCGTGACTGTGCATGACTGTATCATTGCATGTGAAGCCGGGCAGCTTTTATGAGTTCATGGTAACGATGAGTCTTAGCTGCACGTCTTTAGGAGGAACCGAGAGATCTTCCGTAGACGACTGTTGTGCACTGTTTGGATTACATCCGCGTGATAGCTATCGTAGATAGGTTCCGGCTTACATCTCACTCAACCAACAGCCACATGGTGGGCGCCCAGCAGGGCCAAACAGCCCTAAATCACGAGAGATGCAAGCACTCCATTCCCGAGCAAAGCATTGAGATCATGAGAATGGCATTACTCTCTAGTCATCGACATCATAGCCCATCCATAACAGGCTACACCGTAGCAATACCCACCAACCGCGCCAGCATATGCTATCCGTATACCGCGCGCCATGCGCTGTCAAACGTCTTGCTAAACACGCATTCCTGTACAATGTCCATTGCCCCCAACCATTTTGTGAGCGCTACAACGACCTCCTGGCCACCTGCTGTAAACGCGCAAAGGTACCGTGCAGACTACTAGAAGCGCACCTAAGCCTTCTTGGCGAACTCGACGCGCAGGATAAGATGGCCGAAACCGACTGTAGCATATTAGCGTAGGCTCGAAAAGTAGTACAACGAATATGCGTGAACTTACATCCATCCATCTTCTCGCACGCCTTGGCAGCATCGTCCCTGTCCGCATAACTGATGAAAGCAAAGCCCTTTGCCCGCCCTGTCTCGCGGTCCTTGGCCAGGAACACTCTCGTGACGTGCCCGTATCTGCTGAACATATCCCGGAGGTCCTGCTCTTCCGCGATCTCGCTGACGTTGGTGACACGCAGCGTCGCGCTGTCGTCGCGGTCGAACTTGCCGCCCATCTTCTCGCCGCCACCCATCTTGCCTCGCATGTGCGGGGGCACGTATCCACCGCTTCCTGCGCCGAGACCTCCGGCGCCGCCGGGCGCATCGTCGGGCATGTCGGCAGGGGCATCGGCGCCCTCGGGGGCCATGGTGTCCTTGAAGGGGCACTTTGTTGTGAAATGGTCGCCAGAGCAGATACGGCACTTAATCTTCGCGTTCTTCAGCTCCAGCTTCTTCTTGTCCTCCTCGCCCTTGTCGTCTGATGCGGCCTTCCAGTTGGACTGTGGGCGGAACACGATGTTCTCGGCGACAGAGACTGTGTCGGTCTGGGGGCCGGCGGCCTTGCCCTTCTCCTGGCCGAATTTTGGCCATGCCTTGCGCTCAGCGACGCGGGGGTTTACGACTTGCTTGATGACGGTCTTCTTGATGCGACGGGTGGTCTTGACCTTCTTGCCGTCCTCGTTGATGCGGTAGGATACGATCGTCTCGGTTCCGTCCTTGTTCTTGGTGACTGTCTGCTGGGGAAGGGCGAGGTCGTTCTCGTCCTCCTCTTCGGCCCAGTCGGTGCGGCTGCGAATACTGTCAGTACGTGCGACTGGGCGCATATCGGCAGCACATACCCTGCTACTCGAGACATGGCTGCTATGTGATGTGGTGTATTTGCGTAGGGAGTGTCGGTGTTCGTCGTGCGTGGTGGGCGGTCGTTGTTGCTGCGATTCGAAGATGGAGTGGCGTGTGGGGCGGGCAAATGTGCGATCAAATATTTAGCGCCGCTAGTGCCCTGCACCCTTTCACGAACGCCTTCCAGGCAGTCGCTCGCAAGTCTGGTACAAATCAGTCCCTGTCTCACATCATAGGGCCGCTGCCGCGTGTGCTTCTTGCGCAGGCCATGCGCGAGAGCTATGCGCTTCTTGGGCTAGGTATCGGATGTCTCGTACCAGCCCAGAATTGTAGTTCGTCTGAGACTTGAAGCACGAACTCAACGAAGACCATTCAGTGTCTCGTACCAGCCCAGAATTATAGCTGGAACTTAACGAAGAACAATCAGTTTCTATACCAGCCCAGTGTTGTAGTTGGTCAAGGCACGAAGCACGCCCAAAAGGACTGTACAAGAACGCTTTAGGCCATCATCGGGGGTCTCAAACCAAACAAGAATTGTAGCTGGTCCAAAACACAAATCAGGCCCAGCGAGAACGCGTTAGGCGAACGCAAAGACCTACGCGGGCTATTCAACAGTGGCCACCTGAATTAAGCTGATTCGATGAAACATTGAAGCGAGGTACGATATTGAACGGTTGTATCTAGGTATCAAGCGAGGGCCAAGAGAAAGAGATGTCCTTCACGTGCCACCGCTCGACACCAGGCAGGACGAATGACTCAGTCAACACTTCATCCCTCCGAGCCCAGATTCCACTGCACACGGCCGTGATTACCTGTATATTGTCCTGCCGGCACCGGCTGCGGCTGCTGTATCACAACATCGCTGCTCGTACGGGGCATGATGTGCTGTGGCTGAGGGGTCGTGCAGCCGAAAGCAGTGTCACTGTTGCCGCGGACCAGTGGCGGAGCGTTCGCGCCAATTGGAGGTCTCTGAATATGATGAGATGAGTAAGGCGAGTGAAAATCGTTAACGAAGCGTTCAGGCGGAGGTATGATGATCCTGTACTCCTCTTAGCAAGTTTGTAGGTATGAAGCTTATATTGCCGGACTCCTGCGGCGTAACACTGCTCCTCCGACTCGCAGGCATACTGCCAGCCACGCTTCCGCAGACGCTTGCAGCATTGTATGTTGCTGCATGTTGTGCCTGAGGTGTTGCTGGCAACCAGCCGCTGCTGCCGATACCTTCCGTGTCCATCAGGCGCTGCATCAGATCTTCGGTGATGACAAGTAGGTGCTCATACGCCGCAAGACGGGAGTCCTCCTTTGCCGAAGTGCAGTGAATGTACGATCTACTCGTTGGATTGTGTTCGACAATGGCGGCGCCAATCTTTCGTGAGGAAGTTGGAGCGAAACTTATCACGTCGAGACATCGATTCGAGCCGTAGATCGCACGAGCGTTCGCTGCATAGGATTAGCAAGCATTTCATCGATTCTCGTGGAGACATGCCGAGGATTCTTGCTCTTGTGCCGTCCAAAGAGTCCTCGTTGACCTTGTCCTCCATGCGATGTAGTATTTTGTTGGCGGTCCTTTCCCTCTCCAGATTCTCGTAGCTGCTGCTTCTGTGCTTCATGTCTCGCAGTGACTCGATCATCTTGCTCTGCTGTCTCTACCTCCTAGAGTCGAGTGGACCTTCCAGATATCGAGGACGGAACTGAGCTGACTGTACTTCCGGTCTCCGAATGTTTCAAAGGGACAATGCGGCTGATCGAACCGAGCTGGGAAGCAGACTTGTAGCTGCGGGTAGAGTTGACTCTAGACAGACTCGACCAAGAAGAACCACTTGGTGTAACAGAACTTGACCGCGATCTCGAGCCGTCAAGCTGACGACAGAGACGTTTTGCTTCCTTACGCCTCTTGTATTCTGCGTCTTGCGCTATGATATCCTCACGAAGATCCTTCTAGGATTTCCTAGGGACGTGATAAGCACTTTCTGGATGCCAGGGACCTTTGTCGACAGGATTTGTTTCAATGTAAGCGACCTTCTCGAGGAGTGTAGGTCTGCGATGTAGCTGTCCTACGCGTGTCTGGCTACTTCTGGAGCTTCTCGAACTGCTGACGCGTGACAGCGTAGGCAAAGTGCTTGCCCTGCCGAGGCTCGGCCTTATAGAAGGATCCAGAGTGTACGACTCGTGGATGACTGGTAGCTTCCTTCGGGGTTGCCGTTGCACTGGCAAGCAGGGACCGCACGAAGAGAGGACACCAGGGGAGAACGTGATGGCGGTATTGAGGGGGAGCTACACAGTCAGCATGACCTCGCTGTTGTCGAAACAGGGTGTTGGGGATGGAAGCCGCAACACACATATCAAAGGTTGCGGTCCGCGTGAGCGGAGAGGTGGCTCGTAGCAATGAGGCTGTAGACTGGAGAGGTGTGTAAGAGAGGGTGTTCGAAGCGCAACAAGGCCCGCGAGGCAAACGGATGTGGTGACTGTGTTGATGTAGAAAGAGAAAGTGCTCTCGTTCTGGCTATAGAAGGTACCTAAATTCCAAGAGGCAAGGTTGGTGAGAGTATAGAGCAGTTGCGCACTGGTAAGGAAGGTGCCAGTGGATGCCTCCGCATCGTTGGAGCTTCCGGGCATGGTTCCAATCGCCGTAAGATCAACCTCAGGTAAAGCTACCTAGGACACATTCTGTATATCGACTTCGTCCTCGCACCCCATCCTCAAACCCTCACAATCCTCTCCATAGCCAACCCAAACCGCGCATGCCACAATCTCTCCACCTCTGCATTCACCCTCGTATCCCTCGGAATACTCTCCTCCAACATATTCGCCCTGAACCCCTCTTCCAGCGTCGCGCTCCCTGCTGCCCTGAACCCCAATCCCTCATACACCTTGACCACCCACGCGTTCCGCGGGTCCACGAACAACCTGATGCGTGCTTGCTTCAGCTCCAGACCTTCAGCCCCCGGACCTTCAGCCCCCAGACCTTTTGCCTCCAGCCCCTCCGGCGTTCTCGAGGCAGATGCAAGAGCAGCAGTCCTTAGCGTCGCATCCGCAACACACTCCCCCACAAGCCACTTCGCGAGCCCGCGCCCGCGATGCGCAGGCAATGTATACACATCATACACATGCCAGCGCGCCTCCTCGTGCGGATTCCGCGGAACAGGGAGCCCTTGGTCCGGACTCACATAGTAATCAGCATACTTCATGGGCCCGCGGACGGCGGCGAAGCCCGCCCATTCGCTGTCGAGTAGCACCGTCTCGTCGTCTGCGGCGGAAGGGCTGCAGGTGGCGACGGCAATGAGGATGGCGGTTTCGGGGTGCGAGAGCCGCGTTTGCCAGACGGTGGGGGGTAGGGCGGATTCGGTGGCGTGCTGGGAGAGGAAGCTGGTTGGGTCGGTGTGGAGGGCGTGGAGGCGGGCGGCGCGGGATTTGGCGGCGAGGTCGGGGAGGCGTGGTGAGTCTCGGGGTACGCGGATGACTCTATAGATTGGTGTGTCCTTTTCGTTGGCCATCTCGCAGCTGGGTCACTGTTTGACGGTGCTCGGGTGTAGGGTAGCAGTGAATGGCTAGCTAAGTGTTGAAAGTTTAGAAGTCGATTTCAGGCGTCCATTGAGCAACGGAGCACGTCTATGATGCAATATGGAGCCAACGTAGGTGCTCTATTGAACGAGCGATGCTCTCGCGACTTTATACTAATTTGTAAAACGGGGTTCGCCGCCTAAAAGGGTTGGTACCAAGACCAATCACTCAAATTAGTCACTTCGTAGGGCGTGGTACTACAAGCCACAACAATCAGTCGACGTGGTTCTCTGTCTATGATTCTTGGCCTAGACTAGTAAATTGTAGTACTATATTAGCAACTGCTCTTCAGAAGGCAGACGGCGCAAGCGGTCGCTGGAATGAAACTGCACACAGTCTCCGTGTCGACAACACTGCAGAGCTGTATTGAGGCTCAATACCTGAATTGCCCTGGTCGCTTACTTGGACTGTTCGCCAAGTTCTGCGTAAAGCCATCCTCATCCTCATCATCGCTCTGATCAACGTCTCCCAAATCAATACCTGTGATCTCTTCCTCATACGCATTCTCGTCTCCCTCCCCGTCAAAGTTCAGATACTTCTCAGGGCTGAAGATCGGGCTTGTAGCAATGCGTGGGCGGCTCCTGAACACGCGGTCGTAGTCAACGTCGCCTGTGAGCAGGTCTTCTTGCGGGGTCTTGGTGCCGCTCTCTTCTTCTTCCAGCGCACCAAAAGACTCGCGGTGGCGGATTGTTTCGAATTGGTTGACGGGGAACAGTGAGCTCCTCGATTTGCGCTTCCGTTTCTTATCCGTCTCTTGCGGGGGCCGGTTGGACATGGCCGCCATACTAAGGCGCGTTCGTTCCAGTAGGGTCGTGACGTTGGAGACCTGATCATCGCTGCTCGCAGGGAGCATAGTCGGCGGTGCTGAAGGAAGTGGATCGGGTGATTCAGGTACGGGCTCGAATGACGGCGTTCGTGAAAGAGTCATCCGTGTGCGTTCTACTAGCGACATTGACATGCGCGGCTGAGGTTTCTTGACCGGCGACGGGGTGGCGTTGCCGATAGCATTGATGATTTGATCAGCAAGCGCATCCTCTGGGTTCAGGCTGGGCATCTCCAAAGTAGGGACCGAGCTCCCCAAGGCAGACGTCGATTCTTCCATGGATGATGGTTCTGAGAACGTTGTGGGCTGCGAAGGTACTGGAGAGCCTTCTGAAAGAGGTGGAGATGATGACACTGCGCGGCTGTGTAGAGCGGCTGCTGATGGTATAGGCTGGGGCTCGCGCTGAGGTTGGAAACGTTGGCGAACAGGTGATTGACTGGCCGATGCTGCAGGTGCCGCCATTCGTATATTAGACAACTGGTGCCCGACGCCGGCATCTGAATCGATAGGCGTCCTCTTCGTCGTTGACCGTCGCCGTATGGGCGCCACAGAGTTGCTAGCAGAAAGTCCCTCAAACAAAGCCTTCTGCTCCCGGACGAGCGTTTTCGGCTCACAAACAAGAGACTTCGGCTCCGCATGCCAGGCTGGAACTGATGGTGCCTTCGCTACCATCTTCGAGATTGAAGGTCGTCTTGTACGGATTGGGGAGCGAGGAGCACTCGAGGACGATCTGCGCCGCCGGCGAAGAGCAGCGAGCGCTGGTTGAGGTTTTGCCTGCGAGACACGCGACAGCTCTGAATCCATGTCCGATAGAATATCCACGTAGCTCGATCTCATCGCTGGTTTCTGTACAGCACCAAATTCAATCTCTCGGGCCACTGGCAATTGATGTTGAACATGATCGTCGAATTTGAACTCCTTTGCAGTAGTCGACACTTTCTGTTTCGCCGACGCCTCCTCATTACTGTCTCGGCGCAACTCTTCGTGAAAGTTCTTCCATTTCTGCAATCGCGTCTGCTGTTCCTGAACCCTCGACTGCAGATCCTCCAGCAGTCCTGCCTCGGGGGCTGCGTCTTCCAGCTTCCTGCCTCGCTCAACCATATGCCACACTTTGTCGAATCGATTGCTGAGGAATGCATCTCCGGCTTGGACCTGATCGCCGTGTAGTATGACCTCAAGCCACTTCTGGTTGCCAATCCAGTTACATGCAAGTTGTCTCTTGACAGCATCTGCGTCTCTCTGCGGCACAGCCGGCCTTTTCGCCCTCGGAGTTTCCGCACACTTCCGTATGCGTTTGTTGATCTCATTGGCTTTCGAATCTAGTGTTGCCTCGAACTCCTTGAATTTCGCCCTCTTCTCCTCCTTCCGGCGCAGCACATTCACCAGTGCAGCCTTGTGTGCGATTGCGAGTGGTATCAGAGATCGCTGCGCGTCGCCGGAGAGATGAGAGGCTGTTGCTAGTTTTCGCGCGACCGCGGCATTCGGATGATCTCCACCCTTTGAAGCAAGCACCTTCTTGAGTACTGCAGCCGAGAACAGCGCAATGATCTCGTAGAATTTCTCGCCCTTGCACTCGTCCAGCATTGTCTTGCGCAGCACTGACTCGCGGCCGAGCAGGCCGTTCTTCTTCAGCTCGTTCAGACATCGGTACAGGGCGGCGCGGAGGTTCAGGGACTGGAGCGGCTCAAGGGGAGGGAAGAAGGGGCGCAGTTTCTGTGTCGTCGGTCAGCGATAGGTCTATCCTAATTGATTTCCGACGCACATGTGCAGTCTCGGTGGGGTCCCAGATCTCGAAGAGGCGGAACAGCGCCCACTCGGTGCCGCCGATGCGCTGCTTCTGGTCTGCATTCTTGGCCGAGAAGGTCTGCGCGGTGATGTTGGGCCAGTCGCTGCGCAGGTCAAAGTCCAGCAAGCGCAGGTTGGTCACAAACAGCCTGACATCGGAGGCAGGGATTGGGTTCGGCGGCGGCTTGGTGACGGGGCCGGCGGTGTTTGTTTTGACGGCCAGGTTGCGCGCATGGCCGAGGCGCGCCGCAGTGGCAGTCGAGGACTCGGAGATGGGGCGTGACATGGTCCTGGGTTGGCGGGTGGCATGTGCCCGGGCTCGTCCTCGTTAGCAGCGCCGGGCGGCTGCAATGCATCTGTAAACTGTAAAGTGACGTTGTGGTGGTGCAACACACAGGGAACCAGGGGTCCGCTCCCGCCCAAACAGCAACCGCGCCACGGTCGGTGCGCCGCGGCCAGCGTCATGTTTTCTCCCGCTGTTTGTCGAACACGCTCATTCACGCCTATCGCCCGTCGCGCTTTATTGCCCCTCGTCCCGCGCCCCAGCCGTCCTCTCGCACACCGACATCCCGCACACCGACATCTCGCACACATTCGATTCTTCAACTCCACCATGGCTGTCGACGAGGGCACACAGACCAACGGCGTCGCCGCGCCCGCCGCGGGGAAGCTCGACGCACAAGAGGTGCAGGAGAGCAAGTGGACGGTGCAGACCGGTACGTCATAGGAGGCAGCGTCGCCCATGTGCGACACGTCCTGCGCCGCTCCTGCGCGTGCGCCACATACTGACACTCGCCCAGTCCTCGCAGACATCGAGCACGGCTACCAAGAATCCACCGACTCGCCCGTCCCCTTCTTCCACCTCTTGGAGCGCCTCAAGACCACCAAGCGCGCGGGCTGGCGCCGCTTCGGCATCGACAACTGCGAGAGCATCTCCGACCACATGTACCGCATGAGCATCCTGACGCTGATGGCGCCGCAGTCGGTCAGCTCGCGGCTCGACATCCTGCGGTGCTGCCGCATGGCGCTGATCCACGACATGGCCGAGTCGCTGGTCGGCGACATCACGCCCGTGGATCCCGTGTCCAAGGAGGAGAAGAGCCGCCGCGAGTCGGAGACGATGGATTACATCTGCACGAACCTGCTTGGCAAGTTCAACGGCGGGCTGAATGGACAGGATGTGCGCCAGATCTGGCAGGAGTATGAGGACAGCGTGACCGCGGAGAGTCTGTTTGTGCACGACATCGACAAGATCGAGCTGCTGCTGCAGATGGTCGAGTACGAGCGCAGCCAGAAGTGCGAGACGGACCTGGGCGAGTTTACCTGGGTGGCGCAGAAGATCCAAAGCCCGGAGATCAAGACGTGGACTACGGCGGTATTCCGCGAGAGACAGGAGCTGTGGAAGAAGGCGGGCAAGACGTGCAGCTGGCGCGCGGACACGGAGCCCAAGGACGAGGCGTAGGCGTGTGGAGATGAGTTCACGACATCACGATACCGGCAGCATTGGGCGGCGGAACGAGCGACTTTGGCGTATGTGGGCATACATAGACCTAGATTCCTCATCGACACGATTCACGACGTATCTGTTTTCCCAATTGCTTACTGCTGCAGTACAGCAGCATGCTTCCACTCAACTAGCCAGCCACCACCGCATCACCCTTCTTCACCACCACCAGTTCCTTGATCCTCCCCGCCGCAATCCCATCCACAATCTCCGTGCTCCTCTTAACCATCCACTCTGCCTCTCCCCCTCCCTCCTCAAACTCCAACCACCACACCACCTCATTCTCCACCACCTCCCCCGCAACATCCATCCCATACCCCGCCCTCACCACCACACACTCCCTCGCCTCATCCACCACCACGCCCCTAACCCTGATCTCCCACCCTTCAAGCCACGGCGCTAGACCGCCCGTGTGTGCAATGAACGCGTCAATGCTGAAGGAGCCTTGAAGCTTGGGGCTCTGTGAGACGGCGTAGCTGGGGCCAAAGGTGTGTGTGTAGGAGAGTGTGACGAGGCGGCGCAGGAGAGCGTGGTCGAGGGGCGTAGGGAGGTGGGGCGTGTGGGATTGCGCGGCGATGAAGGCGAGGGCTGCGGATTCGAGGGCGGCGAATTTGGGCGAGGGGGTGGAGCGGGTGGCTTGTAGGGTGGCTTCCGTCATGTTGGGTGCTGACTCGTCTTGTGGCTGGAGTGGCTTGCGTGGTGGGCGATTCGCGGGCGGTTTGTCACCAGTCGTGGGTGGTGGTGGTGAAGGAGCATCGCGGCGCCTGCGATGGCGATTATATAGCTCTCAAAGCCAGCTGCATCTCCTCTTGAGCTTGTTGGTTCATCGCGGCGACGCGTGGTGGGCGCGTGCGAGCGTAGCCGTGATGCACGGTTCCCCGCCGCCCGGTGAGTTTCTGGGGAGGCCCTGTGTGCCGGGGTCGAAGTTTGGGACCGAGTGTTAGTGCCCGTTGCGTCCGCGCGCGGGCAGCACTGGTGGCAGCTACTTAATTATGACGTTTGCGCTCGTGATAGCCGTTAGACGGACGAGATATTTGGGCGAAGTGCCAGTGGTGCCATTTGTAGCTTGTACATTGGGTGAGGTGGGTGCTGGTTGTTGTAGCTGAGCGCGGACGACTCAGGAGGGAGCCAATGCTCTCATTGTGTCTTTCTGGCGATGAAGCTGTGCATCGAATTGCTACAGGTGCGTATGTCCTCAAGGCGCAAAGACACGGCGTATTCGAGGGGTGTCGGCATCTAACATATCAGTCAATTGTCAGGGACGAGACCTGCCAGCAGCAGGCTGGTCGCTGCATCTCAACCCCGAGTTACTTCTCCGCTTAGAAGGTTTTGCCCAGCTGGAGGAGTTGAAACGCTACAAGGCCTGTAAGATTCTGGTAGGCCACTCACAAACTTTTACCAAGACCAAGCCTATTGTTCCTCATGGATTCATCTCCGGGCTTCTGCTAAATTGAACCTCGAAGGAGATGAGACTAATCCTTTGCGGCCGCCCCGACCGCCCGTGCGACATCATCACCACTCCATCGCAACTCCAAATCTACAACGCGCAGATGCACATATCGGCTCCGAAGGCAGCTAGTTGAGCCAGCAAACGATGCTCTGTGCGACGTAGGATCAACCATCCAGCTGGGACAGCATTTCTCCGATGCAGAGTCGTTCTGCAAGCAGTGATATGTTCCGACACAATGGGCGGTGAGGCATGCGTCTTTCGGCCCGCACCGCAGCCCTCTTTCTGGGATGACGCTTCGGTTGGCCTAGGGGCTGTGACCGCATGTCATGCTGCCAGTCTGCCTTGCTCGCGTGAGCTGTCGATATTGAACTCCCGCTCGGGTCCGTCAGATGCATAAGCTACATCTTGGTGGTGTTGCGATCAACCTGGCCTACGAAAGTCTCGATGTTCGGATCGGCCCCCGTTCCCGCTTCGACGTGGTCCCCGTGGTTTGGTCTCGTTTCTGCCCGTGTGCTGTGCCGTAGTGACTCTAGCGGTTCACAATGTGCACGAGGTTATTGCGTCAGCGGACAGTTCGGTTGCCATTCAAGGCACCATACTGATACCTAGAAGTGATTGAACCTGATCATCTGACAAATATGTGCACGTTTTTTGATGCTCCGCGGCAGGCCGTCATCTCGTCAGCAAGGTTTGACCTTCAATTCCGGTTGACATTGTGATCGTGACAGTCAAACTTTTACCTCCACGAAACCTTGGGCTCCACAGCAAGGCAGCTAGCGTACGCTCAGACAATAGATGGCGGTGTGGTAGTACTTGTGTTTCCTTCTACACGACTGTCCGAGTAGGTCAGTGATCTGATGCTCATATGGCCCCTGAATTTCCTGTATAGGTGTTTAGGTAGGTATTCGTTCCGGCGCCCTGAGTCGCGTCTTTCGTAGACATATAGATACCTAGCAACGACAGAGACAGGGTGAAACCGGCCACGCGTGCTAGCCACTTGCCTGCATGAACTGAAGCTGCCCCAAGTGGAGGGCGGGGGCATCCATGCTAGGTATGCTGATGCGAGAGGGGCAGTAGAAGATTCTACTGACGTTTGCCACGCAGTTGCCCACAATAATGTCTTGTTCCATACCTTGAACAAGTCCATGTTTTTCCCTGATGCTTGGAGTGACGAGGCCCCTTTTGTGGACAGTAAACCCAACCTCGAGTAGTCATCATGACAAGGAGGCAGTGTGACTGAGCGAAATTTCATTGCGCATCAGTTCGGACGTATGCCTGTGACGGGTTGTGCGTACGTCAACATCTCAAATGCCTTGCACGCGCGTCTTCCCGAAGACAGCGTGGAATGCCGAAGTCAGAGCCTGTGGCAAGTCGCTCGCGACGTCGAGGCCATTGTGATGCAACCCGGCTAGTATGCTCAGCCATTTGTACAATCGTCCGTTTCATTTAAGATATTCGGCGTTATCGCTCCATTCGAACAAGGACGACTGTGTGTGGTAGCGTCAAGAAGGGCTCTTAGATCTGTATGTGCGGCGGCGTCGAGTCCCTGTACGAGGTAGCATGAGGTTTCGAGCGAAGTGGCGGTGCTATAAGCCTCTATCAGCGCGCAGATACAATGATTGTACCTCCTTGCTTGCACGACGAGCACTTGTGCCAACAAAGTAGACGGACGTAAAAAGCCGTGGGTCGATGGTGGGTTCAAGCAAATGTCTGAGGGTCCGGCAGGTCAGACGATGTACAAAATTCAGCTATTGACAGGCAGAGCTGGCGTTAGAAGTTCAGTAGAAGTCCTAGCTTGAATGTTCAACTGAACCTCAAACAGAACTTGCAATCCAGAAGGACTGATACTACGTCTCTGGCTTTCTGCCAATGTGCGATGACACTCAAGAGTGGCTGATGGAGATCTCGTTCGACTGACATGGGTGCAAAATATCGACGAGGTTCTGTGCCGAACACTCATCAGTCAGACCGACTAGGCTAAATTGCGTACGTATTCCGTGGCATGTCCTTTGCTGCACCATAGTAGAATTATATGGAGCCATGGGTGTATCGATGATCTGGTAGTTCCAGATTCTTGTTGGCAGATGTTTTGTTGCCGCACGAGTGTTTACACGCTGGGCTACCAGCGAAGGATTCACCAGGGCGCAAAGGAGAGCCGAAATGGCTCGGTAGATCCTCGTGCATAGCTAAAGCCTGGTATTACCTCTGCCTCAGCGCGTGCACATAGCGCCAGCCTCTTGCAAGTTAGTGCTATTGGGTAGCAATGCAGCGCGCTATGTTGTAAAGGTTGCTTCAATTGCCTGAGCCCTGGTGGAAGGTGTTGCAATGGGCCTGCGCAAACAATGAAGGATTCTCGAGCTTGTAAGGTTAAAATTGCGGCTCATGACTTCGGTGGCGCAAGTGAGATTGACCTATGAGATGCACTTTTGATGACCAGTTCAACAACCGTTGCGTAGAGCTGGTGTTGATGAGCTCGACAGCCATCATTTCATCCCTGATGACTCCATCATGCCCGAACATTCCGAGCCGTGAGCGCAGTCAAACAACCACAAATGATAATCTGGTCTTGAGAGGCGACCTGGTGATCGTATGGGGGAGTGACAATGTTTCACATCATGCGTAGAACGGCACACGGATATCAGTGAACTGCCTGTTCCCAGGCGAGACATGTCTCGGTCCACGACAGCCATCGCATGTCGACTCGAAAACAACCAATCGCAAGTCGGCATCCTGACCCTCCACCGATACGGAACAACTCTTTGCTAAGAGCTCCACGTCGCTCGCAACAAGCTGTCAAGTTTATATGAAGTGCCCCTGCGGATGCTAGCTGCGATGAGAGATCGTGCTCCTATCGGTTTTCGGATATTACGCAGAGGAGGGTCCTTCAGCTCCGAGTGGTCTTGCTCCAAAGTACACATGCTTTCGCCCCAAAGATTCGAACTATGGTCACGCGCTCGCCGGATCCGGCCACCTCGAGGACGCCTGCTCGCAATTTCGACCGAGATGAAGGCCGAGCATGTTCATGAAAGGTTCATGACAGAACAAAGTGGATCGTCGAAGGACAGACACTGCAGCGCGGCGTTTCATGGAGCACTCCGGTCCCCGCAAAACGCAAGTGTCCGTTCCCTTCGCTTTGCATCGCACCAGACACTACCTCCTTGCTTTTGTTCTGTGGCGTCAACGGTTCGGTCGTACCGGCACGTAAACACTGGATTGGACGTTTTCATTGGAAAGAGCCAGGTAGCTTGCTACTTTGCCGAGCGGCAAGCGTCCCAAGTGGAGCATCTTAAGACTTTTGAGGCGCTTCCGGGCGGGTGAATCACGCTGAACTGTGGGAATCCCTGGCTGCTTTTACCAAAACGCTCGTAAACGTTCCGGCCCGCACACAGCCGGTCGATTGCCGCTGTCTTGTCTGTTTTTGCTTTGGTCGAGGCTAGTATTCGACTCAATGGCGGTTTGACTCTAGTCCAGCACCGAAATGAGATGAGACAAGACCGTTTATCACGGCGGAATGACGTACTACTAGAGACTTTGTCATTCACGTGCGTAACCGGGGGCGAACGATCGTTTGGAGTAGCCCTTTTAGCACTGGAGCCCAGGAAGATCCACTGTAGACCACAGTAGATGGCTTGTAATGGGTGTACCCCTCATTAATGCGTCAGAAGGACTGTGTGGGCCATAGGCAAGCTTGATTGAAAGTGCGCACCCAGTTCGGAGTGACAGCAAAGAAGGCCCAGCTTCTTTCTGATACCATGAAGCATTTTGGAGGTTTGTAATAGATTCAATGATCGGGTGACATCCAATGTTAAATTTCGGAGGTATTGGATGCTCTACGCGCTCTTGGTGAGTGACTGATAGAGATGGTTCGCCTTTCGGGCAAAGGCTCCAGTCCTGTTACGATCGCGCCACCGTATCAGCTGCTGCAGTTGAGGTGCATGGTGTCTTCCTTTGTGATTAGTATCCTTGCCTAAGGCACTAGTACGTGCCCAGGGCGCTTGAAGCGGTACTGATGACTGTACTTGAGTAGAAAGGCAGGTTCAAGCCGTAAGAGCATGCCTACATCGTACAGTCGAGAAGCGGCAGTACGATAGGTTCGCACAAACGACAAGCAGATGCAAGAATGAGATTATGGAAGGATGTTGTGGAGAAAGAGCTCGAATTCTCTGGCACTTGAAGGCACTAGCGTAGGTCAGGGTCTAGGTAGCGTGTTGTGGAAGTGACAGCGTTGCTTCCTGCCCTTAGCCCTTGTCCCTTCTACATCCAGTAGATGAGAGTAAAGTAACGCCTGCCGTCGTCCCTACAACCAATGAATCTACGTGTCGTATGCTAGACTCCAACGCAGGTTTCCTTATCTTTGGAAAAATGAAGAAAGAATATGTCGAATCACCGAACCTATGGAATAGCGCCCTTGTGCTGTCTTCTCCCCTTCCAGTCTCAGCCTCCACGCGAAATTCTGTTTGGATAGCAGGCATGGAAGCACTCAATGTCTGGACAAGACTCAGGCGGCAAGTGCACGTCCGTACTGGCTTGCTGATGGAGGCTGCGATTTTGGGTCGGTACATCCTGTAATCTGGCGCAGTGCAATTTCGGCAGCATCTTCTTTTGCCTGTTGCATTCGAGCTCCATCATACCAAAAGCGAGCCTGATAGTGTATGCCATTGACCACGGCAATGGTAGACCAAGCTGTACGACCGCCTACACGTGCATTAGACACGCAATTTGTGGCTGGTGTAAGCATTGTCGACAATTACCTCGACGATCAGATACATCCTGATACATGATTTCCCCAAGCTTCTCAGCTTGGCAGTACTCTGTAAATGGCGTCAGTACGCCAGCATATCAAGATAACGAGGCTAAAGAACCTTGGAGTCGGTAGGTCCAGGGCTTGACTTGCGCCATGGCTAGACTTGATCCGAATATGCGAGCCGGATGGAGTTGAAGGAGCGATGACAAGAGCGGAGGGGAGGAGTTGGTGGAAACTGTAGCGAACAATGATGTGATCTTGATCACCGAGCTTTATATCCTAATTTCGACAGAACCTTGGGCTGAACACAGATGACTTGTCAAAAGAGAGAGCTGGATGGTGACGAACAAATGCGAATACCCGTAAAGTAAGTCATGCTCCCTCTGAATGAGTGTCAGATAGGATGCAATAAGATGTGGGAAGCCGTGCGCCCCAACTGAGAGGTTCCGACGCTCCAATTATGTTTTTTGCTTCAGACCCGATACTCTGGCACCAAAGTTGGGCCATTCTACTCTTAGCGGGCCGAGAATAGGCCTCACGGCAAAGGCGCGGATTGTTAACCCTATCTTATGATAGACGTCTCGCAATGAGACGCCGTTGGTACTTGAGAGTGCTGCAAACACTGACATATGCACGTTAGTGTGCTATAGGTATAATCAATGACTATGCATGGCAGAGTCGAAGGATGGAAGGCTGAGACTTCTGCTCAAGAATTGTTTTCGTATCCACATGCTGCAAGACATCATCTAGTGGCAAACGGGCCAGCTCACCGTGCGCTTCAGGCCGGCATTGCGGCCTTGTATGGGCTATACACAGGATTTGCAGCAGTGATATCATAAGCGAAGTACGCGAAAACGTCCAGGAGCCTTGTCTACAATCCCTGCTACGGATCGTGAGGCGGTGGAGAGGCGTCAGCACAAAGAAGGGCAATTGAGCCCGATGTTTGCTAGTGACCTAGTGCGCACTGTCATAGTGGAGTCACTTGTTTGCAGTGCTTTCTTGGCATGCATTTCCTGAAGTGGCGGTATAGCAATCTTATGGCCAGCAACGAGTACACGGGTACCTACTGTTGTACCTCTTGTACTACTTAAGTACGATCAAATGATAGCACGCAATTTTAAAGCAATGTAAGGCTGCCAACGGCAACAAAACAAGCGCATGTACCTACCTTATGCGGCCTGCGGAACCTGGGTAGAGTCGTTGACCAAATGTGGATGATTTATGTTCATTATTGCGTATAATTTGCCGTTATTCGTACCAATGGTGGGAATCAAAAGACATGTACTGGATCCAAGACCAATCGGTGCGAGCCAAATGTACCAATGCTGTGCGGTCCATCTTCCAAGGGGAAGAAAGACGGCCAATCCCAATAAAGCAAATACTGTAAGACCATCATGCATGATGGAGCCTCAAACTCCGGCCGAATGCATGAGATCGAGCTCACGTGCGGTACTAACGACACGAGGATAGCGGCGGCAAGCTGCGTCCCCACAAGCCCAACAGAACAGGTCTGACGGCGGAAGGAAAATCATGTACGAAACGAAGCTGCAGTTTACCGAACGAGCGGGTCTCCCGCCAGCGGGGCAAGCCCCAACATACAAACATTATTCCCAGCGGGGAAGTGCTAAGCTTGAACAGAAGTACGGCGTAACGCTGACGGTTGTTTGCTTGGACTCCCGCCGCGGGTATTTCGGCTGAACATCTCATCGATGAGCCGTTTGGGACCAATGTACTCCATGTTCATCTTCAGCGAAGCGCTCCGGATCAACGGAATGTGTAACTGAGCGGCCTGCTTGGCAGAGAAACGGCGTTTGATACAGTCATCCACAAGGGCCATGAGGCCTGTAGCAACAACAACACTGCACTCATCGTCAGTAGTGCCTCGGCGGCGTACTATGCTTCACTTACTCTGCAATGTCCGATTCAGAACGTAAGATCTGGTCATCGGTGATACGCAAATAGCTTGGAGGGACCCATCCTCCACGTGCTGCCTCCTCACGGGCCTCAGCCTGGGTCAATCGAACAGGACAGATATGAGCCAGTGGCTCTTTTTCGTTGTCGTCACGGACAAGATAGTACGACACTGTCTCCTGGTCACGCTCTTTCTTGACTATGCGTTTCCACGAGTAGTCGCTGCCCCAATACTCGAAGGTGTACTTTTTGTGGGACTTGGCACCTCTCCTCTTTACTTCCATATGTGCGTAGTTAGAGAACTCTAGCTTGAGCGTGTTTGTAGGGAGCAGTGCACGGCCCTTGAAATAGCCTGCGCTCTTAGGGCGTGGGTCTTCTTTCTCATCCTCGTCATCCTCTACGCGACCTTGCACAGACTCATACCCAGAGTCTGAGCGCTTGAGTCCAGCTGCGCTTGAAGGACGGAACTCGGACTTGTGAACTAGATTAGCCAGGGCTGTGCTTGCGCGTTGCAATACCGGCCGCTTTTCCTGAGGCGGACTTTGGTATTTCCGTATTGAGTGACAGACCTCTCGTCCAGATTCCCGACAGTATCGTCGCAGGGAAAAATCACGGGTTCGCAAGTCTTGCATGCGCAAGTGATACAGGGTGTAGTTTTGCTTTTTGTGGTGTCGTTCCTCAATTTGCGTGTCAACCCTCAGGTTCATATTCCCGTCTATTGTCGCATCGTCATGTCGTATGGATATGCGCTTGGAGGTCGGAAATAGCTCAGCGAAGTCGCGGGGCGTAGTAGGAATGGCATCGGTTGGCAGCGGGTCGTGGTGGTATTGGGGCACGTCATACTCTGGCACATTATCTGCGTCGTCGTCGAGATCTTCATCCGAAGTAGAGGCGTATGTGTCAACCGAACTACGCGCTGGCTGCGCGTACTTGTTGCGACCATCTCTGCTCGCAAAATAGTCCTGTCGGCCTTCTACACGTGCGTAGCACGTCTCGCTATGCGCCAGAGATGGTCTTCTGTCGCTGTACTCGGTTGGTGCCGTCTCGTACGAGTGATCGCTGTCGGCACTCCGGCCAGAGTGCGTGCTATTACTCGACTGGTGTTGTCGCCAATGTACGTTTCGCGACATGATATGTATGTTGGTGTGGGTATTGGCGAATGATAGAGTGAATAGAAAGACTCCTTGTTAATGCAAGATGAGATGCTTATTGAGCAGCCATGTATCGCACAGCGTATGTATATGTGGGACTGCCTAGAATGAAGCAGGCGCAGCGATCAGACAGCGCATGGAAGGGTGACCTGGCACGAGGCGCCGCAGGGACCGAATGGGATTAATAGGAATTCGAGGCTTTGCGTAGGCATGCAACGATAATAATGGCGCAGCAACACGGCGTGGGGTGTTATTGTCGCGGCCGCCTGGAGGGACTCGCTGAAGGTCGTTACGGGCGATCCTGCTTCCAGCATCTCGATCGCTGCCAACGAACATGCCTGCATCTTCATGCAATCACTGCAACCGCTATTCCCTTGGCCTGCACAACGCTGCACTTGACAGCGAATCCGAGACGCGGAAGGGCGCCGGCGTGTGAAGGCCAGACCCGCTGACTTGCCAGCCTCCCTGGCGGCTAGCGAATCATGCGTCGCCTGCCAGCCGCCAGATTCATCAGCTTGACTCCTCGCGCAACGCTCAGCACACCACTTCGCGGCCGGAAGGAGCTGCATCATCGGGGACTACAGAGCATACTTCAGTAGCTGTGCGGCTGCAGCAAACGCTCACTCAGCGACGCAAAATAAGTGCTGCTCTGCAACATCGACTGCTTCAGCGGACAGTGACACCGCCGAATCCGCCGGGCTACCCAGCCCGGCACGAACTGCGCAAGGCGGGACGCCAAACGGCGGGACGCTCCCATGGCTGATCGTCCGTTCCACGTGCCAGCGGTCCCTTCTTATTTTCGACAAGCTATCCCGGCAGTCAGCAGAGAGTGAGCAGACACGTCCCCATTTTCGCGACAACATTCGCTGTGACGACATGTTTTGCGGGCGAGTCCCCTGCGATTATCGGAAATATGCGGCCTTCTCTATCGAGTGTAGGGCTGGTGTGACCGCCATTCGAGAGGCGGGCTAGAAGCGGACGCCCATCCTTTCCCAGCACCGATCTCCTTGCAAGAAAGGGCGAGATCTCAACAGTCCGTCATAGGGTGACACGAGCATCTGATGCTCCCAGCCTGGGTACAAGCAGTCAGGTTTTTCAGAAAGTCGGAGGTGCCCGCTGAACACACGACCTCTCGGGACTACGCTAATCTGCACGTGACTGGTCACAGCACCGAATTTGATGCCCAGTTGCAACTCTTCCAACAGCTTGGTACTGCGGGTCATTTGGATTTGCTTCCCCTGACGCTCAAACTGCAGTCCAAAGTGCTCCACATCCCCAGGAACTGCCTCATTGTGCATCTGTTGAGCCAATCAGCGCCAAGTACGTGGTGGCCCATATAGACTGCAGCCACGACACCATCGATGTGCTCGTATCTCAACTTCCAAACTGTGGACTAGCAGAAGCACTCGGGTGGGAACACGTTCACCCAGCATCATGGACACCAGGTTCGATTCGAATCTCCGTCCCACTCATCCCATACGTCAATCCTTCCTTGTGGACCCTCTACCCTTTCCCCGCCCCGTCTTTGCCTCTCCGATCCTTCCAGAGCGCGCGTCAAGAGCTGCGGACGCATTAAAACGCATGAACAAGCGTACTACGTAAGGTTGTCGAACGCCTCACACGATGACACCTTGCCTTGCAGACAGGCCTTGATTTATTGATCGACACACACCAAGTTTCACTGGACGATTAGGCATCATGTTCAATCCGACCACTTGGCTGTGTACCCGTTACTCGATCCGAACTACTCATCATCCCCCGCGCCCGCTTCCCTTGCACGCTTATGCTGTGTGTATGCCCAAGGCTGCTCCGCGACATTGTGTGTTGAGGGACTATCTTTTGACGCCCTGCAAGGTAAGCCACAAGCACTGATGAGCGCCCTGGATTGCACAGGACGTGAAGTGCGGAGAAGTTGCCCTTAGTCGACTGTGATGCGAGGCGTTGGGCTGTTGACTGTCCCATCGACGCTTACGGACGTACGCGTCTTGAGCTGGTCAGTCCTTTTCGCTCAATACAGCATTGCGGTTCCGCAAGTAGATGGTCTGAACAAGTCGGCTATTACCTTTCAGTGAAGCGTAGCTGAGATTGACGGGTAAGTCTTCAACTGTGAAGCCCTATCGAAAAGACCACTGTGACTGCAATACTCATCTCCCGTATTGGGGCTATGTGTTACCAGAAGGCCTGTGGCCCATCTGTGTTGACTGCGGCGAGGCATATGGACGGCTATCTTTGGGTTTCTTGCCAACCGCCTCACTTTCGCCTGAATCCTTCAACGATTACTCTTCGCTATCAAGGGTTTCCAGGCACCCAGGAGTTTATACGATTCATGTCCATAAGCATAGCAGATCGAAACTTCCTTGGGTTGAAGTTTATTCTATCGTTTGTATACAAGGTTTAGTAAACCAGCTCGTTGCCCTGAAGACCGGTAGAAGGACCGTCTAATCCTTGACTCCAGATGCAGGAACCACCAGCGATACAACGATCAGCCTGGTATCAGGACTGCTCTATACGGAAGCACAGCTCAGTGGGGCTCAGCCTTATGCTCGTACCTGACTCAAGGTTATTTGATGCTGGAGTTGGGAATTATGCTGCATCTCCGTGGCATCGGTAGCAACAATAACCCGGACAAGAGAAACGCATGTAGGGCGATGTAGCATTACCTTTCTCAGCATAATGATTAAGAGACTGTCGGACAGGGGTGCCTCTGGCAGTACTGCTGAATTTCACGGCATAGAAACAGTGTTGACCTTCGACTCACTTGACGTCACACATACCTAAGAACAAGGGCACATAGGGGGTTGTTGGACGATCAGCATCAATGACATCACATCAGAGAAAAGTAAGTAGGCTGCGATTGGCGAAGTCATCAGTATCATTGTCTCGTTATGTAGACACAATGGCCTTACTCCATCTCAGCCAGTATCGTGTATCCGTGGGTTGTTCTGGCATCGAAGCCATACTAGATCCCGCTCACTTGTGTCCTGAAACTTTTCAATCCATTGTTCGAATGCTTTTTGTCCGCCTCGCGTCCGTGCAAGCATTTAAGCAAGCTGACCGCAGTCGGCGATGACGATCTTGGCCTTGGTGGAGCCGCTGGAGGAACCGTAGGTCTCGACCTTCTTGACGACGTCAAGACCCTCGACGACGGAGCCGAAGACGACGTGCTTGCCATCCAACCACGAGGTCTTCTCGGTGCAGATGAAGAACTGGGAGCCGTTGCTAGTGAGGCGTCAGAGATTGCCAATAGCAGTTGGAGCTGCGCCACTTACGTGTTGGGGCCGGCGTTGGCCATGGAGAGGATACCGGGGCCGGTGTGCTTGAGGGTGAAGTTCTCGTCCCTGAACTTCTCGCCGTAGATGGACTCACCACCGGTACCCTGTTTGATATTAGCCCGAACTAACGGAACGAGGCATTGCGGTACTTACGTTGCCAGCAGTGAAGTCACCACCCTGGAGCATGAACTGGGGGATGACACGGTGGAAGGAAGCGCCCTTGAAGTGGAGGGGCTTGCCGCTGCGGCCGGTACCCTTCTCACCAGTGCAGAGAGCGCGGAAGTTCTCGGCGGTCTACGAGTTGATCGGTTAGCTATTGACCCAGCCAATTGCTAGCTTTTTTTGGCGGCGGGGCAATGGGAAGCAGCAGAGACTTACGTTGGGGACGACGTCGCCACGGAGCTCCATGACGATGCGGCCAAGGGGCGAGCCGTTGGCGGTGATGTCGAAGAAAACCTGGGACTTAGACATTGTGATGTGTGGTGGTGTTGTAGTGTTGGGTTGGAGTTGATGAGAGAAGGATGGGGCAAGTAAAGCTCAATGAGGGGTACTCTAGGGTTTTATACCCTTGCGTTTGCTGATGCACGAAACAGAGACAAGAGCTCTCCGACATGTGGACCACCCGCGCACTATTGGCCCGATTCTTCTGAAGCTCTGCTGCTTGGCCGCTCCAAGGCTGGTGAGGGGCAATTTTAGACTACCCCTCTATAGCCACACGCGTCGCCAGAGCAACTCACCCATCGCTCGGGACTGGCACTTGCCATTGCGGTAAGATCGGTTATGATCTTGGATTCCAGAAGCCTTTCAGCTTTACTTCGACTTTGACACGTCTCTCACATCGAAATGGATTCCATCTGCCCGTGTGAAAGAGCTTCGTCTTACCCCGCGCTAACCTGAAATAGCATAAGCCGAGACGCGCTCTCGGCCCACTTCAACGGCACTCCGTCATCTTCAGCGGCACTCTGTGTAATGTTCGACCGACTCGTCACCATCGGCAGTGCTGCCAAATTATTGGCTCGGCTCACTTTTACTTTATGGAGAAATTTTCGAGGCAGTGAACAAAGGTGACAGCTCGTCAAAAGCCAGATGCAATTGCATACCAGCAACACTATGGTGAGAGAAAATGGTATCTACAACTACTACTATCGATGCTCACAGTACATCGTTCGAAACTCTAAAGACAAAAGCCACTCCTATTAGAAACGCCATGCATCCCATTAGACGAGCTCATCATCGTTGTCCGGGTCGGCGAGACACGGAACGTGGGGCACTCACGCCAACACCTCCTTGGCCTCTGCGGCTCTAAGGAACGCTGCTCGCTCGGCTGTATCCTTCGCTTCGGCATCCTTCCACTGCTGAGCTACCTCTGCTTTCCTTGCCTCACTCCTTGGCTCGAAAGCCATCTCGAAAGGATCAGGCTTGATAATAAGGAGCGAGTTGGACTTGTCCAAGGGCACTTCGATGTCCCTTCTGGAGATAGGGTCAACCTTCCTCTTGAGGTTGAAAGCCCACATCAAGCCACCGCAGCCAGTGATGGTCTCATCACGGGTGATCGACATGCCGAGACATTGACGCTGCCCCCAGCCGAACGACGACATACCAGTAATCATAGGGAACTTGGTGAGCGGCCCTTGGAAAGTAGGCCAGCCAGGCTCAAGCCACCTCTCAGGTCGGTAGGACTCTGGGTCGGGGTACTTGACCGGGTTACGAAGGAAGGCATAATCAAGGGGCAAGATGCGGGTGCCCTTCGGGATGAAGTATCCGCCATACCAGTCATCAGCCTCGCACTCATGGGCAACACCTACGAGAACTGTCAGTCTGGGTCGGCGACACACGTTGATGGGACGTACCAGTTGGGACTGTTGGCTTCCATCGCATCGTCTCCTTGATGCAGGCGCGCAGAATGGGCAAGTTTGGCATGTCGGCAACTGTTGGGGGTCCGTTCTTGCAAACGGCATCGATCTCTTCTTGACACTTGGTCTGCCACTCCGGATGGTGTACCATGGCGATCAAAAAGTAGTAGATGGGTCCCGTCACTGTGAAGATACCGACAAGGGCCATCATACCAAGCACACAAGACGCTTCGTAATCACCAGAGATGTTACTCTTCTCTGCAGTCTCCAGATACGTCTTGGTAAAGCAAGGCCTCTGCTTACCCTTCTCCATCCTGCTTCGGGTGTCTGTAAGATTCTTCATGAAGAATTCCTGTTGTTCATCATGGCGCTTACGCTCACGGATCTTCCAGGGGTTGATGGGTTCGGGAACCCAATCCCAGAGAGGTGTCAAGACATTTGTGATTGGACCAGCAGGCGACATCTGTGTGAGAAGACCCCAAGCGCTTGGTGTAAGGGGGACACTGATGGTGTGGTCGTCCCAAGTCAAGGATGCCATGACCTTGGAGCACATATCCTCAAGCGAGAACGAGAAGTCATCTGGGTTCTCAACAAGCCGTTGGAGCCATCTCTTCTGTTCAAACTCCATGATGCCATAGTACCTGGCATTTGTCGATTCGGTAAGGTAAGAGTGAGTGAATTTGCGCTGACGAGCCCAGTATTCTACGCAACCATTAGCAAAAGCGTAATCGAGGAGAAACAGTAACTCACGGTTCTTTCCCATGAGAGGCAAATACTCCATGGATCCATAGGTACTCTTCGCATCGAACAAAGACTTGATCTCAGGTCGATCGGAGTAGACTTTTGCTCGCTTGATCAGAATATCTTCAGCAATGCTCTCGTCCGAGATGACCACAAAGTTCGCTCCTAGCATCTTTGTTCGGTAGATGGGTCCATACGTATCAGCCCATTCTTTAAACTTGAGCCACATGAAGTCGATGGGCAGGTCATGGATGCGTCCAATCCATGGTATGAGTGCCGGCCCAGGTAGTCCGCGACAGTTGTACTTGGCGTTGTACTTCGAGACAACATCCACGAGTGCGTACGCGAGAAAGCCGACGACAGCAACACCAACAGCGTAAGCTGTGAATGGATGCATCTTTCTGGTGCAAGATGACAGGACTAGAAAAGATCAAGGTACAGGAACGTTTGTTTTGGGTCACAAAGGCGGAAAGAACGTTAGATATCAGACCTGAAAACCTTATTGAGAAGCCATCTTGTCCGGGTCCCCAGGTCCTGGGACCGCTAAATCTGTGATAAGACTGCATGAGGCAGTGATGTCGAACATTACGCTAAGCCGTCCCATTAATATCGACTGACTGCCTAAACAGTACAAGTTTAGAAATGCTGACTGTCAGTTGCCAATGAGTGTGCTAGGAAAAAAGTCCGGCCTTAGGTAGCTGCCACTATCTCTACGTCAAGGCCGACATCGATGGACACAGCACACGCCGACTGGCCGATATGAACAGCTGAAGTCGGTCTTACCGGCGCCGACCATGACATGTCCAGATCGTCAAGACATATCTCACTGGGCTGTGATGCAGGGCAAAGCACGGTTGTTGATCGCCGTCAAGTACCGCCACATGAACCACCAACTGCTGCGCCTAGGTTCTGCGCCTGCACAAATATAACACTCGGCTAATCTGTGTCAGGCCAGGGCAAATATCAGTCATTTGGATGTACCATGGTACTCCTTTCTGCGAAGAAGATACAAGCACTGTTGACATCTACCAAGCTTTTGGCTGAAACTGGTACAGGAATAGCCTCATCGCTGTCTGAACTCTCGACCACAATCCCTCGACCACAGTGATTTCAACAAGTTCAGTAGCATTCGGATGAACACGAAGACTATGCTCCATCGCGATCGGCTCCACGTGAAACCTCTTTCCAAGAAACACGCTTGGGCTCGTGATGCCTCCAAGACACGGACTTCCAAGTTCCTTTGCGTTCAGGTCTTAGTATATGGGTGTAATCGATGAGTCTGTTTGCTGACATAAGATACACAAATACCCCCGACTAGCTTCTGATGCACGAAATCTGACATGCGGGGAAATGATCTGTCGTACGATCGCACAAGTCGGGTCTTTGCTGAGCCCCTCTACTGATGACTGTCCCTTACACCTTACAATACAGCCTCAATCTGAGATGTAAATTTAGAGTACTGTTGTGCAGTCTTGGCCCTTCGGACTTGTGTGTGGGGAACCATAGCGTGAGCATCGACCCCTGTCAATCTCGGGAGCTAACGCATCAGTGCCCATCCCTGTTGACAACATCATGGACCTCTGTGTGCCTGTCCATCTCCGTCTGGTGTGCCCATCATCGTTCGTTACTTGGAACCCATCGCCCCGTGAGCCAAACTAAACAACAACGTCTTAGCCCGGCTGGTCGGAAGTCCGATGATTTCGGAAACCCACGCTGGGGTCCCCAATGCCGAGCAGCGCTCGCGCGATTCTTTAAAGATGGGTGCAAATATCTCCGAGGCTGAGGTGTCTGTTGGACTATACGTAGTCACGTTACATTGACAGAATCAAAGTTGCAAACATGCCTCACGCACTTACGTCCCGCGACTCCAACATGGAGGCTAAGCCTCTGGGGACCTACGAGAACACTGGCATCGAAGTACTGATTGTAGGTACCGGTCTGGCGGGCCTCGTCGCTGCGCTCGAATGCACACGCAAAGGACATAATGTTCGCGTTCTGGAAAGGAATGCCGACATCAACACAGCTGGTAAGCGTTGAGACTAAGTCCTGTGAGGCCATAAACTAACCTCAGAATTAGGTGACATGTACTTCATGGGTCTCAGCGCAACACGGTTCTTGAAGCATTGGCCAGAACTCCTCGAAGAATACAAGAAAATTTCACTCCATAATGCTTGGATCGAGACCTTCAAGCACTCCGGCGAGGTTGTTATTTCTCCCAAGAAGGTCGCCGACCGTCTGCGAGCGCAGGGGCTGGACCCCGACACCCCGCCTGGCGAGTTTCAGATGCGTCCGCTAGTCTACCGCATGTTCGTGAGTGCAGTGGAGAAGCTTGGTGTCTCAGTCGAGTTCAATTGCAAGATCGTAGATTACTCTGAGGATGAGACGACCGGCAAGGCTTATTGCACAACAGAAGGCGGGAAGTCATATGAGGCTGATGTTATCATTGCCGCCGACGGTGTAGGATCAAAGAGTCAGAAATTGGTCGGTGGTCAGGTTCGAGCACAGCCGTCTGGGCGTGCCATGTGGCGCGCTGCTTTCCCCATCCAGGAGCTTGACAAGAACCCCAAGGTCAAGGAGTTCTTCAAAATGATGCCTGGAAATGAGCCGATTGTCAGGACATGGCTGGGTCCGTCTACCTACGCTCTGACCTTGACCCGTGAGGATGTGATGGTTTGGATTATGAACCACGATGTAAGTACCGCTTGTCATCTCAATCGATCGCAGTCTAACGCTTGCAGGTAACTGGTACCGAGAAGGAGAGTTGGAACAATACCATCGACAAGGAGGAAGTCTTGAAGGGTATGGACGAGATGCCTGGTATGGAGAAGATCAAATGGGCACCCATCTTCAAGGAGCTTGTCGACGTCACACCTCCAAACACAATCGTCAACTTCGAGCTGCTCTGGAGAAACCCTCAACCTAAGTGGGCCTCACCCGCCGCCCGCGTAATCCAGATTGGTGATTCCGCACACTCCTACCTCCCGGCCTCCGGAAATGGAGCCACGCAAGCCATCGAAGATGCCATCTCAATTGCTTCTTGCTTGCAGATCGGCGGCAAGGAGCAGATTCCTCAGTCAGTCCGTGTACACCTCCGCTTCCGCTTCATCCGCAACTCCTGCGCGCAGAAGCTCGGCTTCTCGAACGCCGAGCTCTTGCAAGACACCGACTGGGACAAGGTTAAGCTCGACCCACGTCGCGCTGCACCCAAGCTACCGAAGTGGGTATGGTCGCACGACCCTGAGGCTTACGCGTATGAGAACTACCACAAGGCTGCTGAGAGCATTAAGAAGGGCATCGATATGGCAGATGAAGACAGCTACGAGCCCAACTACCCCAAGGGCTACAAGTACGAGCCCTGGAACATCGAGAAGATCATGGAAGACATGAGGGCTCACAAGCCCATCGATCTTGGCCCCGGTGATTGGGAGTAGGTTATGGGCCTGATTCCACGATAGACACGATAAATGCATGTATTGGGAGTTTAGCGATAAAGCAATATTCATTACCACCGAAAATCTAAGCCGCTTCTTTCAACTTGTTACGTACCATGTATATTGCACATGCGTTACACAGTCTCTCAAATTGAGCATCCTGCATGCGCTAATTCTCTGCCACAAATTTCAACTCTGTTTCAGACATCTCATTTCCAGTTCAGGACTGCTGATTGTGTGTCACTCGCCCATTCGAGTCTCACTAACGTAATATTTGAATCTCACCTTGTATCTTGCTCATCGCCAGTCACAGCAGAGTTGACTGGGGAGGTGCTGATGTTGGTGCTTACGGGGCGCTGATCTCGAAAGCAAGACACATGTAGGCCCTGCATACCCGAGACATGCGCGCAGATTTTGAAATTACTTCGGCTCCCCAACGGAAGCGCGGTTTATGATTTCCAGAGCAAGGTTTATGAACGCGAGGGAGCAGAGTCGATGACGTAGCCAATGAGCACTAGCGTTGCCTCGAGGCTGAACATGGAGGTATTGCAATATGAAGAACGAGGCTTAGATGATAAGGCTTTGGGCAGGATTGCGAGGGTGAATATCTTTGACAAATTGTGGCATTGTATCGAACTACCATCCAGCCAATCATCTCCGCGTTTCCGGCAGTGAATGTATGAGCACGTGATTTATCAGGAGCATGAGGTGGCTTTAACCGTGCCGTCGACATGACCAAGCAGTGCCATATTTGAAAATATTTGGCCAAGCATCGAAGTTCTTGGGTGAAAATGACCAAGCCGCTGGTCAATATTAACTAGAACGAGTTGAAAGATATACGCTGTGTTGCAGTCTAGCTTTAAGTCGTGAGCTCTGCCTCGCACTCGCACCCACAATGCATTTCCCATGCCAGTGAAGAAGAAAAACTCAACAGAATCTCACTTCATTCCGAATTATTCGTCAGGGGTTCCTGCATGTCATCCAGAAGTCTTGCAGCAACTCCCTCGCTGTCACAGTCTGTCAATGCCATCATAGGACACAAAGGACCAAAGCGCACAGCAGCTCTCTAAGAACAGCCAAACAGAAAAAGATATCTTCTGCACTCCTCGCTGGAGGTAAACGCAGCCAATCTCAGTAGGGACGATTGGTGCTAAAGGTGAGACTCACGGCATCGCTGAGCATCGAAGGGAAAGATTGGCGTTCGTGCACGGTGATCCGGATGGGACCCAGGTCCGGGATTTTGTTCACAACATGGAAGCTAAGGAGTGGCATATGAGGCTGTCAACTTCTAAGCGATCAGGCTTGTCGAAATCGAAGCTGTAGGTATCGGCCCTCCGCTTCCGACTGTGAGATCAGTCTGCTCGCTTGTTTGAGCTAACACGAACTGCTCGTAACCATCTTGGTGAATGTTGCGATGCATGTCAGCCTCGTAAGGAGATGCGGGCAGATCATTGCTCAGGTTGCATTGGTACGTCCTTCCTTTAGCGTCGCGCTTTCTCTAACATAAGCAACTAGTAGCGATCTCCCACCTCCCCACCAATTGCACGCTCAATCCACATGGTTCGCCTGTCTCTAGCAGCTATCCTCGGACTTCCGACAGCTGGTCATTGACCGGCCCGCCGATGCAATGTTTGTGACACGGGCATCCATGAGCACGCACTTTAGCGGGGATGCGCAGAGTCAAATGTTAGGACGGCTGTAGCGTGGATTGCGGAGCCGTAAGATGTATTTGCATCGATCTTACGTCCTTAAAACTGCCCAAATTTGTTCTCTGTCCTGCATTCAGACTCTGGTAGCTGTTACCGAACAAGCTTCGTAGGCGCTAAGGGTCATCACTTTCAGCTCGCGAACAGCACATCTTCAAAACCAAACACAAACTCCGCTATGGCTGCTACTAAAGCCATCCTCATCACGGGCGCTACAGGAAAGCAGGGTGGTTCTATCCTACAGCAGCTCGCAAGCCATCCGACGGCCTCCCAGTTCACACTCCTCGCCGTAACACGCAATGCAGATAGCGCTTCAGCCAAGCGCATCGTGGAGCGCTATCCCCAAGCTTTGGTTGTTCAAGGCGACTTGAACGATGTACCGGGGCTATTTACCTCTGCCAAGTCCAAGCTCAAGGAGGCCGGAAAGCCAGAGCAGATCTGGGGTGTCTACTCGGTCCAGATATCAATGGGACCAGGAGTTACAACAGAGTTCGAGGTCAAGCAGGGCTCGGACTTGATTGATGAGTCTATCAACGAGGGTGTATCACACTTTGTCTACTCGAGTGTAGACCGCGGCGGCAACGAGCACAGCTTCAACAACCCAACGCCGATTCCACATTTCCAGACCAAAGAAGAGATCGAACAACACTTGTTGGAGAAGGCTGGTAAGAACGGCGAGAATATGGGATGGACAATTCTGAGGCCTGTTGCCTTCATGGACAATCTGGAGCCGGGAATGAAGTCAAAGGTTTTCCTCACTGCAATGAGAGACACCCTCAAGGGCAAGTCGAACCAATGGGTATCGGTCGAGGATATCGGTCTCTTCGGTGCCAAGGCGTTCAGGGAGCCTGAGAAGTGGAATGCACGTGCCGAGGGTCTTGCCGGCAGCGAACTCACGATGGACGACATGAATGGATGCTTCGAGAGAGCAATCGGCCAGCCAGTGCCATATGCCTTCAGCTTCATGGGTTCTGCGCTTATGTGGGCAGTCACGGAAGTCAACCTCATGATCAACTGGTTTGCAGATGAAGGCTATGGTGTAGACATTGCCAGATTGAAGAAGGAAGAGCCTCAGTTGTGTGATTTCGAGAGGTGGCTGAAGGAGAGAAGCGGCTGGAAGGACCAAGCTGTCAAGAACTAGGTTGTGGCACGATTAATATGCAGCGTTCGCTCTATCTCATAATATCATTGAATAAGTTTCCCTTGAGTCCTACAAGTAACTGTCTACTGGATTCTTGCGAGCGTTGCTCGATGAACCTTTGGCCAGAATGATATCAAACCTGTAACATGCGCCCATTAGGCGTCAGAATATAGAAATACAAATGATGCAAATGAAGAAAGTAGTGGACGTAGATGATAAATTTGCTACCCTAACTCCAATCACCCGAGATTCACATGAACACCCACAATTACTTCGTTCGCTACCCGAATATATTCCTCAGGCCTGGCAAGCATCATTCATGCAAGCAGCTGGTACAGAGCTAAGCTGCCAGCAATGACTGGGGTGAGGAGCCTCAGTCTGTTCCAACTCGCCCACTTCTTCGCGACATTCTCTGCCTCCTTCAACTCCGTCTCACTAGCTCGACCGGCCAGAGCCTCGAGCTTGTCGTTCAAAGGCTGCATGTTTTTCGCCGAGTGAATGATGGTGGCCAGGTGCATGACAGCTGCAGCGGCGAATAACTTCCAGTCATTGCGGGCAAGGATACCCTGCTTGTACGTAGCATATCCTGCGTACGCATAGCCCAAGAAGCCAAGAGTGGAGATTGGGCGGAAAAATTGGTTGCCCACTGTCCAGCAAAGTGGCCACTGGCGACCAAGAAGGCGGGCACGCTCTTTATGCTCAGGTGAGCTTGGAGGTGGGAAGTTGACAAGTAGCGCTGGAACTGTCATATAAGACTGTGTGATTGCATTTCCTGGTCTTGTCAGTACTGAACGGTACCACACACTTCTCTTTGCCTCACCAGCGAGAATGAACGAGAATGTGATGCAGGTGCCTGCCACACTCTTGACGATGAGATTGTCAGACATGATGTTAATATTCAGCGACTTAAAGCTCCAATATGAGACTGAATAAAAGATGAAGGGCTTAGTGAGCGCAATGGGGGGAAAGGCTGATCTTGAATTCTTCGTCAACAAGCCCCTCAAACATAAACACTCGGAACCGCGACGCGACCGACAGGCATCTCCGATCCGAACGACCTAACATAGCCTTCCCGAGATGTCAGTCGACCGCAATCCCAGTTGTGATGTGATCGACCCGTTCCTGGTCAGCCATCGGTTCCCCATTGTCCGCTGCGGACTTCGAGCGCATGCGATTGGTCGTTGCTATATTACATCATCGTTCTCAGGTGCCACAGGTTCTCGAGCTGAATGCTTGTCAGATGAGTTGAGCGTACCAGACCTATTCCTGGCGAGCCTGGGTGAGCACGTTTTACAAAGCCGACACTTGTGATTGCGAGTGGCTGCAAGGCTGCGCTCAAGGCTGAGGTTTCCCGGACCGATCTGGCGCTAACCGCGCTGCCAGTCCTTCCCCATCTCTTCATCCTCTTTCACCATCTCGACCTTGACACGCTACTTTTTCTCACGTCCAGCTAAATCGCCATTTCGATGCTTTGCACCTACTGTCATGTGCGGTTCAACAACCAGCTCCGTCAGAGGAGACAAACACTGTGATCTGTTGCTGTCACGGTCACACAGGCAACATTCTCTGTCCATGCGCCCCACTGGGCATGCAACATCAAGAGCTAGGGACAACACCTTACAACATTGATGGGGTCCTGATGCACGCACTCGCTGGCGAGCATCGAAGCTCCGCAACAGCAGTGTTGAACAAGGAGCGAGCTCGATTTACCAGCACAAAGCTGACGCTGGAATCCTACTTCATCACTCCCTTGCCATAACCATCTCGTTGTGAGCATTATTACACGGTGGCTGTGCTTCACCGGCGACCGTTTCCAAGGTTGCGCACAGACGCTATCTCCCCAGGCGCGAAGGGATCACTGCTTTGTCTGTCATTGAAGGAACAACCGATTTCCTTTTGGTGAGGCATGAGAGTGGCACCTGATGGGGCGCAGCTTGAAGATGCTCGACCTCCCCGCAACAGCTCTTCGGTCGTGAGCCAGTGATCGACGGGGCAACCGCCGTGTTTCCCGGACTGTGCGGAATACCTTGGCACACGTACCCTTTCCACCAGTTAATCGCCTTAAAAACCAGTACGAGATGCATGGACCTCTACGCCGAGAGAACGAAGCAGAACTTAGCCTCGCGTGCTTGTATACGTCAGGGCGCTAAACTGAAAAGCGATCGCTCAGTAACTTACTGCGCCACGGAGTTGGAGGCCTTGAATACTATGTAAACACTTTGAGCTGCACAAAGATCAGCGGTATAGCGACGTTGGCCTTCGTTTGAGTCTCCAACGACTGTTCGCCTGCAATCTCCAACCATGGTTCATCCCACCGTGACACTACTCTTTGCAGCCTTGGCATCTGCTCAAGCATCCAACTACACCACAACAGCATGGATGACCAATTTCGCTGGCTCCGATAAGTATGGTTACGTCGCGTCCGTCATCAACGCCGACGCTGAACACATGACTCTTTCCCTGGACTATGACGCGGACGCCGACCGGGACGCTCTGCACGTTGGCGGCCCTGCCGGCAACTTTACCTTTGGCCCATCCGGTTTCACACTGTCGACAGAGAGGCGTAGCGTTATGGGCGGACCCTCAGGCAATATGGGCTTGCAGGTTGAATGCACCGAGCCTGCTCGAGTGGATGCCGAAGTAACGTGTACTGGAACGTTTGGCGACGGGTACGCTCGGTACGCCCGGTGCAACGAATATGAGACCACACAGACGAGGCGAACCCCGCGAGAAAACATGACTACCTCTTATGCGCACACTTACGGCACCGGGCTCTGGGGCTCTGGCGGCACCGAGACCATCACCCAAACATTTAATTACCCTCTTGTGTCCGAGACGACGACCCCGGCTTGGTGCACCAGCGACGAGCTGCCAGAGTCTGCGGTGTCAACTGCATTCCCTGCTTCAGCGACGAAGTTTGCAGTCTATCAAATTGTCATTTATGCGGGACAGGAGAAGCTGAGCGCGTTCTCTGGCTCATCGGCTGTGAACAGCACAGGACCTAGTTCGACGGAGAGCGGGCCAGCGGCTACTGCGTCGGCTGGAACGAATGGTACCACGAGCACGCCTCCTGAAAGCACTGGCGCGGCGGATAAGATGAATGCGGCGGTCCCTGTAATTGCTGGTTTGGGTGTTGCAGCCGTTATGGGTATGCTTTGATACGCTTGCTCGATATAATGACAACAATTCACTTCTAGTGAACATACGAAATATCCGACATGATTTTGTGTACACCTCTAAATAAACCATGTCCTACAGAACCCATCTCACATTCTTGGAACACTGTGCACATTGTTGATCTCCTGATCCTCATATTGTGTGGACAGGTTGTAACTACAGGGCGTAAGACACTACTGCTTAATTCCAAAACCACATGTTCTAAATGCTACAAAGACGAACACAAACAATAAAGGTACAGTCTACGAACACAGTACTCCGGACAAATGCCAGACGCTAGAGCCATACACTACCTCTCTTACTCCTTATACTTTGCAGCGGGCGTCTTCGACCTACCGCCCCTCCTGACCTCTCCTTCCCTCACCTGTCTCTTCCTCTCTTCCTCCAGTTCCTTCTTCCTCCTCCTGTTATCTTCCAGCTTTGCTTGTTTCAGCCTCGCCGCTTCTTGCTCTGCTGCCTCTTGTTCCGCCGCCGCTCGCACTGCTGCTTCTCGCTCCGCCGCTTCTCGCTCTGCTGCTTCCTCGCGCTGCCGCACTGCCTCCTCCTGCTGCCGCGCTGCCTCCGCCTCCTCCTGCTCCCTCTTCTCCCTTTCCTTCCTCTCCCTCGCTTTCTGCTCCCTATTCTCCAGGCGCCAAGCAGCTTGCGCCTCCCTCTGAGTCATCGGACCAAGCTTCGTACGATCCTTCTCGGGAACATCTGGCACGACTGTCGACGTCGACGCATTGATGATTTCAATTTCCACACTCGGTGCACGCGGCGACTCGGGTCTGTAGATCTCAGACGTCTCGAGCTTGCGCAGCAGCTCCGGCTCGTACGCACGCATCATGCGCTCGCGGATCGCGCCGTTGCGCGCCGTTGCGTCTCCGAGCTCGGACATCTCATGCATGGCCTCGGCGTTGAATACGGTGTTGTCGCGGAGCCATACTGTGGTGAACACCTCGTCGGGCTCGTGCATGAAGGTGCGTTTGAACTTCATGTGCAGCGCTGCACGGAAGGCTTCAAGCGAGGCGGGCTCGTTGTTTGTGGCCAGATTGTCGCGGATCTCCGGGTTTGCGGTAAGCCATAGCTCGATCTCGTCGGCGGAGATGGTAGTGAAGTCAGGAAGATTCGTGATCCCGGAGGGCCAGGAGGTGCCGGTTGTATCCCAGGGAAGGAAGACGTTGTTGTCTTCTTCGCTGATGACATATGTGCGCTCACCGATGTGCACTTCTCGTACGGCGATTGCCTCTGTATCGTCCGTTCCGAACGAGTTGTTGACATCGTCATCCTTCTCCTTCTTAGGGTCTGACGAATTGCCAGGCACTTCAGGGTTCGCAGGGTCTGACGTCTCGTCAGGTTTGTTAGGGTTCGGAGGGGGAGAGTGTCTTGGTGCACCGAGCTGAGTGAGAGATTCTACTGTTACACCAACCGGAGTGGCTAGATGGAGGGTCTTCGGCTTTTTCGACTTGTTTCCCGTGGTGTCGTCCGGATCACGGGCGCGCTTGGTCCCACCTGCTGATCCACCATGACCATCCTCAGAATCGGACCCGTTCTCTGATCCAGGTGGGTTAGAAGCGCCGGAGTTAGGGTTGGAGGGGCTGTTGGCATTTGTGCTGCTGCCACTGCCGGTTTCTGGCTGGCCTCCGGGGTTGGCACCTTCTCCGCCCTCCATCTCTTGGCGCAGTTCCTCTCTGCGATCTGGGATCGGCACCAATCTTCCTTGGATCAACGGATTCGTCAACAAACTGCGCAAGAGATTTCTCCTCCCATCGTCGGTTTTCGTGAGGAGACTACCAGCAGGCGACGCGAATCCCCACTGTCTTAGCTTCCTTATACTCGCCTCAGATAGCGGCTCTTCGTTACGCATGTACTCGAACCCCTCGCCGTACATGCGTTCGAGCCAGATACGCGCGTGGCGTTCGTGGAGTGTGTTTAGCACTGTAGGCAAACGGTTGCGGAAAATGAGAGGCATTTTCTTGATCCAAAGAGCGAGGTCTTCGACTGCCATTTTGAGGAAGTTCCGGTCATCAAGCTTCACTTTCTTGGCGGGGCCAGTGAGGGCTTCGGGGTTCTTGCGCTTGGTACCAGACGTGGTAGGATTGTCTGTAATGGTTCCCTCCTCTATTTCCTCTTCTGAATCTGAGAAGCCATTGCTGTATCCGGGATCATCTGTCGGTGGACCAGTCGGCAATGCCCGAACACCGTAGTGCTCGTTCATTCTCGAGACGATGGTGAGCATTTCCGAGTCTTCCCAGGATCGTTCTCGCTCTTCGTTGGTAAACACAAGGGGATCCAGGAGCCATAGATTCGTGCAGTTGGCGTAGGTCTCATCGCTGAAGCTTGCCCCAGCCAATTGGACCAAGCATAGCGCGCGCATTGAGACGATGCTTGGTTCTACTCGTACGCCGTCGCGCTCGAAACCCATGATACGAGGATCTGTCCTCATCTCAGTGGTCATATGCGCCTGAAGATCAGTTGGTGACATTGTGCGGAAGTCCAGTAGCCCTTTCAGTCCAGGGCCGGGGGTCACAGCCTTCGATCCAGCTCCAGAGCTGGGGTTGGCGATGCTGTTAGTGGAATTATTGTTGATTCCATGGCGGTTGTCAGTGGTTTGACCAGCATTGCTGCTGCTGTTGTTGTTCTGCGTAGTCCGATTCTGGGGACCCTCCTGGCCTTGACCCGCATTGGTGTTGTTGGACTGACCTGTAGAATCTTTCTGTTTTTCGCCGCCTTTACCGTCATCGCCGTCGCCACTCTCATCGCCAGAGCTTTCATCATCACCCTTTGGACTGGGGTTCTTTGGCTTAGTTGGTTTCTTTGCACCAGAAGCCTTTACCCTGTACTTTTTGAGAGTTTTCAGAAGAGCTTTTACTGCTGCTTTTCCCTGATAGTGTTCCATCATCATTAATCTCATCATTCCGCATCGAACCCTGGCATCTTTGATTTCTTTCATCTTGATGACCGTCTCGTTGCTAGGATCGAAAACTGTCACGTCGTTTGCCCAGAAGTTTGTGAGCTTCGCGTCCGTCTCTCCTAGGAACGACTTGTAGAACTTCAAGTGCAGCATGGCGGAAGCTCTGATTCGCCAACCCTTTTGTTTTCTGTCAATGTCGATTTCCGTCGACTTGTTCAGCCAAAGTGTTGTTTGTGGAGGATCGGTCTTGGTGAAGTCAGGGAGGTTCTTGCGGCCTGCCGGATAACTACTTTTACTTGTCTCCACCGCTGGCCAGATAGAAGTGTCATCAAGTGGAACGTTGCGGTAAACGTGCATACCAAGATGGAGGTCGGTTACATTTGCAGACTTGAGACGTTGTTCTTCTTCCTGCCTGCGACGTTCGTCCTCCAGGCGCTGTCTTGTGACCAGAGTTTCATGAGCGAGTTGGTAGCGCTGCTCACGATCAAGAATGTCTGCGTAAACTTCAGGGTCGTTTGCAATTACCTCTCTGAGGGTCGACTTGTCTACAGGGGGATCTCCCCACTGCCCGTCATCATCTTCGTCGTCTATCTGGTCAACGGATTCGGGTCGCGATGAACGTTGAACCAAATCAATGAGACCGTCGACTGTCATAAGACTGCGCAACACATCAGGCGTCAGATTATCTACAGAGAAGTTTGGATTTAGAATTTCTCGTTGTCTCCGCTCCTGCATCAGCTCGTCTGCGAACTTGGCTCGTATTGCAGCAGAGTCAAAGCCCAGCGCAGTCGCACGGGCCGCTCGGTCATTCTCGTTGAAGGTCGTTGGCATGCCAGGGTCGATCAGGGTGGTCTTATTGAGTAATATGTGGTCCAAGAAAGCGTACATATGGGGTCCACATGGTCCGTAGTCTTCTTTGTTGGCATTGGTTCTGAACATGTGAGGCACAAACTTCAGTGTCCCTGCTACGAACTTGCTTTTCTCTAGTCCAAGTAAGTTGTCGAATCCACAGAGCACTTTACCAGCTATTACTCCATTAAGGTCGATACCTTCAATCTTCCAGGTGCCGTTCTTTCTCTTTTGTGGGTTAACCATGCCATCCACATAATGGGCAGCTGGGTTCGCTTCATCTCTTCTGTCAATGACAATGAAAGACCAATGACAGCCATTACCTAGACGCGCTTTGTAGCCCGCCTGGTTTTGAGGAAGGTCTTTTCTAGGTACTCCTGCGGTAGCTTCGTCTTCAGGAGCTGCCCATTTATTGTACCCGTCATTGACAGGTAAGATAATGAAAGGGCTGCTTCTCAGTCGCTCGATCATAGGTCCCCACTGAGTTTCGTGATCCTGTCTCGCAGCAGGTGTTGATATGTCCTCTGGATGGTCGCCTGCTGCCCACAACTGGGAAGCTTCAATGGATGATACAATCAAGACGTCCCCAAGTGCCGCGTGTCTTCGTCTTATAATTTCCAGTGCCCACTGAATGTGAGCATCCTGCCAGAATGAATCTGCTGCTGATCTGAATTCTTTGACTTTACTGAATTCGCCGACTGTCATACTACCGGGGAAATCGTCGGTGACATAAATACTGTTTAGCCACTCTTCTTTATCGGTAGGGTGCATGCGCACGCCGCCAGTTAATGATGTAGGGGTTGCAACGCCTGTAACAGGCCCTTCTACCGGTGGGATGGGAATTGGTGCACCTGGAGTCGTGCCAGCCATAGGAACCTCTCCACCCGGGACATTACCGGGCTGAGTTTCCGAATCTGCCATGAAATCTGTGCGAAGCGAGTGAGACCGAAGAGTAGTATTGTAAAGGTTGAATTAGTTCCAGATTGCTGATTGGCCGGTATCCTCAATATGAACAAATGGAATGACAGTAAAGGTGATTAGGTTTGCGATGTCTCCGGAGCGGTTGAACAATGCCCATATATGTGAGGTGGACCGGCCGACTGACGACAAAGACAATCTCCAAGACTCGTGCATGAGGTCTGCGAGCGACAAAGATGACAATGAAGCTGCCGCGCTGGCTTTCTTTACATTTTGGTACAGAGGAGACAACAGGTACAGCACATCCTATCATCATCTTGTAAATGTTCTCTGGAGTGTTCATAGTCCTGAAACACAGCCACCCGTTCCTGTACCGGACAACATGCTATCTGTAAAGAATGCTAGTGCGGAAAAGCGACAGAAGACAAAGAGGTCAATCAAAGAAGAGAAGAGACGACTAGATACCACACTCTTACAGGCAATAGGAAGGTCAGCTGAGCGCCATTCTTTGAACTATTGTCAACGGGAAGGTTGACAGTGACCATTGGGGTGCCATTGGCAAAAGCGGCCACCCAGGGGCATTCCACTCGAGCACAAAGACATTCTGTTCTTCATGGGTCCTGTACACCTAAGATGGTAGATAGACGCCCGCAGTATGTTCGGTCGGACGCTGACGATTTGAACGATGATGTAGATTATGGGTGCTGTGGTTAGTGGAGTAAGGCGCGCTTGCGCAAGGGAAAGATTGTGAACAGCCGTCCACGCAGCTTTTGCGCCCTCATGATATCTTGATGGCGCATCCAGATGCAGTCTGCATCTAGAGTCGAAGCAGGTGTAGCGGTCTCGCACACCGTATCCCCCACCAGGCGTTCCCTAGCAACGCGTGCTTGGCGGGCACACGGTGCGCTTGATGCGCTCCCTGGTCCTCGCTCACGCACGTCTGTTTGAGCCCCTTCGACACTGCACTGAACACCACTTTCCCCATACAGACGCAATTTTGGCCTTTTCGATACCCTGTACATACGACCACAGCACCACACACATACCTATACAATGGTGAGTGAGATACAGTCTGTGTTAGCTAGAGAAGCGAGCGGGGAGTGAGGGCGGCTCCGCGGGTGGTGGTTGGCTGCCCGCGCCTGCCGTCGCCGGTCAACAAAGCAAGGCACAACAGACCCTTTTGCGCTGGACTGCCCTTCCCCTGGGTTGCACAGCACGACTTTGTTACACGACCGCCACCAATACACTCGGCGCACGCTCCTCCCTCGACGTCCGCCTGCTTCCCGAAATACACACAAAGACAACAACGCGTTGACCTCGGGCACAATGAATAACGACCATCAGGCCTCCACAAACTACCGCGAAGCTTTCCAGCTGTTCGACAAGCGCGGCAACGGCCGTGTCGATCGTGGCTCCCTGGGCGACCTGCTGCGCGCATGCGGTCAAAACCCCACGCTGGCCGAGATCGCAGACCTGGAGCGCGGCGTCGGCGCCGACTGTACGTGCACCCCTCTCGCGCAGCTGCATCTGCATTTCAGCGCGAACGCGACCGCTAACGCATCGCAGTCGACTTTGAGACCTTCTCCAAGATCCTGAACAGGCCCGGCGGGTTCCGCGAGCCGTTTGACATCGAGGAGTACATCCGCGGGTTCCAGGTGTTCGACAAAGACCGCAGCGGGTTCGTCGGCAAGGGCCAGATCAAGTACATCCTGACGAATCTGGGCGAGAAGATGAGCGAGGAGGAGGTCGACGAGCTGTTCAAGAGCACGATCGATGCGAGCAACGACGAGGTCGATTACAGGGGTAAGTCGCGCAGGCTTTCAACCAGCAGCAATGCAGCAACACCAAACGTCTGGAGAGGCGCTAACACAGCCAGAATTCGTCAAGACAATCGCAGAGAACTAGACGGCAGGGCACGGATGTTACGTTCTTACGAAGAGCTTCATGTTTATGGTTTTGGCATGCGGATACTGGCGTTGGGATTCTCGAGGGCACCGGTCTTGTTCACTGCCTGAACGGCAAGAGCGGAGTTATGTAGCCAGGCTGCTACTGCGGCCTCAATGACACACTTCATGCACACAACCCATGTTCACAAATCATGCGCAGCATTCGTCGCAGCTTTGACGTGTAGTAGAGTAGGACCGAGTGAGCGGCCTGCCCTGAACATCAATGGAAAGGGCGAGCAGAACAGAGTTCATGGAGGTCACGTTATGTAAGTTCACTGCACATCTCACGAGCGATCACACACTCCTTCACGAACGGTCATATACAATAGCGATGATCGAAATCAATATATTGACTCAAGACATGTTTTTGGTCCAGTGGGCCACGTCTATGGGTAGGCTTGTGTGTAGCATGAGAAGCCTTGCGCGTTCGCCAGTGGGGTATCGCAATGAATCGCCGTGCACAAGCAGCGACGAGGAAAAGAAATAGGAAACAGGAAGCCGAAAACCGAAAGAAAATTCAGCAGACTCGCCATGCAGTGCTTGCTATGATGCCGTGACGCCAACCCTAACCAGTGTTTGGAACAATGTGGAATGTAAGAAAGAAGAATCGTGAAGGAAGCCGAAGGAGCCCCACCGGTGCCGCGGCACGGGCGCAGAAGCCGCGGGAAGTGCAGGCACGGATAGTGGGGGGCGCGAGGCTGACGCGAGGCGCAGCTAGGCAGCGACTGCCGTGGCAGACGACATGCCCGGGACGGCAGGGTTTGAGTTGCCGGCGGCGCTCGCGCCCTTCTTGTAGTTGATCATCTCAGAGGTGGTCATGAAGCCGCCCGGGATCAGGAAGACGACGTCGTCGCGGCGCCCCGTGCGGTCGCCGCCGAACTGCGCCCAGTCCAGCTGGTACCCCACGGCGAGGTTGCAGCGGCCGCAGCGCTGGAGGTAGCGCTTCTCAAAGCCGTCGTCGCTGGTCATCATCTCGGCGGTGCGCTCCTGGCGCGTGGAGAGCAGCAGGCCGTAGTGGGAGTTGGAGTCGGTCTTGCCTGCGGGGGGAAGCGGCATGATGTGAGCCTTGTCCTGGGAGTTCTGCCGTGTGGGAAGCGCGGGCAGAGGTGTGGTTGTGGCGAGGAGAAGGTGGCTGCAGAGGCAGTGGTAGGTGTAGACGGTGTTGGAGGCTTGAAGAGTGATCTTCTCCTCGGGCGTGGGCGACGGCATCGCAAAGTAGGCGCGGGAAGACTGAACAATATCCATGGTGTCTGGCTGTGTGTTTATTTCGAAGGTGAGGAAGTTGTGCGTGTTCGCGTTGTGGGAATGGTGTCGCGGGAAGTGGGGCGCAACGTCTGGAGACTTATATATGGGTGCCGTAAGATTACTTCGGAAACGTGGGTATCGAACCACAATACGGCAGGCGGAACCGTAGTTTTATATGTGGCTGGTGAGGACGAATGTTCGGTAAAGGGTCGGCAGGGTTGTGGAACGGCGTTGAAGAGCTTATGTTTGCAGTCCGGCGAGGGAAACCGAGCAGATTTATGTCCGTCCGGATTAGGACTGAAACAGAACTTCGACACGCTTTACGTTGACAAGCAGAAGGTAAAGCGCTGACACGGTGGGGGACGGAGCAGTCTCCTGTTCCAAGTGGGCAGCCAAGCAATTTTCTACGGTTGCCTGTGCGAGGCGTGTACGACAATGAGGCTCTGAGGCCAAGTGGAGTTGCAACACGTATGAGGCGCCGCTGCGTGAAACGGTATTGCACAGCCAAGGCGTGTAGCCACTCTGATACCCCTCGGCCGTTCTTGGTGGGATAAAGCAACAGAGCTAAGCAAAGCCTAGCAACAAATCGGCCAAAAGTTCAAAAGTAGGCTCCACAAGAAGGTCCACAGAAACAGCTTGGAAAGATAAGGTGGCCGAATGCCGTGTGTTGAGACGCCCACGGTGCCTGCTGTGTGGTCGAGGGCGATTTATACGGGGGGGCTGCGTCTGCTTGCGTCAGACGGGGCGGACTGCCAACCCCACGACGGGGAGTGCCATTGTCCCTGCGATCATCCGTGTATAGTGCGCTGTGTAATGCGCGAGCGTAAACACAGAGAATCAAACGAATGAATTGCGCAGAACCCACCACGCGTTCCTGGCATGTGACACGGTTGCGCCTCCCCGGCCTCCCAAAACGGCCCAGCGTCGTCGCGCCGAGCGTCTTCGCCTCGAGCTGCCCGGCTGCATCGTCGGCGCGGTCCCTGCATCGAAGTTTCGCCGCTCGTTTCGGAACTGGTGCGCGCCGTATCCGCACCGCAAACGACGCTAGCACAAAGTCTTGGCTGTGTGCTTGGAGCTGGAGACTGCGACGGCGACAACATTGCATAGCAGGAGGCATGCCGATCACCAAAGATGTGGTCAAGTTTGGCGCCTTCGTCGTGACAAGTCAGGTGCGTGGCATGGCGAGAGCTCATTGGCGGCGCACTGCACAGCCGTGACGTGGTGCAGTGAGCAACGTCGCGGGCGCAGGCGTAGCGCTGGAGTTTCCGCTTACAATTGCAGGTCTTCCACCTGACGCGTCTGTCATTCGCCCTGGTAAACCTCAAACCGCTGCTGCCAGGCCATGTACTTGTCTCGCCTCGTCGGATCGTGCCGCGCTTCAACGACCTTACGTCGGCCGAAGTGCAGGACCTCTTCCTGACCGTGCAACACGTGTCGCGCATGGTGGAGCGCGTCTTTGCTGCCTCATCATTGAACATCGCCATCCAGGATGGCGAAGACGCGGGGCAGAGCGTGCCGCACGTGCATGCCCACATCATCCCTCGAAAGAAGGATGACCTGGAACACAGGGGTGGCACCGACGCCATCTATGAGATGATGGAGAGCGAGGAAGCTCATCTTGGAAACCAGATGAAGCAGAAGGAAAGGGCCGATGAGGAGGCGAGGGGTGGGTTTCCTGCCGTTGACAATGACAGTCGCAAGCCGAGGAGTAATGAAGAGATGCAGAAGGAGGCAGAGTGGCTGGCAGAGGAGATGGCGAAGGACGAGCAGGCACAGACAGCCTGATAGACCTCTACGAAGACCAAGAGTCGTTGTGCTTTAGTTTTAATGTCCTCTTCCATTTCAAGGTCCGTTCACTGTTGGCTGCGGTCTACCACATCCAGGAACTACTGACACTGCATCGTCGCTATCAAGCGCGATGACTTTGGAGACAAGCCATCACATGGCCATATTTATGCGTACGAGCAAGCATAAACTACTGCCGCTCATTCAAAACGCCCTCAACTCACGCCGCCTCAAACCGTCTTGCGCCAGAGCTCCAGCAGCAAGCCCTTTCACACCTTGTTCCACACGGCCTAGTATTCGAGTCCAAGTTGCTCTATGGCGACCTGATTCTATTAATGTGTAGCGACCTGTGTCACTAAAACTCTAGAAGAAAAGCGGCCCATATCCTGTCCCCTCTCCCCTCTGCACGTCTACCTCCAAAGCCCGCTCATATGGTACTCCGGCACTCGCCTCGCTCTCAGAAGCAGGTATGGGCATCTCCGCCCACGCGTCCTGAATCCTCTCCGCACTCTGCAAGAACCGCTCCTGCAGGCCTTCGTAATTTTGCGTTGTCAACTTCCCGTCTCTCTTAACAAATTGCCCGTCTACCATTACATGCTTTACATCGCCTACACTCGCATGCAACATGATCGCTGCAACGGGATCTCGCCAGCCTAGCAGACTCGGGCTTCTTCCACTCCACACTACCAAGTCAGCCTTTGCGCCTGCAGCAAGGACGCCAAGATCAGGTCGTCGCATCGCAAGGCCGCCACTACGCGTCGCCAGCTGGAAGGCCTGATTCACGGACATCGGATTATTCGCAGGGACCCGGCGCCTATCAACGACTTCTCCGTAAAGGATCTTTCGCACGCTTTGCAGCCAGATGCGCGCTTGCGTCAGAATGTCAGTCGAGAAGGTGAAGTGCGTGTCGACTCCCAGACTCGCCTGGTCAAGAATAAGGTGGCTGTTCGGGTGCAGATGGCCGTAGTGCATTTCCGATTCCGGGGTCACAGAGATGAAGTGATTGTACTGCCGCAACAGCTGCTCATCTTCCACATTCAGGTACGACGCGTGCGCGAAGATGAGCGGGATGGACTGGTTGAGGAAGCCGAATCTGTCCAGGGTCGAGGGGAAGTTGGCGGCACCGTACACGCCGCCGTTGGCATGGGTCGTCAGCAGAGAGACGTTGTGGTCCCTGAAAGACAAAGTAAGTACACGAACCCCCCAAAGTCGAACAAGAGACACGACTTACCTCGCAAGATCAAGCACCGTCCTCGTCTCACTCTCAGCGCTGTAAACAAACCCATCATACGAGATCCCCAACTCCACAGCCGAGCCAAACCGCGCTTCCCCCACCAGCTCCTCGAACTGCTCCACCTGCGCCTCGAAAGAGAAGTTCGTCGCCCCGTAGTCCCCGAAATTATATGCATACACCGCCCTAATCCCACTCTCGAATTCCGCCTCCAGCGCTGCCCTTGCATGCGCAGGACTCCACGCACAATGCGCATAATCCACAATCGTCGTGACGCCCGCGTTCAGCGCCTCGTAAAGCCCCGCCAACTGGCCCACATACACGTCGTCGGGCGAGAACAACGTTCCCGCGGGCCCAGGGCTGCCGAAGTGCGGAAGGTACTGCAGCAGCGTGATGTTGGAGCCGAGGGTCTTGAATGCAGTTTGCCAGCTGTGGCGGTGTGTGTCGATGAAGCCCGTAGATACGATGTCGTGGGTGGTATCGACGCGGGTTAGGTTGAGGGGCAGGGTGCCATTGTAGACGCCGGAGAAGACGGCGGTGATGGTGTCATCTTCGATGAGAACGGAGCCGTTGCGGAGGACGGCCAGGTTGGAGGTGGACTCGTCCCAGGCGATTACGGTGCCGCCTGCTAAGAGGGTTGCAGCATTGACGAGTGGTGGCCCCAAGGCGAGGCCGAGGACGGTTGGGAGAAGATGCATCTTGAATATGGAATGCTGGTCTATGCCACTGCTGCTTGTACACCGGCGACTGTATTCGACTGTATATTGTCGTAGGCCCCACGTGGATGTCTTATGTGGACGTCTAGCTTGGTCACTGGTGGAGAATCCAACAGTACACCTACGTGACACCTGATGGGGCTCTAATTGTCAGCATGGTCAGCACGGTCAGCATAATCACCTCCTTCAATTCAATGACGTGCTGCCAAGTTGCTTTGGTGAGAATATTTCTGGTAGCCCGCTGTCAGCCTCACCCAGACCAGTGGGGCCTCCAACTAGCCCCACATTGATGTGAACGTTGGTGGTGAGCATTGTTTGCCCAGTGGCTTACGGCTGATAGAAATGATGTAGATTATCAAGCAATACGTCGAGGCCCGTGAGTGTGGTGCATCTCCAAACGCCATCCCAAAACGCTGCATGCAAAGGCGCCAAAAACAAGTCAGATGAACTGATCATCGAAGCAACTCCGCAGAAACACCCACAATATAGCAAACGGCACTTGCCCAGATTGCAGTCTTGATCACACCGCCTACAGCCCCTCTTCTTCTTGGTGGGACCTCCTTGTCCCTGGCCTGCTGCTTACTCTTCTTACTCCTCGCCGCCTCCGTAGCAACAGCCGCCTGTCTCCTTTCCTCAAAGTCCTTCTCGAGCTGTTCACGACTCTGTTCAACGCCGCTGTAGCCCGTTGGACTGAGTCGAGAAGTTCCATCGATGGGATTAACCTGATTGTAGAAAGTCTCCGTAGTTGTGTCTGCAGACGGTGGGGCACCAATGGTCTCGAAGCCTCGTGTCGAAGATGTCTCGTCAAGGGCGTTGCGGAGAACAAGCATGTGTCGCTTGGCAGTGACGACTTCGAGGCCAGGGGTGATGTATGCGACAAATTTGGCGGGTGCCTTTAGTGTAGACAGCGCTTCGTGTATTGGTAGAGCCGGCGAGGTGTCACGCGGAGGTGCGCTTGATGATGTCGTGATGCTCAAAGTGTCCGTCTGAGGATCGTGAACCAGGATAGTGTAGTGTGTTGGCAGATTTGTGGTCGAGGTCGCATCTGTCGCAGTTTCGGTGGAGGTATCGCTTGCGGACGCTGAGGAAGTTATCTGAGGAATGTTGATCGCGACTTCTGATGCGGGTACTGCCGTAGGATTATCTTCAACAATGGTATCGTGTGTCAAGGATGACGCGGACGGTGCCACGGCTTCCTCGACGATAGGTTTCGTTTCCATCGCTTCGCTGGCAGCGGTAGCTTCAACAGGGCTCAGGTTCTCCTGGACAGCTGTAGCTTCGACATTGAAAGGATCCTCCTTCAGCATCTCGAAAGCTTTCGGATTGTCGGTAGGTTCTTCGGCTAATGACACCTGTCTATGTTCGACTGTAATCGGCCCATAGACGTCTTCGTATGCGTTACGGACTTCCTGCACCAGCTTCCTATCGCCCACCTTTTGCTGGTGAGCTTCCTGCAATTTGTCTGCTGCCTCCTCCCCATCAGATTTTCTACCCAGATTTTCGAACTGGAGGTTAAACGGCCTGAAGAGGCTATGAGCTAGAGGACTCTTCTCTTCAAAGATCTTTCGAGGAGTTTGCTTGGGTGCTCTTGCATAGCCATCATCAGATAAGCCCTGCATCGCTGACTTTTGAGTTTGTATTTCATCGGTGAGACGGGCTGCGGCTGCTGTGTCGGCTAAGAACTTAGCACCAGCTGTCTTGGATGATGCATCATCTTCCTTGGTGATTGACTCGGCTGCTTCAAGTTCGATGACTGACGCTGCCCTTGAGAGTGCTTCGTCTGCTGGCTTCAACGACACTCCGTAAGTTTGTATTGCATGATCCATCAACCGAGCCAGAGCCAGTTGTGTGTCTCGCAAAGTTGCCAATCGGGTCAAAATTTCGCTGTACAACTCGGCTTTGCCGCGTTCAAGATCTGGCTCATCGAGACGAGCCTGTGCACCCCAGGTGAGCATTCGAGTCAGAGTATGGTTCTTGTGCAAGACTCTTGAAGCGATGCCAAGGCGCCTTTTAAAGGCGTTGGTAGCTTTTTGGACCGTTTCAGCGTCCAGATCACGGAGAGACTGGCACGCTGATTCGAACTGTTTCTCTGTTCGTTCATAGGTATTTCGCAACCGTCGCTCCCTAATGGTTCGAAGATTCTTAGAGATCTCAGTACCATGCACTGTTCTCCTAGGGGATTTCAGAAGGAGAACTGTATGTTCGACTCTGTTTTCGTCATCCTTGAGACGATCCAGAAGGCCCTTGCACATGGGAAGGTCGGTTTCCAGATCTTCTGAAATGTGCTCTCTCGCACGGCGACCCTTACCAAGACCAGACATTTGCTTGGCAAACTGCAAATCTGCTTCTGACGGAGCCCCTGCTTCAATAGGGTCCTGCCAAAAGTGCTTGGCGAGAGAAGTACCTCCATCCTCGATCCACCTTCTCATGCGATCGATGCTGGACTCCATTTGAACAGGTGCCTCCGCTACGGTCTGTGCTCGCTCAAATTCTTGCTTAAATCGACGCACGTGATAATTGTTCAAAACGTGACCTTCGACTACATCGTCAAGTGCCTTTGGCTCAGCAGTGATGTAGCTGGTCTCGAGTTTCTGTCGGTCGTCTCTCTTCTCGCTCGTCCTCAGGCCACTGTTCCTGCGACCCATAGCTGCTCGGATCTCATCAGCACTCAGGAAGTCGATATCGTCCTCGGGAAGATTTCGAAGCTTGTCTAACGTGGTTTGTGCAAAGGTCGAGTCTACGTTTGGGGTACTAGCATTCTTCGTGATCTCTGATGGTCGTGATACCGACCAATCTACTACTCTGCTAGTCGGCTCAAGCTTTGTCTGCACAGCATTGCTGCTCTGCGTAGATGATGGCTTCGGGTAAGGATAGTTATCGACCAGTGCCTGCGAAGAGGGAATTGTGATGGTGTTTCGAACTGGAGGCGACGTTACTCCTGTTGCTGATTCCTTGGGCTTCGCAGTCGGCAATGATCCTGCCTTTGACTTGGCGACAACGTCTGGCGCTTGTCGCCTCTCCAGCGCTGTCTGCCTCCAAGACTTGCTGTTACCAAGATCACGATCATATACTTTCGGCTCGTCGGCGAAGAACGTGTCGATGAATGTTGATTCTCGGCTGGAGGCTTCTTTGGCTACGTCTTTGGTTACCTCTGGCACCTGTGTCCCGGCGGCATTTATCTGTCTCAGACCTGGTTGGAGTACTATTTTTTCAGGAGCTACGGAGTCCGTCTTGCTTTTCTTGATGTCCGGTGTGGGTAGATCTCGCTTTTCATTCTTTCCCACTACCTTCACATACGGGCCATCCCGTGGACGGCGCAGATCGGATGGTGATACAACACCAAACTCATCAAGTTCGTAGTGTGTCGTTCTGATAGCTGGTGGTGCGAAAGCAGACTGTCGCTCGCCAGATAGCCGCTCTTCTGCCCGAGGCTGCGTTCCTGATCTGTCTCCATATTTTCGACCTGCATGCTGTCAGCTTTCGTCTTTCAATACGAGGGTGTAAGCCCACCGCTACTATTACTCTTGTCTTGATCAACTGATTGCTGAGGATCCATGTCCTGCAGCATCCATTTGGGAAACGTCTTGTACACCCATTCCCAGTCGGTAAGCCCTTTACCTTTCAACATGTCCTCACTGGCCCCAAACAAGCCTTTGTATGGGTGTTCCTGCAGCAGCCTCTTCCACTTCCGGTAGCGTTGCAGCTGTGTCCACTCCTGATCTGTCATGCCTTCAGGGCGTCTTGCATTATCGGGATCTTGGTGTTGTGCAGTGTTCGACGGCGTGCGTGAGAAGCATCGTGTACGTAATATAGCTTCATGGTCTCGAAGAATACGTTGGGCGTAGCGATGGGCTGGCGATCGTGCCCAGAGTGAAGGGTCGCGACGCCACCACGCCATTATGAGGTGTGAGGACGATCGAGGTAATGGTAGTGTATGAACAGCGATAAGTGTATTTCTACAATCAGCGTGTCAGTGAGATCGAGAGCAAGCAGAACAATACAGCTCAAGTGTACCACAGCGTTCGAACACGTAGAGTCCTATGCAGCTCGAGGGTCTCCGGGGTTGCCTAATCGTGCATTCACAACCGTGCCAGTTTCAACTTTCCAGGCGTTGAACACTGAGGTACGACTAAAGATCAAGCGGGCGCTTCCGGTGCGCCTATCATAACATGGAGTAGATGAGTGCTGGCAAAGGAGCAACACCACAAGAGCAAGACACCGCGGCTCATAGATGGGTTGCGCCATTCACCCCGCGCATAAGCTCCCGCCTATCATCCTACGCGGGGTATATCAGCTGCCGCTTGCCCGCAGCGTTCACGTCACGACTCCCCGACATGTCTACTGGGTGTTAACAGACTGTTCTGCGCAGCACAGATAAAGCCGTGTTCTCGGGTGATGACGCCTTGCATTTAGTGGTGGACGCGTCGCCATCCCGTCGCGCGTCGCCATTGAAGCTATCCTGCGGATAACGATAAGGCGATAAGGCAACCACGCTAGCCCCACATCTGCGGATCCTCCATTCCGTCGTTGTTAGGAACACCAGCACCACTGCAGTATACAATAAGATGTTTTGCACCTCCCTTTCCTATGGTATGTATTTAACCATGAATCGGCCCCCTGATTTTCATTAAACATTGGTTCCTTCAACCACTCTAGTCTTCAGCAAATGTTTGTTATCTCTTTTTCGTTTGATCTTATACCGTTCTCAATATTTTGTCCTTAATCTTTTACCTGCCTTCAATTTGCATTCAACATCCCTGTGTCCTTGTGGCACCCAACATACTCGAAACTTTGGTCCTTCTCTTCCAACACGTAGATCTCATGAAACAATCGCAGACTCAACACATTGTTCAACTTCTTTGCGTACATCAGAAATCCTCCAAAGATGTCGATGTGTGTCTGATGACTCTTGCTCCATTGCTCCAGTGAGCTCAAGTCATCGAAAAACCCCAGTCCGTACGTCTTTTCGAGGTTCGCTTCATAAGTAGACGAATCGATCACGTCCCAGAGATTGTTCGCGTAACACCCGATCTCCTTCCCTTCGTCTCTCAAAAACGTCATTCCTTTGACAAGCACAGGATGCATCGTCTCGAGGTATAACTTACGCTCCGCAGGAAGCGTGGCAGACCAATCTTGCCCTGAGCGGATTACGCAAAGATTCTTTTTGCCCGGCACTCTTACTCTTCTGCTGTTCTCATGGGATTGTGTAGAATTGGCTGTGTCATTGGTCGTAGGTCCAGTCCATTGCTCGCCCTCCAATCGATCATCTTGCGCTGCGGGGAGCCGATCCCGCATACTTCCCCAATATCCATGCTCGCCAATCTCACCGCTGATCTTCTCACGCATGTTTGCTGCGCCCTCAGGGATCTCATTGTTGGAGAACACGGTTTCGAAGCGGTCGACACTTGGAAACAAGACTTCTTGGAACCAGCCGTGACCGTCTTTCTCGCGTTCATTGCTCTGCCACCAGGTGTCGAAGCCGGAATCTGATTTCCACGATTGAAATGTAGAAGAAGTGGGCCAGTAAGCGATGATGGCGATGTTGTAGGATCCGCGTTTGTCTGTCACAGATGTTGATTCCCAAAAAGAGGGAAGAGTGGCGCATGCAGACATGGTCACGAAAGACCTGATCTTCGCAATGCCAGTATCATCGAATTTGGTCTTAGAAGAGTATTGTGCGCCGATAATGGCCATGACAAGGTTTGACATGGAAGTTGGAAAGCGTGCACAGTAGCTTGGGAACGGGGGTTTGTAGCTGGGCGGCATGCTCATAGGGCATTTTCGTGGCTTCTGCAAGTGCAGTGGGATTGCTGATTCAAGTGTTGCCATACTGAAGTTGGGCTGTGTCAATCGATTGAAGCGTCTATTGAAGGTCAATAAGCTTATGATATGGGGATGGACTTGTGGTTAAATAGCATCCATTGGGCCTTGATTTCGCCCTATTAGACCTCTCAGATTACAGAGACGAATCAGATTACCTGCTGATGAGATAGTAGTGGGCAATTGGAGCCGACGAAGAAGTGGGGAGCAGCCTGAGTGCGGAGCCATTCCGCAGTTGTCGCTCTACGCTGTAATCACGTATCACCGTAAATTAGGAGTTCACCTTATCGACAAGATATCATGAAACGAATTCACGCTCACATGGTACAAAGAGTAAGTTCGCTTCAAAATTATCATTTCCAGCATGAATATTTACAAGAAGGTATGCCCCTTATTTACAGGTGCGTGGGTGCAGATCCGCTTAAGAGAGGTAAGTAGTGTCGACCCAGTCCTTGTAGGAGCTACCGAGAACTGTGGAGATACTGACAGCGGAAGACAGCTTCTTCGCAAAGCTAGCCCGAGTGCCACTTGCACCATCACCAGTGTTACCGACCTCGGCAAAGGTGACCTTATCTGTGCGAGGGTCACTGCTGCCCCACTGCACCCAGCCCGCCGAATTGATGACGTTCGACAAGGCGGTGTTCTGGAAGACAACGCGAGCATAGTTCCTCCAAGGGCGACCAAGGTAGTAAGCACCAGCCTTAACAGTGTTACCAGATGCAGCAGAGACCTTGGACTTGTTGATGACGTAGTAGGATGGGTTGGAGTCGGAATCACGACCGTTGGCAGTGATGTACCCCTGGGAAGCAGCGAGAACACGAATGTCAACGCCATCGAACCAAGCGGTAGCCTTCTGACCAAAGATGAAATCGGTTGCACCTATTCAACAGGTTAGTAAGTGTTGCCTCGGTGCAGTTGCTAGAGAAAGCGAATTGCTAGAATCAAGAGTGAGTCTTACCCTCAATGTACGACTTGGCGTATACCTGGTTGCCTGTCTGGGCCAAGATAGTATCCTGGTAACCCTTGAATTGGCAACCGTAGTAGCCCTGCTTGTCGGCATTGGCACTGACAGCGAGGGCTTGAGAGCCTTGACCCCGGGTATTGACAAGGTTGATGTTGTACACCTTGAAGTTAGGAGACCAAGCTCTCAAAGTGGCCGTGGCATCGTTGTTGGCAGAGTCATCTTGGCTCTTGCCTTGGGTAATAGTGACAGTGTTCGATGCAAAGCCGCTCGTGTCGGTAGTCTCTCCATAGAGAGTGAGAGCTGACTTGAGGACTGGGACGTAGACTTGCTCCTTGTAGGTACCTGTCATAAGATGTTAGTCCGACTGTTGCGTATCGAAAATATTGGCTCCTACCCTTGTAGATAAAGATGCACTGAGCAGAAGTGCTAGAGGTGCTGAGCTTGGCAACTGCAGCAGAAACAGTCTTGTATGTTCCTGAAGCGCCAACGGACAAGCAGCCAGCGGGAGGAGAAGTACGTCCAGCACGGGCAGTCAGTGGAGCAGGGGCTGCGACAGCTGCTGCTGCGAGCGAAAGAAATAGCGCGAAGTTTGGAAGCATTTCGAAGAAGCGAGTGTGAAGATGAGCGAAAAGAATGGAAGATCGACCTACATCAAGCAGAAGTCCCTATATATATACATGTAGCAGCTACTATATTCTTGTCAGAGCCTGGCTGCTGTGGAAATTAGGCGCTGTGATGTGGGTACTTTGTTTTTGCACCAAACACTATGAGAAGTCACCGAAACATGTTTAGATGGCTGCTACGTAAATAGAGCCCCGCTTCGAGAGGCCGTCGAAAGCCCGTCGGGAGGCTCCCCCAGACTGCATGCCGCATTCGGGAATATGGAGGGGCCTGTGTCGTTGATCGGTTGGTGGAATCCACTATGGGTCCGTGCGGCGGCTTCGCTTTGATTAAGGACGTGTCACAGGAGTCAAATGAAGGACGGTCAAATTCTGCCCGAGGCCGCCAAGACCGGGGTACAGATCTGCTCGCTACCGTGCAACCTCGTACGGCAGTTCTAGAAGACGCGTGGTCGCTGGACAGAGCTCGCATCACGTGAGGCGGAGGAGTCAAATCCTACTCAAGTAAAGCTGCCCATCTCAGAGCCTGAGTCGATCTGTGAAGTCGATGCTGAAGTTTGCAGGTCACGTGTACATGAGCGGTAAAGGTCGACCCATGCGCTAAGACGCTGCTTGCGCCGAGAAACACAAGCACTGCCCAACAAAGCCACGTTACCAGCTCTTTGGTTACGACAACCTTTTATTCAATCCACTATCGTCTTGTTTAAAGTCTATCTTCATTGACTTTATCGTAATATATAATGAGTCGGCAGCAGGAGCAGAGTGGACGCGAGGCAGATATGGAGGCTATCGACCTAACTCTCTCATCGCCAGAACCTGAATCAAGACGGCAAAGCCGTGTCAATGTATACATGCAGCAGCAACCGCAGCAGTCTGCAAGGCCTTTAAAAGAAGAGCCAAGAAGTTCGCATCGAGGCATGCACAGTAGTAACGAGCCTGGTCAACGCCAGGGTTCTTCGCGGAGTAGGAATATCCCGCAGCAGCCGCCGCGACGTATCAACCCGCAGCATGTCAAGCAGATAATTGACACCAGTAGCCATCGCGCACTACGAAGTGTTGTGCTGCAGCTGTGCAAAACATCCCCAGCGCTGTCTGGCGCGCTTGTGCGGGGCCTTGCGCCTCACTCACCATGGGCGCAGGCGTTGGTGCGCGGACGACAGGCCAAGTCGCATACTCAGACCCAGTCCACAGTCAAGACTGAGCCTAGGATCATCGAACCCCGTGTTCACCAGCCTACGAATAGGCAGAATGGACCCAGCAGCAGCTCGCACGGCTCAGCGTCACAGCTTCGCAGCAATCGCCCACCTGATACAACCGAAAATAGAGATGCTCTTCGCTTGCCGCGCAGCACACAGAAACCTCCACCTGTGAAGCATGAGCATCGGTCTAGTCCCACAGACTCTGATGATAGCACCAACATTGTCGACTTTCCGGCAATCGAACGAGATGCGCGAAGGCAGGAGCTGAGCCATCATACGACAGCTCATAGCAGCTCCATACATCGTCCAGCCGCTAGCAGCACTACTGCAAGATCCGCTAATCGCCCACACTCGACGCAAGAACACGCGGCCAATCTGAAGCAAAAGTTGTGTTTGCAGTGTGGCGAACTCTTCAAAGAACATGACATAGACTACTGCTACTTCCATTCTGGCCATGAAGCGCCGTCGAGGCTTGACCAGATTCCTCAATTCACATGCTGCAATAGATTTGTTGGAGAACCTGGTTGCAAGACTGGTCGGCATATAAGCGAACGAAATGGAGGTTCCAGGAACGCCAAACGCCCGTCGCCGTCATCTTATAGCGGCTCGCAATGGTCGAAGAAGTACAGAAATCAGTGAAACGAATCTGTGCGACTCTGCGCGACTCTGAAGCAACCCACCCTTTGGCCAAGATTCTCAACGTGCCCGCATGACCTTACGCAAGGGCGAATTTGTACAGCTCTCGACGAGTGAACATGGCTCAAGTGTCCTGCTTTGAACGTGCCAACAATGCCAGCACCAAGTCCCTGCGAGCGCAAATGGATGAGGGTATGGTGCTTGGATCACACCATGGGCGAGGTAACCTACCAGATGGTGAGCATCATTGCACATGCCAGCCACCAGTCTCGACTTGTACTTACATCATGGCCAGATGAGTCGATGAAGCCAGGGATTCGCACGGTTGTCGCTGGACGAAACTCACCTCTGCCTTACTTTGCGGCCTGGCATATATCATGGTTCTCCGCCTTCTTATCTGCTGATTTCCGTCGCAACTCCCCTGAGACTGATAGTTCAGATTGAAAGATCCTGGATCTTCGCCTACAGTCACTATCTCAGGGCCTACGCTACGTGGACTGCAGTTCGTCTGTCACTTTGTCGCGTCATTGTTAACCTGCAAAAACTTCACCTTACCTACTTGTCAACAATCACTATGTTGGCGTCTCTACTTGCCGTAGCTGTGGTCGCGGCTGCTACTCCATTCACGTCCCCACAGAATTGGATACTACGAGAAGCTCAATTTTATACCCTTCGTGCCAACTGGTCTGTTTGCCCCACTTTGCAGGGCGACTTACACTAACAGTTTTTCACAGCCCAGATCAACCCTGGCACGGACGTTCTCTAGTCAATCTCCCTCTCAGCAAGAGACTAGGACTCGAGAATTTCACTGTTAATCCTGAAACGCCGGCACTAAAGTTCCTTCCTATCCGTATACACAACGAGGACAACAAGTATGCCCTACGTGGATATGGAGTTGGTGACGATCTCTCCAGAACTCCGTACCTTGCCGCGCTTACCAATAACGCCACTCGTACGGTCAGCTTGAAGATTGTCTACCTCCCTACTCCTTTACGTGAATCTTTCAAAACACAGACAGATGCTTGTCCTGAGGATTACGACTGCACTGCGGATCAGTGGACGTTTGATGACCCCAGTCGTCTCTCCAGCAGCGCTCAGTTCTATCGCGATCTCAGATTTGGTGGCTTCAAGGGAAGGTGGGAGCCCTTCAAGGACGCTGGGAAAGAGGGTTGGCATGTCTACTGGAAGGGCAATGCTGGAATTCATCATCCAGTGCAATTTGACCTCGTTCCCACAACCCAGGGCAATAGTGCTAGCCACTAACCACGTGAAAAAACGCAGAACACGGGTTTGGATCTTTCTGCTTTGTGCTTGCCCACACTCTCACAACTGCATGTCTCGACTGGGCTTCGACTAATGCAAAGATCAGCTTTGGGTGGACCGTGTACTTGTATTTCACCGCTTATACTCATAGCTGAAGATAGTCAAGCTAACTTCCTTTTTTTCTGAGCGTGTCGCGAAATAGACACTGAAGCATCATTGTCGGTGCACGAAACTTGCTCAAATGGAGGCACGTTTGACTCAGTTGACATTTCGATACTTTCAGATAGAGTCACTCCAACCACGCCCAGCCTCGGTCGCGCTTGGCTCATCTATAATCGTCGGCACTCTATAAATGTCGCCGTGTGGCACTCAGAGACCTTTTAGAGGCACCGGGGCTGCTTAAAGGGGTCGTACTCGCATGCGTGCAGCCGGTCACTAACCGCCAGCCGAACAAAGTCTTGTTCTAACCCCTATAGAACACAGGTACTTTGGACTCGCACCTATATGACCCGGGTGCTATAGCTGAAATCTTGGCAGGGTACCAGTTCTGGGGGATGCGCCAGGACGATGCGTTGTCATACTCGGGTGAGTGTTGTAAGTGCGAGGTTACGATCTGCGCAAGAAGAGAAGCAATCGTACATCACAGGAACTGCGCAATATACAAGTTTATTGACTCGCAATGAAGATAGCCCGGTGGCATGACAGCTGACCTCGCTGTTTCACACCTGGTAATGATCGCCGCTAAGTCGTACGCGATTGGCGGAGGATTAAATGCAAAACATACCACAGCCATTTCGAAATGAGAGGGTAAACAATATCGACATCTCTCTACTTTGAGCTCGATGTTTCTGCTTGATGTGGAAATACCCCGAGCCGCGTCGAAACATGGCATCACCAAACGCGGGTGTCCTTCATACTTCGTTGTCTATACAATAAAGATCTTGGCCCCGGCTAACGAAGTTATCCATTTACCATCTCACTTTCCAACATGCATTTTCTTTCTTACCTTCCGCTGCTGGTCAGCACGGCTTCGGCTCTTGCCTTCCCCGGTGCCGAAGGCTTCGGCAAAGATGCGATCGGCGGCCGCAACGGCAAAGTTTACGTCGTCTCCAACTTGAACGATTCCGGTGCTGGCTCTCTTCGCGATGCTGTCTCGCAGCCAGATCGCATCGTTGTTTTCCAAGTCGGCGGACTCATCAAGATCAAAGAGCGCATTGTGCTCTCCAAGCGCATCAGTATCCTGGGCCAAACGGCACCTGGGGATGGTATTACAGTGTATGGCAATGGCTGGTCTTTCTCGAACGCCAACGATGCTATCGTGCGATACATCCGTATCCGAATGGGCAAGGGAGGAACAAGCGGCAAAGACGCTGCTGGAATTGCAGAGGGCACAAATATGATCTTCGATCATATCAGCGTATCCTGGGGTCGCGATGAGACATTCTCTATCAACGGCGCCGCCTCCAACATCACCATCCAGAACAGCATCATCGCTCAAGGATTAGAAACACACAGCTGCGGCGGTCTTATGCAGACTGAGCTCGATAACGGCATCAGCCTGTTCAGGAACCTGTATATTGACAACAAGACGCGAAACCCGAAGGTCAAGGGCACAAACGACTTCATCAACAACGTTGTGTACAACTGGGGTGGCGGTGGTGGCTACATTGCCGGCGACTCGTCTGGCCTGTCTGAGGCGAACATCATCGGCAACTACTTCATCAGTGGCCCTAGCACGAGCGTCACTGCCTTCACGCGCGGCAACGCCAACTTCAACGGCTATGTCGAGAAGAACTTCTACGACTCTGACAAGAACGGTGCTCTGAGTGGCTCAGAACTCGGTGCATCAAGCTCCAACTACGGTGGCATGGCAATCTCGACTTCCAAGTTTGCGCACCCAGAACCTGCGAAGTTGTTATCTGCTGCCGACGCATTGAAGTATGTCGAAGCATCTGTTGGAGCCAGCAAGGTTCGCGATGCTGTTGACGCGCGTCTCATCACAGAGCTGAAGAGCTATGGAAAGACCGGTCAACTGATCAGCGATGAGACTGCGAGTCCCATGAATTTCCCGGGAACCATCAATGCGGGTACCCCATGGGTTGATGCTAATGGTAACGGTATTCCCGATGATGTTGAGAGCAAGTTCAAGACTGTTGAGGACTGGGCGAACTCACTTGTCCCCAGCGGCTACTAGAATCCTAGTGGACAGCATCTTGTCGTTCGATGTATATATTTCTAATTCTAAATTGTGCCGCTCGTTGTATGGCTTCCATATCACTTTGGAAAATCGGTGCCTTCCTAAGATTGTGATGATCGCTCTTTCCGCGACACAATGCTGTATTGGGCTTTTGCGGAGGAGTATACTAGCAACACAGCATTCTTAGCCCCAGTGTTACTTGAATACTAACGTCTGTTCCCACCAATGCCACTTCATGAGCTCTCTCGTGCTAACGTAGACGTCGACAATGACTAGTAATGGCTTCAACCCTGAATTCATCATATTCAGTTCATGCCGACTTGTTCTTGAGCGCCTCAAACCTCGAAGCAATAGATGCTGATTCTTGCGGACCATATGTCCCTTGCTCGCAAAGCCACTGGGCTTCTGCATGCCTGGCTTCGGCGATGGACTTCCTCGTTCCAGAATACACTGCAGTCCTTAGGCTCTTCGCAATTCCGGCGCTCGTATAGCTCATCAAACCAAACATGCCAGCCCCTACTTTGGCTGGCATATTGACTAAGCCCTTTCCCAGCCCTTTTGCGGCGCCTTTTGCGCCTTCTTTCTGAGCACCTTCGTACGGTTTCATGACCACGTCGCTGAGACCATCGATGAAGCCCCACGCGAATGTCTTGCCAGCAACTGTTGCACCACTTCTGAATCCCGTCACGGGACCGTGATCTCGAACTGTTTCACCATAGGCGCGAGGCACGTTCTTCAGACCATCGGTAATAGCAAGAGGGATGTCGACCATCATGCCCTTGAGGGCTTTTGGCGCGAACATCGCGATGCTTTTACCCGAAGCACCCGCTAGTTGCCCTGCGGATATTGGTTTGCGCTTTGTTGCTGAAATTTGGCTGGAAGCATCTGAGGCCGTTTTGTCCTCGTCTCCAGGCCCATTCTGCTTTCTGGATGCTGCCAGCGTCGACTCCTCGTATTGGCGTCTATCACGGTCGTCTCGGTACTCGGTATAGGGCTTTGTAAAAGTGCCAGTGAATGCTGTTCCAAGATCGACTGCTGTGCCCAGAACCGAAGATGCACCACCTGAGATCGGATCCCATCGGCGTGGTTCTATGGTGATGACGTTGCTTTGATACCTGTCTACAGTCAACACTGTGTACTTGAGAAACATGTGTGCCGTGACTGTCAGGTCTCATCACTCTTCAGATCCGTGAAGTGACAGTCACTGTATTGCAGAACTTACAATTCAAGGTATTTAAGCTCTCCTGGGGCGTTTTGGAGGATAAGTCCGGCTGCAAGGGATGAAAGCTTGATATCGGTTTTCCGTTTCTTGTAGCGGAAAGTCGCTGGCAAGTGAGGAATCAGTTCGCACGCCATCCGCTTAATCGGCAGGTTCTGGTGGAAAGACCGAGCCGCAGCTTCGACACCAACCTCAGCTTGCATTTTTCCAGCGATGACTGCTGCAGCGGCAGCAGCTTCTTTGGACAAACAAAAGGTGATTGCCTGCGATAGTGTCTCGGTCGTGAGCTCCTTTTGTGGTATAGGCATGGGACCTGCTCCTGCCGTAGCACACATTTCGCCCCAGAACGGTTGACTGCATGAATGTCAGACTTCATTCAAGCAGCAATGCTGTGCGAGAACTTACTCTCCGAAAAACGGTACAATCGCTGTGGGTCTACCATTTCTTAGACCGCATGCGGTAGTTCCAGCGCCTCCATGATGGACGACAGCGGCTACGTGCTGGAACAACCATTCGTGTGGGCAATCGCCGATGAAAAGCACATTTTCATGTGATTCTCCATCTGCTCCCAAGTTCGACCAACCTTTGGAGACTATAGCACGAAACCCATTTTTCTTTACAGCCTCCATGATTGCCGTTGTGATTCTCCGAGGGTCTTCAAGCACAATGCTGCCAAACCCAATATATACTGGTGGCGGTCCACTTTCGATGAATCGTTGAATTTCAGGTGGCGGTTCGTATGCGGGAGGATCTCTGAAGAAGAAGCCACACACGTCAATGTATGATGGCCAGTCTCTTGGCTTTGGGACTAGTGCTGGAGACCAACAATATGTGAAGGGTACTTTGAGTGTAGTTGCGAGGCTTGGACCGTCAAACATGGCAACCTCCTCGAGATCAATTGTTGCACGCCATTTGTTCACAACGTCGCCAAGTCTAGTATAATTGTCAGCTTTGAGGAATTTCCATACATAACTTTGCAAGAATCGGCATACCCTTGCCATGTGAGCCAATCAACAACCGAATACGAGAGAAAGTTTGCGGTTCCTTCCTTGCCTTCGGCATTTTTCAAGTTCGCCAATGGATGTGGAAACGCTCTTGTGTTCGTCCATGGCATCGTGAACATCATGTGGACTGGAATACCTAAGGCTTGAGCACAATGAATATGCGCAAAACTTGGTGGGTTTGCGATGATGGCGTCAGCCACGAAAGGCTCGTTGGTGACTGTGTCTGGCTCGATACACGACCTCCAACACCCCTCAAGCATTTCTTCCACCATTAATCTTTTTCGTTTGATCTCTCCAGCCTGTATGGTCTTCATACTAGGGATGAGTCCGGGATTCTTGACCATATACGCCATCAACTCTGACGGATCACCACCAATCGGGTAAAACTCCAGACCTGAACCGGACTTTCGGACAAAGTCTTCGAACATATTGTGAGTGGCTATACGTATGCGATGCCCATGCTTTCGAAGCTCGTGGCCAAGCGCAATGAAAGGCTGTACATCTCCACGGCTGCCTACAACTTGTATGACGATGTTCAACTTGACTGTGACAGAACCTAGGGCCCCCGATGCGACCAGATCTGAATAATCTGGTGGCTGTTCTTCGATAACAGGGTCCTGTGAGCCTGCATAGAAGACTGACAGTGTCCGAGCTAGCTTGGAATTGAGATCGATGTCAACGCGCCCGTCATCTATGATCCTATTAGCTTCGTCATTTGAATTTTCCGAGGGATTTTATACAGTTGACTGCTGAATCTTGACCTGATGGCCATTCAGCAGGCAATTCGGCAGGCAATTCGACGGGAAGTTCGATGGGCAGTTCGGCGGGCCAACTTTGTGCTGGGAAATCTTTCTTGTCTTGCGTGGGAGCCATAGGTCAAACGATGATATGCAATTGTGAGTGGTGCGAGGAGACAGGCAGACCAGAAGAATATTATAACATAGATTTGGAGGATCTGGCCGCGTAATACTAGTTGGGCGGTGTTGGAAAGGCTGTGCATCGCTGAAACGGGATAGGTAGTGAGTTGAGCCAATAAGCGTATGACGTATTTCGCAACTCGTTCCCAATCCGCTAGTGCCAGCATTCTAGGCACCCATGTACAGTCGGCTAGTGCAAGCTTAAAATTGTTCTTGGTTATGAGTTCTGTAGTCTCGTTTGATCATCTGGAGTGGTGTGAAATTGAAGGCTTTTGGAAATACAATTGATCTCCGGCTTGAACTTGAACATCCAGTCGTCCATAATAGACCACAGACCTATTTCAAAGGCTCTTTACAGTAATACGCTCATAATCCTGCGACTTGCTTTGGCCATTCAACCCAAGAACTCCAATACGGTCCCAAACATGCATCAACAGCACTGATGATGCTCCGTCCACAATCTTCCGCCCACCAGTAGCTATTCAACTGATGTAACAAGACCCCGTAGTACGCGAAAATGATTAGAGCGGGTGGTTGTCGCTGTTGTTGCAAGTTGATGTACTTCTCGGGTGCACTAAAGATCCAAATGAATGGTCCTGAACAAAGTCTGTTATAACCACAATCTGCCATCACGTCGTTTTCCATGTTCCGAAATTTCTCCATCCATGTGCTACACCTTAGAAGAAGCTGTAGTGTCTCGTTGTATGTATCGGCGTATTCATCTGTGGACCAGAGGCTCTGAATCTTCATGAGTTGTACGCCGTAGTCGCTGGCCTGACCATGCTCTGTCCGGTCGTGGTCATAATGGTAAAGATCGAGAAACGATTTGAGCGGTCCTTCCCGGACATGGTCATAAACAGGCTCAAGTACGATGGCAGTGCCGCGGAGCAACGGTACCCATTCAACACCAAGTATTCGAGCTGTTCGAACTTTTGCGTCGGTGTGCGCATCGTCGACTGTCTTGCTGAACGAGACGAACGCGTGAAAGAACGTCAGTGTTGCGTTAGCAAACAAGGCGCTGCTGTTGTGGGGTCCAACATCATGGAGATCTTCGATGAATCCATCAAGCGCTTTGCTCCGGTGTTCTGCTGCAACGCGCACAAAGTCACCGCTTTCAAGAGGGTTCATATGAGCTTTGTGCAGGGCTGATAGACTGAGGATGTTGTGCATCACATACGGGTGTTTGAAACCGAGTGATGGTATGACCGAGTGCCAGAAGTGATTAATGTCATGTGTGTCGACGATGCTGTGTCCTGCAACAGTGATCCAGTGATAGAAGAGAGCCATATCCTTTATACCAAAGAGGCTAGTTGGTGCATCTCTTGGGGCACTGGTAAAGCCAGGAGATGCATGACTGTACTCGTCTGTGCGAATGGACTGCCATGAGGATGCTGACTGAGGCGATAGGCCTTCGCAAGAAGACACTTCTCTGCTGATTGTTGAACTCTGGCGATAAGTGCAATGCATCTTGTAACGTGTGCAATGTGAACACGAAGGCTTGCCCTCGTCACACTACATTCTTTCAGTCAACTTCGGCCCATTCGACTGTGCCCAAATTACGTACCTTGATGTGGCGCCTTTTACATTCAGCACATCCGTCTCGCGATTTTCGATGCGCCCGCCGTTTACTCATAATCGAATGCTGATGACTGTAGAGCCGAAAGTCTCGTCGCGCAACGTGGAAGAGAGTTGGCAGGGTATGATACGCATATTTGCGTACGAAGTACGCATTGATTTCCCCTTTTTCACATAAAACACCGAGGTATTTGCATGTATCATTGCCATTTCAACTGTAGCGTTAGCGACCATGCGATCGTTGTTCTAAACGAAATACGCAGATGGAGATCGGCCCGAGAGGATCTCAGCTCGACCCGAACCAAACAGTCGGCACTGCGCCATGACGCAAAGTAAGCGTAACACAAGTTTATCCAATCGCGTGTGTGCTTGGTACTGGATTGAAGGCGCTTCCCGCTTTCAGAACGTACTTCGTATACCGTACGCAAGCAGGCCCAGATTCGGACTGAATCACGAAACAGGCGACATTGCATCGCTGTCGTCTTCAGCATAAAGTCACCGCTTGCACGTGCATCTTTCACGAGTGCAAGCTGGTTATCATCATTCCGACTGGAACTGCCTGGCTGAAATCGACTCTGGGATCCAGCAATCACGACAGACCTATACCGACCCGTTCATGACGACCCTAATCCGAGCCGAGTCTTCGTCACAATTCGTGACGGTACCACACTCTGTCGGCCCCAGTTTTGAGCACCGACTGCAGGCATGTTCAAATCTTTGCATGCTGACTTCACGCTCGATAGTGAGCATCTTCGCTACTAGCGACGATGGCAACGGGACCGCGACGTCGTACGCCTGCAATGTGCACCTCTATCCTTACTGAGACGATTGACACCGGCATGGTTTTACCTTGGATCCTATCGCAAGGTACATCGGCAAACGACTTGATGACTTCATTGCGACAGAACCTTTCCGCCCAAAAGATGGGGCCTTGTGCGCTTGTGATATGGCACACATTGGTTGCCTAAAGCCAAGATAAAAGAGGGAGGAGCTTTGATTGAGCTATGCACATTATCTTCAACCCCGAACATAAACTTCGTCGGTGATTCTAGATTTTTATGGCGTTCCCGCTGCAGTGACAGCGTCCCTTGCCACAAACTTCTCGTCTATGGGGTCGCTCCTCCAATCACGGAGAGGAGGGATTATAGCTTCTTGCGATTCCTTAAGGCGCAAAGTTACAGGTGTTGGAGACCGAGTGCTCTTCTGTGCGGATCGAGTGAGCTCTTTCTCGGCCTCTGCGGATCCAAATGTGAGCCAGTGGATGATGATAGCATCCCAACTGACGTCTGAAACACAGAGTGAGAGGCAGAGGAGGGCCAGGCCCCGGCCATGGGTAATATAGAATTGGATCATGTTGGCGATGGTGGGCAGGATGATGAGCATACTTCCAAGTAGACTCTTCCACAACAAGACCTTGATGCTGCGCTGCACCGCTGTCTCCTGCTTCGATTGCGGTGTATCAGAAGTCTTGTCCTGGTTCTTTGCGCCGAACCAATGAAACTTGACAACCGGCCGGAGGAGGGAGAAGAATACGATGGTCAATACGGCATTGACAATGATGTCGACGACCATGAATGGAATCGAGGCCCTTCCAGGGATGCCCATATGGCAGCGTCCATCAGATTGCTTGGTGATGATTGGTTTCAGGTATGCGTTAATCGAGGTTCCGAGGAAGGATGCGACTATCGTGACTGTACACGCCCAGTATAACCAGTCTCGGCTTCGGCGGACGAACGGAGCGCGGACGACATGTATTCTCTCGACGATGAATATGTAACTTTGGTCATATTAGCCTACTCCGACTCGCTGACCGATTCAAAACCCACATTGTGCCCTTGCATGCAGTGTAGAGGATCAAGCATATCCATGTCGCAGTGTGACAAAGACTGTGGTTAAACATGCCCTGACCGGCAACCATGATGGCTGAAGAGAAGATAAACGCAAAGACTAGAAAGTACAAAAGAAGTACAAGCATCGAGGTGATGTTGCGCGACATCATTGCACTCTTTTGGAGCCTTGCGAACCGGGCTCCTGCAGGAGGTGTCAGCAACTGTGACTCTAATCTGCCCAGGTTCAATACGTACCCAGTAGCAAAGACAATATCATCATAAACGACAATGACAAGACGACGAATATCGTTCTATCAACAGGCCGTTCTCCAACATACGCATCGAGTACGTCGCGTCGCACCGCCAGGATCTCCCTTGCCGTTTCAGCCACCATCGGGTAAGGCATCGCGTCGACCAAAAGAAGCGGGGTGAACGGTAAAAGGTACGCGGAAAACCTCATCTCACTGTGCAGACTTGAGCGGGGAAAGTATCAACATGAGTGAAGAAGTCGTACGACAGCTACACAAGTGGAGGTCGCCAGCGCTTGACAGGCAGTCTTAAGACGCGGCGAGACCAAACCGCTGTCGTACATGGCGGGCATGGCATATGTATGTACATGGCGTGCATAGAGTTCAAGTCCGTCCACATGATCGACGCCGTTGCGTTGCGCAAGTGCCGACGACTTGAGCCTCAGCGCAAGGAGAAGGGGCTGGCGTGCGGACGCGGCTCCGGTCAACAGCAAAATCTAGACGCGCTGTGCGGATGGAGGAGGTTTGCCGGGTTGGGTTTTGGCTAACGCAGGTATGAAAGCCACTGCTAAGAGAAATCTGCGTCTTGAACGTCGGCGCTGTCAGTGAAGCACCGGACCATCGCGTCTTTTGATGGCCTTACTTAACCTCTAGGCTGCTTTGGGAGGCGGTGACAAGGGTATGATTGGCTGACAAGCCTTCAATTCAGCCGCTCAACCTGTGGCGAACACAAGACAACAGCCACTGGCCCCTTCCTTGGGGCGATCCAGGTACTCTTACTACTCTTTACTCTATATAAAGCAGATTGCTAGATTTTTAAGATTCAGGGCTCGGTTTCTAGTACCCTTCTTTGCTTGTATTCTGCCTGCTTGGCTGCTCGATTGAGATCAACCTCGATTCTCATCAAAGCATCCTGCATACGGATGACAACATAAGAAGAACATGTTCAATCCGATGTGGCCATCGTGGAAGCTCATGGCTCATGCTTTGTGGAACCTTGGCCAATTTGCGAACTCGAGGCATCTTCCACAGCATTTTTGCGCGTCGCTCTCGAAGTGCGGAAGGGAACCAACCACTCGCCAACGTGATCATACGGTTTTCCCAAGGCTAGACGATGCATCCATCGAAGCCTTTCGATTCGAGAGAAGGCAAGGAACACATGCGTTCACGCGAACTTTCCAAGGTTGATAAGAAGTTTGACTTTCGGACCACGGAAGACACGAGCCGCCTTTGTGGGTCTTCACCGACCTCCGCGGATGTCTTTACTGGCATCTGGAACGGAGTTTGATTATTGACAACAGATCGGCTGTTTCATAGCCGCGTAGCTCTAGGTTCTTCTTCGCTTCGACCTAGCGCTGTGGCATTTCTTTCGTGCATCTCCGATAGCCGTTTGCCTCACTGGGGCCGAACAAAGTAACACTCCGATGTAAGTGAGGTTGAAGGAGCCAAACACCAGACGCATTTAAGTGCTGAAAACATGCAGCTGGGAGTTGTACGATACCTATCTGTATCTGTGCTCAGTCGTAAGTACGGCATTTGTGTGAGACATTCGAATGAGTACTGGTTGCCATGGGTGCGGGCTAATAACACGTAATGCTTCGCGCACCGGTCTGGACTTTTTGCAGCTCTGGCGCTTGAGGATGATCTGGTCGTGATTTGGGATTGGAGAAATCCTATTTCTGTCGCCTGAGACCTGACCTTGCTCTGCATAGAACGTCGCTCGTCCCAGTTTGTGCTAGCGTTTAGTTAGCTAAGCTTAGTCATGATGCATGCATGCCACATAGAAGGTGATGCTGGAGATGCAAAATCGATCAAGCAATGCTGCAGCGCATTGATCGGGCAATATAACTATGTAACAGGCCAGATGGTGATGTGAAGTATTATGAATTGATTATCATGCAGTCATTATCTAATAATATCATGAGATGCGTTCATTTATGCACCGAGAACGGTGACCTTCTCCGTCGCAACAATATCCCTGCTGCTGAAGCCCAGGTAGAACGAGAACTCGCCCTCGGGGATGACCCACTGCTGGCTGATGATGTCCCAGTAGGACAGATCACGGCGCATCAGCTCAAAGGAAACAGTCTGGCTCTCGCCAGCCTCGAGGTAGACCTTCTCGAAGCCACGGAGCTGCTTGGGAGGTGTACCAGCAGGCGTGCTCTCGGGAAAGCCAATGTAGAGCTGGGGAACACCGGCACCGGCGACGTCACCAGTGTTGGCGAGCGAGATGGTGACGTTGTAGATAGACTCCCAGAGGGCGGGGTTACCACCGGGCATGATCTGGCGCTCCTCGGGGTGAGAAGTGATGTTGGCCTCAAGAGGCTCGGCAGTGACGTCGGAGATGTTGAAAGTGGTGTAGGAGAGACCGAAGCCAAACTCGTAGCGTACAGAGATGTTCTTGGCATCGAAGTAGCGGTAGTCAATCTCGAGCTTCTCGTCAAACCAGGATTGCCAGTCAAAGTATCCGGTGGTGTTGATGGCAGTAGTGGGAGGAGCGTTGTAGTCGGTACCGTTGAGTGCAATAGTGTAGGGCAGGTGACCGCTGGGGTTAACATCTCCATAGAGAATGTCGGTCAGCGAGTAGCCAGACTGCTCACCAGGGTAGTGAGCAGCGACGATAGCGGTGACGTTCTCGTGATCAGCCCAGGGCAGAGTGTTGATACCAGAGGAGTGAGTGACAACGACAGTGTTGTTGCACTTGGAGGCGACGTTCTCAACAACCTCGTTACCGTTCCAGTCGACACTGAGGTGCTCGCGGTCCTCAGCCTCCTCAGCCCAAGTCTTGAGCATGACGATGCAGACTTCGGGAATGTCGCCAATCCAAAGATCATCCAGATCCTTCGAGATAATCTCGGTGTTGTTGAGGAAGTACTGGACGATGTGGGTACCGTTCGCGGCGGCGCGCTCCTGGATCGCACGCAGAGGAGTAACAAGGGAGGTGACCTGACCAGTACCAGAGCCACCACCAGCAAGAAGAGTTCCGTACTCGTAGTTATCCTGGTTCAGTTGCTTCATTGGCTCGGCAGCATCGTTACCGAACACAGCAATGTTGCGGGGGCTGTTGAGGGGAAGAGCACCATTGTTCTTGAGAAGGACGGTACCGGCAGAACCGTGCTTGCGGATGAGCTTGCCATGGTCGCCACGGACGTCACGGCTACGCTCGCCAGTCAAGTTGAACTCGCGAGTCCAGGTCTTGTAAGGAGAGAAGGTGTTCAGGTCAGCACCGCTGGGGTCAACGGTAGGGAAGTCCTTATCCTGACCGAGCCAGTAGTACGGAGTCATGATGCGGACGATCATGTCGTCGACACGGTTGACGTCAAGAGTGCCGTTGTTGACAGCAATGGTGACGTTGCCACCAAAGTAAGAGGGGGCGCCGAAGGCCATTCCATAGGATCCAAGACCACCAGGCATGTTCATGTCGAGCCCAGCCTCGATAGAAGCAACACCGCTGTGAACCGCACCCCAATCGGACATGATGTAACCTTGGAAGCCAAGCTCAGTCTTTAGCAGGCCATTCTGAGTAGCAGAATTCTGGCAGCCGTATGAACCGTTGATGCGCTGGTAGCTGCACATGAATGAAGCAGCCTTGGCCTTGACGGCGTTGGCGAAAGGCCAAAGGTAGAGCTCGTGCATAGTGCGGTCGTCGAGGTTAGACGACAGGGCAGCGATATCAGTATCGGTAGTTGTGCCGTTCACAGTGTAGACTGGGTTGCGGGCAGTCTCCTGCTCATTTGCGATGAAGTGCTTTGCAGTGGCCTGGACACCAGCATCCTGGTGACCAAGAATGGTCTGCTCCATGGCAACACCAGTGAGGTAGGGGTCGGCAGCGAAACCTTCCCAGTTGCGGCCAGCATAGGCAGAGCGACCCAGGGGTCCAGCAACGGGGCTGAGCGCAACGTGAGCGCCCTTGGCCCTGAACTCCTGACCCATGGCGTAACCACGCTCGTGCAACAGGGCTCTATCCCATGATGCGGCGGCGGAAACACCGGCAGAGAAAACGCTGGCATAATCTGCGACACGAATAGCCAGAGGACCATCTTGCAAGCAAAGACCTTGGAAACCAAGACGAGGGATAGCGACGATGTTGCCCACGCAAGGTCCGGCCTGACCGGTGACCATGTCGGCCTTCTCCTCGAGAGTGAGCTGGTCAACAAAGGCACGGGCCTTGACAACGGCTTCTTCCCAACCGCCAGTAGCATCAGCGGTGATGTTGGCTGTCACATGTTAGATATAAAAATCTTGTCATGATATGGTAGACACTTACGGGAAGGGTAGACAGCCGGTGAGTGACCGCGGTCGCCCAAGATGGTTGTGTTCAGAGGCTGAACATATGAGAACGCATCTTCGGACCTTGAGCCAGAGTCATATGCCTGAGCATTGACAACAGTCAGAACTGCAAGTGCTGAGAGAAGGGCTGCCATAGTGCTGAATGGACAAGTTGATAGTGCCTTGTTCTATACAAATGTTGACCATGCCAGCCCTTATATACCTACACTGCCCAAAGGCCCGTTCTCATCTCATCGGGTCGGCAATTGAGCTTTCCTGATGGTTCACCCCCAGCTCCATGCTGCAGAACCGAAGTCTTCCCGTGGGGAGAGCAGAGTGGCTTGCATGAGGCTCCTAAAACCGGGGCACCTCGCGTCATCCCGATGGGCAGAAGCACTGCCAAGGCGTAAGTCTGTGCCTTGTCCACGCTTCGGCAGTCGATGTCAACGCTCTGACTCGCGCCGAAGTCGCTGGAGCAACGTCCGAACGGAAAACCAGGTGCCATTGGGCCCTGTGATCGTCGTCAACGCGCCGTTGGGGACACCCTCAACGACTTCGGTAAACTGATCTTCTCTACCAACGCCATTTTCATCTTCAAAAGTCAAACCGTTATACACATTTGGAAACGGATGGATTTTTCAGTCGTGCCAGGGCTTTTCTCCGTGCGATCCTACCGTCAGCCTCATCCTACGATTCATGGGAGCGGGGACGCAACGATATCCATGACAGCCTCAACCGCATCGGCAACCGTCAGCCATTTCTTGGTCCTCAGCAAGCATCGCGAAGAACAGCCGGGCGTCGTGCCGTGACATCGTGTGAGGTCCGTGGGTGGGTAGAGCATCGTCTCGCGGCCTCGTGGCTTGCAAAGCTCGAAGAACCGTCCGTAGCACTAGTGCATATACGGTAACTACTAATCTCCAACAAGAGATCACGCCCGCAAATTGCAACCCCGGCGTACGTCACTCCGCCCGGCCTCCACACAAAATTCCCCGCGATGCGGTTGCCGGCATAGCGTGATTCTGGGGTGGGGTGCAGGTGGGATCTTCGAGTCTCCAACTTTTCCACTCGTCTCCATTTCTTGGGTGAGATTGCCTCCGGATTGTAGGTAACACGTGCATGATATGCGGGGCGGCGCCGACATTTGGCCGCTGCCGTGGCAATCCGGACGATGATCCTGGCTGGAGAGAGGAAAATTGCTAGGTAGTCTGGACGGCGTACATGTGTCTGGCTGACAGTTTTTCACCCGCCCGGACTTTCCCCGCACTTCAGCTGACAAACAGGTGAGTTAGGATGCTTGTTGCCGTTACCATGAACTACGAGGTCACACCACAGCATGGCAATAATCACGGCTGTATGTACAGTGTATAATATTATTATGCGCTAAGCTGAATATTACGATCTAATATGATCGATTGAAGAGGGGCCCCACACCGAAAAGAAATGGACGACAGAAGTCCGATGAAAGCACGGGGCTAAATTTTGAGCCGCAAAAACAGCACTGACCAAAGAAAACCCGGAAATCAGCCATCAAGCGGTGTCCTTCTCCCCAGATCGGTTTCCAGGGTGCGCTCCTTGCCGAGCTACCTCGCCAGCACCATCTCCTGCCTTCTCTGCGGTACCTTTTGCCTTTGCTCCTTTCTTTGTCTTGTGGAACTTCGCAGTGATGCTGCTGAGATCTGCAACTCTGAAGAGCCAGTACGTGAGCAGAGCAAGGAAGACGTTGAATGAGATGAAAGCGAAGAGAATGCCAAAGTTCCTCCATCGCTCACCGTAGTAAATGCTGCTGCCAGCCAGGAACTGGTCGGCGCTCGATATCGCGCAGTATTGACATGAAGCCGTGGCTTCTGGGTTCTGGATTGTACCCATCGCAGCCTGAGCGTACGGGCCAAGGTATTGACCGCAGGTTTGACCTGCAGGTGGGTCGAAGATGGAGACTTCCGTGGAGCTGCATACAACCTCGCGCCCCGCTAACATAGTGGAGACAAGACCACCAATCCAGTACGTAAAAGGCGAAACCCGGTACATAAACAGCCAGAATCCTGGAAGGTTGCCGGGTGTTTGCAGAACACCGTTGAACAAAATGGACATCAGAGTCAACAGGGATACCAATCCGGAGGCTGTCTCTGCATTGGGCAGCGCAGCAATAGTCATAGCCGCAAAAGATGACGTGTAGACGAGAAGTTGAATGGAGAACATGAGAACCAGTCCCTGGCGTGCGCTGGACTGTCCAGCACCAACCACGGGGTAGTAAAACGACGCAAACATGAGGACACCAGCGACTATTCCGTATGGCAGCTCGACCACGATGTTCGCGACCATGAAAGCGAACCAAGAGTAGGCCTTGCTGGGGCGTTCGCGACTCTCATAAAGGTTGCGCTGAGTAATAAAGAGCGGCTGGATTTGCTGCACGAGCGAGGAAAATATGGTGGTCAGCATGAAGGCACTGAAGATGATGTTCTGCATGCCAGCTTGAGTGCTGTCGGCACCATAGAATGAGAAACCAATGAAGAGACCAGCGACGACACAAAGAAGGATCTTGGCGAGGACGTATTCAGGCATTCTCCAGTACTGCTGGAACACACGGTATGTGCACTCCCAAACCTGGGTCCAGATGGGCATGGCAAACTCGGTGCCACCTGTCTCCTCGGCGATGTTCAGATCCGAGTGTTGAGTCTCTTCGTGGATCTGATCGATCTCGCGCTGCACCTGCTGGGCTGCGTTGCTCTGCTTCCACACGTTGAACCAGTCTTCGCCTTGATTGTTCTTGCCAGCGTTGACGATCTCGAGCATGTACTCGGCAGGGTTCTCATCCTCGCCACATTTGCGAGCACCATTGTTCTCAAAGTGCTCTAACAGTGTGCGTGAGTTCTCTCCAATCTCGCCAAAGTAGACAGTCTTTCCTCCTTTGGCCAGGAATAGCAGACGGTCAAACTCCTGGAAAAGGATGGCACTAGGCTGATGGATGGTACACAAGATGGCCTGGCCAGCAGATGCAAGCTTGCGGAGGAAGGAAACAATAGACCAGGAGCTCTGACTATCAAGTCCAGAGGTAGGTTCGTCCAGGAAGAGCAACAATTTAGGCTTGGCAGCCAGCTCAACGCCAATAGTGAGGAGCTTACGCTGCTCAACATTGAGGCCCTCGCCAGGCACACCCACAACTGCGTTCGCAAAATCTTCCATATTCAACATCTTGATAACCTCTTCAACGTAGTCGTACTTCTCCTGCTTAGGTACCGACTTCGGCTGGCGCAGATAAGCAGAGAAGCGGAGCGCCTCGCGGACAGTGCTGGTTTCAAGATGGAGATCTTGCTGTTGGACGTAGCCTGTAGAGCGCTGGAAACTAGGATCGAGAGGCTTTCCGTTCACCAGCATGTCACCTGTAATCACGCCCATCGTGGTACGCTGAGCGAGCGCGTCAAGGAGAGTCGTTTTTCCGGCACCACTGACACCCATGAGGGCCGTCAATGTTCCAGGCTTGACATAGCCTGATACATGGTCCAAGAGTCGTCGAGGTTCTCCCTTGATCTCGATGTCATAGACCACATCTCTCCATGTGAACACGCCCTTTGACTCCTCAACGGCGCTGACATCACCCTCTCCGCTTTTGGTAGCAGCAGCGGGCTTCGCAGACTGCTCATCTGAAGACTGCTTGCCACCCTTCTCCTGCATGTAAGCGGGAACATGGCCACGCTGGAACACAAGCTGCTCAGCAGTGTTGCTGGTTGACGAGTTGACCTCAACAGCGATGAAGTAAATGACCATGAAGAAGATCAAGAAGCCGACCAGGATACCGAAGTTGCGCCAGACGTGAGACCACGAATACTCATACGCGACGGCAATGAAGTCGTCGCCAGAAACAAAGGTCTGCCCAGCGACCGAGCCTTGCGAGTTGCAAATGAACGAATTGCCGGTCTGTGTATAACCTGGTCCCGCTGGAATGAATTGGTCGCAAGGGAACTGGACTCCGTGAAACTCGTTGGCCACAAGAATTTCAAAAGCGTAGAACACTGGGTTGATCCATCGAATCCAAGAAAACCACGGGTGCATGGATGGAATACGAATAACGAAACCGGTATAGATAACGAGGAACAGCACCAAAACACCTGCGAGTGCCATGGCTTGTGATGCCGTTTTTGTCAGAGCAGCTGTTGATCTGAAAATAGCAGCCATGACAAAAGTTGCGATGTAAGTGACCAGGAAGTAGAGGAAGAATTGACCAGGTGTGTACCGAAGCTGAGCGAGAAAGTACAACACAATGTTGAACACAGTAGCTTGCAAAAACTTTACCGGTATGTCTGCGACAATACCTGCTATAGCTTCTGTCGCTGGGTGGTAGAATGCATACGAGTTGTGCTTCTCGACGATGGGTCTTTGAGAGTACAGCCCGCTGATTTCACCAATGGAGGTCAATGCGTTGAACAGAATAGCCAGGAACAGAACGGCACCTCTGCCTTGAAAAGAGCCTGTGCCTTGCGAGTGTCCAAAGTAGATAGAACCGACGATGAGTGCAATGATTAGGTTAAGCATCGCTTGAGTAGCAGTGGAAGCGAAGTCGCCCCAAATTCGCTGATACGCTCGAGTGGTGTTGAGCTTGATCTGCATGGGAATGCTGATAAGATATGGAGACTTGGGACGGGCGTGCTTTGCCTGGATGTAGTTCTTCTTTTGACGGAACTCATGAAGTGTCGAATGCTCGCCAACAGGGTTCTCTTGTTCAAATGCCTGAATCTCCTTCATCAGCTTCTGGTACTCTGGTGAGTCGCGCCAGTATTTTTCAAACTCCTCTGGTGTACGGGGGACCTTGTTCTCAAAGCCCTTTGCGGGCTGTCGCTCATCGGCATTTGTAACAGCGGTCAGGAAGTCACCCGTGGTCTGGCGAGGGGGACAGTACCAGCCCTGACGTTCGAAGAAGCTACGCGCCTTGTGGGCCGGGCCAAAGTAGATCTGACGGCCTTCGTACAGGACCGCAGCCTTGTCAAAGCAGTCGTAGACACTCTGGGAGGCCTGGTAGATTGCGACAGCAGCAGCGCCACCGGTCATATCAGAACCGATACGCAACGAGCGAACAAACTTCAGCGCGGTCGCCGAGTCTAGACCTCTCGTGCTGTTATCCCAAGCCGCGAGAGGGGCACCTGCGAGGAGCATCTCCGCCACGGAGACACGCTTCCTTTCTCCACCACTGACCCCGCGCACGAAGTCGTTGCCAACTTTAGTATTATAGGTGTGGCTCAAACCGAGTACAGCCATAACGACCTGCGCACTGTATTTGGCAAAGTCTTTGCGAGAGGTCTCGTGAGGACGGTGTGATGGAGTACGCACGGCGGCGGCGAATTCGAGAGTCTGGCCGACCGTTAAATGTGGGAAATGCTTATCAACCTCCTGGTTGTAAACTGTCTCTCCCTTGAACTCCTTAATGACCTTCTGCTGCTCGATTCCGTTGTAGTGAATTACAGACTCGTCAACATCGAGGCTATGAAGCTCTCCAGTCAGTGCTTTGAGGAGGGTCGAACAGCCAGATCCGGGTCGACCAAGGACCACGCAAAGCTCACCGGCCTTGATGATACCGTCGAAGCTGTGCAAGATTTGCTTGCGCTCCTTCTTTCCAAAACTGATGAACTCCTGCGGGCGGATTGGCGCCATCAGCATGTCTGTGACGGTCTTTTGTAGTTGCAATGCGGCGCCGGATCCGTACACGTTCAGATCTTTGTAGACCACAGAGAGCTGCTTCATCTCGACGCCCTCTTCCTCAAGATAGGATCTGAAAGAGCGTAAAAACTTCTTGAGGTCGAAAGAATCACTGGAGGGATCCATAGATGGGTCGCCTGGCTCTGCAATGCTGCGACCCGTTGTCACTTGCCGAGCCATGCTCATGCTGGTGAGGGCTCGCTGCAGGTCTCTCCTCTCGGAATCGTCGATTTCAGGCCTTGTGGCTGTGCGCTCCATGGGAGAGCCATCACTGTCGTCGGTCTCCGAGGCTTTGGTCCCTTTCCGGCTGTGACGTTGGCCATTGGAGCCATAGTGCGTGAATGAAGAGTTACTTGAGCTTCGTGTTGCTACCTTTTCGAGAGGCTCTTGGTCTTCTGCTCCGTTGTGAAGATACTGGTCATCACGAGTCTCTTCGTGCTTCGCACTGTTGAAGAGGCCGGCGCCAGCGCCAGCGCCAACCCCCGCAGCTAGTCCGCCCGCTGTATGACTGCTAGACGTGTTTGGGAAGAACACATAGCTACCACTTGAGGTTGGGCGCTGCACATGTGTGCCATCAGAAGACTGCTGGCCGTCAGGATAATACGTTTCGCGTCCAGATTCTGTTCGGAGGATGCCGTCAAAAGGGTTGGCCGGCTCGCTTATCCGGGTTGTATGGTGTTGTGATTGGGAGGTCGATTCATTGTTCTGTGTAGACGATGTTGTACTTGAGAACACTTGATTGCTGGATGACATGTTTGTGAAGTCACCTGTAGAGTGGTGATTCTGAGCCATGGCAGGCGACAGCAGGTGCAAGTGTCAAAGTAGCCGTTGTTGTGAATCGAGATTGCAGTACGTTTGCAGCATAATAAACATATTGGAACCCTATCCCCATCATTACATCAATGCACATATTCTTGCCCATTCGGATCGCGGAGCCAAGTATTGTCCGCGGTTAGCTCTTACGCTGGAAACGGACGAATTGGGCGACATCAGGGCGCTCCATCCGATAGGGCAGATTACTGTCGTTCCCACGCTATGACGGGATGATCAGGACGAGGAGAGCTTGCGCCTGCGCTTGCAGACGCGTTGATGCTCCAGACTTCAACACTAAAGGGATGGCCCCTGGGCGCCGAGTGGGTGCATAGCAATCAGTGCTATGACGTCGGTCGCTGAACTTCATCCGGATGCCAGCGGCAGCTCAAGTGCGCACTTTCATCTCAACAGACCCAGAACACAGACTGTGATGTGCCTACGCAATCAATTCTTGGTTTAGCAAGATGCAGCTGCTAAAAGTTGTCAGCCACTGATGCAGCAAGGGGAGCGAGAAGGCCTGCGCAGATCGCCAGAATCGCGTTAGCGCCCTAACGATCTCCCAAGGTCGGTTTCTACCGAGAGCTTGATCACCTTCGCCCGTTTTCGGACGACTGCCGGACAGCCAGCCTTGCTCACACCCGGAAGGATATCTTCGTACGATACCCGCTGTAGGTGAAGATCTTGCAACGGACGAGACAGCTGTGAAGTTCCGCACAACGACCGACTCCAAGACCGCCGCGATCAAACTCAGCCACAATAACTGCAAATCGTTACGCGGACAACTCCCAATGCACTCTGCTTATGTTAATCATCGAGGCGTTCACTGGCGCTGACTCAGTCGTACCGCCCTGCGGACGGAGCCGAGCCAGACCCGTCGCCCATGACGCCCGTCGCCCATGACGCACGTCACGGCGCACCAAGCTCGACGAACATTCACCTTGCGCCAGCGGTAGCCGACAACAAAGCACCCCAATCGAGTCGCTGTTGACGAAGTGCTGTAATGCGCGCTGCACGTGCGCCACAATACAGTGCTGACGCGAAAAGTCCATCGAGTAGCTGCCACTGCATATGCGCCACAACGCAGTGCTGATGCATAACCCCGTTCCTACCAAACTCTCGGAAGATAAAATGATGCGACCCGCCTCCACACTGGGGTGTCAAACTTGACCCATCTCCAGATCTAAATAGATCGTGCTGACTGTCACGCCGCCAACCACGATCGCACCCCCGCCAGCGCACATCCATGAGGGGTCGACGCTATGCTGATGCTTGAGGCGTGCATTGCAGGGTAAAGTTCTTGGCTATACAGGATGAACTGATTCTGAGCAACCACTTGCGACAAACAACCGGTGAATTTCCCTGTACGTGAAGTCCCAGGATGGTACACTGTCCACGACAACAACGTATCTGCCACTCGGAGCATGACTCGACGCCCAACGATTGGTTATCAAGATTTAGATCTAAGTGAATTCGTACCCTGAGCTTAATACGCTAGCCCTCCTGCAGGCGACCCAAACTCGCACACCGCCTGCTCGGGTGCTGTACAGACCCCAGCAACAACCGAGTATCAGTTAACGGGTATCAATAAGAGATCAGCTAATCGAGAAGAAGTGTACCGTTTCGATAGAGTTGAGTGGGTCGCGCGGGCATCACCAACAGTCAGCTACCGCTAGGGCTGTCATGCTCGCACCATACCACACACCACAAGCCGACGTTGCAAGTCCGCATTATCACAACTACCCAATTGAACAATCAAACGCCGTCGAGCCGTGAAAGGTACGGCTCGACTACTCCCAATTGTTGATCCAGCAACGAAGAAAGAAAGTCTTAGCCGTACTGAGAATCAGCGTACCGAGAAAGGTAACCCTGGGTAGGCTGGTGCTACTAGATTGTGACTGATACTGCTGTGGTGTGCGTCATGCGACACCTGGCACTCTGCCGACCGCGAAGTTTAGGCAGTTGAGTCTGCCATGAGGCTGGGAGACATCGATGTGAGGGGAAGAGATGCCTCGACACCTGTCAAGACTCGTTATGACGTTCATTCCCCCACTGGCTGTTCTAGATTCGCTGTCGCTGTTGATGAATTGCTGTTGGTGATCCGCAGTTCGCGGTTAGCGGTTCACACTGCTCGCAGCTCAGAAGCAGGATGCGGCACTCCTCCAAAAGCGGATCCTCAAAGATGAAACGGCGATTCGTCTCCATGTCACGGCGGTTGCTGACGTGTATCGCCACATAATGAAGGATAGGTAGCTCCAGCAGGGCCCGAAAGCCCGCACCCTGCGGTCGCCCATGCGGCGACGTGGAAGTTCCTCTCCCTGACTGTTCTGCATCTCAGTCGGAGCACCGTGCCGCCAGGATCCACTCCCTCAGCCCAGCACCCGTGCCAGTCCACCAATACTGAAACTCACACTCAGTTTTAGCCCCTTCGACTGCGCCGTAAACCTTTGCGTATGGTCATTCCACTCTCGCCGCACCCTCGCCCGCTCCTGTAGCGGACTCGGCCGCGGCACCACCGGCGGATCGATCTCGCGGCGCGGCACACTCCTCCCCGCACGCAGGGAATCGCGCGCAACCGCATCCGCCATCGTCTTCAGCCCGGACTGCTGGTGCGGCGGCAGATTTTCCGCACGCAATGTGCCGTCACGTGACTGTGCAACGAAGCAACCATAGCGGTAGGCGTGCAGCGTGATGTTAGTGAGGTCCGGGATGCGGCGCGCGGCACGCAGGGTCTCGAGGTGAGTGGAGAGTAGGGGGTACGGGTCCAGTGTCCAGATTACGCGGTGCTGCGCGGTGATCAGGACGAAGGTGGCGTCGGCGCCAAGGGCAACGAGGCGCGGGCGGTCTGTCCAGGAGCCGTTCTGGATGCGAGATTGCAGCGCGGAGAGGAGGTCGGGTGGGAGGTTCATCCATAGGTAGGCGGCGGAGTCGTGGGCGAAGAAGGATGTGTTCTGGGGGCCTAGGGTACAGCGGATGGCGGGGATGTTGCGGGCGGGGCGGCCGTTGTCGTTGCGAGCATAGAGGAAGGTGATCAGTTCAGCGGGGAGGCCGACGGTATTAATGCGATCCTGATTGTCTTTGTCACGCCAGGTGATCAGGAAGCTGTCCTCATAGCCCAGCGCGACGTGGTGGACTTGCTGGATCTGTGGTGACGAGAGGAGGGTCGTGAGTTTCCGTGGGAGGCGAGTCCTGGGATCTGTCAAAACTTGACGTCGCAAATGCTTCTCGTTGGTCTTAACTCACGTATCCCGCTGCGAAGGACATTGGAAGAAATGGCTCCCCCGCTGCCCAAAAGTGAATGTGGCATCGCACATGACGTATCAGTTCTACTGCCGCTCAAGTAGCGACTACGGAGGTAATGAATACTTGGGACTCCCAAATAGCCTCAGGAGGCTGGTGAGACGCATTAAAACGCCAAATGATGAGGCCATCGAGCGATGGTGGTGTAAACAGCGTTGCCACGCCAAGCCGATCCTCCTCCAGGTTCAGAGCAGGGAAATTACCGATCCACGCACCAGCAAGCCCCGTTATGCGCAATCTGGTCGCTCCACCAACAGCTATACGCAATTTATGAGCTGGAGATAAGATGCGAGGCCTGGAGCTGATTCTTCGCGACGTCCACGAAAAGGGAAATCTCTAAAGTTGAATGTGACGTCATAAGGGTCCCGAGCCAATAACAGTCTAGCATGGCGTCTACATCGAGCACTGCATCATTCTTCTCCTTCGGTTGGAACGACAGCTTTATATCAAAGAGCTACCAAGGCCTACGCCAGTACGTCGCTCTCCGAGTCTATACACCAAGCTAATGGCTAAAGTCGCAACCTGCCCACATCCCTCCTGGCCCTCCTTGCAACCGCCTCCGAAGTCCACTGGGCGTCGCTCGGCCCCGTCCCAGAGTCCTGGCTGCTCAGCTTCAAAGATGCCTCCGGACGGAGCAGTATACGCTGGGGCGCGCTGATCCCGCCGCGCCTTCAGGCCGTCTTGGGAAAGACATGGCACTCGCCACATTTGCGTTTCTTCCTCGGGCCCAGTGACTCCTTCATCGTGTGGCACCCGGAGCTGATCCGCTGGGCCAGCCTACCACACAGTCTCGAAGATTCGCTGCAGTCGTGGCTCACGCCGTCCGGGTGGCGCGTGGGCCCGCCGCGGCTCGTCACGTGGGGCCCTGAGGGAGCCTTCTTTGCGCTGAGCGAGTACGGCGACGTCGTGTACCGGCTGGGCGACGGCGACAGTTGGGAGATGTACAGCGAGACGGTTGAAGAATGGAAGAGCGAGGCAGGCTTCGCTTGGAGCGAGATAGCCTGCCTGGCGCTCGATCCCACGACGACAGACCAGTTCATCGCGGTCCGCAACGACGGCACGTGGGCGGGCAGCATTGACGACGTAAATGAAGATGCGCTGGAAGATTTCGTCGCGAACTACTTCACCAAGGCGAAGAAGAAGAGCCAGCCGGGTCCTCAACCCGGTGCGCAAGTCCCGCAACCGCCCCCTGTGCCCGCGCAACCCGACGCCGCAACGCAGGCACTGTACGAGCAGTGGGCAACAGACACAGCGCGCAAATTCGCCGCCGCCCTCGCAGCCCTCACAGCCAGCCCCTCTGCCCAAAGCCCCAACCCCAGCCCAAGTCCCAGCCGTCCCAAACCGCGCAAACTCCAAGTCCGCAGCGCCTCCACCACCGCCCCGCTTCCAGCGCTTCTCTCCGCATTCCCGCCCCTCCCCCGCCTCCCGACCCCGTGCACCCTCCTCCCCTGCGCCGCGACAAAAGCCGAACCTGCTGGCCTGCGCGCGTGCAAACACGATGTCGAGACGCTGCTGCGCGGCAGCGGATTGTACAGCTACGAGTGGCTGAGGCAAGAAAGGTTAAGATGGCATCCAGATCGGTTCGGGAGGTTGTGTGAGGTTGGGTGGCGGGAGGAAGGTCGACGTGTGGGCGGGGAGATGTTTAAGATTTTGGGAGGGCTGATGGAGGAGTTTGAAAAAGAGGGGGAGCGGAACGGGGAGCGGCGGTAGATACCGGGGGGGGGGGGGATGTTGTGAAAATAATAATCCAATCCAATCCAAGCCTAGGTTCCGGTACCAGTGTCCAGCCCGCCATCTCTCACCCACAGTAACACAACATCGAATCGTTAGACATCCGCATAAACATTGCTCGGTGCGTTCTAAATCCCGCAATTCCAGTCTTTTCCATAATTGCAGCTTTGAACTTCGGACACGTCCCCCTGACTTTGAGTATTCGAGACCACGGGAACCGAAGACCAGTCAATCCAACATGGTAGAACAGTGCGGCGGTACACATTCGAACGTATGATCCGCACATCAGCATGGCAACCTCGCCCGTCGCCGGAACATGGCTTCCAATTAGACGTCTTTCAACCCTGGATTCAGGACCACAGAGTGACGCTGTAACGCACGGCACGCTTTCAAAAGTTCTCGAGATCTGCCTTCCAACAGCATATCAGGCATCTCTGGCAGTAGGTCACCCATGGACGTTCCGCGCCCTTACTGCGAGGGTTTCGAGCCAATCGCATAGAGAATGTAGCTTTTTCCAGCAAAAGGGGGCTGGAGACCCGACACATGATAAGTATGGCGTTGCATTTATGGTGCTAAGTAAAGAGATCTCACATGACATACACATCAGGGCCTTCCGGTGTATTTTGCAGAACTGGCACACAGGGGAGAGTTTTAGACGCCCGGGCACAGAGTTGTAGTGTCAAAACCTGTTTTCTTGGTGCGCCAGATTTCATCGCTAGAGATGGCGAGAACAACACTTGCATGACAAGCAGGAAGGGAACTGTCGACCGGGCACATGAACAGTGGAATGGTGTCTTTCAGTGTACACAAACAGGAAAGGCAGGGGTAGACACATCAGGCCGTCTTTGGCGTCTTTCAACAAATCGGGACATGAGGAGGCTTCTGGATCCCCGGTCGCAGAGTGTGGTATCGATACCCGTTTCCATCCGACAGCGAGTCTGCCGGTTTTTCCATGTAGAAGGAGACCAGAAACCCGGCACATTTTGCTCTGAGATACATTCTTATGTGTAAACGAAACAGAAGAGAGAGGACAGACACATTGGTGATTTTTCCGAAAGCTTTGCACAACGCCCAGATGCAGAGCATGAGTGGTTGCAAGCGAAGTCTTGGATCTCGGAAAGTAGAGAGTGATGTCAAGCTCCAATAGCGTACCTTCTGTCTCCATATCCTTCGAGTGTGGTAATCTCCTCACCAGACAGCGGGCACAATGTTTCATGCAGAGGTGGGATAAGGTCTTCAGCGGACAGAAACCAGAGATTCGACACATAGTGAGTCTAGCTATGTTTTTACAAAACACGGCTGTCTGTGATTGCAGCCACATAAGAACATCCTGTGCATCTTTTGCAGAAACTCCCAGACGCAGAACATGTAAGATTAATCGTAAAGATTGAGCTCTCAGACAGCATCAGAGCATACATGTTGTGTTTTACAGAGCTCTCAGACGCAGGCCATGAATGGCATTGTAATCGACTTGAGGTTTTATGGAGTAGAGCGTGGCAGAGCGTAGCATGGTACAGTTTTGATACTCTTTACGAGACGCGCAGACGCAGATGTTTGGCTTGTCAATTGAATTCGACTTTCGTGCAGCATTACGTGGTATCAAAGCAGGCTGAGCATGTTTTGTAGAACATCGAGACGCGGACCATATCCGGTCTTTTGGTTGACTTTGACTTTCGTGTAGCAGAATGTGGGATCACATTGTCGTCCGCCTTTTTTGCAAACGGCCAAGCACGGACATACTCTGGAAATGTAGTGTTTTGAATCGCCGAATATGCTCGAGCGATGTGTCTCTCAGAGTGCCGGGCGCAGACCATGGATCGTCCTCGACTGTGTTTCGAATTTTCGGGAAGCAGCGTGGTGTTGTTTGGATTTCGCAGGCCGCTCTCGGACAGTGCCATTTATCTTTGTCCCTTGGACACAGAACATTGATTTGGGTGATGTACATTTTAAGTTCTCAGGGCACACAAGTGTTGGTGTTTCGATTCCGCAAGCCTCAGTGACATTGATCTTCCCCTATAAACACGCAGGCGCAGATCATAGATTGGAGGCTGCTATGTTTAGGAAACAGTATTGTGGATGCGATACTGCAAGATCTCAGACAGTAAGACTTTATATCCTCTCAGACGCAGACACGAATGCAGATCATCGTAGATTTGTTTGGCAATTTTAGGTTTCGTGACAGGAGTATTGTTGTTTCAACCTCGCAAGCCTCGAGCTCTCAGACAGTAAGATATGTCCCCCTCCCCAGATGCACGCCATACGCCACTCCCTGCTGAGGTTGGATCCGCGGGCCATATGTGTGTTCCGATTGGGACTTTACAACTTTTCATCACACAGTGAATTTTGTCTTCTCCCCAGACAGCGACCATTCGCAAGTACTGTCTAGGTTTCGGATTCTCCTGGTCGCAGAAGCGTTGCGGATTTGAAGTTGCAAGATGCTGGAAGACAGTAGAGTCTAGAAATTTTCTCCGGACGCAGGCAGGCCATGGTCGTTCTCTTGAGCACATTTCAGAGAACGTTATTTTCACATTCAATCTATTTGGATCCTCAGGCCACATAAGTGTTGTCTCGATTTTACAAGCCCTTTGAAGATGATTAATGCCATGTCTTCACCCGGACGCAGACCATAATCCGGTGCTTGCTGAAATTCGGGCTTTCAGACCACAGAAGCAATTTGGATTTCATGTTGTAAGATGCAGGAAGATAGTGGGTCTTATCTATCCTTCAGCGGCAGACGCAGAACATCGGTCTTTCCTGGTCCCTTTCAGATTGCCGCAGCAGAATGTAGTGTCAGAACATCCTCCCAAGCGCAGAACATGAGCATAGCTTTCTTGAGTTTTGAGTTCTCAGGTCACAGAACCGTTATGGGTTTGATGTTGTAATCTTGGAAGACACCATGACCAGAGGATGGGTGACTTTTCATAGCCTACAGTCGCAGGCACAGAGTATAAGTCTGCATACAGGCAAATTTCGCAGAACATGGATTCTCGCCCTATCCTTTTTGATCCTCCCGCCGCATACGTGTTATGGTCAGAACTTTGCAACTTTCCATCCAACAGTGGCTTTTATACCCCTTGTGGACGCAGACGCGGACATAAACCAGTCCGAGGAACTTTTTAGATTTCCGCAGCAGAGAGTGGTATCACAGTCCCTCCTTTTATGTTGCAAGACGCCCGGACGCAGAAAATTAGTCAGGTATCTTTGGATTTCAGGAAACAGAATAGGGTACACAAACACTCTCCCAGACGCAAACCATAGGTCGCTACTCGGATAGTTTTGGATTTTGAGAGACAAAGTGGAGGACCAGATTACCTTCCCAGACGCAGACCATGAACCAGTTACTCATGGTTTTTGAACTCGGAGATTCGGAAAACAGAGTAGGACATGACCGCTACAAGATCCTTTTTCTTTCGCAAAGCACCCAGACTCCAACCATCATCTGTGTCCCCACCGACTTTAGGGCTGGAGAGCATGGATGTGAACATGTACCTTTTCAGACAGTGGGCTTCATACTGCCTTTGACGTAGGCCATATACTGAGACTTGCATCATTTTGATTCGGGCTCCAGGAAACAGAGCAGGCCATGTGATCTATGGCTGTTCGTTTTGCAAAGCACCTAGACTTGGAACATGGTTTGCGTTTTGAAGTCTTTCCATATTAAGGTGACAGAGAACAAGGGCGACATTGCAGGACTTGGTCAGAAAGTAGACTTTATACTCCACCGGCCAACGCACACCATATGTTTACATTTGCGTTGATTTGGATTCCCGGGTAACAGAGCGAGGCACAAGTGTCCCCTCGCTTTCTTTCGTGCAACACCCAGACACAGAACATAGCAGAATTGCCTGTGTCTTTAGATGCTGGCACATTAAGGCATAAGCGCGAGACTGCAAGACTCCCTCGACAGTAGAATTTATATGCCCCCAGGCACAGACTATGTACCAAGTTCTAGACGGCTTTAGATTTTAGGAAACAGAGCAGGGCATCAGTGAGACCTCTCTCTGTTTTGCAAAACATCCAGACGCAGAACATCACCAGGTTTTTGATGTCTTTAGATACTGGCGTGACAGAGCATAAGTGCGAGAGTGCAAGACTCTCTCAGACAGTGGGTTTATTTCCCACCCGCGCAGACCACATAGTGGGATTTGTCTGGCTTTGGACTTGAGGATTCCAAGAAACAGATTAGGGCATACCAAAATCTTCCCTTTCTTTTTCGCAAAGCACCCGAACGCAGAACATCGAAAGCCCGTCAACGGAGTTCGGGGCAACAGAGTGTGGAAGCGGTATTGCAGTATCGCGAGACTACAGGAGATAGAGGCCCTTATATCCCCCAGACGCAGACGCAGGCGCACAACATCGCTTGCCGCCAGAATTGTTTCGGATTCGGAAACACAGTGAGGCATGAGAAGTCTTCCTACTCTTTTTAGAACAACCCGGACCCAGAACATGGCACGATCAACGTTATCTTGAGAGTTTAGGGCAACAGAGTATGGAGACGGTATTACGGTACTGCGAGGCAGCAGGAAACAGTCCCTTTTATATCATCCAGACGCAGATGCTGGCGCACAACATCGGCTGTCGACTTTTTAGTTTCAGTTTCTAGTGTAGCAGTACGCAGCAGCGTGCAGTATTCAAAGATAGCGTATGTCTTTCACAACCTCCCAGAGAACATGGCATGCTCAATTGGTGGATTTGGATTCGGATTCTATCACAGTGGGCAGCAGCGCGCAGCATCAGTCCTTGGTGTCATGTATTACATGCCAGGCGCAGACCATGAGAAGGCATCTTACTCATTTCAGATTCTAGTATCGCAGTGGGCAGCAGTGGACAGCAGCGTGCAGCATCAGAGTCTTTGGTTTTTACAAATCACCAGGCGCAGACCATGACGCCTTATTGTGCTGGTTCAGACTTCAGATTTCAAGTTTCAGAGTCCAGAATTCAGAGTTCAGAGTAGCAGTGGACAGCAACGCAGATCGAGCATCTAGAGATCTGGAGTTACTTTTAAAATCCCGAGCTCGAGGCGCACAACATATACCGCTGCTTTCCTCATTTCGAATTCCAGTGTAGCAGTGGGCAGCAGAGTGGAGCATGAGGCGGTATTCTGCTTATTTTCACAACCTCCCAGGCCCAAACATGATATTGTTTTTGACTGAATCTTGAATATTCGCGACAATGCATAGCAGCATGCACCATCCAGACGCCGTGCATCTTCCATAATCCCCCGACGCAGGCCATGAATATGTGTTTCACTGTATTCGGATTTCCATCCAGCAGCACGTCACCACGCCACGCTCCCGGGCGCAGAGCATGGCTTTTGCTGTCCCCCAATTTCGAGACCTGGGGTATCGCAGATCAGATCTCTGACTCCATCGTTTCGTCCCGGACGCAGACGCAGACGCAGAAGCAGAAGCACACCATAGGGCCATGATGAGAAGACTTGAAGTCCACGCAGCACAGCAACATCCAACTTTGTCTGCGCAATTTCAGATTCCACGATCCCTAGACACGACACCGAACATTGGTTTTTCATCTCATTGGTTTCGGATCCTCATGTCATTGTAGACCGCGGACTTCGACGTTTCCCCTGGGGGAAGGAGCAGACGCAGAGGCAGAAGCACCATCGGGCGGTGCTTCTGACATTTAGAGCATCATATAGGTGCGTCTTTGGCATGATTTCACGATCCCCAGACACAGAACATTGAGGTTCTTCTGTTGGACTTTGGATCCCTGGGACATCGTAGATGGTGGACTCCCTCTCTCCCTCGGCGCAGACGCAGACGCACACCCTCAGCCCATGTGATATTTCGCCTGCATTTAGGCTCCGCGACACACCACCCACAGCATCTGCATGTTTTCTGCGCGATTTTATAGTCCCCAGGCGCAAGACATAACCCCCTTGTTCGGTGATTTCGGATCCCCGAGTCATTGTAGATGGTGGATTTGCTCGTTTCTGCCGGACGCAGACAGACATAACGCGTAAGCAATTTGATTTGGATTCCGCGGCAGAGTGCGGGATTGGGGTAGGGTAGGGTGCAGAGTGTGGGATGAGGGTGCAGAGTGCAGGATCAGAGTGCAGGATCAGAGTGCAGCGTCAGAGTGCAGAACCAGAGCACAACATCGAACCATGCTCAGTGTGATTTCACAAACCCCCAGGGCGGGACATAGGTTGAGTTGCGATACTTTTAGATTTTCGTGAGCTTTTCCATGTTCAGGATCTTTTGAATTCCAGGATCTTTAAATATCCAGGATCTTTAGATATCCATGATCTTTAGATATCCATGATCTCTAGATATCCAGGAAGCAGGGTGAGGACGCTCCGTCGTACGCCTTTCAGACATCAGGCTTTATACCCCCTCCCCCCTCCCCCCCTTCCACACGCGCCGCATGGGTCACGTTTCGAACGCCGTTCCGGGGCACAAACACAGGCCCCGGGCACAGATACATATCCATCACAAGAGCCTCAGAAGCATTCGAACACAGCAGCAGCGCCGTCGCGCGCCAGTGGACTGTATTGCTATGTACACACGAGCTTGGAGTCTCCTTGGAGCCTCCTTCGAGCCTCCTTAGAGCGTCCTTAGAGCGTCCTTAGAGCCTCCGTTAGCATACGCCGAGCCTCCGCAGACCCGCTGATCCCTTCTGCCTCCATCCGTCCGCTACGTCTGCCTGTCCGCTCCGTCTGTCCGCTCCGTCCGCCAGCGCCAGGAACCCCCACGTGCGTGGGGCCACGCTACTTGATACCGCGCTTCTCCGTCTCGCTGTAGTAAATGACCATGCGCCAGAGTTTGCGCACGAGGGCCTCTGCTTCGTCGTCGAGTGCCTGTAGTACCGTTAGCACCGCTTTAGAAACGCAACATGGGGCGCGGAAAGATGACCACGATGAAAGAGAACACGGTGGAAAGACGACCACGCATAGGAACAGAAACAAAAAACTCACCAACTCCAGATTCTCCACCAATGCCTGCGGCCCGCCCCGACTCTTCAAATGCCCCACAATCGCCTCGACCAGCATATCCTCCTGCAAGCCCATGAGCTCGAGCACCTTATTCGCCGCCCAGTCCTTGATATCCTTTTCGATATTGCGCTCGGGCAAATGCGCCCACGAGACGGGCCACTTCCACAGGCCCTCGCGGTCGGTGGGGATATCGCGCGCGAGCTGGCGCTGGGCGTCCTCGATCTCCTCCGTCGTGAGGTTCGCGCGCACCGCGGCGTCGAAGTTGATAGGGACGAGAGTGCGCTTGCGCGCGCCGGCGTCGGCGGCCGGGTCGCCGTCTTCGAGGAGGTGTTCGACGTCGGCGGCGGTGCGGCGCGGGGCGGCGGCGGTTTCGAGTTTCTTGGCGGCGGCGCCGAGGGAGATTTTGAAGTGTGCTGGGGAGCGGGAGCGGGGGCGCGGGGAGGCGGGTTTGGAGGGCGCGGGGCCGCGGGCCGCGGCGAGGGATTTCTCGTGCGAGGCGCGCTCGCGCTGTTCCTGGGCGCGGTCGTGGGCGTCGTCGCGGTGTTCGCGCTCGCGGACTTTTTCGCGCTCGCGCATGTACTCGCCGCGGTCGCGGTAGTAGAGGTGGCGCCGGTTGGAGGCTTCCTGGTCGTCGTCGAAGTCGGCGAGTTGCTTGGCCTGGGCGTCGCGGGCGGCTTGCTGCTCGGATTCTTGGTTCTTGAGGCGGTCGCTCGTGCGTTCTAGTGAGGACACGCTTCGGCTCTCGTGCTTGAGCCACTTGGACAGCTGTCGTTGGTACTCGTTCTCGTTCTCGTCGTCCCGCTTCTTCTTGCGCCGGTTCTCGATCTCAGAGTCGCTAGCCGAGTCGTCGTCGTCTTCGCGGCTGAAGTAGGCGCCGTTCGCAAGTGATCCGCCGTTCGTGAAGTTGACACCGCCCTGGTAGTCTTTGGGGAACTGGGCGCCTCGTGGTCCGCTCGGAGCGCCCTGGACGCCGCGGTCTGCCTTGGGTCCTACGGGGACACCGTTGGCGCCGCCGGGGCCGGTGGGCGCAGAGACGGGCGGCGAGCGGCGGCCGCTGCGGCGACGCTCGGCCTCCTCCAGCTCCTCCTCGCGCCGCAGTCGCTCGCGGTCGCGCTGGTTCGAGCGGTCGCGGAACGCGGCAATCTCAGCCGCCACGATCTCGCGCATCTCAGCAGGGATGTCGGCGAGCTCGTCTTCCGCGTTGGTCAGATTGACAAAGGCCACCTCCACGTCGCCGTCCTGCGCGGGCATGTCCGCCATCATCATGTCGCCGCCGTAGTCCATCTGCGGCATGTTGGGCGGGTTGAACAGGCTGGCGAGCACGCCCGACAGCGTCTCCTTGGCGCTGTCGAGGCGGAACTGCACCGTCGCCTCGTCCTCGTCGCGCATCTTGCTCCACTCCTCAGCGTACTTGATCGAGGCGTCGTCCACCATGACCTGCAGCTGGCTTGTCTCGACCTCGCCCTCGGCCTTCTCCCCCGGCTTCTGTCGCTTCGTGGGCACCTTGACCTCCTTGAAGATCTCGGCGGCCGTCTCGAGGCTCTGCGCGTCGGCGAACTCGGCAAAGCCAAACGTCTGGGGTTTGTTGTTGGCGTCGGTCACGCGCGTCCAGCGCACCAGCTTGCCCGCCGACTCGAGGATGCGCTCCATGCCGTCGTCGCCGCCCACGCCGTCGGGGATATTGCCGACGAAGATGGTGCGCATGATCTCCTCGCGCGTCGGCGGGATCACCTGCTGCGGCCCGTCTCTGCGGTCGCCGTCGCGGTCCATGCCCAGCCCGCGGCGCGCAGGCACGGCGGTCTCCTTGCGCGCGCCGGCGGGGCTGTCGGCGGCCCCGCGGCCAGGCTGGGTGCCGAGGCGGATGACGGGCGCGTTGAAGTTGAAGTTGGGCATGTTGGCCGGCGGCTGCCAGTTCGACGGCAGCGGGCGCGGGCCGCCGAGCGACGGAGGGCCTGCGACGCCCGGTGGCGCGACGCCAGGAGCTGCGCCGGGCGGTCCTGCGCTGGTCAGCACACATACAGCACACACATAACAGCACGGCTCGCTACTCACCCATGCCCGGTGGCGCGGCGCCTGGAGGAGAGTTCGCATAGCGCGGAGGGCCGCTGAACCCGGGGGCACCTGCGCCGTTAGCATTGTTGCAGTACAGCGCAATTCACCGCGCAGTTCACGTACCTGGATAGTTGTACATGTCGTCGAAACACAGCGTCCGAGGTCGAGTGCAGTCGAGGTGGAATCGCTCGCACGTGGCCGTCTGAAGGCAGGCCGAGCTGCGGGTTTTCGAGCAGCTGCACGGGCCCGCGCGCTAGTAAATGTCGACGTGAACCGCAGCCGCACTGCCAGCGCCGCACTGCACCTCTGCCAATTGCCATCGCCAGGGAGCCACCCACAATCACCACATCGGGCTCCCACACAACCACCGCAATGGGCTCCCGCGCACTCACCACAACGGGCCCCCGCGCCCTCGCCGCGCTGCTGCGCCCGCGCACCCACACACGCATCCTCCTCGCGCCCACCCACCGCGCCCTATCCAACACCCCCAGCGCGCCCGCCGACGCCCGCACCCCCCCAACCCGCGCCCCCCAGCCCTCCAAAACAGCAACCCAGACCATCGACGACCTGTTCGCGCCAGAGCCCACCAGCACCAACACGCCCGCCGCCGCCACGCCCCCCCGCGTCTTCGGCTCGACCTTCAGCCCACCACCACGGACCCGCACGCGCCCGATCGGCCTGGCCTTCGACTCGATGGACATGCCGTCCTCCCTGCTGTCACCCTCTCTGGCCAACAAACCCGCCGCCTCGCTGGCCGCCGCGCAGCGCGCCGCGTTCGAGGCGTATCCGCGACTCGAGCCGGCGTACGGGCGCACCGTGGAGCTGGACGCCACGCGGGGCAGGGACATTGTAAGGGGTATTGGGATGCTGGGGAGTTTGATGGCGCGGAATAGGGTGAAGAGGGATGTTCAAAGTCAGAGGTTTCATGAGCGAGGTGGGTTGAAGAGGAAGAGGTTGGCGAGTGAGCGGTGGAGGGCTAGGTTCAGGAAGGGGTTTCAGGAGGTTACGGGGAGGGTGGTGGAGTTGACGAGGAAGGGGTGGTAGGTGGGGATTGAGATGGAGGATGGGAGGGATGGGAGATGGGAAAGTGAATCTTCGAGAGGAGACAGACGGATGGCCCTGTACGATTGGAGGGAGCGCTACAACATAGCCTTGTACAATCACACGTATCAACAAAACCCCCGTACAACTGCGCAGTAAACATGCACCTAGACATCGGGGATTCCTCACTACAAACCCCCCTCCCCGAACCTAGAACCATACATGCACTACACCCCCCCCCCCATTCACACCACCTAATCCTTCTTCCCCACCCCCCCTCCATACCCCCCTCCAACCCCATAACCCCCAACCCCATACCCATACCCCCCATTCCCCCCGCCATTAGCAACAGGCAGTCCATACCCCCCCCCTCCTCCGCCACGCATCCCACCCATCCCAAACCCCCCACCCCCGCCGCCAATCCTCTCCCTCGCAAACCCCCTAACCCTGCGCGGCAACTCGACGCCCCTGAACCACACCCCCGCAACCGCCGCGCCCGCCAGCGCACTCAATGCGCAGTACACCAGCGTGCTCACATACACATGCCCGCCGTACCCCTCCCAGCCCGCGGGGAGCTGGGTGGTCTTGTACCACCGCACACTGAATGACAGGGTCAGCGCGTCGCCGATCGCGAGCTTTGTATTGCGGGTGTGCGGGGCGACGCTGTACGCGGTCGCCGCCTCGACACCCCCGCCGACGCCGTGGAGGAGGAGATTGAGGGAGTGCCCGACGTGTAAATGGCTCAACTGCAGCGCGCCCGCCAACCCAACCACAAGGGGCGTATACGCCGTACTCCGACTCCCGAGCGCGCCCTCCTGGGCCTCTGCATCTTCAACCCCGAACGCCGCGAGCGCGGTACTCCCCAGCGGGCGGGACGGCACGCGACACGTCAGCGGCGCATCGGAGTGGATATAGAACTCCAGCAAGTGGTACAGCGCATCCGAGACAAAGGCAATGGTGCAGTTTATCTCGCGCTCGACGCCGAAGGCGAGTTCGAGGGGGCGGGCGGTCTCGGCGCAGGTGGGGAAGGGGATGTATTGGAGTTGGCCGTTGGGGTCGGTGATGTGCTCGCCGGTGTCGCTGGGAGGGGGGGTTAGCTGGGCTGGACTCTGCGGTGGGGAGGGGTGGTGAATGTAAATACATCGTGCGGTTTAGACAGGTGACGGGGATCAGCTCGCCGATGGAGTAGCCGCGGGCTTCGGGCGTTTTGGGCGGCGATTGACTGCTGGCGGCGGCTGTCCAGAAACACAGCGCCAGGAGGAGCCAGGACATCTTGGAGTGCATTGCGTACCAAGACCGCATTGTTGGAGAGACGATGTCAAGCCACAACGCTCTGTGCGCTAGGGCGGCTCGATCTGTCAACTTGACGTGTTGGAGTTATCGTGCCCGTGCACCGACTCCAACTTCGCACCACAACTCAACATGATTTCAAGACTCATCGATTCAATTAGACTACTGACGCTACGCTTTTGCTATCGTGTACTCATAACCATCACCTACAACTGGGACTTCTTCTTGAAGGCGTTGATGAGGCCGCTCGTGCTGGCGTCGTGAGAGTCCGACTCCTTGTCGTCGTCGAGCTCAGCCTGGATCTTCTTGGCCAGCGACTTGCCCAGCTCGACACCCCACTGGTCGAAGCTGTTGATGTTCCAGATGGCGCCCTCGGTGAAGGTGAGGTGCTCGTAGTAGACAATCAGCGCACCAAGAGCGGCAGGCGTGATCTTGTCGGCCAGGATGGATGTGGTGGGTCGGTTGCCGAGGAAGGTCTTGTGGGAGACGAGGTTGTCGGGAGCACCCTCGGCCTTGACCTGGTCAGGGGTCTTACCGACCATCAGCGCCTCAGCCTGGGCGAAGAAGTTGGAAGCCAGCATCCTAAAACGTCAGCGTTGATTGCGAGAATGGGACAAAACTCACTTCTGGTGCTTGTTGTTCTGCACGGGGTTGTGGCTCTGGGCCGCCAGGATGAAGTCGGTGGGAATGAGCTTGGTGCCCTGGTGGAGCAGCTGGTAGAACGAGTGCTGGGCGTTGGTCGCGGGCTCGCCGAACAGGATGGGGCCGGTGGTGTACTTGACGTAGTCGCCGCTGCGGGTGATGGCCTTGCCGTTCGACTCCATAGACAGCTGCTGGAGGTAGGCAGGGAACCTGTGGAGGTACTGGTCGAAGCTGCGCACGTTAGATGTGTTCGTGGGATAAACATAAAACTTACGGAGAGACCAGGTGGGTCTGAGCACCGAAGAAGTCAGAGTACCACACACTCAGCAGACCGCCGAGCACGGGGATGTTCTTCTCGAGAGGGGTCTCCTGGAAGTGCTTGTCCATGGCGTGGGCGCCCTCGAGGAACTTGTGGAAGTTGTCGTAGCCAATGTACAGCGCAACGCTCGTGCCAATGGCAGACCAGACGCTGTAGCGGCCACCGACCCAGTCGGAGAAACCGAACATGTTCTTCTTGTCGATGCCGAACTTAGTGACCTCCTCCTCGTTGGTGGAGAGAGCGACAAAGTGCTTCGCAATGTCCTCCTGCTTGGCCTGCTCCAAGAACCACGACTTGGCCGTGTTGGCGTTTGTGGTGGTCTCGGCTGTGGTGAAGGTCTTGGAGGCAATCAGGAAGAGGGTGGTCTCCCGGTTGGCCTCCCTCAGGGCCTCGGCGATGTGGGTGCCGTCAATGTTGGAGACGAAGTGGGTCGTGAGGCTGCGGTCGGCGTAGGGCTTGAGAGCCTCGGTGACCATGACGGGGCCGCTGGTGTTGTCAGCACCCAGTATAATAATCTTTCAGCGACTTACAGGTCAGAACCACCAATACCAATGTTGATGATGGTGTCAATCTTCTTGCCGGTGTATCCCTTCCACTCGCCGCTGCGGACCTGCTCGGAGAACTCCTTGATGTGCTCGAGGACCTCGTTGACGCCCTCGACAACGCTGGTGCCGGCGACCTCCATCTTCTGGTTGGAGGTGTTGCGGAGCGCTACGTGGTACACGGCGCGGTCCTCTGTGAAGTTGATCTTCTTACCGGCGAACATGTCATCGCGGAGCTGCTCGAGACCGGCCTCCTTGGCGAGCTCGACGAGGAGCTTTACCGTCTCCTCGGTGATGAAGTTCTTCGAAAAGTCGAAGAGGATCTCGGAACCCTCGGCATCGTTCTTGAAGGTGTGGCTGAACTTCTCAAAGCGCTGCAGGGCTTAGTAAAGCACCGTCTGTCGCACGCGTTGCATACCTGGGGGTCGTTCTTGAAGTACTCCTTCAGGACAATGTCCTTGCCGAGCTTCTGGTGGTGGTCCTGGAGGGCCGACCACGCGTTGAGGTCGGACGCTTGCGAAAAGCCGGGCATGGTGTGAACTGACGGATCAATACAGGCAATGTTTGGAGAGTTCACTGGCTTACAATCGGAGTATGGGTATCGAAAGGGAATGCAAAGTCAATTGAGCAGAGGAGAGTGTTGAGTAGAGGTGAGAAGTGGTTCGAGGACGTGTTGAGGCCGCTGCATCTTGGAGCTGTGGAAGGCGCGGCTGGCCGAGCCCCCACTATGCCCCGCTGTCCTCGCGTACGTCACAGCCATTACAGGTGGAACCGCGTGAACAGCAGACTTCTCCGGTTGGTCGGTGCGACATACAAATGCTGACTATTCATGCTCACTAATTGACGACGAGCTTCAGGCACATGCGGTCCAGACGTGAGAGGTCCAGACGTGAGAGTGGGATATCTTCTTGGATTGCCTATCTGGGCATTTCAAGCACGAATGCTGCCCCCATACGCCGTCGTTTAGAACCAAAATAGCCAAAAGCGCTGAGAGTTCCCACCAATCACACACTCATCTATGTATGCTCCAAAGCCCGACAGCAGCAACAATGCCAGGTGGGAGGTTGCAGGCGACGGCCGATTGCCGGAGCCACCGGCTATTGGCCGAGCTCAGTCGCCGTGCTAGGCCAGGGTACCCTATTTCCTGTCCGCAACACCCTCGAAAGACGGGTCTTTTACCGAGCCACCAGCATCTCCGAGGCCAGCAACCGGCCGGTTGTAGGACCAGCCTGCAAACTGTTCCTGCATGGTTTGCGACAGCATGGGTCCGTCGACGTAAGAATCTGTCGGTGCTTCCGAGGTGAACTCGCGGTCAAAGTTGGCCGTGTCTTTGGCGTCGACCTGAATATATTAGCTCAGCACGTCGGAGTTTGGGATACACATACCACAGCGGGCTTGAAGCTCGGCTCGTACTTTCTCTCCAGCAGCTTGCGCCAGTCAATGCTGTGGAAGAAGTAGTGGGCCTTGATCTCGGCCGCACCCTTGGCTCCCAGCCGCTTCTCGGCGTTGCGATCAAGGAGACGGGTCAGGAGATCGCGGGCAGCAGGAGGGACAATCTCAGGCCCGGGGAAGTGCAGCGGCTCGGTGAGAATCTTGCGGTACATGTCGTTTGTGTTCTCGTCGTAGAAGGGTGGGAGGCCTGTCAACATCTCGTAGAGCAGAACGCCGAGTGTCCACCAATCGACCGACTTTGTGTAGCCGCCGCCGGTCAGCAGTTCAGGAGCGAGGTATTCGGGTGTTCCGCAGAATGCTGGTGGGGTTAGTGGTGTTGGATGAATATATTACGGCACTCACTGTTGGTGCGGTCCTCGTCCTTCATGTCCAGCTTGCACAGACCGAAATCGCACAGGGCGATGTGGCCGGTGTAGTCGAGCAGAATGTTCTCGGGCTTCAAATCACGGTAGATGACGTTGAAGCCGTGCAAGCACTCCAGCGCGCAGAGGAGCTCTGCGGCGTAGAATCGCGCGCGGTTAATGTCGAATCTTTGCTCCTTCTGCAGGTGGTGGAACAGCTCGCCGCCGTTGACAAAGGCCAGGACGAGATAGAGCTTTTCTGGCGACTGGAAGGAAAACTTCAGCGGCACAATGAACGGGTTGTTGATCTGGGCCAGCACGGAGCGCTCGGCGAGGGTGTGTGCGACTTCAGATCGCGAGATGATGTGGGCTTTGCGGATGGTCTTGAGGGCGTAGATACGGTGGGTGTCCTTCTTCCTGCGGGGTGTGAGCGGGGCTTCAAATTAGAGGGTTTGTACATACTGCACCTGCATGACCTTGCCAAAGCTGCCCTTGCCGACGACCTTGAGCAGCTCAAAGTCGTCGATGGTGAGGCGGTCCTGGCGGTTCTCGACAAAGTTGACGCCGACGCGCATCTGGCCGCTGCCGAACTGGACATCGATCCAGTCGGCGCCGGCCTGGCCGGCGGCTGTGGTCTCGCCCTTCTTGTCCTTGCCATCGCGCTGCTCCTCAAAGCGCGGCTTGATCTTCAGGGTGCCGATGAAAATGTCCTCGTTGCGGCCAGCGTTGGGAGGAGCGGTGGGGTTGCGAATGTAGAGCGAGACGGTGAGGTCGGTCATGCGCGACACATCGAACTTGTACTGTGTGTTGCCGCCGGCCCACAGCGGGTTCTCTGGGGTGCCGGACACGGCGTTGATGAAGACCTGCTGCTTGTCGAAGTCGACGAGGGCGTAGGGCAGGTGCTTGGACGAGTAGCGGCCGTGGATGGTGGGCGCAGCGTTGATGCTGCCGGCGGCCGACTGCGGGCGGCCGGTGTACGAGCCAGCGACGGGGTTGCGCGACGCGCCTGGGCGCACCGAGCCGGCGACGGAGAAGCCGCCGCCGGTGGACAGCGAGCCCTGGTGGTGCGAGCCGCCGCTGAAGGCCTGCTCAGCGCCGGGCGGCAGCGAAAAGGCCTTGCCCTCGTGCAGGGTGACGATCAAGATGCCGGGGCGCAGGGGCGCCGAGGGGGCGACGGCGGCGGCGTCTGAGGCGGCTGCGGACGTTAGCAGAGGCGGGGGCGGCGCGGGCAGCACGCACCGATGCCGTTGGGGTCGCCGAAGGCGGCATTGCTGCTGGCGGCGCTGTTCGAGGCCTTGGGCGTCTGCTGGTCGACGATGGTCGACGTCGACGACGACCGGCTGAAGGTGTTGGCCAGCGGCGCCAGGTGCGTCTCCTTGAGCTCTGCGCGGGTCAGCGGTCAGCGGGCGGCAGCGGCGGTGGCGGGCGACGCACTCTTGGTGAGCTTCCACGACATGGCGGCGCGGTGCGGGCGGGTGTGTGTGGTGACGGGGCGCGACGGGCGGGGCGGGGGCGGCCACGGAGTCGGTGAGCCTGGAGCGGTGGCAGCGGTGGACGCGGTGGGCGCGGAGGCAGCGAGGCAGAGGCAGAGGCAGAGGCAGCGGCCGGGGGTCAGGGGCTGCGCGAGGTGGCGATGCGGTCGAGCGGTCGAGTGCCCAAGGAGGCCGTCGGTGTGCTCTGGGGGCACGGCCTGTTTGAGCTCACGTCGGGTGTTGCGCTACCTGTACGCAGCAATCTGGCGCGGATCGCGGCCTCGCGCACTCGCGCCGCCGCCCTGAGCCCTGCGCCCCTCGCCTCGCCTGAGCTGCTGCAGCCCACGGCCACGGCCTGCTGCGCGTCGCTGAGCCCGCAACACTGTGCGTGCCAGCCGCTGCCTCGGCTGCCCTGCCCGCTTGCGAACCACAGTTCCGACTCGCGACTCGCACTTAACCATCTGGTGCACGCCTCCCGCGCTGCACCCCGTCCACGCCCACCCACCGCGCCCGCGTCCACGCCGTCTCCTGCGCGCCACTCTGGCCGTTGGGCGCCGATTGCCTCCCGACCGCACAGCCACGGCGTTGCACCCCGACTGCACCGACTGCACAGCCACGTCGTTGCGCCGCTGCACCCCCGAGCGCCGACTGCCGACCGCCCTGCCGACCGCCGCCCGCCTTCACCAGCGAGCATGGGCGTCATCAAGAAGAAGACGGGCACGCGGGGCACCGAGGGCGGCATCAAGTATGTCTGCGACGTGTGCTCGGCCGACATCACCTCCACCGTGCGCATCCGCTGCGCCAACGACGACGTCTGCCACGAGTACGACCTGTGCGTGCCGTGCTTCTCGGACGGCCGCCATTCGCGCGACCACGACCCGGCCACGCACTCGTTCAAGGTCGTCGAGCAGCATTCGATTCCCATCTACACCGAGGACTGGGGCGCCGACGAGGAGCTGGCCCTGCTGGAGGGCGCCGAGACGTATGGCCTGGGCTCGTGGGCCGACATCGCCGACCACATTGGCGGCTTCCGCGAGCGCGACGAGGTGCGCGACCACTACATCGACACGTACGTCGCGAGCTCGCGCTTCCCGCTGCCCGAGCACGCGAGCAAGGACGACACCACCCTCAGCGACCGCATCCCGCGCTCCGAGTTCCAGGCGCGTAAGAAGCGCCGCATAGAGGAGAAGAAGGAGGAGGTCAAGAATGCCGCGCCCGCCACCCCCAAGCAGAAGCCGACCGCCAGTGTCCCCTCGTGCCACGAGGTCCAGGGCTACATGCCCGGCCGTCTGGAGTTCGAGACCGAGTATTTCAACGAGGCCGAAGAGGCCGTCCAGCACATGTCCTTTGAGCCCGGCGACGGCCTCAACCCCCGGACCGGCGAGATGGAGCCGGAGATGGAGCTGAAGATGACCATCATGGACATCTACAACTCGCGCCTGGACGCTCGTGTGGAACGGAAGAAGATCATCTTCGAGCACAGGCTGCTGGAGTACCGGAAGAACCAGGCCGCCGACAAGAAGCGCACCAAGGAGGAGAAGGATCTGCTGAACAAGGCGAAACCCTTCGCCCGCATGATGCAGCACGACGACTTTGACACCTTCTGCAAGGATCTGGAGTACGAGCATAACCTGCGCCAGGCCATTTCCCAGCTGCAGGAGTGGAGGAACATGCAGATCACGAACCTCAAGGCGGGCGAGAAGTACGAGTCGGAGAAGCAGACACGGCAGTCGCGAGGACCCCCCGTGGGACAGTTCGACCGCCTGGCCTCCAGCAGGATTGGCAAGCCGACGCCGCCATTCGAGCAGCCGTCTGCTGCAACCGCTCTGATAGCGTCAGAGCTGCCGCTCCACATTAAGCAGCGGAGCGGCCTCACGACTCCACCCCCCGACAAGACGGCAAACGGCACCAACGGCGTCCTGACACCACAGCACACCAAGACAAAGTTCCAGGTCAAGTCGCTACCGGGTACCGTACCACTCAAGTTCGGCAAGGAGTCGGCCGCCGACCTGCAGCTGCTGACACCCGAGGAACGCGAACTGTGCAGCGTACTGCGCATCATGCCCAAGCCGTACAACGCGCTCAAGGAGAAGATGGCGCGCGCAGCACTGAGCAACAACGGCGTCCTCAACAAGAAGACGGCCAAGGAGCTGCTGGGGATTGACACGAAGAAGTCGTCGCAGCTGTACGAGTATTTTGTGCACAGCGGGTGGGTCTCACGGGTCTAGTTGTAGTAATGCATGGGATGGGTCTGATATGGAACGGCGTCACAAGAACTGTAAAATACCCTGAACGGCGTTGGGGTTCGCACGTATTGGCTGCTTAGGCGGCTTGTTGACATTTAAGTACGAGTATTTTTTGTTTGCCTGCGCTGTGTTGTCGCGTGCCAAGCTGTCATGACGTTCATGGGTGGTTGCTGCGGCAGCTTCGGCAGCTTCGCTTTCTCCAAACAATTCTTTGGTAGCGAGATCTCTAGCGAGATCTCAAGCTCGTGGAGAAGCCCGTCTCCGCATCATCACCACCCGCCCTGGACATGCGCCTTTAGCCCTGCGCTCGGTCCGGGCAGCGTCGACGCCCTGCGAGTTTCATTTGTCCTGCAGCATCCGCTGTTCTCTTCACCGACTCCCTTTTGCAACCCGGCCGCAGGCAGCCTCCGTTTGCAACACACCACCGACATGCCTCTCTTCGATTCGTATCATGCGCGCTCCAACTCGGGCGCGAGCTACCACGAGACCTCGCCGCGCTTCACATTTACGGCTGAGACATCCGGGCGCCAGGTGCTGAACGCAGAGCACCACGGGACCCGCAAGCGACGCAACGGCGACCACAGCATCTCCTCCATACGCGGCTTCACTGCGCAGCCATGGACCAGCACCTCGTCGGCCTCGCACTTTGACAGCCCGGCCCCGCTCGCACACGACCGCTACACGCTGGCCGGGGGCAGCATCGAGGGCGCAAACAGCTTCACGCGCCAGACCGGCAACTACGACGACTACTTCAACCTCCAATCGCAGCGCGGCATGTGGTCGTCACCGACCAGTCCAACCATGCAGCCAGTCGACGCCGCAGCAGCACCGAACGCGCCCAGCTCGTGGGTCGTCGACTCGCTCCTGAACATCGTCGGCGGCGTGGCCGGCCGGCTGTTCCAGTTCTGCGCCGTGCCGTTCCGCGGCTTCCAGGCCGGCGGCGGCCAGAGCTACGACGCCGACGCCCAGATCAAGATTGCCTCGCAGCTCGGACTCCACGACGAGCCCGAGCCCAGCTCGCCCGCCGCGCCCGTCCAGCAGATCCGCTTCGACCCGCGCGCCAGCTTCGACTACGGCGTGCGCTCCATCGACTCGCTCGACGACCGCCCGCGCCCCAAGCGCCTGCGCACAGAAGACGCCTGGGTCATGGTCGGCCCCGACGACGCCGAGCCCGCGCCCCCCCGCCTGTCTGAACGCAGCACGCCCGCCCGCACGCCGGTGCTCGCACCCACATATACACCCGTGCTCGCACCCGCCTTCACCCCCGTGCTCTCACCACCCTACACGCCCCGCACAACCCCCACCCCCTCCCAAATCCCCCGCCCACACTCCCGCACGCCCTCACACCGCCCCTCCCTAATCCCCGTCTCCCGCCGCTCAACCACCCGCACGCCCCTCCACCACACCTCGCTCCCCGGCCCCAAATCCGCACACGCCCGCTCCTCCAGCCGTCTGAGCTTCGGCTCCACACCCGGTGCTGCGCCCGACGACCGCCGCGTCTCCCCGCTCCCCGCGGACAGCCAGCGGCTGGTCACCAAGCTGCGGCGCGAGGAACTCGAGGACGATGCGAGGATGCGGAGGATGAGTAGTCAGATGAGTGCGATGCTGAGGGAGGCGAGGGAGGCGCTGGGGAGTCGGGTGGAGATTGAGGAGTGTGAGGAGATGATTTAGGGGGGATGGCGTGGTGAGGGGTGGTGTGGATGGCGCAGTGTGGGGGATGATATCGCGCGTTGTGAGTCTTGTGACGGCGTGGAGTGCGTGGCTCTCCCGCGCGTGGTTGGGGGACTGCGAGGCCACTGGCGATTTTTTCTTGTATACATGTTTTCATAAGCGTGTTTTGGGCGTTGGGTCTGGGCGTTGGCATCTAGGCGTTGGCGGCGGGCGTTGCTTTGGCAGGCGTTGGTGGCAGGCATAGCCAAGTGCGTGGTCAAGGGCGTCGTCAAGGGCGTGAACGAGGGCGTATCGTATATATCCAACTTACTCCATCAACAATCTCGGGCCTACCTGCCGCGTGTTGTCTCTACATCACCCAGGCCGAACCAAGCGTTCACAACACCTTCACTGCGACCGCGGCGAATCGCTGGACAGCGCGATGGTGCGATGCTGCGACGGGGCTTGCATACAATACCGGTGCTCGCACACAAACCACCAACACCCTCCATTTCCCCCGAGCCTCGACATCACCACCACGTTTCCAAAACGGTGTTTCAACCGCTCCCATCTCCCCCGCCCTCCCGCCACCCCCCTGCCCGCTTCATCGCTCAGGCCTTCAGGTTCGGATTCGTCACCCGGCGAATGCAAGGTCTCAAGTGAATGCAAGATCGCATGGCAGGTTACACACCACACCACATCGCCGCCGCTGCTGGCCAACGACGGGACTTTGAAACCCTCAACTTTCTCTACAACTGAGCGGTCGTCGTTTGGCATGCACCACGTCATATCTGCGAGAATAGAAAGGGCGGCAAGGGGGCAGGAACGAAAGTCTGAGACAGCGCTGTACGCCAGTAGGTCCAGCAGAGAGGTCTACTACAATCTCGGCGGGCTAGATGCTCGACAGACCGTCCAGCGAGGGCGGGACGGCATGTGCTGCTGGGACCGTCGTTCGGTTTCTGGGGAACGTGGGATGGGTAGCACTGTTCCTCCTTTTTTCGATGTGCGGCGTGGACGGGTGGAATACGATGCAGCTGAGAGGTGCTGGGATGGCCGTCAAAGGAGGTGTGAGCAACACTCGTCGTCCACCTGTTCGTCCACCGTGGTTGAGATCGGATGTCAATTAGGTTGTCGACGTACATACGCCACTGCATCACGGTGCAGGATAAACGGCGGACTGGGGACACAACCTGAGCGTATATGCTACATGGCAGTAAAGTACGGAACAGACTTAAACCCCTATAGAATGTCTTTGTACCTGTGATATCGTGCATGTAACACTGAACTTCATCTTGTCTTTGAGGGTTATAATGGCTACAAGTTCTGCGGTAATGTTGGGCAGCTTGGAGGGCACTTGTCCGCTGTTTTTTCTGAATGTGAGAGGCCGCTGTAACTGTGTTGGACGCCGTCCATACATCGTCGATGCCAGGGGACACATGGTACGGGGAGTCCTCGATTCAGGACTCGCCCTCGATGCGAAGCGGCCGTTGGTAAACGCCTAACATTTACTCTCACGTTGCAGAAGAGACGGCGGACTGGGGATGTGAGTTAGGTGCACCACACGACAGTAAAGTAGGGAAATTACTAGGGAACTCTATGGAATGCTTTTTTTACCTACAATATAGGTAGTTTCTAATTGAACTCTAGCTCTAGGTATTACAATAGCTACAAGCTATGTACTCCGTAAAGCTGGTACCTAGCTTGTGGTCTCATGCACCGTCTTTTCTCAAACTTGAGAGACTTGATACCCACCACCTCTCAACAACGCAGCTTACAACAACACGTGGTTCATGCGCCACAGCGTGTTTTACCCAAAAACGATGCCGATCTCGCACTGGAGTGCGAGCGAATCCAACGGCATACATGTGGGGCATTGCGTGCTCGCTTGCACGCAGCACGACCTCCGTCCCCAGCACCAGTTCCGAGATTGCTGAGATAGTGACCTGGACACAAGGGCTTTGTGAATCAAGACGCGAGATCAGGATCGTGGTGGCCGTTCCTAGATAGAGAAGCGTGGCACGCACTCAAGGCCCAAGATGGTGGTATGGGTATCACACACATTCGAACACGCTGCGGAAAGCTCGCACTGCTTATCGCTGCCCAGTGCTTGAACCCGGCACCTAGGGCCCGGCACTTGTTTCTCGCCCCGTGGTGGAGTCGGGGGTTTGTTGTGATGCGGCTCTTATGCAGGAGTGCCAGGACGCGGTGGATATGCCTCGCCGCTTGCGCTCGAACGGCGAATGATCGTCTCGACATTGCTACGGTTGGGCGCCGGCGTTAAAGACTCTGCTATATCGCATTCGCGGTGGATGTTGACGTGCTTTGGCAGTCGGTGTATAAGACGGCATGTGGGCATGTAGTCGCCGGTATGCTCTGGCCTATCGTTGCTTGAAAAGAGACTTGCACTGCTGTCGCAATGGCATTTGAACGCGTCAAGACTGCGTACCGGACGGTCCTGTTCCAGATCGTCATCGTCGGCCTCGTTGCGTTCTGCGAGCCGGGGATCTGGACTGCGCTGAACAACCTCGGGGCTGGGGGGAATGCATCGGTAAGGCGTTCGATATGAGTCGTATGTTTGGATACTGACGCCGGAGTAGCCGTTTTTGAATAACGCGGCGAATGCGCTCACGTACGGGCTTATGTCTGTGGGCTGCTTTGTCGCGGGAGGTGTCTCGAACAAAATTTCAGCAAAATGGACACTCGTTGTCGGTGCCGCGTTTTACACTCCATACGCTGCAGGACTATACTGCAACAACAGGTACGGTAACGAGTGGTTCATGCTGCTCGGTGCCGCGCTGTGTGGCATCGGGGCGTCGCTGCTGTGGGCGAGTGAGGCCGCTATTGCTGTTGGATACCCCGAGAACGAGAAGAGAGGCCGGTATGTCGGCATCTGGATGGGGATTCGACAGATGGGGCCGCTGGTCGGCGGTGCTATATCGCTGGCGCTGAACGTCAAGACGAAGGAGAAGGGCAAGGTGACTTACACCACGTATCTGGGTCTGGTTGCTATATCCTCTCTGGGAGCACCGCTCGCGCTTCTGCTCTCGCAGCCACAGAAGGTCAATCGTAGCGATGGCACCAAGATCCCGTACATGAAGAAGACCGACTTCAAGACCGAGGCGCGCGCCATCTTTCGGCAGCTGCGGAATCCGTATATGCTGCTGCTCATCCCGGTCTTCCTGGCGGGTCAGTTCGGCGTGACGTACCAGGGGAACTACCTTACCAGTAAGCACCACGCCCGATCGACTCCAATGTAGCCCACTGACATATACACAGCCTACTTCACCGTCCGCTCCCGCGCGCTCGCCTCCTTCCTCACCGCCATCGTCGGCGCCCTCGCCAACATCCTAACCGGCATCACCCTCGACCTCCCGCGGTTCTCGCGCCCCGCCAAGTCCAAAGCCGTCTACATCTTTGTGATAACCACCGTCACCACATCCTGGATCTGGAACGCGATCGTGCAAACGAAACTAACCCGCATGACCACCGCGCCGTCGTTCGACCTCGGCGACGGCGGCTTCTTCAACTCCGCCTTCACGGTGTACATGTGCTTCCGCTTCTTCTACGAAGTGCTGCAGACGTACGTGTACTGGCTGATGGCGGATATCAAGGGCGCGCAGGGCGACGGCGATGTGGCGCGCACGACGGGGATTCTGCGCAGCTGGGAGAGTATTGGCAGCACGATTGCGTATGCGATTGGCGCGGTGCATGTGTCGAATCAGACACAGATGATTATTGGGTTCGCGCTGTGGTTTTTAACGGTACCTTTTACCCTTATGGCGGTGTTTGGGGATTGGAATGGGGGGCCGAAGGGGGTGGAGGAGGAGAGTGATCTGGAGGTGCAGAGTGTGGATGTTGGGGAGAGGAAGGGTTTGAGTGAGATGGGTAGTTGAAATCGCGTTTTGGTAAATAACTAGGACGTTCCGGTAGACTAGTAGCTTAGGCTTGGAAATATGCAAGTCCATACTGACATTTGGAGAATTCTGGACTTTGGTGGGTATAAGACTGGATGTCTGGTGCCTGATTTGGAAGAAGCCGGGAATGAGCTCCACAAGATCCAAGTGGACTCTCTACTGTTTTCCAACTTCTAGATAAGGGTTGTATGTATACCTGGGCATGAGTTCTGCCAGGTGCACAACTCAACGTCTTTCAATCTGCGAGTGGCGTGAAGGCTAAAACACGCCCGACCGTCCTGGCTGCATTCGCCCTGCTGCCGGTTGCACAGGGAGGAATTGAAAAGCGTAGGCATACCGCACAGTACTGCAATTATGTACAGAACGTCCTTGGTTTACTTTAACCGGTGTGATGCGACATGAGGGTGATCAATGATGCTGCTCTCGAGCCTTCCACAATGTGTTGCTTCACTGTCGTTCAGAACAATCGGGTCACATAATCAGTCTGGACTAATGAACACCGCCCGCTGACGGATATGTGGAGCGCTAAAGCTCACGTGACAACGCGACCCCACAAGGTGATAAGCCCTGCCATCCACAACACTCTTGCGCGTATGTACCTCTTTGACAACCTCGTGTGAACTCCAACACCACAGCCGTCGTCTGCCGAGTCCGTTGCCTGGGAACTCCACTGCCCCTTCACCTCTGCACGCTTCCCTGTCTGCTTCAGTCCATGCCTCCTGCTTGTAGTGGGTTCGGTATCCGGTTCCGGCGCAACTGCCCTGACTCCGCGTGCCGGCTTGCTGCTGGCGGTTGGGTTGGTTCTTTGGCTTGCGGTTGGCTGTAGGCTGGTTGGGTTTTTGAGGACGCGGGCGACGTGCTGCACGGGACGAGTCAAGGCTGCTCGCGACAAGCCTGGGATGGTAGGGTCCGTTGTAGCGACTTGCTACGGTGGGGATCCGCTTTGTAAGTATACATTGTTGTATGACGACTCATCGTAACGATGTTCTCATCAGATAGATAGTTTCAAGCAGGCGTGCTATTGTTTCTTTAAATCTGCTATATAGCTGCACAATGTGGCAGACCTTTCACATACGACCATAGGACGTTGAAAACAAGTTCTCCTGTCCGACCCGCCGTCTGTCGTGGTACTGTTTTAAGAACTCCATGACACGCCTTCCCGTTTTTGGTGACCATGCCTCTAACCAGCTAAACACTATCTGAACTATTTTACTTCCTCTCTTTCTACTATATAATTACTAACCTATAAATAACATTATAACGTACCTCACGGGCGAGCGAGCTAACGGGCGAGCGAGCCACTTTTGCTAAGCCCCTACCAAAGTACCCTTTTTATACCAATGCCTCAACAACAACCTATTATTAACGCGTTAAAGGAGGCTTAGGTATAGCTTGCACTTTAAGCTCTTAAACAAGACGCGAATCTCTTATAGCAACGCGCTGCAGCTATCTATAAGGTGCCTTAAAGCACACTAAGCTATTAACACACTAGACAACCTTTATAAGGTGATACTATGCCTAACTTATAAGGGTTAGATAATAATAAAGAGCAGGTAATTATTAAGCATATACTTAAGCTAGATAGGCAAGGATTTAGCCCCTAGCTAGCAGATATAGCTGCTATAGCTAATTCTCTGCGCGCTAAGCGCAATCTAGGCCCTATTAGTATAAACTAGCCTAGTATATTTATTAAGCATTAGCTAGAGCTTAAAGTAAAGTTTAATTGCAGGTAACGTGAGTGCATAGCGAGTGACGCAGTCAAGCGAGTGACGCACCCCAACAAACCATTGGGCCTTCCTACCTTCAAACCTCAATGGACCAACCACCTGACCTGGAATCGCTCCTAAAAGAAGACAGAATCAAGCTTGCACTTCAAGCAATTAAGAAACCTCAAGAGCTAAGCGTGCGACGCGCTGCTACAGTGTACAGGGTCTCTGAGGCAACCCTCCGCCGCCGACGCGCTGGGACGCAGTCAACACGCGATACCCACCCTAAATCAGCGAATCTTCAGAGGACAGAGCAGAGAACACTTGTGCAGTATATTAGGAAGCTGGATTCCCAAGGATTTGCCCCAACGCTCTATTGTGTTGAAGATATGGCTAATCAACTGCGCGCTGCACGCGGCGCAAAGCCTGTTGGCCCACGATGGGCTTCAAACTTCGTCAAACGCGAACCTGGACTAAAATCGCATATGACTCGACAGAGAGATCGCCAGAGAGTCTTGTGCAGCGATCCAGGGGTCATTGGGCCCTGGTTTGACCTGGTTCAGAATGTTAAGGCCAAGTACAGCATCCTGGATGAAGATACCTACAACTTTGATGAGACTGGCTTTACTATGGGCATTGGAAACTGCGTCAAAGTAGTCACTGCATCAGAGAGACGTACTGAGCCCATTGGGTTGCAACAGGGAGACCGTGAGTGGGTAACTTTCATTGCTGCGATCAACGCGATAGGCTGGGCAATCGCGCCCTACCTTATCTTCAAAGCAAAGAACCATGACGCGTCCTGGTACCCTGATTTAAGGCCCCAATGGCGCATTGGGGTCAGCGACAACGGCTGGACTACAAACGATATTGGTGTAGCCTGGTTAAGGCACTTCATTGAGCAGATTAAGGGCCGGAGGGTGGGTAGCCATGTGCTGCTGATAATTGACGGCCACGAAAGCCACAAGTCGCTTGCATTCCAGGATCTTTGCAAGGAGAACAAGATAATTACTCTGTGTATGCCTCCACACTCGTCGCACATCCTGCAGCCGCTTGATGTGGGCTGTTTTGCCCCCTTAAAGCGGGAGTATAGTAAAGAGATCAGAGTCTTGGCAACAGACCACATTGGCCGAATTGACAAGAAGGCCTTCATTGCAACGTTTGCAAAGGTTTTTGAGAAGGCGTTCTCAAAGGCAAACATCACATCAAGCTTTAAGGCAACTGGCTTAGTGCCTAATGACCCATTGGTGGTGCTATCAAAGCTTGATGTCAAGCTTCGGGCGCCAACACCACCTCTACCAGGGGGGGCCCAATGGAACCCCAAGACACCCACCAACGCCAACGAGATAGAGTCTCAATCAACGCTGCTTCGCGATCGTATTCAAAAGCACCAAGGATCATCACCAACTCCAATGGTGGAGATTGTTAATCAGCTGCAGAGAGGCACTGCAATGCTACTACATGGGCAGACGTTATTGGCAGCCCGAGTGCTGCAGCTTGAAGCATCGAACAAGGCTGCTTCTGAGCGCAAATCACGTAAAAGAAAGCGGATTCAGAAGGGTGGAGACCTCTCAAAGGAACAGGCAGAGGATTTGATAGCCCAACGCGACGTTGAGGCGCAGGTAGAGGGGGAAACGCGTGAGGGTAGGGCCCGAACAGGTGCAGGCAAGCAGGGCAAAAGGCACTGCAAGCGCTGCGGTGAGACAGGGCACAACTTGCGCACGTGTAAAAAAGATGTAGTAGACGTTAGCGATTAAGGATATATCTTGTTAGCTACATTATAATGTTGTGGTGTTGAGTAATTGCACGTAGAAGGCCCAATGGTTTGTTGGGGTGCGTCACTCGCTTGACTGCGTCACTCGCTATGCACTCACGTTATAACTATAAGTAAGCCCTCTGCAAGAATTTAGGGGTTATATAGGGCTAGTTTAGCCTAGTAGCTAATATTAAAGCTAAGTATAGCATCTAGAATAATAATACCTATAACTTTAATAAGATAGGCTTTATAATAGGCTAGATCTCCTAAGGAGCAGTTATTATAGCTTTAGAGAGATAAGGAAGGCTAAAGGCAGTCTAGCAAGGTAACTAGGAGTAGATAACAGTTATATAGGGCATTAATACAAAAGGATAGGCTATTCTACTCTTTATTATCTTTAAAGCGCGCTACTACCTTTCTAGCTAGTATAAGGAGGAAGATCTACCCTAGGACTAGGTTATTAGAGTCTCTAGTAACAGCTAGACTACTAATAAGCTTAGTCTTAAGTAGTTAAAGCACTTTAATAGGTATATAAAGGAGCATACTGTTAGTACCTACTAACTACTAGTTATTAACAGCTATAAGAGCTATAACTTGCTCTAATTCTAGCAATACTATAAGGATAACAAGATTATTACCCTATATATGCCTCCTTACTTATTACACCTCCTATAGCTACTTAATATAGGCTGTTTTGCCCCTTTAAAGACAGCATATAGGCGCTAAGCTAAAATACTTATACGCAACTAAATTACCTACCTTATAAAGGCTAAGTTCCTGCTATGCTTTAAAGCAGCCTATAATGCAGTATTTACTCCTAGTAACATCCAAGGAGAGTTTAGAGGTGCTAGATTAGTCCCCTTTAACCTAGAACAGGTTATATCAGCCCTTAATATAAAGCTTTAGACTCTAACACTACTACTTCCTACTAATAACGTGCCCTAGCAGTTATAAACCCCTAGTAATACTTTAGAGTTTAGATTGCAATTAATACTTATAAAGTTAAGGATTTAGAGGCATATAGATAGCTCTCCTATATCTATAGTAAAGGCGTTTAAGAAGGTATTAAAGGGGGCTATAATTATTGCGCATAAGCTAGTTTTAGCTTAATAGGAAATTAGGGAGCTTTAAGTAGCTAATAAGGCTACTATATAATAAAAATTATATAAAAGAAAGTAGGTTTAGAAGAAAGAGATACTAATAGTTAAAGATAGGTAGTAACTAGCAGCTCTAAAGGAGTTTAGGGCACATAGTAATAGAAAGAGGGTAAAGAAGTAAGTGCGCACTTAAGAGAGTAAGCCTGCCTAAAGGCGCTATAGAAGGTGTAATTAGACTAGTTATAATGCGTAAATATACAAGATTAATATAGAAGAGGTCTCTAAATAATATTATATGCTATAGTCTACTATAGAGTGCTAAAGTATAGTATTATAGGCTATAATAGGTTAGGTTTTAGTAAGAGCTTAGCAAAAGTAGCTTGCTTGCCTATTAGCTCGCTTGCCTATAAGGTATGTTAATAGGTATAACACTATTCCTTATAAATTATAGAAGATATCTAAATCTCTTTATATAAAGTCTTAATAGTAATATCTAAATAGAATTAGCAATATCCTGTTATAAACCTTAGAAGGAGCATAGTAGAAGATAAGAGATAGAAGGATTAATAATACTTAGGGACAATCTAAAGGTCTTTAAGAAGGTTAGCATTTAAGGACTAATAATAATATAACCCCTCCTATTCTAAAGTCTTAGCAGAACGCTACTATAGAATAAGTTATATGCTATTCTAAGGAATCCTATAATATTCTAAGGTATCCTAATATTAGTATATTATAGAATATTAGAATAACTATAGAATATCTTTAAGTATATAGCAAGTAGGAATATAACACTTATAGTTTATATTTAACCTAAGTATTAATCTTTAATATTACTTCTTAACCTAACCTTTAAGCTAGATAGTCTACTCTATACTACTTATTATTACCCTTTGCCTTTAAGATAGATAGATTATATCTATACTCCTTAGTATAAGACCTCTTTAGTTTCTCTAATAGTATTTATCTCTAAGAACTAATTAATTAGTGCTTATAAGCTTTGCTTAAAGTATAACCTTAATATATCCTTAGTATAGAGACTAAAGAAAGTATATTAGAAATTGCTTAAAAATATTGCTAGAGCTTAGTTATAAGTAATCTCTTATATTAATAAGAAAAGAAAAATAGTACCTCTACTAAAGAAGGGGCATAAAGTATATCTCCTTATAAAGAATCTATATATAAGAAGACTAATAAAGAAACTAGATAAAGTTAAAGTTAAACTATTTTTTATTTTAGAGAAAATTAGCCTAGTTAACTATTAACTTAAGCTACTAAAAGATATAAAAATATACCCTATATTCTATATCTCGATATTAGAACTAGCTAATGCTAGCATACTAATCTAGAAAGACTTCTATTACTAGAATAATAGTAATAATAAATAGGAAGTTAAGAAAATAATAAAATATTAAGGAACTAGACTAGATAAAGAATACCTAGTTAAGTAGTTAGGATACCTAGACTTAGAAAATATATAGGAACTAGCAATAAACCTTACTACCTACTACTAACTAGTATAGAAGTACTATAGTTAGCTATAGACTCCTCTATAAGGCCTATAGCGCCCTAGGTAATTAGCAAAGTATATATACTAATAGATGCTATAGAATAATTAGCCTCCTCTACTAAATTAAGCTCTCCTAACTTAATTATTTTATTTACTAGGCCTAATACTTTATACTATATATAATCTTTAGCCTATTTTATAATCTTCTTATTTTATAATAACTATATAATAATAGTTGCTAGTAAAGTCTTATTATCTTCTACTTTCTTATAATACTCCTTATAAGTATAGTCTAATAACTCCTAGAATATATTAACACATAGCTTGCTAGCTTTAGTGCACTTAGCATATTTTATTCTTTTTAGAGTATTAGGCATAATATAGTACTTATAGCCTTTAAAGAAACAAAAGTTATAAGGAACTTTAGATAGCATATTAGCTTAATAAATTTTAAGACTAAGATAAAGGTTATAGATATATAAGAACATCTTAACTTACCTATTACTAGATATAAGGATACTTAGCTATATATAATCCTATTCTTAACTTATATAGTTTAAGAATAAACTAGATAGAAAGGGGAGGTAGTATTATAATCCTGCAAAGGAGTATAGCATAGTATAATAAGTAACTAACTAGGTTCTATCTAGGTTATAGGGGCATAGCAAGTAAGACTTATAATTATAGTTATATAACTTACTTATTAATAAGCAAGTACATAGACTACTACTTATTAAATAAGCATAGTATAACTCTGCTTATTAATAAGTATCCTTATTACCTTCTTATTAGATACTTACTAGTTACTTATTAATAAGTAAACCTTAGCATTAGTATATAGCAAGTAGAAATATAACCCTTATAGTTTATATTTAACCTAAGTATTAGTCTTTAATATTACTTCTTAACTTAACCTTTAAGCTAGATAGTCTACTCTATACTACTTATTATTACCTCTTGCCCTTAAGATAGATAGATTATATCTATACTTCTTAGTATAAGACCCCTTTAGTTTCCCTAATAGTATTTATCCTTAAGAACTAATTAATTAGTGCTTATAAGCTTTACTTAAAGTATAACCTTAATAGTAGCCTATAAACTAGAAAGAATATTTTAGGAAACTATTAAAGAGAAAAAGGATAAGATCTATCCTGCTATTATCTATCTGCTAGATTTAGTAGCTTATTTCAAGATTAGTAGTAGGATTTATATCCTAGACAAATCTTACTAGTTAATTATAGAGATAGCTAAACAGGTTATAGAGCATATAAGGCGTGCAAGACTTTCTAGAAAGGGTGTAGTCTAAAGCTATAGAGTAAGCGCCAAGATTACTACTAGCGCGTTATCTGCCTATATCTAGAAGGCCTTGGAGGACATTTAGGTAGGAGCAAAGGAATTAGCTTAGCTTAGCCCATTATTTGTAATTAATACCGTAATAGACTAGAGTAACTTAGCTTTGCGTATCTGTTGTCCAATAAGCTCTAGGCATTAAACAAAAAGTTCTCTCTTAACATTTTGTCAGACTCGAATAGGCCTAGCCTATTGACCGATAGGAGTGCCCGCAGCCAGTACTTTGCCAAGCATCTGCTCCCAATCACTCGAGCCAAGATGATAACAGCAATAGAGATAATAAGACTAACGGCAAATCGGGTGCCTAGTATTATATAGACTGTAGAACTTTACTTACCTAGCTAGAAGTTTTACTAGCTAGAAGTTTGATTAGCTAACATAGCTAATGCTTCTACCTCTAGAAGCACTTTCCGCATAATTATTGGTTTTTTTACGCCTAACATATTTACATACACGATACTTTACATTAAAGGCAGTTAAAATCTTAAACAAATAATGTAAAATATTGAATAAACTATAACAAATTTTGTCAAAGAACCAAAACGATAGTATGATAGCAAAGAATGTAATGAAGCTCCACGCCATGCTAATAAATCATCAATGAAACCCCAAATGGTATGACTCGCTGAGATCAAAAGAGCGAAAGGTCGTTATCGTGAAGTTTGTCTTACACTTGCGCCACTATTGCAGATCCTTCTTACTCGATGTTGACCTTCCTTGACTGGGGCGCAGTAGCCTTGGGCACCGTAATGCTCAAGATACCGTTCTTCAGGCTGGCCTTGACGGCATCCTGGTCAACACGGGCAGGGAAAGCGAAGCTGCGGTGGAACGATCCAACCGAGCGCTCGCTGACCCAGTAGCGATGCTTCGACTCCCCCTTTGCAAGCTGCTGCTCAGACTGCTTGGCGACCTGTGTGTCTTTGTTCGCCGACTCGGCAGCCTCGTCTTCAACTCGGGGTTGGTGCGGCTCAATCTTCTTCTGGTCTTCGCCGGCTTCGATGGCTGTGGGGCGTTGACCTTCTTCGCGGACCTATTCGTGCTTGCCGGTGATGGTCAGGGTGTTGTTGTCGGTCCACTCAATGTTGACGTTCTTTTGCTCGATGCCAGGGAGCTCGCCGTGCAGCTCGTAGGCTTCCTTGGTTTCTTTGACATCGAACTTAGGTGTGAAGGAGCGAATGCTCTGGAATTGGCGGTCGACATCGCGGAATGCTTGACGGTCGTACTCGTCAAAGAGACGGAACATGGGAGCGAACTCCTGGGTGAAGCGTGGGAAGAGAGACATTGTTTTTGATGTGTTTGTGAAAGCTCGTGCAGAAGAAGGCTTGGTAATGCGGTTGAGCTGTTGTGGAACTCGGCGGATTATTGTGCGCAGTGATTGCATAGAAGTGTTGATGATTATTGTTCTGATGATGGACTAGAGAGGATCGATTGAGCAGTATATATACTCGAGCATCATTTTCGAGAAGCATCGTGATGATGCTGGACGGCCTTCGACGGTGCATCATATGATCGTCAACGTGGTGTGAAGGAGATGTGAAGATGGTCGGAGTCACTTCGGGCGGTTTCCAGAGGGTTCGATGTCGCAACATCTCGCGAGAACAGCAAGCGCTCACGCTGATCGTGATGCACAAATGTTCTCGAGCTCGGAGTGATGTAAAGCGTGTCCAATCTTGTCCCACATCCGTCACTCTGTCGATTAAAGCCTTCGAAAGGCGCCATTGTGCAACGATCAAGATTACTTTGGTAGAGCCAGGCGGCTCAGCATTCCGTACGAATACGCCTGCCAACAAACCAGATACCATACCCATCAGGCGTTTGATCGTCGTGGGCATTTAACGGTCTCAGGCTTCATGGTTCAGTAATGTCTATTATCGGAATGGCTTGCAGCTCCATGACCCGTCGCGGTTGCCCACCACGGATGCGACGAAATCCTCAAATATTTTTGTATATGAATCAATAAACTTATAGACCTTTCACATACGACCATAGGACGTTGAAAACAAGGCTTCCCGTTCGCTCAGCCCTATTTAAGCAACGTACCGGTGGATTAGTACTCAGGTGGGTGACCACTGGGGAATCCCCACTGTTGTATAAAGATTCTATTTTTGCTACTTTTGCCCGGTTGGAATTTTGTCTGAGTATGTTACCTCGGAACTACTATCGCTGCCGCTCACTATCTGCTGTCACCACAACTAATTAAGAGTGAAGTGATGTCGATGCTCTGGACTATTGCTACAGCTTGCTCACTTGACGTCGACAGCGTATGATGTTATATGGCAATCCCAATAACCGTTCATCAGTCTACAGTCTCACTATAAGCGGCCACTGTTAGTGTCACGAACGCGTAGCCTCAGATCAGGCCTTGCCGGCCCCACTTTACAAGCGACGATCCACTTCGTATGGGGGCCTTCAACATTGTTACCTGTACTATATCTGGTAAACGATAAGAAACTTAACCTCATCCTCCGTGTATAGTTATTCCGTCTGAGATCATACAAGGTCAGTAACTCATGCCGATACCCTGAACATACACTCGCATCACTCTTGAAACCCCCACGGTAGATCATTCGCGGAGCTCATCTCCTCCACCGCCCTCCCTATGTCGTTCAAGCACGCGCGCGCTATTTTTCGCATTTCGTGGTCCAGTGTAGTAAGCCGCCCTCTAGCGCTTCCCAGCGAGGAGCACCATGCTTCATGCTCCATCGTCTAGTGTTCCACGGCCGTAAATGTTCCAGAAGTCAACGACCAGAAGCATCGAGATGCGCGCAAGGACTAAATGATCAATGAACCATGTCCGGGCACTCCATGCACACTCCTCGTATCCCCGCGCAACCCCCCGTAGTTTTTGTAGCCAAACCAAGCCTTCGCCAACCACCGAAGCTTTCACAGCCGCAGCGTTCAGAGCCGCAATCAAAATTTCCGCTTCCACAAGCCCACACCCCGCTGCCCCTCACGTGCACGCTCTCCTGCGCCCCAACGCCGATAAACCGCTCACGCGGCTCAACATCGCGAGCCCGCGTGCTGTGGCGCCGGCCGCAATTCCTCCACGAATGAGCGGCGGCGCGGTGGGGCATCGTGGATCCGTTTTCCGAGTGTGGGGTCAATGTCGCGCGCGCTGCAGGCGCAGTAGATACTATAAAGCGCGCGGTGGTCGCGGGGCAGCGGTCTGTGATTGCTACGCTGCTCCTCGCTCTTCTGTCTCCCCCGTTCTTCTATTTGATACCCCAATTCTTTGCTGCTGCCTCTGTTGTGTTGAATTGTTCACCGCGGGGTACTAGATTGCTGGTTCCGAGGCTCGGAACGCTGACGCGAGACGGTTTTTGTGTAACGTAACGCAACATAACACCGCCAACATGGTTACTATTACTGGTGTAGAGACGAGGGATGTCAGGTTTCCGGTGTGTCAATATGAGCTGCGTGGTTTCGGGGATTTGACTAACGCGTGCGTAGACTTCCCTGGACAAGACTGGCTCAGATGCTATGAACGCGGCGGGTGATTATTCGTCTGCGTACTGCATCCTGAGTACAGATTCGGAGTTTTCTGGTCACGGAATGGTGAGTTGATGGATTCTGTTGTTCCTGTATACGATCGGGATTGTGTCTCTTCGTACTTCGGGTTGTCCAGTGACTAGTAACTAACCCTCCCAGACCTTCACCATCGGCCGCGGCAACGAGATTGTCTGCTCCGCCATTTCACACCTCGCCGACCGTGTCAAGGGCCGCACCCTTGAGTCCCTCGTTGAGAACTGGGGCAAGACATGGCGCCATCTGGTCAACGACTCACAACTTCGCTGGATCGGCCCCGAGAAGGGTGTCATCCACCTCGCCCTCGGCGCCGTCGTCAACGCCATCTGGGATCTCTGGGCTAAGACACTCGGCAAGCCCGTCTGGCGCATTGTTGCCGATATGTCTCCCCAGCAGATCGTCGACCTAATCGACTTCCGCTACATCACTGACGCACTCACACCCGAGGAGGCGCTCGAGATCCTCACCAAGTCAGAGGCAGGAAAGAAGGAGCGCATTCAGGAGGCTCTCGACTCCCAGGCGGTCCCCGCCTACACCACATCAGCTGGCTGGCTGGGCTACGGTGAGGACAAGATGAAGGCGCTGCTCGAGGAGACACTGGCCAAGGGCTACCGTCACTTCAAGCTCAAGGTCGGCAGCGACGTCGCCCAGGACAAGCACCGCCTCAGCATTGCGCGTGAGGTCATCGGCTACGACAAGGGCAATGTCCTCATGGTCGACGCGAACCAGGTCTGGAGCGTCCCGGAGGCCATCGAGTACATGAAGCAACTGGCTGAGTTCAAGCCCTGGTTCATCGAGGAGCCCACTAGCCCCGACGATGGTACGTCTTGTCTTCTCTCATGCTAGCTTAATCTCCCGCTAACAAACCACAGTCCTCGGCCACAAAGCCGTCCGCGAAGCCCTCAAGCCCTACGGCATCGGCGTCGCCACTGGCGAGATGTGCCAAAACCGCGTCATGTTCAAGCAGTTCCTGTCCGCCGGCGCCATCGACATCTGCCAAATCGACGCATGCCGACTAGGCGGTGTCAACGAGGTCCTCGCCGTCCTACTCATGGCAGCGAAATACGGCGTCCCCATTGTTCCCCACTCTGGTGGTGTCGGGTTGCCCGAATACACACAGCACTTGTCCACAATCGACTACGTTGTCGTGTCCGGAAAGAAGAGTGTGCTCGAGTACGTCGACCATCTGCACGAGCACTTCCTGAACCCGAGCAAGATCGAGAAGGGGTACTATGTGACACCTAAGGAGGCTGGATACAGTGTGGAGATGAAGTCGGCGAGTATGGACAGGTACGAGTACCCCGGAAAGGAGGGTGTGTCGTGGTGGAAGAGTGAGGAGGCGAGGCCAATTCTCGAGGGTGAGAAGTTCTAGGTTGCGCCCGGTAATTCAAAAATATGAGAGTTTAATGTCCTTCATTGCTTTGGTCTCTTTTTGCTTGCTATTTCTTCTGCTTCGCCTCTCGCATCCGCGTCTCAAGCCCACACGACCGCGTTCCCCGCTGTCCACCCCAACGTCGCCAGACAAGATACCTAGGTACCGATCCTCATATCATTCGTTATCTAGTGTTGACCTTTTGAATAAGAGTGACGAAAAAGTGTCTTGAAGATTGATTAGAGTAGTAATAACACAGTCTACCTAGTCTTCATCATAGGATGCAATTCTTGGTGTTCCCCCAGTTCCGGATTGTCTACCAAGCGTTGGTGAGCTCCGGCATGGCCAAGGTTACTATTGCAGTCGTTGCAGCGACGTTTGTGATAGCAGCAGCAGAAATGGCGATACAACCAGGAGGGCGGCATTTTGGCGTCTTCGCCGTGAATGAAGCGACCAGGGTGGACTATGTTCCACACCAGAATGGCCAGCCACATTGGCGCCGACTCCAGAACGTATAGGAGGGGCTCGTCACTCGGAAGAGGGTTGCTATGGCCCAGACCACCGGAGAACTCCGCGAGACGGTAGATGATGCGGATGGTGATAGCCAGTAAGCACCCGTACAGCGCGTATATCATCCACCTCCAGCCAGCAATCTTATTCTCAGCTAGACGTCCGATTGATTCTGCCTGGAGCTGATCCCGGTGAAATTTGATAACCAAGCCCAAGAACAGAATAATGAAGCCCTCCTGCATGCCAATACCGCCCATGTAGATGTTCAGGCCCTTCTTTTGTGAATCTGGAGTTGAGCCTGGGCCGGCCATTCCACCGCCGACGAGCTGGATGATGAACGAAATAATATCGAGAGTGACGAAGATAAGAGCGAGAATGGAAGGCGAAAAGAACCAGACTTTGCGAGTGGGCGAATAGAAATGGACGATGCGGGCGAAAACCATGTATGCGAAAGCGTTAACCCCTAGAGTGGAGATGTTAGGAAGAGAAAGGGAAGTGAGCTTTAAACTTCCGACTTACAGATGGGAGCTACCAAGACCAAGATCTGAGCAACAGTCGCGATACCCGAGGACTGCTGATCCTTTGAACCAAGAGCGCGGAAAGCATAGGCGCCAGTCTCCCAAAGAGAGGCTATGATGATGACCCAGCAGTATCCATTGCGATACGTGATGGCTTGACTCAGATGTGCGATCGTGAGAATGCCAAACAGAATGGAGAAAGCCACCGCCGCCGCGAAGTTCGGGAAGTACACCCACAGCGCATTGCATGCACCCGCAGGAACGTAGCCATCGATGCCGGGAGTTGCGTATGAGGCGAATCCAGGCGTGCAGGTTTGAGGCGGGAGGTTCAGGGAGAAAGATGCTATTGACGGCTTTGCGATTGATATTGTAGGGATGTTTAATGTGAGAGGTGGCAGACTCAGTTCGAAGTTATCATCGCGGCGAATAGGCGCCGCAGTAGCGGAGGGCAGTGAAGTGATGGCAGCTCGAGCGGAAAGTGCTGGAGAAAGGGTCGGGGTGGGTGAAGCGGTAGAAAGAAGGGGCAGCAGCAAGGCACTGAGAAGCGAAAGTGAAAGTCTCATCGTATAGGCGCCACAACAAGCAAACGTAAATGAGTGTGTGTGTTGTATGGGTGAGCTGGTATGGGGCTCGACATTATAATACTAATAAGTGAGGTTATCATGAGCTGCACTGTTATGATTGTCGTGGACAGTGAGGCTGAGTGCAAACAGAGTGAACATGTAGACGCCTGTGCCTGGTGCTGGCAAGGCAGATTTGTCTTTCGCGAGCGAAAAATACACGCGGCGGAAGTCCTTACTCCCAATCGGGTCCATGTGACAATTGCTGTTTACAGGCAATGGTGCAGAAGCGGCTCGCGTGGCGTATGGGCTGTCCCCAGCTCTTACAATCTCAGGAGCATGCCTGTTCGACGGAATTCATTATCATGGTTGAAAAGCCAGCTGAGTTCATGCGCGCCAGATCGCAATGGTCAATAGGTTACAAAATTCATTCAGTGCAGACGTCCATGAGTAGCTTGCGTCGCTTGTATGAGGACAGTTCAGAGGACAGTTTTGATCCTATTCTGGTCGGTTCGGTGGTGGAGTGAGGTAGCTGTGTCGTATACTTAGCCCCTTTTTGAAGCCGCACCATACCTGCCAGCACTTCCTGGTGCACCGGGCTGTACAGTCACTGATGATTACGTCTTCGCCGCTGTGGCTGCAGAACGCCATCCTACTGCTCAGCCCCTGCCTTCCGTATGAAGTTAAACACTGGATGGTAAGGATGAAATACCTAGGTAGCGGCCTGCAGGGTGAAACCGTGTCCGGCTACACGAGCAACTCTTGACGAACTTGTGACAAGCGAGGCTTGGTATGGTTGGCCTAATGTACCTTTAAAGTTAGCCAGTCGACCTATCGGCTCGGTCAGTAATTTCTAACCAACAATCCTTTGCCTAGTTGCATAAGTGTACTGCGTCGCACATGGGTGGTTTCATGACAAACCTGGGTAGTGACATGTAACTGCGGGCATGGTGTATGAGATTCAGAAGTCCAAGAATTTGAATTCTTATCTCAGGTCTGAGATTAATCATTCACACGAATATGTAGACTGATTCAAGAGCTGGAACATATCAGGGGTATGTCAGGGGTCCAGCTGTCGAGAGTCGAGATTGTTGAGTAAGAAAGAAGGAGCGCCCGTCTGCATATTGGACAAGCACAGACACGAGCAACTACGCCTTACAGGCCCTGTCGCGCTGCACCTACTAATATCTCGTGAATTTCTGACCTACATCCAGTATTAGTAAAGCCCTTGGCCGGGCTTGCTCTTTCTTTAGACGTGCTTGGGTGCAGTAGAGTACAAACCAGCCACTTGGCAAGATGTAGCATCAGGCAAGAACAATTATCAGCTTTGTCAGGGATCGATCTTGCTGAACTGTACACGATTGAACGGGGTTATTTAGGAGTATCTCTGTGGCTGATTAGCTTTGAAAGTGATGGGTTGGATCCTACAAAGTGCCAAGTCGCGGGTCGGACATGCTGGGGTGCAGTAGATTTGTACTCACCTCTTGCATCGTTCGCACCCAAGCACTACACATTGTCAATAACACTTTCAGGAGTACCGTATCTACGGGCTGGGCTTTCCGGTCAGATGATCATAAAATCCAGATGTTCGTTGTCGCCGCGAGCAAATTCGACCAGCGCTGGTATGGCCTGGTTATTGGAGCACGTACGCTTAGGGACGATACCGCCGGCCTACCAAACGGGAGCCATGAGATTTTCGATGACGGCGGCTTGAAATCTAGAGCAAGTTCGTGCCAGCCTCTCTCGGGCCGTATTCCCTCAGCGGTCTCTTTCTTGTTTTTGTGGATGACATGAGCGATCTCGATACGACCACTGAAGCAGTCGCTTTCATCAGTCTAACCGACTGGTCGGGTGTGCCTGTGTGCAGCAAGCACTGAGTGATGTCTTCATCTCCACCTCGATTCAAGCCGTATCAGCTCTGATGGGCCACATTGAAGACGAAGTCCGATGGTGTCAGCACCTGTCGTCCTGCCAGGTCACAGAGTCTCAGGTAGAAATTGAACGTAAAATACTAAAGTGAGTTCGGATGAGATATATTATTGCTATCGTTCAGTGTAAGGAATTAGCAGGTCGCGTCGCACGCGTCGATATCGCATTCTGGTTAGTGCGGCGCTAGTGTCTTAGCGCGCGCACGGACCAGAACACCAAAGTATCAAGCCGATCTATCACACTAAAGGCGCAGTCATGATCGTTACGCTTAATTGATATTTACAACTTTGACAGCTACTTTGAACGCCTCAAGGCGGGCGCTGCCGTAATGTTGAATTTGCCATCGCAATCAAAGTTTCCGCTGGTTTGGAAGTTGCACAGACTCGGGATTCCCCCACCCTGCACATCGACATCGTCGATAAAAATGTTCTTGCAGCTACCAGAGCCGCACAAAATGTAGTAGTTCCTCGCCTTGTCTGTCGCTGTGCCCGTCACGTTGCGGATCACAATATCGGAGATGCTCACGCCTGGTGTGGGGTTGCCGGTTGGGCCGCCGTTCAGGTAGTCCTGCTGGATATCGATGCCGTAGATGGAGATATTCTCGACGCGAATGTTCTCGAACAGGATATTTTGAATAAGACCTGTCGTGTTCTCGTTGGTCTTAATGCGCGCGCCGTTCTGGGCGTTGAGGACTACAGAGTTGCGGAACGCTATGTTGGTCACGACATTGTTAGACTTGCCACCCACAGAACCGATGGACAGTCCATGACTGCCATTGCAGTACATGTTGTCAATCAGGACGCGGTTTCCACTGGTTACAGCGACGCAATCATCTTGGTTAATGACTATGCTGTCGCGCACGACAGTGTTGTTGGTGGACGAGAGGTCGAAACCGTCACTGTTGTGTGCCGCAGCCAAACCACTGGAGCGGTTATTGGGTGCGTAGCCAGCACTGTTGTTCAGTGTGATATGGTGGATATCGAGTCCGGAGCTACCGCTGATGCTGAAACAGTGAACGGGGTAGTTCTGAATGTAGATATCGTGGACGCTGCTGTGACCAAGGACTTTGGTGAGCTCAATGAAATGGTTAGGCCTGGATGAACTGTTAGTATGAACCATCTTCGGTAGCCCAATGGCCGATATATCCACTCAAAAGGACGACAAGGAGATGTGGGAAACTAACTTTTTGACACCACCGTTGCTGCCGAGGCCATCCCACCACGCCTCGCCATTGCCGTCAAGGATAGCACCCTCTTCAGCGGTGATTTCGAGGTTAGTACCGCCGACCTTGATGAACGGATAGTTCCCGTCGAAGTATTGCCAGAAGGTTGTGCCTTTGAAAGTGACCTTAGAACCAGTCTTCAACTTGGTAAGGTCAATGGTCGAGTTGCCTGGAACAGTAATACCATCCAACACAATATCAGTGCAAGATGATACAGCTGCCGGGATGCCAGAGTACGCTGTTACATGGCAGAGGTCTGCGTAAGCAGCAGATGTAGGGGAGCCAGTCACGATAGCAGAGTGACCTGCAGTGGCAAGAGCCAGCAGCTTGGAGAGACCTATAAGGGTGATTAGATAAAGTAATCGCCACGCTGCGTCGCCAATGCATCGTACCGGTTGATCGCATGTTGCAGATAGTGCAAGGGCCTTCCGAGGTCGTGAGAGTGCACGTGAGAAGAGTGAAGGGAGGTCGCTGATTCTCAAACCTACAAATACCTGCGGCTTGTAATCAACTCTTATACCTCGTCTCCGTGGAACCTATTTCCAGAAGGTTGCGCGGCATAATCCTTCGACTACCTATCCTAGCCACCATCCCGCCCAGGAACCTAAGCTCCCCAAGCACTATGGCTAAGAGTGGACAAGACATGCCAAGCGAGCGGAAGGATTTTGATTGCGACAATGAGAAAAGGCACCAACGATCGTACGAGCAACGATCCACGAGCCGGGGCATAGGTACGACGCTCCGGACGACTTCCGCCCCACAACTGTGTGCGGCAAAAACGCCCTGCTCGCAGATTCCGTTGTTCTGTTTGGTTGAAGAATCAGGGACAATCGCACTAGATGAGACATATCCGGGGAACTTAGACGGGTTGCATGGAGAATGGATGAAAGGATAGTTGCTGCGGCGGCGCAGCGGGGAAATTGGCTTCCATCAATCAATTAATCCTGAAACAGGGCCGGTCCCGCATGAACTCGTCTTGCAATCCACACTTCCACTCGCTTTCCCTGTACCATCTTGTCAGGTCATACATCACCCAGGCAAGATTTTCAAAGAAGCTTATCTCCAAGAAACATAATCTAGATTTCTTTACAGCTCCTCTACAATACTGTATCTTATTGAGTCGGACTTGGGTCGTAGAGATCGTCCGACCCAAACCCAACCCTAATTGAACCTAGTGGTTTCGGAGCTCCCAACCCCAACCCGTTTGCCAGCTACCCGGCTGACTACTATTACTGTCACTTTTTTCCCAAATCCGGAAAGCCAACATTACTTCACATGCTAAGACGGAAGATCCTAGTTCCATATAAGAACGTTGCTCGACAATTGTACCGTCAGCGGCCAAGACAGCAAAGTACTCTATGGAAGATCATGTAACTGGCATCGCTTTCTTTTGTGGTGGGCATTTAGGTCCAAGCATTTTTGTAGGATCCAACCCACCTTCATCGCAGCTAACAAGCTACAGGACTACAACTGAGTGACTCCGTCCGCTTTAACAAGAACGTGCCTTCTTACCTGATGCCGCATCTTGCCAGCTGGTTGGTTGGACATGTCGGGGAGCAGTAATCGCGCCTGCAGTACCTATGTGCCTGCAAGTTTGTGAGTTGAGATGGCACCAGTGGGGCGAGAGATGTTGACATCATCGGAGGTCTGTAAGCTTGTCTCCAATGTGGCCTATCAGAACCAACACGACTTGAATTTGAGGTGGGGGTGAAGACATTGCTCAGTGCATGAGAACTATAGTACCCCGTCAAGCCGTTGATCACAGTCGTCTCGACTACATGCAATTGTTAGTTTGAGTGCAGACAATTGCTTAATGCGCAACTCTAATTCGGATTGAAGTTCCGTTATGGAAACACCCGCACTTCCCGAGACAATGTCAGGCGTCATTCTCACCGGTCACGGCGGACCCGAGAAACTCTCATACAGGACTGACCTCTCTCTCCCTGTGTTGAGCGACACCGAGGTCCTGATTAAAGTCGCGGCAGCGGGGCTCAACAACACCGATGTCAACACAAGAATCGGGTGGTACAGCAAAGGCGTAAAGAAGGGCACGAGTTCTGAATCGACCGTGGCTAGTGGAAACCGGACAGACGATGACGCCTCGTGGTCTGGAAAACCACTGAAGTTCCCGCGCATCCAGGGCGCGGACTGCTGCGGGTACATCGTTGCCGTCGGCTCCTCTGTACCCTCCTCGCGCATCGGGGAGCGTGTGCTCGTGCGTAGTATGCTTACGCACTACTCTTCTACTGCATCGTTTGAGTGCTGGACCTTCGGCTCGGAATGCGATGGTGCGTTTGCGCAGTACGCCAAAGCACCGTCTGCGGACGTATACATTGTGAACGCACCGTCGTGGACAGATGTCGAATTGGGCAGCGTACCGTGTGCGTTCTCCACCGCCGAGAACATGCTACATCGTAGCCAAGTCAGGTGTGATGAGACAGTGCTGGTCACAGGTGCAGGCGGTGGCGTGGGCGCGGCGGCAGTGCAGTTGTGCAAGCGTCGAGGCGCGAAGGTGATAGCAGTTGCAGGGAGAGAAAAAAGAGACCAGATGCTGGACTTGGGTGCTGACAAGGTCTTGGTGCGGGGTGAGGGTATAGTAGATGCGCTGGGGAGGTCAAGCGTTGATATCGTCTTGGACGTTGTGGGTGGCGCCTCATTTCCCGAGTTGCTTGATGCTCTAAAGAGAGGCGGCAGGTATGCGACGGCTGGGGCTATTTCAGGGCCGATAGTCGAGTTGGATCTGCGCACATTGTACCTGAAGGATCTGAGTTTCTATGGCTGTACGTTCCAGGATGAGGTGGTCTTCGCCAATCTTATCTCATACATTGAGAAGGGCGAGATTAAGCCTAATGTTGGACAGGTGTTTAAGCTGAATGACATCGGTAAGGCGCAGGAGGTGTTCCAGTCGAAGACCAATTCTGGGAAGTTGGTCGTGGAGATCGATTGAGTCTTCAACCGATGTCCTGCTGGTCTACGTGAGCGTGCTTTTGGCATACGTCAGTGAAGAGGAATACGCAAGAATGGTATTCGCCTCAAACTCGATAGTGAATATGCGAGATACTGCCAATTTTCGAAGTCCTCTTTCGCAAACACGAATGGACTCAAAGACCGAGACGTGACTTCAAGCGTTATCGAGGACCATGTCCACGCTGGTATGTTTGTTTCTTGCGTGATGCAAGCTGCGACTTTTCAATGAAGGACTGGAGCGGGTGGAGACTATGAGCAACACAGCTCTAACTGAGCTGCATTGATTGCATACTGAGCGAAACAGCGACATTGGGCTGCAGCCGAGGCGAAGCGTTTCTGTGTTACTGTTATGGTCTGCGTCAGATGTCAACCCCGGATTAGGCTAGCAGCTTAGCGTGGCCTGGTGACTGATGACGAAACGGCAGGGACCACTAGGCGCCCCTTCCGCTAACGCCCCAGCCCCAGCCTCACCAACTCGCTGCGATAACCGCAAGCCGACCTTCGCCTCCATCTCTACTGCGCATACCTCCTGCGCCTCTAGAATCGCATTTTGAGACCGCATCACACGATACACGCGATGCAGCTCACCACAGTTCTCCTCGCAGGCCTCAGCGCCGTCAGCGTCTCGGCGGTGCCCTCGATGGGCGCCTCGTGGGTCCCTAACCAGGTTACCGTGAAGGAGGAGTTCAAGGTGCCTGGCGACAACCCTCTGTACTTCTGCGCAGACCCAGCAGACTATATCCTGCAGATTGACAAGGTCGACCTTGACCCCAACCCACCTAAGCCGTACGTCTGCCTACGCGCTGCTCTGCGCATCGCGAAAACAGCGCCTTGTTGATCGGCGCTAATCGCGTCTGAAAGTGGGAGATGCTGACATTAGAAATAGTGGCGAGAAGCTGAGCATCAAGGCTTCTGGTGATTTCAGCGAGGAGGTCGGCGAGGGCAGCAAGATGCACCTGCAAGTCAAGTACGGACTGATCACCCTGATCAACCAGGAGCGCGACGCGTGCGACACCATCGAGCAGGCTGATCTGAAGTGCCCGCTGAAGAAGGGTGAACTGAGCCTGACCAAGGACGTTGCTCTGCCTCGCGAGATTCCTCCGGTACGTAAGACCTAAGCTTGAACAGACTGGGTCTAATATGAGTGCGTTACAGGGCACATACACCGTTCTTGCAGATGTATATACCGAGGACGGCGACAAGATCACTTGCCTAACCGCGAAGATTGCTTTCCACCGGTAATTGCCTATTCAGCCCTCCGCCACTCAAGCCTAAGGCGTCGCTCCAGCACCAACAACGACCCTGATAACACCAACACTCCAAGTGGCGGTACCCTCGATGGCTCCGGTATCTTGAGTTTCGGCAATGTGAAGATTGGCAAGCGGAAGTTTGAGATGTCTGGTCCTGCAGCTGGGCTTGTGCAGCAAAGAATGCAAGAGCGCCTGCGACAGCGCAATGAACTGTAGGGCGGGTGGAAGCTGTATCTTTCGATCGCATGATATCATGCAACGGCACGTTTTGTTTATTCCATGGATGAGCACAGCATAATGTATATACGACACAACCAATGCACACTTACGACGCAACACCTTCTTGTTCACCGTGATCTGCCCTCTTAAGAACATTGAAGTCCACATAGTATGTCATGTCTCAACCCAAAGCACAGACGTACGTTACGGTATGTATTCAACGTGGATATCATCTACCATGCTATGCAACCATCCTGTCCAACCACCTCGCCAGATCACTACAGGCTGTGTCTACTCTCCGAACAGCCTGCGCACCCTCTTGAGTACGCTGTCCTTTTCGGGGTCGTACGGGTGGTCCTTGGACGGGATCTCGAGCAGCGAGGGGAAAGCGGCGGTGTAGGCCTCGACACGATGTCTTATTTTTTCGGCGATCTTGATCAACTCATTAGCATCCCTCCTCTCCTAGTAACCCAGGCGGACTTACATGCTGGTTTATCAACAAGATTGCGATGTCCTTGCGCTCGGTGGTGAAGCGGTCGAATGCTGCCTCGATGGCGCTGTTCTCTGTCTTCGCGTCTACGACTAGGAAGTTCTTCTGCGCGTCCGGGGGCTGCGTCACATGCTAGGTTCTGTCAGTGTTCCAGCTCCCTGGTCAGTGCCCCTCGGAATGAGCTCGACAGTCCACTCACGCCGACGCCGGCGAGCAGCATGCCCGTTACTGTGTCCTGTCGCAGGTTAGCTATGCTAGCTGAGAGATTCAGAGCCGAGCTTTATGCGCACCTCATCGCCAATCACGGCGAGGAATTGCCGGTCTTTGTACGCGGAGGCCGGGGCTGCCATGGTTGTGGTGCTGGACAGCTGCAGTTGGTGAGGCTGCGCTTGGTGTTGCAGCAGGGCAATGACGATGGCGCCTTCCCGGATCGGGGCACTAGCGCGGAATTTGTCTACTGAAAGACCGCAACAAACAACAGTACTCTTTCATCGCCGTCGCCTTAAAATGGAGGGCTCTTGAGCCGCGCGTCCCAACTCACCACACACTACCACCCATAAACCCGTGAACGGTCACCACTTCGCATCCCCACCATGCCGAGACTCGTCCGCAAGGCGCCGCTGAGCGAGCGCATCAAGACGTACCTCGACCCCTCCGACTGGGCGCTCTGGATATCCGAGGAGCTGAGCAGCAGTGATTGGGAGGAGTTCGCTGCATCGTACGCCCTCTGGCTCGGCTTTGGCGCCCACGCTGCTTTCATCGTGGCCCAAGCAAACAGCGGTGCATCCAACAACTTCGACAACGACGGAGTCTTCAGGGACTCTTCGGGACCTGGATGGCTCAGCTGGCTGGCGAATTTGCTGGTACTGATGCTGTCCGCTGCAAGCTTTACGAACGCATGGCTAGTGTACAGTAAGAAGAGGCATTACAGGCTATTCGAGCAACCAATCGAGAACACACCCACGACGCCTTCTGCAAAACGCGTCAGGGTCGATTCCTCGCCGTCTGGAGCGTCACCATTCGGCTACTTTCGTGACCTCGCCCAGCGCAACTCGGCGGCCGCGCGCGCTCACCCGGATGCGACACGAGACGTGTGGGAGGTTTCTGTTTGGGACCCCAACCCGCTGTGTCTGGAGCTGTTCTGCCTCTTCAGCCCGTTGCATGTCGCCCTCTACTACCTTAACTTACCTGTTGCGCCGCTTGATCCGCGCCCGAGTGTCCGTGTTGTAGCGACTGTGTTCATTGGTCTGATCCTGTCCGCCCAGCTCTGGCTCTTACGGTCTTCGTTCACGCAGCAGATCAAAGACAACAACATCATTAGTCGCCAAGTCTTGCACGAGTACGACAGCAAGTACGTTCATCCGTCGATGCATAAGCAATCTCGCGACGTGGCCATTCAGACTATATCGAAGAAGCGTAATCGCGACTCGAGCGTAGGCGTCAAGGGCAGCCCTCACGATCTGGCAAGCGAGGTTCTCACCTACACGCCGCGGACGATCATCAATAAGAAAGTCTTCAAGACCAACCCAAACCCGAACTATAGAAGCCAGTACGACCCTGATAATCTCTCACGGGGTCAGACTCCTTCGCGAAGTGCTAAACGCCCTATTTTCTCTTCCGCACATTCCTCGTACACCTCGACTGCCTCTGATGCCAGAGACGATGACGCAGATCTATCGTCCCCTATTCGGCCCTCACAGACACCCAACCCATTCCGCCGCGCCCCTTCGATTGGTCGCACAGGCGGCGACGGCGGTAGTCTCGGGGTTTTCACGCATGCCAACTCTCCGCTGCGCAAGTCTGCAAGTGCGAATTATCTTCGCGACACAGACGAGAACAACAGACCGCGCGAGCAGCCAAAGCTTAGCTTGAGTGATCGATTTGGCATTGCAAGCAGATCTTCAACACCGAGGCTGGAAAAGAGCAGCAACCCTACAGGGACTAAAAGAGTAAGTAGTATTGGTACAAGCTCAGGGAGCCAGACACCGAATAGGAAGGACGGGAGTCCATTGAAGAGAGTTCTGCCTAATGGCGAGGCCAGAGGCAGCGGGTATGGTAATCTTGGTGTTGGAAGGAGAGAGAGCGGAAGATTTTAATCTTGAATGTCGCGTGCGCACGATATGCTTACTGATATGTACAATAAGGACAGGTATGAGTACACTGGCTCGGTTGTACCGCAAACGAGACTGATACAGCTCAGCGGTAAAACATTCTCATACGAACTATATGACAAATAATCAACCTAGCACCTCTGGCCCAGACTCACCATTGGCTCACCATTTGCAATTCCTCTCCTCCATGACACAATGTACAACGTGGGCAAAGCGGCCCTTGTCCGACTTGCGACAAATAACGCCGAGTTGGTTGGAGAATTGCTGCACTTTGCCCTCAAGACTGGCTCCCTCATCTGTTTGGTCGAGAATTTGTCGTATCTGGAAACTACCAAACAAACTAGACGCCTCACCATCCCCCCGCCAAGACCTGACACCTTGGCAGTGCAACCCCACGACCAACAGATCTGCAGAACCCAGAATTCATGCCGAGGTCGTTCAGATCCGCTAGTGTCATACATGATGCCTCCTCCCACGTGTGTAGCAGATCAGATCCCTCTCATCTGCACGCTGCCGTTCCAAAACGCTGGCTTTTGGTAGTCCACCCGAGCACTCGGGAAGATAATCTACAGTGGCAGAAGTTCAGACGCGTTGTAATGGCCCACCCCGAAAAGAAATGCTTGGGTCTGAGCTGCTGGTGGTTGAGATGGGGGCTTGCTACTCAATACCGAGTTCTCGGGACGCATGGTATCAATGCGCTACGTACATGGCCGGAGCATTGTCGCTATTTGTGGTACAGCTTGCATGTAAAGTAAGGCAGTCATATCGGAGCTTGGTTTTCATGACATGCTTCAACAGCAGAATCGCATTGATCGATCGCACGGTACGCAAGTACGCCACCGTTGTGGCGATCCTCAGCTTGACACCCCTGGCAGCTGTCTAACAACCCAGTTCGGCGAACATGGCCTGACGTGGTGTAGGAACGACCCGCGAGTAAGAGATAGACAAGGTTGGAAGCGGGACTACTGGGGACGCTACACTACTGGACGCTTCAACAGGAACGACTCGGCTAACAATGCATTCATGCAATGATAGCATGGGTCATCATCAGCCTTGTGTACAGTAATGACGATGATCGCGACTCCACGTTCAGGGGTCATGCCTCGGGCCATCCCGCAGCCTCGTTTATGCACGCCATTGCATGACTGACATGAAACAGGTGCACAGCCCGCTCGGCCATCAATCTTGGCAGACCTCTACAGCGGCGAGTAGGACATCTGATGAACAGTGGTCTTTGTCTAGTGCATCTCTGAGTGATATCTGGGCATGGAAACTTTCTTTTGATGCCTTAGGGCAGCCGAGGGACGAGGAAATTAAGCCGGACGATCTTGAATGCATTGCAACTTCTGGAGTGGTAGAGGAATATAAGTAACCCTTGATGGCTTCTCGAATTAACTCGCTATCCTGCAACCAACAGTAGTCGATCTCAAGGCCAACATCTTCTTGACTAATAAATACTCCCTACTCACCTCCCACTACAAACATGAAGCTCCTCGCTCTCTCCGCCCTCGCCGCTCTAGCTACCGCCTCTCCCATCACCCACAAAGCGCCGGAAGCCAACACACTGGATGCCCGCCAGTTCGGTGGCTTCGGCGGCTCAAACACCAGGAATGAACTGGAGCAAGGCAGCAGTGCCAACTGCCCCAAGACCATCTTCATTTTCGCCCGCGCCAGCACAGAGGGTGGTAACATGGTACGCCACCTCCCTCCTCTCCACTTTACTCTCCTCTAACATCCACATAGGGTTCCTCCACGGGCCCTGCCGTAGCTAGCGCCCTCGAGCGCACCTACGGCGCCGACCAAGTCTGGGTGCAGGGTGTTGGCGGTCCTTACGCCGCTGGCCTAGGCACTAACGCTCTGCCCGGCGGCACCAGCCAAGAAGCCATCGACGAAGCCGTCCGGCTCTTCAACATGGCGAATACGAAGTGCCCCGACGCATCGATCGTGTCTGGAGGTTACAGTCAAGGTACTGCGGTCATCGCTGGCGCGATCCCGAAGCTCGACGCCGCGGTGCAGGACAAGGTCGTTGGTACAGTGAGTTTCCCCAGACAAGTTCAATGGTGTTGTGACGAAAGCTGACGTGAAAAGGTACTTTTTGGGTACACTCAGAACCAACAGAACAATGGCGGAATCGAGGGCTATCCGGCGGATAGGCTGGAGGTGTTTTGCGCCACGGGCGATCGTGTTTGCACAGGAACGCTGCGTATCACGGCGGCGCACTTCAGCTATGGAGATGAGGCTGCTGGACCGGCACCGGAGTTCCTGGAGAGTAAGATTGGGAACTAGAGAGCATTTGGGTGGTGGGAAAAACTGGGCTGGGAGTACCGCAGGCGGACTGGCTGGGTGTGTTGAGGTTAGCTTCTTGTATATATACATTTATGATTTACGAATATCATCAGTTTGATGCAGCGGACTGCGTAACAAATGGTTTGAGCATGTGTAGCGATCTAACCATTCATTGTTAAGACAGAGTTCAGGTATGTGATCGAAGTAAGTATACCAAGGCGCTATGTATGTATGTATACTAAATTAGTTTAGATCTGTTTGCTACGTGACGACAAGGTGCCCTTCTGCTACACCAAATTATATAGGGCTAATGTCCCCAGCACCCTCTGAACTCCGTTTCTCTCCAGCCCCTAACATCGACTGCCTCACTTCAGCCTACCACACTCGATCAACCGCCTGTCAGCTTTACTTTGCCCTTTTCGCCAAGGATACAGCCCGCCAATCATGTCAGACTACGTTGACGCCTTCGACTGGGATATGAACCTCGACGAGGATTTCGATTGGACAACAAACTTTGAATGGCCAATGGACAACACCTTTGGGCTGGTCTGGAACGAGAACCCTGTTCCTGCACCGCCCGATGAAGGGTGAGTTAAAAAAAAGACATGAGCTAACAGAGGGGCGGAGCAGATCGCATGAATCGCTTCAGCGATACTTCGAAGACACCCCCACATCGACGTTAACGCCACAAAACACTGAAGTGTCTGTCTCCACTATAGCTGAACCATCAACCTGGACATGCGACGCCGATGGTTGCAGTACTCGAACTTTCAAGCGTCGCACTGAACTCCTCCGTCATCAGAAGAAGCACGATACCACTCGCGAGTTCACGTGCGCTGCACTGCACTGTCGACGTACGGGCAAAAATGGATTTACCCGCAAAGACAAGCTTATCGACCACATGCTCGCTGGTCATGACGAAGACACTATCTTTTCATGCCCCAGCTCTGGTTGTACAGCAGGCCTCACACGAGACCTGTTGACTCTGCATACTCAGCAGGACACACCAGCCACAAAGCTCGGCCTCTATCGCGTCTGTCCGATGCCAAGGTGCTCGTTCCGCATTCATGCCTGGCGTAAGCCCCTAGATGAGCTTCGAAGTCATATCATCGAGGAACACCACCAAAAAGGACGAAAGACGTATGCGGGGGTATTGAAGAGTCGAGGCTACGAGCCTGTGGCTGTAGATGTCGTGTGTCCGTTGTGCATGCATCCGAGCCAGTCCCACGAGGACTTCCAGGTGCATCTTGTGACAGCGCATGGAAACATGTCGCCTAAGGCGCTGGAAGAAATGGGTTCGATCAACGGTAACCTACAAGCTCCAGATCTAGCGGTGCAACAGATGATGAGTGCGGATCCGCTCATCCAGGAAGAGCGTCGGGCCATCCTCAGCTTGTGGCCGCAATTTGAGAGCTTTCCTGTGTGGGATGACATGAAGTGTCACGCCGGATGAATGAGTTGAAGTACGGACACACAGCTAACAAGCGCTTTGTCGCTTTCTTTCTCACATAGAGTTCCCTAAAGAATGCATCCAACTGCGTACGCTCCTTAAATCTGAACTAGACTGCAACTCGATTCCTCCTGCCTTTCGTCGCATTTGTGTTGTAAGACAAGCCATCTAGATTCTTACCACTAATAGAATCTACCAGAGACGTCTCTCTTACATAGGCATCTTGGGGATACACAAGCTATTGCCTTGGTACAACGTGGATCGCTTTTCAGAGACAGAGAGGAATTGAATGATGACCCCGAGAAGCCCAACAAATGTTTTGTGAAACACGTTATCGCCTGTCAAGATTCCAATAAATTTCGGTTTTCAACGATCATCAATCTCCACAGTGCAGATTAGACATGTGCTAGTCTTACCAATACTGTCGCTACTCGCTGAAGGTGGTTAAGATTGCCCTGCGACTGAAGCGGCGGGAAGTCTATGTCCAATCACAACTGACAGCGTTGATTTACTACGTCTACAAGGAAATATAATCTCCACTGCAACTTCGGAATTGTACATTGTACATCGTGGATTGGATGCCCGCAGACATGGTCCAGAATGGACGCGGGACGCCTTACCTTTCCTTCGTATCTCGCATTCGAACACTTAGCGTACGGACAAGTGAAATGGTCGACAACTATTTTTTGTTTCGTTGCAGTGCACAAGGTATGACCTAGAACGCCTGAGCTGAAATGAATGCCAGGGCGACCAGGTTGATGTCTCCGACGCGGCTTGATGTGACCCTCAGTCGCACAAGCATCGTCTTTGTCTCTGTTCACAACAGCGGAAAGTCATTTCCGCTCCAAGAGTATTGCCCGGGGTTTTCTTGATCGTGTTCGTCCTCCATGAATCTGTGCATCTTGCCCTGCAAGCACCAAGGGTAGCAGAGTCTCGCCACTTTCAAGCTACATTAACACGCACCGATGGCAAAGCGTCTTCAAGTTTAATTAATCTCACTACTAGTGATAATCAATTGGCCCCATTTTGAGACTCCGAAGCGAACAATTCAAGTGCTTGGTGAGTTCTGGGCTCCGTGATAGGTCTCGCATTCTGGATACACTGCATGATGAGGACGGTGTTCATTTACACAAACTCATGATTTACATTCCCGCTGCATTACGATTGCGGAATACGAGACATAGGCGACGGTCCTCTAGGAACATCTGACCACGTAGTAGATGAGAAGCCAGGCTTCAGCACGCGTATATATAGGACCCCAAGTGCTTTGTACTCATGCAAGCCATCACAACGATTAAACTCAGATCAGCAAGAGAAGATTCAGTCAATCAATTTCAGTACGCTCTTGTCACACTCGTCTTTTTCAATACTTACGCCTGCCAGACCTGTACCACCAGCCGCCACCACCACCATGCAACTTCAATCCATCGTCACCATCGTCGCCCTTACCCTTTTGGGCACAGCAACCGCCATCCCTGCTGCTGCCCCGTTTCCAGAGGCCGTCGCAGTCACTGAAGCGGACGCTTCCATTCTCGAAGCACGCGTCACTCAGCTTCGCTGGAACGCGAAGAGAAGCGGCAGCGAGTGCTCCGCTAAGTGGAGCGGGGTTTGCTATGAACACTGTGTCACCGAGGGCACGGCTGCGTCACGCAAGTGCATCAGGGACACTATTACGAGTGCGATTGATGGCGCAGGGTGCGGGGTGTTCAAGAGCAAGTGCAAGTGTGTCTGCAACAAGAAGTAAGCCGACAGTGTGGGTGAAGGGTAGCCTCGCGTGTTATCTGTGCACCTAGGAACGAGTCGCTCTTTTGATCGTCTGCGCACGTGGTTTCTGTGTTAGTTACTGTATTCAATTTTTAGCCTCTCACGTTAAAGAGGCTCTATGAATGAATTCTGTACTTTCTGTTTTGAACTCGATCTAGCTCCCTAGGTGGAGACTCGAAAGTGAGAGACCCTGGGGAAATCGAACTAAAGTCCTCAGCGCCGCCTATCACGACATATCTAGAGAACAGTGTCGATGAACCAGCAGTTCATGTAGCGCAGTATCCCTGGTAAGCCTTAGCCCTCAAATATCCCAGCCTCTACCGCAACCTTCGTGTCTCAACGACCGCCCTTAGGCTCTTCGGGAGAACTCTACCCTGACTGGACCAGATGTCTCAAGCAAAGTATTCAGCTTGGGTGTGCAGTTGTTTTCTTCGACCTTGAAGTCATAGGTTTTCAAAAGCGTGACGAGGAACACTTTCACCGACAGCAACGCAAACTTGTACCCAACCTATAACGGTTAGCGTTGTATGGAAAGGCCCAAAGAGGTACTCACACAATCTCTTGTCCCTGATCCAAATGGCATGAATGGCCTACTCTTGTCGATACCGTTGAGAAAACGGTTGGGGTCGAATTCACCTGCGTCTGATCCCCAGTATTTGGGTGATGTATGCATGTGGAGATACGAGAGATAAACCAGCATGCCTGGCTTTAGCGCTACTGGCTTCTTGCATGATCTAATGCCAGTTTCTCGCTCAATGACTCGAAGTGTTGCAGGTACGCTTGGGTACAACCGATTGATCTCCATGACGACTGCGTCGAGGTATGGCATCTTCGTGGTCACTGTTGTGAAGTCGATCGCATCAAACGAATCAATCTCGGCCAAGAGCTTTGCAAGTATTTCCGGGCGCCTTTGCAGCTCAATCATTATCCATGTGATGTTGGAGCCAATACCGTGATGGCCGCCTGGAATCGTCAGTATGATGGCATCTAGCAACGACTTGTTTACTTACCGAAAACGTTGAGCCTCGCAAATTGAATAGCGAACTTTGTCAAAGGCCCGGATCGCTTACCGCCGTCGGCAACAGAAAGACTGCGGATGGTCTTCATTGGTGCTTCCGGATTGTTGCTCTCATACTCCTCTAGATGTTCGACGTTCCTATCGTAGATACTCTCAATCTCTGCCCGTACCTTGGCCTCGGATGCTACTGGCTTCCCAGGCTCTACGAGCCTGAAGAACAACATAACGGAGTACAGTGCAGAAGGCCATGGACTGCCAGCCCGTAGGTGTCGGCTGCCCGTCTGATGTCGGCAACAACTTCACCTCTGTCAAGACTCCCAGCGATGCTTTCGACGTGTGCAGAGGCAACTTCCATGATTCCATCGAACTTGCCGACATTTGAAGCGGGATTGCTGAATTCGCGATTGAACATACCACGCTGGCGCATGGCTTCATGACCCACGTCGTCGAATAGGTTGTTGTCGAGCAAACGAATGAGTGTCCAGAACGGAGACCAGCTAAAGACACGAGGGTCGCCCAAGCTACACAATATTAGACTAATTAGCAGAGAGAACTGTTGAGTTCACTTACCGCGATGCAACTTTGTCTGTAAATGCCAGCACCTCTTTGGCCATAGTAGGGTCATGCACTGACACCAGTATCTTGTTGCCAACTTGAGCATAGGAAATCCCATCGTCTGCCAAAGTGGTCAGTTTCTCCAACATCAACGCCATTCCGTCTCTGAAGTAGATCGGAATGGCACCCAAGATAGGATAGCCTTTAAGCTTCAGTATACCAGGCAGCGGGCTCTCGGATAGTGCAGAAGTCAGGGTAAAGAAGCCAAGACACATGAGCAGCCCAAGAGCAGCTGTGACAGATACTGGTGGAGTCATTTCCACCAGATACTCAGGAATCAAACCGCTAATCATGTCGAGCGGTAGCGTCTCCAGTGGGAGACTGATGTCGGATGAAGTTGATGAAAACGTGTTCTACTAATAAGCAGTGCATAAGTCGCTATTTATATTGCAATGAACGAAGATGTCTGCCAATACATATTTGCGCTGTGAAACTGTGAAGAACTAATGAGTAGGAATCGTCTGTACCATGGGTTTGACTGTAGGTACCCACCTAACTACGAACAAATCTGGTGACAGGCTGCTGGTGGAGTAATTCTGTGCCGTAGTGGTGCATGCCAGTGCCGAATCGAGAATCAAGTCCGACTGCATTTGTCCCAATATATTCGGAGACCAGAGGCAGAACAGCTTGGTGGGTACTTTGGTAGAGTGGAGACAACCGGTCCGTACCGAGATGTCTTGCCATTGCAGCGGTTGTTCTGACGTGCATGATCTGAACGTATACGAGAATGTGGTAAGCAATATTCGACTCTTTGAGCCGACCCCGGTTTACAAGCTTAACTTAGATTAGTTTACCGTTCGCCTCACACGGGTAAGCGTAGGAGCAGGATGCGTAGAGCCCACACAACGCTGCAATAAATGCTGCAGGAGACACTAGCTGACCTATCATGCAGGATGAATGCGGCGGAGGATCTGCACAAAAGAATGACACATGCGTTATGGCAGAACTGTGCTGCTGCTGCTGCCATATGTATACATGGTCTTGCGCATGTCATACTTTGACATGATCAAAATGTAAAGAGACGTCGTGCCACGATGTAGAGCTGGCTAGAGTGGCCAAAATGAATCTGAATCAGGAGCAGACTGCAAAGAGCCATAAATCAGCTCTCGGGTTCGCAGAATCAATCTGTTCGGGATAGTGTCTTCTTGCGATCCGCATGAGGAGCACATTGCAACTCGAGCTTTGCACATATTCGTCCATACAACCTAGCCTGAATGGCGAAAACCGTTGTTCCGAGTCTGTGTTCATCGATATAAACGGAGCCTTGGAGCTGGAAGACGCCGAAAGGGTGCTCTTGGCGCTAAACTCGAAGTCGTCAGTCGGAACTCATGGACCAGTGCCACTGTACAAGTCGCAGGTAAATCTGACTGTGGAGCTTGAATCCAGGGGTGGAGGGTAAACCCAAGTGTACGTTGTGATATTGTGTAGATCACCTGCTTGGTACACCACACAGCAGGTCCCGTCGAGCGGAACATCCCAAGTTTTCTGCGAAAAAGAATAATTTTGAGTGGAGGGTACTGATTAGAGGGACAAGGCCCTGATGTAAATCAGTAGTACTGGAGTCGTGATGTTGGCATCAAGCTCTAGCTTCCACAAGTGGCTAGATCAATAATAGTACCATGGTAGATGAAAGTCTTGCCCTCTTGCCCCTCACTTTTTGCCCAGACAGCTTGAACAGGGACACGATACTCCCCTGTATCCTGCATAAGCCCTAGATTCGGTACTGTTAGTCTGGCGCAGTACCAAGAAAGTGGGTTGCGCGTATCAACAATTACTGATAATATTGCTGATCAGAATACTTACAGGAAAAAGGGTCTTGCTCGCACTCTACAATCGAGGTAGATGTTGTCTAATGTTGCTAGTACGAAGCTTCTCTTAATATCCCTTTAAGCTCGTCCTCTCATATAGAAGGTCGGATTGCCCTGCGCTCACTTGTCATCTTCGCCATGATATTCCTGCTCTAACATGTCGCGAGCGTTCTTGGATGAAGCGCCACCCTTACCAATTGACTTGTCGAACTCGTGCTGGGGTCAAGCACCGCTCTTAGCAGAGCGCTTCTTGCGGGGGAGTATGTTCGCAGTCATTGACAGCGCCAGCCTCTTCGCGTTCGCAGATAAGACTCGGCGCTTCGGCCGCTTTAGTTATGGCTCTTGGGTCCTTGGTGTGGACAGGGAGTTCGAAATTCTCGGCGGCTCCATCACCCGTGGCACCATCCAAGGAGTTGTGCTGAACATAATCTTCGCTGAACTCGCTGTAGCCATACGGGAACGCGTCCATTTCACCATCCATTGCACCAAAACTCTCCTGATACACCCCTATGTCATTTATCTCTTCGTCGTCCCACGCGTGGACAATACTGATGCCAGTCAGCTCGAACATTTCCTCCTCCCTGAACTGCTCCAGTGACTCCAACTCTTCTGCAACATCTTTGAGGAGCTCTAGTGACCCATCGTCGTCTTCACCTGTTACTTCTGCGAGGGTCTCATGATAGACGGCCTCGGCAGTTGTGCGAAAAATATCCGCGTCACGCCAATTCTCAAGTGCGCATGCCACCAGAATGCAATTCTTAATAAACCAGTACGGCGGAAGCGTAGGGTCACTAACGAGAGATGGTAAGCAAGAGAAAACACAATGGAAAACGTGGAGAGCCAGCCGCAATAGACTTACACCAGGCTGTGCTTTGCGGCTGAAATGCAGCCTTGCAGGTCGACATCAAACAAAGCGCGCGATGCCTCGTACTGTAGACGGTACACGTCTGGATCTTGCTGTGTCTCTGCCATTGTTGCGCGAGTATTGTCAAGATGATAGGAAAGAGATCTTATAGGTAAGTTACGGTGGTTTCAAGAAGATGTTGCCTGTGGAATGTGGTTCGAAGTTGGACATGTAAGCAGGTTGCGGAAGAGGGAAACAGCGAACGGTAGCGTGTGGTGAAAGCATGCGCGCTAAGCCTAAATCGTCACGCGATCCAACAGCAAAGACATGCAAGCAAATTTCTTGGTGTGTCTGCCTATAGCTCTTCCTACTTTCATTCTGCCAAATCCTTTTACAGATCATCTAGACAACAGGCCAGCCGCTCGACCAGTCGATCTTGTTGATACCAAACTTCTTTTGGCCATCGCCGTAGCCAATGCGCGTATCGACATAATGGTAATAGAGGAGAGGGCCTTCTTTGGGGTCCCAGTAAACTCCCTGCCCACCCGGACCATAAACCCATCCATGGGACTCAAGCACGGTGGTACCACCTCCTTCAATGCACTTTTTGCCAGACTTGTCCACGAAACCACCAGTAGCACTGGTCGACCTGCAGACCTGAATCTTGTATTCAGCACCCTTTGCCGGGCGGTTCGTGTCGAAGCCACAACACTTGCCCGCAGAGAAGAAGAGGTAGTGGTAGTTGCCGTTCTTGGTGATGAAAGGGGCTTCCTGAGCGTGCTCACCTTCAGGCTTGAAGGCGATGTTGGCGGACGCTCCACCAGCGGTCTTCAAGGGGGGATTGTTCATGTTCACAGAGAACAGGTCATTCCAGAAGGAACCGAATGACGTAACGAACTTAGAGCCGTCCCAGTAAAGAGCACTGTCGATGGCGTTGTAGTTCTTGCCGGCCTTAGAAGTGATGCCAGTGCTTCCATGATCAGTCCACGACCCCACTTTTAGCGTCTTTGATGTGGCTACGCCGATGGCAGAATCTTGGACACCGAAGGAAGAGACGGTATAGTAGAGGTAGTATGTATCCCCAACCAGGGTAACATCAGGGGCCTAGCAAGAGTCAGTGGAATCAGGATCGTGTGTTTGGCTTCCTTACCCAGAGATCATCTTTGCCCTTCAAATTGATCTTAGATCCAGCAGGAACGACGGCACCCTTGTAAGTCCAAGGGCCAGTGACAGTAGGAGCAGTGTGAATAGCAATCTTGCCTCCAGTTGAGAATCGGTAGTAGGTGCCGTCAGAGTGGCGGATGAGGGCAGGGTCATGGGCGTTGTTGCAAACACCGGTGCAGGCCATGGGGCTGGCATAGCCATAGACGACACTGACTGCCGACAGCAGAGACGCAATCAGAGACGAACGCATCTTGGCGGTTAATAAACGAATGAATAGCCAAGAAGATGATCAACGACTGCAAGTGATGCTTGATACAACGTCAAGAGCCATTGCATGTATATAGCGTCTTCCAGAACCGATGAAGTCCCCATAATCTCGGCATCTTGTAGGAAGGGGCTCAGTAACCCGTCCTCTACTTTCAACGATGACCGGTGGAAACATACAATTCCAGGCAAGCTCTACCAGTGCCGTCCCGGAGAATTTACGGACAAAACCATGCCTGAGAGCTAGACCAACATAATAGAGTGTTTACAGGGGTCTCCTTAGATTTGACAGGGATTCGAACAGGCGAAGGAGCGCGTACCTGACCAGCCATGTCGGCCCCATGACGGTATATACGCCGATGAGGATGTTAGTAATCTTGGCCAAGGTGTGCGATCCGGGACTGTGCCTGATGTGGTCAAGCCTGCCCACGGGTCGTTGTGGGGCGGTAAACATGAAACACCACTGGGATCAGTTGCCGAGTCTCAATCATATCCACATCTCAAGTCGACTGTTCCAGACACATACAGCTCAGCACTGTCTCAAAGTCACGTCTGATGCTGGAGCCAGACGGATTGTGTGCTAATTACAAGAGTCCAGTGCGCTCGCTCTAAATGTACTGTATGATGCCGTTGTCGACCAAAGTTTATACTGCGACCCACGTCAAAAGAATGGATGCGACAAAACGACTGATAGGCGCAGAAGGAATACAGCAATCATCTTGAAACCGATCGAGCACACACGATGCCATGCCAAAGATGCCTGAGAGGTCCAATGCCAGGATCTAAGGCCAGGATCTAATATACGTCTGCCGGACCTCCACTAGGGTATCTACTGGCCAACTCGACAACGCCATTCTGGAAGCGTATTTGCCATATATTCGCCGTAGTTGCCGATGTGGAGTGACCACATGCGCCACACTTGCCAAGTGAGCCTGAGCAATTTGCCGCGAGTCTCGTGTACCTACAAGTGTTTCAAGCACGGGCAATCTGCCGATAGCCGCTGGCCATGACTCAACATGTATCGTCCACAGTAGGTATCAATGCGATACGGGATATATTCCGGGTACTGCCCTCAAAATGGAGTTGATACCAGCACCGTCTATATGTGCACCGTTCGCTGCTTGTCGACCGGACGCAGAGCGGATGTATCGATAGGGCTAACGTTAGCATTCAGGAGGCTTTGGTCGAGCTTGATAGTGCTCCTAGCTGAAGACGAAGCATTGTGTAGAATTGGTTAGCACTCAGCATGAATGCAATGCCTCGAGGCGTAAGAGCTAGACTGCCTTGGAGTACTCGGGTGTCGTTGGAAATTCCAGGCTGCCGCACGACAGGACATCAGCCAACGTGAAGCATCACTGCAACTTGCAGGCCTCTTCTGATAAAAAAAAACATTGGTAAAACCTGGTGTACGGTATAATAAGCTTGCATCGAGGGATGGCTGCGATTTAAGTATGGCGTGCTCCAAAGTTGATCACGAGCATGACGTCACGTGCGATGACGAGAAGGGTTCAGTGATAGAGGTAACTAAGATCAGTCGAGTGGATACAGCAACAGGAACGATTCTCGATAAATCCGCGATTGGTGAAGACGATCTCGGGAACAAAAGTGGTATGTAAATCCCCAAGTCTTATCGCTGCCCCACTTTTGTGGGTACCTCCACAGTGACTCAACCATCATCCAAAGAACATAAGAACATATACGACGTCGCAAACCACCTTCGTCTCTGTTTGCTCGACGATATGGCGATTCTTGAAGCCCTTTCTGGCGTGTCTGTAGAACGTCCCGTCACCCTGACAGCAGCGTTCCTCGGCATCCTCCTTCTGGTCCGTACCATCTATCGAATCTACCTCCACCCACTATCCCACATACCTGGACCCATCTTGCCTAAAAGTACATCGTTGTGGTTGCACTATCATGCATACATCGGCGACGAAGCCAGTACTATCCACCGTCTTCACGCACAGTATGGCCCGTACGTGCGTGTAACGCCGAATGAAGTCGACATTAGCGATGCTGATGCCATCCATCCCATCTATGTCTCGAAGGGTGGATTCATGAAGGCGCCCTGTTACGCGAACTTTGACATCGATGGCCACAAGTCGATCTTCTCAACGACGAGCCCTGAGTATCGCGCGCCGAGAGCTAAAGCAGTGGTGCCTATGTTCTCGACGAAGAGTTTACGGGAAAATCAAGATGCGATTGCTGGATGTGTGAATAGCATGATAAAGAGGCTGGGAGAAGAGGCACGCACTGCACAACCAGTGAATGTGTTGAATTTAACAAGAGCACTAGCTGTTGATGCTGTGTCGACACACTTGTTTCGTGAGAACTATGATGGCGTGAGCGAGAAAGGCCCAACTCTGAGTGTGAGCGCTTTTGTTGATGCTTTTGTGGCTGTTGGACGCTTTTTCTATTTGCCAACACCTGTCTTCATCTGGCTAGAATGGGCGATTGGGAAATGGATGGCCGATCAAGAGACGGAAGAAAGCATGACACTCGTTGATAAATTTGTCAGCAATCTGGTATCTGGCACTTCTGCGAAGTCGCAAACATATCCAGGTCGTTTGATGGCCGCTGGTATTAGCAATGCCGAAGTCGAAGCGCAGTGCAAAGATCTGCTGTTCGCTGGTACAGATTCGACAGGCATGAACCTGGCAACTATCATCAGAGGCCTAGTGATGCACCCCGAGAAGTATGAAAAGTTGAAGGAAGAAGTCAATCGGAATGCTTCGCTAGGTGCAGAAGCTGAGGATATTCAGGCTCTGCCATACCTCACTGCAGTCGTCAAGGAAGGCTTGCGTGTCAGCATGGCAAACCCTACACGCCTTCCACACGTGGTTCCAGCAAATGGCTGGATGTTCAAGGGTACATTCTTCCCTGCAAAGTCCATAGTTGGGTGCTCAGCCTACGAGCTCCACTTCGACGAAAACGTTTTCCCTGAGCCACGCAAGTTCATACCTGAACGTTGGCTCAGTGCCACAGAAGCCATGTCGAGGTCGTCGTTCGCTTTTGGTGCCGGCTCCCGCCAATGCATTGCTAGAAATTTGGCGACACTGGAGCTACACCTTGCAACAGAGCAACTAGCCATCAGCGGAGTGCTCGACGGCGGGCGGGCAGTTGACCAAGGTGATGTCAAGATCTACGAGTGGTTCAACTCCAAAGTCGAAGGAGAGAAGATTGAGGTTATCTGGTCATGAGGATAAAAGAGAGTCAGTGCCAGCTCATCAAATATGTGTGTGCTTCCTGGTGCGTAGATCTACATTATCTTAAAATACGTGCCTGTCTTTTTTAGTTATACTATTATTCTCAGACCATGTTGCGACGTTTGTTTTGAACTCGGACTAATCTTTTCCAGGTCTCAGATACTCTCCATGGAGCTCACAATGGAGAAGACCATAATTCAGAACTCTACATCGAGTTTTCAGACCGCATCGGCCTCTCCCTGCTTCCACTTTCAGTCGGTCTCGCGAGATAAGCGCGTGTGGAATTACACAGGGGTAAAATTCGTTTAACATCAGCTGCGCAGTTGACATAATCCAAATCTGACCTCGAACAAGTCCATCATATCAACCACGCTTGAACCTTTGACGAGAGCCCTTATGCCGTACCAGCAAAATATGCACATCTCTTCCACCTGCTTTCACACCCAAGTGCCGGCAGAAGTCCGAAACACGATACTTCGGCAGGTCGTTGGCAATGATTGCTGCATCGACAGCGCAGAAGATCCTGGGAACTTTACGCTTATCAATAATTCTGAGCGTCATGCCAAAAAGATTGCGTCCATGTTGTGAAGAATCGCGCTGGCTATTCTAGACGGCCAAGGCTACGACTCTTCAAATTGTCTGATCGCGTCAATGGTACCTTTGATAAATCTATCGGTTTTGTGGCGCCGACGGTCAGATACGATTGGAATTGGCGTCGCTGCTCGCCACTATGAGAACTGTCCTGATCTTGTTTAAGGACGTGCACGAATTCTTCACAGCATTCCTCGCCGGCTGGTCAAGCGTCCTGTTCTTTCCCCGAACCGGTACATGCTGTGACGTTGTAGCAAGTGCCGGAGGTACTCGGAGAGGTTATACTGAAGATCTAATCCGGAAGAACATGGTGTGGCAATACATCCTGTCGATCGAGAGTTATGCTAGAAATTTCATCTCACGAAGCATTGTGTCGCTGTGGAAGGCCAAAGCTTCTCATAGCGACATGGGGTCTTCGTCACTGTACTGACTACTGCTTGTGCTCCCCACACTCGACTGTGCGATTTCCTGGAAAATATCAACCCCAAATGTAACCTTGGACTCTTTGGTATCATAAAATCTGGACTGCTTATCAATGTCGATTTCGAGCAAGGGAGCATGCGCACGTCGCCAATCATGCGGATATTGCTGGTTCGAGCAGAATTTGGCAAACTCGGCGGCTACCTATCTCATCGATGAAATACCTGCATGTTGCCGATAGCTAGTCGTGCATATTGATCACTGCAGGTACGATAGTGGCACACGAGATTCCGTTGGAGTGGTAATTCGAGTTTAGAACAGAGAAGGTCTGGTCTGCAGGAGGAAGACATCAAATGGTATACGGATGTCGACGGCTGGATTTAGAAGAGCCAGCTTAACTTTTCTTTCTTTCGAAGGTGTACAAGGCGTCATCTTCGAAAAGGCGGATGAGGGAAATCGGACGTTCGACATGGGGTCGGAACGAGGAAGGCTGCCCAAGCGCTAGGGCAAAGCGGAACACAAGATCGCTCCTCCATGTCGAGCGCAGCGCGCCTTGGCTCAACAAAAAGCTTACGAATTAACAGACCCATCTACTTGTTAGTGTGCTCGTTCAATTGAGGTTGCACAAGCTCGATTCGAGACCGTGTCGTGCTTCCGGGTGACGCCCTTGCTTGGCCAGCACCTCGGTAGTGGGACTGGCTGTCCCGGTGCATGGGACAAAGACAACTGCATTCCATCTGTATGCCACGTGCAAAGTATATTTCCAGTCAATGGATGTTCAACGTGTGACCATCCAGAAACTTCGCACAAGTGTGCAACCGGTGCAGGGCGGAGGAATGTAAACCAGTGATAGACTTCACGAGCCATGACGTTGGCCGTTCGCGGCTGTGCAGCGGATGACAAGCCGTTGTCCGTGGGACGGCCGGATCAGACGAATAGCGTGCGCCTCGATGCTGGAGTACCTGCACATCAATGTCATCAATGAAAGTGGTCCATTGAAGTAAGGGGAATTGAGTATAACTACGAAGACGACGATGGCGCCATTCTTAAACGGAGCTTAAGACTCAAACCAATTATTTAATGGACTCGCTTCTGTCTACCAACCGTTACGGAGGGCCGAGTATCTGACAGGATGACGTCATGCAGCGGCCAAAGACATCGTCAAGCGAGGTTTTGCGGGGAACCTTCGCTTCTCCACCATGCACTGACACCAAGCTGCACGCGACGACCCACAAACATCATAATCGATACGATTCCGGTTGTATTGCCAAGGTCTGACTGCGCTTGTCTGCGCTTGTCCCCAGCACGATGACCAGCCACATACGTGTCACACAGACTCGTCTGTGCACAGCTTCGGCAGCTATGGCAGGTTTCTTTGACGCTTGCCGTCGTACGACCGGGTGCATGCGCCGGTCTACAGGTACATAATGGATGTTATCGTGCCGCCATGAGCGAGTCTGCCTTTCCTGGGATTTTCTCGCTCTGACCTGTCTATTGGGAAGAGTTCACAATGCGGTCCTTCGCCCTCCTTGCTGGCGCGCAATTGGCGTCTGCCTTGTATCAGAATGGTTCTGTCATTGCACCCTGTGACTCGCCCATCTACTGCTACGGAGACTTGCTCCGTGAGATTGAGCTTGCTCGCCCTTTTTCAGACTCAAAGACTTTCGTCGACCTGTAAGTGTTGACATGCGAACCAAGCTAGCATCTTATTGACAAGCTTTAGACCTACAATCCGCCCGCTGGATGAAGTTCTGGCAGCTTTCAGCAATCTTACCAAACCTATTCAGAACAACACTGCATTGAATACTTTCTTGACTACTTACTTTGGTGAAGCGGGCTCAGAGCTGGAACCCGTACCCACAGACGAGCTTGAAACCCAGCCTGACTTTCTTGAGAATGTCAACAGCTCCGTTATTGTAGACTTCACTCGCCAAGTGATTGACATCTGGCCCGATCTTACAAGAAGATACGTCGGAGCGGGCAACTGCACTGGATGTGTCAACTCGTTCATCCCTATCAACCGCACCTTTGTCGTAGCTGGTGGCCGTTTCCGCGAGCCTTACTACTGGGACTCATTCTGGATCGTCGAGGGCCTACTACGCACCAAGGGATCCTTCACTCAAATTGCGGAGAACATTATTGAGAATTTCATGGATCTTGTTGAGGAAATTGGCTTTGTCCCCAACGGTGCCCGAAGATACTACGAAAACCGTTCGCAGCCGCCGCTACTGACTCAGATGGTTCGTGTCTATGTTGAGTACACTCAAAACTACACTTTGCTCGAGCGAGCCCTGCCTGTGCTCGAGCTCGAGTACGAGTTCTGGGTCAACAATCGCTCGGTGACACTCGAGCGCGGTGGCAAGAACTACACTCTCCACCACTACAACGTCTCCAACACCCAGCCACGCCCTGAATCATATCGCGAGGACTACATCACAGCAAATAACCTGACCTATTTCAATGAAGAGGGCGAGCAGTTCAACGCAAGCCAGCCTCTCACCGATGACGAGAAGGCAGTACTATACGCTGATCTCGCGTCTGGAGCCGAGTCCGGCTGGGATTATACATCACGATGGTTGAAGAACCCCTCGGATGCCGTGAACGACAACTTCTTCCCGCTCCGCTCACTCAACGTAATCAACACGATTCCCGTTGAGCTGAACTCAATTCTGTACTACAATGAGATGACCATTGCCGAATTCCACCGTCGCGAAGGCAACTACAGTGCTGCGCGCCAGTGGTCCGAGATCGCCAGGAATCGCAGCGAAGCCATGACCGCCATCCTATGGAACGCTGAGCATTACAGCTACTTCGACTACAACCTGACGTCCAGCGCACAGAATGTCTACACTCTTGCAGACAACACCAGCACGCCTCTCGCTCTTGCTGGCGCGCCATCTGGTTACCAAGTCGGTTTCCAGCTCAGCCAGCTCTTCCCCTTCTGGACCGGCGCTGCTCCCGAGGCCATCAAGCGAGACCCCAGCGCCATCCGCCGCGCCTTCTCTCGCGTCGAGGAGGCGCTCGACACCGAAGACGGTGCCCTATCTGCTACCAATCTGTTCACAGGCCAGCAGTGGGACGCGCCCAACGTCTGGCCGCCGCTGCAATACACCACGATCCAGGGCCTACTCAACGCGCCGCTGGAAGCCAGTGAGGATGACGACGACCAGACCGCCGAAGACTACATCTGGACGCAGGACCTCGCGCTGCGCCTCGCCCAGCGCTACACAGACTCCCTGTACTGCACCTGGCGATCCACCGGCGGTGCCACAGATGAAGTTCCCCAGCTCCCTGGCGCAGATGGCAACGGCACCATCTTTGAGAAGTACTCCGACGAAGCGATTAACGCGCGTGGTGGAGGCGGCGAGTACACGGTCGTTGAGGGCTTTGGGTGGAGTAACGGCGTGCTGATCTGGGCGGTTGACAACTTCGGGCAGAAGTTGTCAACGCCGGATTGTGGGAACATCACGGCGGCTGCGCCGCCTGAGGCGAGGAGGAAGAGGAGTGCCGTCGAGATTCACAAGCGTGATGCGGCTTGGATCAAGGGAACGAAGGAGAACAAGATGTTCCGCAAGAGATGAGCGGTGGTTGTATAGTTGATCTTGCGGTTCACGTTGGTTTCATGTCATAATTGTAATCAGGGGAGCAAGTTCCGCTGTCTCTTGACGACTACAGTGTGCTCATGCGATGAATGCCATATGATTTATTTTACACCATATGGAGCCACCTGAAGATCTGAACTCACTCCATTAACCCTCATGAAGAACTACTGGTTACAGCAAGCAAGGTCACAGGTACAGTCCAGGGGTAGGCAGGGAGTGAATGCGAAGATTCGGTCATGACAACCCTGACTCTCGATTATTTTATTGACTTACTTTAACAACGCTTACCTTCCTGTCGACCAACAATTACAGCAGATTCCCCTGCTCTACCTACAACTCCACATACTCCCCCCTCCCGACCTCACCCCTCCCCCAGCTCTCCAAGAAATCCCCAACCCTCCCAGCCATCCCCTCCGCATCAAATCCGAAATGCTTGTACACATACTTCCCTGGCAGCGAGTGCCCGAACCCGCTCATATGCACGCCCGCATCCGCCCACCGCTCCCACCCCAGCGCCACATACGGCTCGACCACCACCGCCGGCACGCCCTCATGGCGCCGCAGCACTGAGCGTTGGTACGCGAGCGGCTGAGCACGGAACAGCGCGTGCGACGGGAAACTCACCACACGGGCGGACGTCCCGCGGGAGATCAGTATGTCCGCGACGCTCAGCGCGAGGTGCAGTTCCGCGCCGGCGCTGATCAGGGTTATGCGCGCGTCGGGCGCGTCGCGGAGGACGTACGCGCCCTTTGCGACATCCGCGCGCTTCGTGAGCCCCGATAGCTGCGGCAGCGCGTGGCGACTGACACTGATCATGCTCGGGCCGTGTCTATTCGCGACCGCGACCAGCCACGCGCCCGCCGCCTCCTCGCTGTCCGCAGGCCGGATATGGGTCAAGTGCGGCATGGCGCGGAACAGTGCCGCGAGCTCGACGGGCTGGTGCGTGGGCCCGTCCTCGCCGGCGCCGATGGAGTCGTGGGTTGCGATGTGGATGGCGGGGAGGCGCTGGAGGGCGCCCATGCGCACGGCGGGCGCTGCGTAGAGGTAGAACATGGCGAAGGTGGAGGTCACGGGGAGGATGGTGAATGGGGAGTAGGCTGCCAGTCCGTTGGCGATGGCGCACATCAGGTGCTCGCGGATGCCGTAGTGGATGTAGCGGCCGGAGTAGGAGCCGCGGGGCCCCGAGGTGGGGATGAGGGAGGGTGGGTTGAAGGTTTGGTAGTTGGGATGCGTGAGGTTTACGGAGGGGGTGAGGTCGGCAGTACCAATCATGAAAGTAGGGGCTTTGGCGAAGAGCTCGGCCATGGCGAGATTGTTGGATTTGCGGGTTGGTGTTGGGTCGGTGGGGAATGAGGTCGGGATCATGGACTGCCAGTTGTCGGGCAGCTTGCCGGCCATACGGTCTTTGAAGGTTTGAGCTAGGTCAGGATGGGCTTTGGTATATGCGGCGACGAGGTCAGTCCATTTCTGCACGTGCTGGTCGCCACGCTGGGGGATGTCGGCGTAGAATTTCTTGACTGTGTCCGGGATGTGGAAGTGCTTCTCTGGGTCCCAGCCCCAGGCTTTCTTCATGGCAGCGACGTTGTCAGCGCCGAGGGGTGCGCCGTGGGAGACGGCTTGGCCCGCTACGGCGCTACCCATACCGATGATAGTGCGGACGTTGATGAAGAGCGGTCTCTCCCTAGTCTTGTCTCTGCCCTTTTCCATTGCTGCGACAATGCCCGCAACATCGTTGTTGCCATCTTCAATATTGATGACCTCCCAACCACAAGCTTCCATCTTCCTATTGACATCTTCAGTGTTCGTCAGATCTACGCTGCCATCACAGCTGATTTGGTTGTTGTCATAGATTACGGTGAGGTTGCCGAGTTCCAGATGACCAGCATAACTGAAGGCTTCACATCCAACTCCTTCCTGCATACATGCATCACCGATGGTGCACCATGTGTGGTTATCAACAACATCGTAGCCCGGGCGATTGAAAGTGGCGGCGAGGTGCTTCGTTGCCATTGCCAGGCCAACCGCGTTTGCAATGCCTTGCCCCAGGGGCCCGGTGGTAAGCTCGATGCCCTCGTGCTCGATTTCAGGGTGTCCAGGACACAGACTGTCGGGTCGTTCCGAGTGGTATGAGAGGAGTTGCTCCCATGTCATCGCTTTGTAACCGGAGAGATATAGATTAGTGTACTGAAACAGACATGTGTGGCCGTTGGACAAGACGAAGCGGTCTCGATTAAACCAGTCGGGCTGTTGTGACGCGTATCTCATGGCGTACTTCCAGAGGGCTACACCAATCGCAGCCATTCCTATGGCCCCACCAGGGTGTCCTGCAAGATATCAGATGTGGCTTTGGGAGCATGGAGTATCTACTCACCCATGCCGAACTGCTGGCATAGATCTGCTATAAGCAGTCTGAAACTCTGCAACACAAGCTGCATGTCATCTTCGCTTGTCTGTGCCGGTGCTGTAGGTTTGTGTTCGTCTTCAACAATCTTCTCGATAGCGACCTCTCCATAGGCCGTCGACCCGTTCGTTGTGCCATTTACGCCGGGCATTGTGGAGTTGAATTGGTGCACTGAAACAACGAAAATGGAAACGAAAGGCGTGCGAACAGTGGCAGTTCTAAGAGAAGCGATTATTGCTCCCAACGTGTAGCTGGATTGTGGTCTACAAGTACTTTATCATCAAGCAACGACGTCAGTGTCAATCTGTAATTCCCTACCAAAAATCTCATGTTGATGCTTCGGGTTGCCCGATTAGGCCGACACCCAGATCAACGCGGGGAAGCTCGAGGCGCCGTGAACCAGTGGGGACGCGCTCCGGCGATGCGATTCTGGGGATTCCCATGTGGCGCCATATAGCCGTCGCCACTTGTAGCCGGCTTGCCTGACTTGTCGACGAGCGGTGGTTACCATTGCCTGTCGCTGCTGCAAATACTATTCCCGGTTTCTGCAGAGACAGTTAATGGATCAGGACGTTCTGTACGTGTTGGACACTGGCGTTGTCACTGATGTTGGTACAGATGCTTCAAATCTCATAAAGCCGAAGTCACGAGACCATCGAGTGTCCCCTCCAATATCACCGCAACACAGCGCAACTCACATGGAAAGTATTAAACCCATAATATTCATTCTACAAAGCCTTCGATCCATCGATCAGGGCACATTCCGAGTTAGCAAGGATCTCAAGGAGTGAGGAACCCGGAACCCAACCCGAACGCCCCCGCATGGTATCGTAGCCGCTGATCGTAAACCGTCCGACAGCAAAGAAAAAAAAGAGCTAGGAGATTCGTAACGTATTAAGTACAGTCGTGGAAGTCTTGAAGATGTATACTTGGGAATCTGGAAGGCCGTTGTTATGCTTTGTAATGTGCGCAATGTGTGATGGATTGTGTGATGCTTATGTAGTGTAGCCTGTAAGCAGTTGGAGTGGTCTGGCTATGGTGAGTCGTGGGGCGGCCTGATATTTGGTTTTTGAGGTTTCTGGTCGGAAGCATTGGATGGATCCAGGTTGTCTGTCTTCGAAAGGGTCGAAGAGCGAACGCATGACCGTACTGTCGATGGCGATGTCGAGGTTGTAGTCGTTCGTGAACTCTAGTGAGCGGACCTGCCGTCCGCTGTTAAGCGGAGAGGCACTAGTTTCGGCTCCAGGACGACGGCGCTGAGACGGAGGCCAGGAAGTCATGCGTTGAGCTGAGTCTTTGCGTTTCCCTGCCTGCCTCAGTCGAGCCAGTGCCGCTATGTGCTCAGTAAATGCATCTCGCTGTACGCGTTCCCAATGATCCAAGGCTCCTTGCGACAGTGCCTCGGGCTCAGGCCGGACAGTGTTGGCGTGGACTTCATTGAGTCTTTCTAGACGGTCAGTGGAGGCGCGACCAAAGACTTTCGCCCACGAATGCACTGATGTTTCAGGATCCCTCTCAAGATGGCGTATGCCACGCTCGTGACGGTCGGCAGTGATCCAGTACAACGTGCGTGTCCTGACTTGATCGCCTCTCTAGGGCTGTCGGTAAATCATGGAGACGCCGTTGCTGCACTCAGACAGTTCCTCGACGTAGACTGGGAAGTTGTGGGCCATTGAAAGGTTTGAAGAAGAAAGGTCCTGGCCATAGTTTGGTGGTTCGCCCTTTGCTTCAAGCGTCCTGTCTGGCGTTGATGGCCTGTCATTGAAATCATTGTCCTCGCCCCGACCGAATGCAAGAATGCTCGATAAAATTGAGCGCTCGCATACATTTGACCCCTGCCCCAACCACTCACTTGGCCTACACAGCATCAGCACGCGCGCCACACGCAGCGGCTAGTGGTACCGAGGAGGAGTGCCCTGGCCGTTTGGCACGCCGTTGGGCTGGAACTCCATCTCGCGGGCCATGACCTCGCGCGTCTGCGGGAAGTAGGGCTCGACGCCGTACGTCTTAAGGTAGCTGGCTGTCTTCTCGATACGCTTGATCTCGCGCTGGACGTTCCACTCCTCGCCCTCGCCGAAGCGGCGCTGCACGACGTCGACCATGGCGGCGTCGAGGCGGCTGTAGAAGTCGCGGCGCGCGGCAATGTCGGCGCTGTCAGCGCTGTCGAGGCCGCCGTGCGAGTTGAGGTTGCCGCCCAACTTAAGGATCAGATCGAAGGCATATTTGGGTCCCTGGGGCAGCAACGTCAGGCGCTGGATGTCGGGCAGGAACTTGAGCATGGATGAGGCGAAGTGGGCCGACGAGATGGAGTCGTTGAGGTCGTCCTGCAGGCGGTGCAGATCGAAGTTGACGATGGTGATCTTACGGTCGAGCTGGGCGTTGAGCGTGTGGGCGGCGTCGGGGGTGGTGGTGTCCATGATCTTGGCGATGGCCGAGGGCACGTCTGTGGGGCAAGGGTTAGCTGCGCACTGCAATGCGGGGATAATGGGCAGAAGTATGAAGCTACGTAGGCAGCGGAGAGTAGGGGCAGGAGAGCGTACCTGGGCGCAAGCCGCGCTTGTCAATCCAGCTGTGCACCTCAGCGCGCTGGGCTTCGAGCTGGTCGATCCACGTCTGCATATCGGCAAGCTGGCCCTCGAGCTGCTCAATCTTCTCTGTGTACGGGCGCACCGCCTGGTTGAAGGCAGCGGCTAGCAGATCGGGCATTGGCTCGGCCTTGACGGCGCCCGTCCCAGGCACTGGCGCACCTAGGGGCATGCCGTGGCCGTGGGCGCCGTGGGTGCTGTGGCCGCCATTGGACATGCCGCGGACGGGCAGAGGTTGCTCCTGGCGCGGGTACATGTCGGCTTCGTCTTCGGGGTCCTGGGTAACGGGCGGGGCGGCGCGGCTGCTCTCGGGGCGCTTTTCGCTGAAGTCGTCAGAGGATTGGCGGTGGCCGTCGTGCTCTACGTAGCTGTTGGCGCGGGATGAGCGGCGTTTGAAGAACATGGTGGGAGGGGGGGCGGCCAGAACGAGCGTGTCAATATATGGCGACGACGGGCAACGCAATTTCGGCTCGTGTAGCTACTGGCGGGGGGTTGGGTGAGCGAACTGGTTCCGGTGATGCAGCGCCGTGGCTGGGCGTCTTGATCTTATCGGGAGGTTGGGGGCGGCCTTTCGTTGCACGGGGCGATGGCGTCGCACAGTCGGCGCAAACACGCACGGAGCAGAGAAGGGCGAGCGAGCGGCAGCAGCAGCAATGCGTGTAGCAATGCGTAGCAATGCGTGCGGTAATAATGCTTGTCTGTCGACGATGCAGTGCTGCGACTGTCTGCTCGCTGCCCGACCGCGGTCCACCACGAACGAGCTACTCGAGCTAGTACCCGCTCCTGCCGGTGCCCTGATCCACTCCAGCCTGCGCCAATCGGTAGCGCCTACGCGCTCCCAAGCCGCCAGTTGCGCAGCCATCACACCACGCGTTGTGCCTTCCGCGCGTCGTGTCATAGAACTGTTCGCGAGCTGAACCGCCTGAGCTGCATGCGTCGAAAGTTATAGGTCTTCAACGACGCCAGAGCTATGACGACGTTCACTGGCGATCTGTTGCTTGGACGACAGATCCCCCACATCACAGACCACGGCCTACGCGCCGCAGGGGGCGACCTGCAAGCACAGACAGTGGGTTTCAACGGCGGCCACATCACCGGGGAGATCGCGACTCGGCTCGCAATACCGTCAGTAGTTTGTAGTTCACCTAGCAACGCAAGCGCTTGCTGTAGAAGTATTGAAACGGACTCTCGTCACGCTGCGGTTGATCGTGAAGTCAAAGGAGCACCTTCCGAGCAAGGCGAGGCGAAAGCGGACAGCATGTTGAGATTACTGTAGGAGGGAGCACGCAGATATGCTCGTTCTCCAGCGTCATACGCAATCATCACATGCAAGTATCATATCCAACGATCCTCCGCAGTAAGCTTTCCTTCGATACGGTCATTTCAATTATTACACTTTCAGTGTAGCCGTCTGCTTAAGCACGCCTAATCCGGTCGTAGCGTCCGAGCCTGCCTTCCCGTTTGAGCAACACTTCACACCAACGCCCCAGAGCATGTGCTACTCCATATTCTTACCATCACTGCGATATGCCCACGCCCAAGCGGCGCTCGCGACCCTGCGAGGCATGCAGGGACCGCCACCTCAAATGCACGCTCTACCTTGCACGTCTGAATTCGACCTGGCTCACTCTGTACAGGTGATGTCGACGAAACCGAAGGACCATGTGACAGTTGCAAGAGCGCGGACATGACTTGCAAGAAAGCACAGAAGCGACTTAAGTTTCGAGACGCAAAGAAGAGCAAGACTGTAGGAAGCTTTTCTGAGCTACAGCCGTGGGTGAGGACTGAGGCACGTTTGGAATTTCGAGACGTGACGTTGAAGGTCGCTGAAGCTTCCGATAGACACGGTGTACGTGCAGAGACTGTTCATCAGCAACCACAGGAAGCTCAAGTTCCCTCTGAAATCTCTGCACATGCCAGTGTGGATCTATCACCAACGACCATCGCAGCTACCCCTTCACCTACCGTTGAACCACGTTCGTGCGATCGATTACCCAAGTATAACACCATACTAACTGAGAGTCACAGCACTCGTTCAATTCAATACACTCCCCATCAGCATCCAAGAAGCGTGTCTGATCCGCCACTTCACGGCAGAGCTGGCTCATTCAGTTCGTCCCAACAGTCTCGATCCTGTCCAAGTCTCCCTGACCGTCAATATTGTAGTTCGATGCCACTGACCATGATGCTCACTATGCACTCACCATCCCGCATCGTGCACTGATAAGCCCGGTGGTGTTGTACGCCATCTGTACTGTTTCATCTCGCCTGCTCACCAGTAGGTGGTACAACAAGACGCCGAAGCCAACCATTGTGCATTACGACAATGTGCCGCTACCGGATCTGAACGAACATTCAGCAATCCACTATCACAATGCATGTCTGCGCCTGCTTATGGACTTTGCTGACATACCGGCCGACGAAGCGAATGCTGAAGCAAGAGCCGATGCACTCGCAGCAACTACCATCTTGAGGACTTACGAGCAACTTGACAGTCAGTCTGTTGATCTTGACAGATTATTCCGGTACACTGACTCTTCCAGCCTCGCTGACCGGTCTTGATGCAGAAGTCATCCAAGGCGTAGTGCAGACGGTCATGTCGAAGCACCACGCCGTATCGATCTTCTCGCTCGACAATATGGACAAGAACAATCGTGACGCACGTGGTGTGCTAATTCCTGCAGAAGGACTCCGCACTTCCGCGTGCCTAGTTGCTTTGCGCCAGGAGATTTGGTCAGTAGTCATGTACCGCAGGCCGTTCAGGCTGCCGCTTGAAGAGAACATGGACTACGCCTCCCTCAGTCCGACAGACGACTTCACATGGGCAAACAGGGTGATTCTGTGGTGTGCAGATGTGCTACGGTTTTGCTTTGGATCAAGTGCAGAGGCTGCAGACACACACCAGAACAGCATTTGCGCGGACGACAGATGGCAAGCTCTGAAGGTCTTCGACGAGCGCTGGATATCCGACACGCCATCAGCCTTCCAGCCACTGTTCCAGCACCCTGCAAACTCAGATAAAGAACACTGTTTCCCGGTCATATGGCAGATAAACAACGCCCACGTCACCGCAATCCAACACCTGCACCTCGGCCGCATGCTGCTTGCCCTCCATAAGCCCCAACAACCACGCATCGGCGTTAGAGCGAGCGCACACGACGCCGCTATTGAACGCGAACTTCGGAAGTCAGTTAGGGTGCTCTGTGGCCTCGCACTCGGCGACACGCGGTTTCAGTCAGGCATGACCACGGCCGCGGTAGGGATCAGCATCGGCGGAGCGTTCTTCGAGGACTCGCAGGAGCGCCGTGCAATCGTATCATTTCTAGAGGCGCTAGAAAATGAGCATTCGTGGCCGACGAGGGCGATGGTTGGTGCGCTGCGGGAGGCCTGGGGCGGTGCTATGGGACATGAGAACTCTTTTGACGCTCAAGGAATATATGTTCCCACATAGGCATGCGTATTCCAAGGCCAGATCAAGACGTATGCAACAAGATCTCCGACAAGTGCACTTCCCAGGCTAGTTTAACAACTTACACACGTCACGCTCCGCCTGACTCACATATATCACGCGTCGACACACTGCGCGCCCGCCACACATCGAGCGTGACGCTATCGATTCCGACCATCCGCACAGCCCCCACTGCTTTTCTCAACAAGACATATGGACATCGTCCATGATTTTTTCGACTCATTGCTTGGAGCAAACAACGGCGCTGTTGTTTTCATTGCTGGGTCAGGGAAACCAGAGCGAATAGGTTGGATCTTCAGCCATTCAAGCAATTCCTTCATCTTTCGCCGCTTCGCAGAGCGCCGCGGAACACATCAGATCCATCATAGATACTTTCGACTCGTCATCGGGGGTTAGGGAAGAGTGCTGTTGTTTTCATTATTGGGTCGTGGACGCTGCTCACTCATGTTATGGATGTTTTGCGACTTCAGTCATCTGCGCGATCTACAGCTGTTTCCGATAGGGTTCGCATGCACACAGCGCCGCAGAACACATCGGAAGTTTCAGTTGGACTTTCAAGACATTAATCAGAGCAGATAGGGTGGTCTTTTACATCGATGGATTTGAACACCGGCACACAAAAGTAGAGTGGATTTTTGTGCGCTTCCAACCATCTACTGTATTTCCGAGTCTTTTTGCCGCTTCGCACATACAGTGCCGCAGAACACATCGGACGTTCTCTTAGTAGTTCCAACTCACAACACAGAGCAGGTAAAGAAGTCTTTAATTTCGGTAGGTCGAGAAATCACATACATCCGAAGTGAGTGGTCAGAGTTTCGGTCACTTGACCAAAGCCTCCAAATTTCGGTTCCAGGCACATAGCGCAGCGGGACACATGGTCATTTGCCCAGTTACATTCTCATTACTGTCGAGTCTGCGAACACCGCCCGCCCATCGATCTTGTTCTTTGCCCTATTAGAATATAGCTGGTTGTGCCCACTGCTTTCTGCCATGTAGTCGACGTTACTACCTTTTCAATTTCGCGTACGGCGCCGCAGAACACATCTTGATTTTGGCCATAACTTTCGAGGCGGTGATGAGATGAGTGGATCGGAAGAGGCCGCGCACACATATATGGAGGTTACTTGATCTTTGGCCATCCAACCAGGCACGTTAGGTTTCGAATTGGGTTTTAGACAAAGCGCAGCAGAGCACATGTTCTCTTTCGTAACAAGCTTCTTTTGATTCATTTCACAAAGAGAATAGGATAGTTGTTGTCATCGCTTCTGAGTAGGGACACGGCGCAAAGTGAGACGGATCTTTCGTCTTTGGCCATGTAAATGGGGGCTATTCTTTTCGGGTTCGCACAGCGACGCATAACACATCAAGTTCTTGATCGCGGACTTTAACGTGTAGCGTAGATCAGACAGAGGAGATGGGTTTATACTGTTGGATCGTGGCAACCGCGCACACATAACGCGTATTTTTACGGCATTTCAGTCATAATCAGTTGTTGCTTGTTCTTTCTAGGTTCGCACACAGCACCACAGAACACATCGTCATCACTCGCTTTGTTTTTCTCGATACATAGCTTCGGGCAGGCAGAAGAGTTGTTATCGCTTTCGAGTTCGTGAAAACCGCACACACATCCAGTGATCTTTTAGGTGTTTGCAGTCTCCCATGAAGTGTTCCTGGTATGGTTTTAGACACACCGCCGCAGAACACATCGCTTCTCTTCGAACATTGTTTATTCTCAACGCAACGCGCAGGGAAGACATCAGCGCGTTCTTCATCACTTCCAACTTCGTCGACACCGCGCGCACATACGCGGTCTCTGTCTCGTTTTTGTTCAGGCGACCACAACATTACAGTCTTGAGTTTTAGATACACAGTATCGCATAACACATACCGTCAGACTCTTGCAATTTAAACGGGTAGCCCAGCGCAGACATACAATCCTTGTGATCTCATTTGAGTCAAGAAGTCGTTCGCTCATGCAGTGAGTGGAGCAGAAGTTGCTTAGGTCATGAGTCTACGCTGAAGATGTTTGGTTGTACACACAGCACAGCGGAAGAGATGAATAAAGGGGTTTGTTCTTTCAAGACTATAGGGACATGCGCAATCATGTCATGCTCCCAAGTCTTTGATTGTTTCCAGTATACATCGAGAGATGTTATGAGGTGAACAAAGTGCAGAGATGCAGAGATATCAAAGACGTGCAGAGGCAGAGATGCGGAGACGGAGAACGCAGGGACGATAGGCATGGTTTCAGAAGAGGCAAGAGCATTTCGCTTTTGCATTTTGTCTTGTGCTCACGACCGTGTATTGCCATCATTGGAGCTCGATGTTTTCGTGCGTCCATGTCAGTGAAAAGATTCAAAATAGAGAAGTGTTTTAAGGTGTAAAGATGCGGGACCAGGGAACATAGCTCAGATGCCTCGAATTTTAGGAGAGGCAAAGACATAGTAGATCTTGCAGAGGTGTTTTATATTCGCTAATCTATGTGCATGCGTGCCACAAGATCAGATTTCGCGATTTCGTGCGTTTAAAGTGCAGAAATTGTTAAGAGCGCAGAGGTATCATTGCTAGAGTGTAGAGACGCAGGACGCATACAGGACAGGACACATGGTACTCCCTTCAGTCTTTGGGGGCCAAGATATCGCGGTTTACCCATGCATCTGTGAGTGCAGCTGCAGTATCAAGCTGAGAGTCGATGGCTTTCGGTGTTAAGAGCTTGGAGCGCTGAAGACGTGGAAGATACTTTTGCGAAGCGCAAAGAGTCAAAGTCTCAGAATCGAAGGCCGAGATGCAAGATGCAGGACACGAGACAAGAACATAGGTGCTTTAAACTTTGGATTTAGGAAGAGGCAAAGAAACATCTTGTTTCTCCATTCGTTGTGGTTATAAGTGTGCCTTGTTTGGGGCGTGCATTTTGGATGGCGATTCTTGTGGAGCATCCACGATCACGCCACCATCTTCAGGATGAGATTGCCTTTTCAATCCTGGAGGCAGCTTTCACACAGCGCAGACATGTTACTGGTTCGGAAAGGTTTTGGCGTGTAATCAACTCGAGGAAAGAGAGGGGTTCAGTACACAGAGAGCTCAGAAGAGCATCTAGAGTGATTCGATTTCACGATGATGGGAAGACATGCCTCAGGAGGCTCGAAACATGGGTTAAACAGCACGCAATTATCGCTCGGCAAGAACGTGTTTAGGGTCAAAGATTGCAGTACAACATTTAGGTTTGGTTTGGGTCATTTGATTACCGTAAGAAGCAGCATTCATGTCCGATCAAATCCGTCTTTTGGGATCCCTAGCTAGACAAAAAATGGGAGATATATATGATACCGACACTGATGACATTCCGCTCGACTGACGCCCGTATTCATGAGTGTGCCGATTTGTAGCGCACGTAAGTATCTCTGGTGCAGGGGGGAGAGTTAAAATGAACATAGCAAATATGAAATTTGCTCTCGGCTGATTTAGGCATACCCAAAAGTGGAATTGGTAGAGCATGAGAACATGGTTTAGCAGTGTAACTCTTTCCGTATACAAGAAGACAAAGAAAACAGCACCAAGGGGACTTGTCTAAACAAGCGGTCTTAAGCAAATCATCCTGCATGTTTAGACTCATCATGTGGCTGCCGGACATCTAGTCTCTTGCCATGCGTTTTTGTGCAAACCGCACAGCAGCAGAGGGAGATTTTTGTCTTGTAGAGTATTTTTGAAACATGTATAAGGGTATTCAACGGTGTTCTGCGTGGTCTGGATAGTTTGTGTGTGAAGGAGATAGAGAAGAAGAGGTGGGCGAGGATTCTTTTCGGCTTGTACAGATCGGTAGCGGACATAAAGCAGTGTTCTCTTCTTTACTGCTGGACCCTTGGGGAACAGACAAGGCACAGTGATCAAGAATGGCTGAGTGTGGACAGTTTGCATACATGCATGGCTGCTTAAAAAGTCAATACAATTCATAATACCTATCACGCTAGAAGCAACCGACTTTTCCGTTCCGATAATAGTTCAAACTTCCCGGTAGCAGCCTATCTCCATCTCCTGACGCTCGCGTACCCATTTTACCCATACTCCCGGCTCAAGAAGCCCCTTTTGCCATGTCCCTTCTCTTCTGTTCCGTCTCAATGAGCTCCATCGTTCGCGCAGGAAGCGCAGCAAACTCGTCTTTTCCAGTGCATTTGAGACCCTTGATTCCCCTCTCTACGTATGTGTCCCGGAAGAGAGCCCAGAGACCATAATCCTTGGAGTCGGGACCATAAGGACGAGGGAAATATGGATCGTTGATGAAGAAGGAGTGCACCAGGGGACCGAGGTCGTCTGGCCGGAAACTCCTGCAGCGGTTGAAGTCCAGCATCCAGATATGGATCTGGCGAGTTTTGAAGTCCTGGAGGTGAGCATCCCAAGTAGAGGTATTAGGGGCCATCTTTTCCAAGTCTTTGTTGGTCAGAGGCTTGGCTACAATCTGGTTCGCGTCGGCGCTGCCATCGGGTGAAGAACCCAGGACAAACTCGACGTCATTGGCGTCGAGCCAGCAGATCCAGTGCATGACTGCCATGGCTTCAGCAATGGCTACAGCAAAATATCTGACGTCCAAGTTCAGATCTTCCATCTGGTCGAGATTCAGGTTGAAGTTCCTCAAATTGAAGAACAACGTGTTCACTCTAGTCCGTCTCTTTCCCAGGTAAAGCCTTACCAGGCAATGCTTGTTAGATTTCAGCTCTTTTGCAGCCTCGAAACCAGACTTGGGGCAGTATTCTTCGATCAGTGCATGACGTAAAGGTCGAGGAATTGGCAGGATGCGCTCAGAGCACAGGATATTGGTCCATTGATCTGGCTGTTTTGGGAAGCGATTGACGTTCTCCTCCCACCATCTCTCATCGTCCTGACCGACAAACCAGAAGCATCGAGGGACTCGAACTGTCCAGGTACTTCGACCATAGGTGTCGAATACTTCTTGAATCAAGGTATGCTGCCGATAATCGTTCCAGAGCGTATCTGTCTCTTTACCTGGATGCTTTGCAGCCTTGAAGACGTGAACTGCTCCTGGGACTTCGAAAACATCAGCACATGTTCCCGATCCAATTTGAGTGTATCCGGATCTGGTGCCGAAAGCTTGTTGATTCCTATTGGCATTCGAGGAGGATGTCGGAATGACTGAGCCTGCTGAAAAAAAGCGGTTCAGGATTGCCTTGGAGGAGAGCTTTTCCTCTAGTCGCAGACTGTCCATCGCCTCATCAATGAATGAGGGACTCCGACTACTTGCAGAGTCGCTATTCGACTCATAGTGCTCCCTGGACCTCGAATCTTGCGGAGTTTTGAGAATTGGGTTCATGATCCTTATATGAGGATAGAGAGTGATGGAGGCTGCTAATTGGAGGGGGAGGAAATAGGGATTCTTAGAGCGAAGAGTGGAGGTTCTTGAAGCTTGAGGGTAGTCGAAACCTAGCTTGGTAACTATGCTATGGAGTTACTCAATTCAGAAGTTCAATTGTTGATACTTGAAGGAAGAAGGAAGAAGGATAGTCTGGTCGAGAACTATATATTGTCCGGAGACTCACGCGCAACATGCACCAAGGTTTCGAGGGTTTTGGACAATGGTTCTACTCCATGAATCAAACTTCAGTCTTCGCAATCCTATGTTTCGAAAATTCAACGATACAGATTACGCATGTAGAAAGATTAAAAGGCGTAACGCAAGTATTCTCGCAATGTCTATAATATACTGCACTCAAACATGACCGATCAACTACTTCAAAATTTCGTAGTCTCCAAACCACCCTTACCCCTGTTAATAAACCGCAGAACTTCGACTGAACTATTCCGTTTAAGTCCCTGCCCAAACATCGAAAAAGAGGTCATCTGGAACCGAGTCCCTTGTTATTCCCTCCACCCACAATTTCCGACCAGTCAGAGACAAGAAGCTGTCAGTATTGTAGGCATATTCCTATCACCAAGGTAACGGAGCAGACATCGTAAGCATGCGTGTATACTTTAGGAGAAGCCATCGAAGCAAGCTCACTTTCCCATTCAACACTGGGCCTCTTTCGAGGAAGTAGGGCCAACCCGACATATCGAATCCAGACTAAGATCATGCTCATGCTCCTGTTCTCGACGCAGCGCGAGCAGACATGATCTGTGAGGATGGTCTTTTGGAGAAAGCAGAAAAGCACAGTCATCACATTGCTGGAATTCCCTTTCCAAGCAGCAGGAGCAGCCATATCGAGGAGCTATTTCGGTGTTTCGGGAGAGAGCAGAGAAGAAGCCCCCATTGCCATTCTTCCAGAGCTCTTTTTCACGGCAGACAGCACTCATGATCATTGAGTGTTTCGTTTCAGGAGAACACAAGGAACCAGACCCATCAAGTAAGATAGGTATGCTTTAAAACAGCAGGAGTAGCCAGGTGATTTGTTTCAAATGCCTTCAGGACAAAGCAGAGGAGCAAGTTCATCAACACCATTGGTGTATGTTTTGGAGCAGTAGGGGCATGAGCCATCTCAGCCTTGCCACATCATCTTAGAGCAGAGCAGAGAAGAGACCACATACCACTTTGGATTGATGGATTTCGGAGGCAGACATGATCCACTTCTTATCGTCTTTCCGTGCCGGCAGGAGGCAGGAAAGAGGCAGCGGGCCGCACCTGATCAAATTCCGAAAGGCAGCAGATCAGACATAGCCATTATTGTTGGGTGTTTGAGAGAAAGAAGAAAGCAGAAACGTCGAAGCCGGTCCACGTTCTTCATAGAGAGGTGAGAGGCGCAGATATTCCTTTCCGCTGATTTGCTCATGGACCAAGGCAGACAGGAGCAGACATGAGAAGTCCGTTGTTTGCATTGATTTCCGAGAGGCGGGGTGTTTTGGCAAATTTCAAAGGAGAGGAAACATAAATCCCTTCTTCTGAACTTCTGAATTGCTGGCGGAGACAGATACGAGTCTTTCGACGTTCATTTATAATTAGGAGGGTGTCGAAACGGGGAGACAGGTTGTGCGCACTCATTGTTTTCGAGAAGCAGCAGAGGCAGACATGTGTTGATACTTCATGTCGTTTTGGAAAGTACAGAGGGAGATTGTTGATGATGTACAGTAAGGAAGGAAGCGGAGTGGAGGATTATATATGCATAATGTCGCCAAGCATGTGCGCGTTTGCAGGATTCGTTTGCAACCGCAAAGCATCGTTGCCCGTTCTCTCATTTCGATATTTCTTGACTACACTACACATGTTAATCTCATCTCCCCATTTTTCGCTCCGTCGTACTTTTACTTCGCCTTGCCGTTCTTGCCCACGTGACCATTACCACCTGCATCCATCGCAACCTCCCTCCTGCCTTCAAACGAAACACCCCGGATAGACCACTCGCTATAAATCTCCAGCCCAGCAACAAACACACCGAGCAAGCTCGCAATCACAAAGTGACTGATCGTAGTCCCGATATCCAACCAGCTTCCCTCGTCCTTGACCATGAAGAAAAATGACAGCGTCATAACATCGCTGACTGCCATAACTACCATAAACAATGCGGACGGCGCAACGCCCAGGCGGCGATTGAGAAGCCCGAAGTTGGCAGAAAGCGCAGCGAAAGGCACCATGAGCTTCAGCATGAGCAAGGCGCCTTGGCTGAAGGGGTCGAAGACGGGGATGAGGCGGTAGACAGCGTCGAGGGAGAAGGAAGATACGGAGGCGATATTTGAGGCGCTGAAGAACGCGGACTGGATGAAGAAGAAGAAGAATAGTGCGATGCGAGCGTCGCCTAGTGTGAGGGAGCGGTATGCAGTGGAGCGTCTGGGGAGTGGCGGATGGTCTTGCGCCGCGGCGACGGCGGGCTCGATGGATTCGCGAGGCGGTGGGACGGCGTCTGGAATGCTGGCTGTGTGCAAGTACACCTGGTGCTCGAGGCGCATCCAACTGAACAGGCAGAGGCAGAAGGCGAAGTAGAAGAGGCCTTCGTAGGAGATGGTGAGGATGATGAAAGTTGGAGCGAATTGCAAGAACATCACGACCAGTCGGTGGATGTAATGGCTATTGGGATACAGTCCGTGGAGGGTTGGAATGATCAGCGAGCCCACTTGAACCTGTCAGCATGAGTTCGGCGACCTTGCAATCAGAACTTACCGAGTGTCGCCCATCCAACTACAAGAACACCAAGGGGTAGGCCCTGCTTGGCTTGGATGTATTGAATGCTGCTGTTTGTCACGATCATGGATAGAAGTACGAGGCCGACCTGAAGAGACGTTAGCGATGTCACAATCTTGCAACGACATGCTTTACCTGAACGCTTAGGATCAAACGCGAGTTGAGATTCGACTTGGCGTCAGTCGCGTTGCCGAGTATCTTTTCCTCGAAAATGAGGTAGAAAGCACCGACAGCGAACATAAGCCCACCACCGATCATACTGCAGGGTGTTAGAGAACGGCCTTTAGGACTATCTAAGGAGGAGGACTTACATCAAGCTGATATACTCAGCCTTGTTGGCTGGGAGTAGCGTGAACGAGCTCATCATCACGCACGAAATGACCCATGTTACAATCGTCCAAATGTTGTTTTTGAGAAACTCCCCACCATAGAAGATGGGCCATACCGCCGCTAGCAGATAGCAAACAGTGTAGATTTCTCTGTGGAAATAGCTTTGCACCTAGAGAGTGTCAGTAAAGCTCGTTTAGGCGTGCCAGTAGTACCTACCAGAGCTTGAAGCAGACCTAGCGAGCTGAGCGTAGCAAGTATCAGCTTAGCCTTGTCGGCTGCACTGTTGACCTGGCTAAAGAGCACTTTGCCTCCTTTGACGAGGGACGATCGTCGTGCGTAGACCTCTTCCCAGAACATGACAGGGAAGAAGCCGTAAGCGTAGTACGAGAGAGGAGACCGCTGCTTCAAGAGAACGGAGTACAGAATAACCAGAATTGACGAAAAGGTGATGATGCTTTGTGTCGTTCTCTGTGCTTCTGAATCTTCATTCAGCACGTGCAGGTCCAGGACCGTGGTGATAGCGAATGCGATCCAGCCCAGGTAGCCGAGAGTAATCAAGGTACGGAGGAAGAGCCAGTCGTACGTCTGCAGGTATCGCAGGCCCTCGAGACCAAGGTCAATCAGATCATACGTGCGGTTGACAGCCTCTTCAAACTGCCCGGCATCGATGGCTTTCTGTATCCTGATCACTCGATACTCGATCGAGTGCTGTTCGTCGCCGAGTCCAGGGAACGGTTTGTAATACAACGCATGCGCACGCTTGATCTCTTCTTTGACACCATACATTTCCAGTATCTGCTTCGCGTTGACCAAGAGTGCTTCCGCCTTCGCCTTGTCATCCTTGTCCAGATAGGTGAGGGGCAGTACACCAACGGAGTTGGTAGGGAACTCGAGACCAACAAGGTAGGCCATGAGCGCCGCAACATCGGCCTGGTCAACATCGTTTCGTTGGATGTGATCCAGGTTCCAGTCGTGAGAGAAGCCGTCTTCGTGACCAACTGCCTTTGTGCCCACAGCTTTAATCGGCTTCGCGACGCCAGCGCCCCAGGCAATCAAAGGAGTGCGCGTGTTGTCCGGATTTCCATCTCCGTGACTACCCCAATCGCTCATACCGTGGTCTGCTGTGAAAATGAACGCAGTCTGGTCGTCATTGTAGAATTCCTCGATCAGCCTGGTGATTTCCTTGACTCCGCGATCCACAATTTGTATGTTGTGGAGGTACTGCCACGAAAACGGTCGGTGCGCATGTCCTGCAGTGTCCAAGCCAAGTAAGTGCAGGAAGAAGACATTCTTCTCCTTGCGCAGCTCGGCGTTCAACGTCGCATTGGTCTTCGCAGCCTCGAAAAGCCCCTTAACGCGCTCGAAAACCCACTCATCTAGAATCCAGGCATCTTTCGAGAAATCCTCAAACTCATGCCCGTAGCAGTATGCGTCGACCCTCCCAGGCACCGCGCCAGTCTCGAACATGGGCAGGATATCCGGGCTGCCCCAGCTCCATGTGTGTCTGCTGCGATTGAACACGCTGTCGAAGTTGACAGGGTTCAGCTTCCAGCCCGTAGCCACCGCGGAGACATCTTCGTAGAGCCCTGCGATGAGCGCGACGTGGCCGGGGCGCGATTCTGTGGGGACGCGAGTATGGGAGACACCGAAGGTCCCGCTTTCGAGCACCTTCGAGCGTAGGAAAGGCGCGAGGGGCCGGGGCGTCTTCGCGAAGTCGGCGAGCAGCTGCGGCGTATCCGGCGTGGTCGCATTGGGGTCAGGGTTGGGGAAAGATTGGAATGTTTTGTCGGCGCGAAGACCGTCACCTGCATACGACGTTAGAAGCCATGCGCTGTGTCTCTCAAGATCTCGTACCAACAAACAAGACCAGCCGTTTCGCTGGGGCCTCTTGAGTCTCGACACCGTGCTCGCGCATGCCATGGACTATGGGACTCGAAAAATACACGTTGAAAATTGACAAAATGTAAACGAGGTGAAAGACGACCGCGACGAGCAGGAACGCATACCGCCTAAGCTGCGACATGGTAAGGACTGTGAAGGATGAAGAGCGAGGCCCTCCTGAGAAAGCCTGTGTTGATGCAACGTAGTACCCCAATGGTTAAACGCTCGCGTCGCCAGCCATAAAGGTGTTATTGCCAAGACTATTAACTGATGACGACGACTCTGCGAGACCGCTTAGTTTGGATCGCGGCACAAAACTGAGTATGCATTGGTGAGCGCGCAGTCAATTGAATTGCACGGCGTATCAGCAGCAGGTCTCAAAGGGGCAGGAGCAAGGCATGTGTTGTGAGAAACCGTGGGGCGGAAGCTCAGGGACCATCGCCCAAAACGGAAAACTTCCGCGGGAAAAGTACTTGGGATGAGTTGGTATTCTAAAACGATCGCTTGCTATTCATTCAGTCTGCAAAGTCCCCGTTCTCCTATGCCTCGACATTGAACTGTCCATCCCTCAGGCCTTCAACAACAAGCTCGTGGCCCTCGGCACGCTGGTAGATATCCTTGATGTCATCTGCAGTTTGTTAGTTTGACACAGCAAGGCTGCGGCGGGATGGAACTGACCTGTTGTGGTCTCGAAGTGGCTTGTGGCGTCGTAGCTCTTGGAGAGGAAGATGTTGTCATCGGTGCCGCTCTCGAGGGGCTCGTAGAGTGGAATGGGCTGGCCCATGAACTGCTCCTCGATCTTGCCGAGACGGTCAAGACCAGGCTGGAGCTCAAGGTGGTGGTTGGCGTCTGTCTCGGCGATAGTCGAGACGATGGCGATGTAGTAGCCCTTGGGGCAAACGTTGTGAGCGGATGAAACGACGGCAACGTAGATATCTGTCAAGGAAATTAATACAAGTTCCATCACTGAAAGTTCAGACGTCTTACCGTTCTTGCGGCCGACCTGCGACTGGGGAATGATCAACTGCAGAGAGTCGGAGTTGTCGGTATTAGGAACGGGGTGGTTAAGAATGCAAATGGCCTTCAGCAAATGGCCAGTGACGCGCGCCTTTCCGGGGAAGTAGGTGGGGTCGGCAAGAATCTTCTTCGCTTTGGTCTCGAACTTCATGCCGGGGCCAGCGTCGTCCTTCTCCTTCATGGTAGCCTTGATGCCAACAACCTTGCTGCCGTCGTAGAGGAACTCGTCAACATCGGTGTTGAGCATGTATGTGCCTCCGTAGATAGCTGAGAGGCGGGCGAAGCCCTGGGGAAGCTCGCCCAAGCCGTACAGGGGGTAGATGTACGGGGACTTGCCATAACGTGCCATGGAGTTGACGTAGAGACGAATGCGCTCGATGGCTTCGTTTGCAGCGCCGGTCTGGTTGATGTAGTCGTCGGTCTGGTAAAGAGCCATGGAGTGACCGATGAAATCACGAGTGGTAGCTTCCAGTCCGAACTTGTCGTATACGTCCTTCATGGTGCAGTTCTTCACATCGAGACCTGTTCAAGCTTTTAGCAACCTATCGTAGCCAGTGTCGAAACGCAAACTGACCCTTGTGTGTAGCGGCATCGTCTGCTGTGTATGCGCCAACCCACTCGAGGAAGTTGCGAGCCCTGCGCTTCTCAAAGAGACCCATCAGCGGCGAGCGGAGAGCCTCGCCAGCATCAGACGGGACCTTGGCAACGGTGGCCTTGGTGGCAGCGCCCTGCTGGACGTAGCTGCCGGCAATCTGCTTGAACTCGAGGTACTTTGTGACGTCGGTGGAGACGAGGATGTTGGTGAGCTCGCCGTTGGCCATCAGGAGCTTGGGGACGAGGTCGATGTTCCAGTCGTTGACACGGCCGTACTTCTTCCATGGCTCGCCCTCGGTCTGGCCGTACTTCTTGAAGAGCGCCTCGATGTTGAGGGACGCAGACTCGCTGGAGTATGTTAGCCATCACACAGCAGCGGCGGCTATAAGTGACACGTACCCTCCATAGTGGTCGTTGCGGTCAATGTGCAGCACCTTCTTGCCCTTCACGCTGAGAACACTGGAAGACTGTCAGTGCGTGCTTCGCGCAGGCGAGCATATGTGTTACCCTGAAAGGACGCATTCTGTGAGACCTGCGGAGTGTTAGCTCTCAGCGGCGGGTCGGGCGGGGTAGAGGCAGCCCACCTGTTCCCAGAACCACGACGTCGTACTCGGGCGCGATCTCATCCATGGTTGCTGTTTGTGGTGAAGACTAGGGTGTGTGTTTGTGTGAGTTGTCTACTCGAGCGTGAGAAAGCAGAGGTGGATGGCGGTGAGAGGGCATTAGATGTGGGGTACCTGGAGCTGCCTTGACTCGCGTTATGCAAGTGGCGTTGAGGCTCATTCATGCAGCATCGTCAAAACAGACCTGGCACAACAGAGTTATCCACAACTTGACCTGCATTTATGCTAGAGCACAGACAACTTCATCAAAATCATGTGTTCGCCCTGCCAGATATTTTACAAAAGGTTCATGCCCTCTGGCAGAAAGCGCCCGTGTCTGCTCATCCCCTGAGCCAGTCCAGTACTGTACACTGTCTAATACATCGCTATAATCACATCACGACTTGGGCAAATTCCCCTGACACGATACACTGGCGATCGCGCATACCGTGTATGCATGCTTTGGTGCTTCTCAGGAACAACAGTTTGCTGCTCAACCGTGCTGCATCGGCTGCATCGGCTGCAGCACAGCTTCTGACCAAAGCCTGCGACCAACGATCAAACTGCATTGCTTTCTAGCGCAGTCTTCTCTATCTCTACGCTGCTCTCAGATTCAGCTTCTCGTTCGATTGGCTTGTGTTATCCTTCGCAGCATCGGCGGCGGCGGCAGGCGCTTCCTCCTCAAAAGCCTCTGGTTCTAATGGATCCTGATGTACTGCGTTAGCAAATTATACACACAGGCGATCAAGATAACTCACGTAAGGCAGCTGGGTGTACTGCGGCCCGTCTGTCCTGCTCAGGTCGATGGAGGGATCCTGGCTGGCGAGTGCGAGCGCCTCCTGATATGCTTGTGTTCGCTCGGCTAGTGTGTCGAGGATTGCCTTCATGGTTTTCTGAACCGCCTCGTCTCTCTCCTTTCCCTCGTGATCGCCGTACAGAGCCTTCAGACGGGCGCGCTCCAACTTCTCGGTTGCAAGACGATTGCGCTCTTTGACACACACCCACCAAAGCTGGTGCAGTGAATCCCAATCCTTGCTACGAAGCTCGCCCATTGTCCATTCTCGGCCATGCTGCGAAAGCTCTGTGGGTGTCGAAAGCAGAGTCTGGTTCTTGAAGAAGTCCCAGAGCCCGTGGTCCTGTGTTCCTGTCGGCTTCTCCTCAACCTTCACTGGTGTCGGCAATTGCTGGTTCTCAAAGTCTTTCTGCCTAACAGAGAGCGTCTGTCTTGCGCGCAAGCCGGTCCGTCTAACGGCGGATACGCCGCGGTTGCTGTTGTTGTCTTTTTTCTGCAGCGTCGGCGAAGTCGAAAATCGCGCGCATCGTGTCGATGGGGTTAGGAGCGCGAGGACTGCATCAGATCGCGCTGATGTCAGGCTTGGCCGCAGCAGGCGGCAGGTGGATGTGGACGCCATTGCGAGGATTGAATGCTGCGGACGCAAAAGGGCGGCGGTGCATCGAAAGTTGAGCCCGAGTAGCGCTTTCCATGATTCGTCCGTGCGTCTGACCTGCAGCTTCCGGTCCAAGTGCGCTACAGGCTACCACCCAGTCGGCCCAGCGCGCCGCCCTTAAAGAGCCTGAGGCCCTCCCGATCGTACACTCCTCATCCCAAAACCCGCCCTCTTCAGGTCGACACCGAGAGGGCTTTTCCTCAGCTTCAATTTCCCTTGACGAATTCTTCGATTTCACCAGCGGGGATCAGGACCCGCTCTTTGACATTTCATCATGCAGTATACCGCCGCAAACATGCAGTTCGTCCCAAGCCAACGCGCCGTCGCTTTCTGCTGTAAGTGGCTGTCCCATGCACATGCACTTGACCGAAGACTGACCTGTATAAGCACCGCGACAACTCGGCACAGCTGCCAAGCCTCCGTGGGACGCCGCTTATTAGTTGGGACCAGGACTTGAACTTCACCACTGCCGATTCTAGCATTGCACTTCTTGATACCTCACTTCCCTTGGCTTCTACCTCTTCTTTTTCTGCTCTGGTCACCCCCGATAACACTTTCTTCGACACTACGAACTGGCACTCTCTCTCTCTACCCTCTGGCAATGAGCAGTTTGCTCGCAATGCGCTTCACCACAGCCTCGCTCCTGGAGGAAGTCCGCTTCTTATGACCACCGAAGAACATATCAACCTCTTAGCCATGGCACCTAACATGCACACTACGTTCGACATGAGTATGACAACCCCAATGGAGCCCAGTAAGAGACCCCGTCCCCACGCACTCGCACTCCATACTTACAACCGCAGATCGTTCTCAGTCTGGTTCCTCGTCGACAAGCTTCCAAAACCAGAACTCGTACTCACCAGAACACTCTCCTCCCACTAGATTGTCAACTTCAACAAAAAGCAGCCCTCCTACTGAGCCCCCAACCAAGATTGAGAAACGCAAAGCCAACACCCTCGCAGCTCGCCGGTACCGGCAAAAGCGGGTCGACCAAGTGTCTGGCCTCGAAGCTGAGCTCAAGCAGGCGAAAGCCGAAAGCGATGAGTGGAAGGTCCGCTGTGCTAAGCTCGAGGGCGAAGTGGAAGCTCTACGTGCTCTCATCCGTTCGCAAAAGTAGCTTTATGTTTGCAGTCAGTCCTCTTGTCTCTTCAATTCTCATTCTATGGACGGTGGGAAATGCCTCCTTTCAGACGATGTCGGAAAATATGTACGATCATTGCTGCCCTGTTCATGGCAGCATCAGATCGGCAAATGTAGGATATAATCTCTGAGGCTACTCGGTAATGGAAAATGTACTCACTCGATCACTGTACGCGCAGTATTGCATGCTCTTCGGTGATGAGTTCAATTGTCCTTCTTTTATACACCCATTGCTACTGAGCTACACGATCACTTTGATTCACGATGAGTCGATCTGAACGCAAGCGATCCTGTGCCGATGCGGACAGTTTCATTGAAGAATAGGCCGTAGACCCTCCTCGCTTCTTCACATTGTATACTATAGCCTGGACACGCTGAGCTTAATCACGACATATCTGTTTCAACAATAGAAGACGAGGCAAGAGTATGTATCACCATGCGCAAACTTCTTGAAGCCATGAAGCCATGACGAGAGACTCGATAAGACAATGCAGCTGGAGCTGGAGCCCACGCCATTGCAGGCACACATTTCGAGTACAAGGAAAACAACTGATCACCTTATGATACATTTCACTCAGTCCAATTCCTCTGAACCCGCAAATTTCAACCCTAAGAATCGCAACTACCTGTGTTCAACCGTCCTTTCCCAGCGCTCGATGAAGGTTGTGTTCGTGATGGACTGACGTCGTCCGCAGCCAATCACAGGCCCATATAGTGAGTCATTCACGCTAAAAATGAGTCAGGCATTGGCGCACCGCACTGCCCCAGATGTGGACCGGACACAGCGGTCGCGCAACATCGATCAAATGCTTATCGCGGTTGGCAGCAAGGGGGATGTTTGGGGTGTTTGGGGTGTTTGGCTCTGCTCACTCAGGCAAGCCGAGGTTGAGATCGAGGGCTGACTGGTTTGCGCTTGCCTGGGCCTTGACCAGCGGGTCTGCTCCCACGTGCCGAAACTTTACCAGTAAACTTTGACTCTTTTGACAGCACCGACACATGTATAAAACTCGCAGTTACGTCGCACGCTTCTAAGCTGCGTTGATAGTAGGTCTCTGATGCTGCGTTTTCGCCGCTTGAAGATGCTATGATCAGTCGACTGGAGCCTTTCTAGCTGGCGTGCTGCTTATTATATAAATCCAACAGCATTGACTGTACCACACTGGATACTTACCGTATAGGTACCCGACCACATATTTCGTTCCTGGGAGGTGTTTTGGATGCTGACCTTCATTGCTTCATACTACTGCACGAGGCTCGACGATCACCCAATGATCTTCATGGCTCGGACAACACAAACTCAATGACTTCGAAGACAGGCTTGTCCCTGACGGTCATCAAACCACAAGTACTGCTCTGCTCCCGCTCTAGCAGCTTCCACAATCGCAGCAGCGTCTCATCATCTGGTACTGAACACTACGCTTGTCCGGAATTCCTATCCGTCACTTGAATCCAAACAGACGTCATCAGGATGACAATGCATGCATTTCCCTCCTGACTGAGGCACGATCAAGTTTATATTACCCTCATGTAACTACTAACGATGAACATAAACAGGACAGATTCCTGATCGAAGCGGTTTAGCGAGGCCACAAGCCGCGTTTCAGCCTAATATCTCAGACACCCACCATATTTTGCACCCTGGACAATAAGGAGGCAGATATGGCGATACGATTGATCAATCATCAACTCACGAAACAGATGTGCATACATTACCCATATATTTAACACGGAGTTGATCGTTCTTGGAAGGACGTAGGATTCTACTACGTACGCGACACGCTTCTGGTCACGCACTGTTCGATATGCTGCTCCAGAGCCGTATCGCTTACATTGCACGGTTGAATAGGCCTCGAAGACCTGTAGTTTGAACGCCACTCCACCTCGGTATATTGATTATCATCAACCGCGGATCTGCTCCCCTGCCCGTGGACTTGATGTGGATCCACGCCCGAGCAAATCCTCGCTTCTAGAATCCATCGTCCGCTTCTACGACCACTCGCATAACACTCATGTCCCGCCGAGTCGTGTGCCTTGTAGTTGTGTGGGTGCACATGTCACAGACCGCAGGCGATGGCGTGCAGGTACGGAATCTGGGGAAACGCGCCGGCCCAGGGGACATCCGCCAGAGTGTGAGGGGTTCTCTAGTCCTCTTATACATGCATGTCCGCACGATTTTTTCCTATTTCTTCTCTCCTTTCGTTTAACCATCAATTAAATGTGCTTTTAAGAATTGCAGTCCGTTTCAGCTTGAGCTTGGAGACCGATGTTATTCGTCTGAAAATATAGACGACATGTACATTCGTCCAGGCTTCGTCGTGGTGATTACCGGCTGCGTACTGACCGGTCTATCGACTTTGGTCGTAGCCCTACGGTACGTCTAACTGTACTAGGCGAAAATAGAAGATACTGACATGTTTGATTAGCTACTACTGTCGATACTACCTCATCGGAGCAGTAACGGCAACGGATCATCTCATGTTTGTTGCTCTGGTATGGTGTCCGCTACCAACCCCTGAAGCTTTCGCTGACAGTCAAGGTTCTAACATGGGCAAACCTGGTCGTAAACTATTTCCAGGACCAGACGAGCAGTCACATTCGCCCAAGTTTTTATCGCATTCCGGTAAGGCCTAGCCTTTCCATGTTGGTATTTGGCTGACCTGTAATCAGGAGAAGCGCCCATTGGTGGAGGGATACGTCAAAGGCGTGATGATTACGTGGTGGCTGTATCGCGCCGTGTACGTCGCAGCACTCTGCTTTGTCAAGCTGAGCATTCTCTACTTCTTCAGAACCATCGCATCGCATCGCAATCAACGCCGCGTCATTAACGGGACCATCATTTTCGTGAGCGTATATTCCTTCGGCGCTGTCGCAGCTGCAGTGTTTCAATGTCGAAAGCCGTCAGACGCATGGAACACGGAAGTGTATCTTGCACAATTCGATACGGTACCAAATCCAAATACGCCCAAAGTTCAATGCTACGATCCCACGATCCTATTCATTGTCACAGCAGCACTGAACCTGTTCAGTGACGTTGTCATCCTCTTGATCCCGATTCCGATACTCCTCAGCCTCGGCGTACCACTGCGCCAAAGGCTGGCACTGGTCGGAATCTTCTCGGTTGGCGTGCTCGCCATCGTGGCGTCTTCAATCCGGATGCGCGTGATGACGCTTTGGGCCGAGTCGCCGTGGAATTCCGCCATCTACGGCACCGACCTTCTTCTGTGGGGACAGGTCGAGATCAACAGCGGTATCATATCGGCCTCTATCCCATTCTTGAGACTACTTTTTAAGCGACGAGAGCGGACTGAGCGCGCGGCAAGTGGAAGAAAGGTGGCGGAGATCGAGCGCCCAAGGGTGGGCAGGAAACCGCAGATTGAACCGCTCGAGATGGAAACAATTGCATTGTTTCCGCGGGGTGGAGATGGGGGAGAAGGAGAGAAGGAGTGGAAGCCGTTCATGACTGTACCTGCCAGTATGGGGGAGAGGACTTGGGGGAGTACTGCGACGCTACCTACAAGTCCAAGGACTATGGCTTAAGTACGCATGTCTGAGTATCTATGCAACGCTCTGTACGATTAATGAATGACGAATTGCTGTGCATCTTGATCTTGCTATGCGAAGTGATCACCTGACTGCGTCGCTCACCAGGGTCCCATAGCTCAGCCGAAGCTACCCTTCAAGCGCCGTCTCCACTGCCGTTCCCCATATCCCCACAACGACAGACGCGACAGGTATCATGCGTCCGATATCGTACTATCACACAATGCACCCGTCGCTACCCATAGTTATATACCATCGACGGGATGGATGTTGGTGAGATCGGACAAGTAGCCGTCATTTTGGGTAATCCGAAGTCGGCTCGGAGTTATTGCGTTCAAAAGCCGATACACGGAAAGTTCAGCGCATCAGCATCAAGCTAGATACCGTTATCGTACGACTACCGTGACTTTGTGTCGCGTTTCTCTTTCTTCTCGAGCTCTGTCATTGAGCTTTTGAGATTTTCCAACTTACCTCTAGGCGTTGTCGCCAGCTGATTCAATCACTGTCCATCGCTTGCGACGCGCAAAAGTTATCCCGTGAACAGCCGCTCGTTACATGCAGCATAGAAAGAGAGAGTTCGTCAGTCACAGGAGGAAGCTGCAATGGGGGAAGAGCAGAAACAGGTCAAGAGGTCAATTGCCATTGGCGACGAGCCCGTTATTTTGAAGGAAACGATACCTGCGATGACGACACCGAAAGACACGCCCAAAGACGCGCCGACGAAGTGGAACACAAACAAACTCGGTCTGCGCCTTGGAAGCGATGCGCTCGCTGCATGCGCTGCTGGTACGCTCGTTGCGCCCATCATCACGATGATCGACAAAGGCATCATGGAGAACGCGAGCGGGAGAAACACACTCGGCGAGAGCTTGAAGACGAGCGCTCGAGAGCTGCTACTGAAGCCGCACCGATTTCTGGGAAGTCGGCCGTTCGTGCTGATCTTCGTATGTCTCTCTCCTGTGCAAGTCATCGAGCAACACAAACTGACGCAACTCATCAGAGCCTGTACTTCGGCACCTACTTCACCGCAAACAGCATCGACACCGTCTCCTCCGCACGCACCAACACCGCCTACTCCAGCACCACCGCTGGCACTTCCAAGTTCCTGGCAGTCTCGACCTCGAACCTCGCCCTCTGCCTCTACAAAGACAACCAGTTTACCCAGCTCTTCGGCAGCAGCGGCTCGAAACGACCCGTCCCCCTGCCCACATTCGCTCTCTTCACCGTCCGCGACTGCCTGACAATCTTCGCCTCGTTCAACCTGCCGCCACTCTTCGCGCCCAAGATCGACGCTTACATGGGCGACGAGATGAGGAGGTACGTCGCGGGCGCCAGCGTCGCGCAGTTTGCGACCCCAGCTGCGATCCAGTTCGTGAGCACCCCGCTGCATCTGCTGGGTCTGGATCTGTACAACCGTCCCGGTGCGGGCATGGCCGGGGCCGAGGGTCGCGTTGCGCAGGTTGTGAAGAACTGGGCTAAGAGCGCGTTTGCCAGAATTGGGAGGATCATTCCTGCGTTTGGTGTGGGAGGCGTAGTGAACACGAAGGTGAGGAGAGGTTTGATGGAAAGGCTGGAGTAAATCGCGGAACTCGAGAGGAAAAGTATACATTGGGCCATTCAGCGTGTATAAATGCGCTGCACGTATCTACCAGCATTTGGTATTCACGATGGCGTTACGGGCGAAAAGCATGGCACTCCACTCAAGCTGCGTTCAGCAGCCTCATGGTCAGTACATAGCACGGCGTTTGATCTAGACATTTTTGCACCTAGACATGAGATCATGCAACAACAGTTTCTCAACCACTTGGCCCTCCGTGTGCTCTTGCGACCGTTTGGCGTCTGAGACTGACTCACCGCTCACGCGTGTATTTAAACCGCCGCCGCCCTAATCTTTTATCTCCTTCGTCACTGCTTGTAAGTCACTGCTTGTAAAGCTGATCGACTCGAAAACGACATAGCTTGTGCGCCATGCTGGTCCGTCGGTCTGCTGCGAACTTTCTGCCGAAACGATGTGGAGACATTGCATGACCACTCCGGATTCTCTGTCAAAATTTGACGAAGACAAGGCCATGTCTGTCGATGTCGAATCCCCTGTCATAAGAAAATGACGTCTGTCTGCCTCCGACTCTCTGCCAAACCACCATCGGGAATCTTGTGTCTGTCTGCTTGGATTACGTGCCAAACGTCAGAATCAAACCTCAGGACGTGCCTGACTGCTTTTCTCTGCGAAAGCAATGAATACAAAGGGCGATGCCTGTCTTGGTCCAACGCTCTACTAATGCAGTTGAAGAAGCAGCATGTCTGTTTCTTGCCTTCTTCTTTGTATCGAAATAATCTCGTGGACGTCTATATGTCCGACCGACGTGGGTCTCCTCAACGCACACTATTCGAAATGTTCTGTCCCTGATCTGACCTCAACCCCACCAAAGGCAAACGGTTCATGTACGTTATTCATTCCGGTCGCTGAGTCTTATGTTGAACATCTGCGCTTGATGTCTGGAAACCCAAATTTAAGTCTGTGACCATTATCCTCTCGGTGCCGGCTCGAAGAAAGTGGCATTATCTGTTATGTTTGCGCTGTTATGCATCAGTATCTGCTGCTTCTATGACTTTAGCCGCATGCTGAGAGTCCAAGTAACAAGTGTGCTCAATGTAGTTTCGTTGGCTAGGTTCGCACTGTTCTGGCCGTCCCTTTGTCTGTCCTCAAATTCCTCAACCAGGAATTCATGTGGAAAGCACCCTGCGGATCTATTGAAACTGATCCCAGCGAAGACATGAAACGGAACAACCTTCATATAGCGTTGATGCGTGTCCTCTAATATTGGCATGGAACCTTCACCTCGAGTTTAGGCTGTTGTTCCGACTACACACTCCTGAAATCTGCGAGATAGAATCCACCCCTATACTGTGCATCACCAGGACTATCACTTCTGTCTTGATTTTGCATATCTAAAAGAGTCTCCGTTTGTGAGATGGCCTCCTGCTTCGATTCTTGTCTGCCTCTCTCTAGATCTCTGCCCCTCACACCAGCTCGGAACAAACCATTTCTATACTCTCTGAAACCTTACACCGAAAGGGCACACATGCTCTATGATGAGCTTGGTCTCTCTGCTCTCTGGGTTCCATAAACTTTGAAGTAAGCTGGCGGGACGTCTATGTATGTTTTGCTCTCTCTCTCTACTCTTGCTACTTTAAAATGGTAAGAACTGAACAGATGGCGTGCGCCTGATCGATGATAGCATCAGGTTTAGCCACGCCTGATTTTGCCTGTGACACGATTTTAAACCAGAAAGATCTATATCCTTCTCGCTTTTGTTCGGGGGCAACTTCCTCAAGTGACTATTCCTTTGCCTAGATTTACATGAATGATAGGAATTTTTGGGGGGGTCTTGTTTTCGATTTAGTGATCGTATGTACAAGACATCTACGGTTGCAATTGATTGGAATGTGATCTAGTTATCACCATTCAGAGAGTGTCGTGCAAATACATCTTGAATCGGCAGCACTACCGCAAAGGAAGCACAAGTTATTGGTAAAACTAGTCTTCCAGACCGAGAACCCACTTCAGACCACCCGCAACATGTTCAACGAAGTACGGCTCGGTATAGCTCTCCTTAGTATGTCCCATGCCAGTGTACCATGACCTCGCCTTACCCTCGAAGGTCGAATACCAGGAGATGGGATGTTCAGGCGCCATGCTCAAGTACGCTGGTGTGATCTCATCGATGTAAGTTTCCTCTAGAATAGCGAGTACAGTGTAATGCGAAGATTCGCTCGGGTTGGTTCGGTACGAGTACCACTCATCTGTTCTGTTTTCTGATACGGGAAGACCGACTGTTGAAGGATGTGTCGTGTCTTTGATAGTGACGATATCGGATCGAATGTTGCCAGCTGATATTGTTAGTCATAGTCAGTGAACGAGTCACCGATGTTCGGTGACACTTCAAATCACTCACAGGCGGGATAACGCTCGAGCTGGGCTGGACTGCATGTCCATTCAGGAGCGCAGGGGTGGAACTCAAACTGCAGATGTGAGTCGGATGCGCAATTTTTCTCATGTGAGAACTGACCTGTGCTCCAACTAACGTGTTGTACCAAGGTGGTGTGTTGTTTCCAAAGTCGCCGGCTAAATCAGACTTGCATCAGTGGATGTCTATGATGGAAATGGAGAAATTTTATACGCACCAGCGTGTATGCCCAACCACGAACCACCGTTGAGCAAGTACTCATGTAGTGCCTCATATTCGTGCGAAACAAGAAGATCGCCTGTTGTGTGCAAGAACACCAGGCTTGAGTAGCTGCTCAATCCTTCCGATGTAAAGATCGAAGAGTCTTCTGTGGCAGTGACAGACCATCCATTCTCGTTGGCGATGGAAGTAACGAGCTCAATAGCATCCGGGATACTATCAACATTGCGTGAGTTTGGGTCTCGTGTGAACATACAGATGTCACTCACCTTTCATGACGGTAACCAGCAGTCTTGCTGAAGAGCAAAAGGCTACGGTCAGAGTTGAGGGCTGTCAAGTACTGTGATCAGGAATGTACATGATAAAATGACACATGTACTCACAAGTTGATTGAGCAGCAGCAACAGCGAAAGCTGCCAAGGCAAGTGCGAATCTCATTGTGAAAGTAGGAAGCTGTCGTAAGGTGATATCGAGATCACGTCTTCCAGCCAGCCTTTCATATAAGGTCACCAACATATGACGCAACCTCCAGCAACATGGCAAACTCCACGCCAAGGTAGACCAAGGTTGGCCGAGATAGGAAGGAGATTTATCTTTTCTACGAGTGGGCTCTTCGGTTTCACCTAGCGCTTGCGTGTCGGCCGGCGCAATTCACGAGTGTCGGTGGGTACTGTGCAATGAAAGAAGGACGAGGCCCTCGGCCGATGGTCTATCATACTCGTGTGTGGGTACCTGCATGCTGTGAAGCCACATTCTGCCGGCACCACCACGGCAGTTATGACGTGGTACAGAGGTCCAGGATCGCACTGAGGTATGGGATAGAGCATGGTGAAATTTCTACACAAAGCCTTCCCTGTCAAGCGCTGTTCTTTTTTGGCGCAGTCCGAGGCTTGCCACGCGCCCCTGCAATTGCGCAAGTGGCGATGTTGTTTATATGAAATGGATACTACGGTTCCTGTCACGAGCAGTGTAAGTGGATCGCGGAGTGGCTAATAACGATAGGGGCTGGGGTGTTAAAACTTTAACAACCTTGAATTGGACAAGCGGAAGGCAATTAATACCTTCAGATATTATGATTGGGTGAAATTCTCCAATACAGCTTCGCGCGTCTTCGGTCCGTACCGCTACATGCCTTTTCTGGCGCAGCCGCCGTGGTGCAGACTTGCGACATTGAGCTAGAAGAATACTAGTTAAAGATCCTGCGGATAAGCTGTTCCTCCTTTTGCAACTAAGAAGATAAGATCGAAGGATCAGGTAGGTCTTTACCTAATCCTGAGCTAACCGTGTTCTACTACCTTCAATGACAGAACCTTGGAATGATTCAGGGGGCGTAGATCGGACTCCTTGTGCTCATCCGCCCGATCTGCTTGCTTTAAACAAGACATCTGCATCTAGCAGCATCACGTTCATATTGCCACATCGATTTCTCTGCTCTTCCAGTATGTGCAACAGAGATTGTCACCGTACGGCCTCCGAAGTGAGCCTTGGGTATTAATAAACCAGACAATGTCCAGCGAGACCTTCGCTCGGATAATTCGAATGAAATCGGTTCTTCCTTCATCTTAATCATCGATGATCTAGGCCCAGCATCGACTTTGATCCGCCTCACTTAGGACTTTCTGTTCAACCCATTCCAATTCGTCATTGTTGTATTCTCCGTTAATACCTAGCCAGTTAAGTGGCCCATCAGGCATGGCTTAGTGATCGTTATTCTTATTTCAATGATGGAAATACTGTTGGTAGTCAATTCCAGTAAACTCTACTTACTTTGGTCGTTCCCATATACTCAGTACGTCCTTGTGTGGCCACTTACCTTAATTTTGCCTCCGACAATTCAAAGGAAACCGTGAAGTAGCGTTCCGAGTTGTCGGCAAAGTTGAGGGTGGCCGTGCGGATGCTGAAGTTGGGTGGCGAGCGTGGGGTGGAATGAGAGCTTGAAACGCAATGAGCACTGTCTTAGAGAATGAGGGTCTGGAACTGATGTCTCATGGCTTGGACGCTCGAGGCGCGGGTGATTCTGGGGTTTAATTTGCTCATCAAGCTAGTGGGACTGGATGCGTTCACCTTGTTGTCTGTGCTGGATTCCGCAAACAAGCATGCGTTGAGTTATGAGTTATGGTCTCCTAGACAAACAGTTGCGGCGGTGTACGACAAATGATATGAGGAGCATGAATAGGCGATTGGTGTGAGCTTTGGGTCCACTATCGGTTCTTGTTATCCTGAATTTGGCATCCAATTCGTCCTCACCGATGTCGGGCACATCACAAGTCAGAGCAAAGTCGATGTTGAGACCCTTGTCCCTAATGTTGAATTCTGATGGGAAACTGATGGTTGTGGGATGTGTGAGGCGTATGTCAGGTGGAATGTTGATTGCGTGTCGCACGATGATACTGGGTTACAAAGTTGGGTCAATAACACTGCATTTAGCACCTGGAAAACACCACGAAGGGGGTTTGGCTTATATAGGATGGTAGGATGGTAGGGTCTCTTACATTTATAGCAGGTTTTTGTATTCAGCACGCAGGTATATTATTCTATCAGGTATTCTATCCAGGGAGAAAGGGCGAGAGGGGGGAACGAGAAAATTGGAGAGGGGGTAGAGGCAGAGAACGAGAGAGAAAGCGAGAGCGAGAGCGAAAGAGAGACAGAGTAGATATCATAACGAAAGAGAAGAGGGGTAGAGAAGTATATTAAGTGTGAAATTGTGCCCATACTTGGTAGTACGTTTTATAGTACTACTTAATAATCCAAAAGTGGCAATACAAGTGGCTATTCTCCACGTTATTGGCCCGCCGGGGGTTGGATTTAACATTTCTAACCAATCGGAAACATTTCGGTATCTCTGTCCCATAGGCGGGGTCCTGCACATGGCAAGTACCGAGACAACGGCGGTCCCCGACCTATCTGACTCGCCGGGGCCTGGAATGGATGCCATTACCAAGTCTTCTGTGAGGGTCTGCTTCGAGTCTGCGATGCTATCTGCCTAGGTGGCTAATGTAGGTATGGTCAATGTCGTGCTGATAATTGCTGCCTCTCCCACCAACAGGGTCTGGATCAATTGAACCGAGGAAATGTGCAAGACAGCGGTAGGTATGTACGCTTCATCTCTATCTCTATTATAATACGGATCTCTACACAGTATACTCCGTCATGTGGCTAGCTGACTTCACGCTGTTTACCAGCCGGCCGTTCCTTCTTCGGTAAGTGCACGCAGAGTGACTTCATCAAAGCGGAAGGTATTCATCAATCCACCAACCCATTCAAATGCGTCCTTCAAGCCGGTCCGTACCTCGATATGACCTCCGCACGACCTGAGTCTGCATCTTTCAAGCTCTTCGGACGAAACAAAGTGGAAGCCACGATTTCGTCCGTCAATGGCCTGGAGAATCACTAGTCAAGGCTCTAGAGCTACATATCGTGTTGACGATGCCCTGCTCAAACCCGATGAGCCCGAACAGCCTGCTAAAATCTGGCGAGGGGGTGATATATACGAGTATGAAAGGAACACTGCTAAGCGACTTACCATTTCTGGGATACCATTTCTAACGACCTACCGGTAATTGCAAAAGGAAGTGACTTAGTACCGATACCACTCATCAGGTTGTTCTGTCTATAGGACGCATTAACTCCGATTACCCGTTGCTTCCACTGCCGATTGATTGACCAAATTGGGCGCAATGTGAGTCTTATCAAGGTTCTGTTTAAATATGGCGCCAAAGGCCCCAATCGATGCATGAAGAAGGACCAAATGTTCATTCAGCCTCTCGGCCAGCATTCACTCAGTAACCGCAGTCCAAGTTGAATTCCGGAATACATCGGCATACTATCATCAGATCCAAAAGATGAGTTTCATGCCTCGTGGGTCGATTCTGATGATACCAATGGGTATCTTGCGACTATTATATCACACTCATCACAGTGTATAAGCGTTCTGTCTTTGACTCTGGCTATGACTTCCCGCTGTGCAAATGTCAAGCGATGGGGTATACGTCGAGATTGAGCATACGGGTCGCAGTGCTGGCCGATATGTACTTCATGTTCGCCTCCATGAAGTGACACCACAGCTAGCTGCTGTGGATTACACTGTATCGAACTATGTGAAGTAACTTGGGATACCTAGCATCAGTGAAGAGATATACAAGATACTTCTTGACATTACGTATGCCGTTGTCGCCGAACCGAGCCAGTAAGGTGGTCTTGCACCCCTTCATCGCGGCATATCGACCAACAGCACGTTCATGACTTGAGGTCAGCGGCGACCAGGTTGCTGGAATGAACTCCTGGTCCGCATACCTCATAGCCGGGTGTTTCCGATATCAGACATCTTTGGGAGTGGATCCATGACGCTAAACTGCGTATTCCCGGTCCTCATGACGTTTAGTTCAAAACATCATTCTCCTTAATTCCAAGCTCCTGGCGTTTCGGCCCTTCATCGCGTCCAGTTTCAGATTAGCAACCTTGTCACAGCTCCTTCGCTCCGCTAGCTGCATCTGGCAAATATAACAGTTCTGCAGCTTCTTCGCCAAGCTCTCACCCCACTTCCCGGTGGACTGTAGTAAGGATCCTCTCAAGGTTTGAATAGATGCGCACGGCGAGAATCCAGAAGTGAGGTTCAAGGATGAACAAGCATACTTGATGCTAACGACTGTCTACCTAGGTAGAGACTTGCGCGATATCGGACAACAAGTGAGAGATCCAGCGTCTTTTGGAGCACTAAAAGTGACGGCTATACAGGTCTTTTTCTTATCTCGAAGAGATATCAAGACTTGCATACTTTGACTCTGGTGAGAACCAAGCACGAGTCGCATGTCGTGAGCACGGGCTAGAATCACGCCTTAAGATCTGGACGCAATGTCTCTGTACTTACTTAGTGCTTCAAAGGATGAACAAGCTAAGAAGGAAAGGCATTTGCATGAAAGGAGCCGAAACAGCTCGGAGGAAAGACTACATAGGTATTGACGCTATCTGGAACCTCCAGCTACGGCCTCATGTCGGTTCTTTCACTGCTCACAGTATGGCCAGAGTTATTCGATGCAGAGCTTGAAGTCTGGAAGACCTCCATTTTTCCTTGCAGCTACTTCCCCTGCCATACTATATTCCAGCTTCTCCGGAAACTCGGCCCTTGACCATCTACATCAAAAACGCAACGGGCTCCATACATGTCTGCCTTCCTTGTCCAACTTCTCGCGTCTCAAAACGTAACTTCCACTCCATGGATCAACGCCCACAAATGTGTGTACGAGCACATGAATCGATGAAAATGCATGGGTTCGTCCTTCGTGTATCAAAAAAGCCTATCGACATCACATGCCAGGTAGTGTGTAGATGTTCAGTAGTCCATAAATTAAAGACCTTGTGCCAACTCACTCCTTCTTCTCTCTCATCAACACAATGTGCATCTTTCCCTGATCAAAAATCAAAAAACGAATTACACCACTCCATGGGTTGTCATTTCTCCCTCCTGCTTCAAGTGCATGTGATAAAAGATCGTGGCTTCTTTCGATTAATTTGAATACCCTCGAGCTCTCCGATCCAGTCATGTCGAATCAGATGGACACCGTCCACATGGTCCTTGTCTTCTCCTCTGCTCCAGAATGACCAAACCCCGACAATGTTCGACGACCACACCTGAACTTCCGCAGTCTCAAAAGGAACAGAATTCTCACCCATGCTTTCCTTTCTTGAGAGACTTTCTCTATTTGATAAGCTGCTCGTTCGCAAGAGCATATAAACGACTCGGCTGTCGTGAAGTTTGCCTCCTCCCAACCTTATACTGCTCATCAAATCAAAGTTCAATCAGAACACGGGCATGGTGGTGTCTGCCTCTCCCTTTGTTCAACACAAAACGGAGTGAATTTATGGCTTTCTGCACTCTCCAAAAACCCACCTCGTTCACTACTGAATTTTTTCAACGCTACAATTTAACCCCGAATCATGAAACTTCTCAAATTTGAAGAACTACGAAACAATGTCGCGGATGCCGCAGATGAGGAGGCACAGAAAAGACTTGATGACATCGCACATGACGGAGCCTCTGCGGGTGGTTTTGTTGAACCATCCAGATTGAATGTCCAGATCTTGTCCTGATACTGCTTCTGCCTCCAATTCTCACCACACGACAGGTTCAAAAGTGCATGGTCTTCTTTATCTTTAGTTTCTTTGGCTCCACGGTTTCCGGTACTTTGTTCACGATGAACTCACACTTGCCTCTGTCATGCCATCAGCCAAACACACACTTCACAAAGGTTTCGATAAACGGCCTATGATCTGTCTTCCCCACACAATAACCCCATGAATAACACTGACCGCCCCAACCATGATGCAAAGAATCACAGTTTCATGGAACCGAGCTCTTCTCTCTCATACGCACCTCCACAGCAACAGCAACAGCAGCAGACATGCACTCTCCATCCACCTCTTCACAGCCACCTCATTATCCGTGACATCGCTTCTTTCAAACCCTTACGCACCACCACAAACACGAATAAGGCGATCTCAAGCCACGCGCCGAACCCCAGATCCGCGATCCCAGCACCGCGACCCGACTGTACATGTACAGCAAGTAGCCAGAAGCAACTGAGCCACAGACAAACCCACACAAGACATACCGCGTTTTTCGACGAGTTTCAGACATACATCGACCCTCATCATGTTTGTTCCATTAATGCGCCACGGGATCCCATGGACACGGAAGCAAGGCTTGGACGGGCACATAATCGCTTTGTTAAGTTGGTTTTGACAGCTCGCCCATCATGTTACAGATGGCTATTTTCTTTCATCACATGGGTAGATCATGTAGAGACATGACACAGGGTTTCGAATTTTAGATAGAGATGGTGGTAGATAGAGCGAAAGCTTGTGGGCTTACTGTTTTGTATGCAGGCGAGCCTCACCCATCACGTTGTAGATGGCTATTTTCTTTCGTCATATGGGTAGATGTTAACACATGACTCAGTATTTCGAGGTTTTGAGAGAGATGGGTGGAAGATGGAGTGAGAGCTTGGGGATTTGCTGTTTTATACGCAGGCGAGCGTGTCAAATCCAGAGTACAAATCGCTTGCGTCATTCTTAGTAACGCTCATTGGGAAAGGGCCGGGCTCATGTAGACCGTTGATGCGAGCTTGTCTCTCGAAAGATTACATATACATATATTCAACCTTGGCCATAGTCAATATCATACCCCAGAGGCTTTCTAGTAGGCATGCAGCAGCATCACAGTAGCAAAGGAAACAGGCATTCATCAATCATGTATCATTCGTGTCACAGCCTGCTAAATGAGATCGCTGTGGGAGTATCGTGAGAAGCTAGGAAAGCCCGCTAAGTAGAACCATCGCTCAGTACCTTTTTGCTCCATGCGCCGGAAGAAATCACACCTTGTCGCACTTTATGCGCCCTCAAGCTACAATGAAGAGCCCTTGGTGCTCTCTTGGACCTTCCTGACGATCGGGACGATCTGGTCGAAGAGAGGGTGCGTACGGTCGAGACCGTTGACCTGGTTGACGACATCCTCCGCCGAGGTGTTCTTGAGGATCTTGGCGAGCTCGACAGACTCCTCATCGCCCTCGACGTTCTGGAAGCGATACGCCATCTCGATGGCACCAAGGAGGGCATCGACCTTCTCGCCCATCTCAGCCAGCTGAGCGGCAGGGCCAACGAAGCGCTCCTTGCGGGAGAGCTTGCGGAGAGGAGCACGGCCGACACGCTCGACGTTGTCCTTGAGAGTGGGGTTGGAAATGCGCTTGACGATCTTCTCGACGTAATCATCCTGCTCTTGTGCCGAGATGCCGTGCTTGTTGACGATCAAGTGGGCGGTCTCCTTGACGGCGGCACGCACAATGTCGTGGAGCTCGTTGTTCTGGAGAACCTCGTGGATGTAGGGAACCTTGCGGTTGTGCCCGTAGTAGGCAGCGGTAGCGTGTGATGTGTTGACAGTGAAGAGCTTGCGCTCGATGTAAGGCTCGAGGTCGTCGACGTAGTGGACACCCTCGATCGCGGGCTTCTTGCCGCCGTTCTCGAAGGGCTTCTGCTCGACGCACCACTCAAAGAACTTCTCGATCTTGACATTGAGACCAGCGCCCGGGTCCTGCTGTGGCACAATGCGGTCAATAGCCGAATTGGCGTAGCGGGCCTTCTTGTCGATGCTCTTGAGGGTCTCCTCGCTCAGCTTGCTCTCGATGAAGCCCTTCCATGTGGTGGTAGCGTTGATGGCGTTCTCGCAGGCGATGACGGCGAGGGGGTAGTCGAGTGTGCGAGCCGTGATGGCCTTGGCGACAGGGTCAGCAACAAACTTGAGGATGTTGGGCCCGACAGCACACGTGACGACATCGGCAGTGGCAATCTCGTGCACGACCTTGTCCATCTCGTGCTTGGAGTTGATGGCCCGGTAGTGGTCGATGGTGAACGTGCGCTCGCCGTCATCGCCGATCTCGGTGACTGTGTATGAAGGTGTCTCCTGGAGCTGAGTGATAATCGAGTCCATGACATCGACGAAGATGACCTCATAGCCAGAGTTGTGCAGAAATTCGGCGACGAAACCACGTCCGATGTTGCCGCCACCGAAGTGAACAGCCTTCTTGTCGTAGGACATGATGTGTGAGGTAGGGGTGTTCGGGTGAGTGAGATTGTAGTAGGGTAAGCTAGAAATGGAGGTCAATTGGGTGTGCAGACGAGGGTGGAGGGAAGGGGAGCATACTGCGCAAGCCCGGTGAGATACTCGGGGCGTGGTGGAGAGAAGTTGTGAAGGTGTGTTTGTTGACGATTGGAGGGGACGGTGTTGATGAGGGGTATTTATGGTAGGAGCTAGGGCCGCCAATGCAGTGACAGGTAGTGCAAACGCAGTGAAGCAGCAAATTGTGGACTTACTTGGCCAGAAGCTTCTTGCGGGACGGGCGGTGTACTGGGGGCTTGGAGACGTTCAGTGCGCTATGTAATTGCAAGTAAGGCTGAATAGCGAGTAAAGGAGGACGTTGGGGGCACGAGTGAGCTGGCGCTGCACCCCGCGATGACGCTGCAGCGAACACCCGATTGGCGGGTAGGAAGGAGCGCCTCCAGGGCAGCAACAGCAACACGCGAGGCTCGCATATTTCGGGAGTAAGATAGAATGCGTGCTCTCACATTTGCTTGTGCACTCCGGCTGGAGGCAGAAAGTAGATGAGCATGCTGCGCGCTGCCCAACAGCTCAACTCCGCCTTCCTCCCGGCCGTGGAGGGCGTCCTCCGAACATGCCATTGTGGAAGTCTTACCGCACCTCTGCCGCAGTTTACGGCAATTTTGGGCGCTCTCCTCGATCACGGTCCGGCTTTCCAGGCACATTCTCACGCGCCGGTGGAGTAAAGACGTCATGGTTCGTACCAAGTGCTGCTCCTCGTTCCCGCCATTAGCTGATGCAAGGTGGGGCAAGCGCGTTTTTTCAGAGACCACATCCTGGTGTAACATCTCTCGAGGCTTGACACGATCGTCATAGATTGATCGATTACAAGAGGCACGTATCGTGCATCGTGATCTGTTTCTGAGAGTCTTATTATCGCCAGCCCACTCACCGCCCATTACAACATCTCCTCTGTGATGACCTCCTGCCCCACTTAAAAATTCTACGCGTGGATAGCTTGCTGCACATGGGGGTACACAGCCACCATGCGGTGATAAAGATCTGGATGCAATCTCATCAGGACCTCCGGCTCCCAAGCCATTCCAACAAAGATTGTATCAATACCGCTGCTCAGCGGGGTAGTGAAGATCTTGCAGATTTGCAGACCGATCAGAAACGCAAACGCAACAACCACGGGTGTGTAGCCGCCGTCCTGATTGTATGCGGGTGACGTGAAGATCAGGTACAGATATGCAAGTAGGGCACACGCGTAGCCAACGAAGGTTGCACCCATTGAGAGTACCGGGCCGATGAGGCATTCGTTGACAAGGGCGTCAATTCCGCGATCTTTGATCATCCTGCGTAGGCTTAGAGTGGGGGTCGTATTAACTTTCTGGCTTTACTTACCGCCAAGTATCCTTTGCGGCAGCAACGTAGGCTTTTCCATAAAGCGCAATGTACGAGAATGCGTAGCGATTCAAGAATTCGACAGCCCACTCGAGGATGCCGATGAGGCAGCCAAGCACGCAGAAGAGGATCGAACCGACTAGATTACCATCTCCGGAAGCCGATCGCTGGGCAGCAGAGCACAGCTGGCGCAAGAATTGAATAATGGCCACGAGCAGACTTCCCAGGCTGATGCTGCCGAAGCTGTAGGTCAGGGCGCGCTTCAAGGCGCCGCGAGTCGCACCCTTCGGAAACTTCTCGTGATCGGGGTTGAAATACCACGAGCCATAGACGCCAGAGATGGTGACGTGGATGGTGTTCTTGAGCCACCTGCGTTGTCAGTGCATGATTCTTCCTACGCAGACCTCCAACTTACTCAGAGAACCAGTACATAGCAAACGTGACGAATACAATCAGACCAATGACCTTGCCGTTGCTGCAGCCGCCAGTGCCGCTATTGCAAGCAGGATTGTTACCAGGATGGTAGGTCGCGTAGATCGCCACGAGCGTGACAGAGAACCAGGCGCTCATCGCCATCGCAATCAGACCTCCAATCAGCGAAATCAAGTAAGTATGCCCAAACTTCTTCGAAACATCGATCGCGGTCTGCAGCATCAAGACGCTGAAGGGGATGCGGGGAATCCAGCTGATGAAGCAGATCACGTAGAAGATGCTGAACAGCAGAAACACGATACCTCCGGACCAGTAGCGGCGCGAGAGCATGTAAAGAGCCGTGACGAATCCGAAAACGATGTTGAGGATCCCCGTGATCCAAATCAGCTGTTTTGTGGCATGTCTTGCGAGCAGCATGTACGCGTAGCTAAGGACAGTGGCCATGCCGAGCACAAACGCGAACAGAATGACAGTGTTGGAGCTCAATCCAAAGTCGTTGCGGCCGCCGTAGATGCCGCCGTTGAAGCCGATGTTTTGCGCTGCGAATAGTCAGGAGCTGCAATGCCAGCGCAATGCTGTCGAACTCACAGTATCCCCTAATTGCAAGCCCAGACACTGCGACGTATCCGAGGAATACTGCGATCAGGAGCAGTCCAGCCCACCAGTCGTTGTATTTCGGCCTCTCGATCTTGAACGCTTGGTCGAAGCTTGGCTTTTCGCCATAGTCCATCTGCGCATAGCCAGGCTGTTGCTGCGGGTGTTGCGGCGGCGGCGGGCCCTGGGGTGCAGCGTAGTTGTTGCCATACTGCGGAGGTTGCTGGCTGTAGTTCATGGGCGGCTGCTGTCCATACTGTTGTCCATTGTAGGCGTTCTGTGGCTGCTGTGGTGCGCCAGAGTAGTATCCAGCAGCTTCGCCCTGTTGCGCCATTGTGACGCTGGAATGGGTGCTTGTCGCGCGTGGGTTAACAATGAAAGCTCGAAGGAGGGGTCGACGGGTCGAAACAGATTGTGGTCAACAAAGGCTAATCAAACGAGGTTCCTAGACGTCACACGTCACGATGGGCAATATTGGTTGCATTCGACCATGGGAGCTGCGACCAATGCGCCATCCTGTGGCTGAAGATCGCTGCTAGCGTGCTTCAGTGCGACACACGATTGGTCAATTTGTTACATTGACAGGAGCTCCGGCGCAAGTTCATCGAACAATCGTGGCGCCAGCTCGAAGAGGCCCAGATTGTCGCGTCCGCCGAGCCCAGCCAACCGCGGCGTGGAGCTTGTCCCTTTTCCCAGCGACGATCGGTGTGTTTTCAGCTTGACAGGCATTGCAACTATCAGAACGAGATGTTGAACGTGCGGCACATTCCAAATCTTCGACTGTGCCCTTGCATTGCCAAACCCGCCAAACGTCTCGCAAGTCTCGCAAACGCGTCGTGAGTGCCGATTGCCGTCGTCTCCATCATGTCTGCTCGCCAAAGGTTTTCCTCCGCTCTCCCGGCTTGGGGTCGCGAGTGTCGTCCCAAGCCGTCTCGTGAAGGTTTTTGAAATGAGCGATCCAGCCGGTTAACCGCGTACGGGCCGAGCTTGGGACTTTCATTCGGTGCTGCTGACCATGACTCAACGCGTGCTCGCTCCCAGTTGTGCAGGCACAATTGCGCAAGCGCCTTCACAAGCGACCTCTGTAACGACTGCGTATAACAGCACTCACTCCGCCTTCGCCTTCAGCGCTGCGCGCTCCTTCGCGTGCGCCCAGACATACACAAACGGATAGATGGTCTCCGGGATCAGCGTAACGACCATGCCCGCAACACTCCAAAACGACCCAACATAAGCCCAGTTCATCGGCGCGTTGAGGTACCTCCAAATGAACACCAAGAACGCGCAGATGCAGCCCAGATACCTCGTGATCCTGTTCTCATCAGTCAAATCCCCACATCCCATTCCCACCGTACTTGAACTCACCAAATCTCCAAACTCTGCCCTTTCGTATCCCCCCTCTTCACCAGATAGTAAACCTGCCCCCACCCAATCGGCAGCTCGAGATACACCCCCGTCCAGAACGCCGTCAACTGCTCCCGCTCATCAGGCCACACCCTGCCCAGCGCCCACAAGAACCCGATGCCCGCGACCGTCAACGCCAGCAGCCTCGCCACCGTCCTCCGCCGCTCCTCCGCGCGGTACGCGCGCGCCAGCGCCACGCCGACGAAACCCACGTCGAACAGGAACCACACGAAGAAGCAGGCGCGCTGCCACGCGGCGGTCGTGCAGACGTACGCGTAGTACAGCTCGTAGGCCATGGTCTGGGACAGGAACAGCACGGAGCCGGCCAGGAAGCGGTCGCTGTACGTGCGCGTCATGTAGAAGAGGTAGCACAGCGTGTACAGCAGGCCGCAGGCGATGATCAGGAAGTCGGTGATGAAGAAGTAGGACTCGGGGGGGTGCAGGGCGAGGTCCGCAGACTGCGGGATGAGGTGGTAGGAGGAGTAGTTGTGGGCGAGTTCGAACATGGTGGCGGTGTTGGGGCGTGGGTGGGCGTTGACAGAAGCTCGTTGACAGAGGCTTGTTGACAGAGGTTTGGCGATGGTGGTGGTCGGCGTACCCTCCGTGTCTTTAAGAACGGTCCTGTGAATTCGACAGTGACAGCCAGGTCATCAGCGTCCACACATCGAGCCCACAGCAGTCCTTGAAGACCCCAACAGCCTTTATTGAAGTCCCACTCCTACGACGACAATTCCCGGTTGACGTGCAAGCCACACGCCCAGCATCCGAGACGCTCCGGACCAGGCCACCCTCCACGGCAGCACCGGGTTTGCCATTCCATTCACGCCTCCCAGCGCCAACCGACCCGACACCACGCCTGCTCCGCATTCATCCACTGCCTGCGCCCACGCTGTTCGCTGGAGCGGTAGTCCTACCGATCGCATCGAGGGCTGCCGAGCACCCGAAGGCTGGGATTCTGGTGGTTGCGGTAAGCGTCAGGAGATGACGTATGCGGATCGCACTTGAAAGAGGGAAGCCGTGGAGGGTGTGTGGCTGTGGGTACCTAAGTCTAGGAAGTACCGGACGCTAGGCAAGGTGGGGTTAGTTTACCAACTCCATAGACTCATAGTGGCTCTCGCGCTGTAGAGTAAATGGCGGAGTCCAACGGGGGGTGTAGACCCAGTAGTCCATCATGCAACAGCGAGGTAGAGAAAACACAAGAAAACTCTGTAGAACACTTTGGTGCCTACAGTGTAGGTGATGCTTGACTGAATCTTAGCTTGGGGTGTTATAGTAGCGACAACTTCTGTGTCGAAGTCGGGCAGCTTGAAGCTCGCTTCTCTGCCGTTTTTCCCAAACGAGAGAGACAGCTTGCAGGATCAACATCCTACAGGATCATCAGCCAAGACCACCCTCGCTGACAGAAGCGTGTACCATAACACAACTCCACGATCTCGCCATGCAGACCCGTTGACCGCGGGCTTACAGACAAATCAAGAAACAACCAGACGCGAGACGTACTCTCTCGTCGAAAACATGACTGGCACTCCACTGTTCACCGCAGCAACAGGGACCGAGTCTTAGGCTTACCAGAAAAGTGATATACTGTTTCGTATGCGTACACGACAACACACCGACTTACCTGGCTCTTTACAGTCGCGGGGGAAAGACGACACTAGCATAGATTGAAACACATAATCGAGTGACAAACCTTCGCGCAGAAAACTCCAAGCGCCACGGTGCTTGAGCAATCGAGCCACAAACCCTCATCGCCGCTTCGGTGACGATGATGCAGTAGGCGATCGCGAAGAAGGATTGAGTTGGGCGAAGAAAGTAGGCAGATCACGACCGCCTTGCTCAGTGACGCAGCGCGTTCACTTCACCTATCGCTTACCATGTTTCTACCCGGCGTTTGCACGTAGCGACTGAAATGGCGCTTGCGCGTCGACCGCTTCTGCCTAACGCCGTCTACTTCTTCCGCAACACTCTCTGCAGGACCGTCGTCAAAATGGCTGGCCCACCGCTGCACCGAAACGGTACGAAGCAGCCAAACTCTTCGACGACGGCGGTATAGGCGGCAACGTCCGGTTAGCAACGCACAACCCAACGGAAGTAAACGTTCAGCGCAGTTGCGCAAGCAGGAACTAACCTGGCGCTGGGAGTGACTGGAGTCTTCCCCATACTACTTCATCAACAGCGCTATTCTCGTCCTGGATATGTTATCCACGTGTCTGTTGGAAGACAGCGGTGAAGCGCGCAATTGCGTCGAAGCGACAGCGCCATAACGTCCGTAGCCCGAAACACGCAAAGCTCGTTGCGCGCGCGCGGGGCTTACATGTGTATGAGCACACGCTCGACTCCCCGGTTCTTGGCGCACGACAGCCCCGGAGCCGAATACCGAGGCGCTGAAGGATTGCGTCTGGGAAAGAGGACTCGGCTTAATGGGCTTTGCATCCCAAGCTCGTCTTTCTCCGTACGCCGTGGAGCGCGGGGCCATCGAGCCACCACCTTCATCGGCGCCGAGGATCTGAAGCCGGGGTCGGGGTGGGACAGCGCTTCGACTTGCTCGCGAACCGGCAGCAGGAGCAAAGACTCGGAAGCATCCAGGGCATGTCTTCGCATCCCGAGACTCGAGGCTGATGCGTCAGATGCCTCACCGTGGACGCACAGGACCACGAACACCACAGCCGCCCAAGCACTCCAGCGCCGCGCCCGCCCCCGTCGCACAGCCGTCGCCCCGCGCCGTAGAACAGCGCCGTGTGGAACCCTGCGTCTCCGCCCCCCCTGTGCCGGTGTGCCACGGCGCCGCACGGGGAGCGGGCTGCAGCCGTTGCGGTGCGCGGGCGCACGAGTGCGGGTTCCGGGTTTTGCGGGATAGGCGCACAAGGGCTGCGGGATAGGCGCGGGCGCGTTCGCACTGGAGGGCTGCGGGGTCGGGAGCGTGCGGTGCTGTCGTGTCGTGCCGTGCCGTCGTGTGTGGGCGCGGGTACCGGCTCGCTGTACGGGGGCTGGCGAGCGGATGGACGGTGGAGAGTCGAGCAACACCAGCTCGTCGCTGCACTGCGCTGCGCTGCGCTGCGTTGCGTTGAGGCCACAGGGATCTCGTTTCCGGGTGTTGCAGACACGGTTTCGCCGTCGCATCGCTCGCGCGGCATCGCAGCTGCGCGCGCCTGTCTCCGCATGCTCGTCTGCACCGCCCATCTGCGCCTGCACTGCTGATCATCCCGCGACAAGATCTCCAGCGAGGCCACCCGCCACGCTCGGCAATCGGCTGGCGCTCTAGCGCGAACCCGATCGACTCACCTACGTCCCTGTCGCATCCCTACCAGTCCCCAACACAGTGTCAGTAAGTGTCCAGGAAAAGTGCGAGAAGGCGCGCAAGCAGGCGTGGAAGTAGCAGCGAGCACGCTCCGGAGGTAAATAGCGGTCTGTCTGGTATCCGCCGCATCCGGACCGCGCGGTCGCGCGCCCGTATCGCCAGGGCTGAAACGGCGGGACTTTGCGGCGGGAAGGATGCTGTGGCTGGGCGCCTGACATTGGCGCTCGACGACCGATAAGCGTTGTACTGGATTGTACGAGCGCAGGAAATTGGCGCAAGCAACGGCGCGGAGCAGCGCCGATGCGATCGCGAGAGCGGGCGCTGGCGTCGGCGGTGCGTGTCGGCGCGCGGACTGCTTTTCACGCCGAAGCAGGTAGCACGGGCGGCTTTGATGCGTGCAACGAGTCTCTCGCACCCAGCGCAGGAGCGGGCATTATCATTTCATTGTATCAGCACTGGGCAGCAGGAAGCGAGCCCGCGCGGCGACGCGCACAGGGCTGGCCGTAAAGCGTATGCGTATCTCATTGTCTGGCAAAGTCTCTGCTCAAACGGCGTTAGACCCTGTGCTTGATCGCGTTAGAGACCCCTTCTAGGGAGCTCAGGGAGGTTAGCACGCAGACTTCCGTGCGGACGCGCGGGCGTGCAATAGTGCCGCTGCTTGGCCTGCGTCAGGGCGCCGGCTGCGGATCGTCCGCGCAGAGCGAGCAGGCCATGGTGCTGGTGTCGCGTGACAGTGGGATACCTGCCCAGGGGGCGCAGTTGCGGAGCGTCTGGCAGCGCAACAGCCCCCCCAGATCGCAAGCACCGCGGACACGGTGCTGGATGTGTTGTCCGGGGCAGGACAGGCCTGCGGGACTGACGCGGCGTGGTTGCAAGCTCGACGCGTGGACCCATGCCAAGCAGCAAGATTCAGGCTCACAGGGATGCACAGGAACCGCATCGCAGGACGCCCGGCATCCGCGGTGCTCCACTTAATCCAGCGTCTCCTTTCCCTGTGTGACTTTTCTTGGTTATCTTGTGCGTCTGTCCAGCGACGCTCCAGGTTCTCAAGCGCTGCTCTCTCGTCATTCCTTTGCTTGTGTCCGGGCCTGCCGCTGTAGCCCTACGAACCCACCGCACCGACGTAATCCAGAATCATCCGCCGATCTCCACGTTAGAACTCGGCTGTGCTTACCTGGTTGGACATCCCATGACCCCTGCGCAACCGCTCGACTCTCACGACTCTCACGACTCTCGTACGTCGCTCGCCGCCGTGCGACTCGATATCAAGAACCTTTTGCTCCGGGACAGCTCCACCGCGCCGTCATGAACTCGACATTACCGGGCAACGAGCCCGAATGGAGCAGCAAGCCAGCATGGAAGCTGCCGGGCTGGGCCGAGCCACTGGTACGTCGAAATATCTCCGGACGCAGGACGCAGCGCTTACGCACATAGATGGTAGCGAGCATCCTCTTTGGCGCGATGGCGCTGACGCGGCGCCGCAACTTCCGCATCTTCGACCGGTCCAACGACGCCAGCGTGGGGTATCTGGACGGCGACGCACACGGGTCCTCGGACGCGCTGCTGGCGTTCCCCGACGACGACAGCGACCCGGGGCACGTCAGCACGGCCAAGTATCCGCCCAAGGTGCGCCGCTGGTGCTGCACCAAGGTGGTCACGCCGAATACCTCGCGCTTCCGGAATAACATCCACAGCCGCGTGCTGCAGCGGTTCCCGTTCCTGATCGAGATGTTCTACTGGGTCATCAACTACGCCTTCTACCGGCTGACGGCGGTGCTGTCGGCGAAGCTGTTTGCCGGGCGGGGCATCTGGGATGTGTCGCAGGAGCACGGGATTGCGGTGCTGGACGCGGAGGAGCACGGAATGCTGAGTTTCCTGTTTCCGATCCGCGAGCAGAGCGTGCAGCAGTGGTTCATGCACGGGCACCAGGACGCGCTGACGGTGCTGAACAAGTGCTACGCGCTGATCCACATCCCGGGGACCGTTGGGTGAGTTTCTTTCAAAACTGTGTCGGGTGCTCGCTAACAGCGCAGGTTCATCTGCTGGTACTACTACGTCGCGCCGTCGTTCGACACGTTTGCGATTGCGCGCCGCACGCTGACGCTGACCAACTTCTGCGCCTTCATCACCTTCGTCGTGTACCCGTGCATGCCGCCGCGGCTGCTGCCCTCGAAGTACGGGTTCCTGGACACGGTGCGCCACGACGACGCGCAGAGCGTGTGGATGAGCGGCAAGTACGTGAACCAGCTGGCGGCGATGCCGTCGATGCACTTTGGCTACTCGTTCTGCATCGGGATGACGATGATCTACCACTCGGGGCTGTTCCGGCGGACGCTGGAGCTGGGCGAGGTGCGCAAGAACGCGTTCTGGAAGATGTTCTACCTGTGTCTCGGGCTGGGGTATCCGACCTTCATCCTCGTGACGATTGTGGCGACGGCGAACCACTACTTCATGGACGCCATGGTGGCGGTGTCGTTTGTGCTGCTGGCGTTCCTGTGCAATAAGGTGTTCTACGTCTTCATCCCGCTCGAGGATCTGCTACTGTATGTTATCCGGGCGGACAAGCCGGTGCCGTCAACGGGCGACCGCTTCCACGAGCGCGGCGGGCGCTTGTAGGGCGTCAGCGGCGTCTGAGCTACTATATTTCGACATCTACTGTTCTCACATATACTTTGGCTGATTTGGCGGCATGGGACCGGCGTTGACTCGGGCGATACTCGACGACTTTTGCATAGCAGCGCTGGAGGTATTCTGCAGCACACTGTACAATATCATGATTTGTTTCTCAACCCATCTGCAATCCGCTGTGATGTATGACGAGACTTGCATATAGGTGGTGTTCGTTGGAGGGTTGGGTGTGAAGGCCGAGCAGTGACGCGGTACGCGCTAGCGCCGTTCCTGCATTAGCCGCGAAGCTCTCCGCTTGAGCTCCCAGCCATCACGACTGTCAGTTCACAAACACACCGGTAAGTCGCCCAGACGTCTCCTCACGCGCCGTGCTCTGTTGTCACTGCAATTCCATTCTCTCCGCTCATTGAGAGTTTCCGCCGCCAAACATCTTACGCGCCGACGCGCTGACAACAACAGCTCCAACCTCACGCGGTGCACTGTTGACACGCGCTCGACTGCCTCATTTCGACCACACACAACCCACAATGGCCGACTCGGAGCAGCCGACACCGATCGAGGGCACCCCCGCCGCGGACGTCGAGATGGGCGACGAGGCCGCGGCGGAGGAGACGGAGACGGGGTTGACGCAGCTGGAGCCCGAGCAGCCGAAGCTGGTGCTGTTTGCCGAGTGAGCGCGTATTTCTTTGGAGGTGCTGCGAGGCGCGGTTGGCACGCAGCAATGGGTTGAGAGCACTGCCCCGTCCGCTGCCAGCACCATTCAGCTCCTCCGCACACGACTGACGCCCCCAGTCTGGTCAAGAGCCCCATCGTCGAGGTCGTCGTCGGCAGCGGCGACCAAACAACCACCTACTCGGCCCACGAAGCCGTCATCCTCAAATCCCCCGAGTTCGCAAAGCAAGTCGAAGCCTTCGCACCCACAGGCGCACGTCTCCCCCCGATCCCCACCCACCCTCTCTAACCCGCTCGCAGCCGCGCAGAATCACCTTTCCAGACTACGACATCGACGCCATGGGCTCCGTAGTCGAGTACCTGTACACGGGCGAGTACTTCCCCAAGAAAACCTCGTCGGCGCGCGACGCCCCGCTGGAAAGGGACCCGCGCCAACCGCACCCCGACGACGACGGCGCGGGCCTGCTCGTGCACGCGCGCGTCTACACACTCGCCGAGCGCCTCGGCCTGCCCGACCTCAAGTCCCTCGCGCACTCGAAGATCCACCGCACCGCATCCACCGCCAAGGGCGAGCTCGCCTACGCCCGCTTCGTCTACAAGGAGTCCAATCCCGACGACCAGACCATCCGCAAGCCCGTTGCCGCCTTCTGGGCCTCGCGCAGCTACAGCCTCAGACACGACGCCGAGCCCGAGTTCCGCGCCATGTGCCTCGAGTTCCCGCAGTTCTCGTACGATGTCCTGCAGTTGGTGCTGGATCAGCAGGAGAAGAGTCGCGGGCGGGCGGACGAGGGGCCGGGCAAGGGCGGGCCGAGCGTGGTGCCGGGGAGTACGAGGAAGCGGGCGCGGGTCAGTCAGATCTAGGGGGCGTGTGTGTTGTAGTTGAGCGAGGCTGGGTAGCGTTGGCTTGGAATAGTGGGTGCAGTCGCTGTCTCTGCATCGCGCGTGACGATGTCGCGGCGCGGCGAGCCCGCTGGCCGGATTCAATGCTGCCTAGGTACTCCCACCCCACACCTGCCCCACAGACGTGAACTCGCATAGCGCGTAGCGCGCTTCACACGTGACATATCCCGTCCGCACAGCATCTCCCGCTCTCTCAACACGCCCCCTGCCGTCTCCCTTCCCTTCCCTGTTCTCCCTGTCCCGCCACCCCTTGCACATCTCCACACCCTTCCCCGTTCCTTGTCTGTGCCCGTTCGCGGGGGACAGCAAGCACACGAGCGCGCGAGACCGTCGGGGTCTGGTTTCCGCTGTGGAGACGCTGGGCTGTGTGGTTGAATGGCGGAGTCTGGAGTTTGTGGTTTGGGGCTTGTAGGTACTTGGACCTCGTACTTGGATGTCGTGCTTGATTATGTTGTGCTTAGATGTCGTGCTTGAACCGCGTGCTTGAACCGCGTGCTCTGGACCTCGTACTTGGACCTCGTACTTTGTATCTCGTACTTTGTATCTCAAGCGCCCCAGATGGGCAAGCGCAGACTCTAGATGCGGAGATACGAGACGCAAGACTAGGATAGGCTCCGTCCGCAGTCTAGACTTCTGGAACACAGACACGCAGACGGTAGATGCCGGACTCGCGGACTCGCGGATCTGGACTGCTGATTGCTGACGGCAGACGCCAGATGCTAGATGTCAGATGCTAGATGCTAGATGTCAGATGCTAGATGCTAGATGCTAGATGCCAGATGCTAGATGCTAGATGTCAGATGTCAGACGCCAGACTAGACACACCTAGTGACTACACACTCCAGACTACACACTCCAGACTACACACTCCAGACTACACACTCCAGACTACACACTCCAGACCCCCCCCCCCCCCCCCTCTCCAAGCCCCTCTGCCCCCGAACCCAGTTCACGCGGTTAAACACTCGACACCTGCGTTGCCGCCGTTCGTGTGTACTATGTAGTCGCTCGCCGGCGATGCTGTGTGTGCTTACTGTGCTTTACCTTGCTTTACTTTACTACACTTTACTTTACTATACTGTATGGATGAAGAACACATGCTACCCAGCGCCCACTCCACGCTCCTCGCTCCTCGCTCCACGCTGCACGCTCTCCACTGCCCGCCCAAGGCACTTCCACACGCCCCGTGACTACCGCAGCGCCGCGGGAAGGGCAGGCGCGATGTGGTATGTAGCGCGCGCGGAGAGCTGCGGGTAGAGTATGTACACGGAAGAAACGGGCTGAGGAGAGAGTGTCACCGAGTAGAAGACACATGTACTGTGTGCGAGACCACAGGCCGTGAGAAGCGCGGCAGCATGCTTCACCCCACCCCGGGCAGTAATATCGGAGTGAAACAGACTGTCGCGTCAGTAGACGGGTGTGCGTGGCGCTCTGCAGGGAGGCGTGGGGTGGTCGTGGTGTTGTGCCCCTGCTGGGAGTGCAGCGCTGGAGCAACTCATGCGATTGGAGAGGTCGTGGGAGTCGGGAATTGTGGGGGTCGGAGGTGTGCAAAGTCGCGTTGAGTATGTTGGCGCGTGAGATCCACGTCCACGAGACGGCGTTGACGGGTCCTGGGAGCCGGGATACTGAGGCAGGGAGGGATTCAGTGCTGCGTCGGCCTCGCTGCGGTGCTGGCTGTGGGTCTGAGAGGTTGTTTGGTTTCGTGAGGAGTACTGCGGAAGCTGAGCTGTATTGGATATCGTCGTTGGTTCGCTGGTCCAGAGAACAGCACCGTGCATATTACTATAGTTTGGCCACGTGGATATACGTGTTTCGTGTGCAGTTGTACGATAGCTTGCAGGGGTTCCAGCATATGAACGGAATCGAAGACTATCCATAGAATCTTGAAGTCTAGCACATCGCCCTGTGTTCTTAGTCAGTGACATTACTGACGGACATAGTGTACAAGATCACTGGTGACATGATAACAGAAAGTATCTAGGATGAGTGGATCAAGTCAACTTTGGCTCTACGAGGGGAGATAAACGACGCGACGACTTGAATTCCCGGATCATCGTTCGGCGTGACAGATCCTGGCTTTGGTGCATGTCCGCGAACAGAGCATGCAGAGGCTGAATGTAGATCAGATTCCTGCACTCAGATATACCTCTCCCTGCGGTCGCCGTGAGTACGGTGCTGTGTAATGGCTGAATCGTCTGGCACGAGGCCAGTGAACATTGGTAGCCGAGGAGTGTTCTGCAGCTCCAGGACGATTCCTAGCACCTGTTTCTGCAAATCGAACACTTCGTTGATGAGCATGATGGTTCCACAAGTCTTGAATGTTCTCAGGTGATTCTATGCTTTGAGGAAGTACCAGAGACGATGGTAAATGTCTCCAGCGTTGGGTCAATTCCGTGGAGACGTCTTGGGTCATCCAAACCAAACCATGGTCATGGTTGATCGACTCCATACAGAGTACGTCAGCTCGAGTTCACAGCCCTCTCAGCCCCAGATAAGATTTGTAAAAACATCCAAGAGGTATCCGCATGGCACACTGATCCACCCCATGTAGTATTGATCCAGGGAAGGGCAACGCGTCGACTGCCGAGCCAGTAGGCGTCAATATAGACTGCGTCAGATAAAGGTAGCGGCGGCGACCCGAACTCAATGCGCTTAGGCCGCTTCCAGTGATGACCATCCGTTAGAGGCCGTTGTCAAGATGTACCGGTCATGTCGAGTCGTGGAAACCTGACGCGCTCTCGATTGATACGAGATTTGGCCCAGCGCGAACGACTATTCAGACTACACAGTCCAGCACGGATGTCGTCAGAGCTGTGGTCCAGATGCAGGCCAACGCACCAATATCGAAGCTCGCATGGTGGAGGTCGACAAGCTTTACCAAGACTGCGAGAGTCTGCGATGCCAGCCACCTCTTTCTATTTACTTCCCGGGTGGCTCTCCGCTGGATGGCATCAGCTTGCAGCGCACTTAGGGGCGCGGGCTGACGTCAGTGTGCCAAAGTTCCCGCTCGGTGCAGGGACGAGGTAGTGCGATCTTGATCTGACGCGCGCTACACAGGTAGCAGCATGTTGTTGAGGAGACGGTGCGCGCGACTGCGTCCTGTCCAGGCATCACCAAATTACCGTGCGTCAGTCAATTGGATGTGAAGAGAGTCCAAGATGGAATGCGCCCTGGGCCTCAGCCTGCTAGGTGGTGATTAGTCGAACCCCTGTATACATGACGGTAGGTTAGGCTTGCATGTGCAAGAGCATGCGATAATGGCTCAACATTCTCGCAAAACAGCTGGCTCGTAGGTGACGGTCGAGCTGAGGATATGCAGAGCCACTTATCGTGCCGCTTATGATCAGATAAGAGCAGCTTCCGATTGATCCACAGCGGCCTGTTAGGTAGGCCTGGTTCCGCCAACGACCGTTTCCTGGCGATGGAATACACGTAGAATCGCGCTTCCGAGCTACGTGAGTCGCGTTCAAGGTCCAGCATGTTAGAGCGTGCCACGTTCCCATGGCTGTTATGACAGTCGCCGGGCTTCATCTCGTGCAAACAAATTACTGTCACCGATTCGCAGCGCTGGCACAAAGGAGGAAGTGCTTCCTGCGTGCGGTCCTGACGGTCCGACTTGCTGACCAGTCGTACCGTGGTCAAGACCTCGGGCTATGCGAGCACGTGAATTCGCAGCTCGCCATGCGGGATGGTCGTTGGTCCGCAGTCATGCTGCATACCGATTGGCTTCATGTTGTGCGATCCCCAGATTCGTGGGTCCCGGTGCCGCGATGCACATCGAGCTTCTGCAGACAGGCTGCCGTGAGTGCACGCAGGAAAATGCCGCTGGTCGGTCGACCGTCGCATGTCGTCCCACTCGGGCAAGCCGTGCATTAGTCTGGTCCAAACAGTCATTTCTGAGACCTGCTCGCCTGGTGACAGCCAAACAAGATTGCTTGTGCAAGGAGCTGACGATGGTCGGAGGGGTGGGGAAACATCGCCCGACGCATAGCCACGATCAGGAAGGAGCGCTCCGGGCCCTGAAGGTCCTGGGACGTATGGAGTACCGGCATGAGGAAGGCTGAAGTCTGGCCCACTGTGCCTCATTTTCTGTCGCACTGGTTGCGCACGCAACTCTCCACATAGAACCACCTGCAACCCACCTGAGCGTGTCCTTGTTTGTTTTTCTCGTCTACGCTCCCTGTCAGGACCCTGCAGCTGAGCCGCGGCTGTCCCCCGCAGTGAACCTCTCGGTTTACGGGCCTCCCTCCGCTATAACCACATGCAGATCACTGTTCTTTTAAACCTCAATAAGCCGCCAATCACAATATCATCCTTCCACTACAGTCTCCCTCCGTGCATGCAGCAGAACCGTGCTCGTGGGTACTGTCTCTTGTGTCTTTACCCCCGGCCCGTCTCGCCATCGGAGGACTAGCCCTTCCCTTTTCTGCTCTGCACGAGACCAGCCTTAGGCTTCGCCTCGACACAGCTGTGCATCCTCCCACGCAGACATCCTCTATCGTGGCCTCGCCAGCTCTGCAATTTCTTCATCTGTTAGGCCTAGCCTAATAGCGCGTCGGCAGTAGACGCGGCTAAAGCAGCCTCAATACGCTACCGCATGGCCTCCGCTGCTATAGTAGGTAGGCATCCGTGCTTCGGAACAGATCGTGAAGTATCCACGGCCACCTTTTCTGAGGCAAGACTCAAATCCACTTAGCGTCACTTGACCTCGCAGGCGGCCAAATTCCGACGACTACTTTTCCCTCCGTCCGATATAATTCCCTCAATCACCATCACATTCATAACAACTTGACCAGAGCCACATCATCACACCTTGACCGGAACCACTTGCTACCTGACACTGCCCAACAACACTTCACCGCCAGGACCCATTGCAGCCCTATTGTGGAAGCCATCAGTACCTAAACCCAAGGTACCAGCATCAGCAGACACTTCAGCAAACGCCGTCCTTCTCTGGATTTTCTCGAATACCCTTGCCACCGTCAAACAGCATTATCCAATATCAGTCGCCAAACCTTCTTCAGTCCGACTCCCAATTCCTGTATCACTACTCAGTACATCGGACAATCACGGCAACCACCACATCTGTGTCCCAATGCTTCAAGTCTGCAACCCGACGCCCCACACCTTTCCAGAAGTGCATCCAGAGCACTTGATCTTCCGACTACGAGAAGTACCGTCTGCGAGAACCATGGAGCCACCTTCGGCACCAAACCCAGCCGGCGATGCTGGTGTCCTGCCCGAATTCGGGTGTATGAGCTTGCAAGATGCGCCATCACCACCTGCGAACGAGGAGGAGTTGGATGTGTGCACCATGACCCGAGAATCTGCCATGAAGCTGATTGCACGAGCCATCATTGCAATGGCGAACGCGGCCGGCGACGTACCTGCGACGCCACCTCTGACACGGACCATTTCTAAGGACAACCTCAATGCGCTCAGGGGCCATCGTCGCGTATCCTCCAGGCCAGCAACACCCATCCCATCTGACAAGGAGAACCATCATCGAACGCCGCTTTCGCCAGCAGAAGCAGATCATGACGAGCCTACGATTGCACATGACATTGGCGCTGGTGCGCTACCAGAGCCCTTGCAGCGGGCAAACATGGCGAGAAAGTTCTTTTCCAAGACCGTCCCAAAAGTGGGCGTCGAAGAGTACATGAACCGCATCCAGAAGTACTGCCCACTCTCAACAGCTGTCTGGCTTGCCGCTGGTTCCTACATTCTCCGCCTGTGCGTGATTGATAAGGTGGTGCCTCTGACTTTCCGCACGATGCACCGCCTGATCCTTGCATGCGCACTGGTCGCAATGAAAGCGCTCGAGGATCACCGTTGGCCACAGAAGCGATTCGCCGCAGTCGGCGGTGTGGACGAAGGCGCCCTTTGCCGATTGGAGCTCTGTGTGGAGTTCCTTCTATCGTTTAACGTCCAGATCTTCTCGCCTGAGAAGTTGAAGGATCTTACCATCTCGCTTCAGAAGGCGGGCCAGGCGGCCACCATCTCCAGCAGGCTGCCCGCCTCATTCAACCTGAAGCTAGGTACCCCTAGGATGCGACGAGAAGTTGCTGCATAATTATAGCGAAATGTTTTCTTAGCACATTTCCTTTGTCGACTGTTTAGGATATCCCCACTGAGCATGCGACGGCGTTCAAGCAACACAAAAGCGGCATTTTGATATCCTCTGAGAGCTTGTCTGAGCGGACTTTTGATAGTTTAGGGAGCTGGCATTTGACCACGCACTTTCCCACAATCCTTCGTTTCCACAGGTTGGATACACGTACAGCTACAGATACATGATCTGGCTGAATCATAATACAAATATGCATCTGTACTTCAATGACTCACACTGTCGCGTGCTAAGTGAAAAGCTTTTTGTGCTTGATCTTGGATCTTTTATACCAGCAACCTCTGGCCAATGCACCTATGAGCTGCAAGATAGCTCTTGAGTTCAGAGCTGTGATCTGAACAGTTGACAGCTGATCTTGGAAGACTCCTCCAATTGCTAACGCGAGCGTCGTGCCTGGAATGTGCATCCTTGCCCCATCTGCGCTAGGCGATCGTCGACGCCGCAATCGTGCCCCTGGCAGCAAGCCACCACGAGTTCGAGTTCAACGTTCACGACATTAACCGCTTCTACGATACCCAGCACGCTGCGATTCCTCCAACGTTATCCCGTGACCACGTCTACAAAGCCACGCGCAACCATCGACGCCGACCAGTAGCCGCGCGCATTGCCCCGTTCGCCTTCTCCACACCGCACACCGCCCTCGTAATGACCCGATTACTGCTGCCCCTCACCGCGCTCGCGGCCCTTGTGCCTTTTGTGAGCGCCGGTATCAAATTTACCAGCCCGGCTGCTGGCTCCAAGTTGACTGCGGGCACGGCGATTGAGGTGGAGTGGGAGGAGGGCGGCGATGGACCCAAGATCAGCGAATTGCTGACGTACCAGCTCATCCTCGTCGGCGGAGGACAGGAAGACAAGGAGCAGCAGGTCGTCAAGGTCCTCACAACAGCCGGTAACTTTGCGCTCGGAGGCAACAAGGCATCGGCCTTGGTAGAGATCGGGCTGCCGGGAGCGAGCACTCCAGCTAATGCATAGTAGGTCGCGTCTGACATGTGCGCACACCTTGAGCAGCTCTACTAACACATGGCGCAGTTTTATCAAGATGGTCGCGGTTGGCAAGACAGGTGGCGAACTCACCACATATTCCGACCGCTTCTCCTACTCCGGCATGACGGGCGCATGGGGGACCGATGTGAAGGCCGCCCTGGCCAAGCTTAGCACCACCGACGGGCCTGCAACAAAGGACCTCACTACCGCAGCAGGTGCCGGAGCAGGCGGCGCAGCTGGCGACTACGATGTCGAGTACACCATGCAGACCGGGCCCACACGTTATGCACCGATGCAGCCAATCCCCCCGAAGACGATCACGGCGAAGAACACAGCGCCCTTGTACCCCACAAGTAGCGTCAGCATTGCGACCACATTCCTGCCTATTCCCAAGATTCAGACCACCATAACACAGAGCCAGACGGCCACGTTCAGCAGTGTTGAGAACACGGTAAGTTGTGTTGACAAACTGACCAATGAGCGCACACTGACTTTTCTCAGGTTGCTGCTGCTCCCCATCCAACGGACGACATGCAGAAGTTCCTGAACAGGTGGAAGGATTAGATCACGGCGTGGACAGATCTCGATTAGATACATAACATGCTGAGATCCAGTGATGATCTCGAATGATGCGCGCACGACCCTGCGCACGTACGATTGATGGCGTTTCTGGCAAATGCCCTTGAATTTGATAGCGTTCAACATACCACGAATAAAGACAACAACTTCATCCCCATATCAGTCTTAGTGTTGTTCGTGATGATCTGCAATGGCCGGGCACCTGCCTTTTGGAGCCGGCCGAGGCAGAGCGAGGGTACCCGATACTATCAAGCTGTCCCCCACCACCCCACTCGTTCCGCGCGACAAACAGCCACATGGGCAGCTGCAGGAAGCTTCTACGCGTTCTCTCGCAACCGTTTTCACACTGCGGAAGAAGCTTTTCGCCTCGACCAAACCGTTTCTACACCCCTGAAAAGTTTGCTGAGCGATTTAACAAGCCTCGAGGACTCGCATCGCTGCCGAAAATGGGTATCGCCGAAAACTATGATGAAGTCCTGAAGGGCAAGTACCCGGCCAAGGAGCACGCGAGGAAGGTCGCCAAGTGGATTATCGAGAAGGGTGGGGATAAGAATGGCACCATCTATCTCGAGGCACAGAAGCAGAAGCTTAATGAGGATAACGATGGAGAGGCTCCCTTCAGGTAGGTGTGTCTAGGTCCATCCAGTATCAGGTGATATTAACAACCAACCCAAGACAACGACGCTACTTCTACTACCTCAGTGGATGCGAGCTGCCCGATTCATACCTGACATACGAAATCAGCACCGACAAGCTCACCCTGTTCATTCCCGGTGTCGAGCCTGACGAGGTCATCTGGTCTGGCCTTCCTATGAGCACAGATGAAGCAAAGGCCAAGTATGATATCGACGATTGCAAGATCACCGCCGATGTCAACGCGCATTTGGCCAGCTCTGAAGCAACTTCGCAAGCGACCATCTACGCTATCCCGGAACAGGTGTCAGATCACATCACGTTCCTCAACTTCAAAGACAAGGACCTCAAGGAGCTTAAGCCTGCGATCGAGTACTGCCGTGTGACCAAGACTGACTATGAGATTGCGCTCATCCGCAAGGCGAATGAGATCTCAACCACCGCACACATCAATGTCATGAAGGCTGCTGCCAAGGCCAAAAACGAATGCGAGCTCGAGGCTGTATTCCTGAAGTCGTGCGTGGAGCGCAACGCAAAGAACCAGGCTTACCACTCAATCGTGGCAGCCGGCACGAACGGCGCAACTCTCCACTACGTCAACAACGCAGCACCCATCGACAAGCAGAACCTGCTCCTTCTGGATGCAGGATGCGAGGTTGACTGCTACGCCTCAGACATCACCCGTACTTTCCCTATCCAGGGTCACTTCAACGAGGAGAGCCGCGCCATCTACGACATCGTCTTGGATATGCAGAAGCAGTGTATTGACGCTCTCAAGGCGGGCGCTGTGTGGGACTTCATCCACGAGCTCGCCCACAAGATCGCCATCAAAGGCCTTCTTGCGCTCGGTATCCTAAAGGGCGACCCAGATGAGATCTTCAGGTCGCGAGTGAGTGTTGCGTTTTTCCCTCACGGTCTGGGTCACTACCTCGGTATGGACACGCACGATACCGGCGGCAATGCAAATTACGCGGACAGGGACACTATGTTCCGCTACCTCCGAGTGAGGGGTGTTCTCCCTGCGAGGAGTGTCATCACCGTCGAGCCCGGCATCTACTTCTGCAGGTTCATCATCGAGCCGTATCTGAAGGACGACGAGCAGAAGGAGTTTATCGATGAGAAGGTGTTGGAGAAGTACTGGGCCGTTGGTGGTGTGAGAATCGAGGGTAAGTCCTGCAGGAACAGAGTCCAGTCCACTACTAACATCTTGCAGACAACCTTCTCGTCACTGAGAACGGCAGTGAAAATCTGACGCCTACACCGAAGGAAGTCGACGATATTCTGCAGCTCATCAGGAGTGGTAACTAGGCCGCGTGCTATTGCGTTCATTCCGTGGGGCAATGACAACAGCAATATAACAAAAAGATCTTCCACTATTCTCCTTCTTTTTCTCAAGTTCAATTAACCCAAAGAAGCGTTCAGTATAGAATCATTTTCGCCAAGCGGCGACGCACCCCTGCCACCGCACCCCTCTAATTTGTATATATTAACGAAGGTCACGCCGGAACCGGCCGCCACTTCTTCGCCTACTTTAAAACGTTTCAATTATCTCCGAGTGGTAAACAGCCTTGCACGCTATACCGTTCCCCGGATTCGGTGCCCGCTTCCCACAGTACCTGCAGCCCTTCATTTTCACTGAGGCGGAGCACGTCGGCCGTGGCGGATTTGGCATAATGAAACCCAAGATATAAACCGAACACATTGGGTCAGGGAAGGGTAGTGGACAACAACAGCTCACTACTATCATCGAGATGTTCGTCACTAAATTGGCAGGTCTCGTCGGCCTTCTCGCTGGCTTCACGGCCGCACAGACGACCACACTGCAAGCTGAATCCGCAACATTGTCAGGTGTCACCGTTGCCACCGCAGTCGCTGGCTTCACTGGTACGACCCTCCAAGCAGATTGATCCCACCTCGACTAACAAACCACCAGGCACTGGCTACGTCGAGGGCTTCGACGAAGGCACCGACAAGATAACCTTCACCGTCCCCGCCACAACCTCCCAGCTCTACGACCTCAAGCTCGTCTACAACGGCCCCTACGGCGACAAGTACACCTACGTCGTCCTCAACAGTGCCGGCGGCTCCCAGGTCTCGCTGCCCGCCACCACGACATGGACCACCGTCTCCGCGGGCCAGGTGCTGCTCAACGCCGGCTCCAACACCATTGAGATCCAGAACAACTGGGGCTGGTACCTCATCGACTCCATCATCCTGTCGCCCAGCCCCAAGCGCCCCGCGCACAAGATCTCGACGCAGCCCGTGTCGCCCAACGCCAACGCCGACGCAAAGGCCCTGCTCAAGTACATCGCGTCCATCTACGGCAAGAACATCCTCTCCGGCCAGCAGGACCAGGCCAGTCTGGACTGGGTCACGGCGAACGTGGGCAAGACGCCTGCCATCCTCGGCGTCGATCTGATGGACTACACCGAGTCGCGCACGTCGCGCGGCGCGGTGTCGACCGACGTCGACAAGGCGATTGCGTTCAGCAAGAAGGGCGGCATTGTCACGTTCGTGTGGCACTGGGGTGCGCCGACGGGGCTGTACGACACCGCGGCGCAGCCGTGGTGGAGCGGGTTCTACACGGCGGCGACGGATTTCAACATCGAGACGGCGCTGAAGGTACGCTGCTCCCCCTGCTATCTCCTGAGTTTCTTGCACCCTCACATCCCCTCCCCTGCTCACCCTAGCAACCCACCACGACGCAAACCCCCGGCTAACGCACCCAGGACACTACAAACGCCAACTACACCCTCCTGATCAAAGACATCGACACCATCGCCGTGCAGCTCAAGAAACTGCAGGACAACGGCGTCCCCGTGCTGTTCCGCCCGCTGCACGAAGCCGAGGGGAAATGGTTCTGGTGGGGTGCCAAGGGCCCCGAGCCCGCGAAGAAGCTGTGGAAGATTGTGTTTGACCGCTTGAACCGCGTGCACAAGCTGCAGAACCTTATTTGGGTGTGGAACAGCGTTGCTGCCGACTGGTACCCGGGCAACTCGGTCGTCGATATCGTGTCTGCGGATACGTATGCGCAGGGCGACCATGGGCCGATCAGTGCGACGTATAACAACTTGTTGACGCTGACGGGCGATACGAAGATCATTGCTGCGGCGGAGATTGGCAGCGTTATGGAGCCCAGCCAGCTCAAGGCGTATCAGGCGGACTGGGCGTGGTTTGTGGTCTGGACTGGCGAATACATCAGTGGCGGAGCGTGGAACAGCCTGGAGTTGCTGAAGAGGGTGTACAATGATGCGTATGTGCTTACGCTGGACGAGATTCAAGGATGGCGGAAGACTTAAGGCATAGCACGGGTACGGGCTCGCACTTAAGGTCAGAGAAGCAGAAGCATGTTTTCATTCCGTCATGTATATCGTTGAGCTCTACAAAAGAAACGCCGCTGCTATGAGGGCAAATCGCGCTAAAAACGTATGTGCAGAAGTGAAGATAAATGCGCCAACATCGAGCGACGCCGAGCGTGATATGTGAAGATGGACACCAAAAGATCGAATATATGTAGCAAACATGCCAAAATCTCAGACAGAGATGCAGTAGGCGTAGCTGGCCCAGAGGTTGGTGCACTCGGAGTTGAGGTTGGTGTTAAGCTGGCGGAGGGTGGCGAAGTCGACAGGGGCGGAAGCGCAAGTGTCGCCGGACTTGGGAGTGAAGTACTTGGTGCATTTAGCTGCGGCTCCGTCGATGATGAGATCAGGCTTAGCAGAGCCAGTCTGAGGGGTCTCAGCGAAGACACCAGGAACAGGAGGCGGCGTTGGCGTAGCAGAATGAGCAGCCGGGGGAGTAGAAGTAGGAGCCGCCTGGTTCGGGACGTCGTTAACTTCGGCAACAGTACCCTGAGCACTCGCGAGAGAGCCAATGACAGCATTGTCGCAAGGACTCCAGTTGAAGGGACTCGTGAGGCGGTTGGCGATGTCGGAGGCATAGCACGGAGTAGGGCCAATACCAAGGTTGTTGTCAGTGATCCTGCCGGCATTGTACAGACGAGCAGCCTTGTACCACTTGCTGTCATCAGTCGTGCCGGCGTCCGCAACGCACTGGGTCAGAGTTGTCTCGAGGCCATCACCGTCAGTGCCATCGTGGATCATCTGGCGAATGACATCGTTAGAGCATGGGCTGACTGGGCTTCCGCTGGGGTTGCAAGTTCCCTTCCCCTGAGCGCTCTGCATCAAGCCTGGGTTTTCGTGACCCCAGCGAGTGGTGGGAGCTCGCACACATCCCTTAGACTCCTGTATGACGATGGCAAGAATGAATTCCTGTGTCGAGTCAGTAAAGTGGTCAACGCAAAAGTTTCTAAACAGGCTGCATACCTTGGGGATACCTGACGCGTTGGACTCTCCGATGATGCTGTCCTTCAAAGCTTTCATCTCGGCATCGCTGTTGTTCTCGCCCCAGCCTTCTACCTGGCAAGAGTTCTTGATGGTCTCGAGATTGGCCTCCCTGAATACTTGTCAGTGAGTGAAAGACGTGAAGAACATGTGACATACCAAGCACTATCGAAGCTCAGCCACGACTTTCGGGATGGCCAGCCAGTGGCCTGAGATCCGTCTCCGCCAAACATAATGTACGCGCCTCGTGCGGCAACAGATTGAATAGCAACATTCTTAGAGATGGGAGCTGCAAATGAAAGCGCAAAGATGCTGCAAGCAGCGACAAAGGAAGTGGTAGCAACCATGACTGCAATTGACTCGGTTGGAAAGAGAGTAGTGTGGGATCAAAAGTGAGCGTGCAAAGTGAGTGTGCAACGAGCAAGAAGATGAATGAAAGTAGTAGCGGAGGAGCTGGCCTCACGCAAAGTCAAGTGAAATGAAAGTAGGGTGCAGAGCGATACAGAGAGAGTGTCGGACAGTCGTAGGTTTTATATTGACCAGAGCTCGCGTGGGGCTGCTGCTGGAGGGCGTTTGCGCCTGCGGTAGCCCATGGGCGTACCTGACAGTGGAGCCAGGTGTGGAGAACCGCATCCCTGCTACCTGCAAGATGTCAAGCTGCCTCGGTGCCTGCACTTACCCCTTTTGGGATACGTGCATCGGTGAAACAGAGTTGCACCGTACTGGGAGCGACCACAAAGAGTGTGGCGCGGATCACACAGGGACACATTGTCGTGTTCAAGCCCAGCCGCGATGGGCTTTGTCAGATTCGATTTCCTGGAATTGGGCGTAAATTTCCGCAGTCTGGTGATACCGTGTGGTAGTATTTTACTTCCTGCCTTGCCATCGACACCGTTCGGTGTATAGATCTAAAAGCGACCTGCAGGGAACCATACCCAAACTGCCACCCCGGTAGATCAAACGGCAGGGCTGTACAACTTGCTAGTGAGCTTTACGATTGGCGGTGTAGTTTACTACGGGCCGCATAGAGTACACCGCGAAGAACGCCGGAGGGGCATGCGGCGGAAGCAGCCGGTGAGCGCGTCGTAGCATCACGAGACGTTACCGTTGTCGCTCGGTAACCGGAGAGACCTCCCAAAAGAAACACTGAGGCTCTAGGCAGCTGTTCTGATGGGCGCCACGCCGGGCGCCACGCCGGGCGCCAGGCACAGGATGAGGCGATTGACCGAAACTTCTGCGCTGTCTCCGTGCGGCGCAGTCCAACACCACGACTTGAGCGCGTACCTGTCACCTCGAAAGTGGAGCATGGCGCTTGGGCAAGCAGGGGTATGTAAATCCCCGTAGATCTGGCGGCGCTTTGTTCTTCCAAACAAGAAGGAGGCTAGGCTTGGTCAAAGACGGGCTCTGCAAGGGCTGCAAAACGGTAAGGACTAGATGCACAATCTGAGACTTGCGCAGCACGCGTACAAAGAGTTCAACGCCACTGCTCACTCGGTATCCTTGTTATCATCAAGTGACAAAGGAACTCGACGTGCGGGAGAGAAGGAGAGGTCGTTGTGCAGCATGGTGTCACACATGCAGGTGCGGGCTGCAGTGGTCACTGCACGCGAGATCTACCAATGGCGTGAGGCGATCTTGCAAGTACAGTGCGTCGGGTCGCACCCGGTACTTAATGTTGTGATCATGAATTTAGATTGTAGTTGTAGCTTTAGAAGATCGCATCTCGAGGACGGGACGAAGATGCGGGGTTGTTGGTGCGAGGTTTGCGCATGTATGACGGTGAGCACTTGTATCTCAGCATCGTCACCGAATACCCTATCACCTTCCAACCAGCGTATTCTCCAGCTCAGGATGCTCCCTCCGTAGATTCACCAACGGCAGGAACATCTGCTTCTTCACCTCTGTCCCCTCTGCTTCGGCGGTTGCTTGCTCGCCCGCCCAGGTCCACATCTGGCTCCAGGGTATCCACTCCCACTTTGCGCACTTGTGCGGTTCCATCGGCTATGCAGTGTCAACTCTGACATTGTTTCTGTATGGGTTCCTCGAGTTCCTCGATTACCCAATGGGGGCAAGGCTGCAACTGACCTGAGCGACCTTGTTCTCGCCTGTAATCTCGGCAGTAACAAAGATAGTCACATAATGCTTTCCCTCGCCAAACACATCGTTGGTTGCAGTCAAGAACTTGATGTTGCCTATCTCGAGACCAGTCTCTTCTAGTGACTCCCTTGCGGCCGTTTCCGCAAAGGACTCGCCGTACTCGAGGTGCCCACCTGGACATTGGAAGGTGCCTAGTCGAGGTCAGCGAAAGATGCTGGCAAGAGGTGGTGATTGAAATCAGAGCAACTGGCATGTAAAAAACTAAAGTGACCGTAGAAAAGGAGAGGATCGTACCTGCGCCGTGACTGCCTGCTCTTTCGCCCATGATAATGTTGCCGGCGCCATCGTGAATCACAACGGCAACGCCAACCTTAGGGCGATCTGCTTCTGACATGGCAATTGTGAGCATCGATGATAGTTTGTAGTAAATGAATTGGGGTGTCAATGAGAGTAGGATAAGGTTGCGCAGAAGTAATGTACAGCTGTATGAATCATCGTAGATGTAAGATCAGGCACGCTAGCGAAGGCTGTGTGGGGTAGTGTCGCCTTCAAACTTGCCTGTTTGCGCAGTGAAGGGGCTGAGTGAGCTGCAGAAACAGGAACTTTTATTGACTACGGTGAGCTCTTCGAGCTAATTCTGAGTTGTTCGATCTGGTCGTGTGAGTGAATCCACAACCCCAAATGAGCTAAGCCAGCACTCCCAAACTCGAACAGCCGACCACCATCGCCAGGGTCGTTCATCCATGGCAAAGAAAAGTCCGTTCGACTTTGATGTGATCCAAAGAACAGATTTCCATTACCGGATCCGTCCAAATAGTCAAAGAAAAAGCACCATGAGATAGTCATCAAAAGCATTCGCGTGCCCACTCTTCACTTAGGGTCATCAGCGCGAGCCTGGAGGCCGACGAGCATGTTGTAGAAGTCTGCCTTCCAGTTAACGCACTCGAAATACTCCCACCAGAGACGCAGAGCGGGTGGGTAGTCTGCATCAGCCTAGAAGAAGTCAGTAACATACCCTCAACAGCCTCACAGCATGGCAACGTACAGAATCGAAGGCTTTCAAGATGAAGTCGGACTTCATCATTGACGTCTTCATGCTGGCCTCGCGCTCCCATCCGGCAAGCTCCTGCACGTATTTCTTGACGTCGCTCTCCACCTGCCTACTGTGTTGCTCTTCATCCGTGGTGACAACGCTTGTTCCGGTGGGCGGGAGAACAGCGCCTTCGTACTCAGGCCTTGGAAAGAAGTGCTTCTTCAGCTCGTTCGTCAACCACTCTTCGCGGGGCAGAGCGGTCAGATCTTTCGCGATGTGCTCTTGGACGCGTTGGGGTACTCGAGACCTCATCGTATCGTTGTCGAGCTTGTCGGACCAACGCGTCTGCGAATAGTTTCCAAAGTAGGCGTAGCGGCCTGGTAAAACCTGAACGAACATGGGGACATCGGTGTAGGGATCGATGCCTTCTTCAGGCAAGTCGTCGAACTCTTCGTCGGGGGCAGTGTTGAAGAATGCGGTCAGCTTTGCGCCGTGCTCTCCAGGTCCTTTCGGCAAGTATGGCTCATATGTTGGGTCGAGCAGGTAGTACGTGCGATTCTTGAGCAAAGGCGCACGAGACGTGTTGATGAATCGCATACCAGGTGACCACGCAATGCCACTGAGGACATTCTGGAGCATGTCGAAGCTGAATGTAGCCATGTCCTGCTTAGCAGGGATCTTGACAGCAATCTCGGCAGGCAGTGCTGCAAGTGTGGTGAGGTAGTGCGGCTTCCAGTCATCCGACAAAGTCTCTGCCTCAATGTGGGACACCTTGACAGTTGTAGAGGGCGACGGTGGTGGGCTTGGAGCTGCTGTAGGGACTGTTGGCTGTCGAATGAGCGTATCAACCGGTCCATCTGTAACTAGAGGCTCGTGCTTGTCCTTTGTCGCGTCAAGCGAGAGCCTGGAAATCCTGTACAATGGGTTAGTGAAGGCTACCAAAAGGCACGGATCGGGAGAGCGCACGAGACACCGTTAGTAGGAATGAGCTGCTTGCCACGAAGGTGCGGAGGCAAGGACTTCCCGCCTGATCCTCGACTAGTAACACTCGTGGCCTGCTTGTGGAGAGGGACTTTGTTGCTGTCAACCATTGGCGTGCTACCACCGTTCACCTTTCGCTCGTCAGCATTGCCGTTCACTGACTCTTGAACATCGTGGCTCAATTGCTCGAGCTCTTCCATGAACTGCATAGCACTCTGACGTGACTTGACAAGGTCAACGTCCTGGGGACAGGGCTGAGCCTTGCCAAATGACTGACACATGTCGTGATATAAGTCTGTGAGCGTGTTGACGTCGTCGCGTAGATCGGTGTATGTTGACTCCAAGCTAAGGATCCGGGCTTCGAGATACGGAGAGGGAGGAGCGCTCACCTGACGCGACGCGCTACTTCCCTGTGAGTTGATGGAGCTGCCGTTGGGGTTGAAGTTACGGGCGCCGGGATTGAAGTTGCCGGCGAACATAATGAGGCCGCCAGCAGAGAGGATTGGTGATTGAAAGTTCCGGTGAGGGTATGAGAAGGATCAACAATCAAGGTCCTTTGGGGAAGAGTATTAGTGTATGGAAGGTTGCCTCGAGTAGTCAATTTATAGACCTCGTGGACCGTTGCCTGCCTGGCACTCACGTGCTGAAGATCAAGGTGAGAGACGCGATAGCGGTGTAATTGGAACTCGACGTAAAGGCAGCAACCGAGAGGATCGGCTGTTGGTCAGCCGCGAGTGGTCTGAATAGTGCCAGCCTGTGATACTGACATTTGACGAGCAGTGTTGCGTACGGTAGGCGAGTTGGTCTGCTACACAAGGAGTAAGAATAGACAATGTACGAAAGGCTTCAGGCAGCGGGGAAAAGTATCAGTGAGACTATGAAGCAAGTAAGGATAGCGTGACAGTTTAATTCTGAGGGGTCCAGTGAAGTTGCATGGCACTCTGTACCATCGGTCGTCCACTCTCTGAACGCCGCCATTCAACCTGCACAGGTCCGTGTCTACAGTTGCTGTAAATTGTAATGTAGATACCACCGTCATGGCCGCAATTCGCTGGATCTATTACAATTCACAGACAATCTCTCCTCACCCCTTGACAGGTCTCGGCGCCGTGGATGGTGTCTTGATGCTTTATGAAATTGAAACCGGCAGCTGTGGTCCATTCTCGGCTGGATCGAATGCACCAGAACGCGAACTTTGGTAGTAGCGCCGATGCATCTCAACGTCTCCCCCACTACCAGCAGCTCTCGCTGGCTCATTTCACCTCGTTCTCGAGGTGTGCATCTCCCAGGACTCTTTCGATTCTCTTTCGGCTCACTCTCCGCGCGTTCGGGCCCCTGTTTCGACCTGTGTCGGTCAGGCATCAGCGTTGGGCTTCCATACTGGCAGCGACTGCAGTCAGCTCTTCTAACATATTCGACTATGAAGCTCTGGTCCGACACGGCTTCTGCATCGCGCATTGCTAGTCAGTGCCGTGATCGTCCTCGGGCGCATCCTTCGAGGCATCGCGGTTGAGAAGGCTGCCAAGACGGGGACTGGTGACGCGAACGCGCACGCGACCGGGTGCTCCCATCAGGCTCGCAGTGCGCGAACACGAGGCGATGGAGCGTGCTGAGCATCTTCGGCAGTGTTCTGCATGCTTGAAACGCGTCTGCGATTCGGAAGTGCTGGCTGCAGGGAAGCACGGAGTATCTCGGTTCCTGGCAGGGACGCGCCATTTCGGCAAGCGCGACTGAACCCTGAGAAACGTCATGGCTAGTGCCGTGCCCGCTCCTGCATTATTCAATTTGCGAGCGACTCCTCACACCGCGGCTGATCACGATAAGCGTACACGCACCGAGTTGGCTGACTGCTTGCGACACGTTTACGACATCTATGAGCCTCTTTTCGCCATCCATTCTCGTCAATCACCTGCTTTTGTGACCTCACGATGCCGCCGAAGCGCACCACCGAGGACGTCCAGACACTCAAGGAGAAACTCCACAACACAAATGCTCGCGGACGTCGCACCGGTGGCACCCATCTAGCGAATGGAAGCAGCCTGAAAGAGGTCGACAATGCGTCCACCAACAGTGGTCACACGTCGAACGACCTCGACACGTCGAATGTCAGTCACCGCCTCGTGTCTCGCCGCTGACTCTACGTCACAACGCCCACCACAATGCACACCCAACACTGACATTCGTTTCGCTATCAGATGAAATGGACGACCCAAGAGCCTGCCGTTCTCCAGGCCTACCGCCGAACCTACCGCCTCGACACGCCGTCGACCTTCAAGAACCCGCTTAGCCACGTCGTCCTCGGCCAAGGCATAGGACGCATGTCGCCGACCATGGCACGCGCGAAATCACAACGACGAGTCCAAAAGGACCAACTGGCATTGGCTGTACGGAAGAATTTCAATGCTCTTGGAGTCAGCGAGAGCGACGTCATCGTTGACTGGCTGTACAAATCAAAACACCAGGGTGCGTTCCTCGAGTCTACGAGCACAGCACGGATCGTCTGCTAACAGCCGATGACTAGACAAGGAGTTCCGCGTACGATTCACGCCACAACGCAAGTGAGCTCGAGTCCGCTCACGTTGCTCACGCCACCCACGTACACACATTCGCTTCACATTCGAACTTTCATCGATACCCAGTCGCGGCACAACAGCCAGCGACATTTAGATAATGAGCATGAGCATTTGGAAGGCGTTTAGGATATACGCACACCCTCGACTGGGTGGTGCATGCTATGGATAGAGCTCACTTGGCTCCGGCGCTCATGACTTGGATATGTCAATGATGGCCACACATACAACGCGGCACAACGCCTGCATATGATATTGTCTCATGGAACTTTTCTTATTTTTATAATGGCTATTGGGTATTCACTGATCTATTTTACGATCAACATCATTCGGATGGCTTGCCGAGAGCATTTTATTTTGCTGTGCCACGCGAAGTCGACCCGCGTTGTCGACCATATGTGACCTTGTGTGAGAGAGATAATGAACCAGGTCAACAGCGCCAGCATTGTTGTATGTGTAGAACACGATCCACCCGGTCGGTGTTGCGCTGGAAAGACGCGGCTCTCGAAGGTGCTGGAAACGTGCCGGGGAAACTCACCACGCGTCATTGGTCGCCCGGGCTTTCAAAAAGTTCATCGACCCCATCGACGTCGAAGTCGGCAATACAGCGTCGTCACATCGCAACACCATCACGTTCATTTTCAGCGCTTCTCTTCAGCTTATTACTTTCCAAGATGAGTTTCGTCGGCCCAATGCCGTTGAAGGCCATGGCGCCTGCGCGCATGGTATCGGCCTCTCGGCAATGCCAGAGGAGGAACATGTCGCACGCAAGAGCGCAGCTCAAGAGACCTTCAATCGCGGCGCAGACGCAGGCGCAGGCGCAGAATGCGCCATCATTACGGGTAGGCTATTTGCAAGCGCATCTGCGAACGGCAAGCTGACATGACGCAGTTCTTCCACGCATCGCAGGCCTCATTCGCAATGGCCGATCCCTACAAGTCCCTCGGCGTCGGCAAGGACGCATCGGCCGCCGACATCAAGAAGGCCTACTACGGCCTTGCGAAGAAGTACCACCCCGACACCAACAAGGACGCCTCCGCGAAGGAGAAGTTTGCCGCTGCGCAATCCGCATACGAAGTACTCTCCGATAAGGAGAAGAAGGCGCAATATGATTCGTATGGCGCATCGGCCTTTGACTCAAACGGAGGGTTCAATCCAGGAGCCGCTGGTGGTGGAGGCAACCCATTTGGCGGGGGATTCGGTGGATTTGGTGGATTTGGCGGGGCGCAAGGCGGGTTCGGCGGCCAGGGTGGATTCCAGGATATCAACTTTGAGGATCTGTTTGGCGCATTCGCAGGTGGACGAAGGCCACGGGGAGGCAGCGGCGGCCGGAGGAATCCATTCCAGGAGGAGATCATGGTCGGCGACAACATCGAAGTGCAAACGAATATCTCGTTCCTGGACGCAGCGAAGGGCGTCAAGAAGGAGATCAACGTCAATCCTTTGGCGGAGTGTGGAACATGTAAGGGCAGCGGCATGAAGACTGGAACCAAGAAGGCAGAGTGCAAGGGCTGTGGCGGTACTGGACAGAGAGTCACAAGCATGGGCGGCTTCCACATGAGCGCGACGTGCGGCCAGTGTGGTGGATCTGGGTTTGCGATACCTCGTGGCTCCTCTTGCGGAACTTGTGCCGGCGACGGAGCCGTCAAGGAGCGCAAGACGATAGAGATCGAGATCCCCGGGGGTGTGGAGGACGGCATGCGTCTTCGTGTCAGCGGCGAGGGTGACGCACCGCTCACAGGACAGGCTGTTGGTGCCGGCAAAGTACGAGGACAGAAGGGCGATCTCTACGTTCTCATCCGCGTAGCGAGCGACAGCAAGTTCAAGCGCAACGGCTCCGACATTCTGCACACTGCCACCATCCCTCTTACCACGGCGGTTCTGGGAGGAGAGATCAAGATCCCCACCCTGGACGGCGAGGTCATGGTCAAGGTTCCCACCGGCTCAGGGACGGGCGACAAGATCACGCTCTCGGGCATGGGCATGAAGATGCTCTCCACTGGAGGACGCCGCAGCCCACAGAAGGGTGACCTGAAGGTCGAGTTCAAGGTCAACATGCCGAAGTACCTGTCTGCGAACCAGCGAACGATCCTCGAGATGCTGGCTGATGAGATGTCCGACAAGACGGCAAAGCGGACGATGAATCTCGGCAAGTTCAGGGAAGAGGCAGAGGCGGCGGCCAAGGGGTCATCAACGGCAACCACGGCGGACGAGCACAAGAACGAAGGCTTCCTGAAGAGCGCATGGCACAACCTCACCGGGCAACACAAGAACCTCGACAAGGACAATGAATCGACGGGCAAGAAGGATGACGAGAAGAAGGGCTCCGGCTCTGCATGAGTTTGAGCGATGGCGAGTGTATATATGACATGTTGTACAAGACTTAGACTGGCGCATGTGGTGGTGTCCTGTCCGCGACAAGGACTTTGCAAGCATTTCTGGCGTTGAACCGTGGTCATGATGTATAAAAGCACCTATTGTAATGGCTGGCCTCTCGACTCCGAGCTGTATTATATAGTTTGCTCCATGTAATAGCGAATGTATCAACTGAATCAGTTACACGCGGACTATCTATCTTTTCCACTTGGACCAGCGCTTCCAGGTCAATGGCGGGCTCGTGACGGTCGCTGTTCGCAGGGCGCGTAATGGTCGTGGAGTTTCCTCCCGTCGCTACCAGAGCGCATCCACAGCGCTCCGCACCGAGCGCTTCCGCGAAGCTATGCGTCGGGGTTTCGGCAACGTGATTGGCTGGGGGCGAGGCGCACGGCTGGGATCAGGCCTCACGGCTTCAACTGCCTGACGAGGATGTGACGGGCGCTGATGCATCCATCGCGACATGCTCGTGGTGTTGAGCGGCTAGGCGGCTGCGTGGGCGTCTGCAGATTGCATGGTTCGGGCGGTGGATGGCAACGGCGTGCTTATGCGTGTGAGCTGCAGAGGCCCCATGTGGTGACGGGGCGGGCGGTGGAACCCCGCGCAGCCACTGGAGCTCCAGCATCGCAACTTGGGCGTGGGCACACCGCCACTGCGCGAGATTGCTATACATACATATCTGAGGCCTCCCGACGGACGCCAGACGCAAGAGTGAAGGAGCGCAGACCAGCGCATGCAGTGCCACGAGAGCCGCGCCAGCTGGTGAACAGCACGACTTGGCCACGCTATCCTTGTCCCTCCGTGTCCGTCGTCCCGCTGGCTATCGATTGCCCGTGGATGCCTGCGACGCGACCGCGCGAGCGCCGTCACCACCCCTCGCAGCCGCACTCGCCCGCGACCGCAGACCCGAGCGATTGCCGCAGCGCTCGCACTCCCGCTGCCCTTCCGCGCCCGCCATTCCGCTCACCAAGCCCAACCCCTTCGCTGCGCACGCGGCGCCAGGCAGCACCATGGCGACGCAGATCCCCATGATCTCGGTGCCGCTGAAGCAGACCAACGAGATCGACTGGGTGCAGCCATTGAAGGGCTACATACGGCAGACGTACGGCGACGACCCCGAGCGCTATGCCGAAGAATGCGCGACCCTCAATCGCCTGCGCCAGGACATGCGGGGCGCGGGCAAGGACAGCGCCGCGGGGCGGGACCTGCTGTACCGGTACTACGGCCAGCTGGAGCTGCTGGACCTGCGCTTCCCCGTCGACGAGAACCACATCAAGATCAGCTTCACGTGGTACGTAGCGCCGCTGCAGTGACCGACGAGCCGCCCGCTGACAGCCCAGGTTCGACGCCTTCACGCACAAGCCCACCTCGCAGTACTCGCTCGCCTACGAGAAGGCGAGCATCATCTTCAACATCTCCGCCGTGCTGTCGTGCCACGCCGCCCACCAGAACCGCCATGAGGAGGTCGGGCTCAAGACGGCCTACCACTCGTTCCAGGCCTCGGCCGGCATGTTCACCTACATCAACGAGAACTTCCTGCACGCGCCGAGCCAGGACCTGGGCCGCGAGACGGTCAAGTGCCTGATCAACGTCATGCTGGCCCAGGCGCAGGAGGTCTTCCTCGAGAAGCAGATCGTGGACGGCAAGAAGGTCGGCCTGCTGGCCAAGCTGGCGAGCCAGGCCGCCTTCCTGTACTCGCAGGCCAGCGAGGGCGCCCAGGAGAACGTCACGAACGCCGTGTTTGAGAAGGTGTGGCTGCTGGTCGTCCAGGTGAGTGTGCCCGCCCGCGCAGTGTGTTTGGCGCTGACACCCCGCAGATCAAGACGAACCACATGGCATCGGTGGCGCAGTACTTCCAGGCGCTGGCCGACGACGACGCGAACTCACACGGCGTCGCCATCTGCAGGCTGCAGGCCGCCGAGACGAGCGCGCGAGACGCCAATCGCGGCGCCAACAGCTTCCCCAACTCGGTGCCCGCCAACTCGAACCTGACCGCCGAGACCCACGGGATACTGGCCGAGATGACGAAGAAGCACCTCACCAATGTGCAGGAGAAGCTGCAGGAGTTCATGAAAGACAACGACTTCATCTACCACCAGGGCATCCCGAACGAGGCTTCGCTGACGGCGATACCGAAGCTGCCCGCGGCGAAGGCGATACCTGTCAGCGAGCTGTACCAGGGCCAGGACATCCAGAGGATCATCGGGCCTGACATCTTCCAGAAGATCGTACCCCTGGCCGTCACGGAATCTGCAAGTCTGTACGACGAAGAAAAGGCGAAGCTGATCCGTGCCGAGAGCGAGAGAGTCGAGGTTGCCAACGACGAAATGGCTGCGAGTCTCGACTACCTCAAACTCCCGGACAGCTTGAACGTGCTGCGCGGCGGAATGGACCAGGACATGATGGTGGACTCGGACTTCCGCAAGTGGTGCGAGGACCTTGCCGGGCACCAGTCGTTCGCCTCGGCCTTTGACCAGCTCAACCGCGACAAATCGGACATCTCCGGCCAGCTGGACACGAGCATGAAGCAGCTGGACATGGAGGAGAGCGTGTGCGAGAAGATGCGGTCCAAGTACGGGCCCGAGTGGACACAGCAGCCCAGTTCGCGACTCACCGCGACGCTGCGAAACGATATTAGAAACTACCGCGGCGCGATTGAGGAGGCGAGCACGAGCGATGCGCAGCTGTACAACACGTTCCGCCAGTGTGAAGCCGACTTTGACGAGATGCGCTCCGCCGGCGAGACTGACGAGGCGGACGTGCTGTACCAGAGAGCTATGATCAAGGCCGGTGCGCAGAAGGGGAAGAGCCCCGGGCCCGCGCAGGGCAGCCTCATTGACGATGACTTTGACGATGGGCCGACTGTTGCTGATCAGATCGCGGCCGTTGAGGACCTGCTGCGGAAGCTGAACTTGGTCAAAAAGGAGCGAACGCAGATACTGACCGATTTGAAGAGCAAGGTAAGCTAATTGCGTTGACGTTGTGTACAGTGCTGATTGTGCAGGTCCACTCCGACGACATCTCCAACGTCCTCATCCTCAACAAGAAAGCTATTGCCAACCAAGAGTCACAGCTCTTCAAAGCTGAGCTCGAGAAGTTCCGACCGCACCAGAACCGCATTCTGCAGGCCAACCACAAGCAAGCGTCGCTGCTCAAGGAGCTCACACGAACCTACTCGGATCTCCTCAAGGACAAGCGCGTGCGAACCGAGCAAAGCAAATACGAGGCCTTCTCGAGACAGCGCAATTCAGTCATGACCAAGTACAGGCGTATCAATCAGAGCTTCAACGACCTGATCGCCGGCCTCCAGCGCGCCCAGCAGTTCTACTCAGAGATGAAGGAAACCGTCTCCAGTCTCCAAAAGAACGTCGAAACCTTTGTCAACAACCGCCGCTCCGAAGGCGGCCAGCTCCTCGCCCGCATCGAGGCCACCAAGTCCTCCGGCGCCGACACCGAACACCAGCGCATGAAAGACCTCATGGAGCGCATGTCCATGGAGCCCTCGCACAGCCCCGTCTCCGCCGGCAGCTCCGGCCGCAAGAAATCCGTCCCGCCGCCGCTGCCGCTGTCCGCGACCTCCGGCTACCCGTCCACCTCGCACATGGCCTACAACCCCGCGGCCTCGCCGCCCGTGACCCCGCGCTACCCCCCACCCGCGCAGCCCTTCATGTCGCCCCCGCAGCAGTCATACGCCCAGAACAACCAGGGCTTCCAGCCCCCGCCGCCCCGCCGCGAATCCTACCAGTATGCTACGCAGAATCAGCCGTATAATCCCGCGCAGCACGCGTATAACCCCGCTTCGCCGCCCGCGCACCAGCAGTTCTTCTCCCCGCCGCCGCAGCTCCAGCAACATGGTCAGCAGGGCCAGCAGGGTCAGGGCCAGTGGGGCCAGAACCAGTGGGGCCAGGCCGTGCCGCAGGGCTACGTGCCGCCGCCGCCGCCGCCGGGGCCGCCGCCGCTGCAGCAACAATCACAACAGCAGCAGGGGCAGCAGCAAGGGCAGGAGTACCCCGGTTTCGGCGGCTACGGGGGGCAGGGCCAGGGGCAGGGCGGGTACGCGCAGGGCGCGAGGGGCCAGGGCCAGGGGGGGCAGGGGGATCCGTGGGCGGGGTTGAGTGGGTGGAAGTAGGTAGCTCGCGTCCTGCATTCCCCTGGGATGAAACGAGGGAGGCGGAGGGTGTGGGAGTGGGAGCGCGGCCGCAGGAGCAGGAGGTGTAGATCCGTATCGCAGATCCGGATCGCAAAGCCCACGGCCATGGGTGTTGGGTTGGGTTGCATACACCAGCCCGGGCTGCCGGGTCAGCGGGTCAGCGTATAGGATAGTAGTAGGATCGTGCAGTGTAGCTCTGTGGTTCGAGGACAGACGTGTGCTCGGAAGTAGTGTACAGCAGTGCAGTGCAGAATACCACACTCACACTCGTACACACCGCCATCGCTCCTCCAACCTCCAGCACACGGCTCTTTGTACTTATGCTCGTCCTGATCTACAGCGCTCCTCCAACCCCCCACCCCCCCTGCTGTCCAGAACAGCCGCACGCTCCTTCTAACTCGCATGCATAGCTTACACACACCACGCGTGGTACACAGACCCCGGGCGAGACGCCGTGGAGTTGAGTTGCTGCACCGAACCACGAACAAAGCTGTTTGAAACGTGCCCACGAGTACCTATTCTGGATACTGTGCGGGAAGCCTTGGGGCGGGTGTCCTGCAAGATGGCGGGTGTCGTGCAAGATGACGGGTGGATGGAAGGGCGGGACTTGTGGGTGGGGGCAAGGGTTCGTGTGTCTGTCTGGCTGGTCTGGTCTGGGGATAGGGCATGAGGGTGTTGTGGGGGGTTGTGGATGGTCTGGGATCGCTGTGGGGGGCTGTGGGTATAGGGAGGGGGGCGTGGGGTTTCTGTCCCTCGCGGGTACCTGGCTACAGGTCCCTAGACTACCATGATATGTACAGTTAAGTTCTACCCTGCATGCATCATACAACTATCCAGCCAATTAGAGGGTGTTGGTACATGAACCCGCGACTGTGGCAGCATATTGTTCTGATGCATGGGGTGGTCCGCACATTAGGTATCGGCAGGCACCGATATCCACTATGAGGACGGGCGACAGCTCTGGCAGTGATGGCGTTGCTAGAGGTATGTATCGAGATCAGCGTGGGGTTCGTGCCGGTAAGGTGATGTTCGAGGGCTGCAGGCAGATACTATCTTGTGACTTCATGAGGCGGATGTGAGAGTGACGGTGCGGGATTCGTATATTCGCATCCATTGAATACTAGGTGAGACGCCGAAGATACATACTTGTGTTTCTGTACGACCACGAGATTATCGATACTTTCAGAACCATGCCTGATGAACGATGAGACGGTCTGTCCAAGACAAGCAGACCTACGAAGCCGCGCTCCACACCTTCACACCGACCACGTGAGCACGTGCCTGGCCGGTATCTCAAAGAGCACGAGAACCACTTTCCCCAATGAGGAGAACCAAAGACCCAAGACAAACCTCCGGTGCCCTGCATCACTACCCCGCTTGGCAACTGCCCAATGTGCCTAGTGCTTATGTGTACATACAAAATCCGGGAGGGGATCGGTCCTTGTGCGACCCACTACAGCCAAATCCCCTTTAACTCTCCGTTGAGTCCATGCAGGCGCTGCGGTGTGCCACGCGCTCCTGCGCTCTGATTACCCGCCAGCTGGGCTCAGGGAGACGGCGGGACGGAGTGCATTAAGGTATAACTGGCGGCCCTGCACAACAGACTGCGATGGCAAGATTCCATCGAACATGGTTCGCCTGGCCATGAAAGTCTCGCTTCTCGCGGCCTTGGTGCTTTCTCCTGCTGCGGCAGTGTCCGCCGAGACATGTCGATGTGTACGTCGCACTCCCCCACGCTCCCCCCCCCTACTAACGGACTCACAGGGCCCGGACGACAGCTGCTGGCCCCCGCCGACCGCATGGGCCGCGCTGAACTCGCGCACCGATGGCCGCCTCATCAAATCCACCCCGCTGGCAGAGTCCTGCTATCCAGGCCCAAAGGAGGATCGCGCGCAGTGCGACTATGTCCGCGCAAACTGGCCCGTTCAAGCGTTCCACGTCGCCCAGCCGCTCGGCCTCGCGCACCCGTGGGACCTCACGTGTCCGCCTGTTGACTATGCCGCGGGCGAGAGCGCGGGGTCGTGCTCGCTGGGGCAGAATCCGCGGTATGCGGTGAATGTGACGGCGGTGGAGCATATCCGGGCTGCGCTGGCGTTTGCGGCAAGGCGGAATGTGAGGCTGGTTGTTAAGAGTACGGGGCATGATTTGCTGGGGCGGTCGGATGGGTATGGGAGTCTTGAGCTTTGGTTGCATTATTTTCGCAGTGGCATTGGGTTTCAATCGAAGTATGCTTCGTCGGATAAGTGTGCGGAATCTGGGTGGAAGGAGAGTGCTATCAAGATTGGCGGGGCGTATCAGTGGATCGATGTCTATGTTGTGGCTAAGCAGAATAACGTCATTGTTGTTGGTGGAGGTGCTCCGTCTGTGGGTGCTGTGGGTGGATGGAACACAGGGGGCGGTAAGCCGGACTCGTCATGTCGGAAGAAACATAAATCTGACTTCGAACAGGACATGGCCCTGCTACCAGAAACTACGGCATGGGCGCCGACCAGATCCTCGAAGCGGAGGTCATGCTCGCCAACGGACGCATCGTCACAGCCAGCGCCTGCCAGAACACTGACCTCTACCGAGCTCTCCGCGGCGGCGGCCCAGGCTACGGCGTGATCCTGAGCATGACCGTAAAAGCCCACCCCAACGTCCACGTCGTGTCCGTGCAACGCCTCGAGCTCGCGCCCAAAACCGCCAACGCATCCGCCGTCCTCGACGCCGTAACCCTCATGTTCCAAAGCCTCCCCGACCTCAACGACGCCGGCTTCGCAGGCTACGCCTACTGGGCCATCAACGCCTACGCGCCGCTCTTCGGCAACACCACTGCCGGCTACCACCACTCCTTCTGGAACATCGGCAACACCACCGCCACCGCCCGCGCCGCCTTCGCCCCCATCCGCGCCCGTCTCAACGCCCTCAACGCCACCATACATATCTCAGAGTCCTACACAGAATACCCCGACTACTGGTCCATGTACGCCGCCGAATCGTCCCTCAACGACCCCGTCGGGACCCCCGCCGCGCTCTCCTCGCGGCTGCTAGACCGCGCCTCCGTGTCCAACACCCCGCTGCTACGCAGCACGCTGGCCACCATCATCGGGCCCGCGGAGGAATTCGGCCAGAACACCGTACTCCTTGTCACGCGCCCGCGCGCCCCGGATGCGTTCTCTGGCCTGCACCCCGCGTGGCACACATCGCACTTCCTGAGCATTGTGGGGCGCGGGTGGCCTGCGGGGAGTCCCGCGGAGGTGCAGGCGTATATCCGCAGTGATGTGACGAATGTCAAGGGTAAGGCGTTGAAGGAGTTAGCGCCGCATACGGGGGGGTATGTGAATGAGGGCGATCGACTGGATGGGGAGTGGCAGCGGACGTTTCATGGGAAGGGGTATGCGGGGCATTTGAAGACGAAGCGGAGGGTGGATCCGGAGGGGTTGTTTTACTGTGCTGTTTGTGTGGGGAGTGAGGGGTGGATTGAGCGAGCGGATGCGCCGCTTTGTCGGGTGTAGGTGGGCAACTGGTGATGGGGATGGAGAATGGAAGGAGGGAGAAGTGTGGTTTCTGGTTCGCTGTAGTTAGTACGTCTGCTGAATCTCATAAGGAAAGAGCAGAGAATTCTGCATCATGTTTTGAAAGTGTGTTGCGCCGCAGAAGCACGCGACAATTTATAATTCTTGAATGGCCTTAACAAATAATAAAAGCGACTGTAGCTGCTTGATTCCACATTTGGATTCCCTGCCAGTGCAGCAGAGATTCCAAAAGAATCTCAGGTTGCCCAATTCCATCCAGCTTGCCATTCTCCCATACACTTACTACATAAAATCAGTGTCTTTGATTCTGCAAGAGTGTAAGTGATTTTGAAACCGTTCTGTTGAAATACAATCGAAGTCTTCCGATCTTCAGGAGTTTCCACATCAGTGTAATGGAACATCCTGCACAACACAAACACACATCTCAGCTCTGGGAATCAGTTTGATTCCAGGTGCGACAGTGGTTCTATGTTGGTAAATCGTACCGCAAAGATGCGATCGAATCGGAAGTACAACATCTACGGAACCACACTAATCATGACAGGGCAGCATAGCTGTAGCCTGTACTCCAAACGACAACGTCTACCTAACCGCCGATTTACCAACTGCAATCCACTACCTCCCACCACTGTCGGGAGCATTTCAAAGACGAGTCGGCACACGGTCCCACATCGAAATCCTTCCCCGTCTTCTGGAAGCACATCTTGGTCCCATCAAACATAAAATGCGCTCTACCATCTCCCCAATCCATGCAGCCCTTGCCCACATGTGCAATACCCGCATTCCGGCAGCCTTTATTGGCGTTGAACCAATCTTTCTCGCCGTTGTCATACTGCCATTCTCCCGTCGCACTACATGACCCGAGCCAGTTACAAGCCCTGGTCGTCATGATTCGATCGGCAGCAGTACTGGTAGCCAGGGCCAGGCCAGCGAGTAGGAGGGTCTGGAGCTGCATCTTTTTGTATCGCGGGGTCTTTGAGTTTTTGGTCGTGGTGTATATCGGGTCTGGGCAGGAAACCTGCTTTTGTGTATGAGAATGGTGTCTTCTGGCAGGAGTGGAAGTAATGCAGGAAGTTCTATCGACTTACTGAAGGTGTTCAGTGATCTGGAGGAATTGACTGTGTAGTAGGCTGTGAGTCAAGATTGGATGGAAGCCGATGATTTCTTATATGCCTTGGTGATGATCAAAGGTGAAGCAAACTAGGTGTACTTGTACCTTGGATTAGGTACTACAGAGAAACCGCGTTCTACTCCGCTCCCTCGGAAGCTCTTGTGCGCTGACCCCTGACCCGACGTGTAGGCATCCGTCCAATGGACGTGCGACTATTTGGACACAAAGTCACTACTCTCTTACCAAAATCACAGGTACTACACAGCAGCTGCACTTGTCTTTGAAGTAGGTTGAAATAGGTACACCGTCCGTCACAAGGCGCATTCAGCCGTGCAAATATATCATGCACCTTCTTCATACCTGTGCAGGCCTTTGTCAGGTGGTTTCAGGTCTCATACGCGGTGAAGATTCGATGTCTTGGTCGGGGACTACTAGAATTTGGTGTTCCTGGACACCATTATGTACAACCGCGTAAATTCTGTTAGAGAACTAGTCTAAACCACCAAAGTATGAAGTTTGATTTCTGCTTGACCAAGCTACCAAGTGCAAGCCACCTCGTCCCACCACTGCCTCGAACAAGACAGCGTAGAATCCGCACAAGGCCCCACATTGAAGTCCGCCCCCGTCCGCTTCAAGCACCGCTTCGCCTGCCCATCAGCATTGAACGTCCGTCCTTCCAGACGTCCGGATTGCGGCAGCCGTCAGTGGCATAGACTGGAGATCTTGGGGTGGCACTCAGCGGTCTTGATATACCACTTCATCCCCGATATCTTAGCCCCCCGATCCTACCATACCGGTGGACGGGGAAGTTCCGTGACATGGTATTTCACTCTCAGGTCGGATTGCTTCTTGTATTCCAAATGCAAGGCAGCCCGTCTTCGTTCGTCTTCATACTTGTGGTAACCACAAGTCCGAGAGTCGCATATTCACCTCTGGACGTCCTGAAGTCATTGTTCCGACGTCAAGGCGTAACCTCATAGCGCCCGTTAACTCGTGGAGGACAGCAGTAGACTCCATGTGGTTATCAGAATCCTGGCCCCAAACTTGGGAGCCTGTATCTCCGAGAGGGCTGCTCTGACTGTTTTCCACCAAGCCTGTCTTCTTCATGTTCCATGAGCTAGAACGAAATAATCCCAGTAATCATAACACTCGTGAGGATCCACAATAAGAGGCAGGTATTTGATCTCCCATTCTGATCCAATTTCTGAAGTCCAGCGAGCCTTGCAGTACTCCCAATACGCAGGGTACCATCCAGACTGGTGCCAGTCTATAATGGCAGTAATCCGAGGCGTTGATCCCGTTGACACAAGAATATTGCTAGGGTGCAAATCCGCGTGTGTAAAGGCAATTGGCACATCGTCTGGAAGGAAGTGCCGGTATGGATGTGGTGGCCTATTACGATTGTGTTTACGCGGTCCGAATGAAGAAGTGAAATAATCGTGAAATTCAGAGACGCTTAGAAACGGACCTGCAGTTGGGGAGCAGGTACTTTCGAAGATAATGTCAAGTAGCGGTTGCCGACCGATGTGGCCTAGAGGGTGATTGAAACGATTAGTAGAAGGTCGAATATGCACTTGAGGGTCGATGATTGACAACATATGGTCACGAAGAAATTGCGCAGGCTTTGAGTGCAGGCATCGACATACCAATGAAAGTCAAGTCAGATGTGCATCCAAGACCACGCCACGCGGCGATCATACAACGTAGTTGCTCGCATACAGCCAACCTATCCCCTTCGTCTAGACCGTCCCAGCTCTTCTCAAGAGTAACACCGTTCATCAGCTCCATATAGATAAACACCTGCCCATCGTCTTTGCACCATTTATAGACCTCAGGAACAGGTACATGCTGGGAAAGTTTGCTGCGTATAAGTAGGAGACATTGGCCTTCAGCAATAGTCACTTCTGTCCCATATTTCACACATACCCCTAGCTCTGGGAAAAACACGGGCAAAGGCCGAGTTCGAAGTCTTGCTTTGGGATCCTTGGAGTGACTTGCAACTTCTCTTACCACATCTGGTGAAGGCAAAGAGGTGGAATCGTGTTTCTGAAAGAAGGATGAGCCGTGGAAGTCGACGTCATCGCCAGACGGGATGCCTGCAGCCTTTAGGAGCGAGATTTCCAACGCCCTGTCCGATTGCACAGAAGGTAACATTGTCGTGAGATTGTAGGCTTCGCAGGCTTGTGCAAGTCTGAAGAGATGTAAATGAAGAGGTTGGGGGCGGACTCACTAGGTATGTATGTACCGAACCACCTCCACGCTAAATTTTGCTGATGAATGTTGCCCCACCAACACTCCTTCACAACACCTACAAACGCATCGTGTCGAAACTTCCAAGGCTCTGACGACGTCACTGGGATATGAAGTGAGGCATTTAGAGCGAATGGAAAGTGCGATCGGTTGGAAGACGGTGTCAAAGTCTGTCGCTATTGTCCATCTTTGGCAGCACGCGAGTCTCCCTGACCAGGCCTGACCCACAATGCCTGACAATGTAACAAAGCTGCAATGCCATCTGCAGAGTAAGGCAGATTATGGAGTGCGCCAAATATAGTCCCGCCTTCTGCAGGTAAGCCGGTAAGCAGGATCCACTAGCTAATTAAGCGCCCCATCCCGCGTCAATGTCTTACCTTTCTTCACGAGACACCCGTCACCGAAAATTGATTTCAGTTGTCTGGCTCCTGTGTCGTGTGTGAAACCCACCCAGGCTGGAAGAATGAGCAAAATGGGCACAACGTATGCCTACGGCAAGGACCACATCATGGTGCATAACGGTAAGGTTCTAATCACAATGACACAAATTATGCTACTAAACTTGTTCGACTGTAGGCCCTCCCGCTCTTACGAGTCGCGATGAGACAGAAGACCCTGTGCACCAACTACTATATCGACCTCGATCAACGGATGCGCAGCAGACAATAGTGGATGAAGCTTACAGTGCACAGAGCTCCTACATGACGCCCCTCACATCAGATCAAGGTCTTGCAGCTCGTGGTGCACCTGGATGGCTCTGCTACCCTTGCAAAACCACACTTGAAAAGACAAAAGACTTCGGCTCCATCGGTACTTCCGCGTGGATAAACAACGGATACGATATTCCTGATAGTCATGAGCCAATTATGTACTGTTGTTGCTGTCGATATATCCTGCGAGCCAGGGAGCTTGCAAAAAGACGCGGACACTACACGGAGCAGGGGCCATATGAAGTACCTGTATCATTCCACTATTCTCTAGACGAATCTGCACTACTGCTCCATGACGAGGATACGAACTTGGAAGATACCGAGGGCGTGCTAGAGACGTTTGATATCAAAGCTGACTCACAAATTCGCACGGTCCGGCGTCATTGGGCTGATCTTGAGATGATCAAAGGCTGGCTCCTTGACTGCGAGAACAAGCATGGTGTTGAGTGTAGTAGCCACCGAGAACCGGAGATTGATTCCGCACCGCTCTTGCTTCTCGATGTTCACGGAGACTGTCTAGTCACTGGCAGCTTTAATGACCGCTACTTTGCTCTGAGTTATGTCTGGGGTGCATCAAAGCAGTACCTTACACTGGCTGAGAACTACAATGAGCTTTGCAAGCCTGGGAGTGTATCAGCGCAGCCTCTCACTCAAACTATCAAAGACGCGATCTCGTTTGTTCGAGATATTGGGGAGAGATATTTGTGGATTGACACAATGGTGAGCACCTTTACGTATGAGTGTATTCGGACCGTCAGTCACTAATAGTTACCAGTGTATCATACAAGACGACTATCAAAACAAAGCAGCCGCGATAGCTCAGATGTGCGCGATCTATAGTCGTGCGGTTGCTACTATCGTGGCGGCTAGTGGGAATTCGGCTGATGCCGGGCTGCCTGGAATTCCGCCAACACCCCGCAATCAGATTGCCGCGCCTGTCGCGCCTGGACTTCAAGTGGTATATCATATGGCCTTGCGACATATGATGACTGGTGTTGATTACAGCGAAACCGAGAGCGTGTACAGCACACGGGCGTGGACATTCCAAGAGCGGTTGTTGTCCAGCCGGACTATCATCATCACGAACGAACAAGTCTACTTTCAGTGCAAGGACTCGCTGAGGTCTGAAGCAAAGCGCATACCCGATACTAGGGCATCTGAGCTGTTCACTCTGGATAAGATGCGCAACGCCAAAAAAGACCCCTTTTACTCTAGAGACGCGTTCGAATGGTACGCCAAAATTGCCTCGGAATACACTACAAAGCGGATGGGCTATCCGAGTGATATTCTTAACGCTTTCCGCGGAGTCCAAACTGACCTGCAGAATACGTTTTTCTGGGCCTTCCACGCAGGCTTGCCTATCTTGAAACTAGACCAGGCGTTACTCTGGACTCCAACAGGCGATCTGAGAAGACGGACGGCGGAAACTTCTTTCCCCAGCTGGTGCTGGTCTGGTTGGGTTGGTGGAATTGGTTACTCAGACATGCTCCATCCGGAAGACAACAACATACCAGAAGACACATTCATCCCTACAAAAAAGAAGCCGACCACAGGTAACGTAACAGGTCTAGCTACCATGATTAGCTGGGACCTCTTCCAACCTCTAGGCACCCGCACGCTAGAAGAGCCGTACACTGTACTACTGACCTCGGCGACAACAAAGCTCAATGCCTTCAATACACATAAGACGCCAGAGGGGCTCGCAGATCCAGGAACCATGAACATCTTCTCCCGCAACTCATACTACATCTCGAATCAGCAGAACCAACGATGCGGTCTCCTCATCGGCGCACCAGTAGACTGTGACCTCACCACCAACACTGCAGATCTGCTACTTGTCCGCCTCTCACGATGGAAGACGTTTCACAACCGCAGGACCCACGGGCCGCGGATTGGCTTTTTCCGGGACGACACGAGTATGTGGGACGAGAACTTGTTTGACCCTGCATTCCGCGATGATGAGTGGTGCACTTCCAATGTCATGCTTGTCCGTCCAGTGGAGACATGGTGGGAGAGGGTTGCGGTAGGTGTGGTGCACGGGGATGCGTGGGAATCTGCGCAACCTGAGTGGAGTGTTGTTGCTGTAAAATAGATGGAATACGTATGTCCAGATGGCACGCTTGAGAACCGCCAAGTGGATTAATCTGCGTTTATCAGTTCTGTGAACGCTGTATTGTCATGGGGCGCTTCTTTGCTGTCATTGGGTTGCTGGGGCTTCCTGTTCTGTATCTTCGATGTGTGTATTTGCGTTTTTCTACCTTCATACAGTCAACTGTCTCAGCTCTTCGCTAGTGGCCACTGACCAAGCCGGTCTAAAAGCACTTCCAGCCTTGGAACAGTCCAGAACTACCAAGGCTGCACTCCATCCTTGTTAATAACCTTTCCGGCATCCGCATCCCTCTTCCCTTGCACAACATCCCGAATGAACTCTCCACCCACACTCGGCTCTCCCGCTCCCATCTTCCTCATGAATTTCTGCCCTGCTCCTCCCAGACCCGTTGCCAAAAATCCTGGACTAATCGCGAACACCTTCACACCATCGGGCTCCAACGATCTCTCCCAGTCCAACACCATCATGTTCAGCGCCGTCTTACTACTCCGGTACGCGATCTGGCTGCGTGCCGGCGGCTTTGGCCAGCCTGGCGTGCTGGACTCGCGGATGATGGAGGTTGCTTTGCTGCCGGACGTTGTGGTGAGCGACGACAGGCCTGAGGTCACGAAGAGCAGGCGCGGAGAGCTCGAAGCGAGGAGTAGGGGGATGAAAGTTGTGGTAAAGACTTGTGTGGAGGTGACATTCAAGGAGTAGGCTTTGTCCCATGCAGCGCGGATTGCGGAGGGCGAAGAGTCGCCGCGCATAAGGTAGTCGAAGGCAGCTCCTTTGTTGTCATGTCAGTGGAGGAGTGCGGTTAAGGGGGACGGAGACAAACCGGCGTTATTGACCAAAGCGTCGACTTTGTTATACTTCGACTTAACTTCGTCGAAGGCATTTTGAATTGACCGGTCGTCCTCGATATCGATCTGGATTGGAACAAGATCTGAGTTTGAGGTGGGGATCTCGGCTTTGAGGGTCTCAATGGCGGCATTGGCCTTGTCAAGGGAACGGCTGCCCATCAAGATGGTATATGTTTCGGAAGACGCATATAAGGCTTTGATGGTTTCATAGCCGATTCCGGTGTTGCCACCAGTGATCAGAACGATACTCTTTTCAGCCATGCTGGTGTTCCGTGGTTGTGATATGTACAGGTGATGTTTCAAAGCTTTCTTAATCAAATTGAGGCGAGTGTGAGAGGGCTCTTGTGCGACTTTGTAAGTAGCTTTGTGTAAGCCAGATCTCGGTATTTGATCTTTAGTGGGGCTATGGCGGGGTTCATGGGGACATGGGTCAATCAAGATATGGACCGTCCCTCCTCTTGAAGATCATGCACACGACCGCGTTCAAGTATCAGACTGATCCCAAGGTGCACGGTAGACTTGTTGATGACGAGTTGAGACTCTGGATCAGTATAAAGTGTGTACCAAATAAACCTTAGAACTGGAACTGAGCCACTGAAGGAACCAAAGAAACATGCACTTGTGAGATGAGCTGCTCGTCCCGCTATTCGCCTTACGAGTCAGCCACCTCGGCCTCCGTTAGATCCGACACCGATGCTAATAGCATCGTTGTTGAAGTTGCTGATGAAAACCACCAGCACTGCTGCATACGCTGCCGAGGCTGCAAAAAGTTCGTGCCGCTGAGCCTTAGTCAAAAGAGACAGGGCGGCCGAGAACAACAACGTAAACACTACGAGTACACCAACAGCATCAAAAGTGGAGGTACTCTCTCCAGCTGATGTCAGTTTGTACATCGCGACAATAGGTAAAACGAGCAGAACGAAGATGATCGTTGTGATGAGAACACCAACCAACTTTTCAATCCTCTCGTGTGAGTAGTAATAGATACTGCCGTCGCTACCAATGGTTTTGTCTCGCAGTTCTTGTGTCGCAAAGATTTTCTGTTGCGACCGTTAGAATCAAGTTGATGACGGGCAATGCGGGGCCCATTACCTGGAGAAATGTGAAGTGCAGCCGGCGGTGCATAAACCGAATGCAATTCTCGACGGCACCGTCAAACTTGGACCATTCACGTGTACGCCGTAGAGATATCAAGTCCTCGCGCTTCTTGACAAATTCCCACTCAATTTGATTGTTGAGTGGACTTTCACCCCAAAACCAAGTGCGCACACTAGTATAGTCACGATTTGTTGGCCTTTGAAAGGCGTTTACTTCCCTTGCTTTGATGAGAGTTTCATCTGTGGTTTGTTAATTGATGTATCAGCCAAGAGCGTATCGAGAAGCTTACCATAGATCAGCAGCTTATCTCTGATCATGCCTACTAGACTCGCTCGCCTGCTACCACCCTTTTCTCCTTCCCTCCTACCCTGCTTGAGATCGCTTCTCCGTGATCTCACACGGTCTGAAATATCTTCGTCAGGATCGGAAGAATGAATTGTATCCAGATCTTTGAGTCGTTTCTCTAATTCCCGAAGCTCATCTTGCAACTCCAGGATGACACGTGAATGTAGGTATCCAAATGCTCGATAGATCGACCAACTGGGCTCACTGGACTGGAAGGCTGCCTGTAATGGGTAGCCTCGTGGGTACTCTCCCACTAGAGAAGATTGTCAATACGTCACAAGGCTGAGATGCGGGGTAAGGGGTCTTACGAGGGATTGTGATTGTAGGTTTGATTTCTCGTTTGAACTCTTCGTCAGTGAGCTCTCGCACTGCAATGGAGTTAGCTGTAAGCGGAAATTGACTTCGTGAGGGTAAAGCACTGACCCGAATGTCGATTCTCGTGTAGTGTCGGACTGCGACTCTCTGTCGGCGAAGCAAGGCTGCGACACGCTTGCTTTTCCAAGTCTTTCTCGACCTCGTACTGTGGAAGAATAGAAGTCATATTATTTTCCGTTCGTAATAGAAGGTGCTGGAACATCGATAGTGAGTGTGAACTGAATTCTATTTAAATACACCTTCACGTGGACCAGGCTGGAGGGCGTAAGATTGTACCCTGGCAAACATGCGCCCCAATCAATGAGCCTTGACAAGTGAGGGAGAACGCCTTCTATGCAGCATCATCAAGGTCAGGCTCGGCATCGTCGAGGTCAGTCTCAGGAAACCAGCTCTTCCCATCACATTTGTACAGCGGATCAGTTAGATCTTTCCGCTCCGAGAGCTGATACATCCAATAGCTCTCACCCTCAGGTGTGTCTCGATGGGCGACGTAAAAATCGGCAAAGAGTTCTCGCGTTTTCCCGTTGGGGAGTAACTGTTTCACACGCTTCGTAACTTTATCGCCAACTTTGTATGCCGCCTTTGGCTGATTTGGTTAGCCAAAGTGATTGATTCGCTCTCTTGAACCTACCTTCACTTGATTCTGTTTACGAACGACATCAGCCTTGTCAAGCTCGCTCTCTGATAGGCGGGGAGGCTTTGAGACGTCCTCCTGCTGATCCAAGAGAAACCGGTCAGTACAAGCAGAATGGAATGTGCCAAAGCATAAGCAGCCATACCTTTTGGGACATAGCGGGTGGCTGTGGTTATCGCGCTTCCGTGTAAATGGGTGCTCCTTCAATGAAGACTGTAATAGAATTCAGGTGACGAGGCAGCGAGGCAGATACGGCGCAGGTTTTAACATTAAACTCTGCATGAAGGACTACATGCATGGTTCATGGTGCAGGCTGTGCTGCATCTCAGATGGTGTCCGTGGAGGGCCACAAGTCGTAATCATAGTTGAGCCTCATCCTACATTCAATGAAAGCATGACCAGGTGTGGTTGGGTGGTGGGGTTAGCATGACTGTGGTTGGTGGAGGAGTGCATGTTGCACTAAGATACGAGCGTGGGGTCTGGATGGGCTTGCCGTCAGCCAATCACTCAGCAGGCAACCTGCGGGACGGCAGCAGGCAAACAGGCGTTCGTGAAACTGCATTGCTACCACAGGGGAAGTCTGGCCCCCTCAAACTCGGCCAGAGTGGCTCAGCCTGGCTCAGCCTGGCTCAGCCTGAGGTCCTGCTCCGACAGATGACTTGAGGGTATCTGCGGTCGCGATTCGATATAAGTCCCAGGCGGAGAGCGTTAGCCTTGTGTCTCTGTGTTCCCTTGATTACGAGATCTCCATACCAGTCAGCGATAATGACGCCGTCAATTGATCTTATCAATGTGTGCGAAAGCCCTGTCCAAACAGGAGACTCGACTGTCCAGCAGCTCAACGACCCGATCCAGACGCAGAAGTTGACACGCGAGGCTGAACGTCAGACCCACTTCCAAAAGATATCGAACGGCGTATTTGAGGTACCGAATGGTTACCGCAAGGTCGAAGTTACAATTATTCGATGGCACGAACAGCTGGACGAGTTCAAAGGACACGGCAAGGAAGTATGGTACCATCGTGTTATGATCACTCTTTTCGTCACCCATTACTCACTATGATTAGATTGAGGAGCTGAAAACTATATTCGTCGACCTCTTCGGATTCAACTGCCATATTGTGGAGCTCTGTAACGACAAATCCCCTCAAATTGAACTAGAATACGCCATCCTTTCACAAGTTCGAAATTTTCCGGATGACGATACTTTGAACATATTCTACTACACGGGCCACGGCATCAAGGTTGAGGGTCCGAACGGACCGCGCTTACAGCTGGCTGCGTGAGTTCTTGGAAAGCACTGGAAACAAAGCATGATAACTGACCACTTGCAGGACGCGAAATTGGATTCCAGATTCGAGATACCCTCCAACGGCTTTTTGGGACGACGCTGAAAGACCCTTACTTTCTCAAGTGCGTTGTGACGTCCTGACCATACTGGATTGCTGTTATGCGGGTACGGCAGCCCTCAAAGGCGACGATGAAGGCAGCCGATCTTACCAAATGCTCACTGCGTCTCCACCAGACGGAAACACTCGCGGGCCGGGTTCGGAATCCTTCACGCACGCCTTGTGCGTTTCACTTAGGCAGATGCTGCAAGAGGCTGATGGTGGAACATTCAGAGTTGACCAGCTTTGCGAGAAGATCAACCTCACAAGGTTGACCCATGCCTCACTACACTGGAGTCGCATGTCGGCATACGGCCATATCATCAACCTGAGTCGACTTGAGAAGACAAAGGAGAGAGAAAAGTCCTTTGCCAAGAGAGATGTCGAGAAAGCTTCGTTGCTCCTCAGATTGTACTTGAAGAATGGTGATCTTACCAATCCGCAGATCGAGAGGCTTGCGCGCAAGCTACCACAGGCCTGTAAAGAGGCCAAGATACCAGTTGTTCGGATTGCTTGGGTAGACATGGACGAACTCAAGCCTGGCCGCCGGTTCCAGCATCTTGTCCGTGATGTTGTGAAGCGGAACAACAGTACTCCAGACACGACCCAAACAAGCGTACTACAGTCCGGATCAAAGAAAAGGAACCGATCGGATCCTGCTCCTGCGACAAGCAAGCGTCCGGCATTGGGTAATATGCTGGCACCTACCCGGAGGTTGAGTCCCAGGTTGTCGACGCCAGACAGTCTCTCAGATAAATGATGCATGTCTGAAGGCACTAGTACACTCTTTGTGTTCGTTTACTACCTCGTCAGTCGTTCTAGATACCCCTGTACTTAAGTTGTTTGTAAAGAATTAATCGTTGCACGTCCATGATACTTGTGGTATGCCAGCCTCGGATTATTCAAACCTTGCGGCACGACGCGTGACCAATGATCGATGACGGCATCCACCTAGCCCAAATGGGACAGCTTCGTATCTAATCGCCGCAGCAACTCCAGGCACCCTCGTGACAACAACATCCATCTTGCCTACAATCCCAAACACCACAATCATGAAGTCTTCAGTATTGCTATCTCTGTCAGCTGTGGCCCTTGCTGCCGCCATCGCCACCCCGAAGGAGCCGCAGGCCGTTCTCCAAAACCCACAAGTAACGATCGATGAGCCAGACCAGTACCTGATTGAGCTGTCTGCTGGTGAGACACGATGGGTGACTGAGGACGAGAAGTGGGCTCTACGTCGCGTACGTCAACTTGGCATTTTAAGTCTGCCAGATTGCTGACCGATACAGCAAAACATCAACTTCTTCGACATCACGCACAGCGATGACCTCAGCATACTCAGCCAGGAGATTGCATCGAAGAAAGTCACCTATCCTTCGAAACCCGCCTACAACAAGACTGTGGTTCCTCTGCTGAAGGAACTTGAGAAGGACAACATGCGCAAACATCTCGAGACGTTCACCTCGTTTCATACCCGCTACTACAAGTCGCAATACGGTGTGCAATCATCGGCATGGCTCCTTCAGCAGGTGGATGGCACATTGAAGGATGCAGGCGCAAAGCACGCGTCCGTCAAGGCATTCCCTCATCCGTGGGGCCAGTCCAGCATCATCGCCACCATTCCTGGCAAGAGCAACAAGACAGTCGTGATCGGTGCACATCAGGACAGCATTAATCTCTTCCTGCCGTCAATTCTGGCTGCGCCTGGTGCGGACGACGACGGCAGTGGCACCGTGACCATCTTGGAAGCACTACGAGTACTACTCAAGTCCGAGGACATCCTGAAGGGAGAGGCAGAGAACACAGTCGAGTTCCACTGGTACTCGGCGGAGGAGGGTGGACTCCTCGGGAGTCAGGCAATCTTCCAGTCGTATCAAAAGGAGCGCCGTGATGTCAAGGCTATGCTGCAGCAAGACATGACTGGCTATGTGCAGAAGACACTCGACAACGGCGAGCCAGAGTCTGTCGGCGTCATTACCGATTTCGTCGACCCCGGCCTTACCGACTTCATCAAGGAGGTCATCACCGAGTACTGCGACATCCCGTACATCCTGACCAAGTGCGGTTATGCTTGCTCAGATCACGCCAGTGCTTCAAAGGCCGGTTACCCTTCTGCCTTCGTCATTGAATCTGACTTCAAATACTCTGACAACAAGATTCACACGACTGAGGACAAGATCGAGTACCTAAGTTTCGACCACATGCTGCAGCACGCAAAACTAACCCTTGGACTTGCCTACGAGCTTGCATTTGCCGAGTTCAAGTAGATATCGGTAGTATATAATCAAATATAAAGCGTTGGATAAGATATCGTTTTCCATTCACACATTCCGTTTACAGACTAACCATACAACCACCTGCCAGATCTCGTCGCGGCGGCATCAAGCACGCGAAGCGCGCACCAATGACGTGACGCGTACCTCGGTCCTGATATCCCAACACCTCCCCCATCGCATCTCAAGTTATCAACGACTCGTCTTGTACAACACTCCCCAAATGCCAACAACAAGAGGCCAGCAGCGCGACGCAGAAATGGAAGCCGCACTGAAAATCTTCTTCTCGTCCCCCCGTTTCGCCGTGGCGGGCGCCTCCTCCGACCCCTCCAAGTTCGGGCACCGAGGTACATCTCCACAAACACCCATACACCACCACCCTAACACAACCACCTGACAAACCAACCCTAACACCCCGCAGTCTTCGCATGGTACCTCCAGCACTCCCTCCCTGCGATTCCTCTGAACCCCAGGTCCCCCTCTATCTCCGTCCTATCCCGTGACCACCCCACCGTTGCTTCGCCAACTGCACTCTCAGATCCTCCGGCCTCTGATTACTCGCTGTCCGTCATCACGCCGCCCGCTGTTACCAAGCAGTTACTCAAGGAAGCCAAGGAGGCTGGTGTGCCGGCGGTGTGGCTGCAGCCGGGCAGCTTCAACGACGAGGTGTTGGCGTACGCGCAGGCCAACTTCAAAGCTGCGATTGCGGGGGATGGCGGGAGGGGTGGCGAGGGGTGGTGTGTGCTTGTGGATGGGGAGGCGGGGTTGAAGGCTGCGGGGCGCGAGTGGTCGAGGTTGTGAGGATGGGTGGTGGTGCGTGTCGCAAACGGATGTTGGGGTGCCGGGTTTCTCTGTGTTGGACAGTGGGGAAGGCCGCACACTGTTGGACTTCTAACTACGAGGCTGGATGCTGGGTTTTGGTGACCCGACTGGTTTGTGGTGTGTGTATCGTTGGCGTACCGACACGAGAAAGTAGGGAAATTGATCAGTGGAGCTCCCTGCTCCAAGCTCAAGAAGCGCAGTCCAGCAATATCCACTCGACCAGTAGGCGTTCACATGGGGACGGGTAACATCAGTTTCGCTATAACGCTGCAGCCTTGCCGCGAACTGAGGGTGTTGCGAGGCGGACGGGAGGTAAGCAACGAAGACGACCAAATCAACGCAGCACCCAGGGAGTCCAAGTCAAGCGCCTAAACATCCACAATGACCTAGAGAAGAGAGAATTTCAGCGGCACAGCAAGTAAACAAGAACACATACTCAACGTATGACAAGCTTCGCATCGCAGTCAATCAATTCTCAAGCATGTTGCAGCTCTACAAGACGCCCTGGCTAGCGGAGACGTAGCGAGCAGACGATGTCTGTTTTATACAGAAATCATGAGTGATGCCATCAGCGGTGTATGAACACTCGTACGTGTACCAGGACCTCTCAGCCACCGCCAGCACGTGGCGATCAGCGCTAGCTACACCAACACCGGGTTATCTGCAATCAAACTCTGTTTGTACTCGGCGTCGTGCTTATCAAGCTTTGGTACGGGCGACCTATCGATGAACTGAAAGTTGCATCCGATATGGACTACCACGGCACACCGAGCATTGCGCGGTGCACTGCGTCACGGCTGGCTGATGATGAGATCGAGGATCCAGCTGGCCCACACTACTCCGAGGCGGCGCGGCGCTGCATACTATGCGACTTCAATCAGCAAGAAACCAGCTTGGACAACACGACCTTCCAGACAGCGTTGTTTCATGGCGTGGTTCTGCCCCTGGAAACAACACTGAAGAATTCCCGAGGTCCGTCGGCTAGATAAAGTCTTTCGATGCAGGATTCTTCGAGACTTTGAATGTAAGGCTTGCGTGGTGATAGGCCAATGACTCTGCAATCAGTCAGTCCCCACGTCAAAACCGTACATTGAACAGGACTAATACAGCCAGTCAAAAACCTGACCCCTGTCTGTTCTATCAGAGCGTTTTCACATCTAAAGCACCACGCAACGAATTACACTGAAGCCCAGCGTGAAAATAGCCACTGAGATACGCGGTGTACCGTCTACACCCTATCGTCTACACCGACCCACCACCGACCACCCAATCCCACACGCCCTCAACCTATCAGTCCCATCACATGCACCTCAACCCTCGCAAACCCTGCCAAGCACGACTCCCCAGACCAGACACACCGCGGTCCATCCCGCCCCAGCCCCGCCCTCCAACACGTCAACACGCTGAGCTACTCGCGGCGCACGGGCGCGAGCGTCGCCATGGGGGTAGCTAGTCAAGGGCCCGCACAGCGAGGGAGCGTGCTGCTGGGTGACTGTATGTGCTACGCAGAGCGGCCCGGCGTCGCGGGGATGTGTTTGCGGATGCCACTCCGCAGGAGATGTACGATAGCGCGTGCAAGACACTCGAAACTGTTTAGAGCCGGGGGTTGAGGTGTGGGGGTGTCTCTGGTGGAGCAAGAGTTGTAGTTCGTCTGAGACACGGTGTTTGTGCGTGTGGGGTGGGGGCTTGTCAGGCACACACACATATTGTAGGATAAGGCAAGAGTTGTAGTCTATCTTCAAGACTAGGTTTGTGCCTGTAAGGTCAGAGGCTTGTGTGTTTACACGTAGGTGTAGGCCTATTAGGCACACAAACACATTACACCAGGAGATATCGCACGAGCCCAGAGTTGCAGCCAATCTCTAACACCGTGTCTGTACCTGTAAGGTTGCAGGCTTGTTAGGCACACAAACACTATAATACGAGCCCAGTATTGTAGTCCATATTCAACACTATGTATATACGTAGGTGCGGGCCTATCAGGCACGCAAACACATTGCAGCAGGAGATATTGCACGAGCCCAGAGTTGCAGCCCATCTTCAACACCAGGTCTATACGCAGAGTTGCGGGCTTGCAAGACACACACACACACACACTACATTATGAGACCAGACTTGTAGTCCATCTTCACCACATAGACTTGTTGGACACGAGATAGTACAGCACGGTTCAGATGCATACGGACAAGGAAGAATCAGAACAAACATACTATTCACGACTCCTCCCTCTCTACTCAAGAGCAAGCAGTCAGACCGCACCAGGGTATAAAAAAGACAAAAAAGCGCGCAGAGGCAGAGCGAAAAAGCAAAAGTGGCTACATAGACATAGGGTACATGATGTGATGTAATGTAATGTGATATGATATGATGTGGCGATGTGTGGTGTACTTATACGTGTACGTGGATGCCCCTGTGTGACAAAGCACCAGAACGCCGGCGCTGGGGGATTGCGGGATGGAAAAAAATGTGATGTGGGGTGGGGGGAAAGCTCTCATGCTTGATCCCGCGATGCGGATGCTGCGCTCACGTCCTCGGTGCTATGCTGCGCTCACCGCACACTCCTCACAGCGCGCCCGCCCCAGGGACAAGCATCTCAACGCACTTGGTCAGCAGCGTGCTCGCCTCATGCAGCAGCTCCCAGCGCGTCTTCTTGAACATATCGCGCATGACCAGCAGCAAGCCGAGACACGCATTGCGATCTGCGAGCTTGGCCAGATCGTCGGGGGCCCGGACGCCGCCGACGCGCTTGAGGTAGCCCGTCATGTCGCGCACCTTCTCGTCGTACGTGCGCTGCGAGTACGGCTGCTGGATGGGGCCGTCGAGCGCGAAGCCGTACGACCACACGATCAGCGTGGCGAAGTACAGCACCCACGGGCGGTTGAGCAGCACGTCGTCGCGCGCCGTGTAGGCGACCGAGGTGCCGGCCGAGGCGGTCAGGCTGTGGTGCCCGGAGACGAGGACGTTGGAGAGGAAGCGCAGGGCGTAGAAGGTGGCGTCGCGGGCGCGCGCGGTTGGGGCCCAGACGTCTTTCATGCGGCGTTGGGCGCCGTTGTAGTCCTGGTGGGTGATGGAGCGGCCGAGGAGGCGGGGCGCGCCGGCGTAGATTTGGCAGTCGACAATGTCGACGTGCATGGCCATGTGGGCGAGGTGGTGGAGGACGGTGCGGGCTTCGAAGACGTTTTCGTCGTCAAGGCCGTTGGAGTAGGCGTAGGCGTTTGGCGCGGCGAGGTCGCTGGGCCGGGCGAGCGAGGAGTCGAAGTCTTGCTTCCAGAAGTCGAAGGCGCGGGTGAGGGAGCCGCGCCATTTGTCGCGGCCACCGAGGGCTTGGGTCACGCCGAGGGAGCTGACTTGGAGGTCACGCTGGTTCATGTGCCATGAGACGCTGAGCAGGCCGGCCATTAGGATTGTGCGGCCAAACGAGTTCGTTCGTACGGTCTGGCCGTTGAGCGTCTTCTTGAGACCGTCTAGGAACGACGTCGGCTTGACGCCATTTGAGTGCAAGCTTGCCTCGACGCGGCCGACTTCACTGCTGCTTGTTGCGGACCACAGAGCCTCGTCGCAGGGCAATGGTAGGCGCATTTCGTGAGCAACCATCACTGCGCTGTGGCCAAACATCGTAGCGTGTATGCTGTCCATTAGGAACGCCGCAAACGCCGCTCTTCTCGTGGCCTCATTGGTGATCCAGTGTTTCCACCATTCCTCTGGCGTGTCAATACCGCCCTGTGAGCTGCTCCTGCCATCCTTGTTGCTCGGCGGCGAGTCCATTGCCGATCTCCCAATCAGAGAGCTGCCTCTCCTCATCAACGTCAGTGTTGTTGCGTGGTGGATGTGCGCTCGCTCGTGCAGGGGACGCGTGGAGTACATCTTCTCAAAAGACTCGAGCAAGAGCAGGCCTTGGAAGATCCAGAGCTTAGCAGGCGGACGGAAGTCGGCATCCATAAACATCTCCCACCGCAGGTGCCACGCCATGAAGTTTGCTAGGCTGGCGCACGCGGATGTCGTCTCGTGCCCGTACGTCTTCTCCAGACACGATGCGCCGAGACACATAATGGCCAGCAGAAGAAGATCAGGACATGTGCTCGCGTTGAACGTGGGCTTGTGCAAGATGGGCAGTTGGGGGTGGAAGTGTCTCCAGTAAGAGCTAATGTACGTCTGCATCATGTGCAGGCTGAGAACGTGGTGGTCGTCGTCTTTGTTGCCCTCAAGGATGTCTTCCTTCTGCTTCTTGACGGGCGCATGGTCCGTCTCGTTAAAGCGTCCGATGATGAGATCGATCAGGTCTCTTCGCTTCTCCTCGGACAGTGCGATCTCCGGGAGAGAAGTGTCGAGCATGGCATGCACGGCCATTGGGTTGGCCGGGGGAGGCTGATGTTGCATGTACCCGGCGACTCCTGGGTCGTAGTTGAAGTACGGCGCTTGTAGAGGCCCTATCGAACTCTGAGTTCCACCTGTAGGTACTACCCCGCCCTGATAGGCCATCGGCGAGCCGCTGCCAGATATAGTTTGGTTGTCGTTGAACAGCCACGCGGCGAAGTCGTCTGCCATGGCGAATGGAGATCGGCTGTAGCCCTCGCCACCAAACATGGGTATCGCATATGATGGCGTCTGGTCCATCATTGCATCTGTAACGCCATTCACTAGCTGCGTGGTCGGCTCGACACCATTCATCGGCGTTTGTCCCGAAGTGCCATTGTAGTACTGAGTGTCCGGCCCTTGGGTTGCAGGAGTGCCTGTTGGCTGGGGGTATTCTGGCGGAGGTAAGGAAGAGAACGCAGGAAAGTTTTGCTGGGACTGGAACCCACTTGAGCTATTCTGATACGACGTTGACGCGGCCGTCGGCGTGTAAGACTGGGTAGGCGTGACCGACGCGCTGTATGATGAACCAGTGGTGCTATACGAGGACATGTTTGACGTTGATGCGCGCAGCTCGGGCCGTTGGTAGCTGTTACCCACATGTGGGGAGCTGTGGATCGAGTTCCGACCCCCACTGTAGTTACTCAATGCGGCCGGGCGTGGTGGTGGTGCAAAGTTACCAGAACCCTGGGCCTGCATGTCATAGGGCTTAGTGTCAGGGCCACTGCGGTATGCGTCTTCACTCCCTACACTCCCTATCCGGTTCAGCGAGTCCTGCCTGGCCGGGGCGGGCGAATGGAAGGGAGGCGACATGTGGCTTCCCGTCGCAACGCTCGACACGGCGGATGGCGGCGACTGGAGCTGGCTCTGGCCTTTTGCGCCGAGGGGCTTGACGCCCGGGGTGCTCTTCGTGCCGAGTGCCGCGGTGACAATTGGGTTCAGGTTGTGCATGTTGAAGGTGTCTTTGCGCAGGAGCTGGCTGCCGCGCGCCGTGTGCCGTTCCTTGTGGCGGGCGCAGAGGTCCTGGCGGACAAACGACCTGGCGGGTCAGTATAGTGCTGGAGAGTACAGGGGCGGCTGGGGTACCTGTGGCAGTCGGGAAAGTCGCAGTTGTAGATCTGCTTGGGGTTGTCTGCGGCGTGTCAGTGCAGCTGGGTGCCATCGCAGCGCTCGACATACGGTTCAGCTGGTGGCGGTACAGATGCTCGGCGCGCGAATAGCTCTTCCCGCAGTCGCCGTGCGGGCACTCGAACTTCTTGTCGAGCCCCTTCCTGCTGCGCCGGCGCTTCCTCGAGCCTCCCAGCTCGCCGTCAGCGCCGTCGTCGCCCGAGTCCTCGCGCTCGCGGCGGCGCCCGCGGCCCTCGCCGCTGTCGGGCGAGGCGGGTGTGGGCGGCTCGCGGTCGGTGGCCGCGTCCATGGTCGGGTCGAATTGCGGCTTGGCCAGCTCGGGGGCGGCTTGCATCTGCAGCACCTGCGCCATAGACGGGGCGTGAGGGTCGTGATGCGGCGGGGCGATGCGCGGCTCTGGGGAAAAAGTGGGCTGCGGTTGCACGGTCGCGTGTGCGCTCAAGGGAGCCGTGGTGTCAAGCCTGCTGGAGCGTGGGGAGCTGGACGGGCATGCTGGGACGGCAGACTGCTGTGAGGCCGGGCGGTGGGCAGCGGGCAGCGGAGATGGCAGCGTCACGTCAGGGCCGGGCGGACAGCGACGCGACGAGGGGCGGTCGTGCAGCTATACAATGATCTACACGGCGTCGACGGCTACGATGGAGCGGCACCACCACGGCCAACTAGACGAGGCTTGTTTGAGATGCTCGCTGGGGCGTGGGGGAGTGTGGGCAGTGGGCGGCGCTGGCAGGTCAAGAACGGGCGTGGGTCCCGCGCCGGTCACTCGCTGTCAGGCAGGTCAGCAAGCGGGAGGCGGTGCGTGACCGAGCGACGAGCCGAGCAGCGCTCCCGCAGTAGCCGCGATAAGACGGCGTGACCAGCATGGGCCTGGCCGCCGTGCACGCGATGCGCAGACTCGCGGCCACTGAGGGGTAGCGACGACTATCGCAGGCGCGCCCGTCGCCGCCCGCTCGCTCGACATGCTCCGAGTGCCCCCAGCAGCGCGCACGACTCGGCCTCGACGCGGCGGGCGCCCGGCTTGCAGTCACTCGCAGCCACTTGCAGCTACTTGCATGAGCACGGCGTCGAAATGCGGAGTGCGCGCGGTCCCTTGCGCTGCGTGGGGTGCGCGCGCCTGGCAGGAACCATCGCTCCTGCCCCTACCGACGACTAGACAATCGGCTAGGGAGAAGGCATCTCGTAATGAAGCTTGAAACAACCACACTCGACCTCGACCTTCTTGCAGCGCGTGCTCGCTATGCACGCACCTGCAGTGTGCCTCGTCCGGATGCACATCTTGGGCCTGGTTCAGACATGCCGCTGTCAGCACTGCGCGCCTCCCTGTCCCGTCGGCTGGTGTTACACTTCATATTGCGTAGCCATTCCGCCGTGCTGCGCGGGCCACAGTCCCTGACTTGATGAATTTGTCGTCTGCTTGTCGAGATTGCGAGCGCCCAACTCCACCGACCCATAGCATCCCGGCATTCCACCACACGTGCTACGGATGCCGCCGTCGCCATTGGCCGCACTCGCTCCGCGTCTGCCTTGCGCCCAATGCCTTACCCCAGGTTTGTCTGGGCACTTTGCTTTTGATGTTGCAATTCGCTTGTATGCATGCGGGTCAGCCTCCAGCCCGGAGATAACATGATGCCATCATCGCGGTGCTCGATCGATCCTTCGCGTGCAAACATTCCTGTATCGAACGAGTAAAACGGCGTTGTTCATTATTGATGCTACCACTATCGACGACCGTCACGTCTGCGTCGTCGTGCGGTGCTGGGCTAAAAATACACAGTAGAAGAAACTCACCCGTCGTGCATCTCCACGATGCACGCTGGTCATAACGCATCGTAGGGTCATTATGCTTCTGTCTTCTCCGTCGAGTCTTCAGCCTTATCAGCCTTATCGACCTTATCAGCTGCACCTGAGACCACTTCGTCCTTCTGCTCAGCCTTCTCCGCGTCCGCTTCCGTTTTTTCCGGCTTCTCCGTGGATTCTGCGGGCTTCCCGCTGTCGTCGCTGGTGGTTTGGTGTTCTTCAGGGGTCAACTCGAGGAACCCTGCCGACTTGGACTCTGCTTCTGCAACTGGTTCCTCGGTCGTGCTTTCTTTGTCCTTGGCCTCGTCGTTGGCATCAGTTTCAGCTTCTGTCTTGTCGGTAGTTCCCGTGCTCTCTGAGCTTGCTTCTTCGACCTCATGCGCGGCCGGAGGCTTGTCTGATGTCGCTTCTTCAGACGTCACAATCCCAGCGTCTTTCGTCTCCTCCGGCTGCTCAGGCTGGTCTTCTTCAGGATCCTCTGGTGTCGACTCGAAGATTTGCGTGACGGGTCTTGGCGCTTCCTTTCCTGATGAGCCATCCTCCTCTTCGACCTCTTCCACGACCGTGGCAACAGACATTGCACCTACCGAAGGCGAGTGTCGGTGGCGCTTTGTTGTGCCAGCAGTCGAAAGCGAGTGCTCTGAGATGCCCTCCATGATCCCTGAGCTCTCCTTCTCTTGAGCAGAGTCTGAAGGCTCGCGCTTCAAGATTAGAGGCGGTAAGGAGGCTAAGGCTTCTGTGAGAGGTTCAATTCCCTCGGCCTCTGGAGGAATGGTGTAGTTGTCCTCGGGAATAAGACCGTAGACATCGCAGACCGTCTTGAAGAAGATGTAGAGCCCGGTGTCTCCCTCCACTTTCCAGAACATCTCGCGATGTTGGAACCATGCGTGTGCAAATATCCTATACACTCGTCGGAAGATGTTGGTCAACTGGCGTATTTGCGAGTGCTGGGTAGACTGGTCGGTGCCGAGAGCGAGTCGCGAAGGAAAGTGTTTTGGCGAGGTGAGCGTGTTGGCAGCCCAATCCAGCGTGTGGCAGCAGTAGTCGATCGCGCAGCAGGACTTGGGCGGGTCGTGTACAGCGCAGAGGTACTGCCACTCGGAGGCGCGCATTTCGGGGCATGTAATCGCAGAGCACGGCGGCGTGTCGGAGAAGAGTGCGACGATGATAGAGTTGACCTTTTGGGTGAGGAAGCGGCACAGCTCATACAGCCACAGCGTCTTGTCCACGTTCTCTGGGGGCTGCGCCAGCTTCAGAGCCATTTCCTTGTCCACCGGGATATTTCCGTTCGCGCCAATTGGATGCGTCAGAAAGTTGTGTAGGGCTTTGAGGTGCTCGGTGAGCTGGAACGCTGAGTCGATCTGCGCTGCTTAGCATGTACTCTCCTGACGCGGTGCAGTGCCGCAGCGGGCGCGTACCTCTGACAGCTCTACCAGCGGCGGTCCCTCAGCCATGTCCTCTGCCTTCGTGCCTGGCCGTATCCGTCGCGCAGCGGCATGGTCGAGATTGCTGAAGAACTTTTGCTGCTCGGGGGACGCAGGGACGGGCGATAGCTGGTCTTCGGCGATGGGTGGGGGACTGGGCAGGCGGGGAGAAGCTGGAGACGTCATTGCTGTCGCGACCATGTGAGGACTGTCGGTTGCGCAGCGATGTCGTCGGAGGGGCGGTGGAGGGCCAGACGTGTTGTGGTAAGCTGTCAGTTCCACAAGCTTGTGATGCACGACAGGGACAGCCCTGTCGCTTCTCCCCGCGACGCTAGTCGGACCAGGTTAGGCAATGGGGCTCTCGAAAGCGTCTGCCAGAATACGTCACTCGTATACAAAGTATGTACATCTTCTGACATTTGCTGGGTAAGTAGGTCTGCCGTTACATTTTGGCTGGAAATAATTCGGCTTGTCAACCGAATTGTTGTCTCACCAAACTTCACCGTCTCCTTCAAGATAGTGAATACAGAGCAACTGATCAAAGAAGTCATCAAAATTGGCCTACAAGACTTCAATCCAACAGTCTAAATGGAAAGAGCTATGGATCTCGAAGGCTCGGACGACGAGGTGCCAGTCCTGGTCGAGCCAGAAGTAGCAGCATCAGACGACGAGGCGCCGACTCTCATCTCAGACCCCAACGCCCTACCAACAAAAAAAGTCCCCCTCACAATCATAACAGGCTATCTGGGCGCCGGCAAAACCACCCTCCTGAACTACATCCTCACCGCGCAACACGGCAAGAAAATCGCCGTCATCCTCAACGAATTCGGCGACTCCATCGACATCGAAAAGCAACTCACCGTGTCCGACTCGGACTCCACCGAAGCCAAGCCCCCGCCCTTCGTGCCCCTCGCCAACGGCTGCATCTGCTGCTCCGCGAAAGACGTCGGCGTCGCCGCAATCGAGAACCTGATGGAAGCCAGCGGCCTGTTCGACTACATCCTGCTCGAAACCACGGGGCTCGCTGACCCGGGCAACCTGGCGCCCACGTTCTGGCTCGACGACGGGCTGGGCAGCACCATCTACCTCGACGGCATCGTGACGCTCGTCGACGCGGCGAATATCCTGCGCAGTCTGGACGACGGGCTGGGTGATGGCGCCGCCGAGGTCGCGGCGCGCAGGGAACAGGACCACGACCACGACGGCCATAGTCATGAAGGCCCGCTGCTCACAACCGCCCACCTGCAAATCTCCCACGCCGACGTCCTCCTCATCAACAAAACCGACCTCGTATCTGCCTCCGAACTCGCCGCCGTCACCGCCCGCGTGCGCTCCATCAACAGCCTCGCCCGCCTGCGCACCACGACGCGCAGCACCGTGCCCGAACTCACGGGCCTGATCCTCGACATCGCCGCGTACGCGTCCGTGACCGCAGACGACCTATCCTTCGCCGCCAAGGGACACAGCCACATCGACGCCTCAATAACCACGAGCGCGCTCGCGTTCCCGCCGCTCCAGGATGGACAGTTGGAGAAGCTGGATGGCTGGCTCAGGGCCGTGCTGTGGGAGCAGGTGCTGCCCGGGGTCAGGCATGGGGCGTTCGAGGTGCATCGGCTGAAGGGGCGGGTGCCGGTTGAGGGGGGGAAGGTGGTTGTTGTGCAAGGGGTAAGGAGTTTGTACGAGGTGAACGAGGTGGAGGGGGAGGGCGGGGTGGGGGAGGGGAAGTTGGTGTTGATTGGGAGGGGGGTGGAGCAGGAGGGGTTCCGGGAGAGTTTGATGGGGGCGCTGGGGGCGTGAGGGAGGGGATGGGTAGGGCGGGAGGGGCATGGAGGGGCGGGATGCTGGAGCAGTGGTGGATCTAGACGGCGTGAGAGCTGTCCAGAACACTGCCCGCGCAAAACTTCGACACTGCATCACTGAGCGACTCGACGGGCACTGCGCGCAGAGAAACACGGGATATTGGGTAGCTACGACTAAGCTCGCAGTCGTCCATGTACAAAAACAAAAAAGCTCATTACGTCTGATATCATACTGCGCGCACCTAAATACGGGCCTTGTATGGCCTGGGGACGGACGCATACTCGGGCTTGAAGTAGCGGTCCGGCAGTCTGTTCCCATACTCGTCGAAGCGGTAGTCCTCCTTCTCCTCGACCCAGACCTGCAACGGCGATCAGCGGGGGTCCGGGCGGCGCGCTCACATGCGCGGCTTGGGGTACGGGAATCTCACCTCGCGCTCGGCGTACTGCTGGTTCGGGGGCACTGGTTGCGGGTTCAGCACTTGTTCGTCGCCGAAGCCGGCGTCGCCGGTGAACCTACGTTGGTACTGGGGCGGCGCCCCGTAGGCGCCGTAGCGCTCGCTGCTCTGCATCCACGAGTTGCGCTCCGGAACGCGGTCTTCGAAGGACTCGGGGCGGCGGCCGAGGGGCGCCGCGCCGGGGTGAGACGAGTAGCGATCAGACGGGTGCGGCGCGTGGCGCTCGTACTGGTCGTGCTGCTCGTAGCGCTCCGTGGTGTGCTGCTGGTAGCGCGGGTCGGCGGGGTCGTAGCGCTCGAAGTCGAGGTCGCGCTGGTACTGGTCGCCGCGGTCACGGTCGTCGAAGTGGCGCGGGTCGCGGTCATCGAAGTGGCGGGGGCCGCGCTCGTCGATGTAGATGTCGCGGCGCTCCTCGTAGCGGGGGGCAGGGCCGTCACGCTCGATCCAGACATCACGCTCCTCGACGCGGCGCGGACCGTTGTCGCGCTCGACCCAGACTTCACGTTCGATGTGCTCGGTGTGCTTGGTGGGACCCTCGCGACGGATGTCGATGTCGATGTGCGTATCCTTGGTGGACTTCTCCTTGCCCTCCTTCTTCGGCTTCTTGGGGGCCTCCATCGGCTCGAGACCCGACAGGAAGCCAATGACCTCGGTCAGGCTGGCGTGGGCAATGGCGAGCTCCTTCTCGCGGTTCTCCAGCTTCTCCTTCTCGCTGAGCAGCCAGTAGACGCGGTGGCGGACGCCGATGCGGCGGCCCTCCTCGATGTCGCCGCCGACGCGCTCCGTGTGCGGCGTGATGTTCTCCAGGGCGCCGCGCACATCGCGCATGCAGCCGTAGACCCACTTGGACTTCTCCGGGTTGGACTCGAGGGCGTCGTGGACCTCGCGCACCGACAGCAGCCGCCGCACCTCGTCGAGGTCGGAGCGCACGCGGCCGATGATGCGCACGTAGACGGCGTTGGAGGGACCGACATCGCGCAGGCGCTTGGCCTTGTACAGGAACTCGCTGAGCTTGTATGCGCCGCCGAGGGCAGCCGCGGCCGAGCCGAACGCAAAGAGCTCTCCCTTGACCATGGTGGAGGGCGGGCAGGGGTTCCGAGGGGTGAGGATATCAGGGCGCAATGGGTGTTCTAACTGCCTCGGGAGCTGCGGAGGCCTTGCGGGAGCATCCCGTGCACGTCTGGGATGATGTGCGGAGGGTGGTGTGGAGAGGGCGCTCTGTTGTCACTCAGCTCTCCTGTGTTTTGCTTGGAAAGATGGCTGGGGTTGGTCCAGGATGACCTGCATGGCACTAGCCACAGCCTATCACGGCGCGAGGAACCGCAAGCTGTCCTCCACACGAGCCGCTGTCCGAGGCTGTTCTGAAGCCGCGCGTGTTTTGGCCCGCACGGCGACGCGCATGTGGGAATTGCCTCGAGGCGTGCACGCACCGCTGCTTCAGCTGCTATCGAACTGTCCTGCAACCGCTGTAATTACACCTTCAGTGCCAGCTCTCGCCCATGTTGCGCTCGAACACGTCAACAACGCTACCAGCCCTAGCTCCACTTTTACGGCTCGCTCGACCCCAGTACCCTGTCGCTACCCACATCTCCCCTGTCTGCCATAGGTACGAGTACTTTGCAATGAATGCCCTGACCTTGGGGTCACCAAGGCTGGTTATACTTGAATTGGCTGTAGGCTCAGCTGAAATTGTTCGTAGCTTGCGATCAAGAGATCAACACGTTAATCCAGCACCAGCTTGGCTAAAGTGTAAGACTTTGTTTCCTTGAAGTACAACATGAGCTTGATGTAATATATAACTACGACAACCCTAAGCCAGCGACCTCTCACACAAGCGCGAGATGCCTCTTCGAAAGCCTCTAAAGCTTACGCCAACGCCGTTGCCTCAGCCCTAACTGCCTTAGCCTTTGTCGTACTCGTCTTAGTCTTCGTCGTACTCGTCTTATTCTTCGTCGAAGAACTCGACTTCGTCTTCGTCGCCGCACTCGTCTTCGACACCGAGGCGCCCGAAACCACCGCCCCGGCCGCACTGCACGGAAAGTCCAGACTGGCTGTACTCGCGATGTCGACACAAAAATACTGCGAACTGCCGCTCGTCCCCACGAGCCGCGTGCCCGTCGCCGTAATGTCCTGACACACATCACTGCACACCAGCGACACAACCTCCTTGCTCTTAGCCCCCGTGCCCATGACATTGATGTAGTGCACGTCGCTGATGGCGACTTTCGAGGGGTAGCTGGCGCACGTGTCGGCGGCCGTCTGGTAGCACTGGTCGATGACGACGGGGAGCTGGACGTTCTGCACCGTGAAGTCCTGGAAGGTAATGTTCTTCACGTACCCGCTGCCGCCGCCGGTGGTGGACGAGGCGCTCGCGCTGCCGCCGAAGGCTTTGATGCGTGCGCCGTTCTCCGCGTTGACCATTGTTACGTTTTTGACTAGGATGTTGGCGATGATGTCTTGCACGCCGGCGTACTGGCCCAGCGAGCCGACAGAGATGCCGTGCGAGCCCTGGCAGTAGAGGTTTTGGACGAGTGTGTTGGTGGTGTTGGGTTTGAAGCTGACGCAGTCGTCGCCATTGATGATGTTGCTGTTGAGGATGTTGACGGTGTCGCTGCGGTAGATGTCCCATCCGTCGGTGTTCTGGGCTTGCTTGCCGCTCGACTGTATGGAATGCAGGTTTATGTTGTTGAAGGTGACGTTGTGGGAGCCGTAGACTAGGTTGTGCCAGAATGGGCTTTGGGTTTGTTTGATATTCTCGACAAGGACATTTTGCGCATTGTAGATCACCCACGGGATTGGACCTGTTTTGCCGGCCTATGGACGCAGCGTTAGCTGGGATACGGGACACTGTGCTTAGGAGTTACCGACATTGTACCAAGTATCGCCACTGCCTGAGTATGTTCCTCCACCGTAGATATGGATGTTACTACCTCCAATAGTCCATGCAGTATACGCTTTCTGGTAGTTCAACTGGAATCCATTCGAGGCCCAGTAGCTGACGTCTGCTGAAAGATTGATAGTGCCGGTCAATTCGATGGCAACGTTGTGGAGATCTGTGGTCTGCAAGAGAGAGCCAATGGTGTATGTTTTGTCCAGCACCACTGTCCCGCCGTTATTGCACGACGTCAAGGCCGCTTTGATAGCGGCAGAGTCATCATTGGTTCCGCCAGGCACTTGGCAAATGGCCGCAATGCCCGTGCTGACAAGGGACGCTGTTACTAACACTTTTCGAATCATGTTTCTGGGGTGATCTGCAAGGTGAAGGCTGGGCAGTTGCTGGGCAAAGCTTAATTTTTTATACACCTCGACCACTGTGAAGTATTGGTGTTGTTCTTTGGTAGGCATGAAGTTTGTCCGTGTCAGTCTTCGGACCGGCTACGGTGATTCGCGGATGTGGTGTATACCAATTTATCCGCGAAACTGTCAATCTACGAAGCGGGGTGAAGAATCAATGGTTTCTCCGTAATAACCTATGCACAATAAGTCGGACCGGTGTCATGATGAATGGAAACAGAGTGACTTTGCACACGAGGAAAAAAGCTTCAGTCCTCAAGATTATCTGTTGAAGTCGACATCAAGCTAGCTTGGTGCTCGCAACCGCCTAGGATCTCCCACGCTAGCTCTACATACTTGACTATCTAGTCATTCCCTAAAATCATTGACTCTATCTTAATTATGATGTAGGTAATTGTTATATACTACTTGTACTTTGCAATGAATGCCCTGACCTTGGGGTCACCAAGGCTGACTTCGTGGCCCTCAGCGTCCATCAGTTCGCGCTCCTTCTGGTCGAGTTCTCGGTCCATTGCTTTCAACTGCGCTTCCAGTTTGGGGTTCGTCAAGTTGATCTGCTGGAACGGCGTGTGTGCATATAGAGCATCAATGACTATCCGGAAGTCGCTATCAGCCCTGCTTGAGCGCTCGGCGACTTGCTCGTGAGTCGTGGTAGCTGTGGCCTGGAAGTGTTCTTGGGCCTTCTTGTCTCGCTCATTCTGAGTCTGGATGAGCGTATCCTGGAGGCCCTCCAGAGTGTCCTGATGGAAGGAGATGCCGGCGTGACGCAGTGCGTCTTGGAGCGCTGCAGGAAGAGCCAGAGATTGAGTCGGCCTGAGCTTGGTCATCGGCGTGAAAGCTGACAGTGGCACAGACGATGTCCGTCGTTTGATCGGTGTTGGGCGTTGGGAGTGCACATCGGGCATGCGTTTCGTAGCTGCCTGACTGATGTGTGCCATAGCTTGTCCGAACTCATCTGCATCTGTAGAGGACGCACTGACAATAGCCAGGCGCTTGCTCATGTAGTCGAGGGTTGAGAGGACCTTTACTTGTTAGCGAAAGCGGATGCAGAGACGGTTGGAATCGTACATAGCTTAACCAGGCGGTCCGAGCGAGGGTTCTTTCTTTCTCTTTACGTTTTTTGTCATCGACCATTGGCTTCCTCAGCTCGTGTTCGACGACCATTTCTGCAATCGAGGCGACTTCTGCGTGGAGTTCCTCCAGTTCAGCCTGTAACGCGTCCTTTCGTCTCTGAAGCTCAGGTTCGTCTGCGGCGTTGCTGTTCGACTCTCCCGAAAGGCTGTTCATATACACTGTGTCGACTCGAGCCTTGATCTCAGCAGTCTTAAAGGAGACGATGGCTTTGCACCACTGCTCCATGGACTTCTCGTCTCCGCTGGCCTCAGCCTCCGAGATAATTGTCGATACTATGTTTGGCAATCGACTCAGAATCTGGTCATCAGAGGCAAGACGTTCGGCAACGTAGCTCTTGAGGGATGACTTCTCTGATTCGTGATCTCGTCGCGCATCGTTTAGCTGTTCGGAGATAGCAGTCGAGACATCGTCTATTGCAATGTCTAACCGCGCTTTCTCTTGCCCCTCTTTCCTCCTCCTTTCGTTGCGTGCATGCTCCGCATCCAGGTTAGGCTTGTCGAGCGCCTTGAGCCTCATCAAAGCATCTCTCTGTACTTCCAGTACTCTACATTGCTCCTCGATGGCAGTCGTCGAGCTTTGCAAAGACTCGATCGCAGCTGCAATCTCATGATCCAGGATTGGGCGGATGGGTTCTCCTTCGGCCTCATATTGGTGCGCCAATCCCTTGCGCTTCAACGTCTGATACCTGTTTTTCGTCAGATCAGACTCCATGACTGGCAAAGAGCACCCACAGCTCCAGCTCTTCCTTCGTCAGCAGTGTTTCCTCGTTTAGATATTCATGAACCCATGCAGCAGCCTCTCTTTTCGTGTTTTCATCCTCAAAGCCCAGGAGGATCCTATCAAGATCAACGTCGAGATTTCGCTCTTCCAAAACGTTGAGGAGGTGATGAGCTGCTTGTTCTTCCGACATTGCGAATTAATGTTGTTCATGTGTTGATACCCCGTTGTTTTGCGGTGAAGCGGATGCGGTTAGGCCCACTTTGTCCGGACAGCGGCAACGACCAACCGCGCAGTCGCGCTTTGCGCGGCTTGACGCGTCGCGACAATTTAATTAACATCGTTCAAACTTCAATCGCAGTCATACACATCGAAGACTCGAAGTGAATATGGCACCTTCAGTACTCGAGCCCGTCATCTCGGCGACGCCCCCACACGATCTACAGAACAGCTCCAAGGCGAGCGCACCATCAAACAGCACAGCGAAGGCCGACCCCTCCCACGAAGAATTCCAGTACCTGAACTTAATACGCGACATTCTCGACAATGGCGAGCATCGTCCGGACCGCACAGGGACGGGGACATACGCCGTCTGTTTCCCTGCACAGATGAAATTCACCCTATCAAAACCCTCCTCCGACCCCTCCGCACCACCGGAGCTCATCCTGCCCCTCCTCACGACCAAACGTGTGTTCCTGCGCGCCGTTATCGGCGAATTGCTTTGGTTCGTTGCTGGATCAACCCATTACAAGTCTCTTCAAGAAGCTGGCATCAAGATTTGGGATGGCAATGGCTCGCGCGCCTACCTCGACAGCGTCGGGTTGTCGCATCACGAAGAGGGAGATCTGGGGCCGGTCTATGGCTTTCAGTGGCGGCACTTCGGCGCAGAGTACAAGGGACATGACGCAGACTACACAGGGCAAGGTGTGGACCAGCTGGCAGAAGTCATCGACAAGCTGAAGAACCGCCCTTACGACCGGAGGATCATCCTGAGCGCATGGAACCCTGCAGATCTCAAGAAGATGGCTCTCCCACCTTGCCACATGTTCGCACAGTTCTACGTCTCGTTCCCAAGGCAAAAAGAGGGCGCGACAGAGAAGCCGCGGGGCGTGCTGCACTCGCTGCTGTACCAGCGCTCGTGCGATATGGGTCTCGGTGTGCCGTTCAATATTGCATCGTACGCGCTGCTGACCCACATGCTGGCACACGTTTGCGATTTGACTCCGGGTACTTTCACACATACCATGGGCGACGCACATGTATACTGCGACCACGTTGATGCAGTCAAGGTGCAGCTGGAAAGGGAACCGCGCGAGTTCCCGACATTGAAGATTAACAGAGAAGTGGGTGGCAGCATCGATGGGTGGAAGGCTGAGGAGCTGGAGGTTCTTGGCTACAAGCCACATGGAGCTATTGCGATGAAAATGAGTGTGTAGTGTACACACTCTATGTAATACGGCGCTTGTTATGTATATATGATTGTACGAATTGATACGTTGATACCAGGCGCGCCTGCCACGACTCGCAGCAAGACACAGCAGGCGCAGTCTACCCTGACCCGTACTTGCTTGTTCCCAGCCTGAGGCCCCTCACTCGCAACCAAGTCTTTGTGTGCCGGGGCTGCATTCGCAGCTCGCCATCGCTGGGTCTGCCCCACAAGGCGCTTTCCTCCAGGCAGCAGAGCGTCCACTCACCTTCACTTCACCTCTAGCTCCACCCACGTGACAACAAGCGCGTCCGTCCCCCGGCCAATACAAATATCCCAATCGGGCCCTCCACCCCATCTCGCGCCAACGACCCAGCTTCTGCGCGCTCCACGCTCCACCACACGCGCCTCGGCTGCAGCTCCCACCGCAATGGCATCCGACAAACAGAAGCTCACGCTGATGAGCGCGCCGCTCGAAGTGCGCCACCAGATCTTCGAGCACGTTTCCGCGGGCAAGACGCCCAAGAAGGTTATGCGCTACTGGTTCGAGAAGCAGGAAGTGAAAGAAAAGACGGCTGAGCTGGCGGCGCAGAATCTCGATACGAGTGCGGCAAGGGTCGTGTATGAAGGTGATCAGTTTGCGTACGAGGAGCTGGAGGAAGAGGACGATAGTGAGTATGGTGGAGAGGGTGTGGAGGATAGCGAGGAGGAGGATGACGATGAAGATGGAGACGAAGATGGGGATGAAGAGGACGAAGAGGACGACGAGGATGATGTCGATGAGGATGAGGACGAGGACGAGGACGAGGACGGGGAGGATGCAGAGATGGCTGAGTCTGACAGCAACGCCGGTCTTCTGGTTTCTACGACAACAGGTACAAACACCGGTCAAGGGCTGAGTGTATCGGCTGTGCCCCACCCGCATTCCACGGCACAGATCCAGCAAGATGCGGCCACTCCAGTTCAAGATGCATCGCCGACTGCGGGCCAAAACCTAGCTACAGAGCAAGTTTCTTCCGCAGCAACTGCAGCTAAGGATGTCGTGCAAACTTCAACGGCTGCAGCTCCGGTTTCCACACTAGCGCCAATGCAAGTGGACGACCAAGATCATTCTGAAGATGAAGATGTTGACGCAGACATGGACGGAGATGACGAAGAGTTCCACGACGCTGAGCAAGGAACAGCCGACGAGGAAGATGCCGAGATGGACGATGAAGACGAGAACGAGGACATGAACGGTGACGAGGAAGAAGAAAATGAGGATATCGACGGTGACGAGGAGATGGTCGAGGACGATGGCGATGCTGAGACCGAGGCAGAAGCAGTGCAACTCACTCCTCCAGCGCCCGTGATCAAAGCGCACAGAAAATGGCGTCACATTCCAAAGGTACGTTCTGCGCAGTATTAGTTGAGAGGTTGCTCATGAACAACCGATTACGCACTTACACCCGATGATTTTAGCTGACCATAACAGTTCATGCGCATCACGCAATGCCCACCGCCTACCGAGCTCCTCCTCACTTCTAAACAGCTCAACGACGAAGCTAAGCGCTGGTTCTACGATGTTGCGGTTCTCCATGTCGATGCTACAGGCAGCTTCGCCCACACTAGTTTCTTCGAAGAGGCGTTCAGTCAGATCACTGAAGCCGCCTTCTCGCCCATGGAAGACATTCGCAAGGTTGAAGTTAGGTTTGTATGGGACACTACTTGGCTTCGCTCTGACGACGCAGGCCACGCATCTGCCATCTTTCCAGCACTACTCCGTCAGCGAGCCAGCTTCGTGACCGGCATACTGGCACAAGCGCCTAGCCTTGAGAAGGTGGCTATTCACTGGCACGATTCTGCTCAAGACGGCGAGGCCGTAGACCTCATGAACGACGTCCTTGTGGGGTTCTTGAGTCTCAAAGCCGATGTCAAAGTCGAGCAGCACTACATCGCTACTGATGCAAAGCCTGAGAAGAGGAGCATCGCTGGCAAACAGCGTGTTGAGTTCCAGCGCATTGTCAGTGCTGGCCTTGATAGGCTCTTCTGAGTTGCACGACTGCCTTGCAGTTTGCTCACAGGAATCGTCCGAAATCGACCTTTGATTTTACGCATATGCGCGGCGTTTTGGCTTGATGTCCTACCAGTGCGGTGCAATCGACGGATATGCAATTAAGAACGACTTACCGTCCAGCGAGGCACTGCAACCCTTCATGAGCTCGTAGGGATAGCAAGATGTCGACGGTGTCGCACTTCCTTGCTGCGCAGCAAGGTGCTGAGACCACTTGCTATCGAAACTCAAGTTTGCCAAACATGCAATCGCACACGGGTCGGAACGGGGAGCTAGACTACACAAGCTTCAATGGTCACTATATGATTTGACTCAGACATTATGCATTACGTATTAAACATTACCCGTGCCTCTCGTACAGCCCATAAGCTGAACTTTCAACCATCATAAACCATAACTCATCACCACCCCCCTACTTCGAGCTCTTAACACTCCCATCCACCCACTCCCCCCTTTCCTCATCACCATCCCCACTAACCTTGCCACCCGCACCAACACCCCGCAGCACCCCCTCTGCCCTCATCCTCTCCTCAACCCTCTCCTCAATCCTATCCTCCACCCTCCCAGCCCGCCACGCATCCACCGCCTTACACGCACACCCCACCAACCCCACCCAAACCCCCCACAACACCCCCTGCAGCGCCATCTCCGCATAGCACAGCCGCCGCCACGCGCCGATCTGCGGGATGCTGGACTCGTTGCACACGACGATGATGGTGTTGAGGCTTAGCGCAACGGCGTACAGACAGCATACGATCAGGGACTGCACGAGCGCGTAGACTGGGTGGAAGTGCGTCCGGGAGAGGAGGGCGTGGGTGGTGAGGACGCTTAGGATGTCGGGGATTAGGGCGAGGCCGAGGCGGAGGAAGAAATCTGCGCTGTGGGGGGTTAGGCAGTCCTTACTCGAGGGTGGTGTGGGTGCGGGGAAAGGGGGGGGGGGGGGGGGGGGGGGGGGCGCTAGAAACAGCCAGTGCGGCTTCAAGGGAACGTACGCGGTCTCGTCTGAGTCGTACTCCACGGTGCTGTGCCAGCTGTTGTACCACTTGCGGAACAACACCGTCTCGGTGATGGCTAGGATGGTGAACGCGGTCAGCACGACGATGCGCAGTAGATCTAGTACGAAGAACCAGCGCTGCGGGCCGTGCCAGCGGGGATCGCGGGGCGTGAGGAGCGTCTTCATGGTCTGTAGAACGGGAAGTGGTGATGCAGTGGGCACGGGTAATGGGCGTGAAGGGACGTGTTTGCTCCCAAAGAGCGGGTATTCAATGTAAGATCGTCGAAACGCTCCGTGACTGAGGTACACCGTCCTCGCTTCGAGCAACGAGGTATTTATCACGCGTGTGGGACGCCTGCCGAGCAGTGTCGTGTTGTGCCTGATCGGCGCCGCAGCCATGCATACACTACCGTACCCTGCTCAGACCTGTCTCCCGGGTTGATCGCGCTGCTTGCGGTTTCGCATTGCGTGCTGCGCCTGCACGATTCTGCCTGGTACGGGGTTGGTGCGAGACAGGGTGAGGCGCAGTGGTGAGGCGGGCTGTGTGATTGGTCGTGGTGGTCTTTGTTCGGGAGGGAGGTAGGAGCGCATCACAACGCGTAGGGGTTTGATTGACGGCGATCTCTGTTAATAGCCGACGGTCTTCTCGCCGGTAGGCGGTCGACGATGGCGGGTATGATCAGGCGTACTTGGAGCTGGTGGTCGTGGTGCAGTGCGGCGGACGGACTCAGCCTCAACGCCAAGGTCGCGCGTGGAACGCCTGGTCTGTATGGGGTATGGAGTGTGTAAAAGATATATTTACATAGAAGGTCGCATATTTATTCGCTTAAACACATGCTCTTTTGCTTTACTCAACGTACGTGGGGGAAGACGTTTTAGAGAAGCTACGTTCCAGCGATGTCTTAGAGGAAACAGATTCTTCGAGATTCAGTGAGATCTTGAATGATAAGTAGAAGTTTGAAAAGTGCCTTAGCATTCCTGCTACGTACCCAAGTCTTAGAGAGACTCATATCCCTTTTCAAATCAGAGACATCTTACAAAAAAGTGGGAGGCTAAAAACGTGCTGTACCATTCCTACCACCTACAGCTCTCAAATCTCCTTGCCGTGCGCCCAAAACCCGCCTCCATTTGTCCTGGGTGTAGCTACCGAAAAAAAATTGTACCTGCAGTCCGAGGCGGGGAAACCCGTTTCTGTGTCACCTTGACCCACATACGCAAGGGATATGTACACTAGGGATATGCTTCTCCCGACCACATCAAACCCCCCCCAGTCCGCAGCACCCCATACTCGAGCCAATTCCCTCTTCCCCAAGAAAGCAGCCAACACACATCCACCAACTCCTCCCGGTCTTAGTAGCTTCGGAACCAACACGCTATACATTGTGAACGCCCGGTACATCTGTGAGCAAGCCCCGTCCTCTCCGTTACCCGGCCCATAGCTGTCGACCGTGAACGCGATGAGATAGCGACTGGGTATGTCGTCTCACGAACAAGGCCGTAGCTGGCTAGACTTGGCGCATCGATGATCAGGCCGCCCTGGAGATGCCAGGAGCATTGTACGTCCGGGCTGTGAGCGTGCACATCATCCTCCGCATATCCATGCGTCCGCGTCGAAGACGGAGTATGAGCGCCAAGCCGCTTCGTTCGTGTTGGGGCCGCCTCGTTTGTTGTCCGTCGATACGTGCGCGACATGTCCCCAGCAAACACATCTCAAACGAACCCTCTCGAACAGGGACCCTAATCCTCCTCCCCCCACACCCCCCTTTCCTCCAACCCCACCCCCTCCAAGCCCCCAAACACCCCCTTCCCTCTCCCTCTCCCCCTCCCTCCCTGCCCATCCTCATCCTCATCATCCTCGCTATCCCCCTCCCCGCTACTATCCCGGCTACTATCCCGACTACCCCGCCTCAACTCCCCCCACCCCGCGCCCTCGCCCTCCTCATCGCCCAACCCCGGCGTCAGCGCCGGAGAAACAGGGTAATCGTCCATCAGCCGGCCCGGCAGGCCAGCGGGGGGCGCGCGGTGGGCCGAGGGGGGCGAGGGGGTGAGGGGCATGAGTGTCATTTCGGGGGGGCGGGAGAGCAGCGGTGAAGGGTGTGTGTTTTGTGTGGCTGGGGAGGGCGGAGACGGTTTGTTGGGCTGCGGGCTCGCGGGGCGCGGGGGCGGTGTCGTCGTCGTCGTCTTCGTCGGCGGCGGGGATCCGCGCTGTGCTGCTGCTTTGCGCCGCGGAGCGCGCTGGGGCTCTGGCCGTTCTGCTGCTGCGGTGCTGGATACCACCACCGGCGCCGCTGCCGGTGTCTCCGCGTTCTGGGCCTGCGTCTGCGTCTGCGTCGCCGTCTGCACCGGCACCCCCTGGACCTGCCCCGCGAACGGAAAGATCGAGAACAGCGACGCACTCAGACTGTGTCTGTTGGGCGCCGCGGGGCGCTCCTCGGCCCTCAAGCGGTCTGGAGCGGTGACGGGCGGCGGGAGCGACGCGGAGTGCGCGTGTCCGCGCTGAGCCACGGGGCTGGGTGGTTTTGAGACGGTGGATGCGGGGAGCGGAGCAGCGCACATTTCGCACTCGGTGAGCGAGGCGTGGTTGAGGAAGGTGCAGCGCGGGCACTGTTTCTTCTGCTCTGGGGGCGGGGGCGTCTGGGTCCGGGGTTCAGGATATGGTGGAGCAGTGTCGTCCTGCCTGCGGGCGCCGGGCTGCAGACGGCGCTGGACCGCAGTGTTCGCCGTGATAGACTCCGCGCCGCCGCCCCCGGGATGCGGATCCACAGACACCACGACCTGAACGTCCCGCGCGGTCCCGCACTGCAGACACTTGCACGCGCGCACCACGGTCTTCGAGAACGTGTCGTCCACGCGCGCCGGCGCCTCGAACCGGATCTCGAACCGCTCCGGCGCGCCCCCGGCCCTCACACTCGGCGCAGCAGGCAGCCCGTCCCCCTCCTCCCCCGCGCCCAGGTGCTCCACAAACGGCACCAGCACCAGCCCGCCCGCGGCAACCCGCGCCCGCGCATCCGCCCTTACAATCCACGCCCCGCGCCCCACGCCCCCGCGCTCAAAGTACTTGCCCACCATGTCGCCAAACCAGCGCCGCACCTCGCCGCCCTGCGCCTGCCGGGCGCGATCGCCGCCGCGCAGCGGCCACAAGCAGTCGACGACGCGTTTCTCGACGCGGGCTTTGCGGACGAGCAGATCCCATCTTCCACACTCGAACAGCTTCTTGTCGAGGCGCGAGTGGGACTCGTACCGCGCGAAGCGGGCCACGAGGCCGGAGATGAAGGGCCCGGGGAGCGAGTACGTGGCGACGAAGAGCGCGAGGTCGGAGAGGTCCTTCTGGGCCTGGGCGTTGGCGGGGCGGAGCGTCTGGGGGCTGATTTCGTGGCCGAGGCTGGTCCAGCGCGGGGCCTGGCGCGGCTCGGCGGTTGCGGTGCTCCAGATGGAGCGGAGGGGTGCGTACTCGGCTTTGAAGTAGTTGTATACGAAGTCGCGGAAGTCGGCGTCGGTGAGGGGCGGCATGGCGTGGCCGGGGGGGATGTCCATGTTGGCGGCCTGGGTGTCGTTGCGGTGTTGCGAACGACCTTCGTGGAGTGAGCTCGTGACTGATGTCGTGACTGCCCTTCGTTGCGGTGTCGTGAGTGACGTCGTCAACGACCTTCAATATCCTAAGCACCCTCACAGCGCCCTCGTAGACCGACGTTGCCGTGCAATACACCACACCACAACTAACCTCCAACAATCCGCTTTCGCTTTCACTTCGCTTTAACAACACCACACCTGGAAACTATCCTCGCACTCGTAAACGCTCAGTCGAAGGACGTTGACGATCCTACAATAGTCTATCTCTTTCTTTCTTTCTTCCTTCCCTTCCCTACCCAACGCAGCGCAGCAACGCAAGAGACGTACTTAGTAAAAGCTGCTGCCTAGCGCGCAGTCGTGTCAGACTCCAGAGTACTTACATACGTGTGCGGATAAGCAGCGAGAGGAGGACGCCGAGTGACGATGGCTACACGGCTGCGCCACAGCGCGTGATACAGTAGACCCGCGACTGCTGACTACCTAGGTAAAAACCATCATAGGCGTTTGCGAATCCATGGTTGGTGGTGAGCGCATACGTCATCGACCAGCTGTGGCGGTGGTGGCGGACCGCGGCTCGCGCGCCACGGGACCACGTGCACTACGAGTTCGTACTTTTGCCACACGACGACCGCGAAAGACGACAAGAACGACGATGATATGTGGTGAGATACGTGATGTGAATATTGACAAAGCAGTATCTAGTCCATGTGTCGAATATGTATAGTCGTGCGAAAATCCCAGAGGTATCCTGCCCTGCTCCGTCATGCTAATGCCCCAATGCCGTTGGTACAGTCAAACGAAACCCGCCGTGATGTACACGCTGCCACAATCATGTCTATCCTTCCATCCTCCTGCGTAGCCGAAGAGTCGCGTCGGGGAGTCCGGCATCTAACCAGTGAATCGGAAGCGCGAGGCCTCCAGCCGGCCCAGACCCTCTCGCGGCGCCACGTTGCGGCGGCGGTAGCTGGTCGTGAAGTCCTGGAGGATGGTCCGGATCATCCTGACATCGCCAGTCTGGATGCGTTGGCGGATGTTGTTCAGGAAGCGCTCGCTTTCCTGGGGTGTGATGCTGCCCTGTGGGAGCATGGCGACTGTGTTGGCGACCCACGAGGCGACCTGCTCGGGGTTGAGCTCGAAGAGATCGAGGAGCACACCTGAGGAGTCTGCAAAGCAGCCTTCGGGGAAGCTGTACATCATCCCGGTCATAATACGCTGAACCATGACCTCCCCGGCAGTCAGGACCAGCTGCTTAACCCGGTCCTGCAGCTGCTTGGGGACTTCGTGTCGTGTGTGGTCGAAGCTAGACGACGGCGAGGCATTGCGACCATAGCCGAGCAGGTCGCGGAGGAAGTGGAGTGTTGCAATGATCGGCTCCTCCTTGAGCAGAGCAAGCGCGTTGCAAGCTGCCAGCACGATGGTCTCCATGAGCGGCGACATGATCGATTCGGAGGGGAAGTACAGCGCCATGTCGGAGGCGAGCCGGAAGTAGTCCTCGATCACTGGAATAGTTAGTGGTTGTAAGGTCATAGAGTTGATAAACATACAGTCAGGAAGCTCGTCTGGTCGGACGACATCGCTCAGCATCTTCAAGAAAGTCCTCGCTTGCTGCTCGTAAAACTGGTAGACGTCGTTGGCCAGCCCGGGATCCACTTGCTCTACACCCTGTGAAAACTCCCGCACGATGGCAGCTGTAGCCCACAGGAAGCAGCCCTGTCTTGATGCGTCGAAGCCCTGTGTCAGTCGTGTTGCAAGCTCGGGCAGCAGTGGTCGCATGGCCGTTCGGTACGACAACACCATGTATCGCCAGCAACGGCAGACGCGTTCGAGAATCGGCACGCTCTGGTTGAAATGTGTGATGAGATTTCCGAGCAGGGGGAAGAGCTCCTGGCAGTACTTGACGGCTGGGTTGTCCTGCCCGACTGGCACCTCGGGCTGCACAAACTCGATGAAAATCGTGACGAGGTTGATCTTGTCAGCAAGAAGCTTCTGTGCTGGCTCGTCCTTGGCCTGGTTCGCGATCGCCGCCAAGTTCTGCATGACAGGGTCGACGTAGAGTTTGAGAGTTGGGTAGACCTGATCGATAGGAACTCTGGCGACGACCGAAGCAACGCCCTCTGTGATCTCCTCCTGGCTGCTTACCGGGAGCTGATCGAGGTGCTTTTGGTAGAACTGCTGCAGGGGAACGATGAAGTTGACAAGCAAGCTGGCGCAGTCGTTGCAGAAGAATTTGAACGAGAGTGCAGCGGCGCGGATGACATCCTTCGTCGAGTGTTCGAAAGCGGCCATGATGTAATCCAGTTGAGGTTGCAGGGTGTCCGGGTGTCGGGCTGTCCATTCTGTGTAGCGACCGAGGGCCATGACAGCCTGGAAGCGGAGTTTGTTGTGGTCGGGTATCGAGACGATGAGCGGGATGAGGCGGGGCAGCATCACATCTTCGTCCGGAGGTACCATGCGACCCATCGCCCTGACGGCGAACAACGGTGCCTCGAGCTTCTGCCACTCTGGCACACTGTTCGGTCCAGCCTGCGGCCCATATGTCTGCACCCACTGCTGGATCAGATCGTATGGCTTCTGCAGGCACTCCGTCACACCCATTACTTCGCAACAGTCCTTGAGAACGTCGCCCATCTGGTGGCGGAATTCTCTGAACTTCTCTTCCTGCTCGCGGTCGCCCTCGAAAAGATCCTTCTCGTCGCCACCTTCCGGCCGTGGGTACTCCAGGTGGCCGATCATGATGTCGATGAGCTTCGAGTAGATGTCGATGCTCTGCATGCGAGCTGGTGTGTACTTGTCGATGGTCAGGTACTGCTTCAGGTCGTACCAGAACTTGAAGGTGTGGGCGATGGCGTCTCGCTCTTTGTCGAGTGCCGCGGTCTCCAGCACGGCCTCTACCAGGGCGCGGAAATCAGTTGGCAGCCGTGCGATCAACAAGACCCACGACTCTCCGGCCTCTGCGAATATCCTGGCGATGCCCTTGAACTTCTCGGTGTCCTCCTCCTGTGCAGCCTGCGCAAGCTTAGGTCGCAGGGCAATTACCTGCGGGTACAAGACCAGGATGGATTGCATCGCCTCGTCCACATCTCGCGTCTCGCCAATGAGAGCACTGAGACACTCAACAGCAGCGTCGAACGCATCGTCGTCTGCGTTCAAGTCGTCGACAATGATGGGCAGGAGGGGCGAGCTCAGGATAGAGTCGAGGGGGATCTCGCGCATCCACGACGTGATGCAATTCAGCAGCTGGGGATTCCGGGCAGCAGCCGCTACGCTTGTTAGCAGTCGTCCCTGACAGAAAGCAGGCGACGTACGTGATGATGTGGCGTAGGCGACGAGGAGCTTTAGGGCCTGCTCGGCGTTGTCCTCGATCAACTCGGCGGTCCTCATTGTCAATTCGTGTTCCTGACCACCAGCATTAGACTCTAACTCTGATATGACATGTCGGGACCGTGGGAAGGTGCCGCGGGCGGGAGGTGGGTGGTGGGTCGGCCGGACGTACTGTGAGCGCGATCTTACGTCCATGCGTGACTTCTTCTGGCAGAACGCGGAGAAAATCCAAGACGCAGGGCAGCGTGGCTGGGTCGGACCCCAGCGCACTGACAATGTCGGTGAGCACGTCTTTCCACTCGGTCATCTGGATGGCCAAGTTGGCCAGACAGACGCACAGCGTCAGCCTGATGGGCTTGGGCCCGGCGTGGAAGACGGTCAGGCTCTTCATAATCGAGGCGCGCAGCTGCGGCAGCTGCTCGCGGGGTATTTGGTGGAGGTCGTATACGATCTGGCGCGGTCAGAAGAGCCAGCGGGCCAGCGGCGGTGCTCGGCGACATACCTTGCCCTTCAGGGTGGTGGCGGCGAACAGCTTCGCGGCCGCGTCCACCGAACTCGACTCCAGCATGGCCAGCGTTGTTGTCCATGCCTCTTGCTGCGGCGCTCGTCAGCCCAGTCTGCCTCTGCCTCTGCCTCGCTCGCCCAACGTACCGACTTCTGAAACTTTTCCAAAAACTCGTGTGCCTGCTCTTTCTGTGTGCGGTTCGACGCTGACTGCATCAGGTTATGCGCGGCCAGCACCGGCTCGTAGACCTGGGCGCCGTTGGTGGCCATGGCGACGGCAGTCCGGGATGGTGGGGGGGAAGTAAGGAGCGTGGTGGGGAGACGGCGGCGGGGTATTAAGTGCGCTGCCTCATGAACCGGGGAGGCGCTGCGGTCCAGACAAGAGCAAGCGGCAGGGAGCAAGCGGCCGGGTGGGAGGGGACGTTTGTTTGTGTTTGCTCGGTATGATGAGAAGTTGCATAAAGTGACGGACTGCGATCCCGCCCGCACCTGCCCGCCAAGCCCTCACGTCCCAAATTGTGCGCGGAACCACAGCTGCACCTCCGACGACCCACCCGCGCCCTCACCCGCCTCGACGCTCGAATCTGCACGCTCCCGCTCGCCCGCGCTCGCCCACGCTCGCCCACACTTCACTCACCTCTCCCAGCATGAATCGCGGCGGTAAGACTGTCGGCAGCCCAATCATGTCCAGCGCTAACTAGCATAGGCCGCGGCGGAGGAAAAGGTACGACAGCAACCAGCGCGTCGCGCGACCCACTGCGCTGACCTCACACAGTCCTCCTCCCTCCCATCAACTTCATCTTCAAGCTGCTGCAGTCACGTGCCACCGTCTCGGTCTGGCTGTACGAAAACCTCGGTCTGCGCATCGAGGGCAAGCTCCGCGTATGCGCCCACGGACATTGCACGTGTCGCGCCTGCTAACACCCACAGGGCTTCGATGAGTTCATGAACCTCGTCATCGACGACGCGGTCGAGGTCACCATGGCGAAGAAGGACACACCAGAGGAGCGGCGCCGGGTCGGCCAGATCCTGCTCAAGGGCGACAACATCTCTCTCATTCAGCAGCTCCAATGATTACGAACGCTACAAACTGGCGGCGAGCCGCTCCATTCGCGCTTTGGATCGCGCAGGAAGCATATCGAGGTTGACGTGGAGGTGCTATGTGGAGGCAGAAAACATGTTGGGCGGGAAGTGGCTACTTATCCAGCGCGACGGACCTCGCCATCGCCGGTGATCAGGGCGTCGAGACGATAGTCGGACTGGTCCATGGGGATAGATTCGCCTGGCGGAAGCAGCTGCTCGGTCAGAGCCAGACCAACTTTGACGTGGTTAGTTAGCCCATCAGCCATGTACGAATACCAGTATTTCTTACCGCGAAAAGGCATGCGCGATGCTTGGTGACACCGTTGCAAGAAGAAGTCGTAGTAGCCCTTGCCGTGTCCAAGGCGCCCGAACTCTGAATCGAAAGCCATGCCCGGCATGACGATCAGGTCGAGCCCGTCAGTGATGTTGTCGTTGTTGCCTCTGGTGGTGCCAGTCGTGCCGAAGCAGTTTTCACGTGTTGAGATGGTGTCCTCGCCGAACGTAGGAATGCCCCATTTGTCCGGCTCGCACGCTTCAAAGTCGGACAGCGACGCCAGTTGGAGCATGTCCATGATGGACTTTGGGCCATCGTGGCACTTGCGCCCGTACGTGTGCGGAACAAAGACCTGCTTGCCCTGGGCGATTGCGTCGTGCACAATGCTGTTGGTCATGATCTCGCCCGCAGGCATGGAAAGATACACACTGATGCGCTTGGCTGCCTTGTACTCTGGCGTGGCAAACAGAGCTTTCGCAGCATGGGCGGCTGGGGTTGTTAACACACTGCAATGACGCATTGCCAGCACGTACATTGGGTTTCAGCTGATGCATCGGAGACGTCTTTCAAGATGGCCTTGATCTTCTTCCTCAGATCCTTCTTGAGCGCTACGACGGCCGCCATGGTCAATGGCAACACTACAACAGCCTGACTCTCAGTCGTGATCGTGAGAGATAATGAGGCCGAGCGTGGTATCGATAAGCTCACGCTCACGCTCACGCACGCTGCACGCAGTTGAACGGGCCCTAAATTGCGGGCGTGGTGGGCATGGATCGGCGACTAGCGCCCCGACATCCCTGTCATTCGCCGCCTCCTTTGCGACTGCAAGATCCAGGCACGCAGCCGCCAACCTCACATTTGACCGCACTCGATCACACTCGACCCCAACCGGCCCTCGCTCTCCCGTCGCGCCTCTCCCAACCACCACACTCGCTTGACCCGCATACAAACACCGCCATGGTGTCGTTCACAGCAGTGCTGCTGCTCGCCAGCGCGGCCCTGCACGCCCACGCCCAAGACTTCTCCGACCTGGTCGGCACCTGGAGCAGCAAGTCCAACTCGACCTTCACCGGCGACGTACTTAGCCCGCAGTCCCACCCCCGCGCCCACGCCCGCTAACCCCCACAGGGCTTCTACAACCCCAGCGCGGACCACTTCACCGAGCCCAAGCACCCGGGCATCAGCTACTCCTTCAGCGCCGACGGCTACTACGAGGAATCCTACTACCGCGCGGTCGCGAACCGTACGCCCGCCCATCCATGCCGTGTCGCGGAACTAACGCGCCCCAGCTACAAACCCAAAGTGCCCCAGGGGCATCATCCAGTGGCAGCACGGCAAGTTCGAGAAGCTCGCCAACGGCTCGCTGAACCTGCACCCCATCCGCGTCGACGGGCGGCAGCTGTACTCGGATCCGTGCGTGTACAAGAACAGCATCTACACGCGGTACAACGCGAGCGAGACGTTTACTGTGGGTGTTCCCTTGCCTGCGCCAGCCCGCAATCCGCCCCCAACCTTCCCAACCGTCCCAACCGCACCTCGCGTTCCCGTTCTCGTTCTCGTTGTCCGCAAATGCTAATTCTTATCCCTTCTCCAGCGCTACGAATCCCGCACAGACGACTACCACAAAATCCCCCGCCTCAACCTCTACAAATTCGACGGCTCGCCCCTCATGCCCCTCTACCTCGCCTTCTCCACCCCCAAGATGCTGCCCACCACCACCCTCAACCCGCTCGTCACCGCCACCGCCACCGCGAAAGCGAAAGCCAGGCGTGCCCTGCCCATGCCGGACGAGGTGCTGCTGCGCAAGAGCGGGAATCTGGCGGACGGCGTGTTTTGGGCGGGTGTGCTGGCGTCGGGGGCGGGGGGGCTGCTGTGGTGGTTTTTTTAGGCGTGTGTCGAGAGGTTGAATGGGCGACGGGCGATGGGCGATGGGAGATACCGGGGAGATTGGCGTTTTGGGCGCAGAGATTGGGTTGGTTGGCCGGTTTTAGCTTCCTTTGCTTTGCGATACTGTACTCTACTTGACAGCGAGACTGCCCACAGACCTGGCTAGATGCGGTGTTGCACGTTACGATACGATATACGATACACTTCACTTCACTTCACTTCATTTTCTTTCTCTGGACAGCACGGAGTAGCATTTCTTCAGCGACGCGTAGCTTTTATTCATCGTTCATCGTTCATCGACGCGTAGCATTTGTTCATTGTAGCGTAGCATGTTGTAAATTGATATACCACAACACACCACACCATAACATTGCATAAACTGCGAAAACTGCGGAAATCTAAGTACTCTAGCTTTCTCCTCGCACTGGTTTTAGGAGCGGGGTATGTTGTAGTGCTGCGGCGGTCTGGGTCTATGCGTTTGCGATGCGTTGCGATTGCGTTGCGATTGCGATTGCGATTGCGTGGTCGTCTCTATGGCTGCGTGTGCGTGGTCGCGTGCGTGATGTGTGATGTGTGATGTTTGATGTGTGGTGCTTTTGCTATTCTGCGGCGGTGGGGGTGGGAAAGAGTGGTGATAGCAGAGCGCAGGGGTTGTGTGCTCGTGGTTGTGTGTCGACTTTGATGCTCGTGGTTGTGTGGAGCAGTCTGGTGCTGAGGGGGCCTGTGGTGGGCTGCGAGACGGCCGTGGAGTGTAGGTTTCGTCGTGTGTACGTTGGGCCTCCGTTGCGTGCGGGTGGCTCTGTCTCGGTGCTCGTGTCGTGCGTGTTCTCCGTCGTCTCTCGCCTAATATCATGCCTCCTTCGTCTCAATCCGATCCTCGTCTCGATCCGATCCTCGTCTCGCGTCATTCCTCCCCTCCATATCATCCCTTCATGTGCAGTCCCCCTACCGAATCCCCACCCTCTCCATCCCCGACTGCAGCTCATCCTCCATTCCAAACACATTCTTCGCCCACGTCACCATCCGCGGCCGCACCGAGAACCGCCGCTCCGCCACATCCACAACCTCCTCGACCTGCGCTCCCTTTCCGACCGCGTTATCCCCCTCCTTGTGCCGCCACGTCTGCGGACTCGCGCCTCCGTCCTCCAGCACCAGCGGCCCGTCCTCGCCCGCCCGTCTCGTGCGCCGCTTATACGGCGGCCCGCGCCCCATATCGGCAGCGCGCTCCCACGACGTCTCGACGCCGCGCGCCATGATGCCCGCCGAGGCCCAGCCCGTGCGCCGGTCGATCTCGAGCAGGCGCGTGATGGTCCACTCGCGCTGCGCCGGGTCTTGGTACTGCACGCCCGCGAAGAACATGCTCATGGTGGACTCCTGCAGCACAGAGCCCAGGAACGGCGACAGGTCGGTGCCCATCGGGAGCTGCATACCCGCCGTGATGCGGCCGATGAGGGTCGCGTATGGTCCGGTGGCTTGGGCGCAGACGCCGGCGGCCATCATCATGGCAGGGGGCATGGCGGGGTGCGAGCGCAGGAGGATGATCTTGGCGAGGTGGAGCAGTGTCCATATGACGCTTATATCGTAGCTGCGGTGGACGAGGGCGGGGCCGAAGGGCGTCATTGTGCTTGTTTGGCCGGGCGGGATGACTTGGAGTTCAGCGGGCAGCGGGGCGAAGGAGTCGGTGCTGGATAGCACCTGAGCGACGATTGCGTGGGCTGCATTGATGCTGTCCCATTCCCTGATTGCGCCCTCGTATGCGGATGGCAGATCTGAGTACTCTGGCAGTGGCGCGTGAGAGACTGGAGGAGAGCGCTCGTAATCGGGGTTTGCATAGTGGCTCGTGATCGGTGCGTGTGGTCGAGCGGGAGCCATGCCAAAGAAATTCGGCATTGCTGGTGGTGGGCCAGTGGGAGGGCTCTCTCTTGGTGTTGGCGGGCCGCTTTGAGGTGGCCCGAACCCAGGCGGTGGTGGGCCCGTCCATCCTGGTGGAGGGCCTCCCGGAGACATTCCTTGCATGTGAGGAGGGGGCCCCGCACCAGGTGTTGGTGGCTGGCTCCTACTCATGCCCGCTGGCGGCCCGCCAGGCATCCCAGGTCTCGGTCTCCATTGTCCTCCATCAGCCTTGACCTGTCTTAGCTTCCGGTCTCGATCGCGGCACGTGAAGTCTGCTATACGGCCAATGAGCAAGACGATATGGTCGTGGGAGCCGTACAATGCATCTGCGCGGCCGAGTGGGGCCCGGGGTGGACAGTCCGACCACTTTCGATATGGCGTTCTGCTGAGGTTAGAACTGAAAGGGAGGGAGTCAGGTGACATACATAAGAGGGTTACCGCTCACGCAGCTTTGCCACATGTCGTGACGGCAGTACCACCAGTACAGATCCTGAAGTGTCTCGTAGCTCCTCAGGTCGAGGTTGCTGATCGGACGTGCGTTGTTATCCTGCCTTGCTCCGTTATCCTCGAAGATCATGCCGAAATCATCATAATCAACTTGTTTGCCAACAATTGTACTGACGAGACTCTCATTTGGCTTGAGGTCCCTCTCTCGAAGGTTCTCGTCGAATTGCCGCTGGTCGATAATCATTCCGGGATTCTGGTAAGGAAACTGCCTTTCCTCTGCCATTTGAGCGGCTCTCAAGCGTCGAGCTTCGCGTGTCAACGAGCGAAAGTCGAGCTCTGTCAGCAACTGTGCCGCGCCCACAAGGTGCGTTGACCATTTAGTGTGCTCAGCCGTCCAGACCTCGTAGAAAGCAAGGAGCAGAGCTGTTGCGAGAGTGGGTATCGACAGACGTCTCTTTGGGTGATTGAGCAGCCTGCCCAGGCGCTTGAGAGAATATGCGTAGTGCTTGTACGAAGGTGTGATGGATGCACCTTGTAGTCTTGCAATGTGCAGACTTGACAGCGCAAGCATAGCGTGCAGCAAGCTTTGATTCTTGAGCGCTTTGAGTGGTAGTAGGTATGTCCACAGTCCTTGTTGCGCAGGCGATGTGGAGCCTTCGAAGATCAACGAAGAGTTTCTGGGGTTTCTCTCGAAGATGGAGATACTGACGGCAGTCTAGACTTTGTGATTAGCCAGCATCCTACACAGAACAAAACCCTGTCGCAACACTATGTGCAGGGTATGCTGGACGAGAGTCTTGGCATCGTACTCACCACGTGAATGAAGTGAGCGAAGACTCTAGCCGTCTTGGGGTTCCTCAGCGGACTTGCTGCATACTCCGGCTTGTATCGCGTCAAGAACCCGTCATACAAGAATGCGTCATAGCGTCTGACGCCAAGCTCGCTGGAGTTCTCGAAGTGTATGCGACGAATGGTCTCAAACTCTTTACTCGCCACCATCATATTCTCTCCGTCATCGCGGTCGACCATTTCGTCGTCGGACTGCACGTCCCAGTAATCGTCGTCTTCGTATTCGACCGCGGCCTCGTCGAGGACCTGCGAAGGGCTGACGTGGTCGTCGCCAGCAAATCCGCTGAGATGCAATTGAGGCTCGAACTGCAACTCGAGATCGGTCGTAGATTGTTCTAGGGTGACATCCATCAGCTATCCGTACACGACGTGACCCTTTAAGGGTCTACCACTTATAGATATGATGCGCCAAATGGCAGACACGATGACATCTTTATTAAGAAGCACTGAAGAAGTAATGATAGTCATTGGGGTATATGAAGGTATGTAACTAGACATGAGACATACCGAGAACTGGTTGAGGTAAGTACTTTACATCCGACATCAAATCATGAGAGGGTATCTGGACAGATAGATAGCTAGAATGTGTGAAATCTGCGTGTGAAACTGGGGCAAAAGCATAGCCAGCTTGGCTCACGCCAATGGGACTGAGCTGAGGGAGCTGGCTTGCAATATGGGAGTGGCTGTTATACCGCGGCATAACAGGTCGTTGTGCAAACTGAGGGAAGGTGTCATCGCGCGGCGATATATTTGACTGTTGGACATGTGAACCATAGTCATCGCTTTGCGTTGGCGAAGGATACTGCTGCTGGTAGATCGATTGACTGGGCAGGGCTTGCGATGTAGCCAGCTTTGCATCGACAAAGCCATCAAACGTGACCGGCGTTTGTTGATAAAGACCTTGGTTCTGCGTATATCGTTGGTCAGAGAACGCTGTGTTCTGAACATGGCTATATGTAGTCTGAAACGGGGCATGTATTGGCGACTGTTGCGGAAAGTAGGATGTAGTCGGGGTAGGGTTCTGCATCAGGTGATGTGGCGACTGGAGCGGTTGCTGGTGGTGTGGGGATTGAAGAGGTTGCTGGTGATGTGGGGATTGGAGAGGCTGCTGGTGATGTGGCGATGGAAGCGGCTGTTGGAAGGTTTGCTCGGGAGAGTAGTTGGGCAGTGCCGCCAGTCTTTGTGAGGGAGTGGGCATTCCCATGGTGTTTCCACCCTCCATGTTTGAGAGATCAAAACTGCCTGACGGACGAGGCTGAAGAGGAGCAGGCGCATGTTCTTGTGCTTGGCCAGCCGCCTGGGGCGCTCGGAACTGCGGATTTCGTGTGCCCGGAAGCATTGATGTGTGGTATTGGATGGTGCTGACCACACCTGGGTGATTCGGCCAGTCTCCAATGGGAGGTTTGAAGACTACTCGCTGGTTGTAGCCCTCGCATTGCCGCTTGGATTTGATGCAGTTGGCACATGTTGGGCGCTCTTCACCGCACTTGATGCGGCGTTTTCGACAGGTCAAGCAACCAGTCTTGGTCCTCTTGCGCATCTTGGTAGTGGCTGTCGCGCCTGGGCCGTTGTCGGTCGGTGAAACGTCACCAGCGCCGCCCGGTGGTGACTTGGACCGGGCGTTCGCCATGGTAGGACGATGTAGTATGTGATGGTATGGGTGGGGAGTGCAGGTGAGCGTACGATGTCAAGATGTTACAGTCGTCTAGAGGGGAAAGGTAGAGGATGTACTCGGGGAACGCCTGGTCTTGAAGGCCACACTAAGCACTGTCGGCGGACAGATGACTGCCCGCTTGGATGCGGGCACGGCAGCGCCAAGTTAAGGAATAGATCCAGTCTGTGGCGTCGGTAGTCGGTGAATACCGCGGGGCCCAAACGGGTACCAAAGGTGATGGCCGTCCTTTGACGTGAGTAATAGGCTGACGGGGGTCGGTTCTAACTGGATGGCGTGAAGAGCTGCTGCAGGGCAGGAGCGAGACGACACAAAGTTAATAGCCCAAGCCACCGGGATCTATGTGGAGAAATGGGTTTTGGTTTGGGTTATACTGGATAAGGAAAGCACGCACCAGGTGTCAAACGCCTCTGAGGCGTCGAAATGAGCAAGCGGCAAGCCGTCGGTTGGAGATGGGACAGAAGGCTGTAGGTACGTGAGTTGTCGGCACACCCAGAGGGTCCAGCAGTCACGGTGCTGTGAACGGGCTGGCCCAGATGAGATTTATGCTGGTCCGGGGCGAGCCGAGGTCAATCTGTTCGAATCAAGGTGGTTAATTGGTCTCTGCTGCAATTGCTGCGGAGTCGGACACGGACAAGAGCAGTGAGTCGGTGGATCGCAGAGGAAGCATGTTTCTGCTCGGCAGCGGTAGTGCGAAGTGCGATCGAGCTGCAGGCGACCAGGGTGGTAGATGGCTTGCGCTAGGGCCGTGGAGGGCACACCGCAGTGACCGCACCCAGGAACCGCACCGGCGCAGCTTGGAGACGGCGGCTGTGGTCTGTGTGAGCGACCCAGGGATCATGGATCTCTGGGCGGCAGGCTAAGGAGAGGGGTACGTTGTATGGCGTTCAGGCGCTGACGGATGGGTTCACCCACCCAGAATAGCAGCACACACCTGCGAGCGTTTGCTGCCGTTGTTGAGCCGTGTGTTGAGTGACCGCGCTGTGGAGCTGCAGCGGTCACACTCTGCTTGCTGCCGGCTTCGGAACACTCGACTCGCGCAGCGCCGAGGTCCTCATCGTCGACAATTACTCAGGTCGAAGACGAGGGCCCTTCAGCCTGAGTAATTGTCCGCGTGCGGTCACCGGTTAGCCGTCTGGCAGCGGACAGCGGTAGCCGGAGCGTCGCCCTCACTGTTTGCGCACGTCTGGCAGCGCTGCAGGCTGCACGAGTTTAGTGGAACGTGGGTTGCCGGCCAGCTGGCGTGCCTGGGGTTGCGCCAACGTTCGCCCCAGCGTGACAACTTGTTGGCAACCCTCATGGCAGCGTCGAAGCAGACCTCAGTCCAGAACTGGTCTGGATCGATGGAGCTGAACCTGCCACTCTCGGCCTGCAGCGCTCTGGCACCTTCAATGGCAATCCCCTGCGACCACAGTCTACCTAATCGAATCATGTATGCGCCCATGAAGCTGCATCTGATACTGCAGTGACTAATCTGGAGCCACCCCGAGGCGGGACTGGCGTGGGAGACGATGGCGTTGTCTCACGGTTGGCTGCGTCGGCCGTTCAACCTTGCCGCCAACACCCCAGCTCGGTGCACTACTCGCCCGTGAAAGATATCCACGGTATCTGTGCTGATGACACTGTTCGTCACCGGTCTATCATCAAAGACAGCAGGTCGCGCTGGTGGCGCTGCCGTCGCAAGCTGAAGCTTAGGGTGCAAGACCCTTTGCCAGCCGTGTGGTCGGTCTATGGTCCCGCGTCCATTCCCGCTTACGCGCATCCTGCCATGATTTGCACCTGGGTCATGGGCAGATCCGAGGATTGGGACGTCGGATTGTGATAGGTATGACATGTTCAAACACATAAAAGAAGCTCGCCGAGGGCTGACACTCCCCTGGAACCTGCAGCGGAATGCATGTCGGTGCGGCTTGTTGCTCTTCCTGTCAGACACTTCATGCAACTCCAGCACGACAATACGTCGACAAGGCAGCAAGGCAGCAAGCGTTGATGATCATCCGGGAAATTAGTCCCGACGTGCCCCCCATCTCGATGACCAAAGGGCGTGGACGTCTATATCGAGCGTTTCGCATTGAACACGAACGATCTGCTTCACCAATAACGGAGTTGCGACCACTTTCATCTTACCGCAAGGCGAGCCGCCATGCACCTAGACATCAGTACGTCTGTGAATCATTCTCTGCTGTACAAGTGGCATGATCAGCATACCTATCAACAGTGCTCCCAGTTCTCGTCGGTTTGACTACTAACAGTCTTGACCGGTACTGCTAGTTTGTCTCCACATCTGAGGTCGCCGTGCTGTTGTCCGTGCATTATCGTACGGCGGCTAAAGTACTGTACTGTAGAAGGACATTGACGCACATCTTACAGCAAAGTTCGATGACATAGCGTCATTCGTGGGTTATCAGCCTCACAGACGTGGTTAGGCCTTCCGCCGGTACCCAACAGTGTCGGTACATCGCAATGTTCCGGTCTCACGATGCTGCGTCTAACTGGTGGCGCCTGTACCTTCGGCTCCCTAGCTGGAACGCGCAAGTCGGTATCCGTCCACGTATCCAATCTCTCGGTAGCATTCATGCGCGGACGTCAGTTGCAAGAGTCAAAACTCGACCCCAAATCAAAGACAGTCAAACGTCAAGAAATGAGCATGCAATGTGCCCGAAACCACTCTAGATGGTCTCGATCACGGTCGGAATGCTGTCACAAGATTGCACATGCACGGGCAGTTCCGAAAAGCAATACGCAGATTTCACGAAGCTTGCATCCTTCCCTCTGCTGTGGTCATAGCAGACCGGGGTCATCGACTCCAGAGCTGTGGCTTCCACGAGCGACGGCCTGCACTGTGCATCTGGTGGACGGCGACGCGCGAGCGAAACCATTACCCAAACCGGCATAAATAAGCGAATGTGCACTGGCCATCGAAGGCTTGACTTCGAGGGGCGCTAATTCAAGATCCACATCTGCAGTGCCAAGAATTTCTGATAGTATGGGCCTTTCACGTGGCGCCTAACCATTTCTGTCAGGGAATGCGAACGGCACGTGCAGTCATTGCGAGCATGAAATGGGGGTCAAACATGTCGGCCTACTTTCTAGCCCAGTGGAAGCAGAATCAACTGCGCAGGCTGTTCTGAAGGCAGAGAGAGTGACGTTGCGTAGTGCGCAGTGTCAAATCCCAAGGGCCCGAGATGGGGGAAGCCACTATATCAACCATCTGGCTGCATTCGCTTACCCACGTCCTAAAACGAGTCTGACTTCCGCCTGCACGTAATACCACTGGCCCAGGAGCCGCTTGTGTTGGGTGTCTCGCTACTCCGTGACTGTGGTCCAATCAGTAGCGTACATGGTTGGATCTCACAACAAAGAGCCCTATTAATTGGCGCTCAGGGCCCTCACAACTCAAGGCTTCGAGACACTTGGTTCTCACAGCACCGGGGCTGAGGGCAGATACCCAAGAAGGCTTGACGTGAGAGCTTGGTTGCTCGCCGCCATGCAATACAACGTTCAGACCATTTCCCAAATCTAGCCCACAGTCACTGGCTGCATGCGTCCGGCAAACGTCTGAACTTAGCCCTTTGAGTGCACGGAGGATTCCGTGAGCTCTGGATCAATACTCACTGACCAAACCACGATCCTCGCCACCGTTTTCGTTAGCTGAGCTCAAACGTCGAAAGCACCTCGATCCGCGCCAGGATACCGTATCTTACATGAATCACAGCCCTACGCATCGGCCCACAGTCCCACAAGATCTGCTTCCGGAAGTACTACGGCAAGGTAGCATCATGACTAGGGTGCGACTCCTGCTGGGTCAGTAGTTCGCCAGACACCCTCGCTTTGCGCTGTCAAATCTCCCCAGGATCTGGAGTCGGATCCCAACGGTTCGGACCGGCTGTTCAAGTCCGCGGAAGACTGACAATCAAGCGAAATTCTCGCTCACCCTTGTGCTCGTGTATCGCAACTCTCCTCCGGCGTTGACAGACTGGAGGGCACGGTCGCCTGCAGTTATCACTCACCTGATCTAGATAGTTCCGAGCGTCTTGAACCAGCTCTTGCCCAGATAATTGCCAGCTGCACACTAAACATCCATGCAACACATCGTCGATGAATAGTCGGGTACAGTATCAAGTCTGCAGACCTTCACAATTTTGATCAGCCCACCCCACAACCTCCGCCCTTCTAGTGCCTCTGCAAGACACAGTTGGCCCAAATGTCACTGCTCGAAATTCTAGATCTCAACAAACTTTGAACATGCAAGCTCTCCGCCTGAATCGCGATCCGCGCTACGCGTGCTGCACGATCAGATGGTCAACTGCATGCTCCGCCCATATGGACACTAACACCGGTTGTCAACGCATGTCCCCTCTTCCCGTAGTTCCGATTCGCCTCGGGCCTCTCCATCTTCTTCGTAGCGGGGGGGTGTTGGCCCGGATTACACTTCCAAGCACATCTTTGTGCGAAGCTTGGCACAGATGAGCCCAGCTATTTGACTTGGGCCGAGAAGTCGGCCGTGATTCGCAACAAGGGCAATGAACGTTGTGAACATGAACTTCATATGATGAACTACAGTGATGTTACAAGTTGTCGTTGCATGCACTGTGTCGGTAACAAAAAAAAAGTGCATACATAGAATGCATAATCTTATGAGGTGTCAGTACATGTTTGTTTTTGATTCGAGCCTCGAGATTTTCAGGAGAGATGCAATACGATTCGTTGGAAAAACGGGGGGTTCATCTAGAAAAGCATTCACAAACTCAACGTCAATCCAACATTGATTGATGCCGTGGACAGGGGCTATTCAATGCACCTGCTGCAGGCTCCCTTTCGATCAACGGCAAGTACGATACGGTGATTCAGAAAGCATGAGCATGGTCAATAACGATCAGAGTTGACTACAAACAAGTATTCAACGGCGAACAGACTAGTAGATTGGTCTGATCGCCAATGAATATCTGTCGCTGCCAACTTTTAAAGACGAATGATGGCAACAGGTTATTCATTCCATACCACAATAGATCTATTAATTTTGTGAACAACCGCTTTCGTCCACGAAGAAAATTATTGACTCGAGACATGGCCCAACTGGTACAGACCATGCTCAATCAACTTGACCCACGTAGCTACTCCACCTGCTTCTCATGTCTCCTCTGATCAGCACTGATGTAATACACACCCCGTCTCACCTGAATCAGTGGGTCCTGACTCGCAGCGATACCAGCAATGCCACCACGATCTGGCGTCGGACTGAACGCAATCTGCTGCTGCTTCGCCACGTTATCGTCGCTTACTTTGTTGATCACCAGCTTGCCAACCGGCACGAACGTTGTGCTCTTGTACGGCACAGTGGCGTCGTCGAGCACATCGTCGTCGTTGGCGATATGTGCTTGGATGGTGAAGACGATAGGCTTCGCCGGGAAGCGGGTCTCGAGGTCCTCTTCGAGATAGCTCTGGTCGAGCTTCTTCAACTGCGCAGGGTCGTTGGGGTACAGGTGCTCGCCGTCTGCGGGGTCGAGGCGGTAGCGGACGTTTGTGACTTTGCCGTCTGCGTTGGTTAAGACGTGTGTGTTGGGCTCCCAGTATGTGATGGTGCCATAGTTGAGCGGGTTGGGCTTGGGCGAGCCGACGAAGACTGCTGCTGAAGGGTGGGTGCCGAGGAAGGCCTGGAATTGACCTGCTGCTGCTTTGAAGTCTGCTGTCTCTTTGGTGGTGTCGCCTCCCCCAGCTTTGGCCTTGTCCAGTGCCGCCTTCGCGGTCTGAAACGCACGGAAGACTTTGAGAAAGGCGAGGAAGTCTTCCCCTGTGCGGGTTGCAAAACCATTGAATGTGTGGCTGACCAGGTCTGTGTGTGTGTTCTCATCAATCAGGAAGCGAATAGCAAGTCCTTTCGGTGTAGCACCATCGTCTGCGTCGGGGATGTGGGGGATACCACCGCCTACCGAGAAGCGGGCTATGATAGGGGTGTCGGCCTTGTTGAAATGAGCAGCTACTGACAGGGTCTTGGCTTGCTCAGTAGGTGTGAATATGCCTTCTACAAGAAGACCTTTGGCATGCGCTTGAACCGATTAGCATCATCCAGCCTCGGATATGGAGATCTCTTACTCGTCCTGTATCCTGTGTGCTTTCCGAAAAGCCTCTGCATCTCATCAACCAACTCCTTGGGCGGTGCCTCGCTTTGGCCCGCTGCTCCATTGGCGGAACCGTTTGTGGGAGTATTGATGTGTCCCGGCATTGTGAGCAAAGGGTGTATTAGCAGGTTTTAATGAGTGATCTAGGATGTATGTCCAAAGACCATGAAGGATATATATATTAGAAAAGCACAACAGTACAGCAAGCTCACGTAATTGGACACTGTCATCCTAGGTCCAATTAAATGAACTGAGTTGGCAACCTGAGCTCGTGGCCCCTTCTAGCGATCGTAGCCAGAGCGCTGGAATGCACAGGGTTGCAAACGCAGAGGGCTGTGATGGCATTGACCGACATAGGAAACCAATCCGTGATCCATACAGCGGACCACGGTTGTCGTGACACCTTGGATGCTGAAAACAGTGCATTGGGTACGCATGCCTTCGCCTTGTTTGCGGTGAACGACAGGTTTGGCGGTGTACGGGGCTATGCAAATCTATCGGTACAGCCAATGGTTGGCTTTGTGACCGCTGTGCTGCTGACACTCAGGCTTAGCATGTTTGGAGCGTCGAGGATGTCAGAGCTGAGGCGTTCATCAGCCTGGAGTTGCCCGTTGCGGGCCGTTTCCCCTCCGCTTGCCCCGCAACGGACTCGCATGTGCCTGCGGCCAGCCACGAGCAACAACTTGAACAACGACACAACACACGGGAGACCCCGCTGTATCAGCTGTAGCTTTGCTTCGCTTGATGGTGTGTATGCTGAAAACAGCTTGCAACCACACATTTGCGCGGGCACGCCGTGTCAGCAGCCAGCCACCACCGGGCACCTTTTCATTGTTCTTGAACGCCGGGTGCCGCTTCAGCCTTCTGTCAGCTCGTCCACCAGGAGGGATTCGTAGCGCTGGAGGTATCTACCACACCGACAGAGCCTACGACCCTCCAATCACAACATCGTATCATTCTCCGTCAGCAGCCATAACACACCTCTGAAAGGATAGTGTAGGTGTTCCCTGCAAACGGACTGTGCCTCTGATCAGGGCCACACCCAGTCGGCGCCTTCCCTTGAATGCTTACAGTAAGCATGCTATATCGGGCTCGAAGTTACCATCAACCGGGTAGTATTTGTGCGCAGCAACATAGATGACAAACAAGCAGGGCGCATGTGCTTGAGACGAAAGGAAGCATACCATGCAAACGGCTGCAGTGCCGACGGAGGAGTGTAAGAAGGACATTGCTTTAGAGGGGCTCAGCCAACCAAGTACGATTCTCAGTCCCAATTCGCTTATTGCTTTCCAAGACCAAGAGTCACATCTCAGCTCGTGTGTGTTTGGCAAGTATCAGGTCACGAATTCTGGCAGTCCTTGGTTCGCATGAACTTTGCATGTGGTGGCGGAGCGGCGCGTCCCACCGCAACTGGAATGAGGCCTCCTCACCGACTGCGAGCGGCCACGGGCAAGCCGAGGGCTACATACACACAATCTATTTCCTAAGTTAGGCAGCACATCACTGTCAGAGTCATATATATTGCATTGAACGAGCAGAGAATACCCGAGTACAAGGTTTCATCTTCGAACATCTTGCTCATTACTCTACCTTACTCTTCAATCACCAAGTATTATCATTTCCCGTTATGTCTGTCTTCGCTCAGTCTCTAAGCAATGGCTTTGGTCCCTTGCCGAGACTAGGGGACATTCTGGGAAGAGATATCGTGCACGATATCGAGGACGATGACCTGAATGTGTGGGACAAAGGCATCTTCATCAACGAACTCCTAAAACAAGGAATCGCCCTTCGAACCGGCGACAATGGCGAGGTTGGTAGCAGACTTGCTGCGAGGAGGGGCCTTGCACAGGGAACTTATAGAGGAACACGGATGGCCTTGACGGAACTCTACAGCTTGATCGAAGAAGCGTATGGCCCTCACATCGTATTGTAAGAGACTTACTAACTTGTTACTAGAGCTGTTTCCCACTTCGATGTCCATGGCTTCGAGCCTATCCTCCCCATAAAGCGAGAACTCAGTCAGAAGCGGGATACCTATAAATGGAGCAATCCTGCCGAGGACAACTACCCTCCTCATCTCCTCACGGTCCCTGCGGATCAGGCCAACGGAGCTCCAGGTGTTGGCAACATCTTCAACCTACAGTCGCTGGGGTTCGTGACTCTCATCGCTCAAGCGGTGGGCTTTATCATCCCAGAAGACATTGAAAAGACGGGCACTCCGTTTGCGGGTCCCACTCTTGCAGACTGCGAGAAGTACAACCAGGAGCATCCAGGCGCAAAGACTGACATCATGAATGGCGAGAACTTCGGCAACTTGCCTGATTGGTACTCAGATGCTCGCTTTGCTCAGCAACACTTCAGTGGAGTCAATCCTTCAACGATCGAGAAGATCAAGCCCGATTTAGTGAGTGCATTTGTTGCGGAGGCCGACAAACAGAAGCTCGCGGGTGTGAGCAAGATACTCTCGGAGAACCAAGACCTGTTTGTCCAGGACTACTCGTACTTTCGCCGAGCTACTGGTGTAAGCAATGAGGAGGATTTCCAAAATGCTGTGCCAGAACTGGTCGGTGGAAAACCGACGGGCAAAGTAGAATTTCGATTTGGCTGTGCTCCCATTGTGGTTTTCCAGCTTCACAACGACGGACGTCTGCACCCACTGGCCATCACGATTGACTTCAAGGGTAGCCTCGATAAGTCAGTCACTATCTTCAATCGCCGTCTGACACCCCAGGACAGCAATGTTGATGAGAAGAACGATTGGGCCTGGAGGTATGCCAAAACCTGCGCCCAGACTGCCGACTGGGCAAGGCACGAAGTAGCAACGCACCTTGTCGACACACACTTGGTCGAAGAAGCGATCATAGTGGCGACCAACCGCACAATTCCTGAGGACCACATTCTGTACGAGACCCTCAGCCCTCACTGGTTCAGAACCCTTGCATTGAACAAAGCTGCTCGCGATGTCCTGGTTCCAGCTGTGATCGCTCGACTTGCTGGCTTCGGACCATCCATCGACCCCAAGACAAGCCGCGCAGTCAAATTCGTCGACTGGTCCTACCAAAACTTCGACTTCCAAGCAAAATACATCCCCGCCGACCTGAAGAAGCGCGGCTTCAACGTCGAGCAGCTGACGACAGAGAAGTACCGCAACTACCCCTACGCCACCGACATGTTCCTCCTGTGGGGCGTGATCCGCGACTTCGTCAAGTCCGTGCTGGGCACCAAGTACAAATCCGACAGCGACGTCCAGCGCGACCCGTACATCGCCGACTGGTGCCGGGAGATCCAAACCGCCGGCCAGCTGCCCAGCTTCCCGACCATCACCACGCTGGAGCAGCTGCTCGACGCAGCCACGATGTGCATCCACACGGCGTCGCCGCAGCACACGGCCGTCAACTACCTGCAGGACTACTACTACAGCTTCGTCGCCGCGAAGCCGGCTGCGCTATGCACCCCGCTGCCCAAAGACCTCGCGTCGCTGCAGTCCTACACCGAGGCCCAGCTCACGGCCGCCCTGCCCATCGGCCCCGACGGCGCCAAGTGGAAGGACTGGCTGCTCGCGGCGCAGCTGCCCGAGCTGCTGAGCTACAAGGTCGAGAAGGAGTACAACCTGCTCACGTACGCCAAGTCGCTGTACAATGTGAACAAGGGCCGCACCAACTTCGAGAACAAGCAGTGGGACTCCAAGACGATCAAGGAGGCGGCGGCGCGGCTGTACAGTCGGCTGATTGAGCTGGATGGCGTGTTCAAGCATGTCAGTGATAGGCAGACGGAGGGCACGGTCGAGTATAAGGTGTTGCAGCCCGAGGTGACGGCGGTGTCGATTCTGATCTGAGCATTTCACGAAAATGAATCGTAAACGGAGATAGACACTCACTATTATAAAAGTCTGAGCCTAATGACACACGTTCTCTCGAAGATCTACTATGCTGCGCGCCGCTTAACACTTTTAGAGCCCCTGACCCATCTTCATTGCAGCCAAGAAGCCGCAGGACTGCACCTAAATCACTCCGTTCAAGCATACACCCCCCGAAAAGAAAAGACCTAACAAGACCATTAACTCCTGTACCTACCGCTACAGCTTCCCAAGTAGCCAGTCAAACTTACACGAGCGCAGCACGTTCACCATGTTCAAAAAACAGCCACCTTCCCCACACCCACGAATCATCCACCACCACCACAGCACATTGAAACCGCAAAAAGAAATGCTTCCGTCACGGGGAATCGAACCCCGGCCACATCGGCGCTTGCTATGAGAGCGATGTATCCTAGCCACTTGTGGATGTTAGTTGGTGTTGGTTGTGAAGGAGTAGTGGTGAAGCTTACCTAGACCATAACGGATTTGATGGAAGTTTTGTCAGTTAGCATTTAAATAAATGTGACAAAAACTGGGGAATCGTAAGGTTTGATAAGAGTGTGTTCTGTACTGCTGGGTGTGGTGGGTGGTGGTTGGTGGTGCGGGCGACTGAGTCGTGTAGCGAAGCGGGGACTTGAAATTTTTGGGACGCTATATCGTTGCTAGGGTTCTCGTGAACATAGCGCGCTTGAAGAAGAGTGACAGCAAAGCGACAGAGTAGTAAAACGCCTGTGGAGGCTGTCGCAGAGCTCGACTTGTCTGCTCGCTTTCACATGGTCGGTGGTTGCCAGCTCTGCTCAGAAGAGTTGATGACAGCTCGTGCTTAAGCGGTTGTCTGATATGCATGGCTTTCTGTATATCCGTTCTAGCAGTGCATCCTATCGTGCCAACTTGATCTCCCTAGCATTGCTTCGGTGTACAATCTTTACTTCATGGGAGACACTAGCACAACATACAGTTATTCCGACCCTCAGCAACAATGCTACACGGGACGCGGGCACTACAGATAGGGAGCTTTCATGTACGTTTGTGCATGTACATTGATGGATATATAACTCTATACATTCCTTCCTCCTATTTTCACCGAATTTCTGGTGTAGCTGTGACCTGGCCTTATTTCCGAGGGCTGCATGTCACCGCACGATGCCAACGTGTACCACGAAGCCGCTATTCTCCCTGAGGTCAGCGGTCAGATACCGGTCGGGGAGCTGCCACGTGTGAAACAAACGGTCGAAGCTCTTGATCCACAGTTCGAACACGTCAGGCGAGCGCAGTTGCTGCGCTACAATGCACAGCGTCGGGGTATCGGCGTCGGTGTTGAGCTTGCATATCGATGCGCAGGTTGTGTTCAGAGGCTCAACAAGGGCCTCGTTGTAGATACAGTCGCAAGCCACGATGAGATTGACGGGCTGCAGATGGTCGACCGAGTCTTCTTCCCAGTCTAGGATCTCAGTTGTGATGCGGTCACTATGCGGAGTTGAAGGCTGCGGCTTCCGCCTGCTCTTGCCTCCTTTCTTGGCGGCAGGAAAGAAGGCTTCAAGATTTGAGCTGATGTTCTGGCGCAGCAACTTCATGGCGTAATCCTGGTCTGTCGCAATGAGCTTTGCTATCTTTGCACCGAGCGTAAGCGCCACAATGCCGGAGATGCCTGACCCGAGTTCGATGCATGTTGAACTCGATGACAGCAATCCCGAAGTGAAGAAAATGTTGGTGGGCGAGGCAATCCACTCGGCAAAGCGAGGTGTGACAGCCCAAACTACTGCACGAGTGTCAGTGACCTACCTCAAGACGATGACCACTCAGGTCGAGCCAGGACCATCCCAAACGAGAGCAGTACCCGAACGATGTACCAAGCCAGCCAAGGCTGTGGGAGTCTGGGGCATTATTGTGGCTTTGCGCATTCACGTACCTGCACCCGTAGTCCCCGCCTTGCGATCGCTCGTCAGCAGGCCTCTGCTCTGCTGGATGATCAGATCGGTTCCGGCAACGCTGAGCTCGAGCGCCTCGGCATGCGCGTCGATGATGCCTAAGTTCCTAGAAGGGATCTCTTGCGAGAAGATGACAAAAGCCTCTGCGACACCATAAGCCTTCGATGCCCGGTCCGCGAATCGCACAGCTGAGGCGATGCGGTCTGCCGAGGACTACGGACCTTCATCAGGGTCAGTGATGGGCGCGGTGTCCAAGATTGCGGAGAGGTCCATGGCGCAGCGAGGTGCAGACGGGCTTGGCGAATCAGACGGAGGGCCTAGGCGGCTGGAGTCCGAGGCTGGCAGCGTAGAAGCGAAATGTTGAAGGCACTGTGCTTGGGGTCGCGGAGGTGCTTGGCCCTGGTCACGCGTCGCTCTCCGCTGGTGCTGGCACAGATGCGACTGATGCGAGGCGCCGTGGCAATTGCACTGTGCAAGTATATAGACGCGACCAGCGTCGCAGCGGCCGTGTGGAGCTCTCCCACTTGTTCCCTTCCCACAGTCCAGGCGCGTCACTGGTCACTGCGTCATTGCGCTTTCGCTTGGCAGCAACAGCTCAAGCACTCGCCAACAACGTTTCGAGACGGCCGCCTCAGCGCTCCTGCCCTCTTCGCTACATCCGCTGCTCTCCGCTGGCGACACGTATATCCCCGTGCAGCTGCTCCTTCCTTGTGTTCTTCTTCCTGCTTGCCGTGATACCCCCCGCTCTGCATCTGCACCTGCACCAGAGCGCCCAACACTTTCCTCCCGCCGCACCACAGACCACGTCTGCCGCCATGGCGAACCAGAACCTCAAGAAGCTTGCGCCGCAGGCACAGGCGTCGCGCGCCGGGCCGTACACATGCGAGGTGCCCGGCGTCCAGAAGATCGACGGCGAGACGATACCGCGCCGCAACAATGTGGCCAAGGACGGCCTCGTCCTGACTCCCCAGGAGGGCATCAACACGCTGTACGATGTGCTGCGCTACTCGGCTGCCAAGTTTGGCAACGCAAAGGCCGTCGGCGCGCGCAAGATCGTCAACATCCACGAGGAGACGAAGAAGGTGAAGAAAATGGTCGACGGCCAGGAGACGGAGGTCGACAAGAAGTGGCAGTACTTCGAGCTCAGCCCCTACTCCTACAAGAGCTTCATCGAGTTCGAGCAGATGGCCCTGACCGTTGGCTCGGCCCTCGCCCACCTGGGCTACAAGCCCAGCGACCGCATGCACCTGTTCGCCGCCACGAGCATGCAGTGGATGGCCTCCGCCCACGGCGCCCTGTCCCAGTCCATGGCCATTGTCACCGCATACGACACCCTCGGCGAGGAGGGCCTCACCCACAGCATGCAGCAGACCCACGCCAAGGTCATGTTCACCGACCCGGAGCTGCTGCCCCGCCTCGTCAACCCCTTCAACAAGACCAAGGATGTCACTGTCGTCGTCTACAGCACCAAGAACGACGCCAAGCAGAAGGACATTGACGCCCTTACCAGCGCCCACCCCCACCTGAAGGTCCTCAGCTTCGACCAGTTCCTGAGTCTCGGTCACGACAACCCGGCCCAGCCCATCCCCCCGAAGGCTGACGATCTCGCATGCATCATGTACACCTCTGGCTCCACAGGTACCCCCAAGGGCGTCATGATCAAGCACAGCAACGTTGTTGCTGCCAGTAAGTCTTGCGTATCACTCTCCCTGAGCTCTGCTAACTCTCCCAGTTGCTGGTGTCGACGTCATTGTTGGCAAGTACCTTGGCCCTGGCGATGTCCTCATTACCTATCTCCCCGCGGCGCACATTCTCGAGTTTGTCTTCGAAAACGCTGTTCTGTACTGGGGTGGAACCATGGGCTACGGCACCATCCGTACCCTCTCCGACACCTCGGTGCGCAACTGCGCCGGTGATATCCGTGAGCTGAAGCCCACTGTCATGGTCGGTGTGCCCCAGGTCTGGGAAACCGTCAAGAAGGGCATCATCAGCAAGGTCGAGGCTGGCGGCGCCGTCAAGAGCAAGATGTTCTGGGGCGCCTTCGCCGCAAAGAGCTTCCTGCTCGGCGCCGGTCTTCCCGGCTCTGGCGTTCTCGATGCAATCGTGTTCAACAAGGTCAAGGAGGCCACAGGCGGCAAGCTGCGTATCTGCCTGAACGGTGGTGGTCCCATTGCAAAGGAGACCCAGCGCTTCATCTCCCTCGCCATCACTCCTATGATCTCCGGATACGGTCTCACCGAGACCTGCGCCATGGGTGCGCTCATGGACCCCCTCGCCTGGACAGACGCTGCGCTCGGCGAGATGCCCGCATGTGTCGAGATGAAGCTCGTCGACTTCGCCGACGCCGGCTACTTCTCCACCAACAAGCCCCCACAGGGCGAGATCTGGATCCGCGGCGGCGGTGTCGTCAGCGGCTACCTGGACATGCCCGAGGAGACAGCCGAGTCTTTTACCGAGGACGGCTGGTTCAAGACAGGCGACGTCGGCGAGTTCGATTCGCTCGGCCAGATCCGTATCATCGACCGCAAGAAGAACCTCGTCAAGACGCTCGCCGGTGAGTACATTGCCCTCGAGAAGCTCGAGTCGGTGTACCGCTCCGCCCCTATCGTGCAGAACATCTGCGTATACGCCGCCGAAGACCGCCAGAAGCCTGTTGCCATCATCGTCCCCGCTGAGCCCGCGCTCAAGAAGCTCGCTGCCGAGCAGGGCGTCAAGGGCGACCACCTGGAGGAGCTCGTCCACGACAAGAAGATCAACAGCGCTGTGCTCAAGCAGCTTCAGTCCGCAGGCCAGAAGGGTGGCCTTGCCGGCTTCGAGATGATCGAGGGCGTCGTGCTGGCCGATGAGGAGTGGACACCGCAGAACGTAAGTCGGCTCACACCCAGTTTTCAATCAACCATACTAACACCATTCCAGGGCCTCACCACCGCTGCGCAGAAGCTCAACCGCAAGGGTATCTTGAAGCAGTACGAGAAGGATGTCGACCGCGCGTACGGTCGCTCGTAGACGCGCACTCGCCGCGTCCCCTTCCCTCTTCCTCTTCCCTCACCCCCCTGCACCAATGAACCCCGGGGCTAATACGACATACGGAATGGTGGCTTGGAGTCTTTCACGATTACGATGGTTTGCGAGGCAGGATTGCAATGTACCCGTGTGTATTCTATATCATAGCTAGCTTTGCGACTCTCTGGGGTATATGTAGCGAATTTCTTCTCTAGTACTTAGTCGTGTCGTCGTGTAGCTGCTGTTTTGTGATGCGCCTGCGATTCGCACACGTCCTGTCCTGGGAGGGTTCACGGCTTGTGTGGCTGGTACCCACCCCATGCACGCCCCTTCCAGTCTCGCTCGGTGTACTGCTGTGTCGCGCACCAAGGAGCTTCTTCTGCACTGTACGAGCTCAGGGGCAGGTCGTATGGCATGCGTAAGCCGACAACGATGCGCTTCTTGGAGGGTGCATGTGCGGACACTTGAACCTTGTCTGAGTCCTTGCTTTGCCCCGACTCTGCGCACTGCGCTGGCTCGCTCTCGTCCTCTGTCTCATCGTCGTCTTGAACCGGCTCTGGTTCCTCGCTCACAGTCTCTTCGTCCTCGGTCTCCTCATCATCCTCATCTCCTACGACGTCCTCGCTGTCTCCACGCGGCAGCGGCTCCACAGAAACGTCTCCGGCGTCTGGCGTATCTTTCCCAAACACCGGCACCATGCTGACGTCGCACTCCGACTCGCCAACGGCAAACAACTCGGGCCAGACAAGGACACCCGTCTCGTAGCTTTGGATCCGCACCTCGCCCTGCTTGTTGACCACGTCGCCCCAGGCTTGCTTGCTGAGGTTTGCACTCGTGAGGAGCGCCCAGTCGATACGGCTGTGCGAATCGTCGCTGAAGCGGATGTACGTCTTGATGTGTGGCGCTGCCGGGCCGCGATGTGCTTCCTTGCTAGCTGTTGCTGAGGAAGTGCGGGCTGGCGTTGGACTCTTCCAGTGGCACAGGAGAGGGTGGAGGTATTGTAGTTGCTTTTGCTGCTGTGCGGATTGGATTTTCGTGTGTATGGAACCTCCAGACTCGTAGCCGTCGAGTGAGGTACGCACTTCTTCTGGTGTAGGGAAAATGATGTTGAACTTTGGCTTGGCTTGGGTCAAGCTCTTTTGCGATTTTGAGCGCGCGAGTACGCTTTGGAAATTCGAGAGCCATGTTTGTGCTGCTCCCAGTGTTGCGATAGATGATACTTGAAGCACAATATGTGCTGGCTTCTTCGGATGCCTGCGATCTTGGGTTGGCACGTTGCTTAAGATTTCCTGTAAACCTAGCCAGCCGAATGAAGTCTGCAACGAAGGTTCTGCCCTGCTCACGACCTGTCGGGATGGAACACTGCACAGGAAAGCTGCTCGAATCTCGGAAAAATCATACAAGGCTAGCTGGTCGATCAATCTTTGTAGGCGCTTCTCGTAGCTGAGTAGGTAGCGACGAAGATCGAGATAGAAACGATTGCCGCTACCGATAGCAGTGGGTTCCGCAGTCGGAGTAGGTGTTGATCTCAACGTTAGAAGAGGCGAACGCCATACTGCCTGCGTCATATTCGTCCAGTCTTGCGATATCATGTTGGCGGTATGAACAACAACTTGAGCGCAGTCGTCATGCCGAAAGAGTATGATCATTTTGGAATGGTGTGTACCAAAGGGGTCCGGTAGATATGCGTGCATGAGTTCCATGTTGGGATATCGTTCTGCTTTTTCCTACTCGTTTGTCAGTAAGTCATATTATAGCGAGCGGATTCATCGACTGGCTGTAGAGTAACGAAGGCTTACCAGGAGAGCAATTCTCCGCTCATCGTCTCGTCTCCAGAAGCCATGTATGATTTTGACCTTGATCGAGGCTCTGACGTCTTCATCGAACTGCTGCCTACATTATGCTCAGTACAGCCTCATAGCGTCTTATCTAGTGCTGAAGAAAATGTACTCACATCACGAAATCGATGTCAAATAGGAAATTGAAGTTCCAACACTCCCTAATCATAGGATCCCCAAGGATATCCTCAAGCCCTACTGTGTCAACATTCTGATGGGGCGCAAGATCGCGAATCCTGGTGAGCTGAAATGGCGATGCAATGACACCCGCCACATTTTCAACAGACTTGTCGCTCTCCTGCTCTTGTGCAGCTGGATTCGCAGCGACGCGAGTGCCCTGCTTCGACTGTGTTGGCGGCTGTGTTGGTGGAGATGTGGCTGTTTGCTTAGGTACGTCATCGAAGCTCCATGATGGCGTATGTACGAGTAACGAAGATGTAGCTGGGCTACGCCTTAAAGTAGGAGGACTGACAGGTCTCTTCAGGCTCGTCGATGTAGTGTCTGAGCCCTCGGCCTCACCTGCAGGTGCCTTGTCGAGCTTTCGCCGCTTCGCTGGTGGAACATCACTCCCGTGTGGTGGCGTCATTGTATGACTGATTTTCGAGCGCAATCTAGAGGAGCAGCGTGCAATGTATGGTGTGTTGGCAACACAATGGCAGACACTTGTTGCCCTTGCTCATGATGAATTTGCGCACGGACTGAGATGGTGGAAGAAGGCAGCAGCGAACACACTAAGTCACCAATAAGACATCGGAAAGAAGTTGGTCTCATAACAATTGTCATTGTTCGGTCTATGCCGACAGGCTTTTTGTGCCTTTACTCTTCTTTAGAGGTTGAAACTATACACCGTCTAAGTGTCAGAGCATCACACCTATGATGCTCTCTAGCGAACGCTGGGAAGTGAAATTACTATGCCCAAATGATACAATAAAAAAACCAACTCCGGATATCGCTTCGCTCAAATTGATATGCACACTCATCTATGCCGCGCTCGCGCTGACAGCAGGCTGGGCAACCTTTGTAACCTGATCGTTAGCCCTGACGATCGGGTTGCCGGAGGGGTCTTTGGCAAGGAGTCCGTCCTTCTCCATCTGAGAACGCTTCCAGATCTCAACCTCGCAACCACCACGGATGACACCGACACGCATGGTGGAGAGAAGGTTGTGGGCAGCGTTGGAGTGGAAGTAGACACCGCCGTTGAACATGGCGGTTGCGTCCTTGCCGATACCGCTCTTGATAAGAGTCTTGCCTCCAGGGTGCTCGTTGATGAAGTCGGTGACGTCATGGACAACACCGGCAACAGCAATGAGACCGCGACCGTTCTTAGCCTGCTCAACGTAGTCGTCCCACTCAATGACGGGCAGCTGTTCAAGAGGAACACCCCAGTCGAGCTTGGAGCGCTTCTGGTCAATCTTCTTCTGGAGCTGCTGGACACGACCCTTCTCGATTTCGTTGGAGCGGAACTGCTTCAGGTTGGACGCAAGGCCGAGCTTAGACCACAGCCAGATGGACCACTTGGTAGGGTCGTACTGGTGCCACTCGATAGCGTTGCGGTAGTCGGAGGGAAACTCGTGGTGGAAGTTGTGGTAACCCTCACCAAGAGTGACGAGAGCAGTGATGACGTGATCACGAGGAGAGTTGCGGTCATCGAAAGGCTGGTCGCCGAGCCAGTGGGCAAGCGAGTTGACGCAGAAGGTAGCCTGCTGGACGAAGAAGATGCGGAGGATACCAGCGTAGATGAAGCCACCCATCCAGTCGTTCCAGAGAAGACCGGAAACAGCGGAAGGGAAGATCAGGCCCATGAAGATGACGACCTTGATGTAGTGCTTGTGCTGCCAAACGACGACGGGGTCCTCGTTCAAGTCGGTGATGTCTGTGCGGCCGATGCGCTTGGGGTTCTGCTTCATGACCATCCAGCCGAGGTGGGAGTACAGAAGACCCTTGCGGACCGAGTAAGGGTCCTTGGCGGTGTCGGTGTAGCGGTGGTGAGCACGGTGGTCACGGCTCCACCAGCGGATGGATCCCTCAACGGCGCCACCGCCAACCAGGGCGAGGAAGACGGACAGGGGCAGGGAGGCGTTGTATGACTTGTGCGCCCAGAGGCGATGGTAACCAGCTGTGATACCGAGGCCGGTCCAGAAGTAGTAGATGACCGCCCAGAGAGCAGTCTGCCACTTCAACGGGGTCCAGAAAGCAGAAACGCAGCCGGCGATCGGGATACCGATGATGAATGTGACCTGGAGACAATGTTAGCAATCGCTCTAGGTGGCATTGGGTGTGGAGGGGAGCGTACATTGAGCCAATTGACGTGCTTGTACCAGTTGGCCTTGGTGATAGGCGTGTCGGTGATGTGAGGCTTCTTCGGGTCGTAGTTGGGGTTGCGGTTGGGCTCGCTGGTCGAAGCCATGGGCGACTTCTGGTCGACGAACTCAGGCTTGATGGCGAGATCGCCAGAGACAGCCTGGGAGGAGGGCATAGTAACGGTGCGAAGAGGGAGCGAGGATAGCGGTAGGTGTTGACGAGAGCGACCTCTCAAGGTGTAGGAGTTCTGTAACTCCGATCTATCTCCAGGAAGCACACAACGAAGGGCTCCACTAGCGAAAGTATACCACACTCAGGAAGAGGGGTCGGGTAGGTAAAGCAAGAGCAGGAGAGGATACGGAACGAGAGACACGGCAGGCACAGCCAGGTAATATAGCGAGAGCGGTGGAATGGAAGCACTGTCTGTTGAATCCCCAACACACTGCACGCTAAGCGAATAAACCGGGACCTGCAGCGCTCCACCAAAAACCCTTCGAGACCTGCCACGCCCGTAATTTTTGTCATCGGCGGTCTAGCGTGGTACGCCATTCGCTGACGAGGGTCCAGCACGGGCAAGCAGGCGCCGTGTGCCAGTAATGGAGCGAAAAGAATTTGTGCGAGCGGCGGATCATTACCGCTGGAAGAGCGCAGAAACACGCTGATCTCGGCGTCGCGATCGAAAGAGTGGCGGTGTCCGTGTGCTCGCAAGCCTGAACGGACACGGCTACGGTTCCCCAGATTCTGGAAGACTCCCTCCAGTTCGAAATTTGCCATCGGCAGCCTCACGGCACCACCACGGCAGAGACACCGTGTTTCAGGGCGCCCAGTCTGGCCGGTCTTCTCAAGATATTGTGTGCGCAGAACACACACACTCACAAAGAGCGGTCTGTGTGTCGCAGACGCGTCCTGGCCAGCCAGCAGAACGATAGGTCCGGACACTGTAACCCTCACGCCGTGGTGAGGCCACTGGGCCTCGTCACTGCCAGCCGGACGCTTTTCCATCTCAGGGCCCACTCGACCCGTCGCCCAATGGCAGGTGGCAAAATCGTCAGGGTGCCACCCGAGCATGCCGACATATCGCGACCACGATACAGATGCTCTCTCCAACTTGACGACTCCCTGCAGTCGCTGCATGCAGTCGGGAATTATGTCCGCTTCCACTGTGCGCAGTTGAGTTAATCTTGTCGTTGTCTCGCAGTCAATGCAAGCTGCTGCCCAACTGCTGGAATAACTATTTCCGACGGCCACCGACGGTGTATCACTTGCTGCACGGTCTGTGATGCCGACTCCACGTTTCCGGCGGCTGCATCCCGGTTCTTCGCGCCTCGCAAGCTGTGCCCAATGCAGTATAGTCCACCTGCGACTCCCTCAACACCAGCCCTATCGCCAGATTGCAGCCATACAGGAGTTCCTTGTTATCATGCTACGCAGTTCTACGTCCTGGTCGCAGTCAACAACTCGACCTCTGATGCAAACGGCTCCTCTAGGTTTCAAATGACGTCCAGTGATGACTGCATTTTGTGCTGAGCTGAGATGCTGTATGCCTCGACTCCCACCTGGCACATCCAAGTTCGAGCGGACTTCAGTCCTCAGCTCCTGGGCGCACAGTACTGATGACACTGACGAACATAGTACCTACCTAGGATTGATCAGCCACAATTGTTGTGACGCCATCCTGCGCCTGGTAGCAGTGGTGGTCTTCAGCCCGAGACACCAGTGGTGTAAGCACAAATCCCCAACTTCAGCATTGGCATAGCCCCACACCACAGTCGACAGAACGCCTGTTCGCTGGATGTCTCCCGGCGTCACTGGGGATAATTACTGACCGAGACGTGGTGAGGACCTTGGGAACCCGGCATCACAAGACTGGCGAAGTACTTGTGTGCATCAAAGACCTTCAGACAATTTTCTCACTCAAGCAGTGCCCGAGACTGTCTGGGGCCTCAAAGTATAAACGTGAATGACTTTGATGTCGTGAAGTTAATTTTCTCAGCTGGTAATGACGGCGGGCAGTCTTAACCTTCCGGTACCGGATCATCGCGATATCAACACAATTGACCAAAGCGACCTGATTCTCGGCGACAAATGCAAGACGGCCTGAAGTTGTAGCACTGCGATGCTTTGCACCGTGTGAAGGGACCGCAGAGCACCGTGCCTGGTCGGCATCCGGCGACAAACACACCTTGGACAGCATGCAACACTCAAACTTCTTCCAGCGCACGACGCCGCACGTGGGATCTCCTCGCACCTTGCAGTTGTTCGTCGAAGTCCCTCTTCGCTATCGGGCGACACCGAAGATGAGGTAAGCTGGTTGCTCATCGCTAGCCAATCAAACCGCATGCTGCTTATCAGCTTGATCGTAGGAATCACCATCCGTAGGCGGGCCCCGCCTCAGCCCTCGAGATCTCCCACACGAACGAGTCGATTGCCGTGGAGTTGATACAGTATTGCCGGCGAATTACGATTTACATCGGCTTGCTCCATTCGGCGCCAATTGTGAGTGGCTTTCGCGGGCGAACCAGGCCCTGAGCGGCGGATAGTTGTGTATCGTGGGTTTTGCCTCAGAGATAAAGTCACATATCGATGTACGATGAAATTGTATATGTTATAAAGTACAAGCGTGGTCCACCACCCATTAACACACATCCACGGCTATTCCGACCAGCAGCGACCACCATTGGCCTTCATCTGGCTGAATGCAGCAGTCCTCTTCCCCGCAATATCAGAAGATTTAGAATCCACGCAGCATAAGCACACCAGCTAGCAGCCGCTAGTGCACCACGCGACACAGCTCGTTGCCGACTTAGATATCAGCATCACAGCCCTCGTAGCTCAAGTCTACCACTGTCGATCCAACTTGTTCACCATCGGCCATCGCTCGAGTCTCTCAATTCCGACTACATTCCGTTCGAGGAGCTCCAAGCCTCAATAAAAAAGAGAGTGGCAAGTTTCGCACTGTCAATCCCACTACAATGGCGGACCACATTGGACCAGATCACGCCCCGAAACGAAGCTTTGGCGAGAAGTGCAGGCGCTTTGGGAAGGCATTCACAACGAAGTATGTCTTCTGTCTGAAAATCTGAAGATGTGCGTTACTGACCTTAGTTAGAGATGGACTTGTTGGAACATATGACTATGCCTTTCTTTTCAAGCCTAACCTTCCGTTCATGAAAAAGTCCCGCCGTGCGGCACCCTTCTTCGGTCTCCACGATCGCATGCCGGTCCTTCTTGCTCTTCTCCTTGGGTTTCAGCATGCGCTTGCTATGCTTGCTGGTGTCATCACGCCGCCGATCATTCTATCGAATGCTGCCCATTTGACTGGAAGCCAGCAGCGCTATCTCGTGTCGACATCACTCATCGTCTGCGGTATTCTTTCTGCCATCCAAATTACCAGGTACCAACCCTCTCTTCAGCCCTCGCAATCGGAACTAACACACCTAGATTCCATATCTGGCGTACTCCATACTATGTCGGCACCGGTCTGATCTCCGTAGTCGGAACCTCGTTCGCTACCATCCCCGTTGCAACTGGCGCCCTTACCCAGATGTACGCCAATGGCATGTGCCCATCCGATGCATCGGGCAACCCACTTCCCTGCCCCAATGGTTACGGCGCCATCCTTGGAACCGGCGCCTGCTGCGCGCTTCTCGAAATTGGGATGTCCTTCACCTCTCCCCGCCTTCTCAAGAGGATCTTTCCGCCACTCGTCACCGGCCCGACCGTCATGCTCATCGGCGTCAAGCTCATCCTCACTGGCTTCCAGAACTGGGCTGGCGGAAGCAGCGGCTGCCAGGCCAGGCCAACAACCGGCCTCTTCACACTCTGCCCCAACATCAACGCACCCCGTCCCCTCCCCTGGGGCAGCGCGGAGTTCATCGGCCTCGGCTTCAGCGTCTTCATCACCATCATCCTGTGCGAGCGCTTCGGCGCGCCCATCATGAAATCCACCGCCGTCGTCATCGGCCTGCTGGTCGGCTGCATCATCGCCGGCGCCACGGGCTACTTCGACCGCAGCGGCATCGACTCCGCGCCCGCCGTGTCCTTCATCTGGGTCGAGACCTTCAAGCTGGGCGTGTACGGCCCCATCGTGCTGCCGCTGCTCGCCGTCTACATGGTGCTCGCCATGGAGGCCATCGGCGACATCACCGCCACCTGCGACGTCTCCCGCCTGCAGGTCGACGGCGAGTTGTTCGACTCTCGCATCCAGGGCGGCATGCTCGCGGACGGCCTCAATGGCATCTTCGCTGCGCTGTGCACCATCACGCCCATGTCCACGTTTGCGCAGAACAACGGCGTGATTGCGCTCACGCGCTGCGCGAACCGCAAGGCCGGGTACGCGTGCTGCTTCTGGCTGATCGTGATGGGCGTGTTCGCCAAGTTCGCCGCGTCGCTGGTCGCGATCCCGCCTGCGGTTCTGGGCGGCATGACGACGTTCCTGTTCTCCGCGGTCGTGGTGTCCGGCATTGCCATCATCGCGCGCACGGAGATGACGCGCCGCAACCGGTTCATCCTCACGGCGGGCTTCACGCTGGGCTTCGGCGCGACCATGGTGCCGACGTGGTTCAGCTACGTGTTCACATACAGCGGGGACAACCGCGCGCTGGCCGGGTTCTACGACGCGATCGAGCTGGTGTTGGAGACTGGGTTCGCGGTTGTGGCGCTCGTAACGGTCATTCTGAATCTGATTCTGCCGGAGGAGGTCGAGGATGAGATTCCGGAGCTGACGGCGGAGGAGCAGGATGAGCAGGTTGAGCGCGAGGAGTGGGAGCGCACCCAGAAGATGAATAAGGAGGCGAGGGCTAGCTCTGAGGTTACGCCTGTGAACAAGGTGTAAGAATTGTATTGTCGAGGGACAGGGTATGCTGTCTGGGTTGGAGATGGGCAAAAAATGCTGTTGGATGGATGGCTCATGGGGTGTTCTTCTTGTCTTTCATCTATATACCCTCACTTCAGGAATCCGTTTTATCTACATAACCAGTGCCGATGCAGTGAGCACCATTCAACAGCCCAACCCACACTTCTAGGCATCATAGTACCCCAGCCCCATCCCCAGAGCCTCGCACTGCTCAACCTCCCTCCACCCCTCACTCCTCGCCCGCACATCCAACACCTTCAACGCACCACCCTCCTCCACCGCCTTCCACGCCCCCGCACGCCTCACCCCCGCCGTCGTATTACTAAACCCCCTCGCCTCCAAGAACCGCGCCTCGGGCACCGGATCCCCCGTCCTGGCAAACGCCGCCCAGCTATCCAGCACATACTGCGCAAACACGATATCCGCATCGTCGCGCACGCGCGCGCCCTCGCGCACCAGCGTGCCGAACACGTAGTACAGCTCGCCGGAGTGGCACTTGTAGTACGGCGCGCTGGGGTCTCCGTTCGGGTGCGCGGGCGTGCGCGGCGCTTCGCAGGCCGGGGGATTGGGGCTCCACGTGTTTAGCTGCAGGGCGCGGTCGAATTCGTATGCGAATGTGTTTTTGAAGACGGTGTTTTTGGCGGCGGTGGAGGCGGTGGATTGGCCGAGGCAGCGGAACATGGCGTCTGTGGAGATGCGGGAGGTGAGGTTGAAGAGGGCGAGGGTTGTGTTTTGGATAGCGGGGAGGGGGAAGAGAGAGGCAGGGACGGAGGGGAGGTTTTGATCGAGGAGGGTAGTGGTTAGGTTGGGGCTGGTGGAGTAGCGGGTGAAGGGGGAGCCGTCATCGTGCATTATGCCTGAGAGGAGGGTGATGTTGAGTTTCGGAGCTGTGCGTCCGAGGGGGAGCGAGGTTGTTGTTAGGAAGCTGTTGTCAACGACCGGATACGAGGCCAAGGTGCCGGTAGTGAGATTAAGGGCGTTGACGGCTTGTAGACAGCTGACCACAGCCTCGCCGCTGCTCGACGCGCATCCGGTCTCGTTAAGGAGTGACTTGGTTCTGTTGGTGGCTTCAGTGATGGTGAGATACTCGGAGAAGGATGAAGCGTAGTTCAGGCCTTGAGGTGTGCTCTGTGTAATTGCACCAGCGAACTTGTCACGAGCTTCAGGTGAGGCAAGCAGAGCTCGCACTGATGCTGCGCCAGCACTTTGGCCAAAAACAGTGATCTTATCCTTGTCGCCACCAAATGCGTCTATATGCGCATGTAGCCAATCCAGCGCAGTGCTTTGATCCTTCAGTCCTTGATTGCCTGTCAAAGAGGTACCTTCCAGCGCCAGGAAACCAAAATTGCCGAGTCGATAGTTGATCGTAACAAGAACCACATCACCACGAGATGCGATTGCTCCACCATCAAAGGTTGTATCACTGCCAGAACCGCTAACAAAGCCACCACCGTGAACCCAAACCATGACTGCTTTCTTCGCCGTCTTCGAGCTCTTGCCCGCGGATACGGTAGGTGTCCAGATGTTCAGATAAAGGCAGTCTTCGCTGCATGGCGCCGTGCCAGAACTGCAGCCTCCCTGTACACACTGCGGGCCGTAAGACAGCGCTGAGACGCTCCCAGTGAGAGGAAGATAGGTAGAGTCTGAGAAGCGGCTTGGGATGGTGGCGTACTTGATACCCTGGAATCGAAATGAATGCTTGTCGCGGTAGCCTACAACTGTTGCATTCCCAGCTGATACTGATGTCTGCCACTTGCTACCGGTGTCGGTCGATTGTAGTGAGCTCAAAGACGCCGAGTTCTGGCAGAGTGCTGGTAGCGGTGTATCGCACGGTAGCTGTTGGGTGCGGCCTTGTGCAGAGACGGCGTTGCATTTGGCGTGTGTAGTGCTCGCCACCCAATAAAGATCCCGACTGTGTCTCTCATCGCCGTATCCAAGATACTGAAGGAACCCCAGCTCGTGTGACTGTTGCTTGGTAGACCACAGCGACTCTGTCAGAGCTGCGCAGCTCGATGCCGCGGCCGAGTGAGATTGGCGTTTGCTGACGAGGACTACTGAGACTTGTCTGCGGGTGCTGTTACCGTACAGGTCGTTGTGAGTCAGTATGGTCAGATCTGAGTCTAGCAGGCGTGGGTTTGGCCCGGTTGCTAAGACAAGAGACACAAGACACAACAAGGCTGAGGCGCGAGCAACGAACGTGGCCATGTCGATCCCCATGGCAGGCCTGCGAGGTGTACAGTGTACCTGGAGGCATATTGGCGTCTACATTATATCTTCATGGAGAGCGAGCAAGCAAATTGGCTACGACCGGATGATCCTACGATGCGGGCAATCTCCATGTGCCAAGCTCATTCGTGGATCTGCTTCTGCCCCTCAGTCTACGGCTGTATTGACGGAGCGGCGCAGTGCCGGCCTCGAAGAGGCAGGGTGCGGTCAACGTGCTGCCGGTTGAGCGGAGGCGGCACCGGGGGTAGCTATATGTATGTCTGAGACGGCTGCACTGCGACTTCCGTGTGAAGGCTGCTCAGGACGCAGCGCGGCCAGGGCAGGAGCGTTTGGGCAGGAGCGTCTGGGGATCTCCGGCTAGGTATTCACTCTGCACGAGCCATGTGACACAGCTGCAGACTCGAGACGGTCGCCCTGGAGCAGCGCAACGGCGTGCTGGGAGCCCCTGCTGCGCGCTGTTGCGCATTCTCCACAGCGACGCAGGCAAAGAGCAGTGGAAGGACCGCCTCTCCGCCGCTGCTGTCCATGGAGGCGGCCACGGCCATTCGGCGGGCCCTGCTGCGACTGAGACGCGGTGGGGGACGTCATTGTATTGTGAAAGGTCGTTTCAGGACACATAGCGCGATTGGAGAGGGGCGTCTTGCCGCTCTTATCGTATTGCCGACGCGGCTGCCTGGCAGGCTTGCGGCGCTTTGCACCTGCCGCCGCGCACCGAGCACACTCCCAGGTTCGCACGCGGAATGCCAGGCAGCGAGTGGCGGCGGCGCAGAGTCGACATTCCACAACACGGGCGCGCGTTGTTTTCATTTCTGCCACCGATGACGACGAACCTGATCTGCCAGCCCGGACGCGCAAGCCCGAGAGCATCCACACCATGCCGGAAGCACGGTAGCCCTGGTGCAGTCTTGGTGCCCAGTGCGCAGGCGCGACGCCCATTCGCCGGCGTCGTTGCATCGGGCCAGGGCCACGCTGGCCGGCTTCGTCTCAATCTCACACGTTCAGCCCCAGTTTCCCGAGTCTGTTGTTGCATCTTTTATCTCTTCGCCGCCGGCACTCTCGTCCCTCACTGCAAGGCCTGGGCCGGCGCGAGACCTCATGCCGCGGCGAAGCGCCGGCCGCTGCAGCAGCCATGCAGCGCGGAGCAGCGCACCCGTAGCCTTGATTCCGCTTACTGCCCCTCTGCTAAATAGCGGCCTCTTAAACGTTACCACTCAAGGCAGGCGGCCCAAGCGTGCGCTAAGCTCGATTGATTCGTTCCTTCTTTCGCACCCATCTCCTCTCGCTACGCTCGCTCTGCCTCTCGACTGCTGCAAAGACACGCCGCCCCGTTGTCGCACACACCTCGCCGCCATCCTGCCGCCTGCCCTGCCGTACTGACTGCCCAGCGCCGCCTGCCGCGTCCGCCGTGTGTCTCGCGCCCGCCGCTCAGGTCCCCTCAGCCCGCGACCCACGAGCCGCCGCTCTGCTCTTCGCCGCACCACCGCGCATCGCCTGTAGCCGGCTGCCCGCGGGCCCAGCATCACCACAGCACGATACGTGGCCGCCAGCTCTGCTCTGCGCCCGCCGTGCCTGTGACCACGCCGGCCTCGCACCGGCGCCCGCTGCAACCGGACACAGCGCCCGTCTCTCCTAGGCCACGCCCACGCGTAGCCGTCTCCCAGACACAGCGCTCACCACGCCCATCGATACGGGTCGTTAGGTCGTCGCGAGCTGCCTATCTCCAGCTGCCCGTGAACGCGTTGGGCGTCATGCGATCTAACGTCCGCAGAGCCTGAGCCAGCTACTACACACACCAGCCACCTCAGCGTGCCTGCCAGAGGATGACCGACGTCTCCTCGGCCCAGGCGCATGCTGACCCTCAGCCTGCACCGACTGCCTTCTACGGCGCCGGGCCCCCGCCGCCAGCCTACTCGCTCGGCTCGCCGGGCCTGGATGGCGCCGTCGACGAAGAAGAGTCGTCGACGATCAAATGCATCTGCGGCTTCGCCGACGACGACGGCAACACGGTGCTGTGCGAGAAGTGCGACACCTGGCAGCACATCGTCTGCTACTATGAGTCGGCCCAGCATGTGCCCGACGTGCACGAGTGCACAGACTGCAGCCCCAGACCCGTCGATTCGAGAAGAGCTGCTGACAAGCAACGCCAACGAAAGGAACTGCTGAACCTCACTGATCGCAAGGGCCGCCCAAAGACCACCACCAAGAACCCGAAGAAGCGCCCCAAGGATCCGCTAGGGTCTGCGCAGCCCAACGGCTGGTCGACGACCTCGAACAACGACCTCCACTACAACCCTGAACGCAAGAGTGGGAGCCCACGAGATCTCCCTCCACCGAACAAGCGGCCGAAGACAAACCACCGTCCGTCTGGTTCCGTCGGCGTCATCAGTTCTGCACCAGCGCTTGCCCCTGCGTCGCGCAAACGAGGCGGTTCCGTTGTCGTCAACGGATACAGTCCTATCAAGTCTCCTACACAAATCGATGGTCCAATTGAAGACTTTTCATTGGAATTCATGAATCTCTACACATCGCCCGAGCCGCCGTCGGCTGACAACAACTCCTACACGAGTCTGGGCGTCGCTAGCGACATTGCCATGTGGCTTCAGGATCCAGACGCCTTGGCCGAGGCCAGCGGTGGTAAGAAGCCACAAGATCTCTTCTCACGCATTGAGAACACCCTCCAGGACCTTGAGACCTCAACTGCGCCCGCCATCACCAAGCAAACAGAAGTCGATTCTGGCATATCGGCACATGGACTCCACCCACAATGGCACTTCATCACCACCGACAGCCCAATCGCTGATGGAGGGTATGTGGGTGAATTGAAGGGCTTAGTTGGGCGGAGAGAAGAGTACTGCCAGGACCCCGAGAACCGGTGGAACTTGTTGCGTCACCCCGAACCCTTCGTCTTCTTCCCGCCTCACCTCCCAATATACATTGACACCCGGCAAGAGGGCAATGTCTTGCGCTACGCAAGACGCAGCTGCTCACCCAACATGGCCATGAAGATTCTTGTTGAAGCTAGCAGCGACTATCACTTCTGCTTCGTAGCGACACGACAGATCGAGCCAACTGAGGAACTCACCGTTGGCTGGGATATCGACTCCGAGGTACAGAAACAACTTCTCAAGGTCGCTACAAACGGCGCAAAGGACGGCTTCAGGAGGATACAGCCGTGGGTGTCTTGTGTTCTTGCCAACTTTGGCGGGTGTGCATGCGACACCTCGACTGGGCATGAATGTCTTCTAGAGCGAGCCCGTCGACCCATTCCTGAGCCCGCACAATCCACCAAGACCAAGACAAAGAAGTCGAAGAAGTCGCAGGTGTCGCCTCTCAGCACTGGTCGTGCGACCAACAGCCGTGCTGGCAGCGAAACACTGCACCGCGACAATGTCGATGACGACAACGTAGACAGCCGCTCTACATCCGGCTCACACAAATCTAGCAGCCGGGATATTACGCCCGCAACACACTTCTCCCTCGACGGAGACGTGAAGATGTCGGACCGCGAGAGGCGAAAGCTGCAACAGCAGGAAAGACTGTTCGAACAGATGGAGGACGAACAACACAAGGGTAAGAGGGGGAAAAGGAACAGTGCTGGGTCCACTCTCAATACGCCCAGCATTGCTACCTCGGTAAGACGCCCAAAAAGATCCGTGTCTTCAAACACTGACTCATTTATGCAGAGACGGCTTGGACACCCGGAACCTTCACCCTCGGCACGTCACCGCGAACACAGCCATGGTGTGGCACGGAAGACGTCCGGTGGTTCGTCAAAGGCCAAAGCTCGTAGCACGCCGAAACCGAGACCTGTCTACGTCGAGGCATCTACACAAACGGAAGGTGACGACGTCGCTACCGTTATACGCACAGAAATGAAGCCGCCAATGTCGTTCAAACGCAAGCTCCTTCAACAGGCACAAGAGGACAAGCTACGACGTGAGCGAATGCGGTCTGCATCCATAAAGCTGGAGGGCAAATCCCCGGCGCTTAACGACGTATCGTCAAACAAACCCTCTCCTCTGCCACCGTCTCCCCCACTCGAGTACACATCGACAATGGAAGTTACCCTGGATCCTGCGTCGGTACCACGGCCGAAAGAGTTGACACCAGCGAAGGAATTGTCACCAACTCCTACTGCTGATGTGGATATGGCAGACGCTGATGATGTCGTCCCATCAAAGGTTGCCGAACCCAAGGTCGAAGAGATGCCCGATGCTCCTGAGGTGCAGAGCTCTAACGAGGCCTCACTTCCTTCCATGAATCCGCCTGCACCGCCATGTCCAGCCACTTCCCCTCCTCGACAATCACCAGCACTCAGTTCAGACGAGGCAGCAAAGTCTGCCTCCGTGAAAGCGGACGTGCTAACAAAGCCGGAGCTGAGCAATCCTTTCTCTGCAAACTCGGCGGCCATTCCAGTTGCGACTGAAGCCCCAAGGGTGGAATCTCCTGTGGCGATAGCTTCGCCTTTCTCCCCTGCCGTGCAAGAAGCTGTCAACCCGACACCAGTTCGGAAGAAGCTCAGCTTGAGCGAGTTCGCCAGTCGAAGGGCGAAGCTTGCCCAGACGACAACGAGTTCGAATGGCACACCACCTCTGGCATCGCAATCAACCAGCTCGCCTACATTGTCAGCGGCAAGCTTGCCGACCGCTTCACCACCCAGCAAGACTGCTGAGCTGTCCTTACCTGTCGTTACAGAGGAGCCGCAGCCCATGCAGACCATTGCTGCTACCACGACCGCGCCTACCCCGACATGAGATATGATACCCAGAGGCCGTTCTTTCGGAGTCTTTTCCTTCTTGGCCGCTCGATGCTGCCACCTTTCTTCTTCTCGAAGATGTACATTATATAATCGTGCGGGCGACACCTTTTTCTTCTATCTTGTTCTCTTCACGAATGTAACGTTCAATCCAGTCGCCACCACGAGTTGTGTTGATGAAAGAATGGGGTTTCAAAAGCAAGGCGTTCAATCACAGCTATGGCGCCTTTGGCTATGCTATTCATGGGCGTTGGCTTTGGTAAGCCAAGGCATTGGACGATCACTTGTGAGATGCCAGAAGCAAGAGCACATTTATTTACGTAGGATAGTTGATGCGATACGCACAGCTGACAATGCTGTTGAACCCGCCAAGAGGCGTGGTGACGAATACAAGTAAAAGTACACTCCAATGTGCTGATCTTCTGCCAGTGACTCGACAATGCATTTCCTAACAGATCTCTGTAATCCTCTTAAGACCCCCCTTATGTCTCATGCAACCTCAGCTTCATCGAAGAGGTAGAGGCATGCTGACTGGAGGTCATCGACTCGGTTGCCGTTAGGAACTTTCTGCTGTTGCGCTTCAGGTCTGCACTGCTCTGAGCCGTGCTTCCAGACTGCGAGGCAGCCCCAGGCTTCGAGATCTCCTTGCTGAACTTCTTGAAAGCACTCCCACGTATCGGCAGCGCAGGAAACTTCATAACGTACTTCGCAACTGGCGTAATCTCCTCGTACGGCTCAACATCAAGCTCCACATCCGGCAGCGCGAACAGCACCGGTCCCGCACCCTCTCTCGCTCTCTCCGGCAGCGGCATCTCTTCCCGCGTCTCCAGCAACGAAGTCGCCCCCACCACCGACGGCAGCGCAAAAAGCCGCACCTCCTCCTCCCCCTCTGCGTCGTCCCGCCCCGCGTCCAAACCCAAAGGCGCCGCCCCCATCGCCCCCGCCAACTCCTCCACCGCGCCCCGCAGCCGCGCCTCGCACGCCCCGCACACCGCCCGCCCAAACCCAGGCACCACCCGCGCCGCGCACCCCGCGCTGCTGCACGCCGCCAGCCCCGGTGTCTTGGCGCTCAGCAGCGAGGTGTTGTCCAGCGGGCTGCTGAGCGCGGCCCACAAGCTGCGGGACGCGCGGGCGGGCGCCGTGTGTGTAGCGGGGAGCGGGAGCTGGGTTTGGAGCGGACGCAGGGCGGGGCTGTGCGGCAGGAAGGTTGGGGAGGGCGCGAGCGAGGGCGTTGTGGGGCGCAGGCGGGGGGTGGTGAGGGGTGTGGTTTTCGGCGTGCGGAAGGGGGTTAGGGCCGGGGTGGGCGGGAGCGAAATGAAGAGGTCGGGGAGAAAGAGGTCGGGGAGGAAGAGGTCCGGGAGGTGGTGGGAATGTGGTGGTGGTGGTGGTTGTGTGGGGTAGGGGCGCAGGAAGGTGGTGCACTCTGTGCAGGGGCAGGATATGTTTAGAAGGGAAAGAGGGGCGGAGAGCATGGCGGGTGGTGGTGGTGGTGGTGGTGGTGTTGATAGGTTCGACGTTGTGAATGCTCTGTTCAGGTATCAAGTTTCGAGAGAATGCCGTGATGTTGTGGGGTTTCGCAGTTGGTGGAGATGCTTTTGTCGGTGATCATGCGTGCTCTTGATATTTGTCTTATATGAGTGGTTCAACTTTTTTTGATAATGGATGAAAGGATGCAAAACTCTGACTCGTGGTGGCTGTTTCTCATTACTGCGCGTGTGCTATTATTGAAAGCCGTTTAGGCCATACTCGGCCTCGTGTGCTGTTGTTGTAGGTCCGATGTAAGATAAAGCGTACTAGTATCGGTGCTCGCTTTGTTGCATGTTTCAAGAACGTTGCGTCCCGCTCTTGACTGGACCGATGTCGCTTCGAATGAGAGTGCGGCTTTGTCTGCGCTTCCCCGGGCCTTGTGCTTCCCAGGGCGGCCCTTGTGGCGTTGCTGGTGGCTCATCGACATCGTTGATGGGGATGTCGTCGCTCAGATTGAATTGAATATATCCACGCGGTAACTGTTCTGTGAGGTCAAATGAGCGTATTGGCTGTTCTTTCGGTTGAGTATTCTTGCAACAACACGCCTTCGATCACGGTGTTGCTGTGAAGGGTGCTGCTCGATCTGCCTTGGTGGAAATCGTACAGTAGAAGGCTCAAACTGCCGTCGTACTTCGTAAGGTTCTGTCTCTCGGAACACGTCTTCCGCTGGAAGATCTGGGAAAGGGGATGATGATGGCGACAGACCTCGAGGTATGCTCTCTACACACCAATCGTCGACCATACCCGAGACAGCATTAGTCACGTCTGTCATGTGCTGTTTGCACAATGTTTGTGCAAATCCTTTGCGCCATCGCATGTGCGCAAATCGGAAACAACCTTCGTGAGCACATGTGTGAAAACGAAGGAGCTCATACCACGGCGTTTTCGTCGGAAGGTGCGCGTCCTCCATTCCGTTCTCGTTATAGTGAGAGGATACTGCACTGGTTGAATCTGTTGCCTGCGTTTTGAGAAACATGATGGATTTTCGTGCAGAGACTTGGTTGCAGAACAGCTGTTTGTGACATTGCAGTGTAGCATAAGTGGGAAGGATGGAAGTGCTCAAAGTACTTATTATTCATTGATTTATCTACCTTGGTAGAGACGTACCGAGGATTGGTCTGAGGTTCTTTGGTCGGGGGTCCAGCCATGAACCGAAACCAACCCTTGTTTGGATATTTATTGTGTCCACTGACCGAAATGATCGTTCGAAAGGGTAACTATCATGTAAGTATGGTTGATTGAAAACAAACACAGCTCATTGTATTGGTCTTTTGGAACGGTCCGTGGCATGTCTCGTAGCCCACAGCAGTCTTGCAATGTTCGACCGACCTTCGTACAACCAACCCGCTTTGAATATTGCCAACACATAAACAGAATGACTTCTGTCTCGGCTATTGTGCTGGCTGTTACGACAACTGATTGGCAGATTGAACGGAAATCCTTGATCAATCATACTAGTGTCAATCGTGCTTTGCATCTGGAGGTATGTCGAGTCGAGTCCACTCTAAAACTAAGACGACGACGCACACGCTCGATCCTGACTGATAAATGGCTGAAATCCCACAGCACCGACCACGACGTGCTGCTAGTCACGTCCGACCAGCTACTTGGCAGAGTGCAGCGTTAGGCAACAAGGCGCGTTCTCGTTGAGATGTACTGTGAATACGCTTAAGCGGAAATATCTAGCCGTAGTTCTGTAGCTCATTGGCTGCCACAAAGATGGGTTAGATCCTACAAAAGTGCCAAGTGTCTAGTTGGACGTGTCTGGGTGCAGTACCATGATCGGCACAATCGACCATCAGAGCTGAGACTGTATTCTAGTCACGTACTGGTGATGCCTTGCTACGTCCAGCAGACCATTGGCAGCTTTCTCCGTCATCTCCCCGCTCTTACACTTTCTCCCTTTCGACTCTGATGGATGGTACACCTGCTTCGAGAGAGGTACCTTTCTCGTCACCACTCGAAACGCCAACACCATCCTAGCAGGCCCCACTTACAGCTTACTGTGGTACGAGTCCGTGGCTCATCAATCTCAAGCACTTCAACTCGTTGGAGTCATCCCACAACCGGTACTTGTCAAGTGCAGATCATCCGTTCAGGCCGTGGACCAATAGAGTGATCTCCTCGGATGTGTTGCGAAGTAGCACGCAGGCGGGACTGCACATACTTAGACAGCGAGCACAACATGCACGCGTAGTGAGATGCGGTGTACGGATGAGCACTAGTTGCCATAATTGAGACTGACCGGAAGTTGCCATGAATTTCTGCTGCTGCCGCCTGGAACTTTCCTGGTTAACTGCTGTGGACTGAACAGGGGTGAAATCCGGAGTCCAAATGCAATCTTCCTTCAACTTAGTTTACCGCGCCCCGCTCAGGAAGCAGGACACCGCAGGACTCGGGTCGTGACGGATTGGGCTGCACGATAACGCACTCTGCGGGAGTCCTCGGTTTAGATACCAAAGGGCACCAAAATACAGGGAGCTGACCCCTCGTGCTTGATGTTGGAGGAACGAGCCAATAGGAAGCTTCGCCAGACCGTACCTTACGGCTAGTTGCCAGTAGCTGGCAGATCAGGTTGGGTGAGCGGTGGGCATGCTAAGCTAGCAGAGTACTGTCAAGCGAGTTCGGCACCTCTTGCAGAATTACCCTCGAGACTTGGGAAACGCTGTGTCCAATTGATGGCGCCTGCGAAGTGGAGGAGCTGGCGGAAGAAGAAGACGGCTTGGCCTAAGAGGCCGCTAGCGTGGTGTTGATCGTCGATGACGGAGAGGTTGGGATGACGAGTCGTGTCACAATGCGCCGAAGTCGTCAAACAACTGAGAGCTCGCGTCCTCAGGCCTGCAGGTGCTGCAGGTGCTGCAGGTGCTGCAAGTACTGCGAGCTGCCCTGTCACCGTCTCACACGGTTGGTGGTTGCAGTACCGGCATGTCGTGCCGTAAAACTCATTACTGGTGCAGGGAAAAGGCCCCGACAGAGCTTGAATGTGTCGGGCACGTGGTGTGGCGAGGTAGGCTTGCCTGTAGGAAAGAGCAACCCTCGTCGCGCCAAGGCTAAGCGCCTTCCCTGTGTAGCGATGCACATCTCGCCTGTTGACGACGCCGTCTTCTGCCCTACGGTCCCTGTGTTCCGTCCTGGTTTTCAATTCCTGATTCTCTTTGCTGCCGCAGCTGCTTGATGGTCTGAGCCACGAGACCTGTTCCGCCGCCCCGCGCCGCAGCCGCAATCTGCCACTACAACCACCCCAGGCCACTTTTTCCGCGTCGATCCCCTCTGTTGTAGTAGCACAGCCAGTGCCGTCAGCAGCCTCTTACACTTTCGCTTGACCTTTAGAGCGCCACGCTGCAGACACACGCCTGCTCGCTCAGGTGTTCTTCGCTCAGCATTGCCTCTTTCTCTGACCCACGCAGGGCCTGAGTGCAGCTCTCGAACTTGTGGCACCCGCGTCCCGTATCGATCCTGGTAGCAATTCGCGGCCCTAGGCTTCTAGTTTCAACGTCTTTTGCAGGTGGGTAATCCACTTTACAACCTCTCTGCCCATTTGCACAGACTGGCAGTCCTCGCTGGAAGCTCACCTCACAAGCCAGTCAATCCAAGACTACACCATCCATTCTCCTAACCTTAACCTTCTCGCTGGGGATAGCTTGGAGTTGTCGACGTTACATTATCTTCACGACTGACTCGCACAACCCCGGGGTTTGCACATAATTCCGCGTGCCTGCGCACTGTGACCGTTCCGAGTGCCATTGTGCTCCTCAACCAGTCAGCGTCCGCATCGCGTGTCAACATCCGCGTGGAACCACAGGCCCCACGTTTATTACAAGTCGCAGACCGCTCCCTGACGCAAACACATCGCCTGCCTTCCACTCCTCCGCCGCTGGTCCCTGAACGAATTATTAGATTCGACACGGATTGATAGCAGCGGTTGAGGACGGATTTTGTAGACCCTGTCAATTTTCAATCCGTCTAACTGCCACTACCACTACCACTACCACTACCACTGGCCACTACCGCTACCACTCGCCATAATGGATACCACATTCATCACCATCCACGGTATGTTCAACCGTGCGGCCCGTGCGACACGTGATACTAACGTTCGCAGATCTTTCCGAAGAAGCACGCATCTTATACTCTTCTGATTCCATTGTCGACATTCTTGGTCATACTCCCGACGAAGTCGTAAATCGTTCGGTTTGGCAATTCTTCCATCCAGAGGAGTTGCAATTCGCCAAAGCAAAGTATGGCCGCGGAGTAGCGCTTGACAAGGCGGCCGTGCTATCTTACTGTCGGCTCAAAAACCGCCAGGGAGAGTGGGTTGGCTGTGAATGCTGCTTTTCAATCGTCTACGATGTCATGGTGTGCTGCACCAGTATTTACAGACATGGCATGGAGAGTCAAAGTAAGTGTTTGAACATTTCAAGTCCAATATGCGACCAATTAACGCAAATGCAGAACGCGCTGTCGAGGCCCCCATCGTTCGTAAATTGTTTGCGTCATCACCAAAGGACCCCCGCTACCACATGTTGTCTCATCTTTCCAGCAAGTTCGATCTCGGCCCAGAAGACCAAACCCACGAACCCCGTGCAGCCCTCTTTTTGAACCGGTTCACACGAACTTTGACCGTCATGTACGCCACGAGTGGTATTGAACAGATCGTTGGCATCTCAGGCGAGGAGATGAAGGGAAGAAGTTTCTACTACTGCATTGCAGTGAACTGTCTCACCGAAGCCGTTCGATGTCTCGAGTCGGCGAAAGGGAACGACTCGATTGCTTACATGCGTTTCATGTTCCGCGATCCTCGCCAGGAAGACCCGCCTGAAATGACGTCTTCTGAGAGCGAAGATGATGAGATGACTGATGTCACAAGCGATGAGGACGAATCCGTTGCAGGAGGTGTAAGACTCGGCGGCCAGTCCTCATCCAGTGGCCGTGCTTCCGGATACCATTCGAACGGATCTCACTGGAACAGCGAGGAGCCACCACTCAATCACCGTACCGAGTCTGGCGATAGTGCTCCTCGTGCCGATACGCATCTTGGCGTCTTCGATGAACAGCCACGACGACATTCGTCAATGTCCTCAGCCGGAGGCTCGCCATCGGTACATCAAAACGAGGATATTGAGCTTGAAGCTGTCATATCTTGCACCACAGATGGGCTCGTTGTCTGCCTTCGTCGTGCTCGGCCAATGCTTCCTGGCGCGATGCCCGTTACACAGCCAGCGCAACAATACTCCGGTATCTATGCGGCTCCATGGGCATCGCAGCCTGTCTTCCACCCGGCCCCACAGCAGATGCCTCCATACCCTCTGGGCGCCCAGCACCCTGCCATGCTCAGTTCGGGCCCGTCAATGCAGTTCCAAAACGCTTTCATGCAAAGTATTCGCGACGTTGCAGTCTTTGCGTGGGCTCTTACTGGAATCAACGGTAGCTTGGCTGCATTTGCACGTGGTAAACCCAAGGGGGAGAGCCAGCCACCCGACGGATTCCCGATTTGGAACCCTCTACCCGATCCATCCATGCTGGGTCACAAAAAGTCTGAAACGCCTTCCGGTTATGGCTCAGGATCCAACAGTACTACCAGCAACGGCGATAATTTCGGCTTCGGTGATCCTGGATTGCACTGAACGTCTTTCAGACGACAAATGCTGCGCACTTCTTCGCTGAGGAGCCGTCACGCCTGGCCCAATCACGGCCTACGGTGAACGCCACAGCGAAACAGCACCCAGCAGCTTGCATTTAAGTATGATATTGATAACAGCGATAAAGTATGAATTATGCGAGCAATAGCGTGAGCATTACGATACCAAGCGGTCTAAGTTGCGACCATCTTTTCGGTACGCTGGACCACGAGTCCATTTCTCTGATGATTTCCACATCGCAATAGAATAAAAAATATAAAACAACTATTCGGATCTCCACTCAGAACGATGCAGCTCTCGCCCATTCCATCTCTCGTCTCCAACCTCATGTAGCAGTCTCGCCAAGCAAGACGAGACAGCTTCCAACAAAGATATCTCTGTACAGCAAACGGCCAGCAACGAGCCCAGAATCCGTTTGAATATGATTCGCTGCTGCCAAAGTCCAGTTGTGCAGATCGGTGGTACTGAATGATGGATGTGGAGGTCGAGGCGCAAGGTTCGCCCTTTGTCTTTCATTGTTGCGGTTCGAATGACCACTTGCGAGCTTCCAGTCCACGCACTACCTGGAGAAGTCTTTGTTTATAGTTCGAGAGGCTTATTGCTCCGTCCTCACAGGCAAATCAAATCCGCGTATTTACGCCGTTGCCGCGTCGACCACGTTTTGAGATCGCCGTCATACACCTTGTGGTCGATCTTTGATCGTTCCCTCGCACCTATAGCCTTTGGTCTCATGTATTTCCGTTCCTGACAGCCCCCTAATATCTCAGCCTCACTCACCGTTGACATCGAATATCAAACGTTTGGTCTCGCAAAAACGTCGCAGAGCTGTTGCTGAGGCCGGCGCAATAACAAGCATGAAGATTTTACGCATCAATATGAGGCCGCATTGGATGAGGCTGTTTTTCACAGCTCTGCAAATTACGGGGACTTTAGCTCAGGATGCGACTTCCTCCACTCGAACTACTACATCAACAGCCATCTCGTCGTCGCCTTCACCAACGACCCTCCAGTCGAGCATCAGCACCAGCTCATCGGAACCTCAAACACATACCATACAAGTGGGCCTTTTGGACCATAAGATGCGTCCTGAGACCACCGAAGCGGCTGTAGGAGACATCATCGAGTTCGACTTCTATCCGCTCAACCACAGCATTGTGCGTGCAGAGTATGGATTCCCTTGCATTCCCTACGAGATGACTGGATCCGGTAAAACAGGCTTTTTCTCAGGTTTTAATCCAGTGGATAAGGTCCTGGACAGCCCACCGAAATATAGCATCAAGATAAACGATACAGAGCCAATCTTCTTCTACTGTTCCGCGCCGGGCAGTTGCATCACGTGGGGAATGGTGGGTGGAATCAATTTGAATAGCAGCATGAGTATAGATAGGCAGAGGACATTGGCTGTGGATTCAACATATATGCTACAGCCAGGTGAGTCTCTACCAACTCACAACCTAGATGCTTCTTCTGACCATATTCTTAGGTGAGCCATTTCCCGCTGAATCTCCTCTCCCATCTGGCAACCCTGCCTCTTCGTCGTTGTCCAATTCGACCTCCGCGAATCCACCTGCACATACATCAACAAGCGGTTTAAGCACCGGCGCAATCGTTGGTATCGTCATTGCCGCCGTCAGTGCCCTGCTGCTTGGTGCTCTGCTCTTCTTCTGCTGGGGCAGGACCAAGTCCCTCCGCGAGGCCATCGAGCGTAAAGACGGCACCGTGCGCCGTGTCACCGCCAGCCCTAATCAAATGGTTCACCATACACAAAACGCCAGCCATGCCGGTTTCCAGTTCCCGCCTCATCCCGCGGTCCATCCAGGAAGCCACCCTGGAAGCCCAGAACCCGCGAGCTATGGTCATCAGCATGATGGGAGCATGGGAGGATACTTCCCTACTTCCGCGGGTTATATTGCAAAATACACCTCCCCGTTGGCGGCGCATCCATCGTATCACGCGCTATCGCCCGGATCGCCGTCGCCAGGAAGACCAGGCTTGCACGGAAGTCCTTTCATGCAGTAAGTGGCCTCTCTTCCCATCCCTCTTAGTCATTTAAAGCTAACGATGTGTAGTCACGACCCCTCACCAAGAGGCACACCGGCTCCGGGGTACTACGAAACCTTCCCAACTCGACAGACTCACGGACAGGAGCGAGTTCAGGAACACCCCGTCGAGATGGAAGCAGTCACTGCAGCGAATCAGGCATCTGATGCCGAAGATTTGAACAGGCTGAGCAAGTTTTGACTGAAGACAAAGATTGGAGATGTAGAGTGCGATGTTTTCTTAAGATACTCTCGATGATACGAGACTAAAGCACCGGCCTCTGAGTTCACTCGTCGGATAAACAGTGTGAAGATGTTGCATGCAGGGACAGGCTGAGCATTTAGTTTAGATTCTATACATGTACATATACTTGAATGCACTTATTTCAGATTTCATACAAGAAGCCTGACTCGTTCTACATGTGGTCTGTGTCGATATACGTGTGGGTCCATAACAAACCTTGTACCGGGGGCAGCCTCGGGTGCAGATACGGCTGTCAGCTATCATGTGGCGCCCGCTCGGCGCACGCACAGCATGTCGCAATCGCGCACGTTCGACGGCGTTGCTTGTTTTCACGGGAGACCACATGGCGGATGTGGCAGATTGTGGCTTCCTGTTACTCAAGCTTTGTGGAGAGTAGTGGCAGCGGTCGGCCTGTGGATCGGGTTTTCTTGGGGAGGGTCGACCTCATTGTTATGAGTTTGAGATGGAGCTGAGCCATGCCAAAACTTCTCTACTGCAAGTCGGGGTATGCGGGTGAAAATTATGACCGTGTTTCCCTTCTGCGTACGATCTCAAGTCGCATGGGGCTGACAGAGACTTGCTCGACACAATAAAGGTCGTATCTTTCTCTCTGGTCGACATTTGCAGGAAAATTCGAAGTGCGCAAGGGGCTGTCCAGCTTACAGTTCCAAGAAACGATCTTAACATACCCCGCCAGGAGGCCGGTCTGATATCGTTGTCTGTTATAGCTGCAGGGCTGGCATGTACTGTACCCGTAGATCGTTGCTGTTCCTGAACATAGGGCATCTCGGCCCGGGCCGCGTGCGTGGGATGCAAGTCAGCTCGCAAATTGCGATTTGCAAACCATAGATTGCCACAGACTCATGAAGTGTCATGGAGCTCATCACTGAGATGAAGTGGTCTTATTAATGCTCATGTGCAGCATTAATCGCTTGCTAGTGTGGTGGTTCGGTGCAAGATGCTATATTTGGCGACGAAACACCACAGTCATATACTTTGAGTCACGAGTCGTAAGTGGAAACAGGTGACATTCGTGTGTAGATACCTTCATATGGCGTGCAATTTTTTATGTCTATGGCCTCTGGTGCAATGTGGAGCACTGTTTCGCCGAGCCAGAATTAGATATTCCTAATCTGTTTCATCAGACTCGACTTCCTCACCTAAAAATGGTTCGTTGAGGATATCATCCATCCAGGCGACACATCGATAGTCAAGCTCTGAAAACTGGGATCCCAATTCTGCGAGATCGGAGTTCTGAATACCCAATAGCTCCACTGAGTCAGTGCCTTGCGCGACAGGGCGCAGGCGTGGCAACGCCGCAATTCTTGTGTTTTGACCGTCGCCGCAATGACAAAAGCCACCATGTTCGGCACAGCTTGGTGTTTCTGGCAGACGTTGAGGCCGAGAGCCAAGATCAACGTCGGAGTGATCGTGGGCGTCGGAAGATATCAATGTCTCAATGCCAACTGAACTCACCGTATCTTGGCGATGCCTAATAGAATCGTTCCAGACGCGTTCATTAAGCCAAACATCGTATTGCGGTGAGAGCAGCGAGCTGAAGATATTCCAGACCTGCGAAACTGAGCTGCGTTGGTCGATAGGATTATCGCCCATGCCGAAGCCAAAGACCTGCGCCCGACACAACGGACACGAGTTACTAACAAGGGTCCAACTGGCAATGCACGCTTCCCCAAGAACATGTCCACATGGAAGCTGAACAGGCGCCTCTGATCCACTTTGGGCGGAGCCAAAGGTTTGAAAGCATACCCTACAAGACCGCTCGTCTGGATCTAGATCGTCCACGTTCACCGGTGCCAGCACGTTACCCTGCGTATACGAGACCTGCTCGCCTGCTTGCATGTCGGTGATTAGTTCTAGGCCGTAGTTGAGTGACAGTGTAGTCTAGAACGCGAAGAGTAGACTTGCCAGAAATGCGGGGGCTACACGAACTGGGCATATTGATGCCATGCACAAAAGCACTGTGCATGGACATCACAAGTACCGGCATGCAATTACCGAGTTTGTTCCCATGGTTCCTTTGTCCCCAACATTAGAACAACGTGCTATTGCCGGCCGCTTCTACATTGATGGCGTGAGACGAGGCACGAACAATGCTCCAAGCAATGCCTCAAGCGGTGGCTATCGCTTAAACAACCCGTTCTTGTGTCTCATGGTCTGATAGTGAATCTCGTGGTGGCCGTGTGGCTTGTTCTAGCGCTATAATGAGTATATATGTGGAGGTAGAAGAGGCTAGACGACCACAGAAATGGGTTGTCAGAAACCGACTCGGTGAAGCTCGAGGCTGAACGAGGCTTGTCAAGAAGGGTGGGGCCGCCCCGCAAGTCCACCATCGAACAGCCAGCCACCACATGAATTTCTGCGGCAACAGTTTGTTTCCACGCGGTCTGTTTGTTTTGGCGCAAACCTTGCTTGTGCTATTTTTTGCTGTCACAAAGTACGTGCGAAATCATGACATGCATCCAATAGCATTCGCATCCGGGCATTCGTCACTCAGCCTGGTCGGCAGCGCATGTCTGAATGTAGGCAACTGTAGCTCTGCGTGCAAAGAACCTGTGGAAGTGGTAGATAACGATGGAGCCGAATCTGGGTGCTTCTGTGCCACATCATCCTAGTTAGGACGCGGAGATGCCGCCCCTGGTCATAGTGTGCAGCAATTGCTGATTGAGGCCAGCACACGTGGTGGGGGTGTATTCCGGCCAACGATCACCTATCAGCCTTGCATGGTACCAGAGATTCGTCACCGCTAAGATGCACCGGTGTGGGGGCAGTAGTCAGTCGTTCGTTCCAATAGTCCGGTCACAGGTTAAGCGGTTGACGGTGACGCCGACTGTGTGGTATAGCTCGAACGTGCTCTACATATCGCGATCAAACATCAGTGATGATCTACCATGGTACATCCGTACTGGGGTGCAGTAGCCTGCTGCGGAAGCCTGATGAGATCGCTGGATTGTAGTGGTGGTAAACATCCGCCCACAACTGTCAGACTTGATGCTGCGAAGAGATGAAGAATTCTCCATTTTTATTGATACGGAGTGACTTCTGTGTCAAAAGGGGAAATGAAAGAAGATGGCTGACTGTGGCGTCGCCAGAATAGGACAAAGCGCGCTCACGTGACGCTACTTTAACCTTCTTGGGACTACCAAGATTCGCTGGCTTCACGCCAACGCCGCAAAGTTTACGCTGAAGTCAGCCCACATGGCAGAGGGAGATCACCAACAGGACTCGACAGAGGAGCCACGTCAAGCGTCAAGCTTTCTCCTCAGGCGCTCTCCCGTCGCTATTTCTGCACGGCCGTCCACTAAAATGGGTCACTGTCAGCCCCATCAACCTCCCATGGTTACGGTCCATTGTTAGCTTTGTGGCTTTATCGCACCGCCTTTACCCCTTGCTCAAGAGTCAGTCAGCCAAGGTCGACGACGAGGTGCAAGCATCGTGCAATGGTGTGGCTGACCGGCGTTCTACCAAGTCTCGAAACGCCTCTGGTCATTTTGCAGTCAAGGCTAGTTGCTATCGGCTGCCATACGCGATTGTCCATGCGTAAGTATGGAGAACCTTGTATATACGATGTCGACGAACATAATAGTATAAGTACACTGGCTGTGCCCTCTCCATTGAGATCATCACAACAGCTTCACTCAATTCACAGAGCCTCTTCTCTCTCTCACTCCTCGATCAATATCTTCAAACAGTCCACAAGATGCGTTACGCAATCGCCGCCTCCGCCCTTCTCGGCGCTGTTGCTGCTGCTCCTCAGATGATCAACATCGACGCTGCTCTGGCTGTTCCCACTCCTACCATCCTTGGCCCCAAGGTTGAGGAGACCAAGGCTGCTCCTATCTCCTACAACCCCACAGTTGCTGCTTCCGCTGTTGCCGTCGTTGTCAAGGAGGAGGGTGTTATTGAGAAGCGTGTCGTCGCAGACAGCTGCGGTGCGCAGCTCCCCGGTGGTGTTGGCCAAGTCCCTGGCGATGGCAGCGTCTCCGCTTATCTTGACAAGAACGGCGACTTGAGGAAGGCTGCCCAGGCTGCTACAGCTGATACAGCTCCATCGGGCTACACGCAGTCTTTCCAGGACTTGACCGGAAGCTCCCAGCAGGTAGGCTACCTTACCTACAAGAACCTCGACACCTACTCCCCTCAGGCTTGCGCGGACTTCTGCGATTCCGAGAAGTACTGCCAGGGTTTCAACGTTTACTTCGAACGTGACCCCAAGTTCGAGCCCAAGGACGGATGTGCAAACCCTCCCGCAGTCACCAACATCAAGTGCTCGATCTATGGCTACAATGTTGCCGCGAAGGCTGCTACAAACGACGGCCAGTGGCGCGGTCCCCAGGATGCCAACGGTGAATCTTTCCACGTTGTCATCACTGGTTCCAACGGTTACTCCAAGAACAGCAGGGCCCTTCCCTCAATCACCGACTTCAACGCTGGTGAAGCTCTCCCTGCTGCGATCAATGCTCCTCTTGATAACGGCTACGACACATACAACGGCATGAGGCTGTTCAACAACAACCCTTATGACCCCGCTCTCTGCGCTGCTGCTTGCGAGGCCCAGACTGAGTACGATGTCGCACACCCGGCGGCCGATGGCAGCTACAAGGCATGCAACTTCTTCACCTCGTACGTTCTTACCAAGAACGATGTTCCCCTCGGTACCTACTGCGCTCTGTACACTCGCTCGTGGGACCGCACCTACGCCGTCAACACTGGCTTCTTCGATGGCGACGACGTGTACTCCGTCCGCAACGCCGCTTCCTACGCGCTCACCAACTTCAAGGCCTCCGTCAAGCCTACTGCCCAGCAGTAATTGCATCTCCATTGTCGAGACAACACGTGCCTACGCTTTCAGGATGCTTACGAATCTATATCTCTTTCATTTCTTCACTACCAAGACTTTAACGGATTACACATTTACTCATATAGAATAATCTGCAGCAATTCAAAACGATAAAATCATCCTTTCTGCCTCACATGAGTGACGAATTTTCCGACACTGCTAACGAGTATGTGAAATCTCTTGACATCCTCAACAATGCCATACCAAGCCACGACCACTCTATCGAAACCACACTCCAGAACCGCCAACGGTCCAAGATCGGAGTTTGCCTTGATCACATACACATATAACGGGAGCCCTGACAATAGACCTTGCGCTATCGCACTAGCGCGCCAATAGTCTCCTGCATGACAGGTTAGCGTGAAGCGCAACGCCTCGCTCAACACTCATTTCCCATCACGACCAAAACGTCAAAATGTGAGCGTACGCCAAGTTGCATTCAATCCGGCGAGCAAGCAAATATTGGAACACTGGTTGAGTGCGGACTCGGAGGTTGAGAGCGTCATCGTGCAGGGGTTGTGCAATCTCGATGTTGCTGCGATCCTGCTCTGCTGGGGCTCTTGCAAGGTATCAGAGCCGTCTCGTGTGTGATAGATCCGCGGACCGGGGGTGGTTCCGCTCTCAGTCGGGAGTGCGATTCGTGTATCTGCCATACATTCGCTGCGGCCCTGTACAAATGTGCTCCAGGCCCGGACTCGGCGCCATCAAACTTGCTGCGTGTGACTCGATCTTGACAAGAAATGCAAGGGATGCAAGCTCCGATTCAGATAGGACTTGAAAGATGTCTCGCCGGCGACCAAGTTGCACCAAGGCAATCGATGTTTGCCAGAGCAGACCGTGGCATTACAATCCTGCGAGAAGTCCCAAAATAGCGTCGCGTTGTGTCCGAATCCATCCTATCTCACAGTGCGTTGACATGTACGACATTTGCGAACGTCTGCTTCTTCAAAACGACTTCCCTGCCATTTTACAACTATCGCGGAGCGATCTGAGCAACATGGCTGAAGAGTACATCCAGGCCTTCCGTTGTGACTGCCGAAGTCTCGAAATACGCTCGTGCACTCAACCTGGCTGTGAGCTTATATGCCTGTCTGAGTCAGCCAAAGACCTGTTCATCGAGCCGCCAGCCTTATAACGTACGTCGCGTGTCCAGACAGTTTGAGATCCGCCGCGGTTGATGTCCTTTTTACACCCTACGAGTATCTTCGGGACGTTTTTCAGGTACAGGTCCGCCTCGTGGTTCCACTGGATGGGGTAAGCTGTAAGAATAGGCTGAGCACCTCGATGCCTCCTACCTTGTGTTCGACGTTCTCGAAGGTTTCCGGCGAGCTGATGTCAAAGCACAGTAACACTGCGTGGACTACACCGTAGGAGGCGCGGCGCTCCTGGTCGGGAACACGATACATTGCGGAGTAGTCTTGGATGACTATCTCCAGACTGTCCATTCGCTTGGTGAAGCTTGTGGCGGACGGAGAAGTGCGCTTTCTAATATCAGTGACGATTCTATGAACTGGGTACGTGACATACCTTTGGGATGGTCCCTTTGCACCACGCACTTTAGTTCGTTAGTCGTGCCCCAAGATATCGTTGCAATGGACTTACTGGGACAGCCACGTTTTACCACACTGTCCGTCACCCAAGAGTAGCACCTGGCGTTGCATGGCATTCGTCTCAAATCGGCTCAATGGCGACATTGGTGCAGGAGGATCTATTCTCGCCTCATCTTCAATCTCGAATTTGTCTGCTGACAGATCTCTCCTTGAAAATGCGCGATGTAAGTCTGACATCGCGTTTGGACTTTGGCTTGAGGGATTTGGCGAGGCAGGCCCATCTGCTCGACCCATTCCTGGCACTGATGCTGGGAGCTCTACTGCGTAGGTATTGGGCTCTGACGCTGGAAGTTCGTATGCCACGTGTGTTGTTGAAGGGCTCGACCCGCCCAAACAGCTGTCAACGTGCATCCATGCCTCGCCCTCGCTAAGACCGAGCAGACTCGCCGAACATATCGGACAGATGCTCGTCGACGAGACAGCTGGTTCAGGCCCCGCAGAAGCACTGGTGTGCGATTTCCTCTTGGAAGAAAGTCCGAACCTCATTGACTTCTTCGTTCTCAAGCTGGGGTCATCGCTCTTACTCCTGCGCTCCTGCAGAGAGAATGTCTTCGCCAGGGAGGCTGGCAGGAGCGAGAAGCCTTTAGATGATGGTGTATGTGGGTCCGGGTTGGAGTGCTTCGGCCGTTCCACAGAGCTTTCGATCGAGTCGAAAGTCACATTTGGTCTTGCGTTCGATTCCTTGCGGCTTTGTCCTGGATTGTTAGGCTCCGTCCAATTGGATGTATTGATGGCTAGACCAGAATGTTGTGGAAGCACCCTCCCATCCCCAGTCCTCCAGTCTGGAACACGTGAAGAGGTTGAGGCAGCACGTCGGTGTGCTGGTAGGCTGTTGGCCGTCAGCGCAGCATTGGGTCCCCTCCAATCTGATGCGCCCAAATTCACGGCGTTCGATGCAGACACGTTGGCTAAGACTTTGTTTGAAGGAAGATGAGAGTCTGACGCCGCACGCCGTACAGGAAAGTTAGAGTTCTGCACTGCACTTGATGGCATAGGCCGCCCAAACGTTGAATCATTGAGCGAAGGTGACACCATGATCTCCGGTATGTCTTGTAGAAAGCCAGTCGGACTAGTCAAACGTGGGCTCTCGCTGGGCGTGTAGGCCGGTGGGTCACCCTGAGCGTCTGTAGCCGTTGCATCGGGGCTCTTGTTCGAAGCCGAACTGGACCTTTCGTGTTGATGTCGTACGCCTGGATGGTCGTTTGCGGGACGAGCGCCCACCGGTTGCGATGAAAGCGTCACAAGCGTCTTGTAAGCCTTTGTAGCAGCAGCATGCCTCGCTTCCTCTTTGGTCAAGTAATCTGCGACCTTTGCTATCTCTCGTTTTCGAGATTCGTCGGCAAAAACGATGCAATTGTAACCCTCGCGACCGCGACCAATCATGAAAATAGGTTTCTGTCCAAGCTCTTGCTGACAGAGAGAGATCAAAAGCTTAGTGGACGACGAGGTGTCTACACCGCCGCCGAATTTCACAGGGGAAACGATGTTCTCATGCGCCATCGCACTTTTCGGGACGAATTCCGGGAGTTGCGAAGACGATGCTTTTGTTGCAATGTTAGAAATGGATTGGCTCGACGACGAATCGTTGTTACGAGAACGCGCAGCTGGCAGCTTTGGGCTCCATGGGTCTGCGCTTGCGCTGGAAGAAGGAGATAAAGGCAGCTCATCGTTACGATCCGTTAGTGGGGGTATTTTTGTGAGGCCCTGGAGACGAGGCTGCTTCCCTTTATCGATCGGTGGTAGCTCGCTGGATGCAGGTCCGCTCGAATCTTGAGTAGAGCTACGCTCTTCAGTCTGCTCTCGTGTGTGTACGTGATGCTCTCCTTTGGGAGGTTGACTGGATAGATCATGCTTCGCAGCTGATTCAGCGACAGGCAAAGAGATGAACGTCTTCAGATTCGCATGATGACTGCCTAGTAGAGCGGCGTATGCTTCTTCGTCTTCCAGACTACCTTGTTCGTTGCATATCTGTATTAGGAGTGCAAGTGTCTTTTCATAGCCGGTATAACCTGGCTCACGTAGCTTTCTAAAGCCGCGCAACGCCTGTCGGCCGTGCAGCTGAGCTTCGGTGTAGTCTTTGGTATTCATCAGGACCTCACAGAGCCTGAAAGAGTCCCACAAGAAGCGCTCGCTTTTCTTTCCAGTCTGGCGTTCTGTAATAGCGAGCTTCTCTTTCATGGTTGACTTCGCCTGGTCCCAGGACCCCTGCATGCAGTATGTCTCCGTGAGTAGCTCGAGTAATTCAGCCTTCGATACCGCAGTGGCCAGAGTGCTTTGAGACGATGCGAGCGATGTATAGCTCCCAGCCGAAGGAAATCTGGATAGACAGTTGCGCAGATGCCGTTCCGCGCCGTGCAGATCGCCCTGTTCTTTTCTTTTCTTGCCGTTATTGAACAAAGCTCTGACAAGCTCGTGTTCAATATCAGAGTCACTCTCCGATTCGTACACAGTGAACGTATCACCTGTGCTGGCTTCAGAAGGATCTAGAGTCAATGCTTCCACGTCGTCGAATTCGTACACGGTGTGCGAGGACATCCAGCGCTGCATGGGCTCGTTCGACTCCTTTTTAAAGACGTCTCCAAAGTCTGAGCCATACTTTACAGATGCCCTCGTGCTGCCTTCCGGGCCGAGTGTAGTTGATGCAGTTGAAACGACGTCAGCGGCCGATTCCACGCATTCTTTCAGATTCGTCATGGACATAAGCTCCGACTCAGCATGGAAGCCTTGGTTCGCTACGGTACTCTCCAGCTTGCCGATCTTGGCATTGAGGTCGGCACCGAGAGTACGGATCTGGTCGTAGAGTTTGTTGAGATTTGGCATTATCTTCTCAGGTAGCTTGGTGGTAGCCTTTTGCAGGGTCACCTGGTTCCATCTAGACGCACATCAGAGGGATATCCACTGGATGTTCGTTGGGACTTACACGATGATCGTGCTAAGAGAGAGTTGCAAAGCTGCACGATAAGACTGTATCTGCTCGCGGAAGCCTGAGATCTGCGCGACAGCGCTTTTCATTCTGAGTTGCTTGCGCGATGCATCTAGAAACGAGGTGCTCTTGTTCACGCTCGTAAGTAGCGACCGCAACTGATCCAGCGTGCTCTCTCCATCGCTCAAGGATCGCGCGAGATTCTTCCAATGACTGCCAACATGCCCTGTCGCTTGCACGTCTGCTTGGATATCCTCCTGAGCAAGCGTCTCTTTCATCGATTGCAACACCTGCTGGAACCCGTCCACATCGTTCAGAATGCCGTTCAGTGTCGCATCAACCACGCTAACTTCGTCGCGAAACTGCCTCACCAGAACCGTGACCTGGGCCGACACCTGGAGTAGTGTGATGATACTGGCGGTGATTGAGAAGGGGTCCATCGTTGCGCATGGTGTGCGGCGCACATTAGGGCTTGCGAATTGTTTCCTGAGGTTGCGAAGGCGTCGGGAACAGGAGTTCAGCTCCTCGGTTGTTGAGGCTGTGAGTGTGACCAGGTACAAACACAGCCTCATGCAGGCGCACGCCGCACGCCTTTCCGGCCCCCAGCCACCAGGCCGTAAATAGGCACGATCGCACTAACATTTCCCGACATGGCTGGAGACGTTGCAGTAGTAGGAGGAGGGCAGAGCAGGACAATTGACGATGCAAAGAAAGATAACCGCAGACGAAGTGTCTGGAGTGTGTGGGGATCCACACAAAGCTTTTCGGAGATCGCACGCCCACACGTTCCAGCTTTCCTCCACGATCGTTATCCAGCACCTCCAGATGGTTCCACCATCTTGCGTGACATGAGTGGACAGCGCATCTCTCTTGCTAGATTCTCGCAAGTCTCTACACTGGATACCACAGATGGACTGGCGCGATGTTCCACCCCCCCCCCCCCCCCCCCCCCCAACTCATCATTGGAGCGCACGCACGCAGCGAACAAGCAGACCAACATCATGAACAGCGGGCTTGTACAACATGCATCTCCTGAATGCTATGCGCGTCACGAAACCCTGTCCGGTCTCCGCTTTGGTGCATTTGTAAGCAGCCCTCTCCTACTATACGGCCCGACGTCCACAACAACGGTGGACCGACGACCTACCCAGTCAACACGTGTAGACAACTGTAGTCATGGTGCGAAGAATGATATCCGAAGATGACTGGCATAATGTGAAGGACGCAAAGAAGCGCAAGCAGATTCAGGATCGACTTGCACAGAGAGCACGGCGTGAGGACTGTTGAATTCGGAGCTGCAAATGCGTGCTAATTGCTCACTTAGGGAGACGTCTGCGCGAGGCAAGAGATGGTGATGTGGTCTCACATCCATCACTGGGCTCTACCAGTCAAAGATCAGACAGCAACGGGCTACCCGCCTCCCACGACCAAAATGCAATGCAATTAGCCATGCAGGACGTGCAAGCGTGGGCATCTCCCAACGCCGTAAATTCCGACTGGCAGCTCGTCGAGCTCGATAGCCTCGACAGTCTTCCAGAGCTAGCCTCAAGCTCCGCCGACACGCACCTCGCGGACCCAGATCTCCTGCCAAACAACCTGCACGTCCTTCCATCGCTGCTGTCCACGCAACTCACCTTACCCATGACCGTCTGGACCGCGCTCTTCCTCAACGGCCAGATCCTTTCCATTCCCTGCAGCGCAATCATAGCCTCCAAGTCCTCACCATCCACACCATCAACCCCCATCACCCTGCGCCCTACGGCCTCGCAGCTCACCACAGTCCACTTCCAGTGGATCGACCGACTACCGTTCCCGAAACTGAGAGATAGCCTGATCAAGCTACAGAGCGTGGTGGACATGGACGAGTTCCTGAACGACATCTTCGTCGCGCCGAGCTTCAAGATCCGAAAGGGAGGCGAGAGCTGGGACGCGCGGGCGTGGAGCATGGAGGCCGGGTGGGCGCAAAAATGGGGCTGGCTATTTTTCTGAGGGCGAGCGCGGGCTTATCGAGCGCAGCGACGAGCGCGAGGGGGGGCTCGGGAGGGACCAGGGACGCCAGGCGGCTTCCGTGCTCTCCCGCGCGCGCCGTGGGTGGGCACCCCGTTGACGCACAGCATGCGGCTGGCCGTCACCGAACTCCCGTTCCACGACTCTTTGAGCCTGACAGCGGCCCACGCGCTCGACACGCTCCGCGTCTCACATCGTTCTGCGCAGGTTTTTCGAAGCACGTGAAACTTCTGTGGCTGTTTACTCGAGTCTCTGCGTCATGTAGATTGAGGCTGCTCACCACTCAGACAGGTGCTCTGTTTGATGCGCCCTTAGGCGCGTCGATGCCTCATTTCGGGTGCTGCGGTGCCTGGATCCATGAGCCGTACAAGCAGGCGGAGTGCTTCAGCTGTGTCGTTTGCCGGCTCTAATCTCTTTAGTGAGGCAGCTAGTCAACGGTGATGGTCGTTTTTAGGTGTAGTGAGCGGTGGTGAAGTTTATTTGGCGCGGTGCGAGACGTTGCCGCTTGAGCTGAGACGGGTCCATCGGATAACGGCTGGGAAGACTTTCCAAGGCACACATCCAAGGCACACAAGAAGTCGAAGAGCGCAATTCGGACGGCCGAGAGTCGATTCTGGCAGGTAATCACGTCGATGAGACGGGTGATAAGTGCACTGAGTGGGTGGATGCTCTGCATTCGCACTCTTCCTGCAGCCAAGTTGTTGACGACTCTAGCCCGAACCTCCGATACTGCCCTATTAAAGAACTCAACCATTACTATATCGCACGACGTGCATGCCGAGCTCCGCTCTCGAACCCGTTGTGGACGTGCCTGCACCCCGTTTCACCTATCTCGAAACCCATCGTGCGACAGATATCCGAAACGGGCAATGCATGAACGATACGACCTTGTCACTATTGCGCAGCACACCTCAAACCAACACATTTGCGCCACGATACTGCTCGTCCACGCATATACAAGTACGTGGTCCTGTGGTAAGTGCGGTCCAGTTTGCGGTTGCGATACTCACCGACATTGCAAAGCCACGCACGGACATATACATACACTGTTCTTTGGAACGCGACGATCGTTACCGGTATACAAGTAGGGAAAAGAAGGATGAAGATCACAATCCAGATCATATTGTTGGTGGGTTCTGCAGCGGTTGCGCTCGCAAGTCCTGTTGCTGGCCCTCCCAAGCCTAAGCCGCCACCCATGCCGAAAGATGATGGGTTGCAAGGTCAGGTTTCAAGTGTTGGACAATGTCCAGTATGAGAATTGCCTTCCTGATCTGTTCGTCGCAAGTGCTGACCTTCCATAGAAAGACTGCTGGAACGAGGCCGCTAAAAAGGCAGGCTGTGATCCCAACTCGGACGACGATTGCTTGTGTGGTCCGTTCTTCGATGCAGTCACCTACTGCACAGCGCAGGCATGTAGTGCGGGCGACAACCTAGGTATGTTTGTTGCGGTAGTCTCATCTTTCGAGGGAATGCTAACATGTGCTTCTTAGCTGCGTTGAACTTCCTGTCCGTTGACTGCTGATAGAGCACCACGGACAAGCCACCTCTCCGACTTTGGAGTTGTTAGGTCGGAGGTTCCTTCTTTGGAGGAATGGTCGATATTATTCGACGATGCATAGATACCCCGACACATTAATGAACCCTCTCATATTAACATGCGTACTTGCGCATCAATCCTGCTGGGCTGGATGTCTACCGTGGATCTGTGCTTAAGCATGTCATGCGTGTGATGTCGACGAGCACGTCAGTTGCCGCAGTTTGAATGACCATTGCTGTAGTTCAATCCTCGGCTACCAACACGAGGCTTGCTAATGCTCGCGTGAACTCGGAAGCCGTGGTCTGCGCTAGTACGGCTGTGGCAATGATCAGTCACACTGGGGTCTCCGCAAACTTAGACTGGTAACTACTGTGGGAGTTGCAGATCATCACGTATGATCAGATAAGCTTCCAGAGTTCAAAGGCCGACAGTCACCGTGGCGCCGATCGGCTGATGTGTTTGCCGGCGCTGACGACTCGTGGTGAAGGTGCAGCGGATCAGATCTCATCTCCTCTTACGCAATGTTTCTGTTGAACTGAGCATCTCAGCGCCTCAGACACGCTTCGTGGTACCTATGTTTCCTAAGCATACGCGTCAGGTCTCATGAGAGGCTCGTCTATGCACGCAAGTGACACGAGACGAGGGTAGCGATCAACTGTCATCCAACCAGAAGGGGCTGACTCTGGTCGAACAGGTGCGACGATCAGCCTCGCTCAAACTGTTGAAGGGGCTGGTGTGAGGTTCATTGCGCGTACTGCGGCCACGGATCACGGGCAGACTGGGGCTGTGGGGTAAATCTGGAGCAAAGGGAGCACTACTTCCAGTGGCCAAGATATTGAAGTGCGACTGCTGGTGGCTCGACGTCCTATCGTAAACCGAGATTGGTGTTGTGCACGGGCAGGCGATGCAATTCGGCCGAACGGAGTTTGCTGTGTTATGCATCTGGAGCTAGGAAGGAGCGGACTCGGGTTGGAGTTTGTCATTGGTTTGCTGTTGGCTGGTGGAAGGTTATTTGTGTTGGCGGATGCGTCACTGTTGTTTTGGGCGATCTTGCTGCACCAAGGGGTCGACCTTTGCCCTGGTTTCATGGCTCGCACGAACCGAGCCTTCGTGCATGTTTCATTAGAGGCTGCGTTTCTCTGTTATGGCGATTTTGTCCGGCAAAGGCCACCTCGTGACGTGGCAATCAATCTTGTGGAATGACATCAAGTAGTTGTTGAGCGCATTGAAACGACGACGAAAGGTTGCGCGCAATCGCAGGTCCTGATGTCATACCGCTGTCGCCGAACATCGAGGCTGCTTCTTTCGCCTCCAAGTCGGGCCTTTGGACACGTTTAACGGGTATGGTGCGGGGCCCCAGAGAGGCTTGACCGATGACACCGGCTGAATGAGGCTGAAAAGGATCTCTTTGAGCGCATAACATGGATGCTTCGGATGTACGGGAAGCGTCGGCACGATGCGTCGCAGATGGTTGCACAGCGATCTGAGAGTACAAAGTACCGCGGTGATTGCTGCGGAGTCGTAATGACGATACGTTCGGTCGTGTCAGGAGATATGTTGGGCGGACAGCTTGCAGAAGTTTCTCACAGCGGGGTCTCGCTGAGCCAACGGATTGCGTCTCCCGGGGGCTGCGCAATGGGCACTCGTGTAAGCACAGCGTCGCATGTGGAAATTGTGTTCGTGGTGCCAGCGTGAAGCTGGAACCGTGTGCAGTTAAGGCGATAGTTAGTTTGCGGCAACGAGAAACTTTGCGCGCGATAAGCAGCTGTGATAGAGGCGCAGAGTTTGGCTTTGGTACCTGCAGCTTTGCCTGCAAGAGGGCAGCACCGTGACGCCACCAACGTAGCAGGCGTCTCCACCTGGGGTGGCCGGGTTGCCCGAGAATTTCCGAACACGTGCAAAGGGCAGAAGATGTCGTTTGCGGCGAGAATTTTCGCTGCGACTGTCAGCGGCAGCTGCCCCGAACAATCTCCAAACTTCTGCCATGCTAGCGACGAAGCGGGGCGGGCTATCGACGGACTAGGAGCGTTGTCAGGAAATTCTAGCATCGAAGAAATGTAATAATAGCGGACCCTCGCCCACGACTGGCTCTCAACGCGCCGAGAATCCTGCCACACCGGGTTGACGTGCACTCGAGCGTGAAACAGAAAAGTCTGACGCGTTGACGCTGGACCGCTATGGGCGTCATACACAGCTCAGGGGAGACCTGGCGTGCCCTGGAGATCTCTCTGCCTGGCGAAGGAAGCCGACAGGGGTCGCCCCACTCAGATATCGAGTGCGGATTGAGCGAATGGGGCTCCGCAAGGGCCGATATGCGTGAGATAGAGGGAATGCGGACATCGCCTGTTGGCTGCTGAGCGCTGCGGCGACGCTGGAGACGCTGCAATCTGCGCGTCTGCGTGAAGATTGGCTGTCTCGGGGAGAGCGCTGTGTGCTTTGTGCTGCGCGCTTCCACCGACTGGTGCTTCGTTCGCAGTGCAACGCGGAGATGTACATGCATCGCGGGCCGAGGAGCTGGGTAGGATGCGTTCCTGGCGAGCAGGTGTGGTGTAATGACCGTCTCCTGATATTTCCCCTGCCAGCGATTGAGTGCATGCTGCTGGCTCCAAGAATGCATCCGTGGGTGCTTCTGCGTGGGTGGACGCTCACCATACCCCAGACCAGCCCCACGGGATATGGAGGCCTCCACAGACTCAGCGGCAGTGCAACACACCAGAGGCGCTGGAGGTCATCAGCAATGCCCAGGGGCCATCTGACAGGACCCGTCGCTGAGAGACATGATGCCCTGCGAGAGTGAAGTGACTTTCTTCGACCATGTGATCTTGGGCGGTCTCTTCGAAGGGCCCAAGGAGTCCCGCGCTGTATCGTGCAGGAGATATTGGTCGTCCTCGGTTGTCCCTCTCTTGCAGCCTGCTTCGAGCCTGTCCGGCGTGCTGGCGCAGCCATAGTCAGCCTGCCCGTGGCACCGTGGCAGTTGCTCTCGTCTCACACCCTACCGGGGCGACAGGATGCACAACAACAGGCCAGGCGCAAGGGCGACGACACCGCTAGAAGCGCATGAAGCTGCCAGGCGCTGCGATGGCCCTGTCCCAGAATAGCGTCAACTCCAGGCAGGTGTGACGTCTCGTGGATGGCTGCTCTTATCTCTGGGGCGGGGCTCCCTTCTCCAGACAGTGTCCTGCACATTTCCTCCGGCGGCCCTGGTTTGGTACTGTTGTCCGTGTGAGCTGGTCACATCACCGCTGCACTGCACAGCTGCTGTTACACGCACGGCTGCCGCCCGCTCACTCCGCTGCTGCGCTGGCTGCCAGCTCTGCCAGTTCTGCCAGCTCGAGGCCTGTTGCTGCTTCACTGCCCGTCTCCACACAGAGCCTCAGCAGCGCGACTGCGCGACTGCAGCGCCGTGACCGGGCGTGGTGCGCTCGCCGAGCTTCACCGCTGGCCAGCAGCAGACTCTGCTGCAAATTTGCGTGCCTTTGTCGGGCTCACCAACAAATCCGTGACTCCACCGCAGCCATCGTGAGTGCGGAGACCGAGCGGGCACCCTCCGCTGACAGGCAGCGCCCATCCATCCAGGCACAGCGATCACTGTGCCCGCTTCGCTTCACCAGCACCGGCCCTGCCCAGGAGTGGACGGAAAAGCGCAGGCAGCGGCGCAGCCAGACGCACGCCATCGCTCCGACACGCCATCAGCCATCGCCGACACACGCCAGGTCCGGCAGGTCCCTGCTCCAGACTACTGCGCTCCGCACAGCGACTGGGGGCGCCGCTAGCTGATACGCCTTTGACTCGGCGCACCTTTGAGGTAGCCAAGCCGAGTGGAGCAGTCCGCCCCGTGTCTTTCTTTCGATTCCGGCAGATCCTCGTCAGCACAGGCCTGCCTCAGCGCTGCTCAGCAGCCACCGACCCCCACACGCACAATCCCGCCAACCTTTTGTTCTTATACCTTCCGACGCCCCAGCCATACCCCCCTTCCCCAACTTTCACACGCCGCCTCTGGTGCTAATCACATGCAACCCTTCAATCTGTCCAGCGTACTAAACCCGGAATCTCCCCCGCAGCAGTCCTCCACCATCTCCAACACATCTGCACCCACCCTACCGCCCGCCTCCATGGCTACTGCTACCGTGAGCCTCATGGCGCCGCTCCTGCAGCAGCAGCAGGCCCAGGACGAGCCTCGCCAGGACCTGCCCCGTCCCTACAAGTGCCCTCTCTGTGACAAGGCCTTCCACCGTCTTGAGCACCAAACCCGCCACATCCGCACTCACACCGGCGAGAAGCCGCACGCCTGCACCTTCCCTGGCTGCACAAAACGATTCTCGCGCTCAGACGAGCTCACCAGGTAAGCACTCTGTCTTCTTCTCTGCTGTTCTTCGCCTAACCTCCTCCAGGCACTCCAGGATACACAACAACCCCAACTCAAGGAGGGGCAAGGGCCAGCATGCCGCTGCCCACCAGGCTGCTGTCGCCGCTGTCCAAGCTGGCCTCATCGAGCCTGGCTCTAGTCTGGCGCACATGATGGCCCCGCCTCCACCCAAGGCCATCTCTCGCAGCGCGCCCGGCTCTGCGCTTGGCTCGCCCAATGTGTCGCCGCCTCACTCTTTCTCCAACTACTCGCCCAACGTCGGCAACGACTTGGCCGCTTACCGCCACGGAGGCCTCAGCAGCAACAGCAGCCCCAACGGCTTGTCAAGAAACATGGACCTGCTTGCAGACGCAGCTTCGAGGCTCGAGAACCGCCACGGCCACCACCACTCAAGTCGTCACCACCCCACCAGCCACGGATACCACCCGTACAACAACCACCGCCTTCCTGGCCTTTCTCAGTACGCCTACTCATCTCAGCCAATGTCGAGATCGCACTCCCACGAGGATGACGACCCTTATTCGCACAGGATGACGAAGAGGTCGCGACCGGGCTCGCCCATGTCCACGGCGCCTCCCTCGCCGACATTTTCACATGACTCAGCCAGCCCCACTCCCGACCACACTCCCCTTGCAACACCGGCTCACTCGCCCCGTCTTCGGCCGCACGGATTCCACGACCTCCAGCTGCCACATCTGCGCCACTTGAGCCTCAACCAGAACTACGTTCCCGCGCTTGCGCCCATGGAGCCCCAGACCGACCGCGAGGCGCCGTACATTCCCAGTGCATCTTCTGGCCTGCGGATTGGCGACATCATCTCGAAACCTGAGGGTGCGCAGCGCAAGCTGCCAGTGCCCCAGGTCCCCAAGGTCGCTGTGCAAGATCTTCTCAACGGCCCGTCAAGTGGCTTCTCTTCCGGCAACTCTTCAACAACACCCTCGATAGCTGGCGAGGACCTTGCAAACCGCACTTAAAATTTCCTTACCACTGCATGGATCGGCGTATGGTAGCATTACATGACATTTGTCATTTGGATTAGCGAGCGTTCTACGGAATCATAGATGGAATCATGAGGGCACACCCGTGGAAATTACGACTTCAATTTTGAACTCGACTCCCCAGTAACATAGACTTGCAGATTTTCCTTTGTCGAATTCAATACCCCAGGAATCCTAGCGAATCCAGTCTTGTCTTCTTCTTCTCCCACAAGTTTGCTTTTGGCCTGCAGCCGAGCGCATGGGTACGCCTGCTTATTGGCAGGCTCTGGCTAGATAGCTAGCGCATAATTGAAAATCAAGCATTCCACTCTTACTTCTTGTTACGAGACGATTATGGTTTGCTCGTGACGTGATTCCAGTTCCAAGTGATGCAACGAGAAACAAGAGCAACTAGTTAGGGTTTGTGCAGAACATTCAATCCGAGCCGCTGGGAGCGCGTCCCCTCCCCACACCAACATGTGAGTAGCACACTAAATTTCTTTTTTCCCCGCACTACCAGAGAAAAAGCTACAACACGCATCAGGAGAGCATCACACATCACGACACTTGACACATCTGTCCCGTGGTTACGCGCCCAATTCCCCACGGGCTGTCTCAGCCCAAAGAAGATGCGGTGAAGGTCATCCACGACGCCCACAATGTTTCAGTCGGCCACTGTGCGACCACACACACACTGTTTCTGTCCTGTCCGCATTCCGTGGGCGATAAGCCCTCGGCTCCACAATCGTGGTCTCCGCATTGCGCGGACATTCGTACAAATGTTTGACCTGCTAGCGCAGTTGGCGCAAGAACCCTTTGCCAGCCAAGTTTGGGGGCTGCTATTGCCGAAACCGGCAGGTCTCCATTCTGAGCACATTTTTCACGATGATCGGGCCCCTGCTGTCCCTATCACTGGCCTTATCATTCCTTTTTGTTTCGCTATTTCGGGCGTTTGGCAAACCACCCATGGCTCTCACTCGGCATGCGTCGGGCTTTGAGGCGGCTAGCAATGCCTTGACAGTCATCGCAACCGTCTCGGGCTATCTCCATCCAGATCTGGATCAGCCGTGGTCATCGACATCCCTTCATCTGACGGGCGCCCAGAGATTTCGCAGCTGTACCCCAGACTGGAGCGCAGAAGCGCTGGCGTTCCCCACATTCCTATCTGTCGTGGTACAACGAATCGAAGGCCGCGCCAGAACTTAGATGGTGAATCGGCAGGTAGAACGGGAGGTTACTCCGCCTTTTATCGCCTCGAAGGTTGTCGGCCCGGCAGCTGCGAACGTTGCCCTTTGCAGAGCCAAACGTCAGACCCGAAAAACATTCCATCTCCCTATCGCGAGTGAGCGGCTGAGGTTGGCTTCACATGCCCGCCGATCGCTGGCTCCAGCCTGCGATACGCTCTTCCAAACTGACCTCCATCTCCACAGAACGCCAATCTACAAGACAAAGCACGCCATCCAATAGTTTGCGCTCGTGGGGCCTCATTTCCTTGCAGACTTTCTTTTGAAGGCATGAGACCAGAGTCAGCGAAAGATAAGCAGCTCCACCATTCAGGCTACTTCTCGGCCGTCTCAATGCTAGAGATAACCTCTCCATAACGAATTTACCAGGTATCAATAGTGGGAGCCCCTTGCTGACTCGCCCATCTAGCGAGCTTCTAGACGCATCCGCTTTCGTACAGTGCGAATCCTCCTCCGACTGTGGGGTCTCCACACTTGCCGACTTTGCTCGGAAATGCGAGCGGATAAGGCTGGCCAAAGCGTGCGATCCACTGAGGCGTCGCGCCCGGGTTGAGGGACGAAAGATACTCCGGCGAAATTGCACCATTGAGAGGGGCGGATTGTGGAGATGGAGAGACATGGCGGCGCGACGACTTCTGAATCCGGCTAAGGATCCGCACTGTGAGTTTGTCCGTCACATGAGGCTCACGATGTGTCGGCGGTCTCAGTCGGCATTTTACCGATCGCTTGCGCTTGACCAGGGCCGCGGTTCCTCTGCAACGTCTTTACACGATGGAGATTTTCCCGTGGATGCTACAGTGCAATCTGTCATGGACTTCACCCGCACACTCCAACCGCCTCCGCTCGGACGCCGCTTCGGCGGACCGACTGGATATGTCTAGCGACAACATGCGGCTTTGTTCGACCAGCTATCTCAAAGCACATCGAGACTTCAACCCCGCCTTGCAGCCCGGCGGGTCGTACGGCGGCGTCGTCTAAATCCAACGTCGTGTACCAGGCGGCTGGTATCTCAGCTGACACTCAATATCTAGCCTGCCCATCACCAATTTATTTTGCAGATCTACTATGGCAGCCGCAAATGGTGTTGCCCCTGCATGATGGCTAAAAGCTTGCCTACACAGCACTGGCCGTGGGTTCGTGCCAGATCTCGTTCTTTGTGACCACGTCTTCATTCACAGACACTGCTCTGTATCTAGTGCAAAGGTGTCGTCAGAGCCGGAGTGAGCCCTTCCGCCGGCATGGACTGCAGATTTCCAGAGCGATGACAGCATGAGCACATGCTTTCACATGCTATGCAGACACTGAGGTTGTAAACTTTCTGCGACAGAGCACTGCCAATGAAATTTCAAAAGGTTATCCGTACAGCATACGGCCCCTCATCCAGATGGTCGACATCATCTTGGACAAAGCATATGCAGCCCAGCGAACCCAATCCCATGATACAATGTTGGTCAGCGCACCGCGTCGAGTCTGCTTTTCGAGCTGCAAAGTCATCATCAGAAGCTGTTCCGTTGAGATGTACCTGCGTCACCCACCTGTCCTTTCACATGCCAGCATGTGAATCCTCCAGCCCCCACGCCATCCCAAAACCGCGACCTATCCTCCCTTGGCTACCCCAGACCTTTTCCGCCGCCTAGCCCGTTTAGCCAGACACCCGCGGTTGAACGGACCGGTAAATACCCAGTCACAGCAGCCCCTGACCGCGCACCGCCGCAGACCCTGATGCACGAAAACACGCCGGAGCCTGCATCCCGCAGTAACCCCGGGATTCGATACTTCGCCCGAGGTCACTGTCGCCCGAGCTTGTGCGGGAAAATACACAGCGAGCGGTCCTGGTCGGCTGCCCGTCTATTGACAATGTTTCAGCTCGGTGCAACGCTGACGCCGCGCTGGGCCTTCGACATGCCTGATTGAGAGCCGCCCTGCGCGCCCCGCGACCAGACACGCCCGCGCTGCGAAGGGGTTCCCGTGGCGCAGCCTGAGCGCGCGGTGGAGCTCGGGAGAACTCAGGGTCGTGGCCCGGCACAAACACCTGCGAGCAACGAGCACGTGCGTGGCAGACGAGACATGGCCCGGGCCTCTCTCGCTCTCGCAAGACGGAGGTTGAGACTGCGGCTCGGCCACCGAGGCGAGCTGTGTCGAGTCGTCGTACTCTCGTACTCACCCCGTCGTGTGCGTTTGAGGTTGACAGCCGGCACAGCTCACGACCTCGCGGACGCCCCTGGTATCGCCCTACACGCACGCCCCCAAGGCACCCGACGCGTAAGCCTCGATCTGCCCCTCTGACACGACATCCTCGCACTCCAACACGCACCGCGATCGCGATCACCGTGGAAGCAGGACAGCACCGTATAGCACAGCACAGCACCTACAGCGGCGCACGGCCCCGTCCGCATCCGCGGCGACGCCCCGGTGACGTGATGTGTGGGGTACGGTTTGGAGATCACGCGTGCCCCAGAGCGGTCCCGCACGCAGCGTGGCCAGGCGGGATGCTGGCCAACCAGTCTGATACCTGATACCTGACACTTGCTGGCCAACCAGCCTGATACCTGACGTCTGCTACCTGGCAGCTTTGCCTGGCTATCCTGCCTGCCTGGCTATCCTGCCTGCCTGGCTATCCTGACTATCCTGACTATCCAGACTACCCTGATCGTCCGGCCAACCCTACCCAGCCAAACCCCCCAGCCTGCCCGTCATGACCACGCCTTGAGAAACCCCATCCAATCCCCTCCCTCCCTGTTTGTCCACGATACCACCGCAAAGGCCCCGCCCGCAGGGTTGTGGAAAACAGCGGAAAAGCCTGGCGGGGTGGGGAGTCGAGGCGCTGACATCAGTCCGTCGGTGTAGGGCTGGTGGGCGAGTGCGTTGAGTGAAGTCAGCGGCGGCGGGGTGGGGGTGTTGGTTGGCAGGGCTGGGTAGGGCGAAATGTGAGGTAGGTAGGGCGGGGCTGGGTGAGGTGAGGTGAGTCATAGACGGCGGGATTGGGGGGTGGGTGTGGCGTGTGGGTGGTGTGGTGTGTTGGTGTGCATAGGCGGTATGGGAGTGTGGTGTGGGGGGGATTGGATTGACACTGGGGTTAGGACTGCGGTGGGACTGCGGTCTAGACTGTGGTGGATTTGATGGGTTATGGATGGTTTTGATGTATATGTACGAACGTGAACGTGGACGTGAGTGTGGATTAAATGTAGATGTAAGTACGTGCGTAAATATTCGGGAATGGAGATACAAGCCAAACTGAAAAAAAAAAAGCTGTGACCGAAATTCGATATCTAGTATCCAGTGTCCGATATCTATTATTTACAACCCAGCACCTAGAATTGAATATCTGTGCCTATTCCATCTCCCCCGTCTCAGCAACTATCGATCACTGTTGCACACCAAAGGCACCACCCAAGGCACCACCCCAACACAACGCACCACCCTACACACTCCCCAACGCTCAACCCCATCTCACCCTGCAACACAGGCAAAGGCGAGACCACGCCCCCCGAGCACATAGTCCGCGCTTGAGTCTCGGTGGTAGAACGGCCGTGAGCCGGAGCAGCGGATCGCGGTATCACCGGATGCGCGCGTTGGACGCGGAACCGCTGTGTTGTACGGGGGGGTGGAGGGTTGGGGGGCGCGGAGAGTGGAGTGTGGAGTGTGGAGGGTGGACTGGGGGCTTTGTATGGCGTACTTTGAATTGTAGGTATATATCGTACTGTAGACTTTGCGTATCGTGCTTTGAACTCTGCACATTGTACATTGGAGTTTGCGTATCGCACTTAAATCTTTGTATGTCGTGCTTTGAAACCTGCATGTTGTATCGTACATTTGACTTCTGCGTATCGTGCTTTGAAGTTTGCGTTTCGTACATTGAAGTTTGCGTTCCGTGTTTTGGAGTTTGAGTATCGTACATTAAACTCTGCACATTATACTTTGAACCTTGTACATCGTACCGCGTAGACTCTAGCGTCTAAGTCCACGCTGTAAAATTCTGGTGTTAGAGAGGCCATAGTGTAGTGACTTTAGGGCTCGAGCGGAGAGTCTAGTATGGCGAGCTTGACCTGCAGGGCTAGATACGAATAGCACTGTCTGCACGGTGAAAGCTATATGGAATCTCGTACTATTCACGGCAGTAACAGAGGGGTTAAGCGGAGTGCAAGAAACGGGGCTGGAGAGGGAAAGGGCCAGAGCGAATGTCCGAGTGAAGGGTCAGACCAAGTGAAGGGTCAGACCGAGTCTCAAAGCGACAATCAGCACCCAAGACCCTCAGAGTATGCAGTAGACAGAAAGGCGAGCGACGGGACGTTCGCCTGAAAACATTTGGCTGAGTTTATCTTTCATTTTTGTTTTTTTCTAATAATTTCGTTGAAGCAGCGGTCGGGATGGGATTTGAGGTGGACGGGGCTCAAGAGGTTGCGGCAGAAGCCACGACCAAGTCCCCCAGCAGACGGAGCCGGAGCCGGAGACGGAAACAGAGACGGAGACGCAGACGGAAGGAGAAAGAGCGTGACGTCGCGTCGCGTGGCAGAGTCGCGTGGCAGAGCCTAGTTTGACATAGTTTGACATAGTTTGACATAGTTTGACATAGTAGAGCATGGCAGAGCAGGGTAGAGCAGGGTAGACCGTAGTACAGCACGCGGTAGTCGAGCTCGACGCAGGATAGTGCAGCACAGCACAGCGCACGATGCAGACAGCAAACGAAGGCTGGAAGACTGGAAGACATGGCAGAGTGAAGTAGACAGCATGATGAAGTGAGAGGCGGCCTGCGACTCCCTACACTACTACTCCCCGCTCGGAGTGAGCGAGAGCGAGAGCGCGAAGGGGTGTGGAGAAGCAGCAGAGAAGGAAGAAGCAATGGAGAAGGGAGAAACAGCCGAGAAGGCAGAGAAGGGAGGTGAGGAGGCGGACTGAGCATCGCGTGAGGCCGGAGAGTGCGATACATGGCCGCGCGGGAGGGTGTGGTACGTACAGTCTGGGTAGCGTAGTAGCACAGCGTGGTATAGGACAGGCAGCAGAGGACAGGTACATCAGAACCTAGTGCAGGGCAATATAGCATGTGCAGAATAGTACATGAAGGTACATGAGGGTACATGACAGATACACGAGGTACATGCCTACACCACCACGGTCCTTTTGCCCACCCACCACCGCACTTCCTGCACCCACCGCAGTGGAGGAAAATCTGGGTTCCTCTGCTGAAACGCCTCCACCACCTGTGCTCCACCGCACTTCGAACTACTGAAGGGTACAGGACTGTGCATACACGGCGCCACAGGCCTCTTGGAAGTGTATACTACACACTGCACACTGCACACTGCACAGCACACTGCACTGCACACCCCAGCCCACACCCCCTCGCCAACCCGCCCACACCACGCCCACACCACGCAACCACACGTGCAGCGCCCGGCACGCCCGTACCTGCGCGCCCGCCGCACCTCGCACCCCAGCACACGAGTATCGATAAGCCATGCATCTCAACAGCAGCCATCTCGCGCACCTCCGCCAGGCGCTGGAGGGCGCACGCACCTGACCGCACGCACCCGGCCGCACTGTCGACAGGCATCGTCGACACTGATGCAGGCCGCACCGCCCGCAGGGGAGCGGTGTGTGTCAGTGCGCTCGCGAAGAGGAAGGTGCGCTGCGCGGGGGCAGAGTGGCTGGTTGGAGGCGTGATAGGCGGGGGGGCCGGAGAGCCGGAGTGCCGGATTGGGTCGCGGGGGGGATGGCGGGGAGACAGACGGGGGAGATTGTGTGCAGTGGGCGACGGGCTGCGCGCGATGCTTTGGGTGCGGAGCGGAGAGGTGCATGGGACTGGCGTGCGAGACGGGCTACGTGACTGCGTGACTGCGTGACTGCGACTGGCGATCCTCCGCCCCCGCAGATTAGGTACCCCGCTCCCCTATAGCACGCCGCGTATGATCGGCCGCGCATGCATATTCACCCGTTTATCCACACGAGGCAGGCGGACCCGGGGGCTCGGGTCGCGGGCTGCGGGCCCCGGGGCCGAGGGGGCAAGGCAGGGGGTGGTGCTGTGCTCCGTTTCCAAAGCGCGAGGGCGCGTCGAAGCCGGGCCGGGCTGCGTCGCGCATACACAGATTGGCTTGCGAGGCGATGTTGCTGACGAGGCGGTTGCTGACGGGGCGTGGGCGCATGTGAGGCGACTGGCGGTGAAGGGCGCGTGACTGGCGATCAGGCTGGGATTGGGGCACCCCACGGGGCGAAGCCGTCGCGGGCGCCGGGAGCGTGATCGGTGGGCATGTACGATTGTCCGATGTGTATCAGCCGTGTGGGTGCCAAGGCTGGGCGCATGGTGAGAGGTACTTGCAGTCGCAGGCAGAACACGAGGCTCAGTCGGATGAAGTCCGCAGTGCCTTGGGGCCACGTCCTTCTGATGGGACGTCATTGATGAGGCCCTCGGCGGCGACGGCGTCGTCCTCGATCCAGCCGTAGACGTCGTCCGAGTTGGGCTCCTCGTTCTCGTCGACGTCGTCAAAGGACCGCTTCGGGGGCCGCGGCTGGATAGGCAGCACCATGGTCGTGGCGGTGTCGTCGGTGGTGAGGTTGATGTCGCAGAGGCCGTGCTGAGTGCGTTAGCCTGTCGTCATACAGCCACTGTCTCGGACTCACCCTCTCGATGGCAAACGGCACGACGCAGCCCACGCCGCCCTCGTCGGCCAGGGCCACGCCGCGGCGCTTGACCAGGCCGGCAAAGCGCGTCTTCTGCAGGCGGGCAGCCTCAGGGGCATCGCGCGCAGGCACCCAGTCGCGGAACAGCAGCACGCGTGCGGACACGCCGTTCTCCCACTCGACGCCGGCCATGGCGGGCACCAGCAGAGCGCGCGACGGGCCGCGGATGCGCGTGATGGTCTGACACGTGACGACCACGGCGATGTCGTGCTGCGCCGCGGTCCGGCTGAGAGCGGCGATCAGATCGGTGACGACGGCGTAGCGGCGCGCGGCGGCCCACTTGGACTGGTCCGTCTTGCGCGCGCGGTCGTCGGTGCGCGGGTATGCGTTGTCGACGAGCGTGGACAGCGAGTCGACGACGACGAGGCTCGTGCCGGGGCGCGGGAACGACGGCGGGGGGTGTACGAACAGGGCCAGGACGTGGGCGAGCGTCGGCGCGGCGAGGCAGTGGAAGCGGCGGCGCTGGTCGGCCGTGGAGGCGGGTGTCGCGGTCGGGGAGTCAAGTGTTGGGGAGTCGAGCATGGTGTCGGTCGGGGAATTGAGCATGTCGTCGAGGCGCGGGGCGACCAGCGGGGCTCCCGCTCCATCTGAGGCTGTTAGAGACACACTGAGGCGAGAGACACGACGCACCAATCCAGTAGACGTGCTGGCCGTCGCCCAGGGCGCGCGCGGCCGCCTGCAGCAGCAGCGCCGTCTTGCCCACGCCCGGCGGCCCGTACACCTCCGCCACCTTGCCGCGCGCCCATCCGCCCGCGACGGGCTGGCCGGGCAGGCTGGGCGGCGCGAGCAGCTGGTCGAGCTGCATGAGGCCCGTCGGCACAGCGCGGGCGCGCGCGTGGAGGCCCTGGAGCGCCTGCGAGGCCGACACGGTCGGCAGTCTGTCTGTGGCTCGTCAGCGCCGGGCGGGCATGCGTGGGACCATGCGTGAGACCATACGTGAAGACGGAGGCGCGTCGTCGGCCATGGTCGAGTCCGCAGCAGTCTCGAGACCAGGGGTGCCGCATGTCGACGCGTTGCGCTGTTGCGTCTGCCGCGCGCTGTCACGGGCAAACGGCTGACTCGCCCGAATCCTTGTCTCCTTCCGCTTTCAAGCGCCAAGTCAACACCAGCACCGCCTCGCCCCAGAATCCTGAAGCCACATCGCAATCGCGATAGGGGCCGGGTACAAGACAAGGCCGTCGCTGCGAGACCTGCGTGAACACCACGCTCCTCTCTGCACAACATGCCGTGGGACAACACCCCCATCCGCCCGTCGGGCGAGATCCCGACCATCACGAACAACGTCCTGGAGTGGATGATCAACAAGGTCGGCCTCGAGATGACCCCGCGCACCGTCTACACCACCATCTTCGTCACCCTGTCGCCCGCCCTGCTCGTCCTCTTCTTCGCCCTGTTCCAGCGCGACCGCGCGCCCCCGCCCCCGCCAGGATGCACGAGGCTTGGCGTCCCCGGCCGCGGCAACTTCGAAGACCAGTACTCGAAGAAATACGCCAAGGGCGGCGACCCCACGAAAGAGAAGCCCTGGACCGTGAAAGCCCTGTTCGTCTACCCCCTCAAGTCCGCGCGCCCCATCGAGCTCGACAACACTGAAGTCCTGCCCTCCGGCCTGAAATACGACCGCCACTTCGCCCTCGCCCACCGCGTCACCAGCCTGCCCTCGCCCACGGGCAAAGTCACCTCGGAATGGCAGCCCCTCACCGCCGCCAAGTTCCCGCGCATGGCCACCCTCGAGACCGCCCTCTGGATCCCCGATCCCTCCGCGCGCGGCTACGCCCCAGACAGCCCGTGGGTGCGCGCCGGCGGGTGCCTCAGCATCCGGTTTCCGTTCTCCCAGGACACGGATTTCTCGCTCCAGGGGCTGCGCGCCTGGGGCAAGATCCTGGCCGCTCAGCTCGGCGGGCGCCCGGAGCCGATGCTGGAGATCCGCGTCCCGCTCGATCCGCCCGCGGACCGCATCAAGAGCACCGGGTGCGGGACGCAGGAGCTGCGGGTCGGCGCCACGGGCGTGCGTGCGCTGGATCTCGGACCCGAGGTTGACGCCGAGATGCTGGCGCGGCTGAAGTACACGCTGGGCACCACGAACCCGATCAGCTTGTTCCGCGTCCCGACCGCGGGGGTGCGCGATGTGTGTCGGCCTAAGGGCGAGAAGGGCGTGGATTCTGTAAGCCCCCCCCTCCCTCTGTTTACCCCATACCTGACCGCCGTGTCGAACGTCGTGTTGAACGCCGTGCTAACATAACCCAGTACCCACTAACCCTCCTCCCCCTCTCCACCCCCCACGCCCTCGCCGCCGCGCTCCCGCGCTCCCAGGCCATCGAGGAGATGTTCAAGTTCCCGACCATCGACGCGCTCTCCTTCCGCGCAAACATCTACGTCACTGGCCCGCCCGCGTTCGCCGAGGATTCCTGGACGAAGGCGAGGATCGGCGGGGTCGAGGTCGCGGTTGCGTGTCCACGGGAGCGGTGCGAGGAGGATGGGGAGGGCGGGTTTAGGGTTGTTGGGGAGGGGAAACAGGGTGTTGGGGTGTTGGGTGGGGTTGTAAGGGAGGGGCCGATTAAGGTGGGAGATCAGATTGAGGTGTTGGCGACAGGGACGGGGTCGTTTGTGGCTGCGTGATGGGGGGGAGTGGAGTACTCCAAATGAATGCATTTACTGCATGTGGACTGCGGCGTGACTGAGGGCGCGAGTGCTGTGCCAACGACTGGCGCGGCGTGAAGAGGTGCTGTGCTTGAGTAACATGTGCCCTTTGAAAGCATGTGTGCACGCCACTTGTGGGTCTTTCCGCGGCGGAACGCTGGCTGGGCGTTTGTGGAAGGGCAGCGCGCGCGCTCTGGGGTGTGCGCGCGCTGAGGTGGGTGTGGGGGCGAGAAGTAGAAGCTGTAGACGCAGAAGCTGTAGAGGCAGAGAAGCAGTAGAAGCAGAAGCACAGAAGGAGCAGAAGTAGACGCACGGTAGAAGCAGAGAAGCAGAGAAGTAGAAGTAGAGAAGTAGAGAAACACAGGAGTAGAGAAACAACGCAAACCCACAGCAGAACCACAGAGCAGCCATATGTTCAACGGGTTTTGTGTTTCACCACCTACGCAGAGTGAGAGAGAGCGAGAGGGAGAAACCAGAGACCGAGCAGACATGTCCACGATAATGCCTGGTTTTCTTGCATGGCAGGGCGCAGGCGGCGACGCAGAAGGTGTGCTTGGTTGTGTGCCTTGGGGGGGGGGGGGGGGGGGGGTAAATGGCTAGGCGAGGAAGTTTTTGAGCGCGCGGGCAGATGTTTCTGGTGCAATGTCGGGTTTTTGTGGATTCCAGGGCGCAGGACAGATAGATGGGGAAGGGTTGTGTTTGTTTCTGTGCCTGGACGGGGGACATTGCCATGTTTCTATAGGTGTTTAAGCGCATGTCGGGTCTATTGTAGTCTTTTGAGGCTGTGGACGGACACATTTGGACGAATGGATGGCTTTTGCAGGATTTCTGGGCGCAGGATAGATAGATAGGGAGGGGTTGTGTTTGTTTCTTGCCTGGACGGGGGACATAGCCCTAACGAGTGAGGCTTCAAGCGCATGTCAAGCCTATCAAAGTCTTTTAAGGGCGCGGACAGATATATTCAAGAGATAGCTAGCTTTTGCAGAAGTTTAAGGCACAGGACAGACACGCGCGGAAGAATTATATTTGTGTTCGTGCCCAGAGAGGGGACATGGATGTGTTGAGTGTTTCTTTAAGCGCATGTCCTCATTGTCGACGTCTTTTGAGGCTGTGGACAGACACATGACGAGGGACCTCTAGCTTTTGTATAGATTCAAGGCGCCGCAAAAGCCATGGTTGTGCCTGTGCATAAATCGGACATGGCCAGGTGGGAAGAATCTTTGAGTGCAAATCCAACTCATCATAGCATTTCAATGCCGCAGAAGGACACATTTAACTGAACCTCTAGCTTTTGCAGAATTTCAAGGCGCTGTAGAAACCGTGATTGTTTCTACGCCTGAACGGGGGACATCGCCATTTTGTGTGATCCTTTAAGTGCAAACCCAACTCATCGAAGCATTTCAATGCTGTGGACGGCCACATCAGTAGTGACCCCTAGCTTTTGCATGATTTCCGGGCGGAGGGCAGAGCAGGGGACATGGCTTTACTCATTATATCTCTTTGAGTGCAAATCCAACTTATCAAAGCATTTCAATGCCGCCGGTGGCCACATCAGAAGTGACGCATAGCTTTTGCATGATTTCCGGGCGGAGGACAGAGCAGGGGACATGTGTCTTTCGCAAGCGGATTTTTAAGTGCAAAGCCAACTCATCGAAGCATTTCAATGCCGCGGACGGACACATCGGAAGGAAGGCTAGACTGTTGGTTCACTGTAATGGCTGCATTGTGGTGTTTCAAGCGCATAACAGGTCCTGTTTTGCATTGCGAGGACACAGAAGAACATGAAAAATTTGATATCCTCTTTGAAACGGAGGATGGCATGTAGGGTTTGAGGGCATGACCGGGTAGTCGGTTGAGGATTGAGGGCGCAGGCAGACATGAAAGGTCTGCTATTCTGATTAGACATCGCCGTGTTTAGTGAAGCTTTAAGCGCATGGGCAGATATTCAGTCTGTTTTTAGGGCGCGGGCAGACATACGACGATAGTGTTCCATTTTTTAACAGTGTCAAGGTGATTGCTGAGCTTTAAGTGTGTAGGCAGAGTAGTTGGTTTGGGATTGCGAGGGCGCAGACGGACATGCAAATTTTGCTGCTTCCTTTGTGGACGTGTCCTTCCTCAAGGAAGTTTTGAACGCACGGATAGTTGGCAGTTTCCAGGGCGCGGACGGACATTTCAGGTCAGCAACTTTCTTTTTTTAACAGAGGCGAGGTCAGAATGCTGGGCTTTGAGCGTGTGGTCAGGGTAGTTGGTTTAGGATTGAGGATATAGGCAGATATGCGAAGTCCTACTCCTGGACTGGACATGGCCATATCTCATAAGGCTTTGAGCGCCTATCCAATCATTGAGCTTTGTCTAGGGCGCGGACGGACATTTGAGCTTGACAATCTCTTTTTTCAACAGAGGTAAGGTCGAAATGTTAGGCTTTAAGTGTGCGAGCAAAGTACTTGGTTTAAGATTACAAGGGCGCAGACGGACATGAGATTCCGCTACTTTCTTGATTGTACATTGCCCATTGCTGTGAAGTTTTAAGTGCATACTCTCCTATTAATTGGGGTGTTTCCAGGGTGCGGACGGACATGAGATGTTGGTCTCTTATTTTCAACAAGGGCAAGGCCGGGATGCTAGGCTCTAAGTGTGTGGCCAGGTTAATTGATTTCGGACCATGAGGGCGCAGGGCGGACATGCAAACAGTGCTGCTTCCTTGGTGGACATTGGCAAAGAGTTCGGAAGTTTCGAGCGAATACCTTCCGGTCGTTGATCAGAATGTTTCCCGGGCGCGGACAGACGTTAGGTAACTTAATCTCTTATCCAGCATGACGGCTGTGTTGTACGATTTTGAGCGCATATCTAGGTCTCTGAGGTGTTTTGAGAGCGCAGACAGAACATAGCAAATCTTCGTCTATCATTGGATATGGCCGTGCCAGTGTGAAGTTTTCAATGCATAGCCAGTTGGTTGTGGTGTTTCCAGGGCGCAGGCGGACATAAATGTCGTGACGCTTTCTTTCATTCTTTCATTCATTCTTTCTTTCTCTCGAAATTAAATGGAGGTCAGAACTTAGAACTCCGAGCGCATTTCCAGTTGACCAGGCTGTTTGAAGTGCTTTCAGGGCGCACACGGACATAGGAGAATATCGCTCTTTTGTTCGACTAGAGTTTTAGGTTCAGGGCTTGCTGTTTGTTGTTCAATGGGCGCGGACGGACATTTGAGTACTCTGATTTCTTTCTTTTGACGTAGATAATGGGTTTCAAGTGCATAGCCAGGGTAGTTGATTTAGAGCCTTGCGAGCGCACATTGGACATGCATAATCAGCTTCTTTCACCGGACACAGCCATGTTTCATGCAGCTTCTACTGTATCTCCCGTTGTCCTGGCCATTTCAAGAGTGCGGGCAGACATGAGCAGTTTTATTCCAAGCTTGAGTGTGGAAGCAGCATGTTGGTTTGGGAACGCATAGGTCGTTGTTGCAGGCAATTCGAGCGCGCAGACAGAACATATAGGTATAAGATCTGAGTACTTGTTTGGACGTGTACATGGTGGAACGATGGGCTTTGGGTGCATATCTCGTTGATGGGTGTATTCTGAGGGCGGGGGCGGACATGGGAGTGCGCCACAGTGCTTTCTTTCGGCATGGGAGCGCGTCACTCTTTTCTCTTTCGGCATGAAGGGCGGGATGACAAGTTTCGAGCGCATCGTGACTCATGTACTCCATTTCAGAGCGCGGATAGATGTGCGAGATCTTGTTTTCAGCTGGACATGGATCTGGTGTTGTGCAATTTCAAGGGCATGGCTTGAGGATCTGAGGTTTTCGAGGACGCAGAACGGACATGCAAAATCTGCTTCTTTGGTCGGACATCAGTCCCTGGTCATCGAATTTCAAGGGCATGGCTGAAGGTCTGAGTTTTTCGAGCGCGCGGACGGCCATTCGAAACGTCTGCGTAGGTTTCTTTCGTTGCACATGCGGACAGCATGTTGCCTTTTGAGAGCGTGTCGATAGTTGTAGTTGGTTTGAGCGCGCGGACCAATATAGTGATTTGCGTGTTCAGTTAGACGTGGACGCTGGTCATAATCGTTTTGAGCGCGCGGACAGATGTAGTGATTTGCGTGTTCAGTTGGACGTGGCCGGTGGTTATAGGAATTTTCCGGGGCGCGAACAAGTGTATATTTGCTTCTTTGATTGGACATTACCAAGGCCTCGTGAAGTTTTGAGGGCATACTCTGCTATTCTTGCCATTTCAAGAGCGCGGGACAGACGTGTGAGAGGCGTGGTCGCTTTGGTTGGACGCAGCCACACCATTTCGAATTTTCGAGTGCATAGCTTGTACATTTATCCTTTCGAGTACGCGGACATAAGGGGTGGTTTAGGGTTTTGCCAAGCTATAGCATGCTGAATGATTCTGAAGTGCTTGCATGGATGTTGTCAGATTTCAGGGTGCAGACGGACATCGAGTGAGATTCTGTCGTTTTGGACATGCGTTTAGCCTGCGGTTTTGAGCGCATCACTAGGTGTTGTGATTGTTTCAAGCGCGAGGACTGAGGTATCATAGTCGTTCAGGTCTTTTATCAGACATAGCTTTGATGCTTCTTTTCGAGCGCGCAGACAGATGTGCGCAGTCTGAAATTTTGGTTGCATACAGCCATACTGAGTGATTTTGAGTGCTTGCATGGATGTTGTGGGGATTCCGGGTGCGCGGGCGGACATCCGCACGATGAGATGTCCATTTTGGACACGATGGCGGCGCGATGACATTTGAGTGCAAAGACGAATAGAACAGAGGGGTTGGAAAAGGGCTGCAACGATGGAGGATGTAAGATGGAGACAGAGCACCAAACAGTCGGAGTCAGCTTTTCCATTCCATCGCAGACATTCAATGGTTCTTCATTTGCTTCGAACTTTGGGTGCACCAGAGCGTAGATGTATTGGTGGGTTGATGAAGAGGTGAAATATTGAGAAGAAAAGAAGACGGAGAGGACAGAACATAGCCCATTTGCATAGTTCCTTCGTTCCACCACATGCATCAAGTGGTTGCTGGTGTTTTGAGACTTTCAGTGCATAGATAGTGCAGTAGAGCGTAGACGAGTTGGCGACTAGGTGAGTGGGAGGGAGCAAATAGGACATATCAAAGTATGGTGTAGCCTTTCGCTCCAATTCAGACATGTGGTTATATTGATGTCGATTCGAGTGTACAGAAGAACGGAGATTGATGGATGGACGGACGAGCAGGACGGGGAAAAAAGCAAACACAACGCGGAATAGGACTGGATTTTCATCTCGCAGACGTATCCATTCAGTTCCTTTGTTCTGCCACAGGAATCAACGTTCTCTCTATCGTTTTGAGTATACGAACAGCGCAGCATGGCGTTGTAGACTGGCAGTTGCATAGATAAACAAAAAAGACACAGGGCCAGAACATCAAGCAACATCCGATAGTCTTTTCGTTCCACCACAGGCATACAAATCCACTGTGAATGATTTGGGACTTTGAGTTCACTGATAACGCAGCAGAGCGAGAATTGAATGATAATTAGTGGGCAGGACGGAGAACAGGACATAAAAGAGCAGTGTGCGATTCTTCGTTCCAAACCAGACATGAAATTTGTTGGATACTGTTTAGGGTGCACCGAAAGTACAGCAGCGATGGATTTATGGTGGTGGATGGGTTCATAGATTGAAGGCTTTCTCAGGGAAGGAAGGAGAAGACAGAACAGAACATAGTCGCGGACTAGTTGCAGTTAGGTGTCCGTTGCACCACAGACATGAGCGCAACATGCCGTCACATGGATGAAAGAGCATGGGGGATTGCAGGAGAAGGCAGGACATAGAAGCCAGCCTCTTGGCTTTAGTATTCTGATACTGACATGAGCACAGCGTGCGGTCTTTGCAGGAAGGAGAAGGAAGAGATCATCAGGTGGTGAATGCTACATTTCATCTCGGATGGGCATTCGACTTCTTTATTCGACCACGAACATAAAAAGAGTCCGTGCATGCTTTGAGGCTATGAGTGCCACGATAGTGAACTACAACGTAGATAGATCGATAGATCGGTAAATGGGCAAGAGGAGAACGGAGAAAGTAGAGAAGCCAGAATATGGGTCAAATAGCGTTGAGGTTCTCGTTTCGCCACAGACATGTCCAGGCGTTGTTTTCTCTTGAGTGCATGACCATTGCAGTAGATCTTTCATGATTTGGTCGATGGTGCGGAGAAGATAGATATAAAACAGATAGAGGAGGCTAAAATTTCATCTCGCATATCAATTCATTCAGCTTCTTTGTTCCTCCGCAGACATGAGAAGGTGAGCCAGTGTTTTGAGAACGTCGGTGCACCGACAGTGCAGTGTAGATAGGTTGATGTATCGGGGATACTAAACTTACATAGTCATATAACACTTTTATAAGTTAAGCTCATCTAGTGTTTGAAAAACCTTGATTGCAGACGGGGATGCAACTAAGCCTCGCCGTCAATCAAGGAATGTGTCGCCATGATCAACGGCAAGCCCTGCCTCAGGTATCTTTTTGATCGAGTCCAGCCCACTTCAAAGACAGTGCCCACAGTTTGCGCTCCCTCGTCTCATCCCTAGTATGGGGCGCCCAACCTGGCAACGCAAAAGGCTGATCAGGGGTCCACGGTTGTCCGATCTGCACATCGTCTAGATACTCTCCGCCACGCCCCTCTAAGCACCGAGCCACCGCACCCCAGACTGTTGTAGCAGCACCTTGCTCCGGTGATTTCAGACTTTCGTCGAAACCGTTTTGACTTCGAAGATGGGCGACATCTTCAGAATTCATCGCGTTCCAAAGCGGGGGTAACGACACCACCTGGATGAACAGAGAACGCATGCAAATTTTCTGAGCCGTAAGTTCGCTCAATCTCATTCGCCATCCATATGTTACAGGTCTTGCTGCTCCCATAAGCTCTCCACTTGTCGTAGCAGCCAGTGAGGTTGATGTTATCGAGATCTGGTTGGCCGCGGCGGTGCCCGAGCGATGAGACATTGATAACGCGCGAGCCAAACTCCGGGGTGGCTGAGGCGATAAGGAGGGGCTTCAGGAGATAAAAGAGGAGGAAATGAGATAAGTGGTTGGTTTGAAATTGTGACTCGAAGCCATCTTCAGTGATCACCTCAGGGGTAGCCATTATGCCCGCGTTGTTGATGAGTATGTTCAGCGATTTTGACTGTTTGAGAAAGTGGTCTGCGCACGATCGAACGCTGTTGAGTGAAGTATGGTCCATTTGCAAGAGGTGCACTCGAGGTGAGTCGGCAATTGCGCCAAGGGCTTCTCGTGCGCGCGTGAGATTTCGGGCGGTAAGATAGAGAGTGGCCCCCGTTGAGAGCATTGCTCGCGCAGTCTCCACACCAAGACCTGCAGAGCACCCAGTGATGAGGACTACCTTGTCCTCGAACTTGCCCTCAAGGGCTTCATCCTTGATGACTTGCAGCGCAGTCGGACGTTGGTCGCCTGGGCCATGGAGTGTCTGGTGAGCAGCAGCATACCTGTGAGTCATGTTGGGTGCAGTGAATCTTTCCAGGAGATAGCCTAGCAGTAGTAAAAGGCAGACGAACAGGTGTGTATGTGGTCAGATGAAGAGTTTGATGGGCCAAAGAGGGTTATACTGTATACTCAAACCGCCTATTAGCGTACCGGGAGTGCAGGCACGCTAATGCAGTTAGATGACCGTGCATGGTCACGGTAAGAAGGCCAAGCACACACGCGGCGGCCGAAGAGCTTCCAGCTAAGCTTTTGTCGTAGCACTGTTGGAACGTCTTTCCTCCGCCCGGCCAAATTAGCGCGTAATCCAGTTGCGTTAGCCATGACGCAGCTGGAGCGGCATCCGAGTTATTATAATATCGTTTATAGGACTGCAGCAGAGAAGGCCGAGACGTCTTAGTGCAACCTTATCGACCCAGAATTCATCGGAATTCTTAACCAATTTTAGCTTTTCAAAACGGCTTGACTAGATAGGTACATATACAGGGCACTGAACGTTAGGCACGGTAGGTCAGACGCCGACTGACTAAAATTTGCATGACGATCCGCGAAGCCACAGTGGGCGGGTCGGCCCAGAGACTTTACTAATCAAGACTTTGCTGGAATGCCCCCGAAGCTAAATGAGCAGAGCGCTAATGTGATGGCTGAGGCCCGGTGCAGCTGTGGAAGCAGAACTGACCCATGTCCGCGTATCTCTAGCCAAACAGCAGTGACGATGCGCCCGCACTCTCGGGGCCTGAGCGTGTTCGCTAGTGTGTTGCTTATACGTCACTTTGGAAATTAGACGGTGAGCGTGGTTGACTACCAACAGCCATGACCTCGTCCGGATGCCAGACATGTGATTCGAACACAGTATACATCACAATCCCTTTGCTAATTAGATGACCTCAAGGAGAGGCACTGCAATCAGCAGCTACAAAGCCGAAACAAGTAGCTCGGCCTCTCTGTAAAAGTTGCGGACCATGAGAACAGGGTTTACAAATTCAGCGGTGTTTGGATTGAAATACCAAGAATGCAATCGTCGATAGCGCCCCTTCGCTCCCCAGTCTTTACTTTCCGCTCAGAACGGGATAGCCTGTTTTGCAGCATACGGTTCCTCTAACCAGTCGGTCTCCTCCGTTGTGAGCTCAACCTGTAGCGACGCTAAAGCTTGATCGATCCTTTCCTTCGTCTCCAGACCACATATAGGCATGCAGCCTTTAGAGATCAGCCATGCCTGAGCTATTTGCGCCATAGCCACCCCTTTCTTTTCCGCCAGTTCCTCAACACGTCCTACAATGGCCTGGTCCGACGCATTGTCTCCGCTTCGAAAAAGCATTCGAAGGAAGGGATCCTTCTGTTCTCGTGGATCACTGCGATCTGTCCAGGGATGCGTAAGGACGCCCGCTGCCAGCGGAGACCAAGGTAACAAGCCCACGCCTGTGGCATTGCAGTAAGCATTCATCTCCCGCTCTTCTTCACGGTAGAGAAGGTTGTATAAGCCTTGCATGGATATGAATTGATGCCAGCCATTTCTGCTCGCAACATTCTGTAGCATTTGGAATTCCCATGCGGCCATCTGCGTCAACTGTTAGCTTGGATGTATTCGTAGATCATGAGAAAGCACCTACCGAACTAGCACCAATGTATCGAACTTTGCCACTCTCGATGACATCGTGTAGTGCTTTCATAATCTCTTCTGGTGGCACGTCGCGATCCATTCGGTGGATCTGCAACACATCGATGTAGGTCCCAAGACGTTCAATGCTGTGGTCGACTGCTTCCAGAATGTGCTTCCTAGACAGTCCGACTTGGTTGACACGCGGACCGTCATTGCTTGTCAAGGTCGCAGGGTCAATAGCTCCTTTGCCCTCATCGACAAACTGGAAACATTTTGACATAATGACGAGCTTGGAGCGGGGAATCTCGTAGTGTCGAATAGCCTCACCGAGAATTTCTTCCGCTCTGCCATTGGAGTAAGTATCAGCAACGTCCCACGTGTTGATACCCCGGTCGAATGCATGCTTGAGGATTGGCAAGGCTTCGTCTTTGTCGAGAAGCCAAGGCTGCCAATTCTTGTCGCCAAAGCTCATGCAGCCCAGGATAATCTGAGAAACCTTCAGACCCGAATTGCCAACTCTGATGATATGTTAGTATAGAGTGGGCCAAGTTCCATCTTTGCCTACCGGACATATCTCATAGGTGACGCCATGTTACAACTCCGCGGGTAAAATTACTTGCAGCGACGGATGAGCTTCTGAATAACAAAGAATTAAGGAGTGTTCAGTTTAAGACAGAAGCCAGTCCCTTTAGATACTTCTGCTCTTAAGACCGATAACAATTTCAAGCTAACACTAGAATTCCTTAGATGTAAATAGCTAAAGCGGCTAGTGCCAAAAGCTACCGGAAAAGGTCCGCTGCTAGTGTAGGCTGATGACACTGCATTAGCTTACCAGTTAACTACACTGGCGTGCCAAGCCAAGAATGGGTCGCGCATTTGACCCGTTAGCTACGCATGCGGGGTCAAAGGAATCAAGAGGAAATGGCTCACTGCGTAAACCCTAGCACCGCATCTGCCTGTGTCATCAAGCTGCATGAGCATGGCCATTCTCGTAAACCTTACGCTTTTTGTGCAGATGCAGACTTCGAGGGCGCAAAAGGACAAAAGGATAGGAGAGAGAAGATCAGGAGCATCTCCGAGATAGAGACTCCACTCTGAAGACATAGCATGTCGCTTTCATTCCCGACTTTTGATAAAGTAGAATGCCATTACACAAAAGAAGGAGAAGACAGGACACTTTTGAAGTTGAGACTCCTTCTTCATCTCACATATGATACCGGTGGTGCGGTTTCGTCGCAGACATCGATGCTCATGAAGGTTTTTCTCCGGTACGTCGATGACCAGAGCAGGATGGGTCGGAACATCACGGAGAACAGGAAGAAGGTAGAGCATAACCCAGATCAAGACTCCGTTCTCCTCCGACATGGTCATTCATGTCTTGAGTTTCGGCGCAGAGACGATGCCTCTAAGCAGCCTTTGGAGCGTACAGACGGCATAGATCAGGACAGAGAACATATCATGAATGCTGGTAGAGTAAAATACAGGCAGAGAGTGAGGTAGTATAGTGTGTCCGCGCGAGGGTTTCGTTTGGGCATGGATATAGAGTTCTGGTAGATATAGGTGCAGAGAAGGCACACATATGAGCGAATATTTTCCACTTTTCGAGGGCAAAGACAGACATTTCGAGGGCGCAGACAGACATTTCGAGATAGTCATGATTCATTTGCTTGGAGCATGCGTATTCAACGGTCTCGTGCTGTCATCAAAAGCCACGACTCAGTACTATCGATATTTCGAGGGCGCAGACAGACATGGAAAGGTAGCATGATCTTTTGAGGTGCATGTGAACATGATGTTAGTGTTTCAAGGGCGCGAACAGGCATGATAGAGTAGTTGAGCAGTTTGCGCGTCGACAAACCCCCTCTTTTTCGTGCCAACACAGACATAGAGCGTGATAATGGAGACTTCGAGGGCGCAGAAGGACATGGAATAAGGCAGGATAGGGTTTTCGCCGCACAAGGCATCAGACTTTCCGTTCTTACACAGATATCTGATATCTGGGGAACTTTTCAGGTGCACAGACTGACATGGGGGAGAATTCGAGCAGTTTGCGTGTCGCGTACGGGACTAAGACTCTGGGTTCCCGCTCCAGCGGACATGAATTGTTACTGCAAAGTTTTCAGGTAGATTGGTAGATCTGACGGAGTGGGAAATGGGTTTTTCAGTGAAGAAAGCAATAGCACTTCTCTTTCTTGTAGAGACGCAGGGGTGGCAGACTTTGGTCAAGGGTTGGAGTGCAGGCAGGACAGGACATGACATTTTGCCATCCAGATTTTCGTGCTGCATAATGCAGTGCGCAATTTCTTTCATTGGTACGCGAATACGGTTTGCCTTTGTTGCTGGGCGGACATGATCCAGTTCTGGGTTTTCGTGCCACATGGAGTTCAGTGATGTTAGTCTTGTTCAGATGCGTGCTTGCGATATTGTTCTCAGTGGCCGGGCACCCAGAACACGAGTTTAACGAACGCTTGTCAAATGTGGGATTGACTGGTGACACATTCTATTTCGTTAACCCGCAGACATGAGGTGCTTGTGATGATGTTTTAAGTAATCCGGTGGCCAGAATATGGCCGAGTCCACCCCAGGTTTCCATATCGTGGAATCCGGCTTTTTGTGTTGACACAGACATCGGACACTCTTCATGCGGTTTCTGGGTGGCTCAGCGGCCAGAATATGGGAAGGCGGCAGGTTTATTCTTTGCATAAGTGCGGATATGCGCTTCGTGGCTTTTTTTTCGACAGGCATGTGCGGATCTTGATCTCATTTTGTGGATAGAGTAGATAGAGGAGAGAAAGGAAGAGCATATATTGCCAGAGGATCTAGCAGTCTTCGGATCTTCCCACCAAAGACATAAAAAAACAGCTTGTCAGACAGAGCAGAGTAGAAGTAGGGGAACATAGACAGTATACCAATAACCGACTGCATATTTAGATAGTCCGAGCGACAGAACATGTTCCTGGTTGTTTCAACGTTTCTTGGAGCGTGATTAGTAGCTGGTCGTAGTGCTAGACCAAACATAAGGAGAGGAGGAAGCAACAGCGGACCATCTATGGATTTCATCGTGGTCTCAAAAGATTCGGAAAAGTATCAATTGGCAGGCGTCAGATCACAGGACCAACAGCGTACCACGCCAGTGCACATCAGATCAAATTCCTGCAAACTCCGGGACTTGCCTTCGAACGATCCGCAGAAGAGGTGAGAGAGCCTAAGTGACCCAGTTGTGGACGCAACGCCATGCGAGAGTTACTTGTCATTTTCAGGCATCTATCGAACTGCTCATAGTTCGTGGCTACACGAAGAGGCTTCCTTGAATTGTCTTACACTCATTGAGCAATGATGTGGCATACCAGTCTCCATTCTTGATATGCGTGCAGAGTTCTGAGAACAACAAGTCAGGTGGTGTTCATTTTTCGACGAGAGAAGCAGGCAGACATACATCTGTGATTTGGCATTTGGTAGCATTGGAAAGTCAGGGCAACACACGACATAAGGTTTAGCGGTGTCCATCCTTTCCGATGAGGTGAGCAGACGGACATGCACCATATCGTTTCATCTTTCAAAACCAACGATAGCGCCCATGAAAGAGGCGGACGGGCAGACTATAGATTACCAAGCGCAGTGTCCGGGAACAAACATACGGATGGCAGCACGAATATTTCAGCAAATTTGTTGCTCACTGGATTTTCGGAAGACGTTAGCGAAGATTGTCAACCACAACACATCGGATTACTTCTGCAATTGTTCAATGAAGACCTATGCGTCGGTACAATTGAGAAATCGTCGTTCAGTGGCCCAGGCACAGCGAGTTTACGCCATGATTTTGTCGTTATGTCAGTTCCGAACAGTGTGCAGGCAAAAGAATAGAGACACCTCTCCGTGATATCGGCATGTGAGGGATTCAGGACAGCGTATTGGAGACGTTTGTAGGAATTTCGAGCGACCCGCCATGTCCTCCACGATCGAGTATTTTGGAGGCGCAGAAAACGGAGGCCATGTGTACGGGTCTATGGTTTTGAGCGTGCAGCAACGGATCATTGTTTCAAGGACATCCTAACTTTGGCGTAATTAAGTTTCCTTCCAAGTGTCTGGTGTGTGCAGCCGTCAGGTATGTTGGGGTTTGGTGAGTCTAAGAATCAGAACATGGCAGCCGACGCATTTCGAACACCCGGACGCACAGGCAGACAGACATTTAGTGATAGGGAGAATATTTAAGATGCGCGGGCAGGCAGACATTGGGATAACGATGTATGGTTTGAGAAAAAGGTATGAGGAGATGACTTGTAGTGAAGAGCGACAAGGAGGCGCGCAGAGTGGTTTATATAGTCGCGGAAGGGTCCTGTTGGCGAATCAGGCGTGCTTGCTTCTGGTGACATGGGCAGACAGGTCGGGGCGTTTGCATTAGGCAGCACCATGAAAACCCTGGAAACACCTTTCGAAACTCCATAGATACATGTCCCCGATCTTTCGACCTGGATTAGATTCTTGCTCGTGCCGATAAATTTAGCTGATCATTGGCATTCGCGCGTGGAGTCTACACCAGAACAAAGTCCCCCGGTTCAGTTCCTGCCTCCTCGAAAGGCGCAAGGAGATTCTGATCCATCTTCCCTTCCAAAAAGCACTCTCCAACGAACGTGTACTCCCCACTGACGTCCGTATCGCGGAGGAGATACGGAACAGACCCTCCATACAGAATCACCACTACATCGCCGGACATAGTCCCCGCAGGGCATAACCCGGCCAGCCCGTTCGTTGCCTGGAAATAGCAGTCGTTGGCACATGGAAGCGACTCCGGGAGTCCAGTTTCTCCATAGTGCGCATACCAGTGCATGGCAGGATCTTGCGGCGCATGTGAGCCAGCATGAGGATCAGCGTGCCCTGACACGGTGCGGAATGCGCGCTTGGTGAGTTTGTTGAAGATGCGAGTGTATGCAACTGATATGTCGGTCGCAGAGTCGGAAGGAATACGGTATGGCCCGATACTAATCAGTCGTCCTAGACAGTGCCCTGACAGGGTCAAACGTGTGCGATCGTTGTCGTGGTAGGCAGGCTTTCGTAGTTTGGAGTCTCCCGTGACGTGGTACATGTCAGATAGACCGAGTGCTTCGTTGGCCCATTCTGTTGTGCCGTTGTGCCAGAGAGCCCATGTAGGATGACTGGCCGGAGGGTATTCATGAGGTCTCCCGGGTAAGCTAGTCGGACGGAAAGGCGTGTGTTCGGCTCCGAGAGCTCGCCAGGTACGCCCTTTGAGCGCATGTATGACTGAAAGAACACGGAGATCGTGCTCAATGTACCGCAAGGTAAAATCGATAAATGCTGCACTCACAGACTTGGAATAGTCAGGCACAATCAGCGGCGACATGCATGTCTCACTGAGCTCGCTGCAGAGACCGAAGAGTCCAAAGATATGGTCTCGGGGATCAGATGCCCTCAGGTCCAGGCCGCGGATGAACATAGTAAACAGATCAAGCCCTAGGCTCCATCTGTCGTGACGGGAACTAGAAATGACATCGACAGATGGATCCCCTGGGAGCTGATCCTCGACTTTCATGCTCGACCAAATGTAGGGCAGCACGATATGCTGCTTACCTGGCATTTCGAAGCCGTCCAATATGGTCCACAAGTTTGCTTTCTGTATGGTATCCCAGTCTAGGGTGCGTTGCCCATACATGAACGTGCGTTCTGCTGCGCGGACTGCCTCCTGAACTACCCATACCCTCCAAAACCAGGGCAGCGAGAGTAGCACAGTGACCTCAGCCACCGGTAGATTATGAACATCAACATTTGGAAGATGTCCTCTGGATGTCCCAAGCCGAAGCTCTTCGACCGTGGGCTGCTGGTAATGTGGGAACACACTGTTGACCACATCAATCGATCGCTCCACTTCTGGGTCGCCATCGCCAAGCCAGATTATGACGCGTTCAGCCTGACTATAGATAGTGCTCATGATACCGACTTGTTCTGACAGCTCCTGCTGGTCGGCTTGGTTGATGCATACTTGGTCAACCCACAACAGTCGGTTCGTGGTGGTGTGGCGCAACTGCAGGAGCGCTTGGAACAGGTTGTGCGATACATATGCAACACTTGTACTTCCCGCTTCATCAAGTACGTGGAGAAGTCCATTTGAGCTGCTGTCGGGCTCCCCCCAACAGTAGGACAGAGCCTCGTACGGAGGATCAGGTCCTTCTTCTTGACCCATTATACACGTCTTCAGTGCTACAACGATAGGATCACTCAGCTCGCCAGGACGGAGGTCCAGAAGGCGCGTGCTCTTCTTGTCGCCCTTGTCGAGCCCCTGATACTTGAAAACGGACTTGGACTTGTCGCTTGGTTGTAGTTGATGAGTACTGTATTCAATCTTCAATTTCGCTTTGCGTAAGAAGTTCGTCCATCCACTGAATTGAGCCCGGGGTATGAGCTGGATAACATCGTACGGCTTGATCGCGGTAGCATAGTTCCACAATTCGTCGTGTTCCTGAGTGCAATCCAAAACCGATCGCGACTCGGACCACGCCGGTATGCCAGCCGGGTTTCGATAGAAACATCTTCGTGGGATGTTGTTGCGTCCGCCATTGGTCTCTATGTTCAGCTCAAACCAGGTGTAGCCTCCGTGGCCAACCATACTCTGGTCGTCACAGAAGCCTTCTGTGGTCAGTGATGGCGGGGTATCTGCATAGGTTTAATCATACCTTGGTCCCGAGATGACAGCGTGACGGTTATTCTTTCTATCCTTGCGGCGTCTCCTGGAAGCTGCAGCTCCAGATAAGGCTTTGGAGCACAGCAGTTTGTCACCCTGACCTCATCCTGACGCTTTGTGTAGATGACAACGCCCATGCCTTGGCTTAGTACTGCGATTCAAAAGATGAGACTTCCGCGCGTGATGTGAGTTTAAATGAGAGGTATTTTTGTCATCTAGATCACAACGTATCTCCAGGCGTAAGCGCGGGGGCGGAACTGCTTTGGGAAGGAAGATTAAAGCACGGCCGCCACCAGCATGGTGAGCAGCGTTACCGTCGCAGACATGCCCAGTTGGAGTTGGCGATGGTCCATCGATAAGTCATCGGTTTGCGAATATGCGAATCGGGATCGATTGAGTGATTGAGGGTTGGATTTTGCGCGGATACCAACCTTGAAGGCAGGTTCTGCGTTGTGACCACAAAGTGAGCTCGGATCTGATCATGGCGCTTCCACGCGAAGCATGCTCCGACTGCTAAGTCAGGTACGAAGTAGACCAAATCAGTGTTTGGAATCATGATTCTGGTTCATCTCATTTTCAAACGCCCCCGCTCAGTCACGTGGATGCTCTGGCTGATGGCTGTTGATTGGTCAGCTCACGGGATACCTGCAAATTCACATCACGCTGGGTTGTCTCTTCCCCACAGTGTACAGCCATCGTCGCTGATCTATCAACATGTGCTTCTCTTACTTCTCCGTGTTCGCCGTGATCAACCTCTCTGTTTCAGTGTGCTATGCCGTTGTGCGAATGCGAAACTGCCCGTCATCAACACAAGATCTTCATATATGACAAGCTTGACGTCTACAATCATGTGTAACACACCGAGTCACACGTTCCGATCCGGCAGGCCACAAACAAGTTGATGCACGACTCATCAAAAGGTGCATAAGTACGCACATATGTGGAGCCTGATGCGGGCTGACTGCAGTCGCTCAGCCTCGTCGTCCAGTTTAAAAACATCTGTTGTTCGCTGCTCTTTCCCTTCTGAGGCTGATCATTGAATTTCCCCTTCTGACTTATCTCTCCTACAGATCAAAGCCAGTATGGCTGATCCTCTATCGATTGTTGCCAGTATCGTCGGCGTTGGTGTCGCAAGCGCTCAGCTGGCGAACAAAGTCTACGACTTCACTGACAAATATAAGAATGCGCCAGCTCAAATGCAGGATATTGCCTCGGAAATGTCGCACCTATCGAGCATCTTCAGTCTCCTAGCTAATGTTCTGAAGGAAGGCCAAGGGGCATACAAACCGCAAGTGTTGAAGGACGTAGGGTCCATCCTTGGTCGTGTGGAGAAGATCCAAGAGGAGATCCGGAAGTTGATGAAGAGAAACGGGGGCGTTCGGGCTCGAGTTAAGTGGGCAATGAGCTTTGGGAAAGTTTCGGAGCTCCTGGATCGCGTTGAAGCGCTCAAGTCATCATTGAGTGTTCTTCTGGATACCGCACTATTGGCTTTGGCTTGCCGAGAACCGAGAGCTGATGAACCCGAGTAAATTTCACCACCTTTGTATCTGCCCCAGCTAAATGTCTTAGGATCGAGCGATTAAAACACGTCATCGTGGCTGGCGTCAAGGAGATACGTCAATGCGTTGTCAGACTTCAAATGGCCAAACCAGCGATCATGTTCGAGCCTCCGAAATTGCTTGATGCCGCGCCAGCGTCGGACCCAATAGTTTCTCGTCTGAATAACCCTCTTACGGCTCTGTATCCATCGAATAGACACATAGAAGATGCAGCTGTGAGCACAGAAGCTGCAATGGAACCCAGCGACTCTCAATTCGAGACTGCATCTTGGCTTTATGGCATGATTCTGGCCAAAAGTGGAGGTTACGCAGAGTCTTTTTCTCATCAGGGAAATCCCCGGGAAGAGATACGACAGCCTCCTTCCTTGGGCAGCAATGACACAGTCTTTTCAGACGTCAGATTGCAAAAACAAGCTGCCGGCGAGTCACAGAGTTCGAAAGCGCCACCACCTCAGCGCCTGTATGAAATCTCTGTCTCAGCAGTTGCCCGTAGCCTGTTGGGAACCTGGACTTACCTCAATCCAACCTTGATCTTCGCCACAAGGGAGCTGACCGGAGACGAACAGTCAGCCGGTTGGCATCATGAAAATAGCTCCGATGAAGACAGTGACGTACCCTCACCGTTTTATAGAACGCACAGGCGAACCTTCACCTTTGAAGAGTACGATCGTGCGCTGGAAAAAGGACTTCTACATGACCCGTCGTTTCAAACCCAGGGCTCGCGACAAAGACGCCCGAACAGAGAGCATACTTCTCGACAGAGCCGGGAATCGGAGGGAAGAGACCGTTCTAGACGCTTTGACAACCACATTGGTAACTCTGATGACGAGTATACCGACGATTCGGAATGGGTGATCGAGGAGCCCATACGCCCACCATCAAGATCCAATCTTCGGCACCGAGTAGTTGCGCCACCGCCACTTCTCAAATCTCCAACAATGCCCACAGCAATGCCTCCCTCGCCACCACCTCTATCACCACCGCCACCGCCACTGTCAACAAAGGAGACCTTGTTGATGGAAAAGCTAGAAGCTCTCCTCTCAGGAAAAGCCGAAGAAGATGCAAGAAGAGACGCAGAAGCAAGAGCGTCTGCGGAGCTAGCCAAATTTGACCGTCTCGAGAGCTTATTGGTTGCACAACAAGAGGCACAGATCGCCAAAGAAAAGGCGAAGCTCGAGGCTACTTCGCTCGCCGAAAAGGCTGCTATCAACGCTAAGGAGAAGGCGGATGATATGTCGCTTGCTAAGCTGGAGGAGCTTGTTCGGCAGCAAAGGGATGAACAACTCAAGCGGGATATGGCAGCGGAGGCAGCTAAAAGGGCAGCACTCGAAGCTGCTGAGGCAGAAGTGCGTAAGGCCAGAGAAGAAAGCAAAGCAGCTGCTGAAGCAGCAAAATTGCGTCTTGATACCGCCGAATCGAGTAAAGAAGAGACCGAGAAGAAAGCACAAATCACTTACCAGGCTTACGAACAGGCCTTAGCCTTGGCCCGAGAAGCTTCTGAGGAAACCGAGCAAGAGCTACGTGAAGAAAGAATCATGCGTCAAAGAGCCGAAGATACCAACATGCCTCCTCCTTTACTTCAAGTCCTATACCACGAGTCTGATGAAGATACAAAGGTACCGCCAAGGTTGCGTGCCGCTGTCGCCCATCTTGTCGACCTGATGCACGGCAAAGCAGAGAAGAAGTGGTACGCAACCACCACTGGCCCATCACTCATCGATATCTCGGACGGGTATTTTGCGCGAAAGGTCTTGGACTCTGATATCAAGCCGAGCTCAAAAGAGTTGTGTCAAGCAGGAACCCAGCCACAGCCCGAGCCAGCAACGCTGGTCCAAGAATTGACAGCGCCCAAAAGGTACCATCTCGTATTTCCCGCAGGAGCTCGTCAAGCCTTGAGCGGACGCAAAGATCTTATCGCCGACTTACGAGAAGAGAATATCGAGGCACTGTTTGAGATGAACCCGAACACAAACAAGGGCGTCATGGTCCAGCTGGAGAACGCTCTGGCAGGTAGAGGCCCGCCCGCCAAAAGCCCGGCGAAGGCGGATTACAGCCGTGGCCGAGGCGACGTGTTTGTTCGTAGCTCTCTTCTGTGGCAGAGTCTACCGAAACATGGACAGAGCGAGCTCTATCACTCATTGTGCCAGATCGGCTGGAAACCCACGTATCTGCGCAGCTCCGGTACGCGCACTCCATCAAATCCACTGAGAGTTTGAGGAAATATACTGACTTTCTCAAGTGTCAGGACAGACTTGGTTCTACGGCGAGCGGCCTCTTCACGTTCGCTTCAATCGCCCTGATTACGTACCGCGTTTTGCCGAGTTCGACATGGACGATACTCATGCCTGCGTTATCCTGTGCAATGACATCGTCGATGAGGAGGCCCTTGAGCTGACCGGTGTAGACTATGAGTCATGTGAGATTGGGTACTGGATGCTAGATCCGACTCTGACCTATGTAGGGACGCCTGTATGCACGTCCGTTGACCTAGACTAACAGCGCCGCAGGATGACATTGAAGCTTTGGTAGCCATGTCCTTCGCACTCCGCGAAACGGGGCTGCGGCGAAGAGCCAGGCGAGCAATGAACCCTGCCACCTCTAATATACGTACCCTTGGCCGGTTGGGGCGAGCGGCTGTGTCGCCTGTGCCGGACTTCCCTGCTTTGTCAGCGATCAGTGAGTGCTCTACGTCGTCAAAGACATCTCTCGGGGCTCAGGCGAGCAGCGAAGATTACGAGTCCGCCGACTCGTCTTGATTTTGACGTTCGATTCGCTCGCTTGTTTGCTATATCCTAATGAATGTCGAATAGAGGGGCTAACAAGAGTGTACAATTTATCAACGCGCCTCTTACATCGCAATAACAAATTGGGGAATGTTACATGCTCACACTGCTCGTACTTACTTTTCGATGGTAGATTGTAGAAGATCCATATCCAACATCTGTCTCACCGCAGTCGCAAACTCTCAAGTCAAGTGGTTGTTCGAGCATGAATTAAATCGTGAATAAGTTGAACATGTTATTCGGACAAGTTGTGCGATTGGCCTAGCTCATCACATCGTGTTGACAGACTGAACGAGCCAGAGCCAGAGCCAATCCCAATCATATATCACATATCGTCTGCAACAAGGCGCACGGCAAGTTGATAGACATAAATCGGTACAGGATCGGTAGTTGTCAGGTCGTTGGTCTAAAGATATCGACCGCGCACGAGCCGCGCCCGACATCTCCAAGCCGACGGGTCGGAACTCCGCAAAACCTCACGCCTATAAACACGACATCGCAACCCCAAACACGCTCTCACAGCAGTTCCACAGCATCAATTGCAGCAATGTCATCCTTCCTCGCATCCTGGGTCCCCCAAGCCGAGGGCCTTCTGCCCAAATGGCTGCTCTTCGTACGTCCCCCATCGCACCACCCACGCGCCACTAACCACCCCAGATCTCCTTCGTCTCGACCCTGAACAGCATCCAAGCCTACTCCACCCTCGCCTACACCTCGCGCGTCTACAACCCGACCTCCAGCGACCCGCCCGTCAAGCAGCCGGCGCACGTCACCGGGCTCTCGAGCCGCACGTTCGGCACCTGGACGTTCCTGACCAGCGTGATCCGGTTCTACGCCGCGTACCACATCAACGAGCCCGCGTTCTACCAGCTGGCTATCTGGACGTATGTTGTGGCGTTTGCGCACTTTAGCAGCGAGTGGTTTGTGTTTGGCACGACGAGGTGGGGGAAGGCGCTTGCGGGGCCCGTGATTGTGAGTACGACGAGTTTGGTGTGGATGATTAGTCAGTGGGGGTATTACGTGCAGTAGGTGCGGGATGGTGGTTTGGGGAGGGCGCTGGTGTGTGGAGGAGGGGTGAGAATCTGTACATGTCGCGTGTTGATGTATATTGTAGCTTTGAGATAGCAAGTAATGTTTTGTCAGATCGCTCTGTACCTGTGAAGTCACGCTGGTCATGGGCACGGATCGCTCAGTCGAAATCTGTAGGGAAATGATCTGTAGAGGGCGTTGATTTCAGGGTGAGTTCGGACACAAGGGACCTGCCGAGATTTCTGTGCAACATGCAAGAACAGCTCAATGTGCCGCGTGTATGATGCTTCGTCCACTTGCAGCCTGTGTAAGCATCACAGGAACGCCATCAGCCACCAACGGTGCGACCTGGTCCGTCACATCACCACACCACACCGAACCATTCTGACTTTTGACCCGCCTCGGGGCGTTTTTGACCTCCGAGGACTTTCATTGATCGTAGCTGGAGAAACATACATGGCCCATTGGACTCCGGTTCCTTAACCCAGATGCGAAGTGACCATATCGAAAACCATCACGCTCAGCCCAACCTTCCTGCTTCCTTTTGCTCATCATAATCCGTTACTCCAACCGATGCATTTAGAACTTGGAGAACTGCTTGGCGGTCACATCCTTGCGGGGAAGGACGCGGAGGACGTTGAAGCGGACGGTCTTGGAGAGGGGCCTGCACTGGCCAACGATGACCTGGTCACCGGCCTCGACACGGAAAGCGGGGGAAACGTGCGCGGCGAGGTTCTTGTGGCGCTTCTCGTAACGGGAGTACTTGGGGATGAAGTGGAGGTATTCACGACGGATGATCAAGGTGCCTGCGTCCTGTCAGCGGTGTTTCCTGCTTGCGACATGCGGTTCCTCCTCGAAGCATGGTTCGCGTGTGCCGGGCAACGTACGGTGCATCTTGGTGGACATGACGGTACCGGTGAGGATACGGCCACGGATGGAGACCATGCCGGTGAAAGGGCACTTCTTGTCGATGTAGGTGCCGTCAATGGCGGTCTTGGGGGTGCGGAAACCCAGACCGACATCCTTGTGCCATCTCCTGGTGCGGGTGTTCTTGCGGGGACCTCCGACCTTGTGGTTCTGGAAGATGTGAGGCTATCGCAGCGCATTAGCATTCGAGTTCGGTGTGTTGTCGCGATACATCTGTCGTACCTGCTTCTGGTAAGCGCGCTCCGACTGGACACTGTGGAATTGTTAGCGATTGTTCGCTGCGGTGCAGGTGCGCGTGCGACGTACGTGAGCTCGGTAGCCATGGTTGCTGTCGTTGGGTTAGTTTGACGGTCGGTCTTCGTGAGGTTCGCTGCACTGTGAGGCACTTCGAATTTCGACAATCGCTTAGCCTTAGCGTGGATTGACCGCGCGGCGAATAGTCGCGCCGCGCCGGCGGACGGAGCCCGGCCAGCCAATGAGCCTCGGTCGGGCCACGCTTTGCAACTCGGGGTTCGCAATTCGGGAACCGCTGCTCAGCTTGACAGCTTTAAAGATTGCCGTCGCTGCCGTCGCTGCTGCTCGCCCATAGCAATCATGGACAGCCTGTTTGCACCCTTTGGCGTGCGCCTTGAGGCCAGCAACTCTCTCGTGCAGGTTGCCTTCTCTGCCTTCCTTCTTGTTGGCATTGTAGCTTTTGCAGCACCCCTCATCAGCACTGTCCGAGTTCTCTTGAGCTTGTTTGTCCTGTCTGGCCGACCTGTATGTGCCTCTGGCTACGAATATACATAGTCCTCATGCTCATCGTCTCTCACAGCTCACCGACTTCGGTCCTCGCGGCACCTGGGCCCTCATCACCGGTGCATCTGACGGCATTGGCAAGGAGTTTGCCCTTTCTCTCGCAGCCAAGGGCTACAACCTGATCCTCGTCTCCCGCACCCAGTCCAAGCTCGACACACTCTCCGCCGACATCTCCTCCAAATATGGACCCAAGACCTCTGTCAAGACACTGGCAATGGACTTTGCGCTGAACAAGGACGCCGACTACACCAAGCTGGCGAAGCTCGTCGAGGGACTTGACGTCTCTATCCTGATCAACAATGTCGGTCTGAGCCACAACATCCCCGTGCCTTTCAACGAGACACCCAAGCAGGAGATGAACGACATCATCGTCATCAACTGCATGGCTACCTTGAGGGTCACCCAGCTCATCACCCCTGGCATGCAGGAGCGCAAGCGCGGTCTTGTCCTCACCATGGCCTCGTTCGGCGGCTTTTTCCCCACCCCTCTCCTGGCAACATACTCCGGCAGCAAGGCGTTCTTGCAGCAGTGGTCTACTGCTCTCGGTTCTGAGCTGCAGCCCTACGGCGTGCATGTCCAGTGCGTGCAGTCTCACCTCATCACCACCGCCATGTCCAAGATCCGCAAGCCGTCAGCTCTTGTGCCCAACCCCAAGCAGTTCGTCAAGGCTGCGCTCGGCAAGATTGGCCGTTCAGGTGGCGCGCAGAATGTTGCTTTCACCAGCACACCCTACTGGAGCCATGGTCTGATGCAGTGGTTCTTGTCGAGGTTCCTTGGCGAGAGGTCGCACGTTGTCGTCAAAGTCAACCGCGGCATGCACGTCGACATCCGCAACCGTGCGTTGAGGAAGGCGGAGCGCGAAGCTAAGAAGCAGTAGGCTTCATCTACCCTTCGACTATTGTTTGTCACAAAGCAAGATTGAATTTAGCAAGGTGCGCGCGTGGTGGACGACCGAAACGGCCATGTCCATGATATGATATAAGTAAAGTGTAATACCATGAAAGCCTTTATATCCTGAACGCCTCGCTCTGTAAAACAATTCCGCCCGTCTCCTACTCTTTCCCTGCATTCTTCAGCTCAGTCCAGCTCCATTGCATCCTCAGTCCTGGATGGCCCGCATCCTCCTCGTCCACTGACTCGGCATCACTCAAGTCCTCTTCCACAGGTGCCTGTTTCTCTTCCTTTTCCAGTCTGACTTTGCTGACGTGTATGCAACCTTCCTCCAGCAGCCCGCCGTGGAGGTATGATGTGAGCGGGCATGACGCGGTGGTAGGCATCCTGAATCTAATAATAGTCAGCCTTGTCCGCTCATCAGGCTGCCCGTGAAGCTCACACAAAGCCGGGGCCTTCCATCAGGTTGATCATGACCGTCCCACCCGCAGCTGTAACAATCTTTCTCAACGACCTGGTGAGGCTCGTCTGTGCTTCGTGTTCCGCGATCCGGACGGTGTAGATATCTGCCGGGCGCGCGGGCATGTGCGGTATGAACATTGTTGAATAGAGTTCTGCGAGCGACCTTGTCTCGCCCAACGCCGTGCACCCGCTGTGAATATATCCTGTCAAACACCCCTTCACGTGCTCCCACCGCCAACCATCAAGGCGCACAGAGCCAGCCGCGACCAGCCCGCGGTCATCCCGCGACGACATGTCTCTTCGTCACCTCTTCCTCTTCGCGTAGAATCCCAGCCGTTTTGCAACGCGTCACAAACCTAGGATGCTGATCAACGCGCACCCGCCGCCCTGGGCCCGCCCGCCCGGTCACAGCACCTATGTATACACCACCACGCCCGCCTCCCCGTGACCCGCGCCGCACCAGCGCTCTCACACCACCCCCTGCACCGCCGTGGTGCGAACTGCATACTTCACCCAGGGCCGCCCTGTTGCAACAGCGCCCGTTGCGGCCTAGCACGCCCGCCGCTCGCGAATCGGCGCGCCCGCGTCGCGCTGGGATCCGCTGTGCGCCTTGGGCACTGCAGCGCGGAACCGGCGCGGAGCAGCGTCCCACAGAACCGGCCGTGGGCATGCAGGCAGAGGGATCGCGGCGGCGGCGCGCAAAAAGCAATGGGAAAACGACCGTGGCGGCGTTTGGCGACACAGGCGAGGTTGTGTGGCCGTTTCACGCGCTGGGTTGTGGTCTGTGTTTGTGTTTGTGTTTGGTCGGATTCGGGCCGTGGGGGTCGAGTCGCGATGCTGTGTCGTTGTGACGGGGGACTCGAGGTGCAGATGGACGGCGTTTGGGTCCGAGGCGTGGTTGTACAGGGCATGGATGTGGAATTTGTGCGAGGGCGCAGGAGCAAATAAACAATGCGATTCGTATTGAGGAATTAGCGGCGCTACGCGAGGCAGTGCTTGTGTGAGTGGGTATCCAGCAAGTGAGGGTGTGAGAGTGGTGACAATGTGCTTTCATTGCTATTGCTAATTGTGCTCTCTATGCAAGCTCCCGGCTGATGCACCGCTATGCGCGTACTCATTGCTGCGGACGTGTCTATGCAAACCGTTGCGTGTCTTAATCCAACGCCAGAACTGCAGCGCCCAAAATGCAACTGAACGATGCAGCTACGTAAAAGAGCCATGTTGATTGATGTCGCTGATCGGCAGCGTTCCGTCTGAGTCGCTAGTGTAGACCGTATCATGGGGTGATGAAGAGAGACTAGAAGTGCTACTGGATGATCGCTCAGTCGAACTGTCCTACAATTCGTCTTTTTGAACCTGGGCGACTTCCTCCCAAAGCTCGACAGCGCGCTCGGACTTCAGCTGTGCAATGTTAGTGTCCTGTGTATTTTGTGATTGCAGAATGGCGTACCTTGAGGAGATGCATGTCTAGATTCCCTTCTGCATTTGGCGAGTTGAACAGCAGTCGACCATCCTTAGGCTTTGCGCCTTCTGAATCTGCGCCGAATACCAGAGTCTTTGTGACGGCGGCGTTGAGGATCAGGCGGTGCGTGCCGTCTGCGCGGAGCACGAAGCGTGCCTTCTTGGGCTCGTCCTTGGTAACGTTGAGTTTGATGTTACCCACGCCACGTTCCTTCCACCCTCGTTCTTTGCCTTCGCCATCCATCGTGTAAAGCTTTGCGCGGCCGACCCACGCTGAGGTCTCATGCTCCTCGCCTGTTTCGGTAGCTATAATACGTGTTAGTGAAAGCTAGACTTGTCAAGTGCTGCGCCTTACGAGCTGTGCCAGACAGCGATTGACTGGGCCGCCCGCCTTCCTCTGGGTCTTTATCGGGATCGTCTTCGTCGTCTTCGTCGTCGGACTTGTCGTCATCCGTCTTATCGCCAGGAGCGCCGAATGCTCGCTCGGGCTTGGAGCTGAGCCCGGTGATCACTGTTGCGCCAGGTGTTGCGAATGAGCCCGAGCCTGATGGCTTCGAGGCAAACGAGCCGCCAAAAGGGCTGCTGGACGCACCACCAAAGACGCTGCTACCGCCGAAGCTTGATTTGGTGTTGTCCAGCGATCCAAAGAAACCATTCGTAGTGGGGGGTGCCGCCAGCGAAGATGTGGTAGCTGGTGAGGCGAAAGAGCTTAGCTTGGGGGCGCCACCAAACGGTGATCCTGCCTTGCTAGCAGCACCAAAGCCCCCAAACGGTGAGACGCTCGAGCTTGCCAGACTGCCAAACCCAGAAGCCTTGAACTTATCGTCCGAAGTTTGAGGCAGGGCTTCTTTGCCCTCTGAAGTCTTGGGTGGTGCAGGCTTCGCAGACATGGCGGCGAATGGCGATGCTGCAGATGTGTTTGCGAAACCGCTGCCAGCCGGTATGGATTTCGCGGGTTTGGCCTCTTCTTTGTCGCGTGCTCGCTTTGACTCGCGCTCGTCGCTCGCCTTTGTCGCTGTTTGACCGTTGGTAGGCAGATCCTTTGTGCTGTCCTCAACAGCCCCAGAGGCCTCAGTGTCATCGCGTGGGCGCTTATTTTTTGGGCTTGTGCCGACGCGCCCTTCAGTAACCGTGGAGCTCGTCGCATCCTTGTTTGGAGACGCCATCTCAGCGTCTGTCTCTTCAATCCTCGATACGGCGGTGGTTGCAGGCTTGAGAGCGCCACCTTCGAGGTCCTTCGTGAGGTCCCTAGATCGCTTGCGCACATGTCTCTCAGGCTTCTCGGAGGTCTTCTCCAGCCTCTCCTGCTTCTTGTCGGGCTGCTTTTCTCCTTCGTTGTCGTCATCCATGTCTTCCCGGCTGCGCTTCCTCCGTAGCCGTCCGCGCTCGCTATCTGATCCCGAGGCGCCGCGACTCCCTGGCTTCAAGCTGCCATTCGCAGCGTCGCTCGTTGTCTGCCCCAGGCCCAACATCGGGTTTGCCGTGGCATCGATGCTGGTCTTCTGAAACTTCTCGCGGACCGGCCTGCCCTCGCTGTCGCTGCTTTTGTCGCTGCGTGCCGGTGAGACTGCATCCTCGACGACCCGAGGCACCGTCTCGTGTTGCTCCGACGAGCTCATTGTGGCTGTGTCGCGTGTGGAAATATCTGGTGTGACGGTCGCCGCGGTGGGTTTATGGCAACGTGCCGTGCAGTCGCAGCACTGTTCAGCGGTCCTGGGTTGAGTGTGCTTCTTTGGCAGCCGGGATCAGGTGGGTGGCCCGGTTACGATGGTATTGAGCTGAACAAGGCGCAATGTCGTGACACAGTGCGGCGAAGCTTCGAGACAGGCACCTGACAGAGACCGGCCAATCTGCACTGTCAAGCAATCAGAAGCTACGTTTTTCGTGCAAGCCGCGCGCGCGTGCACTGCAGAGTCTGGCGTGTATAAGGTGGAGGGCTCGAGCTTGGTGAAGAGCCGTTGCCGCGGTGGATTCGGTCAATGCGCCGTCGACTATTTACTCAGATCTGCAGTCCAGTGCGCGTGCTATGAAACTTGTAATTACACGAGCCGGACAGACACGCGTGCATAGGGGGAACAGCAGGTGCGGCGCGTTGTGGTCGGCGACTGGGCGGACTGGTGCAGCGTGCAGAGTGTTGGCGCTTGGCTGGGGAGTGTGTTGTCGATTGACAAGTTCAATGAGGGGTCTAGATGACTTAGTTCACGGTTCGGGCGTCACCGCGACTGCACGTCTTCACCCAAGCGCAGCTAGCAGCTAGGCGAATGGACAAGTGACTCTATGGAAATGTTGATGGAATTTGAGGAAAACGCCTGCCCCCGTTCAGACCTGTTGGTCGACAACCCAAACGCCTGGTATAATACAGCATCCTTTACACGCTACCAACTCAGCTGATGAAGCAGATGCAGCCCAGCGCAATGTAGAAAACAAACAGAGGGTATACTGCGATGCCAACGCGGTTCCTGACCACCCCGGAGCCGCCCATGATGCTGACTCCTGCTGCTAACGACCATGCCACGAGAACGAGATAGACGGGTATCCTGACGATCATGGGAATGCCGACTGCACTGAGCAGCGCGGCGATGACGAGCGGGAACAGCGTGTAGCCGATGATCGAGATGGACTGGAAGAAGGCGCTGGAGCTTGGTTAGCAAGTGGCCACGGTAGAGCAGCGGCGTTGCACGTACATGTTCCCTCCCAGAAGTTTGATCTGCAGCGTCACGACAGCCTCGCCAATCCACACCATGGCGAAGATGCCCGAGAACACCAGGTCCTTCTGCTCGGCCTTTGCCCCACGCGACAGGAACAGACTGAGCAGCAGGCAGAAGATAAGAGGCCCCCACAGGTCCCAGTCACGTAGGCCCTCGCTCATGCCACTCTGCAGCAGCACGTCTGCATCTGGCCATCTGCCCGCAATGCCCCTGATGCCGCCGCCGAAGCCGTCTGCCTCACCGCGCTCAGCGGCGGCGATGCCTCCGCCCTGCTGCATCATGCCGCCGAGCAGATACTTGGGGTACAGCACCTGCTTCATCTTCTCCCAGATGGCCAGGAGATCGCGCGACAGCGTCTCCCATACCGTCTCGTCGATGGTGTTGGTCGGTGCGCGGCGGTCCTCGCCAGGGATGCTCGACGTCAGGTACTGCGCGTTCGAACCACCCGGCGCAATCCTGCCAGTGAGCGGAGCGCGGTCCGAGGTCCCCTGGAGCGGGTCATCGAGGTCATCGAGTGTTGCTGCGTGCCGTTAGCATGGTGTTGCAGTGCAGCATGCAGGTGCCTGGGCAGCAGACGCACCATCATCCGGGTCGATCAGGTCCCGCTCCACCGCGTCGTTGTCGTAGACGGCGTTGGAGGTCGAGGCACTCGGCATCATTGCCGCCATAGTAAAACCCTGCGAGAACGGGAAGCGGGATAATTCCTCAACAGGCACGTGGTTAGCTCGAATGTTGTTGTTGAAGATGCGCTTGTATCAAATTGATGCCACCTGGATCCAGCTGGCATAGGTTGCGGTACCAAACGCGGTTAGGGTTCCGCTTGCAGGGATCATTGGTCGCCTCTAGCGCGTGAAGGGCACCAGACGTTGCTCTTCACTACTTATGCCCGAATCATGCTTCCGCCGTTGGCCTCCGTCTCCGCGTTATCAGTGCGCGTTATATATCGTGTCTTACGCCGCCCGCCTTGAGGGAAGCTCCATCATCGCTCACCGCCCATCATGACCGACCCTGTTCTGAATGACATCTCCCACAGGCGCTTCAACCTGCTGCGAGGAAGCTGGATCCTGGTCTCGCCGCACCGCACGAAGCGTCCATGGCAGTAAGAATGACCGTAGTCGCTTTCTTGAATTGATCCTAAATTTCTCCAGAGGTGCGCAGGAAGAGCCGTCCAAGGTCACGCTTCCGGAGTACGACCCAAAGGTGTGTGCCACCCCGCCAACCAATCAATTTAATACTTTTGCTGACGTCGCCAGTGCTATCTGTGCCCCAGCAACACTCGCGCCAATGGCGAGAACAATCCAAAGTTCAAGAACACATTCGTGTTCGTAAATGATTTCAGCGCTGTCAAGGAAGAGCAGGAAGATTACCATCATGATTCGAACAGCAAATCTCTGGCTTCGCGACTGCTCCGTGCTGAATCTGTCACTGGAAAATGCTATGTTATCTGTTTTTCGCCAAACCACAGCCTTACCCTCGCAGACATGACTCCTGCCGAGATCATTCCTGTCATTGAGACCTGGACTAACATCTACACACTCCACTTGGACCCGAAGTCGCCACTTGCCAAGCTTGCCGCTACACGTTCGATCCCCGAACTGGATCAGGGCGAACTCGAGAGGCCGAACGCGCAGTATCGCTACATGCAAATCTTCGAGAACAAAGGCCAAGCAATGGGATGCTCGAATCCTCACCCACACGGTCAAGTCTGGGCGACGACATCACTTCCAGAGGAGCCTGCACTTGAGATCCAGCAGATGATCAAGTACCGCCAAGAACAGAACGGCTCGCACATGCTTAGCGACTATGCCGCACTTGAATCAGAGCAAAAGATTCGTACCGTTTTCGAGAATGAGAGTTTCTGGGCTGGCGTGCCGTACTGGGGTGTGTGGCCGTTCGAGATTCTGCTCACAGCCAAGCAACACAAGCGATCGCTGGTCGACTTCAACAAGGAAGAGCGTGCACAACTCGCAGAAGCCATTGCAGAAGTTACTCGTAGATACGATAACCTTTTCGAGACCCAGTTCCCGTATAGTAAGTTCAGCCAGATCCCCGCACACGAATCACGTGACTAACGTGACCACAGGCATGGGTATTCACCAGGCACCTCTTCAAGGTACAACCGAGGAGATCGAGTGCAGTCATTTCCATATCCACTTCTACCCTCCTCTCCTTCGCAGCGCGACAGTGCGGAAGTTCCAGGTTGGTTATGAGATGCTGGCTGAGCCTCAGCGCGACATTACACCTGAGCAGGCTGCCGACCGTCTGAGGGGCTGCGATGGCCCGCTGTACCGCAAGAGCCAAACTCCACACACCAATGGCATCAATGGCGTCAATGGTGTCAATGGAACTAATGGAGTGAACGGGGTGAACGGGGTGAACGGGGTAAACGGGGTGAATGGGGTGAATGGCCACCATTAAGCATCTTCGAACTTGTCGTCTTTGCAGATTTTGTTGGGGAAGGGCGTTAGGGTGTTGTTGCAGACAACATGGTCGTCGCGCCGAGCGAACACATGTCGCGTATATCAGGATTCGAGTTCGAAGTCCACCAAGATTGAAGGGGACAGCATTAGTATAAGCATTGCACGGAGCATGCACAGGCGTCAGAAGACATGGATCTTCTTTTCAGTAATACACGGTACATACATAACAATTTATAAACTCCCTGACACCATGAAGCTTGGAAGTGTCAGTTCGCATCTAATCGGAACCCAACATCTTCCTCATGTGTCTTCATCACTAGTCTGCTTAAGGAAAGGCCCACGTCATGCGCGCTGACGCGTGCCCCACCCGTCCGCTCCTGTTCTCGACCCCGCCTCATCCATCCCAAACACGTCTCAACACGAATTCTAAATACAACACCATCACCAACGTACGCAACAACAAGACCCAACCAAAGCTTCTATTCGTTAACCAGCAGCTACAGATACATCAAAATGCCTTCCGCAGCATACACCGAGGTTTACCAGAAGGTCAGCAAGATGGGCGAGAAGCTCAAGGCTGCTGGCAAGCAGGGCCCTAGCAACGACGAGCAGCTCAACGTAAGTTCGCCACAGTCGTCCAAGCATTATATGCCATGACTTGCAGAGCTACTTGCAGAGCTTTATTGACAACTACGCGCAGCTCTACGCCTACGCTAAGATCGCCGAGGGCAAGGACTTCAGCGCTGCCGAGAAGCCTGGCATGTTCAACCTCGCTGTACGTCGATAATCATTTCCTACTCCCGACATATATGTCAATCACAACGAGGCGATGCCCATCCTCCAGGCTTCCGATCGGCTGCCGAGATCACAACACATGCATTCAAGGAAGCACAAACGCTGACACCTCGCAGGGCAAGGCCAAGTACAACAAGTGGCAGGAGGCCGTCAACGCTGGCCTGAGCCAGAAGGACGCCGAGGACAAGTACATTGCGCTTGGCAACGAGCTGCTCAAGAAGCACGACAACTAGAGCGTTTCGCGAGATGTCGAGGATGCGGATATACCATGAGCTTGCATACATGAAGAAATGAAATATACGGCCGGTTTCGAGCAACCATCTTTGTCACGCTTGGCGTGTGAAGCAAACGGGTGCCTTGGCAACGGCTATATAAGCCTCGTGATGACACTCGATCCTTTCTCTCGCATGTTCTGCACCTCTCTCTGTTCGTCATAAATCGCATTCCGTCCAATGCATGTTTTGGAGACTTCTCGAAAATGGATGACTTTCGACCGATGTCTTCGTGCAAGAAGCCCGTCCACATCACCCATTCTGCATCTAGCCCTTGACATTTACATTGTCTTCGAAAACCCGAAAGTCCTACAGTACGATGGTATGTCTGTCGTTCCAGAATCTCCGAAAGCACGCTATGCACCCAAAATAATCATCGGACGCTGCTATGTTCTTCTGCCTTTCTCTAAAGTGTGCAGAAGCACCACTATGCTGTCCTGTTTGCACTTCTCAAAGTGCAATACCCAATACACATGACTCGCCGAAAGCGTGCGATACCTGCTATATGTTCTGTTGTGTGATATGGGGGCAGTACTGAAAATCCTCTTGTTGCGTTGGTCTCTTTCGCTGGCAGTGGCTTTGTTGCGCGAAAGTTTCTGACTACAAGCACATGTTTTTGCGGGGTTGCTGCTTTGGAGAGAAAATTAATATCTCAAGTGATGATGTGTGCTGCGATACTCCTTCTTAATCAGCTCTATGTGGGACTTCTGCCTTCCTGTTGGCGGCGGCGTTGGTGCGTGAAAGTACATGTGCAAGCGGCCGATATCTTTTACCGGCTCACCGCGTTTCCTGACATCTGCCGCGGCGTGGCCTCGTGGTCGTGAAAAGAAATCCGGCCAGCATGCTGTCTGCTTCAATACTTCTCTTCTCCGGCTGAGTCGGGTCTCAGGACTTCGAAATCAATGTTCTCTGGCTCTGTGCTCTGCCTACCAAATCAAGGTTTTCGTGAACGATGCCATGTGTAGTGCGCTTGCCGACTAAATACCAAAATTCAGTTGGGAATCATATTTTTTTGGACGACCTTGTGCTTCTTCGCACCTGAGTTGGGATAAAGTGATACCATGTTGTGGAACTCTTACATCACTGCACGCTGAAACTGGATATCTCGGTGCACAGTTTCTATCAAACTCAATGATCTTCAGAGTCTGACCTTCGTCCAAAACGCCCGTAAGCTCCCTTGATTACTTCTTGGGTGCATAGCATGTTCGACGTTGGCGCACCGATCATCCAGGCTGAACCCCTCTGCTTGCTCCGCTTTGACTTTCCACGTCTTTGCCAGCTGGATTGTCTTCTGAAGTCATGTGAACACCGCGTTCTCCTATTTGTTGATCCATGGTCTTCTGCAGATCGAAGTTCATGATCTTATTGTACAAGCTCTCATGATCTCCCTTATTAGAGGCAGCGTAACCCCTCATTTACGTCTTCGCACCTGCCTTTTGAACTGTGAATAACAGCCAGTCATGTGACTTGCCACGAGGTGGTAAAATGCAAACTTCGATAGCTGCCATGTAAGCCGACCCAACTGCCCGATTGTCTTACTATACCCTTTTGCCCGTGGAGTTGCCAGTGTTTTGGCAGCCTTCGCGTTTAGTAACGCAAAGACTGTGATTTCCAAAGCCCCAAAAGCTAAAGTGTATAGGCTGGGCAATAGTGAGGGACCTGGTAGTCCATTCATGCTCAGCAGTCCTGTCGCAAATCCGAGTGGAAGGAATACAATTGTCACATACGTAAACGGAAATTGATGCTTTATGAGCCAAGGAAGCTAAGATAATCTTGAATCGACGCTAATTGGCTTGGAAGGGATTCGCGGAACTTCTTGATCTCATTCTGTAGACGCTCACTGTCCCGAGCTTGTCTCGTAGTGAAGACTTCGAGCCTGCGTATGGTCGCACGATGTTTCTGCTAGTCTGCTTTCGTCCACCGTGGTTGCTGATTGCCTCGATTCTTTTCTCCCGTCCTTGTTGCCATTCCTGGATTCTCTCGTGTTTAGTAAACAGATTGTCTTCAATCACGTGAAGAATCTGGACAAGGTCTCTCCATCGCGATGCAGCAAAAAGATAATGATCTTCACTCGCCAGCTCTCGAAGCTTCTGCGCCTCTTGAATGCCTTCCTTGAACGGGTTGGGGCGTGAACTACCAGCATCCTCTTCACTCGAGCTAAGTGCCAGGATTCTGATCCTGTGAAAAATGCTCATACTGTGCGTCCAAATGCTGTCCAGCATCTTGCTGTAAATGAGAAGCTTCAGGACGCTGCGTTGCTGCCAAGGTCTTGTGATTGATTGTCTTGGAACTTCTCCGGAATAACGCATTTTCGGCCAGAGAGTGGTCTTCATGTTTTCCATTGTTTCCGCCAGGGCCTGCACGTTTTCGGCATACATATGCCTGAGTCACGTGTGGTACAAGAAAGTATTATTGTCCAGTGTCGTACCTGAAGGCTTAAATTGAAAGCGGTACACATGCCCAGGCACTGCGCAGATGAGTGCCGCAGGATACGTTTCAGAGTCAGGCCTTACTATTTTTCACCATACTCTTCGCAAAGCTTCTGAATACGGACCTGTTTTGCTTGGGATAGGTATAGCTTTCTTAAAGAGAGGATATGTTACTGCGGTGTTGTGGGACATACTTTCAGCCAGATGCGTTCTAACTGTTGAAGAGCTAATCTAAATTCAAGCAGTCGTATTGAAAGTCCACACGCGGATATTAATAATCGAATTGTTAATGGCAGGTATCAGAGTTAGCGGTCCAGATGGTGGCGGTGAGGCCTGATTTGTCGCCCGATCATATTTAAATGAGACCAAAGCGCTGGGGATTCCTCCCCACTATAGAGCCGTATCAGCCCAATGCTGATAACCCACTGCATCCAGGCACGTCCGAGTTGCCAACCACGTAACTGCACAGTAAAGAATAGAAGAGTGTCTTATTAGTGCAGCCTGCTTAAGTGGAGGCATTTAATTGTGATTCAGAAGCCTACTGGTTTGGCTAAAGAAGACTTCAATCCTTCAAGACTAGCAAAAGGCAACTTAGACGGTTCTAGATGCGGTCGTGTGAGGGACGGAGTAGTGAACGTGCATCGTTGGTGCGAAGTCACAAGCACCCTTGTCTAGTGTTTGTATCATAGCGGATATTATCACGTAGACGACTATAAAGTGGCCTTACGAACGCTAGAGTTAGGCCACCATGCTTTTTCTCAGCACCTCTTCCAACATGAAGCTTTCTTCTTCAGTACTGCTTACTTGCGGCACGCTCCTCCAAGCACTCTCGACCAATGCGGACCCTGTACTTGAGGTGACATCTCTCCAACACCCCGGAGCTTTGCACACCCTCAAAGACATTGAAAGAGTTCGATTGCACGTTGAAAAAGGGGATCAACCATGGGCAAGAGCCTATCAGCATCTGCAAGCTGGTTCTCTGGCTCAGCCTACGCGCAAACCCAATCCGCAGCAAATTGTCGTTAGAGGCCAGGGCAACGCTTTGCCGCAGAACTACGCGACATTGTATCGCGATATTCACTCAGCGTATCAACTTGCTTTGCGATACCAGATCAGCCAGGACGCTACGTACGGCGCTGCCGCCGCTGGAATCCTGGACGCCTGGGCGGCCACTCTGCAACGCCTTGATGGCTCCGCCGACAGATTCCTTGCAGCAGGAATATACGGTTACCAGTTCGCGAATGTCGGAGAACTTCTTGTTGACTTCCCTGGCTGGCCTAAAGCAAACCAGACGGCATTCGGTCAAATGCTGAACACCGTCTTCGCCACTGTAAGCCAGGACTTCCTCATCAATCATAATGGCGCGCCTGCCCACTACTACGCAAACTGGGACTTGTGTAATATTGCCGGTCTCATGGCAATTGGGATCTTCACAGACAATACAACCATGTTCAACTACGCCAGTGCATACTTCGCCAACGGACCAGCAGGCGGCGCCGTGTCGTTCGGCGCGCTGCCCTTCTTTTCGATCGCAAACTTGACGGAGGCCGGCTCGGGCAAATCTCTTATGCAAACCCAGGAAACAGGACGTGACCAGGGCCACACACTGCTAGATTTCGCGCTCCTCGCCGTCATCGGGCAGCAGGGCCTTAGCCAGGGCATCGATCTCTTCGGCCTGTATGGTAATCAAATCCTAGCCGGGTAAGTTCCCTACCTCCAACGGGTTCTTTCAGTCCCACTAACAGCACTAGATCAGAGTACGCCGCTAAGTACAACGTCGGTGAAGACGTTCCATATGTGCCGTACAAGACGTTTCAAGGTACCTTCTCAGTTATTTCAAATAATTCTCGTTCAGGAAATCGCCCTGGGTTCGAGGGTCTGTACGCGCATTACGCTACGACCAAGGGTCTAAACGCGAGCTGGACGGGAATGTACAGGGACCAAGTTAACTTGATGTTGCCCGATAATATTGAGGGTGGAGGCGGTGATTACGGGACAAGTTCAGGCGGATTTGATTCGTTAGGCCATGGAACATTAATGTATCGTCTCTAGGTAGAATTGTGGGAGACGTATATAAGTACCTAAATATATCTTAATATACTCAAATATTATACCTTGCCTTACTTTATTTTAGTACTAAGTATCTCTATTTCAAGGATTTAATCTTTAAAGATCTTTAACTTAAACTATAGAGTTAGGACGTGACTAGAAGGCACCCTTTGCTACTTAAAGTAACGCTAGGGACTAAGAAACAAGTTCTTTAGCACGCACGCAACAGTGTTATAATCTACTACTACGCATTTAATTATATTTAGCCTAGGATCTACTAGCACTTCTTTACCCGCTAGAATAAAGCCTTGCTATAGGTCTTCACCCATGTCTATTAGTTGGTCTCCCAATTCTTTGTAGTAAAGCTTCCGTACGTCTTCTACCGTCAAGATATTTAAGACTGCAAGATCCAAGCAGTCATCCAGTTAGAAGAGATCCTCTGCTTTGGCAATTGTAGCAGTGTCTTGTCCTGGTTCTCTGCGCGTTTGCGTCGACAGTTGTCACTGCCAGTGATGCCCACAAGTAGCCCATCCTATTGCTGATTGGATGCAGCTCCGTAGTACGTTCGATAGACGGTAAAGTCCCAAGGCTGTAGGTATTCGTTGAGGCTCACCTCGTCCACGTACTCACCATCAGGTATTTTGCGCAGGCCGTTCAAAAATTTAGTGTCAGGGGCGTTCCGTGGTCATGTTGACAGAGTGTAACATAACACGACTTACGTGCGTAGGCCGATTTTGTGAAATTTGTTGGAAAACGTGCGATTGTAAAAGGTTGGTTCGATAATCCACCGGGCTAAGTGCTGGTCCACAATCCCTATTATATAAGCATTGTCATTGGCCCGGAGTCCTCGGACGCTACACTCAATTAGCGTCTGCAAATATATCAATCCTGCCTAGTACTACCTTGGTAGATAATCTATGCACTATATGGCGACGTCGCTCTCAGCTAAGGCCATCATTGTCAAATGGTGGGACCTCGATGTTCGTTGGTTCATGCCATCCAACAAGAAACGCCGACTTGTTTGCAATCTGTCAAGCTGCCGAATGATGTCTTGGAAGAATGCAGACCACTCGATTCAGCACAGCTTAGCTATCGTACAAGGCTTCTTCCTGAACGTGCTTTTGTCTAGTGAGAATGACGTTAGCCAGGTCCACATGTCATAGTCATACCTAGGTAAGGTTTTGATACACTCATTCCCGACGAGTCAGCGTCCTTGAACAGCAATCGAATCCTTCTAAGGTTTCGGATCCATCCGAAGTCTAATTGACTATTGAAGTCGCCATGCAGCACCTAGGATAACCAAGAACTCTATCTCACCAAATCGAAAGCTTCATCACCATGCCAAACGGTACTCTCAGTCTATCAAACGATGGCATCCCGACGTTCTCGCCACCTTATCCAAGCGGCAAAAATGTATTTGAGGATATGAAATCTGTTTTGATTCAATATCGCGTCGCTGCATCTGACATACGCCATCTCATTCCCGATGTTCTGGAGATCGAAGACGAACCACTCATGACCTGTGTCTTCATTCATTATGGAACAAGTTCTGTTGGGTCATACGAGGAATATGTCCTACAGGCAGAGGTCACCTTCAGAGGCCAACAATACAACTACAACATCGCCCTTATCCTCGACAACGAGTCTGCAATCTTTGCAGGCCGAGAAGTTTTTGGATATCCAAAGGTTTTCGGCAAAGTGCATCTCCAAACAGCTACTGGAACGCGCTTGATTCAGGGGACGGTGGAACGACCCGTAGGAACGCCAATTGTGCAATTCGAGTTCGTGCCAGAAGCAAAGGTCGAAAGTCTCCCGAAATCGGACAGATGGCAATTGAACCTACGAAGCATTCCTTCTCCAGTGCCTGCGAAATCCGCGCCAATCAGGGAACTGGTGCCTATTTTCATGGAGATGCATGTCAAGTCTGCTTGGATTGGTAAAGGCAGCGTTCGCTTCATGTCTGGGTCTTTGTTACACCCTTGGGCTGATATGAAAATTCTGCGATATGAAGGAGCTTCCTTTACACAGATTTCACACGCAGAGCTACGTACGGGTAGCGAGGTTTTCCCGCTCTGAAGTAGTAACTACAGCCGCCTGGTCAAGACGCAAAGAAAAATGGGCAATACGTACAAACACGTGTTTGTGTAGAGAGCGAGTGTTGGGTAGGGTAAATGCTTCTGTAATCAAGACATTTTCCACTCACACGATGTAAATGATTTTCGGTTCGTCTCACCTTATTCATGATTCAATCTTGTGAGGAAGTAAGCATGTAGCCAAATTTGACGTCGACCCTTCACGCAGACTTGGTTTACCTTGCTGTACATGCGTTGCAAATGTCTGAACGTCTAGGGAATGTAGTAAAAGAATCGAAGATTTCAGCCCCGTTCACGAGACAAGACAGGTCTTACCGCCAACCTAGGTCATGTTGCGATACAGATGGCGTTATTGCTGACAGACTTCAGCACTGTGTTTGAAGCTTAGACGACGTCGCTCATGTTCACGTGGCATGAAGCACCCCCGACCGTCAAGCTAGCGAGACCAATCAGAAGCTAGTTAGATGAACGCTGACTCTCCAGGCTAAGCAATATTAGGTTAGACGAGGGCTGGCTTTCTGCCTTTGGTCTGCCCGAGCGAGTCGACACCAACTCAATTGCTGCACAATAATGTTGGTGTGACTCGCCCATCGATTGACTGGTCGTGAGCCCTTCAATTATGCATGCTTCGACGAGGCACATAATGTTTGAGAACACTTCATATAGCCCCGAAATCCGTTAAATTTCGGGCACAGCAAGATTTCATTCTCAGCGACTTGCCAATACTTCCTTCTTTGACGAGACTGGGTTTAGTTCAACAACATCTTTCATACCCAGTTGCAAACACTGGTACGACAACGTCCAATAAAGATGGACGCCTTCCGATACAGTATCAAGTCAAGAACATTTTGTATTGAGAACGTTCCGATACCTGAGCCACAGGAAAAGCAGATCCTTGTCAAGGTCGAAGCAGCCGGACTCTGTGCTAGCGATCATCACATTATCAGCCATCATGGCGATCTCTTTCTCACCGTTGATGACAAAATCACACTTGGACACGAGGTAGCCGGGACAGTTGTCAAACTTGGTCCAGGTGTCACGTCTGTCCAGATTGGGGCGCGCATTGCCAATGCTCTCAAGAGCCATCCGACGAAAGAAGCGGTACCAAGTACAGCGATTGGTCTTGGCTACGATGGCGGTTATGCGGAGTTCGTCATCATGCACGAAGAATTCGCCATACCCATACCAGACAACGTCACCTTCGCCGAAGCTGCGGTTGCCGCTGATTCTATCACTACTGCATATCATGCTGTGGTGATTGAGGGACGCGTCAACAAAGGTTGTACCGTCGCAGTTATCGGACTCGGAGGCCTAGGTTTGAACGCGGTCGCTGTGGCTGCGCTACAGGGTGCAAAAGTATTCGGCGTCGACATCTCCAACGCAAGATTCGAGACCGCGATAGCAATGGGAGCAAAGGCCTGTGCCACTTCATTAAGTGACTTCAACCAAGTCCAGTTCGACGTCATTCTTGATTTCGCTGGTATGGGTAAAACGACCGCAGACGCAATTGAAGCAGTAAGCCTAGGAGGCGTTGTTGTGATTGTTGGACTTGGAGTGGACACTACTTCAATTAGCACGAGAACCTTAATACTAAAAAACGCAACGCTCCGAGGCTCGATTGGTGGTAGCATATCTGAGTTTAGGGAGGTACTAGCCTTGATAAGCGAGAAGCAGATCAAACCACACGTTAAGGAAGTTACCTTTGCAAGCATCAAGGAGAACCTGATGCGGATAGGAGAGGGTAAAGTCACTGGACGATTGTACTGTAGTCCTACTCCTAAGTCTTGAGTAAGCTGCGCTGTACACCTTCCAATTAAATGTGTCCTTGATTGACTCCTATGTCCCTGCGCGAACTTTGTGTTAGGTCCGGATTCGTAAATTACGATAGTTAGGCGAGACCGTACGGTCTTTACTAGTTATAGTAGAGAGTAGCTCAATCCTTATGTACAATTACAACAATGTTCTTAATCTCCCTAATATCGCTCTTATAATTTATTATGTTCTAGTAGTAGGCTAAATAGTTCTTATGCTAGAGGAACCTTTGGTAACAGAGTAAGAGAGCTCTCCAGATATAAACATACGTGTTGAAAAGCCTAGTGCCTGAGTATTCCCCAGTTTAAGTAACATTTGTGTTGGCTATAGACACAAGAACATCCTGTCGGAGCATGATCTCAGGGTGAAGTCCTTGCACCAGATCCGGATATTCATTCCAAAAGGTCTCCAAAAGGGTCCATTGAGAAACGTCCTGAATCTTTTGTAAGAAGTCGTCGCTGACTTGCGGGTCCTCGTCATTCTTGCGATAGACGAAGCTCATCCCGCGCCAATTTTTGATTCGAAGTGAACAGCAGAAGAGACCAACAACACATTCCAAGTCGTGTTGACGACTATGACGAATAAAATTGTCTCGCAGCTGCGGCCACGGAAGGAGGTCGAAGGTGAGGTGGTGGTGCTGAACAAGCTGGAGTATGGTGGGTCGAAATGTTTCTGGAAAGCTGCAGAAACTCTCTTGGGAGGGCCAAACCAACCACTGTTGGGATATTAGCCGACATTGTACCAGAGAGTGGTGGCAAAGTTTTCAGCCAAAGGCTGAGAAGCACATACCCTGAGGTAAAGGTATGCTAAATAGATGATACCAAACTTTTCTGGGGGCAGACAAGGAAGATCAACGATTTCCGAATGTACAAAGTTAGCGAGTGGATTACTCGAGCCCCCAAACAAGAGGTCCATCGTTTTCGCGATGGGTGGACACGCTAACTTCATAACCGGATCTGCTCGTAGCTGCGCAAGGAGTGGTGCGAAAGGTGCTGCGCGATTGAAGAATCGGTAACTTCCACTTGACTGAGACAAGTTCCAAGCTGGTACCCGGTCCCATTCAGGCGACTTGATTACCCTGTTCAAAAGCTCCAGGGATACGACAGCACTTTCTGGTAGGGACCGGGGTGGATCGCAAATCGAAGTAAAGCGTGCTGTAAAGGGAGAGAATATAGTTGATGGTAAAGAGTGATTGTTTGGAGGAGGCATCGCGCCTATATCCTCCTGAAGATTATCACTAGACAATTGAGCGGATGCGCCGAACACCCCATTAGCCGTTGTACACGGTCTTACTATGCGCTCTTCGCCCTCACTTGAAACACTACAGTTATCGCCGTTGGCAAGCGCATGGTCCGTCGGAGGTGACTGCATGCTTTTTGCATAGCCATGACACTGCGCCTCTGCTTTTGCAAGCTCCTGCTCCAGACTCAATACCTTTGCTTCGAGACCGGCAATATGTTCGCGCTCACGCTCACGTTTCTTCTTCTGATTTTCTTTATCGCGCTCTCTTTTCCGAATCAGGGCACCCGCTGAACGTCGGGGGAGTTGACGGGACTGCGATTGGCGCGATGACGAAGTGTACGTGCAAGCAATACTGTCGTTCATTGCAATAGCTCGTGTTAAAATAGTGACCAGTGGTGAGGGAGCAACAACGCAAGGAGGATTGTGCCTGGCATAACATGTGGTGAGGTGGCTGCGGCACAATTTATTTCGTAGAGAAAGTCGGCCGGCTTAGAGCTCGGTGAGTTCTTACACATGGGAGTCGCGGGCCGAGACGAGTCATCAGCATCGTGTCGTACTGTGTCCGTGCACGCAACGCACTGTATCAAACCCAGAGTGGGAATGCTCGGGTATGAGTCTGGAGACACACAAGCACTAAAGTGTTCCAGGACGACAGACCCGACAATATTGACGCACTTTCGGGCAATGCAGTTCACCAAGAAGCCGATCTAGCGATCTTGAGCATGCGTTAGAGTTTCTGAAAGAGGGTGGAAATTTCGATCATGCTACCACCTATCATATACGACGTTGGTGCTCGAGCCAACGGTGGCCCGTTTCGCAGTCAAACACAAAACCATTGGGCGCTAGCTATGTCTGTGCCAGGCTAACTACACGATCGCAAATGCAGTCATCTTCTACATCAAAATTGCAAGATATATCTGCTAAAGAAGTCAGAGTCCACAGATGACGTGCCCAAGTTGCAACTAAAACTGCAGCTTGGGCACGCCAGCGATTTCCCACTTGCCTGTTTTTCGCTCCATGAGGAAGTTTCGACCGCCGCTGGGGTACTACTCGACACGATGTGAACATAGATGTTTAGCCCTACATGTCTCAGCAACAGGAACGTAATGCCTCGCAGTATTTCGCTTAATGAGGAAACACCGCTAGCGCTCCAATATGGATTGTTAAGCGAAAGAAGCGGAGTTCCCTATTGTAGATGTCGGATTCCTTGGATAGGCTAAGCTTACTAAGCCAGATCGGTACATCCCGACCCCACCGACATCATGCTCTCACTCAGAGTGCCGATGTCTTGCAATATTTCCCGTTCTCCAGGAACTGAAGCTTCTGGGAAGAGTCACTGAGGGACATGGACCATTGGACAGCCCGAGTCTGGGCTTCGCAACACTCATAATATATAGGATGGCCGCACCAGGAACACCGCCGCACTCAGCATCACAAACAGCATTGCTTCAGGTACAATGGTATTTTCCCCTACTCTCCTCCAACGCAACGGTTCTATGTACAGAAATCTTGAGATACGATTCGAAACGCCAGTCGTTAGTGTGACCGGACATTCGGAGCACGATAGTGTTCGAGTTCGCGGAAGAGTAGTGTTTATGAACAGCATCAATCTTCGCATCAAGTCCATCAATGTAGCTCTCAATGGAATTCAACAGGTTCTGTATGGAGGCAACCAGTGGCGTAAGCAGATTGATTTCCAATGCTGACATCCTACAGATGGCACACGGACAGTATGAGTTGCGATCGTATTCGAAGCAAAGACGTAGTCTTCTGCGAAAAGACCAACCTTCTGTCCCCGACAAGAGGAAAAGACAATCAGAAAGTTTCCTCGCTTGGCCCTGGTAACCATGTCTGGCCTTTCGAGTTTGACCTGAAGTCCTGCCCTTACGAATCAATCGACGGTTTAAGGGACACATTTGTCAGGTACGAGGTCGAAGCCACAATAGCGATCTCTGGCCGATTCGGAAAGAAAATCTCAGTGAAGAAACAAGTCAAAGTCATTCGGAACCCATGCGTCTCAGAAGTGGATGACGTGGAACCAGAACAGGTAAGCTGTTATTTCTCCAATTGAGTGCCTGCTAAGCCTGGTAGGATGACAGCGGAACATGGCCTAACAAACTCGATTACCACATTACAGCACCCTCGCAGAACCACCAATGGGGACAGCCGGTCATAGTATCATTCAAGCTACACGCTCTCGCCAAAGGCATAACGGTGGAATCTTTAGTACTGAAGCTACAAGAGTCGTTGATCTTAAAAGCTTCATCTAAACATCGAGATTTATATCATCGCAGAAATATGATAGTCTCCGAAGTTGAAGCGACCAAGTCAGAAAACACAGCTTTGATGCTACACGCGGCGACCGAGACCTTGGAAGATCATTGGAAGATGACTCTCCCGTTACCTAGGACGTTACGGGAATGTAGGCAATCGGTCCGCCAGGATCGGATCACAGTGGCCCATAAGCTGCTGATGAATCTGCGTCTACGCGACAATATGGGAGCGGAACATCATGTAAGGGCAGACCCTCATGTGGAGATCAAACTGTCGCTGATTTTTGTAGGGCTCACATGAGTTTCCGTTTAGCTTAACATTCCCTTGTGGGATTGAGTTTGCCAACGATGGAACGGCATCTTACCCATGCGAAGACAGGTATCTGCAGCAAGATGTGCAAAACTTTGTTGCTGGTCTCTGCGCCCCTCCCGCATTCGGTGATCATGCTAGCGATCCCATATTTCGTCCTGGATTATCGCTTCAGTCTTTCGCCCAGGGCTCAGAGCAAACACTACATGAGTCTCTAGACGAGCCTTCCAGCAGTACACTTCTCTGCACGGAGCCAATCTCTCGCTACATATTTCCTAAAGTGACGGAGCTGCATTGTGAAAGATCTAAACTACCGAATGGTCAGTTGGATTCCTGGCATGCTATCTGTCTTGATCGCGTCCCAAGTTACGATACTGCCCTGCGGACTCCGGAGGTATACACCAACGATTTTGACCCAAGTCCTATCTACTTGTACCAGTCAAAAAGCGAAAACAGATTAACTTGAATTCGCCTCTAGAGGAGTAGAACCAGGCCCAGGGTTGATAAGCTGGTGTCTTTAGGTTAGAGTCTAAGGGTGCTTCTCTTTGGTATCAAAACTCGGAAGGGTATGATTGTACTTCTAGGACTCTTCTATCCTGACCAACATACGCAGGAATGTAACAATAGACAACTAAATAGAAACACTACTGCTAATTACTTGGCTTGCAATAGCGGCCACGTAAAGCCGATCTGATGCCATGTAGCGTTAGTTTCCACTATCAACGTTGCGCTAAGTCAATGCGAATATAGAAGACTAACCTTTTAAGCTTGTTAAGAAGTCTGAACTAATTGACAGCCTTCCTAACACTTCAAGGGCAGTGCTCACCCCCCTCTCACATCTGACCTGTGTCTGATGTTGAAGGAGAGCAGTGGACGGCATCTGTGGCGCCGGAACAGAGATGTGGTAGTAAGACATCATTATGAGTGTGTAGCCTGCCAAAATCGCTGAACATATCCCAGGTGCCGCTGTGATATATCTGAGTAAGGAACAAAGCTCTTGCTAAATTGACTTGACTCACCAGCACTTATAGTGGACGATATATAGTCTATATCAGCAGCAATAGTAGAAGCGTAATCCAAACAAATGCTTTGAGACTGCTCCTTCCGAAACGGAAACACTCGAGCAAGTCTAGAATTTTGCCCCCTGTCGTGGGCCCACGTATCCCGCGTAAGTGCGATGTTCGGATATTCACTGGAAGCCCGAACAGGTGAAAATGTCTCAAACTTATTCAGTATGCGAGGGTGATCCATAAAGGCGCGATATCTGTGCAGTTTGATCCGTGCGCTGAAGCGTATTAGCATACTAGAAACCTCAAAAGCGAGACCCTAATACCTCATAAGTCTCACTCGAGTCATGATATTGAGGGACGATACTAGTCTTGCTTCTGGAGACTCAATGTTACCAACCTCAACATCTGTCCCTTTGGAGTGTATGGATAATTGGTGGGAGATGATACTGTCGAGAGTGTGAATGCTCCGATTGAAGGGCGCTATAGTGGCCTCAGACTTAACACCTTTGACCAGAGCAACAAGGAGGAGAGTAGCAGCTACGAGCGCCTCTTCTGCACGAATATATCGGATCCATATCTTAGCTTGTCAGCAGACTTAGTCAGTGAAAATGGAGAACTGGCCACCTCACCTCTGAGCCGTGGCTAGTCGAAGGATACGGTACGCAAACCTTGTTTATATCTATGGTTTCGGCCAGAGGCTACCTGATGTCAGCAAACACATACCCTGTATTTTGTGTTGCAGAAGAACTAAATATTCACCGGTGTCGTACCTTACAGCTCACAATGGAAGCGTTACACATGCACAGGTACTGCACGATTGGTCAAGACGAGCGCCGCAGAACGTATTCCCGAGTCAGGGCTTACCATCATCCACCATGCTCTCCGTGAAGCTTCGGCGTACAGATCTGTTTCGCGTAAGGAATAATCCGAGGTTACACCTCCCAGCAAGCCGAAGGCTTTCTGAGCCAGGAGTGTCATCTGATCGACGTTTCCCCAAAGAAGATATTGACGAAGGCTCAGGACGCAGCAGGCCAAAGGCGCATCGAGTGTCTGGGGAACACCCGGGTGATACGATGAAGGCAACGAGGGCATGGCATTTGTCGATTGGGGGCCGGTCGCAATGCTGACCGCCTCGAGTGCACACTGAGCAAGACACTGAGACAAGTCACTCCGACTTTTACGTGCATGCTCGTCGATGCCTTCATGGGTGCTTGTCTGCGGCAGCCGTGTCAGGACAGACAGAAGAGCTAAGATTAGTGGCGAGAAAGGTTTATACGAGATAGATCCCTCCCTGTCTGCAGCCGAAGCACCGTCGTGTGCATCGCTCACTACTTCCTCAACTGGCGGAGGCAAAATAGGGAAGATCGGATGGAGCAATTGATAGTATGCGTGTAAGCTGTTGTTTGTTCAAGTTGGTCAGCACCAAGCTTAGCAGACGTTCCTTACCCAAACCGATGAATTATCATTGCTCGCTATACACAGCCGACTTACACGTCAGTATCAGAGTGGTATCCCTGCACCAGAGGCTGCAAGGGTAATGTTGTGAGCGGAGCAGGCTCATCGCAATCCACTCGAGGGAAGTCGGTAAGCTGAGAACGTCAGCGAAAAAGCTGTCTAAATCAGCCTCTGTGTCGCCAAGGAAGATGTCATCGAAATTGAACACGTCGATGTTGTCGTTGAAGAGGGGCGGAAGAGTGCTGCCGGGAATGTACAGCTCGCCGGTGGAGTCTGTGGCTTCTTGTGCGCTCTGCGCGGACGGAACAGTGTTGCTGTTAGTCAGGTCCAGTGACAATCCGGTCGTAGATCTCAAGCCTCGCCGGCTGGGCGTAAACCTGCATTGCTCGCTCCTGCGCAGGCACTGAGAAAGCGTCACTAAAGGGATCTTGTTCTCTATCTTGGATACCTAGGAAAGTTGCTCACACGAATGCACGGAGGCGCACCACTACATCGCACGCGAGCGGCCCTACTGCCATGGAGTTAGACAAAAAGGCCTGTGCAGAGTACGATTGAAGTAGTCGCACCAAGAGGTGCACGCCAACTTAATGCGCGGTGTCGCAGATCTCTTGCGAGTCGTGGGGCTGTGTCCGGCCATATTGCAACGTTCTCCGTCGTACAATGTTAATGTATTGATCGTGTTGGTACGTGAGGAACGGTTGCTCCTGGCGGAAGAATTGGCGTGTTCGCAGCGACGTTAAGGCCAAGTCCGGCGTAGGTATTCTACGTACCCGCCTTGGCTTACGTGCCCAAAGCGGGGCACCTAACTTAGTGTTTTTGGCTCGGTGTTCCGATCTCCAACCAACATTCTCCAACTCAATGAATATGATAGCCGAGAAGCCGCACCAGTGCGCGTTCTGCGACAGACGGTTTCGCAAACGGGAGCATCTTCAGCGGCATACTCGTACGCGTAGGTGATATCGCTCTGCGCCGTTCGATTTTGGCGATACTCTGCGCTGACGCGAGACAATGTCCTGCATGTAGACACCAAAGAAAAACCGTACACGTGTCAATGCGGATCTTCTTTCGCCAGGCGAGACTTGCTGCATCGCCATGAACGGCTGGCCCATTCGGATCCTGTCAATACGCGCACGGAGAGCAATCGGACCCCAAACTTAGCCAATCACTGTGAGGCAAGCTCGGCTGAGTCAAGGCGATCTCCAAATACAAGGCCACAAACATACATAGATGCAGTCGAGTTGACTGTGGGAACAGTGGAGGAGCAGACAGAACAGGATCTTGTTGACTCGGCTGCTCATCGCACCCTACCCTTGCCTCCAGAATATCACTATATTGGTCAGCGTCCCAAGAACTAGATGTCCGAATTCCTTTGCTTACAGTCTCAGCTTCGTCCTTCCTGGATGCGCCGACTGAGGAGGACGTTTTGTCTCAGTACAATGACTTCTTTCTTGGCAGTGGCCTCCGAAAAATTGCTGAAGGTCTTCGCATGGCGGCCATTGAATGTGACGATGTTGACGAGAACTTGGACCCGAATATGATAACCACCACACTCTATCCTGATCATCCGTTGACCTCACCAGCAGCTGCCATATTACGCGAACCAACGACGCCCTCATTGAGTACGTACCTTGCGTGTTATCGGTCTTTCATCAACTGAGTTGATACAGATGTTCTAACCAGTACGAACGCTCCAGGCAGTCTCTGGGAAGAGTACTTGGCCAAAAATACCAATTTTGTACCGCCATCTACCCAGACATGTCGTCGATACTTCACAGCATACCACAAGAATGGTAGAGTACCCCTGGTTCATCCGAGCATCAAACCTGAAAACCTTTCTTTTGCTTTGCGCACCGCAATGCTTGCGCTAGGAGCACTATATCTGTTCGACGACTGCAAAGCGAAGTTGCTTTTTGAGGCTAGCAAGAGTGTTGCTCTTGATATCTGGCTCAACCAGCCACTGGATACTCGTGCGCCGCACTTCAAGTACGTGTGCGAGACTCAAATGCAAGAATATTTGTCCTTGAGCTGATCTGACTGCTAAACAGTGCGTTTTCGCAACTGGGCAGTGCTTTCATTCTGCTTGCGGAGTTTGTCAAAATCGAGCAACCTCTTGATCTTGCAGAGAAGCTTTACGTTTTTCAGAGCAGCCTCCAGTTCTGCCTCAGAGCGGGTACTGGCCACAACGATGACGCACCTTCAGTCGCTGCTGAGATGGCTCGACGTACTTCCAGCTTTGGATACTGTACTTTGGTGAGCCAAAGCCTACTTTTAGGGTTTCCCGTCATATCTTTACCTGACGATAGTTGTCATCTGAGGCTCCCTTGTCCGCAAACGCTGTGGGAAAGGGCGGATGAAAGTCCCGAACAACTCGACTCGACGCATCCTGGTGATTTTGCTATTTCTTACTTTAGTAATTTTCGTCAGCAAACTGGTGCTGAAGAGGTCATTCCGAATCCTGCGCCCGAGAAAATATTGCTCATGACCGCGATCGCTACCCACCGCGTACAGCTAGCGAGAGAAGCGTCACGGCTTACGAAGTCTGATGATATTTTGTGCTCGGAGTACATACAATTCGCGTAAGTACTTGCCAGTAGCCTATGTATTGTTCCAATGAGAGATACTGATGATATTGTACTACCAGCCGAGTTGCAAGTCTTCTCTCGAAAATGGTACACACAACTCAGGAAATTGCAGATGGCAGCGTTAGCTGTAATCTGCTACAAGATCTTGAGAGCCTTGTCCATATCGAGAACATGCGTATGTGCTTGTCGACAAGTGGAAGTAGCGTGGGACTATTCAACACAAAGGACCCGGTCCAGCTTGCAGAGACACTGCAAGACTATTCGCTGGGATCTACAGTACCGATGGACTCGGTTCTACCCATTGTAGATGTGTCGATCGGTATGCTCGAGTCTCCAGCAAATACTGGCTTTGCCTTCTTCGTCCGCCTAGAAGCTTCCAGATGGGCTCTCGAGACAGTGCTCTCGGTTTTTGAATCTGCTCTCTTTCTCAGCCAATGGGTCTTACAAATTTCAGGGGAGGAGTCACTCTGTGAAGGTATTTAGTGCATCCTTTTTCAGCTATGCACACTGGTCTGATCATACTCAGCAAGTCGTACACTATTTGAGCGGGTTCAAAGTGCAATAGCCATGGCGTGGTCCTCTTTAGACGACGTGGGCGACGTAATGACCAGGGGCAACTCTAAGTCACTCGCTTGGTCAATCCTAACTTTCTGGGGGCGTGTGCTTGAAGCACTGGAGACCAAACCTTTCGCTAGACTATTAGGGAGGACTCTTGCAGTTCGCTCTCAATCACTGATAGATTTAGTGACAAGATGAATATCATACTGCTGTGCAAATAAGCACAGTGGATCCCATCCATTAGGCATTCTTCGATTGTGTGATACATTCGCTGCCCCTTGTTGCATTACAACAATATGACCTAACGGTTGTAGAATAGTCAATACTTGATTAATACGATTTGTGTGAGTCAAGGGTATGAGACAGTAAGATTCGTGAGCTGAGGCACGTTCAAAGGATGATTGTGTTCCCCAACCGGGTGCGTAGGCTCGGGGACAGTTGGAGACACGGGAAGGCTTCTCCATCGTAACGGGTACCTGTCTCCAACTCAACACGCCGTTTCTCCACGATTTGAAATAAGGGTCAAAAGGATAGATTATTTACTGTAATACAAATGGCCTTGTCCTGCACTTTTGGTCTTGACTTCCGGACATAAAACAAATTCTTGCTCACTCCTTCTTCGACGCGCGTCCGATACATCGCCTGGTAGGTTCTCCCTCGATCTCACCCGCGTCGCTTGCACGCAAAGGGGAAACATGAACTGACATTATTTGCGCCTCTACCACAGCGACCTGCACAGTCCCGCATCCTATTCACTACCAAATCATGATGTCTTCCCTCTCTTACAACAACCCTGCTGGAGCTGCGCAAAAGCACAGCGAGCTCGGTCATTATTCTCAGTCTGTCGATCTCGGCAATGGCACCATCAAATGCTCTGGCCAGGGAGGATGGGACCCTGAGTCTGGCGCGTTAGATGCAAACGATACCATCAAGCAAATCCGGTTAGCAATGGAGAACGTTGATATTGTTCTCAAAGCTGCAGGTCTACGGGGATGGGAAGACGTGTACCTGTTAAGGTCTTACCACTGTGATATTCGCACTTCATGGGAGCCGACTGTTGAGGCATTGAAGACGAGAATTCCAGGTCATCGACCAGTGTGGACAGCTGTCGCGGTACCACATCTCGCCTTTCCCGCCATGCTCATTGAGCTTGAGGTCGAGGCAAAGCGTCAAGATTAAACCACTGCAGCGTGCAAAGAATGACCTTTGCACGCAGGCTCGACCTTACAACCAACCTAGAAACACTCGAACCACATCAACCTCATGATTAACCTGGAACAATTCGAAACACGCTAGCTTGTGGGATAGCAACAACCAGCCCCTTCCTAGGCTAGACGCAAGTTTACCTAATTAGAACAAATACGGAAGAACTCCACTAGTCTACTGTTAGATTGAACTGTGGATCCAAAACCCTTAATTTGCTGCAGAATCAGTGCCTACTATAGTTCCAGTAGCCTAAAGTATTAAAGGCATACGATGAACCAGACGACAGACACAGCCAAAATTCGTGATTTGCATAGCCAGTCCAGTATTTGCTTTCAGTATCAGCATTCACCTTCAAATCGCATACTATTGGTCAAAATGAAATTCTTCGCCTCCTTCAGCGCTTTGATCGCCCTTGCGCAAGCTAATCTTGACGTCGTAACTCTCTACGTTAATGGTGATAACTATATCACCGAGGCTAGCGCTACTCTTGTGTTGGGCAAAGCACCAAGCCCCCAAGGCTCTGGAGATGCTGCACTTTGGAGTGCCATTATGATGGAGAACGATGCAAGCTTCCTACAAGGAGTCACGCAGAACTCCGCTCAAAGGTATACATACAAATATGCCAACATATCTAAAGGCCTTCTTGCTCATACTTGAAACAGTTACTGGTGCTCGAATTCCCCCGCAACCCAGTGGTGCAACTTTGCGTACACATTGGTTGGCTCGCAAGCAACCGCCGGCAAAGCCGTGACCGCTTCTCCTGGATCAAAGGTCAAGACGACTTACAAGCTAAACTCGAGCACGCAACTGTGGGACCAGAATGTCTCTATCGATGGAAAGCTCGTATCTACTGTGAATACTAGTAAGGGGCAGCATGGCAAGATCTTCTACATCTCGCTGGAGTGTGCTTCGGGAACTTGCGCTTCCGCTGGAGCCCATAGTACGTCATTGAAAGAAGTGTCGTGATCTTTTGAGCAGTGCTGACGATATCAAAGGCTGGGAGAATGTTACTATCGTGCTGAACAAGGCCGATCTGAGCTTCAAGCACTCCGGCAGTTGGGAATATGGTGCAACTGGTGGTGAGATGACCACGCCTGACAACGGCAAGACCTGGAAGCTCAGCACTCTGTCCATCCCACAAACTGTTCCTCAATAGAGATAATCTCTTTTGGATTGCGCTGTATGATATGCTTGATTCTATATTTTAAACATTGCACTTTGCAAACTCATAACCTACACTCGATTAGTAGTACATAGGGTCTTCTGAACAAGTGCTGCATTGAGATACGGAGGTAAAATTCACTACCTATAGATGAAATGTTGTGTGATCTCTGCTCTGCTTAGTGAGGGACTCGTGCTAAGATGTTTCCCCCGTACTATTAGCTCACTCTTAGCTTATAGAGCGAGATACTGATATCACCTGTGGTTCAAGGGCACTTGCGGGTAGTTATTCGGCATGTAAGGCTACTGACTTGACTATGTGGATGATCCTTGATCTAGGTCCCGACTCGGCAAATTGCATCGACATATATTCACTGCCTGTTGTGGTCGAGACAGACACGGAAGATGTGTTGACGCGCTTGCTCAAGGCGGCGCATATATGTGCGTCTTGCCTCTTCTATTGTTGTTTACTACGACCGTATTCTTAGTTTCCCTGCTTTACTGGTGTAGCCTTCAGCCAAAGGGGAGGCTTGTGCCACAAAGCCCAGTACATCTTTTGATCCAGCCAGCTTCTTGCACTTTCCTCGCACAGCTCGAAATCGTAGCTCCATAACAGTCTAGCAGCGACGAGGCGAATTACATAAAGAGCTAAACTGCGTAATGTGTGAGTTAATTGAAGGGAACAAACGGGTATATGTTGTACCTTCTTCCAATACAGTTTCTTGGCCCGAAAGAGAATGGCTGAAACACATCTCGATTATCGTTGGCGTACTGTTTGTATAGAGGATCGGTGGGTATCCAACGTTCTGGGACAAAAGACACAGGGTTCGCGAAATTGTCTGGCGAGCGGAACGCTGCGAAGGTTGAGACTGAAACCCTAGTCTTAGGCATGTTAGTGTTGCTTTCCATTGGATGATTGTGTACTCACTCCTTTAGGTACGAATTGTCCGCATACCTCGCCTCCATTGCCGAGCACTATACGAGGTGGTCCTATTGGAGTGGAGGGATATACTAAGTTGATCTAAGTCACTACTTGTTAGGTGCGGGTCAGACGACTTACATCTCATTGACTCGTCACAACAGGCTGCAAGATATTTTAACTTCTGAATGTTGATGGATGTCAACTCTTCGGCAGAAGTGAAGCTTCGACGGACTTCCTTCACGACCTTCTCTAATTTGTCGGGATTGGAAAGGATATTGAACATGAAGCCAGAGAGCATGGTAGCTGTCGTTTCCGTTCCGGCTGCCATGAACAAATTTGCGTTGGCTTTCATGTCCTGAACATCGATGCAATTGTCTTCGTTTGCCTTGAGAATCAGGGTCCAAAAGTCAGCTGTTTCGGTAATAAGCCCTTTATTCATCCGCTTGTCGACCAGATCAGATGCGTAACGGCTAGTTCTTTCGAAACTAAGCTTGACCTCTTCTGAAAGACATGCGTAAACAGCGGCTAGTGCTGGAGGAAATCCGGAGAGAACTTGGAGATACGGGGCAAGTATAGTACTCTCAGTGAGGCTGTCTACCCAGCCATACATCCTCTCGTTACCATCAAGAAGCCCCAAAGTTTCGCCAAAGGCCAGTTCTCCAGTCGTGTCGAAAGTGACGCAGTTGAACAGTCGGACAAAATCTAATGGCGCGTTGGGGCTCAATGTGAGAGACTGATCAATATTGCGTATCAGCTTGTCAACGTTGGCCCGGATAAGGTGCTCTTGAGATTTTAGAGCGCGTTCAGAGAAGCCGTGCGTGAAAAGCTTTCGTAGTTGCCCGTGGTCGACATCGTTGATGGTCGCTAACAGCGAGTATCGGCCATTACTCTCTGGGCCATACATTTGTGGATCTTTCTGATTATCAATCTTTCTTTGGGAAGCAGTCTTGTGACCATGGACGTCTTTCCAGGCTCGACTATTGGTATAGCCAAGTCTGTTTGTCGAGAGACGAACAACGGGTCCGTATACTTGATGGGTGCGTAAAATGTAGCCAACAAGATCTCCCCTCATCCAGTGAAAAAGATAGATCAAATCCGAGATAGCAGAGAGAGCTGGCCCTGGATATGCCGATAGAGGGTGAAAGTAGAGGTTGTAGATTGCTTTACCGACGAGTCCAGTGAAAACTGTAAGGTGTATGATGTCAGATCTCTTTACCTCTCAAACTCCAGATGATGCTTACTGGCAGATCCTAGCAATAGTAGAAGCTTTTTAGCATCAAAGATTGTCTCAGGAGCATTCATGTCGACCTGCGGCAAAGCCTCCATGGCTAGAGTAATATGTCCTAGAACTGCACAGGCTATATGAGCTGGAAAAGGGGAGTCAATTATAAAATGGGAAGAGTCGGGAGGATACCGAGTACGATATTGCTTGAACAAATGGTGATTGTTCAAATAAGTGAAATGGGTTCGCTCAGGCCAGTGAAAGGACCAATCTAGAGGTTGCTCGTCCCTCGCTGTTTCGGGTTGTCAGACTCCGCGGCTTTTCAGAAGCCGGCGGATCCGATTCGGACATCTTGGCAACGCAACAGGTTGGTCGCGCACAAGCTCACCTGCACTGTATCGCCGTATCCTAGAAGCTAGGAAGTGTGGGATAGTGGCAATAGGAATAGATTATCTCTACGAGTGTGATTTGAAACCTCCGTAGATATCTCTTAACCCAACACAAGGACCAGATATGTCTCCACAAGTCAGTGCATTTGCAAGCTCCCTATGAGCGCTGATTTCTGAGACCGGTACACAGTAGATGAAGGATAGAATCCTTGTGATACTTCAAGAAGTGAGGGACTACGCTGGTAACTCGCTGCAGGCAATTCAAGGGTGTGGCGGCAACTAGCAAGAGAAAACGTGCGCGCGGCTAGCTGTACCCAACCTTTGTCCTGATAATTTGATGACCTTTAGGGCGAGTCTTATGCAGATGACCGGTTCCGCGTCAATGCTGGAAAGATGCGAGATACGAGTTCATGTGGGACTGGAAGATTTCACATGCCTCAATGTTCAAGCCAAGCAAAAGAATGCTGTCAGTACCATGTATTACCGATGACGTACCCTTACATTGCAACAGCCTGGGAGCCCTTGGTGGAAAGCAGTTGCAGTGCAATCCATAAGCGACGAAGACCTTCTTCCAGCGCGTCGCTACTTAATGTAAAAGTAATTCGAAACCAGCCAAGTTCCTCCGACCCGTACAAATGGCTAGGTGCAACCAGAACACCGGTCTGCATACAGATCTGCGCGAATTCGAGTTCTTCCTTCTGGTTTATGCTAGCTCGAGAGCACCCCGCATTGTGTACAGTGCCATCGTCGTTTGCAGTCGGCATGAATCGGCGGAGATCGATCCACACAAAGAGGCCTGCATTCCTACAATTTTGTCAGCGTACCAACCACGAAAGACGCAGACACAATTGTACATCTCGAAATACTCAATGCCGTTTTTCTTCAGGAACGAGCTCACTATAGCGTAGTTGCGTTCCATGAGAATATGTTTTCTCGACATGAACGCATCCATCCATTGTCTGTTGCTCAACATCCCAGCCCAGACATCTTGAATGATATGCGGAGACCAGAGGCACATCCTGGAAAGAGGTGAGTAACTCATACTGGCCCGTCACAAGTACAACTGACCCGATACTCGACATTGCTGTAATAACACCTTTGTTCTTTGTGCACACAAAGCCCAAGCGGAAGCCATTGGCACAAAAGTCTTTGCTTGCACCGTAGAGAATGTGGAGGAGGCTTGCGTCGATATTGCCGTTTAGATTGAGAGACATGAGTGATGTAAAACGTGTCGATCCTGAGGCGGCAGGGTTGCTGAAAACCGATAGAGCATAGATCTCGTCAGAAATAAGATGTAGACCATTCTCTCCACAGAGTGCTGCGAACTCCATTAGCGTCTCGGCAGGCTGGCATTAGTTAGTATTTACATCAACACTTCATCTACGAAAGTGGTGATTCATACGTAGCATCTTCCCAGCGGATTGTGGGGACTTTATGTTTGAGGTTAGCACATGTGTTTGCGATCAGTTCCATGTCGTGATTGACTGACTTGGAAATCATGAGTGCTCGAATCGTTATATCACACTGTCTCGCCTTTTGAAGCGCCCTTTCAACGGCCCTTCTGTTCACACCAGGATTGAACAGGTCGTCCAGTCTCGAGTATCCATCAATACCTTCATAAGGGATGCCGACTACGCGGACCCTACTCCGATTCATAAGATCATAGTCAAATCCGTTATAGTATGGCTGTGGAATTAAGATTCCGTCGCCCTCATCACAGATCGCCCATGTCAATGTGTCCAGAGCGCTAGCAAGTCCGGAGGTAACGAAGATATCATGCGGCGTAATGACTGTGTTGGACTCAAAAACCTCGTTGAGGAATGCGGCAGCTGCATGCTGGAGACGACGTGATCCACGCGGGCCGGTGCTGTAAGTAAGGTGGTCAGTCGGATGAGCTATGAACTACCTCGCGAGAGTCAGAGTTTGAGAATTGAAGCGTCCTGTCGAATTTTACTCGCCTGCGTCTTCGTAAACGTTACGATTTCTTCATGTAGAAGGCTATTTTCTGCAAGGCGAAGTATGACTCTAGAGCTAGTCAGATTGCATCGATCATCGTGATTTACACAAGAGGAGAGCGGCGCTTACGTTCCACCGGTGTTGTCTGGCGACCACGGATTGCCCATAGCCTTTTCCCGGGGACCCCAAATATCGCGATGGGTAGCATTGTAAGCACCTCTTTTAGACAGACGATGTTCGGCTGCTGCCACTTCGGCGATCTCTTCGCCGTGTGTTGACATTGTTGAAGCAGGGCAGATTAGACTACCAAGGGTCGGTTAGTTGATGGGGTGCCTGAGTGGGATTCATATTGTGCCTCCTTTTTCCCGATTTTGTCTTTTACTCTTTTATGACCCACAGAGTTATTCGAAACGAAGCGTGAGACTCAATTGATTCAGCAGATAATTTGGAGGTATTGGAGTATCATCGATGGTCTGCAAGGGGTCGCGTACAGTGCTGTACAATCGTACAAACAAACGGATTCCCACAGATATACCTGCGTATCAGTATGCGAAGACGTTCATCTTTCCGTCGGGTTTCGCGCACTTGTGATTCAATTTTCCGTCTTCGATTCGCACATAGGCAGTACTTTGCGACGCTAATATCCGCGACCCTGATTGCATTAGCCCGATAGTTGTACCGAGAGCTCCTCGGTAGCACGATATTGCCTCTAATCCGTCGGGTTCCTGCGCTAGTTGTACAACTTCGCGCTCAAGTCCGGGTCAGAGCGTACCCACTTACACTACTCGGGAAAAATTTAGGCCTTGTCTAATATGCAGGCCTATGTATCTTGCCCTACTTTGCGAAGTACTTTGCGAAGTGAGCCCCGCTTTCTTCACTGGTGCAAGGCTGAAATTTACGAGATAGGCGGTATTCATGCTCGGAAGTCTATATGAGCCTGGCCACGCAAACTCCTTGGGTCACTAAGTGCTCATAGAAATCTAAATGAGAACCTTCACCAGCCAGTCTCTGTGTCATCGTCACCGCCGCACTCCATGCATACTACTGCTCCATCCGAAGAGCGCCAATGGCCAACAGAAAAACCCAACCCCCAACTTGGCCCTGATATAAGCAGGCACCGCCATGCTGCTTCGAAATGGTATGCATCCATCCTGTAGCGGTAATCGGCACTTTGACTAGAATGAGACGCTGATGATTGAAGGCGACATTGTTCCATCGTTATGGCTGCTTTCATGATGAACTTCACATCGTGTGGAATTCTCTTCAGCTTCGGTGTCTACCAGGCTCGCTACGAAGCTTTAGCCGCGATGCCTCACACACCGTTCTCAAACGCCTCGTCAGCCGAAATCGATCTCATCGGCACGCTCGCAGCATCCCTGATGACTATTTCTGCGCCATTAATTATGTCCGGGGTGAGAGCCTACAAGCCACAAACCGTTGCGTGCGGAGTTGGCCTGCTGTGTGGCATAGCCAGTATCCTGGCTAGTTTTGGGCAACGTCTGTGGCATTTTCAACTATCACAAGGGTTTCTGCTTGGAATCGCGACTGGAATGACGCTGATGCCTTCCCTCATCATACCTCCGACCTGGTTCGATCATAGGCGAGGTTTAGCAATGGGTATTGTGTCGGCCGGCACAGGTATCGGCGGTCTCGTATGGGTCCCTGCTATCACTGCGGCCGTTGATCACATGGGCTTTCGCAACACTCTCCGGATGACTGGAGCACTTGGGGCAGCACTGCTTTGCTTTTCAGGACTATTCTTGGACTGGGAAGAGTCCTTTGCGCAAAATCTGCAAAACCAAGTTAAGGAAACATCGGCCTGGACCAGGCTCTTCTCGATTCCACGTCCCAGCAAGGACATCGTGATGCAACGAAAGTTTCTGGCTCAGGCTCTCTGCACCGTATTCCAAAGCGCGGCTTACTATACTCCTGTGTTTTTCACTGTTGCATATGCCCAAAGCTTGGGCTACTCGAATCAACAAGGAGCCAACCTCACAGCGGTAAGCAATGCTTGCAACGCCATAGGCAAAATTAGTGCTGGTTTTGCCGCAGATAGAATTGGCAAGTCCAATGCTTTCTTCATAACTACGCTTCTTAGTGCCATTGCAAGTCTCGGACTCTGGTTGCCAAGCTCTCTTCTTGGAACCGTGCGTGAAGAATTAGCAAAAAACATCTTCATCGGGTTTACGGTACTTTACGGGCTCTCTGCAAGCGCCTTCATCAGCCTCTTTTCGCCAGTCTTGGCTGAGACTTTTGGGATCACCGAATTGCCTCGGATATCAGGAGTCATGTATATGCTACAAGGTCTGTCGGCTCTCGTTGGAACACCGGTTGCTGGCCTTCTCATAAGCTCAAACGGATCCAGGACGACATCGGATAACTATCTTGGGATGACAGTACTTGTGGGAGGTCTAATGTCAGCAGCAACTCTCGCGGTCCTTTGGTTGAGACTGGAGACTTCAGTTGGCAGGGTAAAATCAGACGGAGTTTGAAGGTAATCAAACAGGTGAACAAGTTATCAAACTAGCAGGCAGATGCGGTTTACCTCTACCGAAAAGCAATCTGCCGTCACTCGGCGGGTAACGGGATCAATCTTCCGTAACAACTACAAAAGAGAGCGCTGTCGCGTTGGCGGGTATTACCATTCACAGATTGAGTTGAGCCAGCGCGTGTAAGGGTGCGGACGTCAATGGTAGATTAAAGCGGTGGGCTGCTATAGTATAGTGCTTATATATCAAAATAAAGCTAAGGAAGGCTATAGTGAACAGTTACCAAGGGTTTCTCTCAGAGAGGGCAATCGGAGACATTACGCGCAAAAAAGAGGCTACCTTTTCTATTACATAGATTACACTACAGCAAAAGCTTTTGTTTCTTGCTGTTGCTTCGTTTTTACTCATATCCCCAGAATTCTTTTAAATCATCAGCTCTCCACTTTGTTCCCCAGCCTGTTTCGATTTCAATCTTTTCTAGTAACGCTAAGATTGCTTTCTGCTCGCTCTTGTGACTCATCCACTGACCAGCAATCCACAGTGGCTGCACAGCATTTGTCCAAGCCCCGTGATGATGGTTGCTTGTTGAGATTCCGCAGATTTGGCGCGCGTGCCAGAAGATGGAGTGTGGCTTAGGTGCGACGACAACACCAGGCGGTTTATGTCGTAACATTAATATTGCAGCGGTGTGGTAGATCTGGTTCCCGGAAATGGCAGCAGGATTGCTGTACAGAATCTCTGGAAAAGGCTTCGTGCTTGGGGCGATGGAGAAGACAGGGAGCATCTCTGCCGGTCGTCTTTCGTACCAGTCATCCATATAGTGCCATATTTGTGTCCAGCGGACAGCATACTCTCTGCAAGCCTCTCCTGTCACAGATAGCGACGGCCCTACGCGCTCGGTAATGTTTGTATGGAAAGAAAGGAAGTCAAGTACGCGAGCGCACATGTAGACCGCGTGGCATGCAAACGCATTGAATCCATCTCTTGCTCTGAAAAGCTCGATATCCGCCTCCATATCATCGGCAGAAGTCCAGTGTTCAACGCAGATGAGTGGCTTCATTGAGGCAATGAGCCCTCCACACACGTCCATCCTAGCGAAGCACCAGAACAACGCTTGGTCAACGCCACCAGAAAATCCATTGATCCCAATAGCCTCAATAAGGTAAGCACAGCCGTCGAGATGCTGGCGCCAGGCTTTGGGTGAACTGCTCAACATCTCGAGGACGCAAAGGACGACGCAAGATGCAATGATGGCTGTGCTACGCGTGTATAGCTGCGGAAGCACAAGCTGGATGGCCTTTTGATACAGAGCAAGACTGCGCTCTGTATGACTGCTTCGTTGCTTTCGCTCAAGTTGGCGTGCGGACACCGCAAGGATGGAGTATCGCAAGTGATCATGCGAGCGTGCCAGTATGGGAAGCGTAAGTTGGAAGTGTTGCTCACTGTCGAACTTGTCTAGCCATGGTGCGATTTCGTCAAGCCAATTTCTCCACAATAAAGACTCCTCTTCATCCAACAAGCTAAACGCAACCGAGTTATCGAAGTTCGAATCCACAAGCTGAGGGTTATCCAAGGACACTGAGGATGGCATGACCTCATTGACAACATCGCCCAATTTTGACGATGATGTGGACGAAGCCTCCTCTTCTCCATAGTGCTCGGGAGTCGCTTGACGAGAAGGTGCAGTGGATCTAACTTCGTGTATAAGATGACTTCGGTATGTTGAGTGAGCGTTGAGGTAAGCCGAACCTGGAAGAAAAATACTGTCGTCGACGAAGTCATATGTGGCCGAACTCTGCCACATGGATTCGCTATCCACAGGATTGGATAAAGCATGAGAGAGGTTGACCATTTCGACTCCAGAGACTGGGTTTTCCAACCCGTATCGCTGGGCGTGAGCAGGGCTAGCGGTGATCTCTGTAGATCCCACGTCCATCTCCCACAATGCGCCGTGTCGGGATCGAAGATCATCCTCTTCGAGCGTGGAGGGGGAGTCCGAAGAGGACGGAGCATCACCAAGCCCGGTTGGGGGATCCGTGGTGCCCGAGTGCTGGTAATTACGAACTACCTCGGCTGTGACATCCTTAATCCGGAAGCGTGGAGGCTTGCATCCCGAGCGAGCTTTTTGTTGTTTTGATTGCTGCTTAGCTTCGAGGCTTAAAGGATTTTCTGTTCGAAAAATGAGGTGGGAGCTCCACTCGCACCGGATTCCCTTGCTGCTGCACCGACCACATGCGGGTCTCACTTCGTCGCACTTTCGCCTCTTGCTCTTACAACTCAGGCACCTCAGATAGGTGTCAGCGTATTACTCAAACTTGCCATTGAGCCATTCGGTCATACTGACCCAACCCGACTTCTCCTCAATCCCCGCCGATTCACTTCCGTGTCCTGGTCCATGGCTAGTTCGTGCCTCCAGATGAATTATCGCATAATATACTACTGGCAAAATAGTTCGAGGGCCGGGCGGGGATGGTGGAAAATTCCCTTCAGACCTGGTCATGGAAGGTTGCCACCGACCCGGTGGATGGGGGCGCGTCAAAACCCCGCATCTGGCACAAGCGCTGCCGTGCACGGACACCTACGATCGGAGGCACAGGCATCAATATAGCAGATTCAATGCGTAGTATCCTAACACTATACCTGTAAGATGAACTATAGCTTGTAGCTTTGGAACCTGATCTTCAGTGCCGCCCCAGAAGTTAGTCAGCTAATTATCAGGGTTCCTAATAGAGTTTGGGTTATGGTAGCGCGACTGCACTGCATGCGGTTGTCGCATCGAATGTGCGGTGGCTATTGCTAATAATCAGAGACACTCAAACTAACTTAAAGCTGCGCATCGCTTGAAAAGCGCAGAGGGAAATCAATTTTCACAATTCTCTAAGGTCCGCAATAAATCCACGAACGTTTGCATTCCAGGCTTCTGAAGCTCTCTACCTAGGTACTGGCCAACAGCGACACAACTAATTTCCTGCAGTTTCCTTACCTCAACCCTCGTTCGCCGTCTCCACCATCTGCACGTTTGACTTTGTATCAGTATCGGAGGCGCCGAGTCTCACCGAATCGCCGGGCTCTCCCCAGCTCTCCTTCCAATGCATAGTGACTTTTCCGCCGGTGAAGAGTCTGTCGATGTTCTCGAGCGATAGGCCGCGCGTCTCCGGATAGAAGTAATATATGAGGGGTATGAAGAAAGCATTGAAAACACCGAAGTAGACGTACGTGCGCCATCCAATACTGTTGATGCTGACGGGAGTGATCTCGACTACAAGGAACGTGAAGATCCAGTTGGATGCGGTAGCAAGAGCGGCCGCGCGGGTACGTATGGCAAGCGGTGCGTACTCGGCAGGCAGGAGCCAAGGAATGGCAAGAAGGCCGACGGCAAAGAAGAAGTTGAACAGGAAGAGCATGACAATGGCCACAATACCCGCGCCTTTCGACCCGTTCGCAACGGTGCCAGCCAAGACAGCCATGCCTAAGGGGTGCAAAGTCAGTAAGAGTTCCAACCGGGTCACGCATTCGTCCAAGGAGGGACAGTAGTACGTACATGTCATTTGACCAGATGCGGCGAATAGCATCAGTTTTCGACGACCGAGCCGCTCGATAATCCAGATGGGGATCAGTGAGGAGAGAAAGTACGCGATGCCGTTGAATCCAGCGAGCAAGAGCGAAAGATCGCGCGCAATTCCCACAGACTGCTGGAAAATGACTGGAGCGTACTAACGCTTGGTTAATGTGCTGCGTCGCATGTGCATGTTGTCGGCAGACTTACATAGGTGATGAGATTGATGCCAGAGAGCTGTTGCATGAATTGCCCACCAATACCCAGCAAAGTTCGATAGAGGAACTTCTGCTCTCCATTCTTCAGCATCGTCTTGAAGCTTCCCCTAGCTGCTGCTGCGCGCTCCTCCGCAACGGCATTTTGGATATTGGCTAGATCGCGCCTCAATAGCTCGTCGTCAGGAGACAGATTATGAGCGTCTTTCTCAACAGCCCACAGGATATGCTTCGCTTCCTCGAAACGGTCGTGTGCAATGAGCCAGCGCGGGGACTCTGGCAGGACGAGCATACCAAAAAAGGTAGCAATAGCAAACAGAATCTGCAGTGCCAGCGGAAAGCGAAATTGAGCATCGCTCGATACGAAACTCATGCCATAGTCAACCCAGTACGAGAGCATGACGCCGAATATGTTAATCGCGAGCTCAATGCAGAGGCCCCTGCCACGATCGTTGGCCTTCATGAGTTCTGAGTGCCACACAGCTACTGACAGTTAGCGTCTCCACTGTCCATAGAGTTTCTGGTACATGCTTACGAATTGTGCTCGTATTCATGCCGTTACCCAACCCTGCCACTATGCGACCAACGATCATCTGGGGAATGCCAGACGATGCAGCCTGCAGCGCAGCACCAATGCTGAGAATAATGCATCCTAGCATGATGCACTTCCTTCTGCCGAGTCCTTCTCCAAAGAAGAAGCAGAACATCGCGCCGAAGAAGCAGCCAATCTCATAAATGGCGACAACTGTCCCCTGGAGCGAAGAGCTGCCCCCAGCACCGTCTGTGGTATCGATTTCGGGAAAGGTTCGCGTGAATGCGACCCCGGTGAGCAGGCCTGACATGACTCCTTGATCGTAACCGAACAAAAGGAAGCCAGACCCTGCTGTAGCCATGATGGCCCAATTGAGTGGTCTGCCAACAAGAACGGTCATGGTGACACCTGCCCTTGGTTTAAGGTATGCTCTAAGGGCTCTGTCAGTCTGCGGAGCGATAAGGATGTCAACCTCGCAATCGACATGCAGAAGGATGGAATTTGTACCTGCAATGGTCGTCTTGATGACTATCTCCGAGTGAAAAGATATGTAAGACCCCGTATAAGGTAGTGAGTGCTGAGAGGGTTGGAACAGTGACTCAGAATTGCAAACACGACGTGGGGAAGACCTAATAAATGTGTCAGAATAGTTACGATTATCTGGCTGTGAGTCTGATGAAACTATGTCGCTCGAAAAACACGATAGTTCAGCCCGGCAATACTTCACGTCTCTGCGGATCTGGACTGGCCACTGATGTCCCCCAGAATTTCCCCAGAGTGGATGTGGCATGTCGCTGTGGGGTTTGACTAGTCCCAAGACGGAAAATTTCCTAGATAGGAAATTGCAAGCGCAATTTTTAGCTCACGCCAACCGTGCGTCTCATCTTGACGCGGTGGGTGGCTTTCCCATTTCCGGCTTTTTTCGAAGGGCATCACGCATAGTACCACATTGGGCCATAAAACCGCCGACGTGCAAATTGGCCCACTAAAGACACGTGCGTTGAGGCCAAACGCTCAATTCTTGATGCTTCCATAATTCTCGATGGATTCCGTTTCTTCACTCCTCTCAACAATTTCATTTTTTCGTTGCCCACGGTCGCCATAAGAGTCTCTGTACCACCCACCGAAAGCTTCGAAATGTCTTCGCTAGTAGCTGGCTTTGCAAACAAGATGGTTTCCTCTTCCGAGACGTGTGGATCGAACACACCAGTGAATGCACTGTTTACTCTGACTGGAAAAACAGTAGTAGTCACCGGCGGTGGTCGCGGACTTGGCCTAAGCCTCACCGTTGCCATCCTGGAGGCTGGCGGGCATGTGGCGTGTTTGGACATTCTTCCCGAACCAAGTAACGCAGAGTGGACATCCCTTTTGGAAACCGCCAGAAGGTCATCTACTACAGCTTCCTATTGGAGGTGCGACGTTACAAGCGAAGCAGAAGTGGCACGAGTACTGAAGGAGATAACGCATGAGAGCGACGAGCGAGGCGCTCCCGTACAAGGTTTGGTCGCATGCGCAGGCATCCAGCAAAAGATTCCAGCGCTCGAGTACGAAGCGTCAGATTTCGAACGCATTCTGAGGGTTAATGTCATTGGCGCCTTCATATCGGCCAAAGAAGTTGCGAAGATCCTCAAGGATCGAGGAAATGGTGGTAGCATAGTCCTGATCGCAAGCATGTCTGGTCAGGTGGCTAACAGGGTGAGCGATTCTGACGGTGGTGCGGAGCCTTCCAGTGACTGACAGAATCAAAGGGCCTGACTTGCACCGCGTACAATTCCAGTAAATCGGCAGTCCATCAGATGTGTCGGTCCCTTGCGCAGGAGTGGGGACAGTACAGCATCAGAGTGAATACGCTTTCGCCCGGGGTATGACAAGAACTTCCGCCAAAACCTCACCTGGACCAAGGCTGACTGGAGTTGTAGTACATCCGAACCGACATGACCGATGAACTGCTCACGGCAGACCCGAGCCTCGAGAAGGTCTGGATGGCCGGCGCTCTGCTCGGAAAGCTAGGGGTACCAGATGACTTCAAGGCGCCTGCCGTGTTTCTGCTTGCCGATGGTAGTCGTTTCATGACCGGTGCAGATCTAAGGGTTGACGGTGGCCATTGCGCTTCGGCATAGAAGAGTATGCTATAGAGTTTAGCCTACTCTTTATTACACGTACAAGGTAGAGATAACAAATAGATTACTAAGCTCTTTAATATTTTACTTATTATTAAGTCTAGAAGAACTAGATAATAGTAATATTATAGAGAATAGTACTAGTAATATCTACTACTATATAGAAGTATAGTATACTATTAAAAATAGAATATAAAAAGTATATATATAATTCTAAGCTATACTTAAGATAAAGTTCTAGAGAAGTATTTAAAAAATAAATAGTATACTATTTCTTAACTATATATACTTTTACTACTATAGTAGGATAGATTAGTATTTCTAGTAGATTTTAAACTAGTATCTTTTTAATTAAATATATATAATTTTAAATTTATAACTAATATTTTTTTATAAATAAGTAGTTTTTTACTTAAAAGGCTTTATAATTATATTAAGTAAGATTTTTTTTTTTTTTTTTATTTAGCTATTTATTACTAGTTTAGTAATATAGTAGAGTATTAGTTACTTAATAGAAGGCCTAGTACTTTATTAAAATAAAATATAAAAAGTAGATATATAATATAGAGCTATAGCTTAAAAATAGATTCTAATTATTATAATCTACCTTTTATAACTAACTAGATACTAATACCTAGTAAGTGCTAATATACTTAGTATAATATTATATAGGCTCTCCTATATAGTATAGTTTTATTATAAGTTATATAATAAGTTTATACCTTAGTAGTTAAGCTAAAGTAGGTCTTATATAGAGCTTATATAGCTTATATTAAGCTTAGTAAGCCTAGCTTATGCAGCTTATATTAAGCCTAGTAAGCTATTATATTCTCTATAGTATATAGTAAGTAGGAATATAACTCTTATAGTTTATATTTAACCTAAGTATTAATCTATAATATTAGATCTTAACCTAACCTTTAAGCTAGATAGTCTACTCTATACTACTTATTATTACCTCTTACTTTTAAGATAGATAGATTATATCTATACTTCTTAGTGCAAGACCCCTTTAGTTTCCCTAGTAGTATTTATCTCTAAAAACTAATTAAATAGTACTTATAAGCTTTACTTAAAGTATAACCTTAATAAAGGCTAAGGTAGATAAAGATAAAGAAGATATAATAGAGCTTTAAAATATAAAAATAATAGTAATAGGTATAGGTAACTATAGTATACTAATTAATATTATTAAGTACTTTAGTATATACTTAATTAAAGTATTTTAGCTACTTAGTATAATATAGTACTACTTCTTAGAACTAGATAGGAGATAGGTAGTAGTATAAGAGACTTAAATAAGTAATATCTATTTAATAGAAAGAGTAAAGAAATAAGTATATAGCAATAGTAATAGTAATAGTAAAGGTAATAGTAAAGATAAAAACTATAATAGCTAGAGCTAAAGAGCTATATTAAAGTAAAGAAGTAAGTAAAAAAAAGTAGTCTATAAAGCTATATAGTAAGTACTTAGTTAGTAGGATATTAGGTTTTAATTTATAGAGTAGAAGCTAGTGCTATATATAGTAATTAATAGATAGATACTACTAGTTATTATACTACTAGCTAGTAGAGGTAAGAGCCTACTATTTAGTATACTAGCTTATATAGATAATACTAGTATAATAGTAGTTATAGTACTATACTAAGTACTTATTAAGGATCTAGTAGACTAGATATAAAAGTATAGTAAGAGTAGCCTAGCTACTATTATTATAGTGAATATAGATACTATAAAGAATACTATAAGTAATAGTAAGTTCCTAGAGTATATAAATATACTTAGTAGAAAGGGCCTACTATAGTAAGTAGTAGTAGATAAGTATTATTTTATTATTATATTAAGTAACTAGTAGCTAAAGCTAGTACTACTAAAGAACCTCTAGCTACTACTATATCTAATTATACTACTTATAGTAATACTTCTACTAGTAAGAGAGAGTAAGCTAGTAATAAGTATACTACTTCTATATATAATATATATCTAGGTATTAAGGTTATACTTTAAGTAAAGCTTATAAGCACTATTTAATTAGTTCTTAGGGATAAATACTATTAGAGAAACTAAAGGGGTCTTGCACTAAAGAGTATAGATATAATCTATCTATCTTAAGGGTAGAGGGTAATAATAAGTAGTATAGAGTAGACTATCTAGCTTAAAGGTTAGGTTAAGATCTAATATTATAGATTAATACTTAGGTTAAATATAAACTATAAGGGTTATATTCCTACTTGCTATATACTATAGAGAGTATAGTAGCTTACTAGGCTTAATATAAGCTATATAAGCTAGGCTTACTAAGCTTAATATAAGCTATATAAGCTCTATATAAGACCTACTTTAGCTTAACTACTAAGGGGTAAGCTTATTATATAACTTATAATAAAACTATGCTATATAGAATAGCCTATATAATATTATGCTAAGTATATTAGTATTTGCTAGGTGTTAGTATCTAGTTAGTTATAAAAGGGCGATTATAATACTTACTTCCCTCTCTCTTAGATTTATCCTAAATCTATTAGCTATTCTTTATAAGCTTACTCTACTACTACCTTTAGTACCTATAGTAGTATTATATCTTCTACTTCCTAAAAGCAACTCTGCTTAAGCATTAAAATCTATTAATATAATACTATTACTTCTATTTCCTATAATTATTGCTTTACTTCTAGTTATAATTATTTTATTATGCCTTCTACTAATAACTACCTAAAATACTCTAAGTATATATATATTAGTTATCTATATATTAACTTATTTTAGAAGTCCTTAGATAAGACTAGGGCTAAGTATAAGAAGAAGGTTAAAGAAGATAAAAAGTTACTAGTAGAGGTAATATTATATTTACTGCGAAATAAGAAGATTCTTATATAAGTAAAAGATAGGGCTATAAAGAAGGCTAAATATTTAGTAAATAAGATAGATATAGAGAGTAAGGATATTTAGGCTAAGAAGATTATCTATTCTACTGCTAATATATAGGTTGCCTTTTCTCCTGCTATATAGTCTACTCTTAGGTATCTTAATAAGTTTGCAAACTTTAGTACTAGTAAAGTAGTATCTAGTAGTTTATAAGGTATATCTCTAGTTCCTATATATTTTTTAAGTCTAGGTATCTTAACTATTTAACTAGGAATTCTTTATCTAGTCTAGTTTCTTAATATTTTATTATTTTCTTAACTTCCTATTTATTATTACTATTATTCTAGTAATAGAAGTCTTTCTAGGTTAGTATATTAGCATTAGCTAGTTCTAATAAAGAGATATAGAATATAGGGTGTACTTTTATGTCTTTTAGTAGCTTAAGTTAATAGTTAACTAGGCTAATTTTCTCTAAAATAAAAAATAGTCTAACTTTAACTTTATCTAATTTTTTTATTAGTCTTCTTATGCATAGATTCTTTAAAAGGAGGTATACTTTATCCCCCTTCTTTAGTAGAGGTGCTATTTTTCTTTTTTTATTAATATAAGAGATTGCTTATAACTAAGCTCTAGCAATATTATTAAGCAATGTCTAATATACTTCCTTTAGTCTCTATACTAAGAATATTGCTAATTCTATTTAGATATTACTATTAAGACTTCTTATAAAGAGATTTAGATATCTTCTATAATTTATAAGGAATAGTATTATGCCTATTACCTTTAATAGTTTATTATTATATATAATTTATGCTATAGACAAGAGTAAAACCTAATTATTCTGCTATTAGTTATAGTAGATGCGGAGGTACGTCTCTATTATCTAGTTTACTTGTTCTATTTATCTATCTATCTACAGATAATAGGCTGTTAAAAGCTTCTTCTTTATTCCTATTACTACTAGGGATATTATCTAGAAATTTAAAGTAAAGAGCTTATCTCTATTACTAATAATTAATTTAAGAATGCTATAGTATTAAATAATTCTATCTAGGAATACTTAAGTAAGCTACTCTATAGTATAGCTATATTAAAAAGGTATAAGCTTAGCAGCTTTTATAAATCTATCTACTACTATAAATATTAAGTTATAATTATAGTCTATTATAGGGTCTTTAGAGATTAGTAGTTATATAATAAAATCTATTATAATATTTATCTATAGTGTAGTTAGTAGTTCTATTACCTATATTTCTCTATACTTAGTATATATACTATATTTATTCTACTAATAGTTAATATATCCTTTAATATATATAGTAACCTTATCTTTTATATTTAGGAACTTATAATATTATTTAATAAGTTCTATAGTTCTTATAATTCCTAGGTAACTATATAGTAGATTGTTATAATAATTGCGTATTATTTCTTCCTAAAGGTTATTTAGTACTTAACTTAGTATATAGCGTTTTTATAATATATATATAATATTATTAAGCTGCTATAATAGTCTAAGGGATCTATCTTAGTTAATCCTAAGTATAGCAGCTTTATTAATTATCTTCTTACCTACTAGGTTATATTATTAGCTAAGAGCATCTACTCTACTATTATCTTTGCCTAGAGTATATAGGATCTTAAACTTATACTAGCCTAGTATTTCTAACTATCTAACTTATCCTTAGTTTAAGACCTTAGTAGTAGTAAAGTATACTAAATTCTTATAATCTATATAGATTATAAGGTCTAAATAGCTTTTAGTATATACTTGCTAATATTCTAGAGATAATATAATTACTAAGAGTTTCTTATTATATATATTATAGTATTCTTCTAGTCCTAAGAACTTGCGTAAGTAATAAGTAATTAGGTGCTATTATCTATCTTTTTCTTATATAATGCATACTCCTAATACTAGGTCTAAGGTATCTATCTCTATTTAAAGTAGTTTATTACTCTTAAATATAAATAGTATTAGGAGATTAATATATACCTATTATAATAACTTAAATATGTTATCTTATTCTTTTCTCTATAAGAAGAGTATATCCTTCTATATAAGCTTTATAAGTAGCAAGGCCTTCTTTAAGTAATTCTTAATAAACTATCTATTAAAGTTAATAAACCTAAGGAATTCTTAAATCTTTTTAACTATTATTAGGGTAGGCTAATTCTTTACTATATTAATCTTGGTA